AGTAGGAGAAAATGATGTCACGAGAATTTGGTGTGTGTGGTGTGTGGGGGGAAAGTCGAACCCAGCCTCTACTGCCTTCTCCCCCAAGCTCCTCCCGCCCTCAGCTTCAACCTCTCCTCCAAGATTATCCTCCTCCTCCCAACACCCTCCATCCTCGTCCCCACTTCTGCATCCCCACCTCCCGCTGCTGATCATCCAAGACCAGCCCGGTGAATATTTCGATCGTCCTCCCGCTCCTTCTTGATCGCGCAGACTGGCCTTGAGCTTCGGAAGTCCGAACATGCGTTGAACGGCCGTGTAATGCGTGTTGTCGATCGTGTCGAGCCCCAGTGCGTCGCAGAGCACGCCCCTTGCCGCGATCCAAACGTTCCTAGAGTCAACGCAGTCGAAGAAGTAGTGCTCCCGATCGTCCTTGGGCGCTCCACAGACGAGGCACGCGGGCGAGTCGTCGTGCTTTTGATGAAACTGCAGACTCCGAGTCGGGGTGAAGTTCCTGACGAGCTTGAACCACACCTCGCGTTCCCTCGCCGTCAATGCCTTCGAGTTGACCCCCTTCCAGAATCCCTTGAGATCGTCGGGCTGCAGCGAGTCCCTGAAACCGATCGTGTCGGTGAAGGCCTTTGCATTCAAGACTCGGCGGACGCGACGGATGGTGTATGGCCGATCCATGCTGAGCAAGTTGTATTGTGTTGATTGGTCTGGGAGAGCCGGTCTCGGAAGGCGCTGCGGCGGGTCGATCGGATGGGGCAGGATCGACTCGAGCGGCGTGGTGGGGCGGACTCGGGGAGGCCCGTTGATTCGTACTGCCGCCACCGGTTGAGCTATTGGTGTGAACCTCAATCGATTGATCGCATGTCGGTACCATGCCACGATGTGCTCTCGTTGTGGGCGGCCCCGTTGATCGTATTCGCTGTTGCTGACGACCACATCCGTCGGCGGCGTCCAGAGATGAAAGCCCCCGCCCGGGTACAGCTCGCGTCGAAACAGGTCCGCTACCTTGGCGTAAATGGCAAACGCAGCATAGTCGGCGTCGTAGGGTGGTCGCGACACAGCTGGTGCTCCCGGTAGGTAGTGAAGGGTGTGCAACTTGATCGGAAGAGCGAGAAGGTTCGCGAGCGTCAACGTCCTCGGCTTGACTTGCGCATTGTGCGTCGATGGTACCTTCAGCACGGCCTGCCATCTTGGGTGTAGATCGGTTCGGATCGGAGTGTAGTCGCAAGGCCACGCATCGGTTGCCAAGTCAAAGTCGGGGGCGGGATGGGCTCGTACAATCGCCGCGCGCGCAAGTCCCTGCCAGATCGCATCCGAACCGCCAAGAAGCACGTCCCAGACGCGTGCCGCAACCGAGTCGACGACGTCCTGCATCCGCATGACCCCAAGACCCCCCTTGAACCTCGGTGTGAAGACGACGTCCTTGCCATAGCACGACCTCCTCTTGCCGCCGCGGACAAAGTCGGCGAGAATGCGATCAAGCTCCTTGACGACCTCGAGCGGTGGGATGTCGGCGGAGAGGATGTGCAGAATCTTGGGAATGGCGTATCGGTTGACGTAGAACGCTCGGGTGTGGTGTGTGAGCCCTCGGTCCCGTGCCGAATCGAGCACCGCTTCGAGCCGTGCGACGAGATTCACGTTGGCGAGTTCGGTGTTGCCGGTGGGGTCGAAGATAGGCCGATCCACTCGAGCGACTCGCCCTCGGCCTTGACGACGAGCGGACGATCGCCAGTCCAGCGACCCGATGGGTAGTACGACGGTCTTGTCGGTGTTGAGCCGGCCATTGGTTGCGAGCCTCCAGTCGAGCGCCAGGTCGTCGAGCAGTTGAGTGACTCCGAGCCCGCGACAGCGACGACGACGTCATCGGCAAACGCAAGGATGTAATGGCGCGGCTCTGTGGGTAGGGGTGAATGGTAGGAAGCGAGAGGTTCAGCGCGATGCCTCGACGGTGCAGAGCATCCAGGAACGGCTGGAACACGACATCCCAGACCGACGACGACGCGGGTCCCTTGGCCGAGCCCACACGTCAGCCCGCACCGGCGGAGTCAGAAGCCGTTGATGATATATCGCGCCGTGGTTGAGTCACCCGAGTAGAGCATCCTCAGAACGCGTTGGAAGGCGGCAGGAGCGCCGAGAGCGTCGAAGATGGCGAAGATCCATTCGTGCTCGACGAGGTCGTAAGCCGACGATTGGTCAAGAGACAAGAGCGCCGCGTCAGGGAACTCGGTGCCGCGCGCGCCCAGCTCCTCGATCAAGAGTCGCAGGTGGAATGACGCGTCCGCCGATCGGCGGCCCTTGACGAAGCCGTGCTGTTGCGGTGGGAGCAGGTCCGGCAGCACGTGGTTGAGTCGCGCAACGTAGACCTTGGTGAAGAGCTTGTAGTCGCACTCGCGCAAGGTGATGGGCCGGTACGACGAGAGCTCGGCGCGATCGGCCCCGATCTTGTGGTGCTTGAAGAGCAGGCGAGCGAGTCCTTGCCCCTGCTTCGGTGAAAGCGAGCCGCGCTCGGTCATCGCGTTGAAGGCCCTGCTCAGCGCCTTGGCCCACGCCCGCGGCGCTGTGTGATAGAGCTCGTAGGGCACGCCAGATGGACCCGGCGATCGACCGGGGTGTGTTGTTGCGATTGCGGCTACGACCTCGTCCTCGGTGATGGGTTGCTGCAGCAGCTCGATGTGCGCTTCCGAGAGTCGTCGCAGAAAGAGCGGGTCCGAGCTCGGGTCATCGCAAGTGCGCGCCGACCTGATCGGCGCCAAGAAATCGTCCCTAAGTCGCTCGACGTGGTCCCGATCGCGCGGCTCGAGATCGTAGAGGCGCTGAAAGTGCGCCTGTGTGTGGTCAAGCGCGACGTCAATGTCATGTGTCAGCTCTCCGTTGGGCAATCGCAGTGCTGTGATCTTGGAATCCGAACTCCGTGCCGCGAGCTTGGCGTGGACCGGCCGCGACAGTCGTTCCTCGGTAGCGATTTCGGGTACGTGGGCTCGGATCCGAAGTTGGCGCGCGCGCTCGTTGACCGCTCGCCTAAGTTCCTCCGTCGTCCGCGTCCATTCGGCCGTCTCCTCGTCCCCATCACCGGCAACGCCTCCAGATCCTGCACCCTTCCCACCAAGACCGCCATCCGCTCCACCCGCTCCCGATGCTCCCTCCTCGCCAGCTCCCGACCCTCCTTCGCGCAGTTCCCCAGCACCACCTCGAGCTCCCCCACCGGTTCCTCCCCACTCGCTCCTTCCAACCATCCTTCCAACATCCCTGGAACTCCGCCGTCTTGAAGGTCGCCGCGTTGATACGATGTAATTGGTTTGATGTCGTTGGTAAACTATTGTTGGGTTGAGCCGCGTCTCCTCGCTCATCCGAGAGAACTAGGACGATCGAGACCGGTCGGTGATCCGAAAGGTCCTTGGGGTGGTCGTAGATCGTCGAGGCTTGGACGAGTCGCTTTTGGTGGGTGCGCTGCAGAAGGAAGTAGTCAAGTCGTGAAAAGGACTTTGGTCGCTTGCGGACGATGTTGGGTCGAGTGAAAGATGGTGTGAGCGGGTGTTTGAATCGTATGCAGTCGGTGTAGGGCGAGTCGAGCTTGCCGATCAGGATCGGCCAGTGATGGCCGTGCCGACCTTGGTTCCGCCGATCGATCGCCGGCAGCGGGCAGTCGTTGAGATCGCCGCCGAGGAGTCGAAGGTGGGTGCTCTGCGTCCTGTGGAAATGTAGTTTGTCAAAGAATGTGAGTCGTTGTTTTGTATCGACTGGTGCGTAAATGTTGTTGATCTCGAGTATCCGGATGTCGCCTCGAAGTCGAAAGGAGGTGACCAGGATTCGTCCGTCGAGTGCCGAGTGGGTGCGCAAAATCTCGGCGTCGATCAGGGGCGAGTCGGCGGGGATCAGAGTCAGACAGTGTTTGCTGATGAAGACCTTGCCCTCGTACTCGTCCTTGATACATTGCCAGAGTTCCGGTTTGATGAAGTGTTCTTGTAGTAGAATGGCGGATGCTTTGAATGTTGATAAATAGGTGTAAATGTTGCGTCGCTTTTCCGGGATCCCCATGCACCTCCTCACGTTCCAGCTGGTGATGGTGTGCTTGATCATTATTGGATAGACGATGTAGACGTGCTCTTGGCGGTAGTGTCGTCCTCAAAGAGTGGGAATTCGGGGAGAATGTCATCCTCGGGCTCGTGGTCGGACCAGCGCTTCTCCTCCTCCACCCCTTTACCCTTCTCCGCTTTCGCCTTGGCCCCCTCGACCTGCATCGCCGCCGCCGCCGACATCGACCTCGTCACCCTCTTCCCCTGACCCGCTACCTCCTTTCCTGCTCGACCTTTGACCCTGTTCAGAACGCGCTTGATATCGACCGGGTCGTCGCTCGGATCGCTGAGATCGGCCACCGTTTGCGACCTCTTCATCTTCTTGTTCGACCCGGAGCCGGTGCCACGAATGTTGATGAATCGCAGTTGTCCATCTTCCTGACCCCACTCTGCAAATTGGTGGCGAACGAGCGGTTCCTCCGCGTCGAGTTGGGCGTTGATGATCGCCTCCTTTTCTGCTTGGACACGTGCAGCAGCTTCGGCGTTAGCTCGGTCCCACTCCGCACCCTCGCGCAGCGACTTTGCCAACGTCTCAGGAGATAGTGGAGGCCACGAGGGACTCCGAGGAGTCGACTCGCGGGAAACCGTGGTGATCGTCGTTTGGTCGTCGTCGATGATCATGATGCTGTCGTCCTGTACCCCCTGTTCCTGCTCGACCTCTTCTTCCACCTCCGTCTCCGTCCCTTCGTCCTCCTCCTCTGCTCCATCTTTCATCACGTCATCCCCATCGTTTCCTTCGTCCTCCCTTTGTTCGCTTCCCTCCGAGCTGTCGTCCTGTTCGTCCTCGTCGTCGTCCTTGTCGTCGTCCTTGTCGTCGCCTCCCGCCTTGTCGATGCCCGCTCCGGCGTTCCCATCCGAGTCCGAATCCTCGTCGTCCGCCTTGGCGCCCGTATCCTCTTCTCCTTCTTCGACCTGCTCCTTTTCCTCGCCCTCCTTTCCTGCATCCTCCTCCTCGACGTCATCCTCCTGTCCTCCTTCGACCTCGAGCCCCGCAAATCGGTTCCGCGATTCGAGTTGGTCGGTTCCGAGGGCGCGGCTAGGGGCCACAACCTCGGAAGCGTCGTTGTCGGTGTTGTTGGTGTTGGTGGTGTCGTTGTTGTTGTTGTTGGTGTTGGTTGGGTTGTTGTGGTACTTGTTGTGCCTTCCGGTGTTGTTGTTCGCTTCCTTCTGCCTCCTCTCCTGTTCCAGCGCGCAGGTCTCCACATGCCCCACAAAGTGGCACCGAGCACAGGCCGCTTCTCGTTCGTAGTCGTGACGAACCGCCGTATGCATGTTGCCTCTAGTGGCTAGAGAGACCTTCGACGGTAGGAGCTCCTTCAGCGTGTTGTTAGGGGCTTTGAAAAGGGCGTCGTCGTCGAAGCGGATAAAGGCCGAAAACTCGCCGGCCAAGTGCGCATAGGCCGAGTCGTTATCGACGTGGATCACGCGCAAGACTTGTACCAGCTCGCAACGGTGTCCCTTGGCTGTGATTTTGGTGACAATTGATTTAAAAGAGTCAACAATGGCATCCCTGGATGGGACCGCTGCGACACCGACGTTGATACGCAGCTCGACCATGTTGTGGTAGAAGTGGTGGGCCTTTGCGAAGTGAGCCTTTGCAGAGTGCCAAGTAAGCGCCAGTGGGGCCGTAAGCGCCGAGTCACGTGCCTTCGCCGAAACGAATCCCACGGAGATACGGTGGTTGACCACACCGGCCCTGACGAAAGACGAGTGTTGGATACCCCTAATCTGGGGCGCAAACGCCGCAAGGTGCTCGGGAAGGGTGACCTCGGCGTCGAAGCACAGGGGCGATTGCGGGGAGAGCAGTCTCGTGACGCAACCGAGCAGATCGGCCTTGTCCGCGGGAGAGGCCTTCGAGGCGCCTTGGACGGTCAAAGTGACGTCGAGAGCAAAGTCGAAGATGTTTCGAATGGATCGATTGGCGTTGAGAGCCGAATACTTGAGCGATGTAGCGGTAGCGACAGGGTACTCGTCGGTGGCGAAGGTGGCTTGCAACCACCGGTCGGTGCGATTGCCCGGTACAGCACCCATGACTTCGAACATTTGGGTCAAAGCCTTGGCACGGTGTTGTTGTTGGGTCTGCTGCTCGGGAGTCTGCTTGGTCTTTTGAATCGCGGCGGTGGCGTAGGTCGCGGCGGCGATAGGGACTTGCGTCTCCTTTGTCCCAATCGGGACGCTCGTCGCCGCGGACGCCGATGGTGGGGGTGGGCCGGTCTCGCCGGTCTCCATGCTAATGTAGGCTGATGTATCACTTGTAGCTTCGAAGGTGGTGGGTGGCGCGATTTCGAAAGTGAAAGTGAAAGTGAAAGTGAAAGTGAGGTTTGGCTTGACGTGAATTCGGGAATGATTGGTCAAAAGACTGGACTCCTAACATGCGTGGACTCCGTAGCTCAGTTGGTTTAGAGCGTCCGACTGTTATTTCTTCGTCAAGTGATCGGGAGGTCGACAGTTCAAACCTGTCCGGAGTCGCTCACCGACCCGGTAGACTCTCTTTTTGTGCCCGGAATTTCAGAAACTCTTCAACCCCTATGATGTCTACACATGTGTAAGTAAGTCATTTTTCTTTTATTTGGTGCATCCATTACGTCTATTTTTTTCAATGTGCAAAGTCATTCAAAACGTTAGCCCGGAGCTTCCCAGAGCTGTCGGAGATGAACAGGGAGTTTTTGCTTCTTTGTCCTGAATAGGCAATTCAGGCAGCTGGCAACTACAGGTACAATACCTCAGAATACTTTATGATCTCTCATAACCACAGAGACAGAGATATGTGTCGCTTTCTGGCCGGAGGCCTGTCCTTTAGCCTCCTTAAAGTAGAGTATTCAACAGCAGCTTGGGTGCAAATCCTCACACCTAAGTGACAGCTCTTTTGATAATCCAGATAGATGCTACATGTATGGGTATCTGATTAATAACTTCTTCAGGACTGAGGCAGTCGGAACATGGTGTAAGGCGCTCCAGCCTCCCAAACTAAACATTATACTTGGGCCCTCTACCTTACATAAAGCCGCGGATGACGATGACTTTCCTGAGTGTCATCCATACCTCCATCCCATAGGACTTCTATCCGCACTCTGTCCTCAGAAGCCATGTGCTCATACCAAGCATCGGCTTGAGCATAGGTGAACATAGCAGAAGTTGATGAGAGAACTTTCTGCGGGTGTTGCAAAGTGGAAATTGGAATGCGTCAGTCACGCAGACAACACGGTAGATGAGCAAAGAAGAAGGAAAAGTGAGTACACACCACACCATCCTGTACAAGAACGACATATGTCAACATGCTTTTCTATTCACAACGGAAGCAAAAAAGACGAGGGGGGGGGCTCACAATGTAAAAGGTCTGCTTTGCAGGTTTCCCTTCGTCTCCTCTTCGCTCGGGTATTGACGGACGGTCCTCATAAGACAAGCGGTACCCTTCGTACCAAGTATGTTCCTGTAAGAAGAAAAAGTCCGGAGTAAGAATCGCGCACACCAGAGGCTGATTGAAATGCCTCGGATCAGTGACGTACCATTTCCCTCAGCATATCCTTCTTGAGCTTCTCTTCAAAGATGGTGATGCTGTATCCCAGTACAAGCAGCCATCGCCCATCACCGAAAACGTAGCGCTTGAACATGTTGTCCCCACCAAGGAACGCAGCGGCTTGATTCACGAGGCGGATTTGAGCGAAATCCTCAAGGTACGACCCGTAACCAAAGAGGTGGACCCAGGAGCCACCAAGATAGTGGTGCAGGTTGAGGAACGGAATCCCCGACTGCAGCATCCCAGTTGTGTCACCCGGCACATCAAATTCTAAGTGTTTCATTTGGCCATGCACCAAAAGGTCAGCGAAACATGCGCTTCACTGAGGAAAGGAGAAATTAGATGCCGACGAACGATGTAAACCCTTTTCCTCGGTGGTGACAGTTTGCTTGGTCGCACCCTTGGCCAATGCAGCACATCGGGTAAGCATCTCGTCACCTCCAAAGATTTGTCGGAACTGTTTGTAGCATTCATCCCAATTGTTGTTCATCTTGTGGAGAAGGGGGGCCGAAGCAAGCATACCTGCAAGCGGTACGTTGCGAACACGCGTGGTGTGAGTTGCAATCTTTTCAATGCGTTGGCCTTTGATGGCGAAGTAAAAGCCAAGCAAACTCACCCGCTCCACCGAACGCCATCCGGCCAAACTGCTGCAATTGGTTTACCGACTCTGAGGTCGCACCGACTGCAGAACCATCGAGGCACGAGAGCACCAACATATTCAGTACTTGGCCAAAGGTTGTACTCCTAGGGAAGGGCCAAGTCCTCACCGAACAAAGGGGTAGATGGGTCGTACTTGGCCAACATCCTTCGAAGAGCTCGCATGTCCAACCAAAAGGTATCACTGTGAATTGAAACAGCTCACGTCAGACCTATCTGCACAGGTGCTCTTAAAACACCTCGGCACCTTTGTACTCACTCATCGTTGAAAATGAACCACTTGAATGAGCGTCTGCAGGTGCCGACGGTGCGGATTGTCAGTCAAAAGCCGCCGTCCCTCGAGCAGCATCACAGGACTGACCCAAGCTCTACGGCGTATGCAGTGAATTGCGGCACCATGTCCAAGACCCGGACCTCGTACCTCTCGTACGTGCTTGTTCGAACCCCACATGGCAGGCTTCTGCTCTTGAGCATCCTTTTCAGATCCTCAATGTCGTCCGGGTCCTCTTGGCTACTCAGCAGTATCATGCACGCCGGTCGCAAGGACGATGCAGCACGAGTTGAGTCGGTTGAAGGCGCATCGGGCGCGAGAAGCCACCTCGTCCATAGCTCCGACATCATCATGGCGCGCTTGACCGTGGTCGTCATGCCGAAAAGCAAATCACCGTCTTCGGGGTACGATACATCGTCATCGAGCCGGATCGTGCGAGGAAATACTCGAATTTTATGACGGGGAACGGGTTCGCCATTGATCAGAGTGGGTGATATGTTGGGATTGTCTGCCAGATCTCGGTGGTAAGCCGCGAGGTTCGCAGCCCTCGTCGGCAGTAGTTCCGCCTTGGACCACGAAACGGGTCCTTCCTGCGAAGACGGGACACGCCATTCGATCGTGGTCGGTTCAAGAACAAACTGGCGCAGCGTGACAGGCTCGAGCAAGTTGAGTAGCCCCTCGTTGAGTCCCTCGAAAGAGTTGACGGGTCGACGGGGTTCGCGGACCTCCGCCGGCACGGTTTTGGACCTCATCGAGACGAGTGCCAACAGCGAGCAGCCGATGACAGCCAACAGCAACACGAGTCTGGAACGAGCAAGCGCAAGCCATGGGTTGGACGTGTTGGAGTAGGCGGACGATGTGTTCCCGTTGCGAGACGTGGGTGGGGGCGACGACGAGGATCCGATGTGGGGGACTTGATCGGCAGATAAGCCGACGTGCGCCAGGACATCGCGAGTCGAGGGGAGTTGGACAGGCGGGTAGCCTTGTGAGCGTGTCGGCTGATGCGGACGCAAAGATGGAGATGCAGCCCACGGTACTGGAGAGGTGCGTGTAGATCACCGGGCCACGGGACTACGGTACGACGGGCGTGGTGCGCGGAGGGCGATGTCGCTCCAGTCACGAAGGAAGGGAGCAGTTCGCGTGAGGCAGACTGTGAGCAAATACACAAGCGGCAAGGGGATGCCGCTAACCCCGTCAGGCTTCTCATTCACAGTACTCGAGAGAAGGTCACGAGGTGAAGCGACATGGCTGTCGTGGGTCCTACGCACCCGGGCAGACGGCTAACACGCAGGTGAGCCGGCGCAGGTAGTAGACCGGTGCCGGAACAGAAACCAAAGAGTACAACAGTGAACTTCGGTACAACAGGGTATGCACAGCGAACGGAGAGTGACGGAGGCGGAAGGTGACGTCGGTGTGACGAGGGCGTACTTCTTGGACGGTGTTGATTGTTGGGGGTTGGATGTTGGCCGACGACACGGCGGGGCGCGCCAGACGAGCAGAGTCCCGCTGCGACAGAGTGCGACAGGCTGCGGCGCACTTCGTTCCTCTTCGTTCCAAAGATCGACCGACTCCCCGACTCCCTCCGACTTCCGACTCGGAGAGATCTACATTCCGGCGCGCGCGCTTCTCTGTCACTCTGTGTTCCTTTTCTGGGCCGTGCGTCGATCGCCCTCTATCGCCCTGCGCGCTCGGCTTGTGCCCGCCGGGCCGCCGACGCCGTGACGTTCTTCAGCTTCACGCACGATTCGTGAGCTGAGCGGTTTCCGTTCAAATCAAGAGGAGTTTAGGCACCGATTCGAACGTCAACGTCTCTCAGCCAAGCCCTACGGCGGGGGCTGACAGAGTCAGAATGGACAGCTCGGTCGGCGAAAGCTTACAGAGCTCAATTGAATACGGCAGCCTCGCCTCACTTGGCAGCTCGATCGAGTCATTCGGCAATAGTGGAATACAGCAATGCGATGCATTCCGAATAGGTCAACTAAGTCTGCTTTGCGTTCCGACATCACGCAACAAGCTTCTATCACCGCGAACTTCAAACGGTCCTGCCCTTCACCGCCACTTGGCGTTCGTCTGCTCCTGGAACTTGGCACGATGGGGAATCGCTGACGCCTGCACATCAAAGACATCGATCGCTTCCTGTTGAGGCAACATGCGAGATAGCGCGCGAGACCATGAGTTCGGGCTCCTTCGGGCGAGGGAAAGATGCATTCGGCGACTTACCTTCCATAGCTCTTGCGTGAGCTCAAACACGAACTGCGATTTGCTTCCCTCGGCGTCGTTGTTCCCATCGGGCGCTTCGCAGCTGTCTATGATGACGAAGAGAGCAATGAGAGCCTATCAGTGGCCAGATACGAGGCCTAAATACTCAGCGAACTTGCGCGAACGTACAACAGATGATCTCTCCAAAATGCTTGGAATCTTCGTTGATTTCTTCCTCGATGCAGGCCCTTCCATCGCGAACAAGGAACGAAAAGTAAAAGATGTTCTCGACCGATTGTGCGAACGAATGCGGGTTGAGGACGAAGCTGAGATACGGTATCCCTTCTCCGCCGTAAGCGTCCAGGATCCGTGCGATCTGCAAGACAGTGCGGCCCACGAGTGAGCTCCTCGAAGCGCACCAAGTGAGGGAATCGGTCGCTAACCTCGGAGATCATGCGGTCGGTCGCTTGTTTGTCCTTTTCGACATCTTCGGCACGCAACTGCAAGACAGTGGCAATCAGTCGCCGCTTCCAGGACCACATCATCGAAGGCACAGACATGAGCTGCGGTCACTTACTTCCTCGGGTCGAACACGTTGGCTTTCGTCGACCTTTTGCCTTGCGCGCTGTGTTCGAGCCTTTTTTTCCTTGACTTCCAAAGCCAGCGGACCGAGCCTGACGAACGAAATCCAGGCACAATGGGCTAGAGATCAGTACCATGCCTCGGTCCTTGTTGAGGTAGCCTGAACAGGGGGCAAGAGCTCACATGAGATCCATCACGACGGCCCTCCGACTTTCACTCGCCAAAACCCTTCCGACTCGGCCCCACCGCAACGGTCTTCCGGCGCCTTCAGTGGCGGCCCTGTCCTCGTCCTGCGTCTGGCTCCTCCCCTTGCCCTTGTTCTTCTGATTGAGTGCCACGACGCTGCCTCCCATGAAGTGAGCGAGTTTGAGAAGGAACTGATCGGTATCGAAGGCGTCGGCGTCGAGTTTGAGTTGGCGGGCCTTGAGCGCTCCGGCGTCCGAGGCGGCCATGAGCACACGGGAATCAAGAACGGCTTCGGACGGTGCGGTGACTGTACAAAGATGTGGCCAGTGCAGCAAAAAAAAAAAATGAACTCAGTCACGGGTGCCGCGCAAGCCGATTAGGGACGGGCAGTGGCCATGAGGAAGCTGACCATTTCTGAAGAGCTTGTTGGCACGTTCGACCTGCTTGCCGAGCGAGTCGACGGTCGTATCGTTGATGTTGTCTCGAGATTCTGTATAAGAGCAGGATATGACGGTGGGTGTTGATCAGCGAATTGAATCTAGGCGTGGGTGACGTGGTCGAGGAATGCGATCCGCCCGCGACGCGTGCGCCGACACGTGCGAGGACGCGTCGCGCACAGCAGACATCGCACTCAGCAAAGCGCGCAGGAAGCCGCAAGGGCGGCAGCAGCGTGCCATCGTGGGTTTGGGATCCTATCCAATTGGTCACGGCACCGTACCTTGTACCGATTGGCCGAGGCTGCGGTAGTGTGCCCTGAGCCGCCGTTCCCTCGCGCGACGCTGCTCGGCCGTGCTCTCGCCAGCCGGTGCCAGCTCATCGAGGTCATCGGCCGGGTGCTCGTCTCCGTGGTGGGCGTTGCCGTTCGCACGCTCGTTCAGCTGGGATGTGGGCTCGTTATCGTCGTCGTCTCGCATCCTAGCGTGGCCGTCGGGGTCGGGGGTCGAGGTCGTGGCGCGGTGTGGACGTGGACGCGTCGGATGCACGCTGGCACCTGGCTGAGTTAACCTGCGTCGGAGATTCGAGTATGAGGACGAGCGCGTCGACTGGACGAGGGTTGGAGATGTTGCGTTCGGACAAGGGAAGTGAGCCAGGCATTCGCGGGAGGAGGCGCTGGCAAGGTGTATGCGCAGAGAGACAGAGCGACAGCGTCAAGGACTCGTCAACGCGCCATGTAATATTTTAATATTTCCGTTCGAGACAGTTCGAGACGCGCGCGCGCCCGGGCCAGGGGGTCCAGGCAAGATGCGGATTAGATCATTGATTATTACTAGTGGGGCTTTGTGAAGCTTACTACACCGCGCGGGCCATTATTTGCGCAACCGCTCGTCGTCCGAACTGTACCGTTCAGCAACTCGGCCATCTCGGCGACGCGCCAGGCTGGGCGTCCCTACGCTCCCACCCATCCACTAAAGGATGGCCCTCGGAGCCAATCCGCTCGTGGGATGGCATCGATTGATGCACCGCGTCGTCGCGGCGGCCAGCAACGGTGCGACCAGTCCGTCTTCATTACTAGTAGCGCTCGCCGTACCAATTCGTAAGTGCTATCCTTGCTTCGATCAAGCACCCCTACGGCCGCCTCTCCATCTCCCAAGGAGCAGATTACACGAGCTCCTTCTCCATCGCTGTGGTCGAGCCCATCGCCAGCCTTCGCTACCCCGTGCGTGCCTTCGAAGGCTTCGATGGAGAGGTCTGTCTCGCTCAAATCCAGTTCGTTCGGATGACGTCGTTCGTCCAAGTCGTGTTGCCGCGCATTTAGCCGCCTCGAGCGTTTGGATCGATCGAGCATGTGGTGCCATCGCTGGTCTCGGAAGCGACATTTTCATAAAATATCTTTTTGGCCCGCCATTCTATCACGAGATGCGCTCTCCTCGTGCGCTCCGTTTCGGCCACGAGCGGAGAGACTCTTCGGCGCTGACCCTTGGCGCTCGTCTCACACAGGCGCTGCGGCTCGGCCCGAATCGCCATCCTCGATCTTCGTCCGCAACAACTCTTCATGGAGCCAGTGTGGTCGATCGAACTCGTTGTCGGCGATCCCGAGAGCCCGTGGGACCGGCGGTGTGTTGCAGGCAACTCGAACCTTCCAGTCGTTCGCTTCCGTTCGCAACGTCCCAGCATCGACGGCTCCTTCGACACAGGCTTCTATCCCCTCCAAACCCGCGAGCGGACCGGCTTCATCGACCTCCACAACTTCTTCGCTTTCCCGTGGCCGACATAGCTACGCAAGACAGCTTCTACGACTCCGAGTCGAGCTCGCGCTGCTTCGACGACGGCTACCCCCGCTCAAACCTACTCGTCGATCATTAGCGGTGACCCTGGCGGCCGTAGCGGTTGTTCTGACTTTACTATACAACCTCTCTGCCCCATTCCGACGGCTTGTGATTGCCATCGATCGATGCTCGCGCGTCGGAATCGCCGTCGCACAATGCATCGTCGACTACAAAATCTTGTTCCGGGGCGAGTGGCCCGATACGCCCGAGGGGCAGCAACAACGCCATCAGGCCTACGAGGATTGTCACACAAAATGCGCTGTGAGGATTCGCGAAGTGCTCAAGAAGAACGGTGGCATCTACATCAAAGTCGGTTAACCCAGTCGATTCATCTCGATTTGTCTCGTTGCTCTGCTGATTTTGTACCACGCGAGTCCTGTGCAGCTTGGGCAACATCTGTCGTCGGTCCAGCTGATTCCACTACCGTGGTCTCAAGCAATGATCCCTCTTCAAGACCAGTGCAAAGCGACACCGCTCGCCGAATTGCAACAGCTCTTCCTCGACGATGCAGGCGCTCCTCTCTCGACCTTCTTCTCCTCGTTCGATCCAAACCCCATCGGGGTCGCTAGCTTGGCCCAGGTCCATCGCGCCATCCTCCGTGATACGGGTGAACAGATCGCTGTCAAGGTTATGCATCCCGATCTCGAGTAAGTTCAATGCACGCAATCTTGATTGATAGCTTTCTGGCCGAGCTCATTCCAATGATGTGGTCCCCCCGAAATCAATCAGAGAATTTTCCCAAATTGACATGAAAACCACGACTTTGATGCTCCGGGTCGTCAAGAGCATGTTTCCTTCGTTCGAATTCACCTGGCTGGGCGAAGAGATGGAAGAAAACTTGCCGCTGGAGATGGACTTCAGTGAGGCACTCCGCCCATTGGATTCGCAGCAGAGGTGGTGCAACTGGCTGACGCTGGTCGTTTGAACTTTATCCAGGGCACGAAGCTGCGAACGCGTCGAGGTGCCAAGCCGATTTTTCGGACTTGAAAACGACAAGCCTAGTCATTCCAAGGGTCATCTGGGCGAAGAAGAGGGTCATGGTGATGCAGTTCATCGAGGGTGCTCGAATCGACGATCTTGCGTACCTCGAGGCGCATCAAATCGACCGGAATGAGGTGTCGAAGGAACTCTCAAGGATATTCTCAAGAATGATCTATATAATCGGGTACGCCTATTCTATCGCATGTCGCTCATCTTCTCTTCCAAGTTATTTTGGGATGCTGCTAACCATCATCCAGGTTCTGCTTACCGTTCAAAGGTTCTTCCACGCCGATCCTCACGGCGGCAACTTGCTGATCCGCCCTGCCCAGCCTGGGAGTCGGTCGCGCAGTAATTTTGAAATCGTGCTTCTCGATCACGGTACGACGGCTTGCTCCATGACCTCTTACCAGATGATCTGCATATGTCTTACGCCGACCTTTTCTGCCTCCACAGGTCTTTACTTTGAAATGGACTCCCCGCTCCGCGTGGCTTACGCGCGGCTATGGCTCGCGCTCATCTCCCCATCCTCCCCGAAAGTCGAGGCCGACCGACGGAAATATGCCTACTTGGCCGGCAACATCGACGACGAACTTTACCCCATTTTCCAAGCCGCAATCACGGGGCGAGCCGCACTGGATGACCCTTACGCGGTCCGAGGGGACGAAGGAGGCAAGAAGGGTTCGGTGATGGAGTTAGGAGAGCACACGCTGGATGAGCAAAAGAGGATGAGGCACACCATTGCCGAGACAGAGGGCTTGATGACGAGCATTTTTGACCTGCTGAGGTGAGCTTGGATGCCTTCACCTCCAAGAGTTTCGAGACTTATTGAACCCATCGGGATGGTGTTGCAGGCGAGTGCCGCGGAGGATTTTAATGGTACTCAAGGTCAATGACCTGGCTCGGTAAGTCGTGTCCGAGCTGTTCTTGCTTCTGGCTCACTTGTTCCTCGGGTCTGATCGACATTTTCTCTTCCACTGGTGAATCCAGGGCACTGGATACCTCGCTCCATACCACCCACTCCCCAGCCCGCATCTTCATGATCGTGGCCGAATACTGCAATCTTGCGGCCTATCTTGATGATCTGGCCCAGCTCCGAACGCGGTATCATTCGCGGGGCCTCTCATTCGGTCTTGGTTGGGGATCGATTCGAGCGTGGACCCGCTATCAGAGCTGGAATCTTACTCTAGCGATCGCAATGTGGTGGACAGACTTGAAGGCTAGGTGGAGTAGTCCACGACACGGAGAAGCGATAGCTATGGCGTTTGTGTAGAAAACACCAGCGGCTGAAATGTATTTATCTGTCTTATCTGTTCCGTAATAAGAAGATCTCATGTCTTCACTTCGATATCATCTGCTCCTTTCATGGCATGCGGAGTTTGTGCCTAGTCACAGCCTGCAGGTTCCACAGCAGGAGGCTGCACCGGCAATCAAGTGGCAATGACGATTGGGCAACACTAGGAAAATATAATTGCAACACTGCAAAGCAGCGACATCTGCCCCAATCAAATTGTTGGATCCTGCGCATCCACCCCCATTCTTGCCCACGTATGAACCCATCCTGCGTCAACAGCCCCATCGGAGTGCATCTTGACCTGTGTCTCTGAAGCGTCTATTGAAGGAAGAAGTTCCGAAACAGAGTTCCGCTAGGGGTGTAACAATGCCGCGTCAGGAAGTCGATACCCGATAACCGTCTGGAAAGGAGATAACAACTGACCAGTCCCAAAGTAACTTTGATTTGCGGTGGACTTGGCTCGTATGAGATCAGACTGGGCTCTCTGTGGCCGCACAAGATGGAGCTCATGATATTTTGTACGACAATACCCGCTTGGTTCCAGCCAATATGACCCGCTCGGATAGCTGTTGAGCCCGAATCGTGATCAATTCATGCGCACATCAGATCAAAAGAAGCCGACGGCGCGAGCACTTACCGTGGGTGTTGGCTACGTCGCCAATGACGTACATGCGATCGGCATACTTTGTATTGCAGCTGTCGAGTTGCAAAGTGGGCCTGACCTCGACATAGCCTTGGGAGTTGATCGCATCGGGGAACGATTTCTTCAGCAACTGCGAATTTGGCTTTTGGCCCGTACACCTCAGCTGCAACGAGAGTCCACGAAGCAGATGAGCAAGCATCCTCACTCGAATTCAAGCGAAAGTAAGTCCAATGACGTACAAGAAGATCATACTCGAGCACCCCCGTCTTGGTTTCTATCCGCCTGGACGTCAGAGGCTGCTTGCTGACGTCGTCCACCCATTCCGGCAAAGCCAGCCTTTCTCCCATGATCACATCTACGCCCAGTTCATCGAGTCTCCTGGTGACCTCATCGTGAACCTCTTGCTTGTAAAGCGGCAAGAACCGGCTTCGAGAGTGTACGAGGGTGATTTTCTTCTTGCCTTCGACCGAGTTTTCCGGCCTCAAAGCTGCATTGGCGGGATTGTTGTAAAGATCGGCAATGTCGGTCGCGTACTGGATGCCCAAGGCTCCACCACCGACAATCAGGACCGATTTGGACAGGGCTATTCGGTCTTGTTGCGCCTGCAGGAAGCGAACACCTTCGACTTTGGTCCGGGCGGGAGACAGTAGCGGAGCAGGAAGGGTGCTTCCCAAGGCCTGAGACGGGCGCGAATATTGCAAGTGGTGAGCTGGCATTTCGGAAAAGAGCGAGTCTGATGCGGTCATGTGAGCTCACATAGATCAAATAATCCCAGTTCAACCGCCTCCGCCGCCGTTCCTCGCGACCCGAGGATATGATATCGACGTCGTCGCTGCCCGATGCTCCCAAGGTCTCCTCATCCAAGTCCCGATCGATTTCGACGAATCCAGGGCCGACGTCGGTGACGGAGGCTCTGACGAACACAGGTTGAACTCTTGTGGGGCCGCCCTCGCCCGATGAGTCACCACTCCGCGACGACTCGGTTCCTTCTGTTGACGACGACGACGACTTGGATGACGGTGCCGAAGAAGACAATCGGCCCGGTGATGCCATAACACCTGTGGGGAGGCTCACAACCGGGCCCGTCAGTCTCATACCGAGCGCACGCGGAATTATCAGCGAGTGGACGCATACCTGTGTAGGGGATAAATACTTTGTTTGCATGGTTCGGTACTACGCCGACCCGCGGGAAGAGATACAGATCTGCTCGGACGAGGGCAGCAATCGCAGTGCGAGTCAGTCGCATCCGCGGTTGAACATGATCATCGGCGACTCGAGAGAGCACGACCCGTTCCACTCCGGACGCTACCGGGGCAGGCACTGGCGAGATAAGCCCTGCCCTCAGACTCCAGCAGCGGTGGGTGTACTCACGATTGAAGTGTCTACATAGGTAATAGCCGCGAACAAGGGTCAGAACCATTGCGTCAGCAACTGGTCTGGGAGCGTCGTTTCGGCCGCGGCCGGCGCAACGGACTCACGATTGTCGGTCAATTAGAATGACGCGGTGGGTGATGGGCAACGTCTGCGACAAGAGCCCGGCTGCTCGAGCCCCGCTGTATGAGCCTCCGAGGATAATGACGTTACGCATGTTGGCGTAGGGAGCTGTGGAAGGGAAAGATCGGGTCGGTTGGGCCGCCCGCGAACGTCGACAGACCGGAATTCGGAGCAGGGTGGCGATCGATCGATGCGACCTTGGTTCTGCGGCCGTTCAGGGTCGTAAACCGTCACCAGCAGATTTTGTTTCGAGGTGAGAAAGATCGATCCGTGTGTACACAGGGAAGGGGAGAAAGAGAGAACGAGCTGTGGCTGAACTCCGTCGCATCCGATCAGTGCGCTCATTTCGCCGTTATCTGCGCTCATTTCGCCGTTATCAGATACCGAAGCGGGACGGCTGCGCGCACAGCGTTGCGCCCGCTCGGGTGAGCGGCAGTGGGGGGACGGCTGTGGGCGCGGCGCTTAGCCGGATCTCGGTCATGCTCGTTCACATTCATGACAAGAGGTGAGATGGCCCATGAGCCGCGGCAAATCATTGCAGTGACTGCTCGAAGTAGAGCATTCGCCAATGCTAGAACTTTCGTTCTTGCAGCTGAGCAGAACCAGTCTCTATGATGTTCTTAAGTCTAAACATATTATGTAGATGTAGATGAGCCTTCCGAGCATATAAAAGTATAAGGACCACTGGCAGCAGCAGCTCGCGAGCGGACGCTGATGTGGCAAAGGCAAAGTGAGACTTTGACGATTGCAAGGTACTGACGGTACGACGAAAAAAGAGAAAATGCGATGACTATGATGTGAAGAGGGGAAAAGAAGACACTGTAGAACGACGAATGTATGACTGAGCGAGCTTGAGAAAGCGGGCAAGCGAAAAAGCTGATTTGAAACTCGATTGAGAAGCGGGACCAAGCCTTGCGAGATGCGGACTGTGTACCAATCAGGGTTTTTGTTTTTTGTTTTTTTCTGTTTTTTTTTTGGGGGGGGGGGGGGGATGGAAACTGCATGTGCACGAAGTTTTGAGAGAGCGATCGATATTCACATGAAGAAGAGCGCGTCTTTGTGGTTGCTGTGGATTTTGCCCAGACGATTACGATATTCGGCGAGGAGTCGTTCGCGCTGCTGTTGTTCCGCTGAAGCACCGGAGAGCGACGACATTTGCGACATAGCATCATCACTCTCAGCCGCAAGATACAATGCCGCGCGAGTGCACAGACGATCGGCATAGTAGGCCGGCGTCGTTACCGAGACCGATCTCGACGCGCGAGCGTAGGTAAACGTCAGGTTGAAGGTGAGCTGTTGCCAAGCGTCGGCCGAGATCTTGGCATCATCGAGGAGCACATTGTAGTGCGCGGAGCGACTCGTACCCAGAAGGCTGGCATGCGACTGAATGTAGAAATCGTGCTCGAATGGGGAGGTGACATCTGTTGTGGCAAGCGATCGCAGCCCACATCTGGATTAGCTGAGTCGCATGAAACGGTTGCCAAGAGCGTCGAAAAAACGACACCTACCTGTGTCAACACAAGTGCCGGCCTTGACGTTGCCCGTCTTGTCGCCATCCATGCCGCTTAAAGGGAAGAGGCTGAGGTGGTGCCTCTTGCCGCACACAACAAACGATATGGTTGGATTGTAGTTCGGATCGATCTTCTGACATGCCGAGCGAATCTGAGCGACCTCGGACGACAAGACTTGAGCGAACTGCCCCTCGCTGACACCATCGCGGTAGAAGATGAGACGCGCTGGAGGGACCCTGTTCGTGGAGTGAAATTGACGCAAGAGTTCCATCATCATTCCCTCGAGATCTACAAATGAGACCATGGAAAGTCGAGTTAAGCTTTCGAATCGAGCAAGACTGGAGAAACAGGGGCCAGAGAGGCGTGGTACTGACCCGAAATGAGCTCGACGCGGGAGCTTTGGACGTGGATGCGTGAGCCGTAGTTCGTGAACTCGCGGTTCATGGTGGCGACTACGGCAGCAATCGAGGGAGCGAAGGAGCCCGGGCCGGGGTGGGTCACGTCTGCACCGATGATCATCGTAGGGACGTCGCGGGGGCACGCGGGACCAAGATCGACGATGGAGTTGATGCCGCTCAACTTGCAGTTGACCTTGAGCGCCAAGTTTGCGTAGTACTGAGGGTTGCCACGTTTCGCCTTCGGAACACTGAGGCATTGCGTCACAACTCCCACGTCGAGATCCCCGAAGCGCTTGATCGCAGCATACTCATCGCAAGGTTTGCGCGCAAGGTAGATGAGGAGCAGCTGAGGCGCACCGCCAAGGCCGAGCCCCTTGACCGTCTCGCGGAAGTAAGCGGGGATGTTGGCTGGGGACAATGCTGGCGCGTAATTGATGGCAGGACGAGAGTCGCGTACTTTTATTCCGACGTTCTGTAGACCGCGAGCGAAATCCGAGACGCTTTTCTCGACCTCTTGGCGGCGGAAGAAGCGCTCTTGATCGAAGACAAACACCGTCCAGCGCTCGATAGGGGCGCAGGGCCGATTGAACTGTTGGCCGCGCAGATCCCAGACCCCATCGCGTGGAATGACCGGCCTCTGCAGAGTCACGGTTGGATTCGGTAGAAGGCGGGCCTGGACCTGCATCAACTCGGACGTGAACTCCATCCCCCATTGGTTCAAGGGGGAGCCCGCGTTCGTCGGGAGGATACGCTGAATTCCCTGGCGGAGCAGGGGGACACGGTCACGGGGGCCCACAGTCGTGCGCTTGAGGGATTCGGCCGTCTGCGTCGGGTCGAGCTTGCGGCTGTACTTTTGGCCCGGCAAGACCGTACAGATCTCAATCGGGTACAGAGCAACACTCGAAATCTTGACACACGGCCATTCGGGATGTTGCAGGCGGATGTTGTAGTGATTGCGAAAGTACTCGGCGACGTCGGTCGTCTTGCCCTCATCGTTCTGGAACTTGGAGTCTTGTGCATTTTGTCGCGTCAACTCGCGAATTTTTCGAATCATGGGCGGACCGTTGCTGCCAACATTGATCGAGATACGCAGTGCACGGATAAATCGGTTCGCCTCGACAGCAAACGCGCCGGGCATGCGCTTGCTCTCCAGCTTGTCTGGTCCGAAACTGCGGTCTTTGGCGCGGCCGCTTAGGGAGAGCGTGAAAGGGGCTCGGTCAGTTCTGGCTAGTCGGGCATGAGCAGTGAAAGGAAAGCAGAAAGAGTAGATGATGACTCACTACTCAACAAGTAGCTTGGGCAGATCCCCTTCTTGATAGAAGGGCTGCGATGCGAGATCGAGAAGAATCTGTGGATGGTGGCGTCAAAAAGAGTGTGATAAGTCCTCAATTCCGACAAACAGCACAAGACTAGGTAGCGCATGGGACTGACGAAGTTGCAAGAAGGACCGCAACGGAGAGAAGAGTAGTACCCCCTCCACATGGTCAGACCCTTCGAGATGTTGCCCGCTTGCGGATTGTCGAATGGGAGGAAGAAGGACGCGCCGCTGTTCGAAAACGAGAGGAAGGGTCCGTGCTGAATGACAATGTTAACTAAGCAATTTGTATTCGAGCGCATTCGATCGTGAGCAAAAACGTCGGAGAACAAAGAGCCGAGCCTCCACCTTCGACTCACGAGCCTGAATGCAGGATTCAATCACACCCTCATCGACCTGCGTCTGCTTGCCCGAGACAAACGCGCTCAACGCATCGAGGTGCACCGGGCGGATGTACTTGATCTGTGTCGACACATGCCCACCTCGTTAGTCGCTGGTGAAAAGAGCCATCCTATTCCTCTGCAACGATGACCGACCTTGATGGTGAATTGATTGCCCTTGAACTTGGATTCACGGCCGTCGGATTCAGGGAGATTGACGTTCCACGACCCTTCGTCGGCAAGGAGCTTCTTGGCTGCAACGGGAGCGGGGTGCAATACAGCCAAGAAGCAGAGAAAATGAATCGACGATTAGGAGTAAGCCCTGAGTAGAAGCGGGAGGTGTCGTCACCGCCGAGATCGAAGCGCTCGTGTCTGGCGACCCGATTGGACTCACGCGCGAAAACTTGGGCCTTGCCATCGTAGACACACGCGATGCCTTGGAAAGGGTCGAGCGACTTGATGAAGTGCTTCCAAACCTCGCGATTGACGCGCGACGGACGTTTCGCATCTTCGGGACCAATCTTGAACTGCTCATCGAAAAAGCGGAAGGTGAGCACGGTTACATATTGGGACGAAAGGTCCCACCGCTGAATTGAACGAGGAAATGGGGAGGGGAGCGAAGCGATACCGAGCCAAGCGCGCGACCGCCGACCGGCAGCCTCAGCGCCAACATCCACGCCCGACAAAATCAAGTCCGAACCCAATCGAGAGCACGCCGGAAAGGGGCGTGTGAGAGGGGGCACGGCGAATAAAACAGACGAGAACTTACATCGTAGTGGTAGCACGTCGCTGTAGGCGGCTTAACCTTGAACGTGTTGACGAGGACGGGGAACGCGCGGCCGATGCTGCGAGGTGGGTGAACGTTGTCGTGAACGTGACGGCGAGGGGGCGACGCGTGGGATCGGGGCGCCGATGCAAAAGTCAACGTCAACCAGCAGCGTAATCGGAGCGAGGTTCGAAGAGCACAAAGACCGCATCAGTATGTTCACACAGCCACTTAGTATCTTCACGGTGGGGGCTACATTCGACCTACGTGCCATACCCCTGACGCTTCATGGGGCTGATCATGTCGGTGCTGGTGGCCATGATGCCGATGACGAGTGGCCCGGGCCAGCTGCGAAGACTCGCTCGGAGCTACTTGGGCGACGCAGACGAACGAAGACAGACGATACCAGAGAAGTGTAGGGATTTTTGACTGCGCTGGGGTGCACCGAGTGACAAGCGAGACTGGATCGGCGTCGGTGTCAATGCGATTTGGTCGACGTGGGGCACACCTCGAGTCGGTGCGGTGGGTGAGACAAAGGGGTGGGGACGCCGAGGCTACAAGTCAAAAAAAAGAAAAAAAGGCGAGCGAAATTGGGCGCGCGCGCCCGTCGTGGGCAAAATTACATTTGTGCAGGCGTGTTGTCTCCTGACTTCAGAGAGGAGTCATCCTCAGGAGCGCCTCTGACTATTGTGGATGCCACTTGATTCACTAGTTCTTCAACGTGAGCAATTACAAACCGCAGCGAGAGCCCGTATGAATCACCTCGATTGACCAGGCCGACGGTGATTGCATGTTTGACTTCGGTTCTAGCTCCCCAATTATCTTGACACATGATTGCGCAAGCCATCGGGGCGCGCAGGTGTGTTTGTGGATCATTACAACATACACGATACGAGTAGAAACAGTCATCTTCGAAAGCAAGCTTGGATCACCGAATCGGCGGTCGTTTATTGTTGGGGGGAAGCGAAAGGAGAGATAATGCTCGAGGCGGAGGTTCCAACAGTCTCTTTCCAGCGATCCAAACAACCGAATCTCCAGTCATGATCCACGTCCGTCAATTCGTTCTTGGGTAACGGATCTTTCGAATACGCGGGGCATTGGCAGTCGCATCCTAAACCTTTCTCTTGAGGACAGTGCATGAACCAGTCGTGCTGGTAGGCGAAATCTTCGAAACTGGCAAGCGGAACCAGTAAGTCGTCCCAGCGGCAATGCACCTCGTCCAAATGCCAGTCAAAAGATACCGTCGAGTCGACAATCAAGAAGCAACGCCACTGACTCACTAGTGAATTCGATCGACGTCTGAGAGAAGACCGAGAGCGAGCGAGCGAACAGGAGCGTCGCCCCACTGCAGGCACACCAACGGAGCAGCATCAGTACCCGATACCCCCCGAACCAGGCAACTTAGTCCCAGATACTGGATAGTGACCCACCCTTTCGGAAAAGAATCCGCCCTCTTGATCAAGCTCGTTGAAGACCGTTTGGTAAGGTTCTGACCGGAAAAAGCGCAGATCCCCGATCTAACCCGGGCGCCAAAAAAGAGGCCAAGTCAGCGACTGAGATATTAGTGTCCGTGGAATCGTCAACATACCTCAAAATTAGTCCAAAAGTGACATCCCGAGTATGCTCCTGGGTCCCCCTTCTTAAGCAAAAACTGCCACAATCGAGATCCTGGTACGAGCCCGTGCTTCTGGACGAGCTCAAGAATCGAGTCGAACAGCGTGGGGATTGTGTTCATGTTCTCGACGATCGTGATCACAAAACCGTAGATCTTGTGATTCAGCGCCATGAATCGGAACGGGTCGTAAGAGATGGTGCAATAGAAGCGAACTGGTGGGGACACATCGGAGAAGTGAGCGCCGATCGCTATTCTGTAGGCTCGAAATGGAACTCCAAAGGCACGTTGCGAGGTGTAGAGGTAGGATGGTACAACGTAGATCGGATGACTCACCACCAGGCTCCAGCCTCCAATACCAATCGTATTTCTGCAGAGCCGCGGTCCTAACCCAGAGCCCGGAGAAGTAACGACACATATGGTGGTAGCCTTCGCGCCCCGCATACTGCACGCCATCCTTCTGCTGCTGCTCAAAACCGCTCCTGACGTTCGCGACGTCCATTGTTTCGGGTATGCGCCAATACCGAGACTCTACGGTGCCCCACTCGACGATGGCCCCTTCGGGCAAGCTCGCGAGGACCTGTTCCCGAAACGAGGTCGAGAACGGAGGGTCGACTGGGGCGGTCAGAAACACGTATGCGTATCTAAACCGTTGGTTGAAGCGTTTCTCGAAGTTGTGGAGTGTCGGGAGGAGTTCGGCGAGATCCTGTTCTCGCACCAAGAGCGTGATCGCAGCATTCTCTCGAGGTTCGGTCACGACGATCTCGGGATTCTGGCAGCCGCGCACGGGCGAAGAAGTCGAAGTCGTGGATAGCGCGTAACGATGGGAATCAAGTCGACTCGTTCGCGGTGGGCTGAGCACCAAGGCGACATTGTCGGACAGCCACGGTGAGGGATGCAGACCGGCCAACGCGAGGACGGCAACCGTCAGGATCCAGGAGGCAATCGCCATGCGAGCTAGAAGGCGAACGGGGAGGGTCTCAATGTACGATTCGAGAGTGAAGCGGTGTGAATCTATAGGTATGACTATGTCGACAGCATGTGGCATCGCGTGTCGCCTGACCCTCGGACACTCGGCTCGCAGTGAGCCTGCTTGCGCACGGTCCGAGCGGATCGCACCAGCATCAGCTCAACTCGCTTGATCTGAACCGCAGGTGGTGACCGAGATCTTTAAATAGTAGCGTACCACACGTAAGACCGTCGACGCTATCCGAAAGCTTGCGTTGCAGTGTGCCCCTTGCATCAGCACCACGTTGCTAATCGCTCGGAACTCCCGAACGGCCGGATCGGAACTCGCGAACGCGATCCTGGCTTTACCGAGTGGAGAAAAAGGGGTGGTTTACGATGGCGAAGATGGAATCCCGCAATGGCAGCGTCCCCTCGAGTGGTGAGGCTGAGTCGTGGGTCAGGGATAGGGCCACAAGAAAGCCGGAGTCGCTCGTTTCGGTATGAGCGAACGACCGACCTTGTCCATCCGTGTTCCCCTTCTCGCGCTCGGACCTCATCTCGAGAAGAGTCCTCGTTTGACCTACGAAACTTGACAAGCTGTTCAACTAACTAGCCACATAGCCGGAGGTACTCCACCTTGTGTTCTTTCGGAATTGTAGAAGAATGTGACCAGTGCAATATCGTCGACAGTGAATCAACGTGTCTTATGACGTCTCTTAAGTCTCTTTCCCTCAAGTCGCTTTTATTAGAGTTTGGGACACCAGTGGGATCCCGTTAAATTAACGGGACTATGATTCCGAATAGCAGGAGAATTGAACGGTATAATGACGAAAGACAGCAGAGAAACTATTTTTCACTCATCGCGGCCAAGACTTGGCGAGGTTGCAATGGCCCTCCTTGGCGACCTTAGCCTAGGACCGCCGGGACATAGTGGCGAGGGTTTCTCCTTGAATGAGTGTCACAAAACTCGACGAGAGTGGGAGAGAAAAAGAAAAGGTTAGAGGGAGTGGCGCGGGTTTGTTCACGGGGTGTGATTTGTTGTTCAGCACCTAATGCCACTGACACTTACACCGCTGGCGCGCCGCATCACGTGACAGACGCCACCCCTCGCCCGGCCCGTCGGGCGGAGCTCTGCTGTAGAAGCTCTGTTATATAAAGCCACGCGCTTACCGCCCATTAAATACAATATAAGTGTTCGCACTGTTTTAGGTCAACGAAAAAGTGAAGGAAAATACTGGGAACGCTGTAGCTTCGTTCGACTGGTGTGAAAAATACAAAAGGTGCCACAGAGCTTGTACATGACTTCTGATCGGAACATGGACACCACAGGCAGGTGCGGCAGACACAACAGTATGCTGGTACATCCACCACAGGCGGCCCTCCGGGCCGCCACCTAGTTAAAAACAGTGATTTTACCTACATTCCTTAACTCACCTTTTTTTATATATAGAGGTAGTAATCTCTGCAGCGACAGAACGTGCAAATTTGGAAGTCTAGGGCCGACGAATGGCAATTATTATTATACGCGTTCGGGTGAGCCTGAAAAACTACAAAGTAGGAACCGAGATCGCTCAAGTTTTTCTGGCTGTGCTACCCCACCATGTTATTTTTCCTTGCGTGGCCGGCGCCGACGATCGGCAATCGATCGATTGAGCCCAGCAGGCGCCGCGCTGCGCTGCTATAAGTGCTAACTGCCATGTGTAAAGTGGCACTGGTAGACACGCGCCGGGGTGGTTATTGCAAGCTTCTCTTTCATAGTCGGTAATTGACGCAAAGTCCATCCCGGGTTCCCCCTCGGCTGCTCGGCTTAAGCATTTCTTTCGCTACTAGTAGCCTTCGACGACTTGAGGCGCGGGTCCTCAAAAATGAATGTGTAGAACGTATACCTAAGTAGTCCGCATCACAGTCAGCAGCCAGTTCTCAGCACTTTAGTACTGACAGTTTTGTTTTGTAACGGCTCAATTCGATTCCCCTGGGACCGCAGTAGGAGCCCCCAGTGCCTCTTGCGCGTGCGCTTGCAGTGCGCTCGCTTTCAATTGAGTCCAGCCACCGGCGCGCGCTGGCGCGCGTGGATCCAGTCCGAGATCGGAGGGTGTGAGTGTGTGGGTCTCGACCAGTCTCGACCCTTGTAAGACCGCCAGACAGCTCGCGAGAGCTCGCTTGAACACCCCTCGAACTTACCTCCCGTTTTCGCTGCTCCTCGTGTGTGGTGCACATACAACTCCCACGACAACCTCACGCCGACTTTAGTCCAGCTTGTGTTCTCCGACCACTCTTCCCTGCCCACACCCTCCCGTCGCCTGCGGGATGCAGCATCCGCCTCCGGCGCCTTGGTCTCCGACTGGCCCCAGCGGCTCGAGTCGTCCTGGTCACGCACCACACCATCACCCAGCCTCGGCCGCTTCGACGTCGGCGTCGGCCTCGTATACCAACAAGCCGCTAGCCCCCCTGCGGTCGTTGCCATCGTTCGGTAGTCCCAATGAGTTCCCGAATCCACCCTCGCACTACTTCCCGTCGCGGCCCCGAGCGGTGCGAGCCAAGTCGCCGCCGACGAGATCGGACGCCGAAACAGTGATCAAGCCTCGCCAGCCCCGTTCCGCGCCGCTTGCAGATGGTCCTACGAGCGTCGAAGCAAGCAGCGGCCCTCGCAAGGCCGGCTCAGCATCGCACGGGAACGGGAATCCGAAAGCAAATGGGGTCGTCGCAGGCCACACTACCTCATCCGCTCGCTGGGAGAGGGCCGGCTCAGCAACTCGCGACGAGCTCGACGACGGTCACGCTATGGATGCGGACGGTGAAGGCGACGACGACAGCGAGAGCGTTGCAGACGTCGGTGGGGATCGAGATGATGACGGAGTAGATGAAGGAGAAGGCTCGTCGTCGCATAATGCAAAGCGAGGTGCATCCGGTGCAGCTGGATTCGAGAAGGACGGCGCAAAGAAGCGCAGTCGAACCTTGACTTCGGCCCACCAAACGGCCGTGCTCAATTCTTTGTTGGCCAAGGTGCGTACAGAATGCTCCACGACCGCGAGTCGACGACGTCACAAAGTTCAATCCGGGAACTGGACCGCTCACTTTTGGGCATCGCACATCCCACAGACCCGTTTTCCTTCGACCGAGACTCGGGAAGAGGTCGGAAAGCAGATTGGCATGTCAGCGAGGCGGGTCCAGATCTGGTTTCAGAACGTGAGTCCTTTCCTGGGACTTCTAATTGATCTAGTGCCTAGATGTCTCCTCGGACCTGACACTAAATGTTGTTGCATGGCCCCTTTGCGATCCTAGCGCCGTCAATCGCAAAAACGCGTGCGAGATCGGGAAGCAAGCGAGATGGGGGCAGCATCAACATCGAGCTTGCCTCATCATGAATATCAGCGCAACGAACCTTATACTCGCTATGGTGCCCCGCCCGCCTCATCAGCATCTTCCAGTTCCACGGCGCGGCCGAATCTCTCCCGTCAGGTCTCGGCGGAGTCCAACAGCTCGTTCGCATCAGCATACTTGACTCGCTACCCTCGTGATCCGCTCTCACCGCTTTCCGACGGTCCTCCTCGATGGTCAGGCGGCTCTACAGGCCTCGTCACCGGAGCTGGCTACGCCGGGTGGCTGAACTCGTCACCCGAGAGGCGCCCTCCGACCGGGACCTACTCCAGTAACCACATACCAGGCAGGCACCAGGCAGGCCCTTTCCCCGGACCCCCGGCCAAGCTCCCCGCGACGACCGATGGGGCCGTCCGTCTACCATCTCTTTCTGCAGTGCTGGGACCGGCGATAGTAGACAGCAATGCCGAGCGGACAGCCTTCGCCTATTCGCACCCGCATTCGCGAGGTCCGCCTCTTCCATCGTCCGCTGGTGCGGGACTTCCAGAAGACCCGCCTATTGGCTCGGTAGCACAGGGGACGAACAACCGGCCGTTCGACGACTTCTCTCGTCTGCGCATCTCGAATGATGGCCCCTCGCAGTGTGAGCGCCGTTCTTCTCCTCCCGACATCTTGGACGCCGCCATGGAGACGATGTTCAGGCCTGCGGCTTTTCCGGCACGATCCAAACTCCCCCCTTTGCGATCGACGCTGGGTCTGGGAGCGCCGCTGTCGGAGCATGAGTTTACCCAACGGTCATCAGAAGCGGATGCCGCCCTACTTGCGCCAATTCGGCCCGCAGAGAAGACCCACACTTTTGCAACGCGACTACCGCCCATTTCGGCATTAGCGCTCGCCCCCTCCAATGTCTTTCCCTCAGCTCCGCGGACCCCTGGGTCAGCTTCGCACCGTGTCGCACGGTCTTCTGTCTCGTCGTTGGACACGCTCGGCACTTGGTCTGCTGGCGTGGGTGCACACGGCCAGGTGCACAACAATGCGAGCGCTGCCAGCAGCGCCACGTCCAGAACAAGTTTCTCGAGCGAGGTGCAAGAGGAATGGGACCGAATGACGAGTGGTGTTGGGCGCAAAGTGAAGACCGCGGAGGTCAGTTTGACTTCCCAGCCCAACAGTCGACGGATACCGAGCGGATTCTCAAGCCGCGAAGTCCGGATGGGCTCGCCATGATCTTCTGTATAGGGTCTTCTGTCCTCGCCTCTTTGGGGGGAGTAGCGAGTTAGTGTTCTGTCATATCCTGTCAATGTACTTTATGATTGGCCAATCTGGTGATTCACTTAGATCAACGCGTTGCTAAGTATTAGCTTAGGAGCAAGTGGTCTAGGACTGTTTAGGATGATGCCCAGAATGCATTCCCTCCGATTTTTTCAAAGGTGTTTAGGTATCAATATAAGTATACTGTCAATGAAATCTATCAATCAATATATTTTTTTAAAAAAATAAAAAAAAAGGGGGGGGGGACCGATTCGAGCCAAGCTCTGCAGTTCACTCTCTCCTCCTACCCTCCCACCCGAGCTCGCGAGGAGACAGCCTCGCATCGTAGTGACCAGTGGCACCAGCGTCGAGTGTCAACACTTCATATCTGTTGGAATATTTTTGCTATGTCGGCCAAGCCCTCCAGGTGAGCTGCAGCCACGGTCAGGAGTAGTGTCTACCATTGTGCGGCCGTCTTCCGATGTCCGATGTGGGGCTGGCCCGTCAGCTGTCCATCGCCCACCCCCGACTGACCAACCCCACCTTCGATGGTCCCTCAGGAGCAACACCACAGCCGATGTGCTGCCCTTCTTCTACTTCCACTTCTTCACTTTCGTCGAGCCCTTGCTCACCATCTTTGGATCCATCTATGCGACCTTCTCGCCGCTGCAATACTTCAAAGAGCTCGTGCCGATCGCCGTCGCGAGCCCTCCGCTCGACGTCAACGTGCATCGCGCCGGTATCATGGCCGTTCGACAACTCGGGTCGTGCTTCTTCCTCCTCGCGTTGATCGGGTCCGTCTTCCTGCGCAAAATGGCCACCACGCTCAAGGACCAACCGCGGATCCTCGAGTCACTCGTCGCGAGGTACCTCTGGTGCCTCGCCGTTGCTGATCTAACTCATATCGGATACACCTTGTTCGACGTCGGAACTTATGTAGCCATTCGGCCCTCTCTGTGGAACCAACTCGTTTTCGGCAACGTCGCCATCACTTCGTTTTTGTTTGTCGTTCGCCTCGCTTGGTTCAACAAGATTGCAAGAGATTCGGCCGCTCCAAGCGAGAACAAGAAACGGGCTTAACTTTCGACTGTATACTTAAAACGTCGAATCCGTCTTCTTGCAATTGCATACAACAAGGGAGACGCTGTTATTTGCTGATACCAGTCGTCCTCTTGCATTCTCAATCCTGGCTGTCTAGGCGCTCTTCTCGCAGTCCTTTAGCAGCCCAGAAAGCCGCTTTCGCGGATTTGTTCGACGCAGCAGCACTGTTCTTGCTAGCGGGTGGCTGTGGCGACAATCGTTTCGATAAGGAAGCTCTTGACGCAGGAGCACCGACCAGTAAATCACCTCCGCTGCCTCCGAGCATGACATCTTGATCGTCGTGGTCACTCGACACAGAGCTCCCCTCGTCGACCTCCGAGGCATCCTCGTCTGATGAACCTCCAATGTACATCGTCGGCGCCGGCACCGCGGATGATAGCTGTAATTTGGGAGATGTGATCGCGTACCTCGACTCTTCGTACTCCTCCTCATCATCATCACCGACGCCGCGCAGATCGATCGTCTCCACGTCGCCAGCGGAGCCCCTATCTCCAACGACATCGAAGAGGAAGTCCCCACCCCCTGCGCCAATGTTTTCGTGCATCTTCTTGATCTTCTTGGCTTTGCGCTCTTCGCTCCTTCTCTCGAGCTTCATCGTCGTCTTCTCCCTCTTGTTCTGCAGCCGCACTTCCTTTCTCAGTTTCTTCATCTGCTTTTTGGTCAAACCTTGTCCAGGATTCGTCCCCATCGGGTTTTTGACCCCGCCGGGCGGAAGCTTCTTCAACAGATCCTGTAGGACGCCTTGCTCGTACAGCCTGAGATTATCGCGCCTCGCTTCAATCGCCGCGCTGGTCATGCCGATGATGCTGCCCAGTATCGACGTGCGCAATGGATCTTCGCCTTTCCCGACCGCATTGGGAAGAACCGAACCATCCAATGCCTCGGTCTTGCGACCCTCCTTCTCCGTCGCGTCTCGTCGTGCATTGAAGACCGACACCCTTTGGTAGATGGTCGCCGTCAAGCTTTCGTAGCCGCCACTGAGCGTCTGCCGGACCCGAACAATGCCGTGACTTCCCCCCGAGACGTCATTCGAAGGATCATTGGGATCCTCGATCGAGAGCAGGTAAGGCTGGTTCGGGCGGTACCATCCTTTGTCGTGCTTGTTGAAATAGCCTCCACGATGGCGGAGCGTGATCCCTGTGAGGTCAAAGTTGAACTGTCGCCCGTAGTAGTCGAGAAGTTCGACGAAAAGCAGGCCAATGTTGCGCGAGGGTTCGATGGTCGAGACTTGCATTCTGGGATGAAGCTGGGGTGTTTTGGAAGTCGGAGCGTTAGCGTGTGGAATGGGAGCCACGACGTGAGCCACCAGCTACTCTTACTTGAAGGAATGAGATGACCAAGCAGATGATGGAGTAGCTGCCTAGGCCACCGGTAAAGACCTCGTTCATCCCGCGCTGGTTCAAAAAAGCCTTGAGCAATAGGACCAGGCTTCTCGCGACGCCGTGATCGACAATGTGGGGGGCGATGGATTGGTCCAAGGAAGGGGCATCGGGGTCCTGGACTTTGCTCTTCTCTTCCAATGCTTGTTCTTTTCCTTTGCCTTTTCCTCTGCCATTCTTCTTGCCATTTTCGTGCGCTGAAGAGGAGCCGCTTGTCGAGTTTGCCCCCGGCTCAATGTATCCAGCTTCACGAAACGAGTAGTCCTCAAGCATCTGCCTGACTCGAACGGCGGCTTGGACTCCACTTTCCTGGTTGACGCTCAGATCGACCGAGAATCCACCAAACCGGGTCACGAACTTGACGATCGGGACCCTCGCTTTGGCGATGACGACGAGACTAGTCGGTTCTGCCAGACTCGAATGAAGCAACAGGGAGGCGAGGCGATGCAGCAATGCGCTCGAAGGCTTGAGAGGCGGGGCGGGCATGGTGGGACACAGCACGACGAGATCGATATCTCCACCGGGGAGATAGAGGCCTGTTCCGACTGAGCCGAAGCATTCGACATCGGCGTCAGGCCACATGGATTGGATCGTTCGCCGGACGAGTTCGACCGTCCATATCCGCAGCTCGTGTTCGATCGGGTTGGGTGAGATGTATTCGATGAAAGCATGGGCCTCCAGGTTCAGCCTGTGCAATTCTGGATGTCAGCTATTCTGCAATCCTGCCCTCACGCGCATCGATCGCAGCGAGCACTCACATTTCAATTGCATTCGTCGCCTTGTCCCAATCAACGCCCGGTGTTTCGCACCACGGCATCGTTCTCCCCTTTTCTCGCCGTCGCAAGTTGGAGGTATCGTCCTCCCTTTTCTGCTCGTACTCATCAAGCTTCCTCTTGTGCGCGGCGACGGTTGGTGTCGTGGCCCGACTGGATCGGTTCGAGCGCTGAGGAGTTTCTCTTCTGCGACCGGATCCAGACCTTGCCCCGCGTCGATGGTCCGAGTAGGACGGTGTCGGGGGTGCGATTTCGTCCGATTCGAAGTCGAACGAGATGAAATCCATCTGCTGCTCAAACTGAGCGCGAGCGGCTGAATCCGGCGTCGAGGTCGTTGCGGTCTCTGGCATGAATGGAGCCGACTTGGACGTTTGAGGGGTCGAATGAGACGGAGTGTTGTGCGGGGAGGTCGCCGTCGAAGCTTGAGCTTGGGCCATGGCGCCATGAACGGCTTTGGACAGCAACGAAGAAGGATTGCCGGATCGGGATGGCGCCGTCGGAGTGCTCGCGGTCGCTTTTAACGATGACGATGACGGCGACGACGGCGACGACGGCGACGACGACGACGATGTTGCTGCTCGTCCTGCTTTGTCAACACGCGTCTTTTTGGTAGGACGAGTCACGGCAGGTGAGGCCTCAGTACCATTGATAGTCGGTGTGGGATCGATTTGTAACGGCTCTGAGTCGGCCAAGTCGGCGTAATCGACCGACGAACGCGAGGCCATCAGGAACGTCGAGCTTCGTGGATCGGTTGCGAAGTTTGCCCCAGGCTTGCGGAGGAGGCAAAGGAGCTCGTGGGTAGTCGGAGGGGAAAGCCTAGCTTGTTTACGAATCGAAAGGATGTCCAAGCTCTTGTGGTGATGATGAGAAACGGTGACACTCCTTGCGGACGCACGCGAGCGCTTTGAACACGAGTTCCCGAAGCGCGATGCGGCCGTGACCTGCTGTGACGGTCTGACCAGGACCCCCGAAAGCCCAGCCATAGGCGGCCCTCTAAAAACGGCGTTTTTCGAGGCAAAATGTCCAAATTTTTTCCCGGATTCTGACTGAAAATTTCCAAGTATGAGGGCCGCCTCAAAACTACTCTACAAGCTGTACAATGCTCAGAATTTTTTCTGCGCTACGCGCAGACTGCATTCCCGCCGCGCGCGGGCGGGAAAGGTTGCACGCGCGCACCAAGCACCCAGACTCTGAGCCCAGAGCGCCGCCAGCGCGACCGCGAACGAGCCTTTTTCGAAATGAAATGGACTCGAATAGGATCTCATCTTTGTTTATTCATTTGTCATTTGATGAATTTAAATGACACTATAATCTACATCTACTTAAAAGAATGCATGACAAAATAAGGTTCACAGCCGGGCGCTATATCCTAATACCTAGAAATCTCTGGGGAAGTCGGAGGAGATGCAGTTGAGCACACTGGCGAGGCCAGTAGTGTAGGACTCATTGACCCTGAATCAGAAGCAATCATGCCCACCAAATCCCCCTTGGGTGATTTACAGAGACAAGGCGAGCCTTGGACTCCTGAGTTGAATTGACGCCCGGAGCTCTTCGAGTGCCATTTCGGTGATCGGTTCCAAAGAATTCGACGAGAATCGGCGCCGGCGAACCCTGTGAATCTATCGACCGACTAGGAAAGGAAAAAAAAAAATCTCGGCGAGAGAGCTTCCAGATCGAAAGGAAGAAGAGGAGACGTAGCTCGACAAGTCGCCGTTCCGAGCGAGAGACGATCCAAAAACGATAAACGATCGCAAATGTAAGGGAATGCCTCATAGGAACAGCCCCATAAGTAGCCTCTTGAGTAGCTAGAACTATCGAGTTCTAGTTACAACTTGCTTTTAGCCTAGCGGTCAAGAACGACAGATTGTATTTTATGCACATCAGAGGCGCATACCTTACAGCAAATGCAGACACTAACGCGCTCCAAACGCAAACAGCGCGCCGCTGGGCCGGCTATAAGCCCTGCGCCTCCAGCCTCCTGCTACCCTGGTCTGCGCTTCAAAGTTCGACCGGAGGGAGGAAAATGTCCAAAAATGAGGTGAGCCTTGACCCATTTTGAGCCAAAAATGTCCAAATTTGTGGGCTGCCTAGCCGATTTTCCGGTCCCCAGAATGTCCAAATTTGCGGGCCGCCTCTGGCTGGGCTTTCCGGGGTCCTGTCTGACCTGGTCTGACGGTGACACTCGGGGTGCGCGGAGGTTTTCACCCAACCAACTTTTCTGGATTTTTCAAATCCAATACAACACTTCCAAAACCACAAATTCCCAACTATCTAGTACTTCTTAAACACTCCCTTCTTTGACTTGGTCAGAAATTTTTCTGAGGACTACATGTGCTATAGCGCGATAGGGTCTTGAGATGATGATCTCTCTCTCTCTCTCACTACGGTGACGCGCTCGCCGGCGCTCGCTGTCAGGCAAAGGGTCGAGCTGCTGGTCCGAGCGCGAGCGTGCCCGAGCCTCGCCAAGTTGGCTCAAAGTGCGTTCCCTCCAGCTCGGCTCGCTCTCAGTGCGACACACCCCGTATCGACCTTACGTCTCTTGCTGCAATTGGAATCGACAAGGGCTCGACGCCTCGGGGAGTTTGTGCAGCTAGCGATGGTCAAGCTCAAGCGTGCTCGGTCACGTTCTCCGTCGCCGTCGCTGGATCGGGAGCAAAGTGGCGGCAATGACGATGCTGGCAGTGCTTCGACATCCACGTCCACCTCGAAGCGCCGCAATCGTCACCAACGACTGCGATTCAAACAACACCAACATGCACCAGCAACGCCGGCAACAGCCTCCAGCACCGCCTCCTCCACCGCAGCAACCCATCGACGGCGGGCGGCCGCTCCAATCGCGCCAGTGCCCTTGACAATTCTGCCGACACTGCCGACGCTGGAGGGATCGCTCGCTGAAGAGATCGTTCTGCGCTGTCTGAGCTACCTCGACGTACACGATGTACTCAACTTAGCCACCGTCAGCTCGGGATGGTGCAGGCTGACCCATGACAACCAGGTGAGTCATACCCATCCAGATCGTCGAACTCATCTTAAGCGGAGCTGATCTGATTATTCGTTCAAAACCAACAGCTCTGGAAGCAGCTCTACACCAGGACGTATGCACCCTCAGCAACATCTCACACATCTTCGACAGCCTCATTCTCGCGACCGTGGAAAGATTTGTACAAAATCTCGTTCAATTGGAGACGGGGCCATGCTCGAACGAGCGTATTGCGATCCTCCGTCCGCAAAGCCATCCTGCCACCTTTGCCCCTGACGATCGACGATCCAAATGAGGGGTCCCACACTACGGGGGCAGGTACTGAGACGCCTTTGAATCGACCCCACCCCCGCGTTGTTCGGCCATTCGCATACCCACCGACCGCGACAGCTCGGAGTCGAGTGTCGCCCAACTCGGCTTTGCAGAGCAACACCCTGGTCCAGTTCTACCGCAATATATATTTCATCGGCTCCCGATCGACACATCCATCCTCAGTCATCCCACCGGTCCAGGTTCAGCAGGCCCTCCCGGATGGTTCTACCCTCTTACTCGGAGAGATCATATCGCCGAATCTGTTCGCTTCGTACCAACAGTCGTCGGCAGGCTTCAGACCTGCCGTCTCGATTACATCGATACAACTTGACGAGGCACCCAACACCTCGTTCGATACAAGCCACCAAGTCGAACTCGCTGTCTTTCTGTCGACTGGTCAATTCTCCTTATTCTCCGTCACGCTCCCAAACTCGACAGCTCCCTTCGAATGGCAAGAGGTACATACTTCCCCGTTAACCACGGCATCGACCATGGCTCAGTCATTCGATCCCGTTGTTCTCGCCAGATACCATGGGGCTCTCCTGGCCACATGTTCGAGGTCATTCGTGCTGCGGTTCTACCATGTCATCCGTCGTCCAGCAGCAGACACCTTCGGAGGATCGCTTGTGATCGAGGCTTCGGATCGACTCCAGACGACAGAATCATGGGCACCCGCCAGTCTTTCCCTCGAAAAGCTACCTGACCCCTTCGTCTTAGATACCTACGATTATCGCAAGCGATCGAAAGCGTCGTCTCTGCCTCAAGCGTTCAAACTTGTCCTCGCTTATGCGACTCCCATCTTCCCGGATTCGTGGTCCGTCGGCGTGCAGCAATTCGAGGTGACCCTCACCCCACACCATGATGCCATGAACCTTTCAGGCATCATGATCAAGTCTCAGCACGCTGTCGCGCGTCTTGCCGCCGGCATGTTCGCGTCACCGACTTACCCGCATCCTTCCTCTTCGCGGGCGTCGTTGGTGACTGCGATCGAGCACTTGGGCGATCACGTCGTTATCTCACGAGCGGACAACACTTTGGATGTCTACCTCCTCACCGCGGATCCGAAAACGAAGCAGCTTGGCATTCAACATATCAAGACTCTATTCGGGCACACAGCAAGAGTTTCGAGTCTGGCATTGGTGCCGGGCACTGGAGATCGCGTTTCTGCAGCTGCGCCGGCGACGTCCTCGACCTTGCGCACGGCGCGTGAGCATGATCTGCGCAACAGCGTGTCGGCAGGCCAAGTCGTCAGTGCGAGTGAAGATGGCAAAGTGAAGATCTGGAATCTTGGGCCACCCTGCCGAGATTCGAAGCGCTCCACCAGTGTAGTTTCCTCGGCACCCATTGACGTCACAGAAACCGAACATACGAGCCTCTCTTCCGAAGAGTCGAAGGACCGAGCGCCAGGGGTGTTGACATGGGTCCAGCTTGCTTCAAAGCGTTCACAGAGGCAGCGTGAGACCGTGGTCCGCGTGGCTTTGGACATGGAGAAGATTGTGACCGTCGTCAGGAGAAGGGGAAGAGCCGGCAATGGGGACGAGGCGGACGGGGAGGAGGAGATGATCCGGATCTTGAGGTTCGATTGAGAGCCGCTATGTAGATTTTTTCTTCTTGGAGTGCGTTGGAAAATTGCTGTTGTGTTATTACAGTGGTTTGTGATTGTTGTTATTTGATGATGTTTCAAATTCGGAGCTCGGACCTCTGGTCGCGGTACCGGACGAAGGCGATTTTTCGCCGAGCAATAGGACGTCATCTACTATCGAACAAAGTTTCACTCCAGTGGGCAGGCAATCACTTCGAACAAATCGATCGAGGCGTAATACATCCGCCACACCCCATATCTAGAGAATGTCCGAGTTGTGTTCGGTATTCTGCCTATTACGCTGCTGTGGGACTTGCCTCCAGAGTCCACAGTGTACCTACTTCCGCGACGGCCGGAGTGCCTCTTCGCAGCTCTTAGCGCCGCGGCGATGATTGGTCCCCGTCAGGCGGGTGCGCTAGTCCTGCAGGGCCAACCGGAGGCGGTCGCGGCTCGCCTCAACAGGCCTCGACTAGCCTCGACTCAGCTCCAGGCACACCTCGGGGGAGTGGACAAGGCCAGACTCGAAAACGATCAATGAATTTGGCTTGGAGCATCAGCAACTTTACCACTTCCCGATGCGCGGCTAGATCTGTCTTAAATGACTTTACCGCTCACAAAATGACCGGATCGTCTGAATCGTTCTGAATTGTTCCGGATCGTTCTGGAAAGTGTCTAGATCTACCACTTCGTCACACTTCGTCACACTGAAGTAGCAACTTGTGCAATGAATTGTCTTCGCTGTCACGGTCTTATACACACTAGTCAAAGTCTTATACCACACGGCCGGCAGTAGTGCACATATCCTGATGTAGTCATTGCAAACACAGTCATTTTTTTTTCCAGCAAGTGGGTGCCATTAATCGGAGCATACACAAGTATGTACTGACATTTCAAATGCTATATAGGGGCTCTTTTATACGTCGGCCCACCCGCCGCACGTTGCTCCGCATCACCCCTCCCTCTGATCTTTGAGGATATTGACAAAACTCTCACCAATATACCAGTAGTACAGAAAAAGCATTGGAAGTCATTTTCGGGTTTGCATTGTACAGAAAAAGCATCGAAAGAAATCTGACCCTCGCGGACCGACTTGAGCGCCGTCCGTTCCAATCACCTTTCGTCCGCTGAGAGGCCGAAGACGAAAGGTGATATCAGGTGACGACTATTGAGTGGTTAGTTCTGGCTAAAGAGAGTATTACAGTCTCCAACATTTTCGCTCCGCAAGGCCAAGAAGGGTGGGTCGCGCTTGCCTGCGTCGAGCCCACCCGTACGCGCGCCTAGGGTGCCTCGTGCGAATAGGTGCCTGCGTCGACGACTCAGGACGACTCGAGACGACTCGTCCTCGACGCGCTCGTTGGCGTGCGAAGGTTTCGTTTACTCGCGCCTTTCCCTCCTGCCCTTCACTGCTTTTCGCCACCTTCACGCCAGCGTCCCCTACTCGACGCTCTCCTCGATTCTTGTTATCACCCATCCACATTCCAACAGGTCACCGTGATCATGCCACTACGCAGGGTGGTGAGGAGGATGCTCAAGTGGAGGTTGCAGTCGCCAATGAGGCGGCACAAATGAGCACCTAGTAAGTCGGTCCTATACCATCTGTGCCAATAGGCCTGCTACTTTTGATAAATGATCTCAGATAGGCCCAAGCGTAAACGCGCTCGCACCGCCTCGGCTAACTCAGGGGCTCAACCATTGTCGAAGAACTGACGTATCGCAAAGTCGGTTACAGCTACAGCAAGACAGTCTGCTTACTTCTCACACTGGCCGGTGGTATCTTGGTCTCGTGACATGGCTTACAGCTCCTACCTTGAAGCCTCGATCGCTAGTACTGCCGCCGCCGCCGTCGAGCCTGACTGGGTGAAATCGCTTGTAGCGATGCCAGGAGTCGTATTCGCCGGCAGACGACTTCAAAGGGACGACCTGTCCGACGACAACATCGAGATTGATCCTCTCTTACTGTCCGATGAAGACAACATTTACGAAGATGCTGCTGTTCACGATGACCTCGACGCAGACGATGGCGGCGACGATGGCGTCCTCGAGTGGTGCCCAAGGTGAGTGCGCACATCCACAACAACAATTGATTACAGTCGTACATCAACCCAATGCTAAGTGCTAGCCTCTGCTCGATACGTGAATTCAAATCGCGCAGAATTTCGAAAGGGACAACTTTCGAAAGGTTAGATGACCGTGCCCCCTGAGCTGGCTTTGAGCTTGTTCTGACGGACACGGTTAGCAACAGATGCAGGTCCCCGCCGCGTTCCTCCCGCACAAGGCCACTCCATCTCGAGGGCGCCCAAAGCGCGCACTGTTCTTGGTGAGGATGACAGCGCGTTTGCAGTCCACCCCTCACCTTTCTCATCTCACCCCACGGGCGCCATCGTGAAGTCGACGCCATCGTCGACCCGGTCGCAACATCATGTGCACTACCCTCAGCTGACCCCATGGACAGTTGCAAGCTCACCTACTGTTGCGACCAGCCCTGCTCCTTCATTGGACGGTGGTAAGCCCTTCGCCTATGGCGGCAAACCTTTCCTCGCTCCGCCCTTGGGTCGTCCGTCACGGAGCCGCCGAACCCGCGCGTTGGACAACATGACGCCAGATGAAGACAAGGTGGCCGGCATATGGTGCAAGCACGAGTTTGCGCAAAGCATCCGCCGCAGATCTGGACTGTGGGTCATATCCCACTGAAGTCCGTTAACCGTTGGACCAAATTGCTACAAAGCTTCCGATCGCGTCCTTCACCGTCAATGATGTCATCGTTGCCACGGTAAGTTACATGTTTGCCCGGAGATTCAGAAACACCTGCTGCATCATCAGTTCATTCTAACATGAAAGGGCCTCTGACATTCCATGCAACTTCTTGCTGGCTTTAGCTGCGGTGCGTGCTGGGCAAGTTGCTTTACACGGCGGACAAGTTCTCTGCGGAGGTCTACGGACCAGTCGTCTTCAAGATCATGGATCACTGCTATGATGGTTCGTATACCTCGATTACAGGTGTGTCATCGCAATGTGTGTGGACTAGCGTCGCAGCTTGGGTTGGGCACAAAGAACTTCGTCGATTGACGGAGGCCCGGCTGACGCCGCCGCTGAAGCGGCTTCGTTCGGATTTGCCTAATTTGTGCTCTTAGAAGAACGTAGAGTCTAACCCCCTTCTCTGTAAATGCAATGCGATCATACCATTGTACATAACCCTACCTGAATATGTCATAATTGGTCTGAAATGGCACTGGAAATGCTCTGGAAATCCACTGGAAATGCTCTGAAAGCTCTGGAAGCGCTCTGAATGCCTGAATTTCCAGACAAAATCTAGAGCAATCTAGCAGCGCAGGGCTGAATGCGCTTTACGCGCTTTACGGCTGAATTGTTCTAGATCGGCTCTGAATTGCTCTGAATTGTTCTGAAGCGCGCGTGGTAAAGTTGCTGATGAGGCTATTACCCACTATTGGCCTCCACGCTCGTACCTCTACCTTCAAGGTTCACATCAACCCCACCATCCCGCCAGCATGTCGTTGATGATGTTGGGGGGTACATCGTACATCACCGACGACGACCTGACCTCGCTCGAGCTGTACTCGCCGCGCACCGACGTCGACGCAAGCTGCCCCGATTCGCGCCCACCCACAGCTTCGTCACATGATCGGATTGACGGCGGCCGAGTTGCAGCTGCGACGGGCGCATCGGCTACCTCCGCGAACGCTCACACCCCGCCGACCTCGCAACCGTGCTACAGCGAGAAGCCACTGCCTCCGAGGAAGCAGGTTTCGTTCTGCCCCTTGGCATTGCTGATTGAATGCGCGGCCGACTGCAAGATCACCAAGGCCGCGTCAACAATCGTTTGCGGAGCCGGCGGCAACTCCAGTTCGAATAATGCGGGGCGGATAGCAGCAGCGGCCGGCGCCACCGCGAGCGTCGCCACAAGCACGAACAGCGACTACGCCTTCGCCATAACACCTACATCCCCTGTTACGAGCGCGGCAAACAGGAACAAGCCCAGAATCGGCGTCAAGACGTATTGGTGAGTGCTGCCTTGATTGACCAAGAGGGGGTGCTTGGTGGGATCCACGCCTGCGGTTCGAGGAGCACCTGAGCTGACTGTATGCTGTTTCACACCTGCTACTCGGAACCTTCCCTGCCCTTGAATTGCGGGTCTCCCACTCACTGCGCTCTTCGGTTACCCAATCTGACGATTTCCCCCTCGACCGTCAACCCTTTTCAGCCTCGACCTCCCCAATGCTTCGAAAGCGACGGCCAAAGCATGGCAGGCGGTCTGTACAAATCTTTCGACCGGTCTCCAACCGCTCCTCTCCCCTGGCGCTGGGTCTGCCGGATCCAGGAATACCGTCACCTACTCCTCCAACAGAGCAAGAGAGTCATCCCCCGAACGTGACCAGGATCGAAAAATGCTTGCCCGGTCGCGCTCAGATTCGGCTTCGTCCCTGGGATCGAGTCGGGGATCATTCTCGTCGACGGGCAAGTACGACCTTGACGACGAGGATGAGGACGAGAGACACGGTCGAACAGGGGACGTGAGCCATTCACCCGGCTTCATTCCTAATGCTCCGTCGCGAATCACGATCAAACTGCCCAGTTTGCAGCGGAGAGGGACCTTGCCGTCGTCCGGATCATTGTGTCCCATTCGGAGTTGTCTCAAAGCACGATCCGCATCGGAGTCGTCCTCGAAATCTTGCCAGACCGAGCCCGACGTCGAATCTCCCACTATCGCTTATCCGTCAAAGCTCTCTACATTCCCAACAGCAATCGCATCCCCTGCCTCTTCGCGGACAACGCGCTCGACCCCCTGTATCTCCCCCGTGGAATCTGCCCCGATGGCACATCGAGCGCTCATGGCCAGCCACCTCTCTCCCGACCGGCACGCCCTAAGTATCCCTCTCACCGACTGCTGCGAGCGATGTTCCCAAGCAACCGAAGTCGGCCTGTGCGCTGATGAGGAATACGAAGAACCGTGGAGCAAAGCCGCGATGAGGAAGCGCAAGTTTGACGTTAAGCGCAAGGCCGGGGTAGTCAACACGGGCGAAGACGCTACGAAGTGTGACGGCGCTTTGGAAGAGGTGCTCGTGGACGCTGTTTCGTGTTTGAATGCCGATTTGGGGGTCAAACGAGCCACTTTTGCGGGAGCGACGAAAACGACGATGGATCTCGTCAAGATAGGCGACGAGGAAGAGGAGGAAGTCGGGGTACCGACGCAGGGGTTGATGGCGGCGGCCGTCGTTGATGAACTGGGCAAGACGGTTATAGTCGATGAACCAGAAGAGGATGGAGAACCGGACATGGCTTCGGGAGAAGAAGAGGGATCAGCGCTGGACAATCCTGCAACATCGATCGAGCCATGGTCGGCCGAACGATCTACGGCCAGTGCGGACGAAGTCGGCGAGCCGGAGGCGCATCACGTCACTCAGGCCACTACTGCAAGCGCTACAAAGCTCATCACATCGCCTCCCGTCTCCGATATTGCTCTTGGGTCACCTTCATCCGAGCCAAAATTTCTCTCCGCAGCGGACATCCTCCCACCTCAAGTCCCTGTCGTCACACCCATTGGCAACAAGGCACCGGTTTCGTCCTCGAGCACACGGCCGGCTCCGACGAAACGCAAGCTATCACTGTTGAACTTTGGAAAAGGGATTGTCGACGCCGGATTTGTAGCGAACTTCGGTGGTGGATCGTCGAGGCCGTTCGTTTGATTGGGTTTGGGCCCAAGTGTAGTGTACTGTATTCGATTGGCAGATTAGTGGCGACTCACTGTCTCATTTCAGAGTGACTCTATTTTTGCGACTGTTGTGAATCTTTGTATTGAAATAATGTGATGCAGCCTGCATTGTGTCAAATGTCGCTTTATGATGGGGCGGCGTCAGGTATAGTCTGCGTCGTATTTCTCAGATTATTTGGTCGCTGTTGGATTGTGCGGGAGTTGTGTCGTGCAGCACTGGATTGCAGAGTGACAAGAACCACTGTACGACCACGTAGTTCAGCTAGCAGCCAGAGAAGTCAGTTGTCACCGTCGCAAAGTCAGGGGCCTATCGCGACTGAAGCGAGTCCAAGTCAAAAGCGAGCGATGAGTATAGACCGCAGTGAATTCCCACATGACAGAGACCAGCATGCCTTCAACTTGTAGTAATATGGAGACTTTCAACATTTAAGCGCATATTCAAATCGTCTATTTGTCTATCGTAAACAAATCGGTTTTGTCCGAGCCTTTTGCAGAGGCCACAGATCGTGTCGCGCTTGGCCCTCTCGCCCGCACCCCGGATCCTGCGCTTGATCGAACGTCCTGTACGCTTGGGGAAATGTGGCGGATTGATAACGGCACCCTCTTCCTCGCTATTTGAGTCACTATCGTCCTCTCCATCCGTGACCACATGACGCTCAGGAGGACAACGAAGCACCTTCCATTCGGCCCAAGGTGGAACAGGTTGGAGCGATGTCACCGCGTAAGTCTGCTTCCATGCAGCCAAGTGAAAGTACTCGTCGACCCCCGTGCGCGGATCCAACCGATAGCGGATGTCGAGCATAACCGCGGCAGCATGCACGCACGGCAAGCCTAGATTCTTTCTTGACCTTGAGCGTTTGGTTGTCGATGTGTGCTGCGATCCACTTGCGAGATTCGGCGAGCGTAGTCTTCAGTTCCTTGGAGACTTTCGGCTTTAAGGCAAACTGATCGACACGATCGCCCTCGGCGGCGACGTGTTCGGCCCGGCAGTTTTCGAACGCCGCTGCTACCATGGCGTCGCGCACGGACACGGAAAGCTGAAGTCAGGGTAGGTAGCGCTCTTTCTCGATCCATGCATTGACATAATCTGCCGTGTTGCTTGTCTTGATACCGTAACGCTTGCCAGAGAATGCCCATTCCGACCAGTACATTCGCGCCGCCTTGCCTTGGAACTCTTCGCCGCTGTGCGCGTTGCAGATGACCGGCTTGAAATACTGAGACGCTCCAGGCTTGACTGCATCAAGTCGAGCCACTATGCCATTGTAGTCATCCTCGGTTAGCGCATTTGCAGCGGCATGAATGAGCTTGGTCGCCGAGTCCCTACCCGTGCCGAAACGATGCGTTTTAAAGTTGGCGATTAGATGCCCGAGACAGAAGCCGTGCGTGGCTTCCGAGTCGGACGGTCAATGACCCCAGCGATGACACCCTTTTGACAATCCGACACGAGCACAAGCTTGCCGAAATTTAGTTCGATGTTGCTGGCGAGTGCAGTATGAAGGGGTCAAAAGAACCGAGTCTGGCAGTTGTCCTGATTCTCGCAGCACAGCATAGGCCAGTGGGAAGATGTGATTGTTGGCATCCAGCGTAGTTGCTGCCAGGAGAACACCTGTTACAAAGACAAAAAGTATCAAAAACAGCTCACTAGTTGCGGCATAATTACCTCCGCAGGGTTTATTCCTCACCTATGTACAACGGCTTGAGATGGCACCCGTCCACCGACAGTGTGCGAAGCCTGAGCTGGCCATCGCGACAAAGGGTCGAACGACTCGCCGCTTATCCCCGAATCGTTCGCAGTCCAACACCTGGATTTTGAACATGCATGGATGCATGGTAGGGTGAGTGAGAGACTAAGACAGAGGGAACAAGGCCTGAAGGGACTGACTGTCAAAGACCCGGGATTCGCTTTGGCGAGCTCAGAGCTGTACTTCTCGATATCAGCAAAGCCTTCTTCGTCTGAGCCGTAGATCGCCTTTTTGGGTTGTCCAAATGCACGGAGAGCTTGCTTCGAAGTGAGGTGTAGTCCCGTGGCGCGCTTCTGATCCTTCCGAAGCTCCTTGGTCGCGTACTGTTAGTCGGAGGTGTCGGTCACTTTGTCGGTGATCACGTTGCCAAGCACGCGAGCGGAAACTCTTGAGGCTGTCGACGGTGTGTAGCAGCGATGGCCACCGTAGGCTTCATTGAAGACATTGATGGTCCAAACACGACCTTCTCTCCTGAAAACAGCAGTGGCAGAGAAGGCGCACGAAGGATCTTGGACACTCGCAAACGACGTGCCAACGATGCGTGTCAGAGAGTTGACTTCGCTCCTTCCGGACGTTTGCTCGCTTTGTGACTGCCAAACGAGTTCGTCGCTACCAAGCGAGGTGACAAGCGGAGCGCGAGGAGATGGAGCACCATGCAATGCTGATCGCAGTCCATGACCGCATGATCAGAGCTGCTGAAACGGGTACGAACGTGCATCTTGCAGAGGTGGGATGTTAATCGCACGAATAGAGCTAGTCGAGCAAGTCGCCGAGTTGGATTGAGAATGCGAACGACTGTCACGGTCCGAGGCCGAAATCGAGCGGCGAGTGGTCCGGAGAAGTCGGACTCGGGATTTTATGTTTCAACGTGCGCAACGTAGGATGGAGTTCGAGTAAGTGGCAGAGCAATGCGGAGTGTGCCGTGGAACATCTCGAGAGTTTTGCCGGGAAGTCGATCGGTCGGAGTGATCGACGAGGTCGAAAGCCAGTGTGCAAGGACGGTCGAGATGTTTGCAACGACGAGTCGGGACATAGACGGTCTGTGATTTTGGGTGGATGACTCGACGAGCAGGATGAGGGCGCGGGAGGTTGCGTGAATCGCGGCAGGGTCGAGACAGGGTGCAAGTGCTTGAGCCAATGAAGGTGTCGGTCTGGACATCGACGAAATCAGTCGAGTCATGAGATGTTCCGACAACTCCCGAGCTTGCCGCGTCGTTGAATCTCTTCGGTTCAATCAAGAAAAAGATGTGAGGGTTTGCATTCGTGTGATGGGTTGACGTTACGATGTGGGGGTGGCGGAGGAGATCGGCATAGGTCGAATCAAGTGATGTGCGCATCGATGCGAGACCTCAGGAAGGTTTATCATCTCTTCGATGGTGCTGATGACAGATGCGCAGAGTATGGTCCTACAAGTCACAGAGCGGTTCGGTGCGAAGCTTGGATGCCAGCGAGTCGGCCAACGCGCGATCTGACCTAGAGTAATGAACAGCAAGTCGAGCATGAGGTGAGCAAAGGAGGTGAGAGCTGACTACTATCTGATTGAAGTCCTCACCACAGTCATTGCCCGAGTAGCGAGTGGGCGATCGGGGTGATCGAGGCGACGCGCTGACCGAGCACGTATGCGACCGAGTACGCTCGAGCGATGCATCGACGTAAGCTTGGACGCTACTGAAAGTGACCGCGCCCTCTCAAGTTGCGGTTTTAGTTGTATCCTGTTGAAGATGGCGGTGTCGTTAACCGTGTTGTGCGACGTCGCACCGTGCCCGCATCAGCCGGCTTGAGGTGACACGTTGAACTGTAGTTGAGAGGTCGAGTTGCATCTTGCAGATTGCATGGCGCATGTGAACGATGCGAAAGCATGTGACGTCGAGTTGTGGCGTGGTGCGATCGGTGCCGAGTCCGAGTCGAGTCAGGCGGTGCGAGTGGTGCGAGTGAGTGGGGAGTGGCGAGAGGGAAAGGAGCGTTGGCGCGCGCGAACGTGAAGTCAAGCCTATACATGCAGTGGGGTTGCGGTACGGACACGAGATCTGCGGTACAGACATGACATGCTATCATGTTCTCCTTGCAGATTCAAAGTGATTCTACTATAATTGTTCAATAGCATCAGTATTATCTGATTATCTGATATTATGTACCTAAAATCAAGTGGACGGACATGTCCGTACATTTGTTCTGGCCCGACGACAAGAGGCAGTGGACCGCGCGCCGCAAAGTCGTCAAGGCCACAACGACTAGTGTAATTGAATACACTCAAAGCACAATGCATAATAGCACAAGTTAAGCATGTACACACCAGTTGGGATCGGGACAGATTTAAAATAAACTTATCTATGTGTACAAGTCCTCAAGTCTGCCGTGCCTCCGCTCCAGCGATACACCGAAGCCCGAAGTGGGAAACCCATTTCGGAGATCGCGACCGCCGGTGGCCGAAGGCTGCGAAGGCCGGCCTCAAGTGCGCTGGTGGGAGGCATTTGCCCTGGTATGGAAAATGCCCAAATAGTGAGATCTGTTTCGGCACCGGCCGGTGCGGGAACAGGGATCGAGCGCAGTCTTCTCCCTCGACTGAGATCTGCTTCGGCACCGGACGGTGCGAGAACAGGATTCGAGCGCAGTCTTCTCCCTCGAGTGAGATCTGAATCGGCACCGGCCGGTGCGGGAACAAGGATCTGATTCGGCACCGGTCGGTGCGGGAACAAGAATCTGAATCTGGTCGAGGCGCCTTTGTGAAAGTCGAGGTTCTGGGACCATTTGCAAATCTCGACACAATTTTAGCCTAATTTCAGCAGCCTTCGGCGTGACCTCTCGCCGGAGGGCCTTTAGATTGCACTGGAAAAGCAATCACTTGACATTTTGTAGCTTAGGTTTTGTAACTGGGAGCTGGGAACTTATCTTTCTATCTATCTACATCTGCATATAATGGATTGCACGACAAAACGCCTCCATGAAATAAGGTTCTCAGACGCGCGCGCGCGCCGATCTTTTCTTTCCACCCAAGGTCCGGGAGGTGCGGGCGGTGCACCGCGGCGGAGCTCGCAACGACCTTCATTTACGGCATTTACGCAGGGTTATGGGCGCGTCGCGCCCCCCCCCCCCCCCCCCCCCGAGCTAAGCTCATCTCATCGAATGCCCTCCCAGAGGGAGGGGCTTACACACCGGCCCAGTTGCCCACCGAGTTCTCGGCGCATCTAGAGATCAACAGACTTTGGGAGTCGGTCATGTTGCGAAAGAGCATAAGCATGAATAGTTGGTGATGATGGGGTCTCGTTCGAGCGCTGCGTATCTTGAACGTGACCGTCCTCACACTTGACCTAGGTTGGCTCGGCCCTCTGCAGGGTCAGTGAGATCAGAGACAGGATTCTGAGGCGGGGCTTTGGTTTTCATTTGGTTGGCTCAAGGCTACGCGTTTTTTCACATGGTATGACAACAACCTTGATTTTCAGAAGAAACTTTCTATGGACGAAGCCTGAATGATGTACGGCCATCCCAGATTACGGCTTAGCCCAAAAACTCTGCGCAGTCGAGCCGAATGAAGGCACCGCTGGCGCAGTCCTATTTCCAGCCTGGAATTATACTGGAACGGATGGAAATTGACCTGGGGTATCTATTGCAATAATCGGAACTAACAAAGAGCAACTATATTTAGGCCCAGCGCAAAGGTGGTCACTTCAGAGCAAGGGAAGCAGCTGCTCAATGTCCGAGATGATGGACTCGTGCGACATCGTCTTGGATGGACCCCACAACTCCCCCAGCTCGGCATCTTCCGCAGCCACCTTGAAACCAAAAAACCGGCTGTCGAGGCCGCAGTTGCGTCTCAAGATGTTGAGGAGTAGCGGGATGCTTTGGGATCGATGTGCGCAGCCCTCGAGTGCGGATTCGTATGTGGTGTCGATGCGAAGCATATACTTGAGGGCATAGACTACGACCGCTTCTGGGCTGTTCCAGTGCCGCCAGATGGTTTCACCCTTTGGCGTCATGACAAGCTCTTCATTGTTGCCCTGGTAAGGCTCGCGGAACGAAACTTCCATCACGACGTAAAAAAGCGACTCGATGTCGTGCCATCGTTCGTGGACAACACCGAGCGGCTCATTCGGTTGGGCGAGGATCGAGCAGGCGAGGTAGGGCCAGGTGCCCTGTCAGACGTCGTATAGTCCAAAGGTTAGTGCTGGTCAGAAAGTTTATTTGGGGGAACATACAGAGGGGAGGACGCACGGATCGTATTCTGTGGTGCAGCTCGGTGCAAGGCCGATCATGAGGGACGGCGAGGTGATAATCGATGAGGGCGCCGACACCGTCGCGGTCGATGACGGCGTTACCGTACGAGATATCCCGGTGGATATACCCCAGCCTGTAGAGGTTTCGGTGTCCTGCAATGTCGTGGGAAGGGGCGTGTCGGCTAGGGAGCGCAAACGCAAGGCCGCCCAGTTGATCCCTGTGCTCACCTTTGACGACTCCAAGTGCGGCCTGGGCGAGTTCCCTGGTCGTGGTCGCCGTGTTAAGGGGCCGATAACACTGTTGGTGGAAGACCACCTCCAGTGCCCGGGGCCCGATACCATCGAAACTTTCATCGTCGCCGAAGAAGGTCGGAAGCGTGCGGAAGTCGTCACGGTAGATGCCGGCGCTAAGGCTTAAACCCTCGGTGTCGATACGCGACGCAGCGTGCATCTTGCGACGTAGGGCAATCGCATCGTCGAGGCGGGATTGCTCAACCCATGCGACTGTCATGGCGTACTCGGTGGCAGACGTAGGCAAGGTGATCGACGTGGGGTCGACAGGCGCGTGTCGTGCGGTGACGCGGAAAGCGGAGGTGGCGCGACCCAGGCAGCTTCGGCGACGGAAGAGGAGCTCCTGGATCTCGAGATCTGAGATATCGCCGAGCTCGGACTCGAAGTTGTGGGCGCGGGGTGGGAGGAACTTGTCCGAGACGACAAAACTGCCGAAAGCGTCGTCGACCTCGTTCGTCGAGGCCAGCATCCCGAGCCCGTTGTCGTCGAGTTCGATGAGGTGTGACAGCACGCGCCGGAGCAGCACGGCTTCCTCACCGCACTCGCGGGCGCTCGTCGTGAACACCCCACACGCGTTGACGAGGTAGACTTGAAGCACGTCCCCGCAAAGGGTGACCCCGATCGCATGGGCGCGGAGCGCGGTCGTGCGTACGTCGGAAGCGATTGGGTGGTGGCTTGGGCGGGGGGCGCAAGAGTAGACGTGCCAACCGACGAGCCTGGCGCGCGGTCTCTGGCGCCTCTGGCGTTGACAGCTGAGAGTGGCGCCCAGTGGCGCATGCACGCTCATGCACGGGGCTTCACGACGCGCCCGTCTGCTTGGTAGTCTTCCTCCCTCCCGTAGACTGTCCTCAACTCCGACCACCTTCGATTCCGATCTGAGCATTCGTCTGCGATCTGCTGTCGCCCCAGTCTGCCAAGCAAGCCCCAACCAAGCATAAAAGCCGTCCGATGGCTAATCTCTACGCCCAACAAGGGGAAGCGCCGCCCGTAGTAGGCGACGACGAGGAAGTCTTTGGCGCTGACGGAGGCCTTGTCGCCGATTCTGCTGGCGGACGGGTGTATCGAGGAGCCGAAGCCGATCTCGATTCCACTCTGCGTGGTCTCACTTGCGACTCCAGCAGCCTCCCATCCTGGAATCGGGGCGAGTTGGAGTCGAGTCACGTGCACCAACGCGCACGCTTCGTGCAACACCGAGCCGCCGCCGAAACGTTCTTGAAGAAGGATCCCCATCGATTATCGATGGTGGGAATGACAAGAGGGGATGCGCTTGCATGGGTGCAACGTATGCAGGACCACGGGGGCAAGCGCAAAACTATTTCCAGCCTTTCGAAGGTGGACATCAAGCTCTTGGCGACGAATTTGAACGTCGAGGCGGCAACGCGGAGGCTGCCGACGGACAAGAAGTTGGGCCCGGAACAAGAGAAGTGGTATGCAGATACCCGCAAATCGGTGATCGACAGTATCTGGAGGATGTGCGAGATGAAGAAGAAGAAGGATGGGTCCAATTCGGCGCGAGCTCGAAAGGAGCGGTCAAGCAAGGGCAGTCGGATGAGTCGACCAGGCTTAAGTCGCACTCGTCGCGTCGCGTCGCGTCGGAGCTAAGCTTCAGCCCAAGCACTGACACTCTTGAATTGCTCCACCCTTGTACTGCTCGACAGCAAACATCTATCACGCAAGAAGCGTCTGTCACAGAGGGAGCGGATCCGAACGAGCTAAACACCGAACTCGATGTTGATCCCGACTTCGATGAAAATGCAGACGACCCGGACCTCCAGAACGTCAACGAGCCAGGTTCGGGCGGAAAGCCTGTCTCGGACGAAGAGCGATCGCGATTGCTCGCTGAGATCGCCCGTGGTCGTCATGAGACCCTCTTTCGACGGGTACCGGGCTGTGAGTACAGCTTTTCTTCGAATACGATCGTGTCTGCCTGCCATGCTAAAACATGGCTCGGTCCTCTTTGGGTTATTCACACGAGCTCTAGCTGTCGACCATGACGGGATGCGCGATGTGAGACTCAAAGCCGAGCGCGACGCTTTCAACTTCAAAGCCGCCCGGGGGACAGGGACTCCCGCGTACAGAGGGTTCTGTGTGAGTGTGACTAGCTCTATTCCCACCATTTTCTGCAAACAGCAGACGAAGTTTCTCATTACTGATCCAGCCCCACGCCTTCCCACCTCACTTTAGATTCGGATGGCAACTCAACCGTTGGACGATCCTGAGGCAAAGCTCCGCCAGGATTTCGCTACACAAATGCAAGAGACTCAATACCACGCAGCTGTCGAGCGTCGTGCTGATCGGGAAGAAATCAAGGCCGATATCAAGATGTACATGGACTCCATCGATTCCAAGCTGGACGCGGTGCTCAAGGCACTGGCCGGGGGCCCATTCCCAGGCACATCGTCGTCAAGCGCGGGAGCCGCTTCTACGTCGGGTCCCTCGGCAGGCGTTGTGCAGCCCACCCCAGGTGCTTCGAGCACGATGCCTTCAACACCTTTTGGCGCAAACGGTGCCCAAGCACCCTCAGCGAGTCAAGAGTATCGACTTCCCCCGCCCGACGCATTTCGCAGGGACGTCAGTGGCCGGGCGATCAGTGTCCCAGAGATCATGGAACTTGCAAGGGGGCCCTCGGGTTCTTTCGATTGGCGAAAGCTATTGAACAACGTCGTCTCTCCGCCCAAACTATGGCTCGTTTATCGACCCAAGGATATGGCGGCGTACAAGACGATTCAAGAAATCGTGGACGATTGGGAAGCGGAGCGCTTGGTCGGGAAGAACGAGAAGGCGCCACCGCTTTCGATGCTCGACGAGCTATTCCCGCAATTCGAGACAGAGAGGCGAGTCGTAGAAAACTACTACAAGATCAAGAACAATATTGTGCCTCCTTCGCCACCAAGAAGTACACGCTCATCACAAGAGGCGGCTGTGAAGGAGAGTTGGAGGAAGGTCAGTTTGCTCTTGGTGCTTCGGTCGGGTCAAGCTACCCCAATAAATTCCCTACTTATTGCTTTCCTATCGCTCCGCCTCCACTCATGCAGGAGTCCGACATCGTATTGGGGGGCTCGACAAAACTGTGGGCGAAATTTATCACAATCATCCGCGCGCGTGAATACAAGGCCTATGAGATCGCGCAGCGAGCTGGTCGACCTGAAGTCAGCGCAGTCGCTCGCTCCGAAGCTCAGCAGCAGCTTGAACTCCAATTTCAAAACGCAAAGATGTCGATCAATCAGTTCGTGACGAAGGTGTTAACGAACGATCCAAACGCCCCAAAACGGCCCAATGCAAAGAAGCGCAAGAGCTCGGAGGCCGACGTCTGAGGTGACTTCGTCCCTGCTCCGAGTCGTTTTCGTCTGCCTTAGCTTTGTAGCATAACAGTAACAAACACACGGGCTGGCTAAACCCAACGTCTTGTGTAGCTAGCAACTTGTTATAGCATTATTGTAGCAAACACATTGTAATATCTACGAGCACAATTGCCCCGTTACGTAATGGGCTTAGATAAGAGAACTGCGGCTCCTCTTCTCCCTTGGGCTCCTCCTCTCCCTGTGATCGCTCCATCCAGGTAGCCAAGTTGCATCTCCAACCAGCTCCTGCCCCAACAATCGATCTGCCTCCTGTGTGATGGTCTCTGGCTCACGTGGCGGTCGGCTGCAGTGCCCATTCTCTCGCTCGGAACGCCGACTTGTCGAGCTACGTCTCGCCCTGTCTCTCCTGACGCGACGTCGTCCAACACGGCGACGTCCCGCACGCTCAGGCTCTTTGCCTCCGCCCCGCCTTCAACCTCGACCTCGACCTCAATAGCAACAAACTCGGCCTCGACATCGAACTCAAGCCCAAGCTCAAGCGCAAACCCCAACCCAACCCGTACGACCTTGCCGCAGTGGGGGACGCGCTCCCCGGCCTCCCTTGATATCGTCGAGCCACTCGACCCCCTTATAATTAGGATAGGATCGCACCAGGAGCCGGCGGCCTCAAAAGAGCGAGCAACAGCCCGTCTGGTCGCCTGCGAGAACTCGCCCCAGTACATCGGCGTCGCACCTGACCGCGTGGAGACGACCGAGAAGACGGCCGACGTCGTGGCTCTGGAGTACTTGAGTCTTGACCCAGGCTGCGGTCGCGCACGACCCAACCTGACCCAAACCCTCCCCGAATGTATGGGCCCCTTCCCCGTCAGGCCGATCCGCATGCCAAGGAACCCGACGCCGGTGCGGACCCCGACACCATCGTGAACTTCAACGCGAACGAAAACGGCAAGGGCCAGCATCACGACGAGCACGACGACGCAGAAGAAGAGAGCACGAACAAGGTCGACGCCCAAGAAGGACCTGAACCAGCCGCAACGCTCCTTCACACACATGGCCGCCGTCGGCGAGACCACAGCGGGCAACTCCAATGCCGAGGGCCAGTTGTTCCGACACCCGGCGGCGAATCCTCACGAAGAGTGCTACAACTCATTCGTCACGCTCGGGAACACCAAGCAGCTCGCGCGCGCGATCGAGGGTGCGATCGAGGGTGAGTGCTCAGAGCGGAGCGGGACAGCACGCTGAGGGGTGACCCCTCACTGACGACCCTTCGCCGTGCGTGACAGGGCATGGTCAGCTCTGGAACTACGGCTTCGTCCACCGGGACGTGTCCTATGGCAATGTAATGGTCTCCTGACACGGCGAGGGGGTTTTGATCGACTACAATCTGGCGGTGAAGAAGGCTCGAGCGGCTGAAGAGTGTCGCTTCAGCCGTTCGGTGCGTTCCCGCGTCCGCGATAGCTGATCATGAACATGTTGTTGGGCTAACCTGAATCCTTCCCGCCATTCCCCCGTATCATGATCAATGACAGGGTACACCACCATGCTTCTTTCGACTCCCGCTCATGCCCCAAAACCGAGAGTGTGAAAAGCCCTGCGGGACGCCACAAAAAAAAAAAACACATTCGATGTCGGGCCAGCGCTCGGGTACCACACTCTCGGTTTCGGGGATGAGCAAGATTCGGGAGATATAGGGTAGCGTGCTCTGTCATTGATCATGGGACAGGGGAAGGGTGGGAAGGAGTTAGGTGAGACCATGAACGTGTTGAGGGCTAGCGCGGAGGCGAGAACGTATCGAGCGGCTGAGGCGACACGTTTCTTCAACCGTTCGAGCCTTCTTCACCGCCAGATTGTAGTCGATCAGGATCCCATCGCCGTGTCGGTCGACCTTTACGTTGCCATACGACACGTCCCGGTGGATGAGGCCGTAGTTCCAGAGCTGACCATGCCCTGTCACGCACGGCGAAGGGTCGTCAGTGAGGGGTCACCCCTCAGCGTGCTGTCCCGCTCCGCTCTGAGCACTCACCCTCATCTGTCCAATCTCGGTCTGCCGACGCGCCCTTTTGCGAAAAGTCGGATTCCGCGGATATCTGGAACGCGTGGAATGCCAAGAATCCCAAAAGATGCAGCAGCCAGACGGTTTCGATGAGCTTCTGGACGCTTGCGCGTCTCGTTGGTCTGGCGTGGAGAAGGTTCTGAGTGTCCTGCAGCAAAATTGGTCGCTGGGTTGGTCTTTCACAAGGCAGAGCAAGAAATTGCGTCGCGTTGGGACTCCGATCAGATGTCGTATGAACACGTCGAGGCGGGTTTCAAGGCCCCTTGCGAGTAGAACGGTGCTCGACATTTGCGATCCTGTTTTGCATTTCTATGGAAGCATGTGAATGCAATACCAGACTTCATACTCCGCGTTGTGATCAAACTCCTAGATGCCGCATGCGCAGACCAATCGCCATCGCCCTGCGGAACCCGATACGATCGACGACAGGAGTGGGGCGAGCTCAGGTGGGATTACGCATCACGTCGGCCGCGCGCAACTCTTCGGCGCCTCGCAACAGCGCGTCCAAGATCATCTTTCTACGTCACCTCCGCATCTTTCTACGTATTCACCTCGTTGTGCACGTTCTTTTTTGCAAGTCGTCGAGTCTGCCGAGCCTCGAAGTGGATTTCTGTTTCGGAGATCACCAGCATCCTCGGCCTGCGTCTCAGATGCCAAATGGAGCCTCGTTGCCAGAATCGTGCTGGACAGCGCGAGCTGCTGGGGGAGAGTTTGGTATCTGGTATTTGGGAAGTGCTCTTATATATAGTGCATCCGCGTAAAGCTCATACTAATCGAGCACCCTCTTCCTCGTCGACACTCTGCTTCCTTGCCCCCACTTCCCCTACCCCACTTTCACCACCATCGCTATCTGCATCCGGCTTGTCGTGCTCCTTGCGATACTCGCCCACTCGAAGTCGTACTGTGTGCAATATGAGCCACCCATGAATCAGTACAGATTCACACGAACTTCTAACCCCTCAGGCCCCAAGCTCCCAACTCTTACAGAAGCCCCCCAGATCGGCATCATCCTTCTTGACCGTCAACTCGGCCGTCCTATGCAAACTCTCAATCTGATCGACACGATCCCTGACATCCTGCAGATCCTGATCGAAGCCTTCCTCCTTGGCGATCCTCCGAAACACCGTCAGCATCATCCTCGAATCGGGGCGAACTTGGTGGTGCGAGTTGATGTTGACGATGTTGTGGCGGTCGTGATCGATCAGATAGTCCGGGCGGGTCATGATGACCCTTGCTTCGCGATAGGAGACGAAGGGATCCATCTCTGGGGTCAGCGAATTGACGAGATCGTCCTCGATTTGCTGTCCGAGCTTCTCATCCTCCTCCACCTTGGCCCCTCCTTCCGAAGCCTCCTCGGCCCCAGGCGAAGGAACGACCGAGTCGATCGTATTCCGATTCAAGAGCGGTTCAGCCTCTTCAGCCATCTTGGCGAAATGTTGAAAGAGCAGCATCGAACACGACGAGACTTTTTGTTCGTCCATCACATCGTCGTCGCTGTAGGTGAGTCACAAAGTGAATCAATTCGCGAGGTTCCCTCCGCCGAGCCCGGCCGATCCCTGACGTACTGATCCGGAATCAAACCCAATCGATGATGCAACCATTCCTTTTCCTGCTCAATCATCTCCTCCGCTGCTTCGAGCATGTCCTTCCTCCGCGCCACACGATTGAGGTAACTCAACCTCCCGCCGATCAGATCCCAAATTCTCCAGCTCTCTCGCCACCCGACTTCACCATCTTCAGGGAATGCCTTCTCGTGCGTGCCCCTCAAGAAAGTGTGCGTCTCTAAAGGTGTGAGATCCCGAATCGAAAGGACGTGCATCCTCGAGGCGTTCTTCTTGAGGTGGCGATAGACGTGAAAGTCATCGGACGAGAAGATGACGGTGCACACCCCCGCTTGGGACCACGATTCAGCGCGCTGTTGGAGCATGTGAAGTAGGGCATGCCCTTCAGGGTCGTCGTGTACGAAATGAATGTTGTTGAAGACGAGGACCATGGGTCGACCTCGGTCTTTGCGGAACGAGATCGCGACCTGTGGCATGATACCGGTCACCAATTCATCAGCACGTTTCACCAGATCAACTCGGAGCTGCGTGTGCCATCGGGGGGGGGCACCTTTTCCAATTTAGCCAACGCCCTTTCGATATCCAAACACGGTCCGGCCTCCCTCGGATCTTTCCTCGAGAACAAGCCGGCGAACGAGTCCTCGTTGTATTCGAAATCGAGCGCCTTGCCGAGTCGGAGACGGAACACCTCGGCGTCTTCATGGGCTTCCATCATGGCGCAGCCGTCGGCTTGGTCTGTTTGGAGCATGAAGGCGACGTGTTGAGTGCGCGAATGAACAATTACCTCTAACGAGGGACTGACTGTTGACCATGGCATCGACGATCATGCTCGTCTTGCCGACTCCTGTTCACAGCAAGAGGAAGAATCAGCCCCCATCTCCCGCCCTACTTTGTCCCCGCCTCACTCTGTTTTTCACTCACCCTTGGGCCCCATCAACAACAGATACTCGCCACTGATCTCGCCATTGACGATCTTCCGAATGTACTCCTGTTCCTTGCGTACGACTCGACCGGGAACGAGGCCGCCTTGTTCGTCGTACGCGGCCGCGGAGGCGAGGGCGAGGACGGGGTCGTACCCTTTTGCGAAGGCGCGTCTCATCTTGCGGAAGGCTTCCCATTTGTACCTGTTTGTGGCGCAGGGTGGGGTCAATTGGGCGTTACGGGTGCGAATACGGTGAATAGTGGGGGGGGGGGGGGGGGGGGGCGCCCGAGCTCGGAGACCCAAGACGCAGTACTCACCACTTGTGATAGCACAACCCAGCGACAGCAAGCAAGATGATCCCTGTCGGCGGTGGGGGTTGTGGCCAGATTAGCACACTTTTCACTGCTCGTCGCTGAAGCCGGAGCGGACCGACCGACCTGCTCCCGTCGCTGCGGCACTCTCCAATCCACTGGTCCAACTCTTTCCATTCCCATTTCTACCCTTTCCTTTACCATTCCCACCGCTCCCTCCCTCTCCGCCAGCAGGACGAGGAGCCGAAGAGTTTCGCCCACTTCTTTGGGGTTCTTCCTCCGCGTCGTCACGGAAATCAAAGTTGTTTTGCGAACCGATTTGAGGTCCTGCTTGGATGAAGGATTGGGCTCGTGGTGTGATTGTAGAGTGGTAGGTGCGAAGGGGGGCGAACCGATTCGGAGGTGTAAAGGCGCAGAGGACGAACGACGGCCGAATCGTAGAGCTGGACGAGAGCAGCAGAGCGCGTGCAGGGAGGTTGTTGGCACATCGCACCTTCATCTTCGGGGTTGTCGAGTTTCAGTGACAGCGGGGGTTGGGGTTGGGGTTACACGCCCGGGGGATGACCGGTACGAGTATCGGATTGAGTCGGAGCGGAGCCGATTTGTGGGTGGATTCGTTTCCTGTTTCCCGTTGGCGCGCTTCCCCCAGCTTCCCCCGGTCGAGTGACGTGGCAGCGTGGCTCGGCAGCGTGGCCCAGCGTGTGGCCCGCTCGTGGACCGTGCGCGCGCCCGAGAAGCGCATTATCCCGGGGGGGTGATTGGCGGCATTAGCTTTCGCTTGTAATGGAATGGTCCGCTCTCTGGCACTCCGAGTCGCAGATCGCCTCCCATCCCCGTCCCCATCCTCGTCCCCGTCCTCGTCCTCGTCCTCGTCCTCGTCGCAGTGTCCGTTCTCCTCTCGCCGAGCCGGCGGTCAAGCTAGCTTCTGTGCGCGACCTCGTAGCCAGTGCAAGTCGATATCGCGCACCTCGTCCCTCGCTCGTGCTCGACGGCGAATCCAAGTCGACGGACGTGGTCCGAGACGCGCCGTGAACACCTTTCGGCCGAGTTGCCCATCCCCCCCCTACGGACCTAGTACTCCGTCCAAAGACGTGCTCGACCATGTCATCAGCTGGAACATCTGCTCGGACGCCACTGTCGTACTTCAAGGACAAGGATCGACTCGGCGGGGCGTACGGTCGGCTCTCGACGAGTGACACGTTCGCGCTCAGCGGCGGCGGCGGCGGCGGCGGCGGCGACAGTGCTGCATCGACTCCCGTATCCTCGACTTCGCGCACCCATTCGCCGACGCCTTCCCAGTGCGCGCCCGACGACCAGCACTATGCGTACTCGACCTCGCTCAGGAGGCAGGAAGCGGCCGACGCGTCGAGCTCGATCGCGTTGGGTGATTTGCCCCAGGTCGCCGGTCAGGCTTTTGCGAGTGTGCTCGGAGGGGGCACTCCATCCTCTGCGGCCCCAAACAACATGAACGGCAGCAGTTTGAGATACGCCACCACCACCGCCAACAACACGGGTCATTCGCATCTCCCCCCCGCGCCGTCGCTCCCCTTTCCCCCTCCCCAGCACTCGGCGATCCCGACCCACACGACCGCGCACCACCCCTTTGCGCACACCTCCTCGCCCATGACCCCTTCCACCCACTACGCGACCCAATCCATTACCCAAACCCTCGCCTCCCTCGCCACCTCCTCGACCCACGGCCTCGCCTCCGCCAAGGTCACCGCGATCAGGGAACTGCACGGCGCGAACGAGTTCCAGGTCGAAGCCAAGGATCCGATATGGAAGAAATTCCTCGGTCAATTCAAGGAACCGCTCATCCTGCTTCTAATGGGGAGTGCGGCCGTCAGTGCGATCGTCGGAAACTATGACGATGCGGCTTCAATCGTCGCGGCCATCATCATCGTCGTCGCAGGTGAGTACGAGCGAGAGTACAAATTCTAATCATCCGCGCGCTCATAAGCCTGTCTTAATGCCAACGCAGTCGGGTTCGTGCAAGAACAACGTTCCGAAAAATCGCTCGAAGCACTCAACAAGCTCGTCCCTCATTTCTGTCATCTGATTCGCGACGGTCACAAAACGACTCAACTCGCCAACGTGCTCGTACCCGGTGACCTCATCACCTTCCAAACCGGCGATCGGATATCGGCCGATATCCGCTTGACCCAAGCCCACGGACTCGAGATTGACGAATCGACATTGACGGGTGAGACCAAACCGGCCAAAAAGTCGTGCGAAGCTATTCTGGACGGTGGCTTGGGGGTTGGGGGTTTACCGATCAGTGAGAGGAAGAACATCGGTTTCATGGGGACGTTGGTGAGGAGTGGGAGAGGGGAAGGAATCGTCGTTGGTACAGGCGAACAGAGTGAATTCGGTGTCGTGTTTCGAATGATGCAAGAGGTCCGTTACTCTAGTGCTTTCTGTCGGGTTCGACTCGATTGCTCATCCATCCCTCGTACTCTGATGATTGATCAAAGATCGAGGACCGAAAAACGCCACTCCAAAACTCGATGGACGAACTCGCCAAAAAGCTTTCCGCCATGTCCTTCGTCGTCATCGGCTTCATCTGCCTCATCGGTGTGTTCCAACACCGTTCATGGCTCGACATGTTCACCATCGGCGTTTCGCTCGCCGTCGCTGCCATTCCCGAAGGTTTACCGATCGTCGTCACCGTTACGCTCGCGCTCGGAGTTTTGCGCATGTCGAAACGGTCCGCGATCGTCAAGAAACTTCCCTCCGTCGAGACGCTCGGTTCCGTGTCCGTGATTTGCTCCGACAAGACCGGGACCCTCACCACGAACGTGATGACGGTGACGCAAGCCTACACCGTCGACGACGGCATCTTTCTCATTTCGCACGACGAGCAATCGCTCGTCCTTCACCCTCAAGATCACAAAGTCAAGCTCTTCCTCATCGGCAACCTCTGCAACCACTCGACGCTGGACCGATCAGGGAAGAACGTCGGTCAACCGACCGAAGTCGCGTTGATGAACGTGCTCCCTCAAGTCGGACTCAAGGACGTGCGTACGACATTTCAACGTCGTGCAGAAGTCCCCTTTTCCTCCGAGGCGAAATCCCAATCCGTTTCTGGTGTGTTTACCTCTAACTCATCGGATAGGGAAACGACTTACCTCTCCGGCGCGATCGAGTCCGTTCTCCCCCGTTGTCGATTCTACCTTCGATCGGACCACACGACACCCGCGCTCGAATCGGGTCTGGTCAAAGTGATCCAAGGAAAAGCTTCCGAAATGGCTTGCCAAGGTTTGCGCGTGGTCGGCTTTGCTTACGGCCCCGATCCCGATTCGCTCATCTTCGTCGGCCTACAAGCGATGATGGACCCACCTCGAAAAGGCGTTGCCGAAGCGATTAACCAACTACAAAGTGGTGGAATTCAAGTGATCATGATCACCGGTGACTCGACCGAAACGGCGACCTCGATCGCTCGACAATTAGGTCTTCGTTCGGGAGGATGTATGACGGGAAAGGATTTGGATATCCTTTCGCAGCGACAGTTGACGGAGAGGATTATGGGCGTAACGGTTTTCGCGAGGACGACGCCGAAGCATAAGATGGCGATTATTGAGGCGTATCAATCTAGAGGGGCTGTGGTTGCGTGAGTGCATTGTCAGAGCTTAGGGGATGCAACTGACTCGACTAACTCTGGAGTCTTTCCATATGATTGCTAGTATGACGGGTGATGGTGTCAACGATGCGCCGGCGCTCAAGATGGCTGATATAGGGGTGTCGATGGGGAAGGGAGGAACGGATGTCGCGAAGGAAGCAGCCGATGTCATTCTCGTCGACGACAATTTCGCGACATTACTACCCGCCGTGGAGGAGGGAAAAAGTGAGTTACGAGCGAAGCGCTGTATTATGAGCAAGAAACGAACGAATTTGACGACGAATCTGATCGTAATAACCGATCGCACAGGCATCTTTCTCAACATCCAAAACTTTCTCGTCTTCCAATTGTCGACGGCCGTTGCCGCGCTTTCCCTCATCACGATCACGACGCTGTTCGGACTTCCGAATCCTCTGAACCCGATGCAAATCCTGTTCATCAACATCCTCATGGATGGACCGCCTTCGCAATCGCTCGGCGTCGATCCGGTCAATCGCGACGTGATGCAACGGCCGCCTCGATCCAAGACGGCGCCCATCTTGGATCAACGGCTGTTGGCGAGGGTCGGGTTTTCAGCGAGCATCATCATCACGGGGGTGATGTTTGTGCTCGCGGGTGAATTGAGCGATGGGAGTCATAACGCACGAGATCAGACGATGGTGAGTCGCAGCCAAAGTGGGGAGCTTTGAGACAGTTCAACCTTACTAATCGCGCTTGAACCGCTCTTCAGACCTTCACCTCGTTCGTCTTTCTCGACCTCGCCTCGGCGCTCCAAAACCGCGGTCTGCACACCGCGCTCCTGTCCCCTCCACAACAAGTGAACCGCATGCTCCTGATCACCGTCGGCACCTCGTTCCTCGTCCAATTATCCCTAATCTACGTCCCCTTCCTCCAAGCCGTGTTCCAAACTGAAGCGCTATCGTTCCGCGATCTGTCGGTCCTGTTGATGCTCGGCGCCGGGTCGATGACTTTGCACGAAATGCGGCGGCGATGGGAGAGAAAGAATATGGTCGACGAATTGTGGAGGTCAGCGCAGACTGTATGAGAGTGGGGGTTCTAGGGGGTCGTTTTCGGTTTTTTTAGGATGATTGAAACTACATGGATCGGAAAGTTCGTGCTTGACCATCTCGAGAGACCGTTTTAATCGCTCGTTAGGACGAGTTTTTTGCCATGGCGTCCGGGGGTGACTCGGTTATCATCCGAGCCGAAGCCGAGCCGCGCCCGTACGCCGCTCCGCTTCAGCTCCCCCTTCCTGCACCCCTTTCTCCCTTTCTCCCTTCCCACCCATCAACCGACCCCGCACCATGTCGACCGCCCCCAATCCCGCGGACCCAAACTCGTTCAACCACCGCTTCGTGCGGATCCCGACGACCCAACACGTGTACCACGTCGTCGACCAAGCCCCTCTCCACCACCGCGGCGACCTCGCCGATGCGCCGACCTTGTTGCTCTGTCATGGCTTTCCCGATTTGTGGTTCGGATGGAGGTATCGTGAGTTTGACTTCTACCTGGATGATGATAACGGAGGGTGGGAGAGAGTAGAATGTGCGGTCTGGCTGAGGTGATTGGCTTCCCCCCGCTTGTGCTTCCCCACATTGACACCTTGCCTCGACTCCGTCGCAACCACTACGGCGTACCGTCGCCCCACTCGCTCCATCACATCCGAACAGAGATCCACGCCTTCGCCGCTCGAGGTTGGCGCGTGATCTGCCCCTCCCAACTCGGCTACGGCCTCTCTTCCGCCCCCTCGGACCCTTCCCACTACTCGTACAAAACGGTGGCCTACGACCTGAACCTACTCTTGAACGAACTCGACGTCCCTGGACAAGTGATCATGCTAGGCCACGACTGGGGAGGTATGGTCGCTTGGCGATTCACGAATTACTTCCCCCACCGAGTCAAGGCGATCGCATGCGTCTGTACGCCTTACCAAGCCCCCGCTAATTCGAAAACGCCGATCATCTCGGACGAAGAATTGATCCGCCAGTACCGACCCAATTTTGGCTATCAACTCGCTTTCAAGAAGGCCGGGATGGCGAACAAGTTGGATCAAGTCGGTGATGTGTTTTTGGAACCGATGCATTCGGCGAGGTTCAGACGTCGACCGAAGGAGGCCAAACCCGAGGGAAGCGAGATGAGCTCTTGGGTTCAGGATGGGAGGTTGGAGAAGAGCGTCGAGAGGCAGATCGAACAACGTCGTCAGGGCAAATTGCCCCAACCTGATCCCGAACCAGTGAGTGACTCCCAAGATACCTCTCGACTCGATTTCATCACCCCCCACCCCCCCCCCCCCCCCCAAGCTGAAAATCCTGACTCCCCTAACCCCCTTCTCAGGAACTCGATTTCTACCTCTCAACCTACTCTAAAACCGGTTTCGCCGGCCCGTTGAACTGGTACAAGACGCGTTCCATAAACCAACTCGAAGAAGTCGCCTCGAACCTATCCCCCACGTTCCCGCCCCACATCCCCGCTCTCCAATTGCCCGCAGCGTTGGACGCGGCTTTGCCTCCCGAGATGTGTCTAGCCCCCGCCGTACTCAAGTGTTTCCCAGGGGGGAATCTGGAAGTGAGGGTACTTCAAACGGCTGATCATTGGTGTTTATCCGTAAGTGATCGAATTTATTTCATTGTATTGGATGAAGTAATAATTGAAAGCATCCGTAATCTATCTCGTTGCAGGACGAGAACGAGCGCGGCAAAGTGACCGAGATCTTGTGCGAGTGGATCGAGATGGTCCTCGCGGGCAAGTGGAAGCCGACGGGCAACGTCGTCTCGAACCTCTAAACTATCATCGCGCATCGCGAAAGAGGATACCTTCCATCAAAACGAATGGGGAAGACCAATCTACTTCGGAAGTTTACGGTGCGTGTAGCTCAGAACGACTGAAATTTCGGGAGCTTTACTTGTGGCACTTTTTTGAACGTCATCTCGCCTCGAAACCGTGTGGTGCAAGAAAAGAAAAAGAAAACAGTAATGTCATTTTGAGAGCCCTGCATATTATTGTCTAATACGATCTATCAAAAAAGCAGTCTCGATCTTTCCTTATCGTTTCGCGTATTTCTGTTCAGACAAGGGCGAAGAAACGAAATTAGTCACGTTCACATCGACTGCGCAGCCCGTCTCGCCCGCCACCAAAACTGACCAAGAATCTGGACGCGACGATCGTGACCCCACAATTGAACACGGTGAAAGCGATCAAGATGCCGAGGTCCCTCCACCTCGTATCGAAGCGAATGCCGAGCGGTTCATAAAACTGTTGGCCGAGACTGACGGAGCAGTACTCGCACGCGCTCGACGCGTTCGGGTTGTTGAGATAACCCGCTTTGACGGCTTGTACGAACGGAGCGGCCCATTGCGAGCACGATTGACCCGCAGGCGGTTCAAAGACGGCGAATTCGCGTGGGGTACATTGCACGGGTAGCTCGTAGAGCGCGGTGGCGATGAGCGCGCTGACGATGCGCGTTTGCGGGTTCAGTTGGTATAGCCAATGGAACGCCTTGGGGATGTTGGGAGGAGTGATCGTGATACCACCTGTAGGAATGAGAGGTCAGGGTCCATCAGCGCAAGATCGTGAGAGAGAGAGAGAGGTGCCACTTACAGAAGAGCGAGAGGATGACGAGGATAAAAGGATTCGAAACGGCGGCGATGTAGACCGACGGTGAAAGTGCCGCAACACCTTGACCCTGTGATCATCCAAAAATGAGGGGTCGAGAGTCAGCCACAATTCAAGGATCATGTGCACCTACAGAAAAGCAACTCACCAGCGTCACCGACCAAAGCTCGACGATGAGAATCATAAAGAACTGGAATCCGGCTCGGCTTGATTCGAATTGGAAACCCTGTGTGAGACGACGAAGTGGTGCATCAGCCACCCGATGTTCCGACTCTGGAATGAATCGATGGCACTGTTTGACTCACGATAGGGTAATACAGCAGAAGGAAGAAGCCAACGGCGCACATGATCGAGTACGGCATTTCGGCCGCGAGCTGCGACATCGCAAACACGACCTGCGAATACATACCAGACGACGACTCGCGCACGAACGTCGACCGAGACATGATATACATAGGTTCGACTTGCGAAATGATGATGGCGGGCAAGACGGTAACGTAGAAGATGGCAAAAACGCGCTGCTGCAGACCGCCAAGGTTGTTACCGAGATTCAAGAAGGTGATCGAGACACAGAGAGCAATCGCAAGATGGTTGAACAGTCGAGTGAAGCCGTAATCGGGGGAGCGGTAGAATGCAATAGCTGTGCGATTCGCGACGACCTTGAGCTGGTAAATGAACGGGGTCGCGAACTCTCGATCGGCGTCTTCCGACGAGTCGGCGGGCAGCGCCAAGCTGTGTTGCTTGAGTTCAGCGATCTCCTTCTTGACCTGCCCGAGCTCCTCACTCTCGAGCCAGAGATCGGCCCAGTCCTTCTTTCCGACGGCGCGCGAAGATCCAGCTCCAATTGCTTCTAGCATATCTGTGAGTTCGACATACGCAAGAATCAGCTGACCGGACACAAAAAGTCTAGCTAAAGTTGCAGTACCAACTTACATTCGGCAGGGTTGGCCTTTGGCGGACAGAGAGCACCTCGCTTCGCAAAATAATCCCGAATGACAATCGAGTCCTTGCCGATATCGCCAAAGTAGACGCAACGACCACCAGCTTTGAGCAAAAGCAGACGATCGAACGACTCGAACAAAAGTGCGTTCGGTTGATGAATCGTGCACAAGATGGCTTGACCGGCGGCCGCGAGTTTCTTGAGGAAGCGAGCGATGTTGAGCGCCGATTGAGCGTCGAGACCCGAGGTCGGTTCGTCGAGGAAGAGGAGCATCTCGGGCTTGGCTGCCAACTCGACACCGATCGTGACCCGCTTACGAGCTTCGACGCCGAGACCGAACCCAGGAAAGCCGATGTAAGCATCCGCAAGGTCCTCGAGTTCGAGCAGCTGTATAATCTCTTCGACATAGGCATCCTTCTCAGCTTTCGCAACATGAGCAGGTTGACGAAGGTACGCGGAGAAGCGGAACGTCTCGCGAACGGTCGCAGTGTGCTCGTGAACGTCGAGCTGTTCGGCATAAGCGCACCCACGCTTGAAGCTCCTCGTCGTCGGTCGACCGCCGATCAAAATATCGCCTTCGATGACACCGATGTTCTTGCGAGCGGCAAGCACATCGAGTAGCGTCGTCTTTCCCGCTCCAGACGACCCCATCAAAGCCGTCAGCGTGCCCGGCTTGACGTATCCAAACACATCATCGAGCAACTGACGACGCCCACCGGGGACGGGGACGGTGTAGCGAAGGTTCTCCCACGTGAAAGGCTTCGAATTGGATCCGATCGACGCAAGGTCCTGCTCCTCTTGGCCCTTGCGCTTGGCTTCACGCTTCGCAAGCAACTTCTCGTTGAGATCCTTCGTTTCGGCCGTCTCCTTGGCGAACACATTAATCGCCGGTGCGTCGGCGCCATGCTTGAAACGCTCAACGGCCCAAGACTGGAAGACGTTGAAGCCGATGAAGAAGACGAGCGTAAGACCGAAGTTGCGCCAAAGGTGGCTAACCTCGTATTCGTATGAGACACGGAGGTAATCCGCGCCGGCGACGAAAGGCTGGCCCGGCTGCGAACCGAGCAATGTGCAGACCTGGTTCGGGCCGAGTGTGGTCGGGTACTGAGTCAATCCACCGACTTGACGAGGCGTGATGTAGGCGTTTGAGCACGCCAGCTGGAGGTCCTTGAACTCGTTCATCATCGCAGCCGCGAAGGCTGAGAAGCAAAAGAAGAGGGCCAGAACGAGTCAGTTTGAGATGCTGCGTGAAAGACAAGATTCCTCAAATGCTAACGCACCATAGTTGAGCGGATTGAGGTACGTCAGCCAGAACAGCCATCGCTTTTGCGAGTAGATGGGAATGAGGTAACCCGAGTAGGTGATCATGAGCGTGATGAGGATCGAAGCAAGACGAGCGGCGACGTCGAACGAGGCCGTCAGCGTTCCGATGAGACGGAAAAAGGCCGCCAGGGAGAAGAAACCGGCGAGCACGATGACGTAGAAGGTGAAGAATGCGCTCGCGGTCGAGGTCAGACCGGCCATGAAGTAGATTATGACGCAGAAAAGAAAGATGGACAAGATCGAAAACGGCGCATCGGCGACAGTCGCGGCCAACGTCACGGCGGCCGGTCGATGGAACGCAAAGTTGGCGTGCTTCCACATGATGGGTCGACCGAGCATCTGCGTCGGCAGCTCGTTAAAGGCCTGGAAAGCGTTAAAGAGCAGCGCGATGAAGATGGCACCACCACGAGTGAAGGCACCTTCGGCCGTCGCCGGGATCTGGAAGTAACAGGCACCCGAAATGATGGCGATAATGATCGTTGTCGAGAAGGAGACGCCTAGATCGAGACGGTTCTGCAACTTGAGTTCGAACTGTCGCACGGCCAACGCTCGGACCTGACTGAGCAGCGAGACTGTGTAAGGACTGGTCTTGCGCACACCGCGATGCTTGTCGGTCAACACGGCTTGGCGGAAATCATCGAGTCGCGCCTTCTCCTGCTCGACCTCGTAGTTGAAAGCTTCTCGTTCGCGCTTCATGCGCGCATGGATCTCGCTCTTCTTGAACGCCTGCTCGAGCTGTTCAGGCGTAGACGGTACATTTGATTCGTCGCGACCATCGGCCAGCTGCCGCTCGTTGGGGTCCGTGCACCCCGTCAAGAAATCGGCCGTTGTCGATCGAGGTTGATCCTTGTATCCGAGTGAGACCATATACGCTCGTGCTTCCTTGGCCGGCCCAAAGTAGACCTCGCGACCTTCGTCGATGAGCAAAATCTTGTCAAACTGCTCGACTATGCCCTCACCGGCCTGGTAGAGCGTCACGAGCGTCGCGGTCCCAAAAATGTCGGTCAAGATCCTTAACGACTTGGCGTAGTCGAGCGCAGTCGAGGCATCGAGCCCGCGGGTCGAGTTATCCCAGCAGGTGACGGAGGCGCGGCCGACCATCATTTCGGCGATACTGACGCGCTTGCGCTCTCCGCCTGAAACACCGCGGACTTGAGCGGATCCTACTTTGGTGTTTTTGGTGTGCGAGATACCGAGCATGTTGGTGAGAAGATCGAGGACGTTCTTCTTGAACTCCGCAGCCGACTCGTCGGGTAATCGCTTGCCCGGCGTTTTCAAGCTCAGTGCGAACGTTCTTAAAAGATCGAATGCAACGGCAAAGGGGTCAGCATTCGGAAAGAGGGGCACAGTCGATCGAACTCCCAAACCGACTCACAACGTCTGAGCAACGGTTAACTCGGCATGGTGCACATCGTCCTCCTGGTTGTAGACGACTTCTCCTTTGTACCTTTCGCCCATTTCGCTCGCGGGGATGCCACCGTAACTGACATCGCCTTCAACGCCGAGGTAGCCCCCACGCTGATTCGCGATCGTCTTGAGGAAGGTCGAGCAACCCGATCCCGGTCGGCCGAGGACGAGACACATCTCGCCCGGTCGGACGAACCCGTCGAAAGAGTGGAGAAGATTCTTGGGCGCGGACTTGAACATCTTGGTGTGCTTGAGCACCATGAAGACGGGCGAGAGTACGAATTCCTTGATCGCGTCGGGGAAGGTTCGGATGTAGATCTGTGGACGTAAGGGGTTTGAGGCGTCAGTTTGCCCGCTCGCTGGGCGTTTTCGTTCCTCACGCGCATGAACTGACCTTCATGCCTCCGACACCGATGACCCTCAACCCCTCCCAGGTGACGCCAATCTGCTTCTGCTTGAAACCATGCGCCTTCCTCGCCTCGCTCCCGGAATGCAAATACTCCCTCAGGTCAAAGTCGTCCTCCGAGTCTTGATCGTGCTGCTTCTCGAGGTCGGCGCCGTTGCCCGCGGTCAGGGCCGAGTCCCTCGTACGCGCACGGTGGATCGAGCTCGCGCGACTCAGCTCCCTCTGCAGGGACTCGAACTCGGTTTTCCCCTTGGCGACGTTGACATTTTGGACGTGGTCGCCATGAGGTGTTGAGTGGTGGGCATCGCTCGTGGACGCGGTCGAGGACGAGTACGACGAGGGCGACGACTCGTGCGAAGATGACCGCACGGTGGTGGTGGTGGTGGTGGTGGTGGTCGCTGGGGCCATCTCAGCCGCGGGATGATCGGTCGTCGCCTCCGAGACGAGCGCCGCGTTCTCCCTGTTGGGCGCAGGCAACATACCCGCTAGCGCAGCCGACATGTTTGACACCACGCGTGGGGGTTGAGGAGTTCGAGGTGGGAAGACGAGAGGTAGGAAGAAGGAGGGAGGGCGAAAGGGAAAAGGAAATTGAGAGATGATCGATCTCTGGGCTCCGGCTGGCTCGCTTGGGTCGCCGGCTTGCTCGGCCGAAGAAAAAAAAGAACTGGATATTTGTGGAGGCGCGCCGCCAACCCGTTCGGGCGATGTCAGTTCCAGTCAGGTGGAGGATGGGCAAAGTGGTGTGAAGGTAGACCCAGATGACTTTGTACGATAGCTGAACCCGCCGGCGGTACGACGCTGACACCTGAAGTAGCTCGAGCTGTCACTCACCTTTGCACTCCTTTGATGGTGCTTGTTCGTATGTTTAGAGCACAACCACCTCTTCTTCCCTCGTCGTGTGCCAGCGCGAGTCCGATGTAGGCTTCCAGGGCCGAGTCAGGTTGTTCGAGTCAGGCTCGCAGAGTCCGGAACCCACGCGCTTTCCGGTCCCTTCGCCCATTCCGCGCGCGGCCGCCAAAACTCGACCGCGGCTTTGTGCGGCGCTGACTCACCCACCCCACCGCTCTCAATGTCCGAATGGCTTGGCACAGATTTCGGAGAAGTGGGTGCTGCCCGATCCATTCGGCGACATGGACCGTGACTCTCGGAGTACCCGATTGAAGAAATCTTGACCCACTACCGATACATTGCCTTCTTGAAGCACGTCGTTCACTCTGCAGGGATAATCTACGACTTCCTTGTAGCGTCTCACAATTCAACGACGCGTCACATTCACCAAAGTCACAACCGTGCCAAGTCAAAGTCGATTGCGCGAAATCAGCCCGCTCTCGTCACCGCGTGCGTCACGCCGATTGACCCACGCACGCGCTGCTCAGTGACAAGGGTGAATCGCGGATACAAATAATGATCTTCAAGCGGCACTTGCATCGCACAGAGTACCCATTCGTACGCCAGATGGTACGATATGACATCATCTCAAGCAAGTGGTCTACCTCGCTACCCCGCTACCCCGCTACATTACATTAGGCGTCTCCGTCGTCTCACTTGCCTCCCCGCTTGGCCTCTTCCTTCGTCTGCGTGATGACACCAAAGTTCTCCGCGACCTTCATCCCGAGCTTCTTCATACGTTCAGCTTCGACGCGTTCCCTCTGCACACGCGCCAACGCTTCCAGTCGCGACTTGTCGAGGAATGTCTCCGTCTGCGTCGGCACGCGACGGTGCGAAGCTCGGATCGCTGTCGAGATGGGGAAAGGATGCGAGAGAAAAAGGGTCAGGGTCAGTCTGAATCAACAGACGAACATTTGAACTGCACACACATTCAAGATCGGCATTGGGGTCGTATCTGTCGCTTGTCACGCCCGTCTCTCCGCCTCGGATGGCATTCATCTGCAAACATCGACAAGGCCAGTAAGCGACCTCGATGGTTCCCCGTCTCGCCTTTTAGGAGGTATCGCCGACTTGCCCTTGCTTCGTACTTGTCCATGTTGTAGTATTTCTCGTGCGGCAGTGTCCCCGTATTGAAGTCCTCCATAAACTCCTGTGTGCTCCCAGTTCATTATCACATGAGCCTCCGCACGACCCAGGTCAGGTCTCGCGTGCAGATGCTGGAACGTCCGAGAACGCACCTTGAAGATCTCCTTCTCCTTGGCCTTGGACATGGTCTCGGGGTTGAGCATTCTCTCCCCGACGAGCCAGGCCCGGAACTCTTGATCCTTTTGGTAAATCTAGAGGGCGAGGAGGGACGATGAGACCGTGTCGGATAGGATCAAGCACGTCTCCTGGCGCAGACTCACGTCGGTCTCGGTCAAAATGCCATGCTTTCCCCATTCGATCGTCGCAAGACCCTTCTTCTTTCGATCCTTCTGTACATGAGTAAGATATGTATCAGGAACCACTACTTGCAACGCCCTTGGCAATGGACTGACCTTGTCCTTTTTGTCCTTTTTGTCCCTCTTCTCCTTCTTCCTACGCCTCCTCTCCTCCCTCTCGGACTCTGTCTCATCACGATGCCTCGAGGATCGATGGTGCCTCCCACTACTACTCCCGCCCCCACTCTTGCGTCGGTCCTTGCGGTGTCGTTGACTCCCGTCGGACTCGGAGTCGGACGACGATCCATCCGACGGGCGCGAGCGCGAACGGGACCTGCGTCGACGTCGATCCTCATCGCGGTGGCGGTGACTTCGTGATGACGATGAATGATGATGTTTTTCCTTCCCTTCCCTATCCCTCTCCTTGTCATCCCGATCCCTCCTCCGCTCCGGCGACCTCGAGCGTGACCTCGACCTCGAGCGATGCCTTGACCGACGATGCCCCTCTCCTCTCGCGTCATCCCCTCGAGGCGACCTCGACCTCGACCTCGACCTCTCCTTCCCATCATCGCCATTCCTCCTCGAGTCATGTCGCCGATCCCCACTGGACCTGTGCTCATCCCCGTGCGACCGATGGCGCCCGTCCCGCCTACTACCATGCTCGCTATCTCGCTCCTCTCGTCTACGATCACTCCGCTGACCCTCTGTGTCGTGGGTGGACCGACGAGTCGTGTCGGACATGCTCGATGGTACGTATGCAGGCGGTGAAGAGGGGGGCGGGTTCGAGCCGCGAAGCTTGGAGGAGTTCGGTCGGAAGCAGAGCCACACGAGCACGCCTGAGCGAACAGGCTCACGAGAGGGGGCTATTTTCAACAGTTTCCAACCGAGGTGAAGCCGAGTATCGCGATGCGTGTATCAAAGTGTGATCACAAATGAATATATTCCAAGTCCTCGACCATGCAATGTTAGAAATATACCCAGCTCCGTGAAATTTCAACTTGTACCAAGCCCGTAGATCCTCACCGCGAACTTGACCCTCGAAAATCACTGCTCTTTTTCAAACTCATGCTCGATCCTCTCGACGTTCGAATCGCCGAACGTATCATACTTCTCGATCGTCCTCGTGACCTGCACCTCGAACTCGACCCCCGACCTCATCCCCTTGCGATGCTTCTTGATCATCGATTTGGGCATGAAACCCCCCTGATCGGGATCCTGATCCTCCTCAAGCGCTGCCACACCATGATGATCTCCCTTTTCCAACTCGGCCAATTCGAGATCGCCGCCGGTCGCATGGCCCGCGTGGCCGTTCGATGAACCGCTCTGTTGGTTCCTCGGCTCGTTGGAGCGCGTAAAGATCGTACTGACGGGATGCGCTTTGGAGTTCGCAGGGTCGGAACCGATTCCGCCGTGGCCATGGATTCCCGTTCCGTTCTCTTGACCGGACCAGGCGTGCGCGGTCGAGCCTTCGGTCAGGTCGTCGCGCGAGTTGACTGGTCAGGGGGGAAGATTTTTTAGAAAACACCCGGGGAGATGAATGAATGCAGCAGTCGAGATTTAGAACGAAAGGATGACCGTACTTACGCGCATAGAGCACACACATGGAGTACACGCTGGCCAAAGGGACCGCGAAGAGCATCCAGATCTGCAACACGGATACTTTTTGAGCCTCTCCAACAACAACCACCCCGCCCCCTGAACGTCCGGGAAGTAAGTCACCGCGCCGACACTGAAAAACTTACCGCGACCTTGGTATCGCTGATCTCGAGAATCGCCATGAGGACGGCCATGATGGCTCCTGGGAAGCATATCGTGACGGCTGTAGAAGCGATTTGTCGGATCACGTTCATGTCGAAACTGACGATATAACGGCGGGAGGGACGATTGTCAACGAACCCAAAAGAGGCCAGGACAGGTCAGCGGGCAGACGTCACTTAGATCATGTATTTAGTCAAAAGTCTAAGCTTACCGAGAGGTGGGTTTCAGCTTCTTCGCCTTCAGCACAAAGTAAGCCAGGATGAGGGAAAGGTAGACATCGACGGCCTGCGAGACATGCGCACAAGTCCGATGATGAGTCCTTCGGCCGCTACACCGCGGGCCGAAGTGGACGAACCGCGCAGGAGACCACCCAGGGAGGGATCCACTCTGTGACGCTCGTGGCGGTAGCTACAGCCTTAGGATCCAACACTAAGGTGTTGGTCATTATAAACATTAACCGCGGGGCCCTCAGCATCGGAATCGGCCAAGAAATCAGCGTCGAAGACACTTACCGCGCTTGCTGGCGAAGACGATGAAGAGTGCCAAGGAAAGGAGGGAACCGGCGGCGCCGACGAGCGTCGGAATGATCATATTCTCCGTAATCTAAGCCAACCACACGATTATTATCAGTATTATTGCCCCCCGAACTAATGCTCAAGTGACTGACGACCCAGATTTGGAACGTGAGGAAGCACTGCGCGGCAAAGTGCGGCACCTCCGCAAGGATGGTTCGAGAGAGCAGCAGATGTGCGATTATCGAAGACGGGGGATCGCCGACGGCAAAAATGTGCTGTATGAAGGCTAACATTATTAGTGTCGCCTGGCCCAACAGCTATGCTTTTCATTACGATCGCAGAGCCGAGATGGAGTGGGCATGAGAGCCATGCGCTTGGCAACTCACATCACGATACACGTTTTCGATGTCGAGCACCGATTTGGCACAGAGCGCTAAACCGATGACTACCAACACGATCCTGTGGGAGGCGAAAATAGGAAATAAGCACCATTTAGATCCCCTCGTGTTATTCACGCGTCGCGCCTTCGCAACATGCAGTGCTAAGCGGCGGGCTAAGGACCGACTTGCCTACAAAGAAGAGGATCCGGCGTCGACCTAGCGAAGTAGTGCGACGCTTGGACGCACAGGATCCCGATAACGAAAGTTTGCAAGAACACGCCAACAATCATAGGCCCTGCGATAATCGCCCCCTTTCAAAGTCAGCTCTTCCCTCCTTTGCTCTTCCAGCCGGTGCCGAACTCGCTGGAAGCGGTCCGTGAGTCCCTCGCCACAACGAAGAAGTTTGTACGTACCAAAGAGGCGATCGAGCATGGTGATCGTCTGCTGAGGTGTCATGGGTGATTGGGCTGGTGTCGACATGATGGCTGGCGCTGTGGTAGAAGTATGCTTTTGTCGTGGTCGAGAGTCCCGCGGTTGTGAAACAGTCGACACGTATCAGGTCGCCCCCGTGATTAGGGGTAAATGACTCAGTTGGCCGTCGGCAATTGCTCGCTGCTATGGGATCGTGCGCCGTGGGGGTCTTGTTGAAGGGAATGGCCCAAGTTGGATACACGAAGAGTGGTGTGAGGTGTATGCGGCAGAGGAAAGAAAGAGGTCTGACGGGGCCGGCAGCTGCCGGCAGTGCCATAAGACCGGAAGTGTGGCTGAACACTGCTGATGCCGTGCGAACCGTTGGAGACTCGGTAGGGTGAAACTGGGCCAGCGGATCCGAGCTGGCTTCCGACGCGCTCCTGTCTCCTGAGCAGATGCCGAGTTACAAGGCCGAGTAGCGATGCCGAGAGGGCAGACGGCAACGCCGAGAGTAGCGAGCGGATGGAACAAACTCGAGCTTCCTTCAGGAGTACTTCGAATAAAGGCTCTTTCGGACACGACGTAAAAGCGCTTAAGTTTAGCTACTTGGTCCGCACCGCGCTTCCTACGAAGGAGTCGAGCCGGGGAGGACAGTGCGGGCAAAACGAGCTAGAGCAGTTTTTCCCCTATCTTGCTTTCTTGCGGTGGGACCTCGTCTGGCCAACTTCATGTTGAATTGCATTCTATCAATCCTTCGAACACTTCGACATCGGGCCGCCGTTTGACGGGCTTGTCCGCCTTTCGCCTCGCGCCTCCGCCTCAGCGCCTTGCCTCCGCGCGCCTTCGCCTCAGCGAGCCTCCGCCGCGCCCCCTGTCCCTCCGAGCCTCGTGGCCTGATACACCCGACCAGTCTCGCCCCCTCGACCCATGTGCACCGTTAGTCAACCCGTCCACATCCTGGTCCGTCCAGCCCGCACCGCGTCCGTCGTGTCAGACCACGCCTGTGCCGCTTCGCCGTTTTTCGTCTCGGCGCCTTCGCCTTCGCAGCCAAGCCGCTGCCCCTGTTCGCCGCCTGCGCGCCAGCCTATTCAACTCACGCTCGTGCGCCGCCGCCTCACACGCCGGAACTTTGTCAATCTACCTCTCCTGTCCTTACCGATCCGTTGCCTCCGCCTAGACACCGTCAGCTTGCCATCACCGCCCTCATGTTTCATCGGCCATCCAGAGCATCGCCCATGCATGACGCCCGTTCGCAACCTTTGACCTGTCGCCCAGGACTGCCCCGCTCGCCAACACTCGACCATGGTAGATGAGTTTCCCCTCGTGTTCGCTGTCCAACACAGCCCCTCTTTAGAGTTCTAGTTTGCATTGTGCCCGTCCAGTTGCCTTAGATAGCCTGCGCGCCCCCTTGCTAGAACCTCGCCCGACTCGCGCGCTCCAGCGCCTCTCTCCCTCTTCTCTATCGTTTCACTCGCCTATCGCCTATTCAGATTGCTGAGTTTCCGTAGAGAACAGGTTCGTTGCAAATGCATAATCGTTTCACTCGCCTATCGCCTATTCAGATTGCTGAGTTTCCGTAGAGAACAGATCGCTCGGCTGCGCCGCGTCCGTCCCTCCAGGCCGCGTCCTCACCGCCTCGCGACTTCTCGACCGGGGAGCACTTTGCCACGCCGTCCTGCCTCGCAACCTCCCGAAACGATCCGGCTCGTGCCGTCACACGAATCCCCAGCGACCTCCGGTCCCAACTTAACACTTCAAACGCCGCTGGCGCGGACTCAGTGCCATCACTGATGATATTGAAGCCCTTGGTTCATGTAGCGCAGCGTTGTACCCACCATTGTCTTCATATCATGTGCCCGCTTATCTAAATCCGAAAGACCGTGACGGTCCCGATTACTTCTGCTCGAACGATATCGGGTTGAGTTCAGTGTCTCCTTTCCTCTGTTTCAGTCCCGGTGAGCCTCAAACCCTTGTTCCAACTTCGAATCGTATCAATCGAACCTCTCGATCGCCCTCGTCTGCACAATCTCAAACTTGATGCACTCGTCTTCCCTCAACTTCCGAATCCTCCGCCGCGACTCCGAGAGCTTGTTCTCAATTTCGATAAGCTCCCAACTCGACGTCAAACAGACGGCGCTTTGCCACAGGTTCAAGCGGTAGACCTAAGAGCCCTTTATTTACGAGGGAGACGGAATTTGGGCATGTGGGAGCCTGGTCGCCTCGAGGTTAGAGGGCTCGACAAAAACGTATTGCGAAAGGGGTCGGCGAGCCCGGCGATCCTCGTTCCTAAGTTGTAGTCATAGTTTCCACGCTTGTCCTTGTTCAAAAGCTCTTCCTGCGCAGAGGCAAGTGCGAAGGCCTCGAATCGAGCTCAAACCACTCAAGCCCCACGTTCCCATCCGCGACTACCTCGGCCCCAGATGGCCGTGTGTGCCCGCCCACTGCAAGGCTCGACACTGGGAGTGCAAAGGACGAACCGGACACTTCAGCACGTGCTGCTTGCAGGGTAAGGTGCAGCTACCTCCTCTCTCCGGCCCAATCCCGAGTATCAATAGCTACTTGAAGGCTCGGATAGCGGCCAGTTGCTCCGTCCAACGACATTCGTCTCACATGCTGAACTGTGCGACCCACCTACACAGAAGCTAAGGCATTCCGGCGTTCCGCGAGAATGCCCGGTCGTACAACAACGCGCTGTCGTTCACTTCGCTTGCTGCTCACTTCGACCAGATACGACTCGGCACTTTAGGACCCCCGTGTTCGCGTGTTCGGTCATCTCTATCATCGACTCGGTGCCCTGATCCCCGCCGTGAATCAACGCCCAGCCTTTGCTCAGACATGGCTCATCGACCCGGTCGAGGCCACCGACACTCGACTTGGACCCAACAGCCCAGACCGTCGCATACAAAGATCTATGTTGACCAAGCTCGAGTCCAAGTTGCGTACCAACAATCGCTTTGTGAGGCTGTTTGCATTGACCAAAGCTCGTGCAGGTTGGGATACGGCCAAATAGTGGATCCTGCGCCTCTGCCTCCCGCCAGGCTGAGACCGACGCACCCACAACCTTCCTACGTCGAGCACGGAAATGGCGATACTCATCTGCGATTCCGACACCAACACGGGAGATCGTGGACGTCAAGACCTTATTCTCCAGGTGCACGGTGATCGATGTCCCGAGGGTCGGCCCAAATACCAAGTCGTTAGCTCGCTCCATCCGTCCGCGATGCCTCTCCGTTACCCATTACTTTTTCCTGCAGGGGAAGATGGCTTCCACCCCAACATTCCTCTTTGCGGGTTCCACCAAGCCGGGCCGCCAATCGCCAGAAACCGAGAGCAGATCGACAATGGTGTCCAATTGCGCGAGGTACTTGCCGGTCTCGGTCTGGATGACGAAGACGTACAGGAGGACGAAGACCGCGACGATGAGGATGAAGACGGCGAGGAAGGGGACGAAGAGAATGGTGATGGTGAACGTACGCGTCTTCGGCTCTTTCTCGGATGTTCCATTCTGTCTAAGGCGCAAGCACAGACTGACATTGAACTTTTGAACACCTAGGACGAAGGTCAAGTAAAGGGGTCGAGGTCGAGGTGGCGAGTCTCGCGTTCACAATTCTTTGCGCACTACTTGCCAAAGGCGACAAGTACTTCTCAATCCCGCATTGCACCCAACGTCCCTTCCTGGAGTTTGTGATTTACGGATGTACTCCCAAGTCAAGACCGATTGACTCAACACATCCGGTTGCATCAAGAGAACCTACACCTCACCACGACCCAAGGCATCAACGGCTTGACCCCGAACCAAATCGCGACATCACGCAGCGATACCAGGATGCGATGGCGTGCGTTGTCAAACATGGAAAGCCTCCGCTGCTCATCACGATGACGTACGACCCCGACTCACCGGAAATTAAGGCTGCACTGGGGCCGATAAAGCATGCAACCGTCCAGATCTCATTGCACGAGTGTTTGAAGCCAAGCCCGGCAACAAGCGACATGCAGGCTGTTTCGGCGATGAATGTAAGATGAATAGATTTTGTTTCTTTGCTGTACTTCGTATTGTGTTTTCTTAACCTCTGCGCTGATATCATGTAGACTGTTCGATTATCCTGCTATTTTTTTGAATTTCATCCTCCCGTTAATTTAACGGGTTCCCACTGGTGGTCCATAAGCGCTATAGCGAAGAAACCGCAAGTCGAGTTTAAAAATCTAGAGCCGACTCGCGCCAGTCTCGCGCCCGACTGCAGTCGGATCGGTTAAAAAATCCGACGGCGTGCCGACTCGCGCCCAACTGCCCGTTCCCTAGAGTGCATAAGCCGCCCCCCGCGCAGGTCTTTCTAGCCAAGCCCGCTCCTCCAGCCTTGTCAGTTCCGCACCGCTTGCCGCTGCTGTACCAGTTCATCGCTGTGTACCTCTGCCACCCTCCTGCCAAGGTTGGTGTCCGTCCTCGAACTCTTCCTGTCACTACGCCTCAGGCTGACAGGTTCCGAGTCTCACACAGGACCTTCCCCAGCGATCACGGACGCACCTACCCCTGTCTGCAGCCCCCGCCCTACGCCTGCCAAGCGTAGCCGTGCCTCTTGCCATTGAGTACCGCGTCTCGCTCCTAGAGCTAAGGTACATCGCCATTCCTCTCCCGGGCTCTGCCCCAGGGTACTCCTACTCACAGCTGTCCTTGTTGGGCATGCTGACTTACTTGGGTATGTACCTCGCTACGCAGACAATCCTCTTCACCCAACGTGCCAGCGTTCCGGGTTGATTATCTCTGTTCGTACGCGTCGCGCTTTCCAAGCAAAGGTATGCCAAGTCTTCCCAGTCATTTGCAGTAATCCTAGATACTGATAGGAACCGCGACAGTGCACTCAGAGGATTCATCGGTTAAGGATCTATTTCATACAAATTCACACCTGACTCTAATGTATTTAAATATTTAAAGGTTAGCTCAGTTCAACGGTAGAACATTGAAAACGGGTAGACCTAAAGTTTTAAATCTCATTCATAATAGCAGCAGCTTGCTTGAATAAATCACCTCGCCCCCGACGCCTGTCTAAACCCGACCGAATACTCCTTCAGCGGCCCACATCGATCGGGCCTCAGCTCGAGCGCGTCCTTGGCCCATTCGCGCACCTTCTCGACCCGTCGATGACTACTCGGGTGCGTACTCAAGAAATCCATATTGATGCCTTTCTTCTTGCCCGACCCATCGGACGAGGCACCCCCCTCAGCAGCTTCCATCCTCTGCCACAGCCCCTCTGCCGCACGAGGGTCGTAGCATGCCGCAGCGGCGAGTTGGAGGCCGATAAAGTCGGCTTCGACTTCGTTCTTGCGCGAGTTGGGGAGCGTCATGAGGAGGTTGAGACCGACGCGCGAAATGCCAGGGTCGATGCCGAGCGATTCGAGCAGGATCGACAGACCAAATAGGACCTATGGGGGATGCCGTCTGATCAGACCTCGTGCTGAAGATCACAATCACGACAATACCTACTTTGAGAGAGGACATGCGCTCAGCGGAATGTCGAGCGACTTGATGTGCGATTTCTGCAGTCGATTCCGGGAAAGGCTCGTCAGAACAAGCAGACGACATCGTACAGATACTCGGCGGAAGTGCTCCCACCATGGCCCAAGATGACTGCTAGACCATCGGCGTCTCTCGCAATGGGCAGAATGCCTGGAACGAATTCAAGACGTCAGCTTCATGATGTCAGCAGCGAGCAACGCCACGCCGAAGCTGACCTGAAAAGACGAAAATCTTTCCTCCGGGGAGGACGAATGCGTTCCTTTGTTCATCCCGAATGACATGCGTCTCCCATTCTTTTGCCGAAATGTGACCTCCCCCAGTATGGGCGTGCAGCTCATTGGCCTCGACGATCCTCTTGACGACGCCCTGTACGAATCGGGCCGTCGGATCCGAGTCGGGCACGATCTGGCGCCTGTACTGCCTCATGATCTCGTTGTACGACTGCTGGCCCATCTCGACCTCTTGCTCGGGCGTGACGTCGATGAAACGCAATCGACCCGTCCTCTCGACACGTTCGAGGTTGGCGACATAGTAAATTGTCCCACCTCCCAAGCCGAGGGCGACGATCGCCGGTGGTCGACGGAATCGGGACAAGAGGCCTGGACCGAGCGCTGGACCGCGCGACTTGGCCGACTGGCCTGATCGTCCGCCGGCACCGCCTAAGCCAGGTAAACCAGGTATGCTCGGTATCCGGAATGGAGAAGCGGTGGATGTAGCGGAAGCCTGTTCCGATGCAGCCCGTGGTGGAGGCGGAGGCTCCCGTGGGTCACCAAAGCGGCGATACCGCGGCGGAGGAGCTCTTGGTGCAGCCAACGAGGAGAAAAAGGTCTGGCCTCTCAACGGCTTCGAGGTAGGTTTCGTCTTGGATGCGAATCTGACTAGCGGCGCCAGCTGTGGTCGCTGCATGCTGGGCCGACGAGCGACGGGGCACTGGGACGAGTGGGGCGAGTGTCGGCGATGACGTAGGCAGCTGGCAGGCAATGTTGGGTGTAGAGGCCGTAAGGGATCAGCGGTGGCTGGATAGCCGACAAGTATCGACCGAGGTCAACTCCAAGCGAGTGAGTCGGATGAGGTTCAGGTTTGTAGCGGGTGCGAGCGGGACGAGGTTGGAAAGGAACGTCGTCGAGCGCCAAATCGGAGCGTCGACGTCGGCGGGCCGTGTCGTGCCGTGTCGCTGAAGTGCTTACGTCTCTCTCCTGCTGACGTTCTAGGCAGGCTGTTCGGAGCCGTTCCATGGCCCAATTCGGTTGTAGGAATTTGTTCCGATATAGTACATGTTTCATACTGTTGTTTCGTAACATACGAAGCACCACTACTTTCGGGAAAATCACGTGCGATGCGCTCGCTATGTCGCTCGCAGTCTGGAACCTCCCCAAACCGTCCGGAAGACGGAGCTCTGCTCGTCATTCCAACAACAACAAGATCCAGCTTTACCTCTTCTTAACGACCTTGACCCTCTTTCCCTTCCCACCATCCTGCACGATCTCAAAAATGTCCTTCTTCTGCCCACCCTGTTTCGCATTCGAGACTGTAGGCGCTGGCCGTTCCTCGATCCTCTCCAGGCCCGGGAACAGCTCGTACGGGTTCTTACTCGCCTCGGGGAAGGGGTCTTCACCCGTGACCAGCGATCGCGCGAGGCGATTCTTGGACGACGTGCGTTTTACCGGAGTCACGACGAGGTCCGAGACGGAGAGCGGGGCAATGGGCTTGTTTTGGCGGCAGTAGGATCGGAACGCAACGGCTTCGGCGTGGTCCGAGGATTGCGCTCGCAGGCGAGACTCTTGCAGTGCGAGTCGATCGAGGCGGCGCTCCTGCGTGTTTCAAGTAGGCTGGAATGAGGATAGTCGTCGGAGGTAACGAACAAAATCTTCAATCGGACTGACCAGTACCGCCCGCTCGACTTGGAAATCCGCCTCCCTTACTTTCTGCCATGCCTGGTGTCTCGGGCACTCTTTCCTCGGCCACATGCACACGTTCTGCAATTCATCTTCGTCCAGGCCCATCAGCGATGCACCCGTCGTTGGCGTAGTCGCCCCTCCTTCCGTCCGCGCCAACGCATCAGCTTCAACTTTTTCGAACACTTTCCTCGCCTCGTCCGTTTCGATCCACTCTTCCCAGACGGGATCGTCCAGAACGATACGCGAGTCGAAGCCGCATTGTGCTTCGGGAAGGTTGATTGCCAGTATCGGCTTTTTGGGTCGGTTGGCCTTGGATCCCTTGCCCTTGTTGCTCCTCTTCTTGGACTGTGCTGGCGCGTCAGTTGTCGACGGATTGGGTGTCGAGACTTCCTCCTGTTTGTCTCCGGTCGGCGGGTGCGCAGGCACGTCGTTATTCCCTTCATTCCCTTCATTCCCTTCCTGCGCCAACGCATCCGCCGTTGCTTGACACAAAGCTTCCCATCTGCTGATGGCGATCTGGAGGTATACCAGCCGCTTATCGATCAACCCCTTCTCCCTCAGCAACACCTCCCTCCTCCTCTCAACCTCGTCCAACTTGGTGTCCAACTCGGCACGGACGAACCGATCCTCTTCGTTCTGACGCTGCAGACTCTCCTCATCCAGCGCCGAATTCCACTTCTTGCCCCTCATCGACGATTCCTCCTCGCGGTCGTCCTCTTCCTCAGGCATGATCGTCGGATCCCCACCAGGGACAGGCGAATCGACATGCAAGACCTGGGCGCACCTCTTCCTCGCGCCGGCGACATAGGTCCAATACCTCTCCGGATCCGTCTTGGCGGCCTCGATCCGAACCGACGCCATCTCGATGCCACAAAAGTCGGAACAAAACTTGGACAAGGGAGCGACGGCACGGGGACAGGTCGGTCGCGCGCAGCGAGCTTTCCACGTCGTGTGTTTGCCGTACGCTGTAGGTCGAAACATACACGAAAAGTATAGCTGGTATTAGCTTTGATGACGAGATGGGCTTTGCCCTCCTTTGTTCGCTTACCTTCGGTGCATGGAGGGCAAAAGAACCAATCGACGAGTTCGACCATGTAGTCCGGGATGTGCACGCACTCGAGATGGTACCAATTCTCGCATCTGCGTTGTGGGGTGAAAAAAGAGATGTTCAGGATCGTGCAGCGGATAGGCTCATCTTGGACGGCACTCACTTGTCACATGCAATCATTGTCCTCTGTCAAAGGGACGGAACGATCAGCATCTTGGCCTGGGAAACGACCACCTGCTCATGAACGGCCACGGCGGCTGACCTCGGCATCGTACAGCTTCTTGCACACGCAGTACAGTCGATCGTCGGTCTCGTCGTCTTCTTGCGCCTCGGCAGCGGCATTGGCTCCTCCGCCCCCAGCGCGATTCTTCATCATGGCCCTCCTCCTCGCGAGCGCTGCAGCATTCGCTCGAGCCTCCTCATCTTCTTCCTCATCAAAATTCCTCGGTCCGGGAGCTTGGTACGCTGCAAAGGGTGCCGAGAGAGGCTGTGTGGTAGGCAGGACCGTCGGTGGTCCTGCTTCGACGGAAGGGTCAGGGATGATGTGGCCTTGGGCTCGACTGGAGGAGGGAAAGCCAGAAGCAAGCAAGGGCGAGTTGGGTCCCGATCCCGTCGCGGCAAGCCCCGACCTCCCCATGACATTCGACAAGACCGGTCTCCCATTCGCTGCCAAAGACGAGGAAGGTCCGATCCCCAACTCCTTCGAATCCTCTCTCTCCAACTCGCCCCATTCGCTCGGCCCAGGTGAGGCCGTCGGAGTCGACTCGAGCGATCCGGATCCTCTCCCTCCCATCGCGGCGGCATGCTGTGCCGCCGCTGCGGATCGTTTCTCCTTGTCTTTACGTTTTTGAGCGGGAGTGATGCTCGTCCATCGTTTCTTACGGGGCGGCTTGCGGATCTATGTACGAAAGAAAGAGTCGTGGACGGCCCAAGTCACGTGAGCGACCGCCTCGCTCCGGAAGAACCAGCTGTACCCTAACAAACTCCGACTCACCTTGCGCGATACCTGCAGCAGATGAGCAGTCACTTTATCCTCGCCTTGTACCGCATCCTCGGCTTCGACCTCACCCTCCCTTTCCCCATCCTCCTCGTCCGGCTCCCCCTCTTCATCACTAGGGCTCTGACTCGTGCCTGTCCTTCCATCCAGCGCGATCCCAAGCTCATCATGCTCAATCTTGACGGGTGAAAGTCGCGTTCTTTCTTGAACCAAAGCCGCATCGCTCATCTCGACATCCTCGTGTATCTGCATCGACTGAACGGTCAAGGTCGAGGTCGAAGCCTCGGTACCTCCCTGATCAGGCGAAGCAGCAGGTGACATGAGCTGTTCCTTCCTTGGTGGCTGGGTACCTTGATGAATTGTCGTCCACGCTGGTTTCAAAGAAGGCCTCGAGACGACGGTGAGGTGGCGCTGTATTTGAGCCAGAAAATCAAAGCTGAGCCGGCGCGCGGTTCGATGCGATTGCCAAAGAAGTTGAAAGCACCTTCGCTCGCCCCCCGCTGGCCCCGCTCGCGACGACGTGTAGCCTCGTGTAGCGCTTTCGGCTGCTGTCGGCGCCGTGAGTCGCTCTCAGATCCTCACAAATCTTGTCTTGCATGTCTCACCAGAAGCAAAATCTTTAAACAACAGAACAGCTTTTCTCAGTAGCACTCTGAAAATCCCGGACCTTCGACCTAATCTCTCATCTTAAGACCAGATTTTGAAGCAAATGGCAAATGCCATTACTAATAGCCGGTCCAGACGCCCAGGGCCAGCACCGCGGAGGGGAGCTTCGCAGGCAGACACGTTGACCGCTCGAGTGTCCATTAAGCCGTCGGAGCTTACCAACTCTCGCAACACCAAAACAGAAAATGAAACGGGCGATCGTGGATTATATTCTCCAACAAAAGACAGAGCCCCACCTACAAGCCAGACAGAGACAGCGCCGTGCTAGCCAGAAGTGACGGGTAGGAAAAAAACGACCTGTCGCGCCGCCCGCATCACCTAGGACCAACGAACATGAATATAACGCGAGACATTGCGACCCCTCCACGCCGAACATGGCACCTTCGTGAAAAAGGCGTAACCATGGCTTCAGAAGTGCGCCGCACCCAAGTCCCAGGTCGCAAAGGATCGAAAGAAAAGAGGACCCCAAAAAGAGATCCTCTCCTCCGTCCGTCCTTCATCTTGCTCTACAACGACATTTACGGCGCCGTATAGAGCCATCGGAGGACAACGAAGAACCAAACAAGTTCCCGGTCCTCCTATACTCGTGGCGTGCTTTTATATGCGTCGAGGTTATAATTGCGTTTGTTTGTGAAGAAAGCAGGAGGGAGAGCACGCGCGACGGCCACGGGCGCGCAAGGTCGTACGCCGTGCCGTGCGACGACGAAAGATGACGAAATGAAATCGAGAGGCGTGTGGAAACGCACGGACCTCCCGGGAAGTCGGCCTCGTTCCAGAATGGTCGCTAATATTGCTCGGAGCTAGTACCGGGTAGTCCAAGGTATGCGGATCTGTGAGCTTGTAAAATTTTGTTCTTTTGAAATCTTGAAAGAGGCGTAAGGAGGATCACGTAACGGTGCCGGTCGGTCGTACGGCAACCGAGCTCCTTTCGGAAGACGGGCAGCCCAAGGCCGGGCCAGCTTTGACAAAGTTGACCCTCTTGTGCAGTGGTCTTCTTCGATCATCTGCTCCAATCCACACCTCTCTCTATTCCTCCCCTACTCGCCTACCATGCCGTCCTCGTCCCAACCACCCATGTTCCTTCGCCCTTCACCCTCGCCGACGCCGACGCCCTCGGGCTTTGATCGCTCCCACCCCGCCGACGCGACCCCACAATTCTCGGTTACCTCTCGCGACCGCCGAGTCCGATTCGACAGCTCACCTCTCTCACATCGAGTTTCTACCTATAGAAAATCATCCACTGGTCAGAGTGCTTCCGAAAGTCGAATTGTAGACGATGATCTCGACGGACGAGAAGATGACACCAAACCCGAACTGGGAATTCTTCTCGCCATCACCGCACTCAAGAACCGCGTCGGATGTTGCTACTACGATCGCAGTGGGAACATGATCCATTTCCTTCAAGATCAGCAAGATGGACAGCAATGGGATCTGGTCCGAATGGGTGAGGTAGTTCGTCCAGCGTCGTTCGTCTTACCAATCGCTGAACAATGCGAAACGACTCCTGTCTGGCGCACCACGGACGATGTCGGCTTTCACAGTGCTCGAACAAACTCAACCCAGTCATGTCATCACTTCAACGAATGCCGATTCGAGGTTCCACGAAGTGCTCGAACAAGTATTGGCGACGTTACCCGATCCTTCGGCAACGTCAAGTTCGAGCTCGATGACGACCAGTGGTGGTGGGGGAGTCACCTCGACCGATGGCGAAGGTACGACCGCTTCGGACTCGCCGATTCGACTCGAGTATCGCCCTGCTCGCGAGTTTTATGCAGGTCAGGGAAAGAACGCGTTACTCCAGCTGAACATCGTTGAGAATGGGATGTACGCCGATGGGTCCGACGATGGCGACTCCGATCCCGACGCAGACTTGTACGGCGCAGCAAATTCCACCCGCGACTCTTCAACGGGGACTCGAACGCGCCCCTCGAACGCCTACGATTTTCAGTCCAATAAGCGAGCCAAGACGCAAAGTGTCCGATACGACGATGAGCGCATGAGGCGACAAATGGGGCTCCGACTCGAGGGCTTCCTCAACAGTTTAGGAGACAGTCCGCTCACGCTCGGGTGTGCGGGGGCATTGCTCGGCCACATCTCGAAGCAACTCTCCGACGAAGGCGAGTTGGGTTCTGACGTTGGCTTGACGATCACTAGTCTCAGGTTGATGCAGCTGTGGGTACCCGTCGAAGCTTGAGGTCTCGGACCCGTGAGCATTTGATGGCTGAAGTTGACGATCGTACTGCCCTCAGAGATCGTATGATGCTTCTCAACTCGGAAGCTTTGACGTGAGTGATTGTTCCCTACCTCATGATTCAACTTTGGGGACTACGGTTGGAGCTCCACTGGTCCGTGCACAGGTCCTTGCAGATCTTTCGCGACGAAAGCCACGCCTCGACCCATTCCTCGGCAAAGAAAGAAGGACTCTCCTTGTTCGGTGAGTTATTTTGACTATCTCCGAAGAATTTCAGTCCTGGGAGAGATCGGGTTGATCTGAAAACATTGACAATGGCAGGTATCATGAATCTTGCTCGAACCGGTCCAGGTCGGGCTTTGCTCCGCACGTGGTTCCTGCGGCCTCTCCTCGACATGGAGATGATCACCGGTCGCCAGAACGCGGTCGAGTGCTTCCTTCGTGCCGAAAATCGTGAGATGCACTTCTTCGATATTTTGGTTGTTCTTATACTCAAAGCCATTGAATCATAACAATTCTACCTCTCAGAGCATATTGCGGACGCGATCCAAAGCAACCTCAAAAGAATCAAAAACGCCCCTGCTGCGCTCCGAGCCCTGGGCGCCGGCCGAGGCGGAAGTATCGAGTGGAACCAAATCTTACAGGTGCGCTTCACTTCTCTCATCACAATCACAGTCAGTGGCATAACATATGACTATTATTTATGTGAAATGTGCAGTTCATCAACGGCTCAATCACTATTCGAGATGTGGTGCTGAGCCTTGCGCATCGGAAAGGAGTACCGATTGTGGAGAAGGTCGGTGCACTTATCCGTGGCTCACTGGAGAGCGCTCATTCGTCTTCTCGAACCCGCAGTGCTTGAACTCATTCTCACCTCAAGTATTCGAGGAAATCGGAGGAAAGATCAACGATACCGTAAGGTTTTCGAGCAATCCTCACCCGGGGTGGATTGGCTCATTCTCTGCGACCTTGACCCCACAGATCGATTGGGATGAGTCCTCGGCGCAAAAGATACATGTCATCATTCGACCAGGTATTGATATGGACCTCGATGAGCTTCGAAGAACTTACAACGGACTCTCGTCATTGCTGGTGAGTGAAACATGATCACTTACGAGCGCAAGACTTGACGGCGTTCCTGATCCTTCGCCTCAACGATCTCCAAAGTCCAAGATTGCCCAGCGGATCAGTCTCGACCTCGACTCGAGCTTCGTGCAAACTCTCAGCGTCGTCTATTTTCCTCAACTTGGCTACCTGATCGTGGTTCCATATACGGAAGAGGTGATCCAAGCGGAGAACTACGGTCCCGTTGGATGGTCCTTCCAGGTGAGTGTGATCTCGGCAACCCGGTCACATTCTTCATTTGACGCCCGACTACGACTGCCGAGCGAGGCCAGTTCGTTACCGAAGATTACGCGTATTTCAAAAGCAAAGAATGCTACGATCTCGATCGCCATATAGGTGACATACATTCCAACATCGTCGGTAAGGTTTATGATTTTGAGTACTCTAGTCCAAAGCTCACGTCCAAATCTTCGCCGGGCAGACAAAGAGATTCAAATCGCGCAAGATTTACTCACTCGGCTGCGCGAGCACGAGACGACCATCATCGCTACTGCAGAAACGTTGACCGAGCTTGATTGGTATGCCCAGAGTACCATCTCGATCGATTTCGTCCCGGAAAAGGACTGACCTCGTCGTACGATAGCCTACTTTCGTTCGCCGAGTGCGCTCGACTTTACGACTGGACACGCCCTTCGGTAGTGGAGGAGCCCGTACTCGATATCCGAGGTGGCCGACATCCGCTCGTGGAGCTTTGCGTTGATAGCTTTGTCCGAAATGACGTCAGACTAGTCGGTGGTGCGGTCATGAATACGGAGGAGGAGGCGAGGGCCGATTCGGAAGACAACGAAGGGGTTAACGAAGCTCGCAGAGACTCTAGTGTGATGGTTGTGACGGTGAGCACACTTGCGCCGAGAAATCTGGCCTCCCCCTGTGAGCTAATTAATGCAAATTTGGATACCGGAATCTAGGGCGCCAATTTCAGTGGAAAAAGTGTGTACCTCAAACAAGTGGCGATCATCACCTTCATGGCTCACCTTGGGTCATTCGTTCCTTGCGAACAAGCGACGATCGGCCTAACGGATCGACTCCTGACTCGCGTCTCGACGCGCGAATCGATCGCTCGAGGTTCCTCTGCCTTCATGATCGACTGCCAGCAGATAGCCTACGCCCTACGCAACGCCACGCCTCGCTCGCTACTCCTTCTCGACGAGTTCGGTAAAGGCACCGAAAGCAATGACGGTGCCGGACTGTTTTGCGCGACGCTGCAGCACCTCGTCGACAGGGGTCCTCAAGCCCCTAGAACTCTCGCAGCAACTCACTTCCACAGCGTGTTCGCGAACGATCTACTCAGTGACAAGTCGAGGATCGGTTTCGCGCACATGCAAATCATTATCAATGATTCGACTGTGACGACCTCTCGTCGGCGGAACAGTGTGAAAGGTGGTCGAACCGGACGGGGAACTTCTTCAAGCGGGAGCACGTGTTCGGCCGAGGTGACGTATCTCTTCAAGTAAGGCGGGAACAATTCCTATTTGAATTGAGCCGAATTTTCTCACACTGAAATGTGCTTCTTCTTCTCGCAATCAACAGAGTCACGCCCGGCCTATCGCTAAATTCACACGCCGCGGCCTGCGCCTCCCTCTTCGGCGTCGACGACCGCACGATCGAACGCGCGATCCAAGTGACGGAGTTGATCCAGAAATTCGAGATCGCGACTCTCGTGAACGAGGCATTGACCGAAGAGGAGGCGGATGATCTGAGGGAGAGTGAGTTGATCGCTAGGAGGTTCCTCGAGTGGGATTTGGAGTCGGAGGGTTGGGACGATGTCGAGGTTGACGAGGTGCGCCAGAGGGTGAAGAGTTTGTCCGAGGGTCTGTGAAGGGAGCGCGAGACGGGTGAGACGAGGCTCCGTGGAGCGGTCTACCTCCCATCGACTTGAAGACTCCTGGAGTTTTACAGGACGACCAAAGGGGTGAGAAACTCGGTGCAATATGGAAACAGAAACAAGCTACGCAGTTTTCGACTAAAGAGCTAAAAAAAGGAATATGGGGACATGAAGAGAGACCGCGTCTACAGACCCAGTACATCGATAAATAAGAGAACTACGCCCTTCATTCATTACATCCCCACGCACACATATTTACAATGTGGCTGACTAGGCCGCACCTGCGCCCATTGCTTGGCCCTTGACACTCAAATTCCTGACCAACAACGCACTCAGACTTGCCAAAGCACCGGCAGCGACAGCTATGACGAAGACGTTATTCAGCGCGATGACATAGGCATGAATAACGGCGGGCTTGATATCGGCGGGCAAGGTCTTGACGGCCTCGACCGAGTTCCTGACCAAGTCGAAAGGCGCAGTCGGAGCGAATTCCTTGAGCGCGGAGCTCAGTTTGCTCCCAAACACGGTCGAGGAGATGGCGATTCCGATCGTTCCGCCCACGAGTTGCGCAAAGGTGACCAACGCCGTCGCTTGGGGTACGTCGTCGGGGTTGGCACAATCGGCTTGAACGGCGATGATGGTCTGTTGCAAACACGCTCCTGTTCCAAGGGCGAGGATGATCTGGTACCCGATCAAGGTCGAATTCTTGCTCGTCTCCTTGATGGTGTAGAGCAGGCCCGCGCCGATGCACAACAGCCACGGGCCAAAGAACAGCCAAGGCTTGTAGTGACCTTCTTTGGAGACGATGCCACCCGAGACCGCGGACCCCACGACGACGCCGAGCATGTAAGGCAGGATGTCGATACCAGATTTGGTCGCCGAGACGCCTTTGGTCGCCTGGAAGAAGATGGGGAGGTAGTAGGTCGCGAGCAAGAGGCAGAACATGAGGCAGAACGCCTCGAGGCACGCGCCGACTTGACTGCGGTTGCGGAAGAAGCGCAGGGGAAGGATTGAGGTCGGGCCCGCAACCTTCCATTCGACAAAGACAAAGATGATGACGAGCGCGGCGAAGGCGCAGAAGCAGCCGATGATGATCGGGTCACGCCAGCCGTACTTGTTGCCACCCCACTGCAAAGGCAAGAGGAGGCACGTGATGGTAGCCTATGTGACGATGAAGCTCAGTCAGCGGATTGCTCTGGTACCTCGCCGTATGCTGGGACAAAACGGTGCTCACGAGCATGAGCCATGTGCCGAGCCAGTCGATGGCAGCGAGACGGAAGATGAACGACTCGGGAGCAAAGGTCGCCTTGCCGAACGTCCAGCGGCGGATCTTGTTCGTCGTGAACTCGATGACTTCGGGCGATGGCGGCGGCGCGGGTTGGGGGCCAAGGATGAACAAGATCGCGGCGACGGTAACGGCACCAAAGGGGAGGTTGACTGCGCGTCGGAAACGACTAACCAATGTCAGACAGTGCCCACGAACATGATGCAGAAGATGGATATACTGACTCCAGAAGCACAATCTCCAGGTGACGTGATCAGTGAAAGCACCGCCCAACAAAGGTCCCACAACGGACGAGATGGCGAACACGGCACCAAAGAGACCAAAGAGCTTGGGTCGGTCCTCGAGACGCGTCACTTCGGCGATGATGGAAAGGCACGAGACGAAGATGGAGCTCGCGCCCACACCGGCGAAGGCTCGCCCAAAGATGAGGACGTTGACGGTCGGCGCGACGGCGCAGAGGAGTGAGCCTATCTCGAAGAGGGCGATACCGACGAGGAAACTCCACTTGCGATCGAAGACTGCGGAGCGGGAGGACGGTCGGGCGTAAGACGCCATTCAAATTTACTAGAAGCTCTTGAATGGACGTACGTGTGAGAAGTTGACCCCAGAGCAAGAGAAAGGCGGTTTGCGTCAAGAAGTAGGCTATTCCGGGAGAATAATTTGGCGGGTCAGTCGCGAGCAACGGCATGGCGCGAGGACGCTAGCACGCACCTGAGGCAATCCAAGCGATTTGGTCGAGCGCGTTGAATTTGGAAGCAATGACCTGATTTGCGTGGCATGAGAAGGATAAGCTACGAGTTTCAAAAAACGTTCATGTTGTGAGGCAGAAAACGTACGGGTAGAGCAGGCGCGAGAATAGTTTGATCAAGGGCGATGAGCCAAACACTCATCAACATCTGCGAGGAGTTCGGCAAGGCATCCGTGTCAGTTTTTGAAAGCGCATTCCCGAATCCAAATTCATCACACGTTGGGGGTACTCACCCCGATGAAGACGACAGCAAGTTTCTCTGTGGAGCGGGTCCGAACGCGAGCATTTGATTGAAGCAGTCACAACCGGAGTGGGGTGAAGAGAGGAAGACAAAAATGAGAGGCCTCATCAGATCGCCAATCCCGAATGAAACGGGTAAGATCGATCAGAGCGACGTTTTTTCGGCGCATTCAAACGCTGATCCTAATTATAAATCAATCCTACGTGGATGCGACGCGCGCTCGCGGCCAAGAGCGGGGGGGTTGCAGGCATGCACTGGGCCCCACCGAACGCAAAGTGAGCAGCGCGCCAAGCGGGGCGATGGGCACGGCCATCCCCGGCTTTCGGGCATGCCAAGGGTCGAATTGCGGAGCAGAGGCGGAGGCGGCGGTTGCGGAGTCGGGGAATCTCCCCAGCACAACGGGCGCAGAAGGGAAGCTACAATACTCACTGCCGGTCAAATACTTGGACTCCCTGAGCCTCTCCTCATCGGTGAAGCCATCCTCGCCAATGACGCCCGCGCCGAACTTCTCGACATCCTTGGCCGATCCGGGCGGCGTCGAGGAGGACGACCGTTTCTCCTGCTGGGAGCTGGACGAACCGGACGATATCCGCTTCGAGATGGCGGGGATCGCCGTTCCATCTGGTGCGTGTTCAACTGTCGGGTGGGAGATTTCATGGGCCTCCTCGTTGGCTACGGTTGCGTGAATTGCGGACAGGGTCGGCAGCGAGAAGGGTGCGATGCCCAAATCACCGGCGTGGGTCGTGCTGTGAGCCATGTTTGGGGCCTGGTTGAATGCTGGGGTCGCGACTCACGACGTTGCGGCGCGCGGCACGCGGCGGTGAAAGAGGGGCGTCGAAGTGAAAGGGTGTGTACACGACTCGAAGGGAAAATACGAGGCGACGCCAAAGGTGGAGGGGATGGGCTGACAAAGAAGAAGAGCGGAATTAAGGGAAGAGAGGGATCCGCTGGCTTCACCTCCAGATGGTAGAATTCGTCCAATCAGGTCCAACCAGGTCCAATCCGCCGAAGGGGTCGAAACCGATCTTCGACTCGCTTTATAAGGGCGGCTCTGACGGAGTCATGTCAAGCGGCTTGCGTGGCCCTTTTCTAAAGGCTTCGGAGCCAGATGGAAAACCAATCTCCGGAAGCGACCCCGGTTCCCCCTCCCGGCTTCTCGGAGTTTCATCAACTGGTGTCCCATGCGCGCGGCCATTGCTGCTGCACACTTCGCTGACGAGTCACGACGCGGCTGCCAGTGCACGCGCCGCATACACTCGGCTTTGAAACCTTCCTTCTCGTGTACACGCGATCCGTTTACTCGAAAACTGAAGAAATTCCACGACTCGTCCGAGTCGTCCCTCATCTCCGAGATGCGCAACCTGGATCTCTATTTTTTTCTTGTTGAGACCGCGCGGAAAGAGGGTCTTATGCGGTGGTCTCATGAATAGAATCGCGAAGTCGCCCGATGGCCTGGTAGAAGCGAGCGAAGGGCTAGACGCTAGACCACGAGCAGCCCAATCAGAGATGAGAAGATGAGACCCCTTCGGAGTTCTCTTGTTGCTCTTTCTCCGAGATTTTTCAGGATCTCCGACTCGTCGAAGCTCGGGAAAAGAACTCGCTTTTGCCTGGCAATCTCGGAGACTGAACATAACAACTGACGCTCCTAATAAAGGATTTGCCTTCGATCATCAGGTAGGCGGTGTGTACATCGTCGAGCCCTTTTACGCGCGCAACCTCAGCTTTAGGTCGTAGTTAACCATCTGCAAACCTCGGTATTTTCCTGCTGCATTTCTGATGGGTCACACAACATGACAACATCAACTTGTCAGCAAGGATGAAAGGGTTATGCAAGACCTCCGAAGAATGTATCGGCCGTCTATTGTGTTTCTCATGCATCCGGAATATTGGGGAGCTCTGCCAGGCTGGCACTCGTTCTGCCTTCGACAGCCTTCGACGGCCTTCGACTTGGCCGCGACGACACGTGACGCTGAAAAGGAGAGACCGCGCGACTCTAACCAGCTCACCGCCGAACAGACGCCTTGGTTGGCTTTTAGCCATTCACTCAGGATACTCACATTCAGCCTCAATACCAGTCTCCGTGTGGCGTAAATGCGTTGCAAGCCTGCGCTGTATGAGATAGATGAATACGTCGCTCGTGGGGGTCAGTTTACCCGGTGTGTTGCTGTTGATTGATGACGCATGAGCTCATCCCTGACCGCAACACTTGGGGGCTTCCGTATTCCAACTCCAGAGGCGAAAGTGGTGTTCACCAAGCAGAGACGCATCGAAGGCTTTGCGTGCTGTATCTGTCCCGAGGGTGGTGGCAAACGACACTCACCCGCACTTGCGCTTCGGCACTTCAAGACGGCCCAACATCGGTGCCGAGCCCGATGGCGACGAAGGTTTGCGCGGGACGACGCAAACATGATCGATGCAAGCGACGTTCTCGGCGATACACCCGGCTCCCAAGCAATCGATGATATGCGGGGAGTGCGGGAGGCGTTCCCGGACTCGACATACGAGGCCGAGGCTGCCAGCCAAGCGGATCAGGTGGGTAAGCGTCCTACGGAGTCGCATTTACTCGTAGTTCGCTGAGTCGGTTATTGTTCATTGCACATCTCTGACGCCGTGGACTTGGATCAGTCGTTCGACTTTGACCGAGACGTGGACGTGGACGAGCCAGCTGGGCATTCACGTGCGATGACTCCTTGCCTCTCCGAAGGCGATGACTTGCACGATGACGTCGAATTTGGGGAAGGTGTTGACCGAATCTTCACCGACGACCTCGAATCCAACGACTGCCACAGCTTTGATGATCTAGAAGAGGATGAAATCTGCCAGAACGCGATGGCAAATTCGGCACCGCTTTCCGATGGTAAGGTTCCCGCACTCGCTTTTTGTCAAAAAAGGTCGTCGTGCCCAAGCTAATACTGCCCCTCCAGTCTCGAATGTCTTCAAGAAGGGTACCAAAACAGTGAGATGCACGAGTTCGAGTATGCCTGGCCCGACGGATAAATGGCATCCTTTCCCAGGCCCAAAGGTATGTCCAAGCTTGATCGTGAAGGAGCTCAAGTCGGAAGTTTCGGAGAGTGTGCACTGACCTGATGTCCTTTTGCGTCCGCTGCAACAAGAGCTATCGCCATCGAAACAGCCTCACGCAAAGACCACATGATGGCGACATCATGTTCGACGACCATGGAATCCAAGACAGCGACGAGGACAGAGAGGAAGCCATCAGCCTGGGCCTGGTTAATCGTGGGCTGTACACGGATCCCGACATGATCGGACTCGAAGTGAGTTGAGGATAGAACTCGAGTTAACTATACTATAGCTGACTGACCACAAATGAATCATCCCTAGAAATTGAGGAAGGCAGATGATAGCCAGTACCGCGATCTGTGGAGAGGACTTCAAATCGTGCTTGCTCGTTTGACCCACCCCCTTGATCAACCCGGGCTGGATTCTTCCGTGGAACTACAAATGGATCTGAGCAAAATGAAGGTGGGTCGGTATGTATGCTATTCCCAAGTGGAGACTTATGTGTTGATTGCTGACCTTCACCATTCGCAGCGTTCTTTTCGTCCATACGTTAAAGCGATCGTCGCTCTCCCAAGGCTGTGCAGTTTCTACAAAGGGGCTCAGGATGCGGTTGCAAAGGTTCTCCGAGAGGAAGGACTGATCAAGATCGAACTCGAAGAAACCTCGACCCCATATCGTCGAAACACTAGGAGCGCGCTCACTCGCCATGGCGGATGCAAGGTCGGACTACATCGGGCATGTGAGTCGAGGCAAGATAGCAGAAGCTCTACAGGTGATTCGACTAAGACCCGTTGTTCCGGATCAGTTGAACAAGATTAGCGACCAAATCAACGAGCAGCACGATCCGATCTCTTTGATGACCGCCTTTCTCGACAACTCACTGACTTTCTGTGACGAACATATCATGTTCTGGTGCCTCGGAGTAAGTGATTCGCTGCTACCGCGGTCTCCTGTGCTAAGCGCTGATTTGAAGAAACCTCACTTGTTTCCTAGGTTACCTTTATCAGGACCCGCAACGCGAAGCATCGTGACGCCAAGGACAAGGCTTGCAGAGCGTACGAAGAATTTCTCAGCGGCGTTGCAGACGAAATTGCGGCAAAATATCTCGACGACGGCGTGGGCGGAACGTTTGATTGGCGAGCGTACGTCGCTTGGTGAACCGGATCGGAATAATCTGCCGACGCAAATTACGTTTTATCACCTGCAGCTACATCTGGAACACTTACGTCGAGCCCCTTCGCAAGGAATCCTTGAGCCGTACCCCGGCTTTGAGGAGCACCATCACTTGGCACCAGCCAACGGGGCGTGCCTTTTTGAGCCCCGCGGACCAGGACACCGACTCCAGATTGCTGGGCAAGATTGACAAAACCAATGCAGATTTTTGTCAGGTTGTTGCGGTGAGCACCTAGTTGTATAGCTGTGTTTTTGAGGAGAGGCGTGGATAGAGGCACGTGCTTACCTGAGACGGAGACGTGCAAATATCACAGCAGCGAGTTCGCGAACGTCGCGAAACGGGTCGTACTACCGCCGGTCCTCGTACCGGCTTCCGCCAGCGCTAGTGAGTACTGGCTAGAACATGCTCTCTATTCGTGGCAAGTGTTTACTGATTTCTTATTCGCCTATTGGCCAGGGTGGCAAGCTCTTCAAACACGTGTTTCATTCTGTGGCCTCGAATTGCTCGAAACGGAGCATCATGTAGTGAACCTTGGCCTGTTTGAATGTAGATATTCGTTTTTCGTTTTGCAGCATTGGATGCTTCAAGCGCGAGCGAGAGTGAGCTCGAACGCATGTTCCTCAGCACCAAAATACACGAAAGCCATCCGGATCTCATATTTTCGCAGAAAACCCCGCAAACGATCGGCGGTCTAGATCCTGTCCGACTGTGGAATCCATACGCCATACGGCTCCGCCCCGCAAGCGGATCACCGGAAACGGCTCCGTGCAGTTCACGTAGCCCACATGTACGGGGTCGTCGGTGTTAGCCCCTCGAAGCTCAGCAATGCGGCTCGAGCGACTTTGATACCCGCCATCCCCGACCTCTCTGGACTTGGCCGACGACGCGCTGAGACCGAGCGAGTCAGTATATGAAAACCCTTACTTCTCAAAACAACCCAGCGCTTTGAAATGTTTCCTCTTTCTGCAATACACCAGTGATCAATTTTCGAACTGCATTAGCGGAGCCCGATCGTCGCCTGAGACGGCAACAGGGATGCTCACGGAGAGCGGCGATCGAGGAGAAGCATTCGGGCTGCTTGCTATCTGGGCGGGGAAAGAAATGGTTCTAACTCTTGCAAAGAGAGGAATTGCGATAGAAGAAGAGCGCGCCACCTTCGTCTTCGGCTGACATTTTTGACTTGACCAACACTTTCTTTCGGAAGTGAGCAACTTTCTTTCGGAAGTGAGCACGGGGTCAGGTTTCTCCATTCTTGGGCCCCTGAATAATTTTTTTCTCGATGCGCCGATTGCGAATTGTTCCGGCTCGCGCAGGCGAGCTCATGAAAGTTAAACTGATCGAATTCAGCCTAAATACAGCTTTCTACTGAAGAGATCTGAATATGTCGCTTTGAGCTCGAACCCAATCGATCGCAACGGCTGTTCGGGGCACGGACCCCCTCGGGTGTTGAGGTTTCGCGGTCGGTTTTTGGCTGAATAGCGCTTCGCCTTTGGAGCGGTTTGCCCGTTCGGCCGTCGGCGCGCGCACCAGGTCACACTACGTAATCACCACCGCCAACATGTCGACGTCGATGCACCGCGACGAGGACACGGACTGTCCTCCGATGAACAAAGGACCCTATGTGCCCGTTACATTCTGCAAGTCTCCCCCTCGTGTGCCGATCCCAGTGACTGTTAACTCTTCCCCACATGCCCTTCCTCCACTCGCCAATGTCAAAAGAAAGAACCGCGCGCACGAGTTCCGAAAACTAATCATCACCCCCCCCCCCCCCCCCGGGTACTCTCCCTCTCCCGTACATGTTCCTCCCCCAACAGTCCTGACCAAGTATCGTTCGACCTCGTTGACGAAAGAGTATCCGAGCGTGCACTCCTTCCTCGCCTCGACGTGCACCCCCGGAGGACTTCTGCGCCTACTCGGGACTGCGTCCGGTCTGGCGGTGATCGTGATCGTCGCGTCGCGCGATGGGCCGAACGGCGTAGGCGAACTCTGGTTCAACGTCGAGCAGACGAATCTGATCCGGTTGGGTTTGCGAAGGGCCTTGATCGAGGGGGGTGTGGCTTCGCCCGAGGCGAGGGAGATCGAAGGGGATCATTGGGAGGACAAAGGCGCCGAAGCGGCTTACCCAGCCGACAGCTTGACCTTGGTACCTTTTTCGACGTCCGACACCGCTTCCTCTTCGACGACCGGTTCGAATTCGACTCCGGAAGAAGGTCAGCTCGAAAGAACGACCTCGAGCTTGGGACGAGCACCCCTTCCAGCAGCAGCAGCGAGTGGTGGTTTTGGCCAAGCCGTCTTTACGAGTCAGGCCGCATTGGATCGTGCGCTCAAGGCGATCAAGAAGCAGTTGGATCGGGTCGGGTCCAATAAGGCTTTGGATGGGTTCAGCAAGATGAGGGACGCGTGGGCGATCGCCAAGAAGCACAAGGCCCGCGTCGTTGCTTTGGACGTGGGTACGTCTCAGTGGGGGGGGGAAGTTGGTTCATCTCCAGATCTGAAGCTGATTAGTACGCACCGTTCAAAATCAGAAACGTGGGAACACAACCACGACGTCATCACCGAGGTCGGCGTGACCCTCGTCGAAGCTCAATCCGGGCGACTCGAATCGAGGCACTACAGTTCGTCCAACTCGCCTGAAGGGGATCTCATCAACAGAAAGCATTCACTGACCCCACACCTCAACAGTCATTGAGGAGAACCAGAAACGACGCAATGGACGATGGGTCAAGGATCGACGCGATGTAAGAGTGGCCATCTCTCGCTCTACAAGAAGCCCGGTTAGCTGATTTACATCCTACGGTTTCGCACAGTACTTTTCCTTTGGCGACTCGCAAACGCTACCGGAAAGGAGCCTCTCGATCATCCTACAACGCCTCTTGCTTCCTTCTCCTACCCCTGCTTACCCGATTCTCTTGATCCTCCACGCCCCGAGTGCGGACCTCGATGCTCTCGCGGCATTGGACGTCGATGTGCTGCTCTTCCACAAGACGCTCGAACCATTGCTACGACCGCGCCTCTCGTCGACACCAGGGACGTTCATCCTCGACACGCAAGCCTTGTTCCGCGGCTGGTCCAAAGCGAATTCGCAACCGACCGTACAACAAGTTGGCCAAGAACCGAAATTGATCTCGTTGGGGGATGCGGTCGAGAGGGTCGGGTTGGCGCCCGGGGAGAGTTTACATAATGCTGGCAACGACGCGTACTATACGTGGAAGGTTTTCGAGTGCATGATGAATAAGGATGATGTGGTTAGGACGGGCGGTGGAGCGGGTCAGGGTCAGGGACAAGTGCAGAGGGGGAATGGGCAGAGCGCGAATGACCACGTCAAGAACGGCGGCCCAGGCCACGGTACTGGCAACAACGGTCGAGGAAGGGGTAAAGCGACGCCCACGCCTCCACCTACACAACAAACGCGCCGGATCCCAGGTCTGCATGCTCCTGCTCCCAAAGCTCACGTTCGAACCGGTCCGAACGCTGAAGGATGGGGTGCTCGACCCGTGGTGAAGCCTTCGTCTGGCAGGCGGTCGAGTGGGGGATGGAACGTGCCCGATGGGAGTGAGAACGCCGGTCAGGGATGGTAAGGGATCGTCGTTTGGTATGAAGTCGAGTCAAAGTTCTCGAAAAAGAGAAGGTGGTTGGGTCGTTTTGGCAGTTTGCATTGCAGTCAGTGGTCGTGTTGATGGGTCAAAATGTAATCCGCAATCCGCAATCCGCAAGTTTCAAGTTTCTCCCTCACTTCGATCGTCGCGCAAGCTGGCTCAAGTGGGAGGGGGCGTTGGACCTGGTTGGACTCAGCCTGGGGACGCGCTCGTGCGGCAAGTTCCCCACTCGACTCTTTGACTCGTTACCTTGCGTTCCTTCCCCCTCCTCCCACTCGGTTCGACTTCCTTGACCGCTCTACCTCACTAGACTCAATACCCTCCCCGGCTCGAACGAGGTGTACCTAACCCCCATCACCTCTTTGCAAGCCTCCCTTCCTCCCTCTCTTCCCTTCGCAGCCATGTCCTCCGTACGCGCCGACTTACCCGAAGCCGAACAAAAACAACTGGACGCCGAGAATGCTCTGAAAGAGAAAGCCGAACAAGACGGTATGGGGCTTTCCACCTCCCTCCCTCCCTCCACTCCGTCGTCCCTCGGCCCAACTGATCCCCCTCCTCCTCTCCTGCTCTCCTGCTCTCCTGCCCCGCCTTCCCTCGTATAGCTCTACCCTATCGATGGCGTCAAACGCTACAAGATTTAACGATCACGATCCCCGTACCGCGCGGTACGAAATCGCGTGACTTGCTCGTCGACATACGCCAGCGGTCCATCAAAGTAGGGCTCAAAGGCCAGGAGATGATCCTTCAAGGCGATTTCCCCCACGAGGTCAAAGTCGATGAATCGACTTGGACGTTAGGTCAGTTAGGTTGATGTTATGCGGTGGGGGGGGGGGGGGTGTTAAAAGGGTTGCGCGAAGTGATTTTGAAGCCTTTGAACTGATGCACTTTTTTCTTTTTTTTACGTTGTTGCCGAATGAATGGGGGGGAAAAGACGATAACAAGGAAGTGAGCCTCAGCCTTGAGAAAGTGAATCAACAAAGTTGGTGGCCCCACGTCGTCACTTGCGCTCCCAAGATCGATACGACCAAAATCACGCCGGAGAATTCAAAGTTGAGCGATTTGGACGGAGAAACGAGGGCCATGGTTGAGAAGATGATGTTTGATAATCAACAAAAGGTACGCGACCGGAGTGGAAGAAGAGAGGACGGAGGGGTCGGGAGGGAGAGGGAAACCAGGCTCAGATGTTAACGTTTCCTTTTATTACTTCCATCTTGTCGTCGAACAGCAAATGGGCAAACCCACTTCGGACGAAAGGAAGAAACAAGAGGTAAAGTGTCACACCCCCCATCACGCCATCTGGCATTCTCCAAAAGTAGAAAAGACCCGAATCTTTGATCTCTTTCCCTTCGTTCGATCGCAGATGCTCGAAAAATTCAAGTTGCAACACCCCGAGATGGATTTTTCGAACGTCAAGATGGGTTGAAAACCAGGACGGAGAGGGAGAAACGCAGTAAAAGTTCGCATGCATGCAATGGGGATGTTTTTGGGGGGGTCTCAAGAGACACGATTCGTTTTTCGAGGAGAGGCAATTCTCTCGGTGAATGAAGCTCGAGAGGTACGGTCGATCCGAGGAACATAACGAAACCCCGTTCCGTATCTCAATATACGATTTCAACCCCTACGTTACAAACTCCGAGAAAGAAAGCAGAAACCGACGACGCGGATCAATCGGACCAACAAACTATTTCACACGGGGCACCACTGAAGATCGAACACGAAGGAAGGCAGAGCTTCTCAAAGACAACGTCGTGAGGACTCCGAAACCGCCTCTCGAGAACTTGGTTGTGGTGCACAACAAATGTATCACGCAGGCGTGGCGGGGCTGTAAATGGGTAGCGAGTAGGATAGGCCACCGGCGTTGGCGAAATTGGAAGCGCGACTGATCAAAAGACACGGGGAGGGCGCTTTCAAAGCGGACTCACCAAACTTGACTATCCCTACAACCAAAGAACAACACAACCCGGCGTTGCATCGCAAGTCACACGCTGGAAATCCAGCCAACTCCCAGGCGCCGCAACTGCTGACACCGTTACTTGGTGAGGCGGCGTCGCATAGAGTAGCATCGCACACACATGTGTTGCCGTGGGTGGGGTCCACTACGATCTTGTAGCCCGGTAAGCACTTGAAAATGCATGCCCCGGATGAGGAGCATGTCGGCCTGGCGTATAGTCCATGTGGACAACTTGCCGCAACGCTTGAAGACCCGCACCCGAGCGGTGCATAAAAAACATTGCTCCCTGCGGACGGATACCCAGCAGTGGCCCCCCAAGCAGCGGTAGCTGCACCTTCCCGGAGATGTACACATCGGCAAGCTGTTGGGAAGGAAGGCACATGCCGAAGCATCGCATGGAAGCGGACTTCAAGGGGGCAAAAGGTATCTCATTTCCCAACTTCTTGATGGCAAATGGAGTCCGCCATCTTCATTATCTTTACTTCCGAGTAAGTCGCATCTCGATTCTTGTCGATGTTGATGTCGCTGCTTCTGTATGGGCGCGGTTCGCTCGATGCCCCCTCAAGCCATCTCGTTTCTGACCACGCCCTGTAGCCCGGAATTATGAGTGGAGGCAGCGACATCAACATCGACAAGAATCGAGATGCGACTTACTCGGAAGTAAAGAAAATGAAAGATGGCCGACTCCATTTGCCATCAAGAAGTTGGGAAAGGAGATACCTTTTGCCCCCTTGAAGTCCGCTTCCGTGATCGCTCTCAGTGCTCGACGTTGCACTGCCAGGGTTAGGGAAAACACAGGAGGCGTGGTCGGTCAAGTGACCAACGATGCAGTTTTGATCAGCCTCATCGTAGCGGTAACAGTCATGAACGTGAGCAAGGCGCTAGCTTCTCCGCCACCGTGTCAGTCATTCAACTAGGAGAAGTAAACAAAGAGCTTCGCTGTGGAGGCGGGGGTACCAGAGGGGCTTACAACGATCAGTGTCAGGTGCCATTGCTGTCTCCGTGAGTTTTCACGGGCTGTACGGCTGCGCGTAAGTAACACAAGGAGATATAAGGGGGAGCGGCGGGGGAACGGCGGCGACGGGAAGGCAAGAGGGGAAGAGTGGGACAGGCTGCAGGCGCGCTCCCGTCAAGTCTTCGATTGTTGTTTTGCTCTTGAGTGGCGCAATCGAGAAGGGGGCCTTAGCGCGCCGCCCCTAAGCCGGCGCGCCCTCAACGGTTCGGATAACCGCGCGGCTAATAGTGAACGGCTCGTTGTGACGTCCAGGATGTGACGGGAGCCGCGTTAACCCTAGTTCTCCCTTACCAATTCCCCCCCCCCCTACTCCGATATCCGACTTATCTCAGATAGTACTTGCCGGCATGGCATCATTGCTCTCTCCCGACGTCGACAGCCCCTGTGAGACCTCGCCTTCGCCGCCGCCTCCAGCAGGAGAGCCAGTCACCGATCTTCGTCTCTGCCATTGCCCACTGTGCGGTCCACAAGGCAAATCGGTGTCAAGTTCGACCATATGGCGTCACTCGAAGCAAGAACGGTTCTCATCCGAGCGTACAATATTGCCGAGTCCTGGAAGCTCGCCCCTTGACAAGCATGACCTACACTTCGACTCGCCCACACCGAGGCGCCAATATGCTTTGAAGAGGCAAGCTTCGCAAGAAGTTGAGGGCCACGCACGCGTTGGCATCTTCCCCGGTACCTACCTGGCGTCTGATGGCGGTTTGCGCTTCGCTCCTCGCCACCGGGTAGATGGATCCGATGAGTATGATTGGACCGAGGCAGGCGACTTGAACAGCTCCCCTGTGCCCTTTTCCGCAAGTCCCGGGGCGGAGGGGCCTCTATCACACCCGTCACGCTCGAGTCAACAGCCCTCCCACCTCATCCCCTTCAGGAACGGAGTTTAGTAGTGACAGCGACCAGGATGAGGACACCGAACCCCGCTCACCCGATCATCTGGATTTCGAGGAACAAGAGTTTCAAGGGGACCTTTGGTGCGCATCCGATGAAGACGAGCCGACAAGCCCGGCGCAGACAGCTGAAGAGATGCCCTCCAGTGATGACGACATCGAAGACTCCTCGGACAATGAGCTCCACAGTAATTGGTCGGCTTCGTCACCGGTTGATCAACTGCGTGACGACATGATTCTGGAGGCCTGGTACTTCTGCTTCGATCGACCGATTGGCATCGCACAAGCCGTGTTTGACAACGGTGATGATAGCATGTGACATCATTGCGGTTGTCTTTTAACAATGTAATATAACGAAGACGTTTGAATCACCCAAAGGTGTACATAATCTCAACACTGGTAGACACGATGGTTTTATGACAATTGTGAGGGAAAATGATCGCCGTCTTAGGTAAAACCCTCTGGTCTGATAAAACCTCGATCGGACCTCGCGGGGGTTTTACGACAGCGGCGGGGAAAACGGCGGCGCGTCTTAAAACCCAACATGCGCGGCTGGGTTTTATGACGCTCGTGATTGGCAAAACGGGGTAAAACGGGTGGTAAAACTACCCCAATCGCAGGGAATACCCTCCCGCGCGTGCCTCAAGTGAATGTCTCATCCTGAGACGCGGCTCGACGCGTTGATTTCGGTACCTTGTAGGTCCCTCGCACTGACTAAAAACTCAACTACAGCCACGATGAACACAGCGAGCTTGCAATAAGTCAACACTGACGGATTCAACAATATCTCCCGCATCTATTCTAACTTTCCCATTATCAGCACCGTGGCTATATCGTTCTTCGACGAGTCAGTCCGACTCGGCAGGTCCGTGAGTGTGGACTCTCGAGTCGACTCGACCGGCATTTCGACTTTCACTTCTCGCTACTCGACTCGTATGAGCTTCGGATCTCGCAGTGAGATTTTACTATGGTGTTACATCGCCCTCTCGTCAATCTGCGGCTCGATTCGCCTCAATCAGCCAGGGCCGGGCTCGGAAACTCATCCCGGGGTCCCCCTGTTAGTCAGTTCTGACAGGGGCAGAGTCAGCCGCGCCGGTACGCGATCGGCCAGTCGTCAAATGGTCAAAGACGAGACGAGACGGGTCTTCAAAGCTCCAACGTCGCGCGCGGGCACTGATGGATGTTGCAAGCACCGAAACCGATTAGATTTGATCTTCTGAGAAGGTATAAACAGTCTCGATACTATGAGTGTGAAGGCACACTCTATGTTCGCTTGCTGAACTTGAAGTTTGTAGAGTAACTTCTTGTTCGACAGTGATTCCGTGGCGGTCTTTGCAGCGTCCTTCACAGAGAGCAGCATCCAAGAGGCTTGCTTTTTACTACTTGGGACTGTAATCGCAGGGTTCGCCTACCAGCCACTACTCTAATACCGAGTAAAACTGTGGCGAGCGCACTACGGCGTTGCAATCTACCATTAGAAAGTGGGCGCACGCCGGCTTAGCAACTTGGAACTATGCAGCCTAGGCCTTCCCGCGCTCTTTGTCGGCGGCGGTTTAGCTCTTGCTGCTGCACCCGCAATTCCGCCAACGCGTAGTCACCGCTCCTTCTGCGGGCCAAGCCGACTCGAGGCGATCGATCCTGGGGACTCTGCTATCAGGCTTGTTTGGACGTCCATCTCTCTCCGTCGTGTCGGACCCATCACCCTAGTCGGACCCACGGCTGCCCACCTGACCTGACCCTACGCGCCTTGGCAAGACTTGCACACGCTCACCTCGCAGCACGCTCATTGACGAAGGTCGGTCGCGTGCTCGCTCTCTCATTTCTGGTGGATCAGTGTGCTGGGTTCACTGGTGTGTGGCACAGTGTGTGCTGTTGCGGTCGGACGAGACAGTCGGCCACACAGCTCGTCGTCGCGCGCACACCCACCCACCCACCCACACGCCCACCACACACGCGCGCACACACGCTTGGCTGCCACCGCATAGGCGTCACAACGCAGCATTTTTCGCAACAGAGCCTCACTGCTGACGTCGTGCGTCCGACCCTCATCGGGAACTCGTAGCGGCCAGTCGAACGAGCGCCCTGGCGAACGAGCGGGCCAGAGCAGAAATCGACTCTCCCACTTGGCATTACGCCGTCCGCTTGGATCTTGCGGAAATAGTGGGGTCTGAGGAGACGACATGACTGCTCCACCTGCCTCCCCATCGAGCTCGTCCCTCCCACAATCATCGCAGCCATCCCGACCGATGCAGGAACGCCACCACAACCGCTCTTCGTCGAACCTCGCCGCCTCGTTCGGCTTCACCCCTTCGTCCCCACTGTACCGTCGCTCGACCTCGACCAAGAGTTCACCCCAGCAGACCTGTAACGCTTCGACCAGCTCCAGTCCGACGAGGCAGCAGCTCCAAGGGTTCGCCTTGCAAGAGGATGAGAGCTGCTCCGGATCGAGCGACGAGGGTTCGCTCGATCAGGACAGCGGCTTGATGATCTCGTCCAAATCCAAGGGCAAACGAAAGAGCGAGGACCTTATCCCGACGACGACAACCACAACGACATCGAATGCATCGGCGATGGATGGGATAGCCATACCTGGCGCCGGTGTTCCCCATTCACGCTCATCATCCGTTGACGACGTCCAACAGGGACCCAGTCTGGCGCAGTACATCCAGCAGAAACGGCGGCAGGCTTCGGGGCCGTTCCATACGCTTGCACCGATAACGACCTCGCTCTTTGGCATTAACGGAGGTTTCACAGTCGCTATGTCGTCCAGCGCGCCGGGAGGGTTGGTTGGAAGAGAGGCCGAGTTGGCGGGCGGTGTCGACGGCGAACATTTTGCCGGTGGACGAACGAGGAGTCGCCCCGCCTCAAGAAGAGGCACCGTCTCGAATCTTCATCTTGGCTCCTTACCTTCTTCGAACGCCGCTTTTTACCCCGACTCGGACTCGGCCTCGGCCATGGTCATGACACCGACGACCGAGGAATGGCGCTCGTTGGGCGGTCAGCTATCCCTTTTGGCCGACATCCGTGCCAAGGATGAAGCGAGGTTGTTGGCACTCGATCGACCGCCCTTGCCCCTCTCGAGAGGATCGTTGGCATCGACCTCGACGAATTCGACCACCTCGTCAGCCTCGTCCTCAATTGACGTCACACCCTCTAGCTTATCTGCCCCGGTCGACAGGGCACGATCGCCTTTAGGGACTGGGCCCTTGACACCACCGTTGTTGAGCGCTTCGACGCAGAGCTTTACCCTCGACTCTAATCAACCCGTCACACCACCTGCCGAAACCGTCAAGTCGTCGTTCGGGTACCAAACTTCTCGATCAGGCTTCAGCCACTCGGGTGCAGTTTCGACCTCGCATGGGGATCGAGGTGGTCTAATGGGGATGGACACCAGCATCGAGGATTTGCGGACACGACCCGTTGACGATGACGAAGACGGCTCGATGCTCCTGGGGAGACCCCGGACCGAACCTGTGAAACAGTGCTCCAAGTTCGTCCCCGGGCATCGAGCGCAGCAGCAATCGGACTCGTCAATCTCGACCACGAACCGACCCAACCTATCGAGGGGCTCTCTCTCAACCCCGATGGGGACCCCTTCGATATGGACACCGAATCGTAACGAAACGGACCCGTTCGACGCACCGACGAACGATTCAACTCGCGCGAAACAACCCGAGGCCGCACCGCTGGACCCGTCGCACTCGTTGGGGGCGATCGACCCGCGGTGTTACTCGGCCGTGACGGGTCGGAGGTCTATTGAGTCCTTCGTCATCGAATCTGAAGCCGGTCGAGGGGCGTATGGGACTGTGCAGAAGGCGAGGGAGAAAGGCCCCGATGGGGAACCGATAGGCCCGACGGTGATCATCAAGTACATCATCAAGCAACGCATCCTCGCCGATTGTTGGAAGAAGCACAAGATCCTCGGACCGATACCCGTCGAAGTGCACGTCTTGGACCACCTTCGAAGGGTGCCGTACGTCGCTCGAACGCCGAGTCGAAGGAAAGCGGATGGTGGGTTCGTCAAACCGGTCGGGAAGCCAGTGAGGAGGAATTCGGCCCCGATCAGCCTCAAGGAAGGGGTCATGACGGGCCATCCTAACATTTGTGGCATGTTGGACTTTTTCGAGGATGGCGAGTTTTACTACTTGGTGAGTCGTGTCGCATCCGTTCGGCGCTCTAGTCATCTCTGTGGCTGACACGTAGCTTGACGTTTTCTCCGTCTCGTCTGTTTGCAGGTCATGCCACAAGCAGGACCACCACCCTCGAATGACCTGTTCGATTACGTCGACCTCCACCCCAACGGTCTCCCCCCCTCAACGATCCACTCGATCCTCTCGCAACTCTGTTCGGCTCTCGACTTTCTGCACTCGCACAACATCGTGCACCGCGACATCAAAGACGAGAACATAATCCTCTCCTCCACGGGCCACATCCATCTGATCGACTTTGGTTCGGCGGCCTACGTCAAGGATGGGAAGAAGTTTGACACGTTTTCCGGGACGTTGGATTTCGCCGCTCCCGAAGTATTGAGAGGCGCTAGGTACGGGGGTAAAGAGCAAGATCTTTGGGCGTTGGGTGTGTTGGGGTACGTGTTGATCTGTGGCGAGTGCCCGTTCTGGAGCCCTGAGGAGGCGATGAAAGGGCTCGAAAAAGGTTCGAGGGCCGATTTGGCGTTACAGGCTAAAATCGACTTATTCGATGGAATGGTCGAGGATCCGAACGGGACGAGGACCGTGTCTTTTTCGAAGGAGGATGACGAAGACGAAGCTCTTTCGAATTTGTTGCCTCGACCGTCGATGTCGGACGCCGTCGACCTCGTCAAACGATGCCTCGAGACCGATCCACTGGACCGACCTACGGCGAACTGGGTGTGCGACCATCGGTTCTTGTTGGGTAAAGAAGGGTGGAGTGGGAGAAGAGGTTGGGAATTGATCGTCGGGGAGGAGGGTTCGAATTTCGACGATGTGGATGGGGCGTGACGAAGCGATAGTACCGGTGGGGTGGTGCACCTTTGTCCGTATATTATGTAAACAATTATGTTTCCTTCTTCGGCTTTGCGTTGTCTTTGCTCTCTGTGTGTAGCTTTCACGCAAATCTTTAAAGCTGAGAGTGCCTCGAGGCTTGGCCTGGCCGGATATCGGAAAGCCGGAACCGTCACATCTGAAATGACTCAAAACCTAGCGACTTGATTCTTGAAGCAGCGCGCGCGACTGAGACTGTCTCAGATTTACAACCAGGGCCCGGGGACTCCTATTGAAAGTGAGTGCTGAGCTTGCTGACAGCACCACTGACTACTACTTACGCAGATTCTCCGCCTGGAAGTGGATTTCGAGTAACCCCTACTACCAAAGAGGGGAATGTGGGCCTCTAGTAATGAGTCGTCGCGTCCGATCGCAATTCATTTTATAGTCACCTCCGAGTCGAGCGTCGCCGTAATTCAAATGTTCAACGCCACGCGCCGAGCGCTCAGAGGCGCACATGGTTAATGCAGTGTAAAACCGTCAAAAGATTTTCGCGGGTCGCGACTCGTTGTAAAAGATCAGGTGAGCGAGGAACAGCTTCGAGTTTGCTCCGCAGCCTGAATACCGAGTTCAAGCTATCAGAAACCTAAGTGGTGCCTAATAGGTAGGCGGACACCAGCCTACTAGTAGTAAGACTCAATGCTACCCGGTGATCTTAATACTTCAAGTAGGGAGAAAGTTGTCAAGTGTGGAGATAGGTACCTCACGAGTCACCACCCACCGTAGACCTTGCAGGAACTCATCCACCTAGTCAGTAATATGGCTTTCAATTTTTGGCACCGTCTCCCCTGATCCACTAAGACGGAGGCCGAAACGCAACGTAAACGGCCGCAACTTGTTCAATGTCTCCACCGGCTGATTAACGCGCACGGGAGACGCGAAACCACTGCAGTGCCGAGAAATTGGTCTGCAGCCAACTCGCTGACGGCATCACTACTACCAAGCGAAGTGCAACGCATCCAGCCCGCCAGGTGACGACTGTTGTTTTCCCAAACAGCCTCCGATCGAGTAGGTACGTGAGTGGGTAGGGAGGTTAGGTGCCTAGTAGCTGAGGGTAGCTGGGCAGGTAGCCTACAAGACGTCCATTGAGGAAAATTCGTGATAACGAGGTACTTGAGTAGTTCCTACATCTCATTTCAGAGGCCGACTCGGTGCCTGGACTTACGGTTGGTGAGTCCCTGACTTTTACCATCCACGACCCTAATTTTGGCCTCCTCCGAGCCACCGGTACCCACTCGCTCGCTCGCGCAGGCTAGCCGTTCGCGACCTCCGCTCTGTTGGAATCAACAAAGATTCCGAAATGATCGACCAAAGATGAGAACGGCTGGACCAGGAGTTCAGCCTGGGTCGCTTCCATTAATTGGGAAAAGCTCTTGACCTACTAAGCTATCCGGCCCCCGATATCAGTGCAAGCTCTACTAAAACCTTCAACAGAAACTAGCGCACGCAGAGACAATGGCATGAATGCTCGAGGTATTCTGGAACGCAAATTTCGAGGCTGTGTGTGTGTAGTATTGAGTGATAGGTGACCAGACGAATCCCCGGAAATTTTAGGCTTCGCTGGGCCCAACGTGCAGAGCCAGGCCGAAGAAGAAGAAAGACGAAGAGAGGTGCAATATGGTCATTATGGTATAGCGAAACAGATGATCAAAGCTGGGATAAGAAGGTACGGAATAGGCTTTGCCAAGGAGGTTGAAAAAAGGCCCAGTTTCAGCGTCTCGTGCTCGTGCTCGATCTCGTTTCTCCTCTCCTTTGAACCCCCTATCTTTCGGCGTTCCGGTCAGGTTTCTCTCACTTTGCGCCGGTTAGGCGCCCCCTACTTCGCCTCATCCTTATCAAAAAGTGGTGGACATTTCAAAAGGAACATGGACTAGCCTACCTCCCTGATGGAAGCGATGGGTGGTAAATAATTAATTTCCCCCATCTGCCCTCAAGAGTTGGGTGCTGAGTTGGAGAGGAGGGAAAGACTGGGTATGATATGGTGTTCCAGCGAATCTAGGGTGCATCAGATTCTGTCTTTGAACATAACTAGCTGGGAATTTGTGGACTCGCCCACTGCCAGATGATCTCACCACCTTCACCTCCACCTTGGGATCTTGAAGCGCCATATAGGGGTTTTTCCTTGGCCGCGAATCGGCAGTGCAAGACGTCATGATGGGTATCTTTGATAATCAACAAAACAAAGTGCGTCTTAGTCTTCTGCCCACCAAGTTGGACTACCTAGTACTAGTTCTCCTTTTCCCCCTCTGCTTGAACGCCTTGCTACTCGCTGCTAACAGCATTCATAATCGAGTCGTCCGCTGCCAGCAGCTTCAACTCGAGTGCCGTGCCGGGCCAGCCGCCGACGCGCCTCTCGCTGCTCCTCGCCCGCTCGAGCTCGACGCTGACCGGGCGCTGACCGACAAGCTGCGACAAGGTGGTGGTGCCCTTCCCCAGCAGTGACCGCGCGTTTCGAGCATGTCTTTGCTGCTGGACATCCCAGCGTTCGATACGCCCTCGTTCGAGCTTGGAGAGCATGTCCCCCCACGCGCCCCTGACACGTCAGCCACAGCCACAGCGAGCGCGGCGGCGGCGACGACGAAGCGCTTCATGGCCGGCAGTGCAGTCCCTACAGACGCAGAGGCGAGGTACTTCACCGTCGAAGTCTCGGTGAGTAAGGACCCGGCCGCTCAGCTCAGTACAGCGTGCGATGTGACTGATCATGTGGTGATCTGTACTACCCCTGTCGCGTCGATGACCGACTGGCGCGATGGGACGTGTTCCGACGTGTCACTTGTCACCCACCTTTGCCCCACCTGCCGCACACATCATCTCACCTCGAACTCTCAACCTCAATATGGAATGGCGTCATCCAGCCTGCCCACCTCGTGCTCGCTGAGATCCTGACGGTCACCTCGGCCATGCGCAAGAACCAACGCTGGGCTTCGGCACCGCTCTCGACCTATGGCTACCATCCGACCGCCTCCTCCTCGTCCTCGTTCTCGTCGACGATCGCATCCACCTCGGCCTCGGGCACATCCCTTGCGACCGCAGTCGGCAACAATGCGCTGCCCATCAACGTCCTCAAGCACAAGTCGTCGTCGGGAGCATCCACGCCGGCCGCCGCGCCACCGACAGGGCTGGGGCCATCGCTCCCTTCCCGTTCAGTGTCCGCGACCATGCGTTCGGCTTCAACCGACAGTCGCTTGGGAAAGTCACCAGCTTCGACCGCCGCATCGAGTCTCATGACCGCGTTCGGCGTGCTCAAGCTCGAACTGAGGGCATGCGCCGACGTATCCCAGCTCGACGCGGTGACCCTCCTCTCCCCCTTCCTCGACGTCGTACGCTCCCCTGAAACCTCGGGCCCGATCACCGCAACCGCGTTGGCCTCGATCGACAAGTTCATCTCCTACTCAGTATTGCACCCCGACTCGCCCAACCTCGCCAGCGCGATGGCCCAACTGTCCAACGCCGCGACGCACTGCAAGTTCGAGGCCTCGGACTCGGTCTCGGACGAGATCGTCCTCCTCAAAATCCTGGACGTCTTGAGGATTGGCTTGACGGGACCTTTGGGGGGCGTGCTGAGTGATGAGAGCGTGTGCGAGATGATGGAGACGGGACTGAGCATGTGTTGCCAGATGAGGTTGAGTGGTCAGTCTCGTCGCGCTGGGGCTGGTTCAGAGTCCGCTTGGGATGATTGATACTCACGATCGAACGGTGCGTCTACAGAAATGCTGCGAAGATCGGCCGAAAGGACGATGCAAGCCATGATCGCGTCCGTCTTCTCGAGACTGAGGACATTCCCACCGGAGGAGGACGAGTTCCCACCCGATTTCCCTTACTCGAACGATCCATCACGCGCACCAACCCCGATGCCGCCACCCCGGGAAGGATCGTTGGAGGCCTCGATGGCCTCGACCGCAGGCCCGAGTGGGATGAACTCAATACCGTTGACGGCGCCTTCGAGTGTAGTCGATGGGGATCATTCAACACTGGTTGAGGAAGATGCCTTGTCAACGATCTCGACCGAGGAAGAGCCCCTTCCCTTTGGTCTACCCTCCTTGCAAGAGGTCATGCGCGTTCTCGTTTCTCTGCTTAATCCTCACGACCAGCAACATACCGATTCCATGCGCCTCATGGCCCTTGGTCTGCTCAACATCGCCTTTGAAGTCGGCGGACGGTCGATCAGTCGGTTCCCTTCGCTGCGCGCAATGGTCGGAGATCACCTGTGCAAACACTTGTTCCAGCTCGCTCGGTCCGACAACCTCTTGCTCCTTTCGACCTCACTGAGGGTCATCACCAACATCTTCGACACAATGAGAGAGCAACTCAAGCTACAACAAGAGCTTTTCCTTTCCTTCCTGCTCGATCGACTCGTCATCGCTCCTTCTGGCGTCGCACCGGGGACCCGCAAGGGCGAGATCGAAGCCCAGCTCGATGCTCTGACATGGGCCAACGAAACGCCGCTCGAAATCGATCCTCGAACAGGCGCCGTCATCATGAATGGCCTCGGATCCCGTGATCGGGACGGGAAGGATTCGCGTGATCGAGACCGAGGTGGTCAAGGGAACGGCGGAGTGACGGGCCATGGTTACGGTATGCCCACAGAGGCGAGAGAATTGATGCTGGAAATCATGGGACAGTTCGCTCGAGGCCCTTATGCGATGGTTGATTTATGGGTCAACTATGATTGTGCGGTCGAAGGCGAGGACTTGTTCGAGCGCATGATCCGGTTCTTGGCGAGGGGCGTCTTTCCCTCTCATCACCAGCCCACCTCGGGCTCTGATTCGGCGCAGGATTATTCTCAACTCTCGTCGCTGGACACGTTGCTCGAGTTCGTCTCCCACATGGCTTCGCGACAAGGCGACGACGACTCGCCCGATGCCCCGAATTCTTTTCCCGCGTCCTCCTCGACCACACTCTCAGCCTCGACCGTGGCCTCAACCAAAGCGAACAAACAACTTCTTCTCGAAGGCGCGGCGCAATTCAACCACAAGCCCAAAGTCGGCATCCAATTCCTCGAAGAACACGGCGTCATTTATTCGGACGCGAACACGACCCGGGAGGAGAGCATGGCCAAGTTCTTCAAGACGACGCCCAGGTTGGACAAGAAGTTGTTGGGCGACTTCATTTCGAGGGGAGAGCAAATCGAGGTGCTGAGGGCGTTTATGAAGTTGTTGGATTTCGAAGGGGTGAGTTGGCAGGGACGCCGAAGTAAGGGATCGGAGCTTGAGAAGCGTCCGGGTCGCTAATGTGGTGGGGTGGAGCTCTCTCTTGCAGAAAATCATCTGCGATGCCATGCGCGAACTCTTGGAATGCTTCCGATTGCCTGGGGAATCGCAGCAGATCGCGAGGATCACAGAGACGTTTGCAGAGGTGTATTTCGCTACGGGACCTGGTCAGTTCTCCCCAGCTGTGCACTCGCGAGTCTTTGTGTGCAATAGCTAACGTGTTTCCGCGCCCCAACTCGCAGCCGATATCAAGACCCAGGACGCGGCCTACGTTCTTGCCTACTCGGTCATCATGCTCAACACAGATCTGCACAACCCGCAAGTACGAAAGAGGATGGACATCGTCGCGTACTCTCGCAACCTGCGCGGCGTCAACGACGGCAAGGACTTTGCGCCCAAATACCTCAAGAGCATCTACGACTCGATCCGTAAGCGCGAGATCATCCTGCCCGAAGAGCACCAGAACCAAGCCGGGTTCGAATACGGCTGGAAGGAACTGCTGCGACGTACACGCCAGAGCGGTCCGTTCGTGCACAACTGCACGAACGCTTTCGATCAGCAGATCTTCAAGCTCGTGTGGAAACCTATCGTTTCGGCGCTGACGTTCGCGTTCGCCGACTTCAAGGACGACTATATGATCCAACGCACGATCGAGGGCTTCAACGAGTGCGCGTCCTTGGCTGCGGAGTTCGACATGCCCGAAGTGTTTGACTTCCTCGTCAACTCGTTGGGGCGGGTCACAGGATTGGCGAACACGCCCACCTCGCCCGATCTGGGCTCGTTTCCCGTCGTCGACGTCGAGCCGGGACAATCTGTCGTTGTCAGTCCTCTGGCGGTGCGCTTCGGCAAGAACGTCAAGGCGCAGCTCGCCGCCGTCGTACTCTTCACGATCGCGAATCAGAACGGCGCCGCGAGCATCCGCGAAGGCTGGACGCAAATCTTTGAGATATTGCAAGCCTTGTTTGTGCATTCGTTGTTGCCCCCGCCTTTGTTGGCAATGGAGGATTTTCTTTCGGGTGGATCGGTCATCCCGCTCAAGCCTACTTCGGCGCCAGTGCCGAGGGAGGATCGACGGAGTGACGGTGGGTTGTTGTCGACACTTTCGTCTTACCTCTTGTCGCCTTACGGAAGCAACGATGTACCGGGGAACGACTACACCGAGGACGACGTTGAGACGACGCTGTCAGCCGTTGATTGCATTGCTTCGTGTCAGATCGAGCAGCTCTACTCTCAGATCTTTGAGCTGCAAGGCCCGGCCCTCATTGCTCCTGTTCAGGTGCTCGTCGAGTTGTGTCAGCGCTTGACTGTCGATCGACTGAGGACGCGCACCGGATCGGCGACGACGACGCAATCGCCTCAGATCAGCCTGCCGACTGCTCGAGTGCAATTGCCGTATGACCCCTCTGCGGTCTTCTTGCTCGAAATCGCGACGAGCATCGCCTCGCGCTCATCCGAGTCCATTGCCGGGCTCTGGCCAATCATGTTCGACTTCTTCTCGAAACTACTCGCCGCTGCGAACTCGTTCTCGAGCTTGTTCAACGAACGCGTCGTCGCGGCGTTGCTTCGCCTCTGCGCCGTCGTCGTCGCAGAGGACGACTTGCGCGACTCGACCTTCCTCGCGATCGACATGCTGCGGTCCCTCTCCTCCGCCGTTCTGGCCTCGGTCGCCGAGTCGCTCATGGCGGGCTTGGCTCGTCTCTTCCACGAATCCGCCGATCGCATCCACTCCAAAACGGAATGGAACCTCATCTTTGCTTTGTTCTCAGCGACGCTCCAACAGGAAGCTGCCGCCAAGATCTCGTTCGAGTTGATGCAGAAACTCGCGGCGGGCAAGAAGGACGACAAGGCTAAACTCGGTCCCAACAACTACGCTTCATTCTTGGTCGTGCTCGTCGCTTTCGCGAACGTCAACGTCGCCTCTTCTTCTTCGACGACGTCGATGGCAACGGCACCGAGTGGCAATATGCGGATGCCGCCGAGATCGACGACGGCCACGATTGAGGCTGATCGAGGGATGGAGGACCCCGCTGCTCAAAGGGCGGGACAGATCGTCGATATTCTCAAGAGTACCCAAGAGGCGCTCCCTTCGTTGATCGCCGAATCGAACCTGTCCGCTACGCGAGCATGGGAAGCTTCGTGGATCCCACTGCTCTCAGCCTACGCTCAACTGTGCCTGAACCCATCCCGAGAACTACGCCAAATCGCGATCTCGTCCTTACAACGCACCTTGGTTGCTCGAGAGATTCTGGACAACCCCAATGTCGATTTCACGACCATCTTTGAACGCGTTTTCTTCCCCATGTTGGAGGAACTGCTTAAACCACAAGTCTTCCGTCGCGATCCGGAAGGGATGGGGGAGACGCGACTGCGCGCATCGGCGTTGTTGTGCAAGATCTTCCTGTCGTATTTGACCCAGTTGTCGGAGAGGCAAGGGATGGAAACAATGACGCAGTTGTGGTTGAGGATTCTGGGGTATCAGGACCGGTTCATGCACTCGGGGCGGAGGGATCAGATGGTGAGTTTACGGCGTTCCCGGCGTTCCCGGCTCAATGCTCTTTGTACCATTGGACCGACTTGGATACTGACCACACACTATCTTCCTTGCCGTTATCGCGCGTAGTATGAAGCCGTCCCTGAATCACTCAAGAACGTGCTTTTGGTCATGAACGAAGCCGGATCGTTGCGCCCTCCACACGACCCGAAACGGACGCCCGAGCATGCCCCTCTTTGGGACGCGACGTTCGAACGCATCGAGCCTTTCCTACCCGGGCTCAAAAACGAATTGTTCCCTCCTCCTAAAGCACCCGTACCTTTCTCGAACCTTGTGCCAGGTGGTGGTGGTGGTGGTGGTGATGGTGGTGTGGGCGGGTCAGCACCGTTGGCTCCTCCTCAGATGATGTCACAACCGCCGCCTCTGCCGCCGCACACTCAACAGCCGCCGCCGCCGAGAATGACGACCCCTCCTCGACCGGCCGGTCAGTCGAACGAATATCATGACCAAGATCACGGACGAAGTCCCGCGTCAATGGAATCAATCGTCGTGTCGATGCTATGAACAATTCAACCGGGTTCGTTTTGAATGATCGAGCCTTGAGATGCATTGCGGGGTCGTTCGTAGTGGAAGAACGGCCAGCCGGGTACGGTGCATGGTCGTTGTATTTCTAATATTTTCTTCTCTCTTTCTCACCACATCGTAAGGCAACACGGCCCGTGTACCGATTATTCTTTTGGTTTATACTTCATAGTAAACAATACTATTTGATGACAATGTCCCAAGACGTTCGCTGCGCTAGTTTTGGTGCCGGGGGTCGCACGTCGCCATGAGCAAGGTGGTCCATCAGCGATATCGTTGCTACAGTACCAGTGCATGGTCATTCTGGGGCTAGATCGGAAGAACTGAAACTGAACGTCGCTACGTAATTTTGAACACAGTCAACTCTGTAAACTTTTCAGGGTGGCAGAACCCGATCCCCACCTTGCAATATTCAGCGTATCTGGGCGAAGTCCTCCACGGGTCGGCGAACCGCAGCGTCAAATCAATTCGACCGATACCGAAGCGATAACCTATGTGCTCTTCTAGGTAGATACCTACATGCCTGTAGTCCTGTAGGCCAATTACCGTGAATTGCGATCCAGGCTACACCTTGCAGGACAACAGATGCATCGCACAGTGAGTGACTGATTTCTGGGCAGGCGAACTTGCTCTGACAGCGCCTGTGTTGACTGCCAACCGCATCTCTACGCTGACCGTTAGACCCGCCTGTGTTGCGAAGACATGCTCTTCCTTTCCTAAAGGTTTCAATGATCGTACCTCGACGGGAGCCTGCGACTTGACCAGCAGCACCGGCTTCAACAAGCAAGGCGGCTTCCGCATCGCGGCGACTTGAATGCGAACCGACGAACCCTGACGACTGCGCATGAGTTGACCAATTGCACTTTGTCCCTGTCAAAGCCGTAATTGCTCTCCAAGTGGCTGTCCTGAGATTGGTAAGTACAAGTATGTGCACAACCGTCGGAAGATACGACTTTCCCCGCAATAGTGGTTTCAACAAGGCGAACGGAGCCTGCGTCGCCACCCCGTAAGGGCCAACTCTCCCTGCCTGACCATTCTCTCTGCACTACAGTTGGACTGATCACTACAAGGTTTACTTTGTACATAGCCCGCACTGCACACCAAGAATCCAGTTGCCGTTTTAGACTTCGATAACTTCCGGAGGACCTAGAACGGCAAGCTCGCGATGACGGTCGCTTCGCTGGAGGCGTGCTCGGCTTACTGCTTGAAGCGCAACTGCGCCTCGTTCGACTTCTGGGATGGCAACCAGTGCGGCATCTAGCTCGGCGGCGGTGGCTTCGACGGCCTTCATTACGTACGCTGGCGGTGTCATCCATGGTGTGCCGGGCAAGTGCTCGGACTACACGGGCAAGAAACCTGCCAAGGCCACGGCCAAGGCGTGCTCTGATTCTCAGGCTTGGTGAGTGCTCTTGGATCTTGTCTGTTCAGACTCATAAAGTTTTACAATATTATTGACGGAGCACATCTCTGCTTGATACCGTTCCTTTGTAGCCCCGGTACTGTCATGCCCCCTCTCAGCAACTAGCCGCCAGCGGACCATACACCTGTGACGTCTCCCGGTCTCCCACGTTTCTGCGGCTCACAAGATCAATGGTGTCTCAGCCGAACTTTGGTCCCAATGCAGTCATCGCTCCCATGGATTCAAACTATCCTTCCTTTACTCTGTGGCTATTCGAAGAGGCTCATGTCGGGTGAGAGAAGCTTGGGCCTCTCCATTCCGCTTTCCGGCGGCGCGAACAACGGAGCGTGAGCCGAAGCGGGCTAGGAGCCTCGAGAGGCTGGCAGCCTGCGTGCGATGCTCTCGCTTTCGCTAACGAATACCATCTTGATCGAAGCAGCCGTTGAATACGCACCATTGGTATCGGCTACGCAAGGAGTCAAGCTCGCCTGTGGGTTCGGTCCGATCACGCACCGCGGGCGTGGCGCCGGTCCGGTGGGGCCCCACACCAGCTCATCTGCTGGCCGGACAGGTATAAGCGGGGGGGCTGCAGTCGAGCACAGTGTTGAGTCTTGTTGAGCGGGATCGCGACGAAGATGCGCTTGGGTCTCAAGCCCCGGCCACCCCTTGTCACGTCTCGCTACCGCCCATAGTCATTCTCATCCCTACAAAAGCTCATAAGCGCCACGACCAGTCGCCTTGCTTGCGTTTCCACTTCTTCGCACCGCCTGATCTGGACGTGCCACTCTCGTCGAAGCGCCTACAATGACCCGCCTTTCCGGTCTGCGCGAAAGCGCCAACGTTGGCAAGTGATGTACGTAGAGGAAAACTGCTCCCTGTACCTCTGCTGAGACCGCTGACTGTCGACTACTCGTGTCGGCGCGACTGTCTTCCTGGATGAAGGACGTCATTCCAACTGATTGGGACCGAAGCTCTTGCCGCTATGAGTTCGCCCGCGTCGTGACCTCTGTTCTTCTACTGCTACCTATGACAATCTCGCTTGACGGGGCATTTCAGAACCTGCATTGTAAAAGCTGGCCTTGACGTCCGACCGACGTCGCCGCTACGTGCTTGTAAGCACCACAGGCTCTGCTCGAGCACGTACCAAGATCCGTCTCAATCATGGCTGTCCCAGTGGCTCCACTGGCTCTGCAAGGGCACGAGACTTCTTTGTCGTACGAATGACAGAACGTACTAGCGAACGGCGTCGCGGCGTGCGCTCCATCTGCTTCGGCATGCTGGGCCGAGCTTCGCAGGGTGGTTGAACAAGCTCGCAGAGGACTCCAAACGGCGGGATGATTCAGTGCGCCACCGAGCCTCGCGACATAACAGGCGACGGCCGTCCATGAAATGCGATCCACATCTCCCGAAGCAGTTCACTCTGACGGAACTTTCGACCATGTAGGTGTTGGACAGGTCATCCCGACTCAGTAGCCGGCGGTGTTCCCGGGACACACGTGGCCGACCGTCTCGCACGCGCAGAGTCCTCATGTCTCAGGTTCGAAATTTTGAAAGTCGAGGAGCTTGTTCCCGAGGTGGCTAAATTTGCCCGGCTTTAGTGCAACTTATCCGGTACGGCGTACTGCAACCAACTGTGCTTCATGCTATACTACCAACTTTATAAGCGCAGTGCTGGTGGACGCCTTGGCAGCCTGTTTGCCATTTGGCAATGAAATGAGGTAGCCGCGGTCGGTGAGTGGCGCTCCTCGCCGGCCGAAGGGTGCATGCCAGTGCGAGTGCAAGTTGCCCGCGGGGAAGCTCGAGACCCGCTTAAGGATACTCTCTCTATGCGAAAGAAGATGATTTTGTTCGAGAGCTCAAGTACAAGTACGAATTTCAGAGCAGGCTGTGCCAAGAAGTGAGAATACTCTCTCTATGGGAAAACACGTCTAAGAGCAGGCTGTGCCGAGGACGGAGGCAACGGCCCTGCTGCGTGCAACACGGTCGGGCCCAATCTGGAAGTCCGCCTACAACGTGGGCCACTCCATCTCGATCTCTTGCAGACTCCCCTTCCCTCTGTAAATCTTGTCGATGGTCGCTTGTTCGGGCAAGATGTGGCGATCGGTAGTCTGGTTGCCAATCTTGGAAAGCTCTCGCCATTGGTCCAGCTTTTCACGCTTGTAGCCGTGGGCCTTCTCGGGATAGTCCCAGTGACTGGAGCGAAAATACAAGGAAGTTTCGATTAGCAGGATAAGAACGATGTGTGAAATGCTGACTCATGTGCCCACCCTTTTGAAAATGCCATAAAAGTCGTGATGCGTTTCTCCGGCACTGGATGCGGTGTGAATCTGCTTGTCAGCATTTGCTCGCCGGCACGGCCGCGGTTCGACCGACGACCGAGGCGAGTGCAACTCACAGTCCAGGCAGATCGTGACCGTAGTACCAGTCTCCTCCACCCATGATACTTGCCACATGTCCTTTCGGATGCGTTGGTAGTAACTAGAAGAAGGATAGGATGGGTTGGGTTGAGTAAGCATGTGAGCACGTCTGCTTGATGGTCCAGTGCAAAGCACCGACTGACGCAGTTTGATAATTTGATCGGCCGCTCATGGGTCCTGGGCAATGGAAAGAAAAAATTCGATCACTTCATTTATTGTATTCATGCATTTTTTTCTTATTAGTAAAATTGTCGCACCACCATGGATCGCGTCTAGCGAATGACAAGCAAAGCATGGCATTAGTACCTGCAAAGGAACCCCCACTCAGGAGTGACCGAACCAATGACTCACAGATGATTCGCTCGTGATTGGGAACCCAGAACTCGTATTTCTGTGAAGTTCATTCAATAAGATTAGGAAACGTCTATTGCATCATTCGAGACGCGCGTGCGACGAAGAGGTCGTGAGGGACGCGAGAAAGAAAGCGCGGTCGTACCCATCTGTCGCACCGAGATGGGAAAGGGGGTCCGGAGATGACGTCAATGATCGAGCGCGGCACAAACTGCCACACAACGCAATGCGGGTTCCACGTACCCATTGTCGTAGGTGTCTTTGATTGACAAAAAATAATAATGAGGTTAGCACCAAGCGCATCACTGAGAGCCTTGGACCGTCCGGAACCGGAGAGGGCCACTGCTGACATTCAAAGTGGTGGTCGAGCATCTCCTCTTCGAAGTGAGCCGGGGCGGATCGCGATTCTCGAGCAGTGGTGGTGGTGGACATCGTAAGACAACGGTGGATACCTGACTTTGAGAGATTAAATCGAGGGAGTGATGTTCAAGGTGGAGAAAGGAGAAAGTAGAGCAAGAGCGAATACGCTGACAGCCCGGGCCGAGGCTATGCAGTGGCTATGTGACACGCTCGGGTACGGCAGGGCATTGCGGCAATGGGCGCAGCAGCGGTGTAAATCAGTCCCGCTTTGTTCGACTAAACTAGGTGCTCGAGCGCTCGAGACTTCCGAGGTTTCAGTGTGTCTTCGTGGGAACGTGTCGTTGGAAAATCGCCTCCAAGCACAAACGAAGGCTACTTACTATATATCACTATTCATAATGGAGCTCGCCATGAACTTCGTTCAGTCGGAGACTACTTGTCGTGTTACTTGGCCGCCACGAGACGCTCGACGAGCGACGATAGCGCCTGCGATCAAGCCTCGGGCATCGCCGGCCATCGTGCCGCAGCCGGCGCACGCTCTCACACGTGCTCTCACACGTCACCGCGAAGCGAGCAGACCGACCGAACCGCGAGCGGCGAAATTGTGTAGTAGGGGCATCTCACCGGATCAATTGCAGCGGTGCAGCCCGTAAAATGATTTTCAGGGGACTGGAGACATCGAATAAGCCTTGATCCCGTTGCAATCAGCGAGTTTGGCCGGACCGGAAGTTCCTGCCCCGACCGATGAAAGCCCCCTCTTCCGACACTCCGCAGCAGCACTGCTGGCGGAGCTCCTAGTAGGTCGCTCCTGATCACTGCCTTTTCCTGGCACACCTCATTCTGGAAACTTCACGATAATTATGATCGTACGAGGAAACACTGCTTGACATCCAACCACATCCTTGTAGCATTACACCGGTCTACTGAGCCTCAACGCCTTTGGTCCCACTGACCCTCCACATCGCGACCTTTGCCCCCTCTCCGGCAGCAACCAGTCGTTCGCCATCCCAATCGAGCGCCAAAACCCTGTTCTTCGTCTCGTCTCCTTCCTCCCTCGGCATATCCAAGCTGAACAAGGCCTGCTTGGGACTCCTCACGTCCCAGATCTTGACCGTCGAGTCGTATGAGCCCGAAGCGATCAAGAGCGATTCCTTCGGGTGCCCGACGACGCTCGAAACCGGACCCGTATGACCGGTGAGACTGATTGAAATGTGGGAAGAGGCATCCTCCCTTGTGTCCCATACGCCGATCGATCGATCCGTCGAGCCCGTGATGAGGAGGTTCGTCGATTGCGATAGTTGGGCTAGGTCCAAGAGGACGGAAGAAGAGGGGGCTGTTCGGGTCGTCAAGAGCTGGGCAGTCGAAAGGTCCCATGTTCGGAGTGTGTGGTCGTACGAGGCCGAATACGCTTGCGACGAGGTCAAGAAGGACGAGGAGAAGATGGCGCGCGAGATCTTGCCCGTGTGACCGAGCAAGGCGGAGACAGGGGTCTACGGCATTGGCTCAAGCGAACGTCAGCTTCGAAAGCCTTGCCCATACCTTCGTATGTAGGAACAGACCAAACCCACCTTGTTGACGACCGTCCCTGGCGCTGCCCGTCTTCTCTTCTTCTTCCTCTCCTGGCCATCGTCCTCGATCGCGTCCCCCTCATTGACGCCTTTGGTCAAATCCCAAACGCCGACGACGCCGTCCCACCCACCGGTCAGAAGATGGGGCGTTGCCATGATCTCGGTCGACGAAGAGGGAAAAGGTCGCGCTCGGATCGACGAGACGGGACCTGTGTGGAGGGAGAGGGTGTAGAGAGTGGAAGGAGCAATTACCTCGGACGATGGGGTCGGATTCGTCAAAGAGGTTGAAGGGGTCTGAGAAATGTTCGCAGCAACTTTAGCCGAAAGAGGCTTTCAGGCGCTCCAAGTGGAAGGCGGACTTACGCTATAGGACCACACCCGCGCGACTCGATCCATCCCCCCACTGGCGATCCAGCCGGATTCGGCTCTCGAGCTCGATTGGCCCGCCGGGTTGTGTACGTAGCAGCACGACAAGACGGATAAATCGTGCCCGTGGAATGTGAGAGAGTTTGACGGGTCTAGCGTTGAAACGTAGGACAGCGTGCCAGCGTAGGAAGAGGAGAGGATCGCTCTGTTCGCATAGTGGTACGCACGTTGGCAGGGGTGGGTCAAAATCTGCACTCTTGGTCCGGAAGGATCGCGCACAAGAGTCCAAATGACAACTCACCCGTTGACGCCTAATGAAATATCGGAAACCCAGTCCTGGGACGGGATCGTCGATTCGAGTTGAGGCGGAAGGGTCGACGGGAGATATTCGATCTCGAGCGTGACTTCCTCCGAGACGCCTGACTGCGCGCAGTACGCCCCGAGCGACGACCGCAACAGGGTTTGATTGATGAGAAAATCGAAGGGGGTCGACTCTGGTGATTGAGGCACGAAAGGGCATGTCAGCTCTTGCCGATGCCTCGCAACTCGACTCTGATCAGGGGCTCCGGCACCTCCGGCGGCGATCACGATGCCAGCTTTGGAGACTGACCGTCTTTGTTGAGCACTTTGTTGATCAACTGGGAAAGATGGAAGCGCCTCCAACTGGCGGGAACGAGAAACTTGGTCGCGGGGATCTCGTACGGAGCATCCTGGGTCGTCAGTCGGATCGCGATTTGTCGCTCTTCGCCAGTCGCGGTCGTGCTCGCGGTCGTAGGGGCATCCCCATTCACGGGGGACTCCACCACACTCGGGTAAGTCGTGTCGGTCAAGGACATGGTGGGAACAGTGCGAGCCGCGGATCGAGACGTTCCTAGAATAGCGGGCTGACGTCGACGAGCACGAGCGACAGTTGACCACTCAAGCTGGCGCGCGACGAACAGCTGCGAAGCTGCAGGCTCGCACGGACCGCACACCCCGGCTCACGTGCGCGCGCGACCTCTCCACCCTAGCATTACCGATCGCCGACCAGGGCAAGCCAGGCATTAGCCTTCGCCAATTGCGGGCTATTACGCACTCGCCAGCGCTAGCCAGCGCTCGCAAACCGACTCGCTCAGTCACTCCCAGCTCTCCGCGTTCGCGCTCTCTCTCTCGCTCTCTCTGTTCTTGCCCGACGCACTCGCACTTGTGACTCCCTCTCAACCTCCTACTCGAGTCTACAACCATACCGACAGGATGGCCTCCCCGTGTATATTGCTAGCACCCGATGGCATTGGGAACCGAGCTCGCCAAGGCGCACTTGGGGACTCTCCTGTTGCCCGACGCCGACTCGAAATCGACTAACTGATTTGACCGCAGCGTGACATGGCACTTCGCTACCCACCTCTCCCCACTCGACCTCATCCACGTCCATCCTCAAGTGAGTGCTCATCCTTACCCCCCGCCTGTCCCGTACGGTCGTTTTTGAGGCTCGTCGGTCGATAGGGCTGCACTGAGCTGAGCCGAGCCGAGCTCAGCTGATCCCGAGGACTCGATCTCTCGCCTCTCTAGCCTTTGTGCACAGCTCGCTCAGGGTGTGAACCGCGACATGAACGATGCGGAAACCGTCGCGGTGGATCCGACTGTCGCGTGTCGTGCTCGTCCTCACCATTCCCCCGCGGTAGCATCTCCGGGCTCTCAGTGACTGAGCGACTCACCGACCACTCCCAGCTCGCCCCCACCGCCCTGCTGCTGTCAATTCTGCTTCAGTCTCGGCGCCTTTCGATCCCGTCCAGCGTTCCAGCGCGAGCTTAGCCTCAGCCGGCATTATCATCGGGCACTAAGTCGACCTTGAGGCATCCAGTCGACCTGAGTTTGTCTTTTCTCATACCCCGTTGGTCGAAAAATCGTCGTACAAAATTTGGCGCCATCTTCGACGCAGCCTTTCTCTAGGCGCCGAATCTCGAGCGCCATGCCGCTGGTGGGTGTGGGGCCAAGCCGTGCGGGCGGGCGAGGGCGTGCGCTCGCGAGCGGCGTGTGGCCCAGACTGGACCAGGCGCACGTAGGCGCAGACTGGCGCAGAGGCAAAACAGAGGCCGACAGAGGAGGACAGAGGCCCGCATACACTCCGCACAGCGGCGTTTCAGCGGGTACAACTGCTCTACACCCACACCCATACATCACCCTATCCACCAATCCATCCACCACCCACCCCCGTCCAACTCGACCAGGTCTTGATTGATCGTTTGGTTCCCTCTCTGTTGCGGTGCTCCTTATCCTCGTGAGTGCGGCCTCGCGTTCGAGTCAACAGCATGCATCGCCGCTGACACGATGGAGCTTGCGTCCCTTCTGCCGTCCGCTCGTCGCCAGCTCCCGTCGCCCGCCGCCTCCCCTCGCCTCCCTCTGAGTTCAGGCCGCTTTCCCCCTCCGCTCCGCCTCGCCTCGCCCCCGCCACGTCCGCTTGTGCGCGCAATCGCCCGCCCGCCAATCCGCCTGCCCTCAAGTCAGCGAACGGCGGCGATCGACGTTTTTGTGAACCCCTCTCGACGCCGCTGTATCCACTCTACACCTTCGATCTTGGCGGCACCGATCTGAATGTGAGTCATTCACTACGATGCCCCCGGTCTGGGACCGTGACGAGTGATGTGGAGTGCCCTGGCCACCCGATGTTTTGGACCTCTGCCTCGCGCTTGGGCTCGCACCGTGGCCGAGCCACATCACCCCAAGCCTTCGTTGCCTCGGCCGCGAGTCGTCGTCGTCGGCTCAGCCTGCCACGGCAGCCTCGACCCCTGACGCGTCGACAATTCGGTCTGAACTTTGGATGGCGCTCAGAGTGGCGGGCGCACACCCATGCACACACGCACATGACCAGTGGCAATCAGATGCACCACATTTTCTAGTCATGTGTGCTTCATTTTCAATGAAACTGACACCAGCCTCGGCTTCACTCAGCTTGCGCCGGGATTCTCCTCTCCCCTCTCCCCTCGCCTCTATACGGCCCCTTGGGCTATTGCCTTCCGTTCCCGAGGCACTGCAAACATCGTCGACTCGGCTTGTATATATCCTTTGCCTCACGACACGACACCTCATCTTCGCTGAACTCGGTGACACCTCGGCGTCGTGGTCGGCTAGAGGGCCGTTACCTCGACCTCAAGTTCATCCACCTCCAACCACCACACCTTGATTGGTTGTTCGGTGCCTCTGATCACCCACTTACTTCTCCTCTCTCCTCGACGCCCTGTTAAAAGTTTGGCGCTATGGTGAAGTCTTCGGGCCGGTTCCGCAACCGCAAGCTCGGCTTCAAGTCACGCATCTCGATCGTGCTCGGCGTCGACCACTTTGATGAGGACCCGCTCGAGGACCTCGACTTCGAAGAAGACCCCAAAGGCAAATCGGTCGAGACTGGTGTCGACAAGGATGAGGAAGGGGAAGTGCATCTCCAAGCCGTGATCGCTGCCTCGGCCGCTGCCGCCGCCGCATCAACTGCGAATAGCAACGCCGCAACACCGGGAGGTGCCAGTTCGTCGAATTCGAGTTCGAGTGGGAGGGCAATCAAAGACGATCAGGACGTGAACAAAGGCGGGAGAGGGGACAAGTCCGAAGCGCAAAAGGACAACAAGGCCTACATTCCGACGCCCGATGCCCATGGTGCGATCGACAATGAACTCTTTTATCAGCTCTACCCGAAGGGTTGGAACGATCCCATGACTTATATACGCTTCTCTGACACGGTTGAGGACACGACCAAGGGCGCGACCAACTATACGATGGATGAGGACGACGAGGACTGGCTGGAGGCCTACAACAAACGTGTCGGTCTCACGGCTCGATCCGAATTGACCGACGACCCGGCCTCGGCCTCGACACCGAGTTCGCGACGAAAAGGCAAGGACAAGGCCAAGGTCGAGGACTCGAAGGACGATGCTACAGCAGCGACGACCATCTCGGAAGACGATTTCGAGCGCGTCATGGAGCTTCTCGAGCAACTGGCGGATCAGAAGGCACCGATGGCCCATGTCGATCCGTCCTTCTTACCGTCCGTCGCTGACATGGAACTGCACATCTCCGAATCGACTGAATTCGCCCAACTTGAACCTCTTGCTTGCCCGATCTATCCGCATTGGAAGCACCGACGTTTGGCCCGCAACGGCAAAGCCATCATCCCTCAGCTCGACTACGACGAATCCAACGAGAACAACCCCTACGTCTGTTTCCGGCGTCGCGAGCTCAAGTCGTCGCGCAAGACGCGCCGCTCGGATGCGCAAAACATCGAGCGCTTAACGAGACTGAGGAACGATCTCTTTGCTGCGCATGCGCTGATGCTCAAGGTCAGGGAACGTGAGCGGCTCAAATTGGAGGCGATCGAAGTAGAACGCAAGGTGTTTGAGGTGCGCGTTGAGACGAGGGAATTGAAACGACGGCTGGGTGAAGGGGATGGCGACGAAGAGTTACTCGTTGGTCGACGGGACAAGAAGCGGAGAAAGGAGGAGCTTGCTGCGGCGAATGCGTACGTCTCGGGTCGGGTCAGACTAAAGGGGAGTATTCGTCGTTGTTACTAACCATATTCCCGGCATCATGTCTTTGATCCTCACAGTGCCGGGACTCTACGCTTGTCCTTGCGGAAACCCGATCCTTCAAACCTAAATCATGCCCTGCTCGTCACCTCCGCCGAAGATCTCAAAGCTCGGAAAGACCGAGCGGTCGCCATCACAGCACGAATGGAGCGGGACCTGCAGAACAAGCGAGAAGCCGATTCTGCCTGGGACGACCACACGGATGGCGCTTACGTGCCTCGGGCACCGGCCACTCCGGCACGGTACTGGCGAGCAGTCGAAAGCGTGCAAGGTTCCACCGCTGGTCTGCCAGCGTCGCAATCGAACGTCAATAAAGTCGAGACGCTGGGCTTTGCGACGCAGTACCAACCTTCCATGGGCCGTGTGCGCACGTCCTTTCGGAGACGGGTCGGTCGGGGTGGTCGTGTCATGTTGGATCGAATCGCTCCAACAGTTCGTGCGGCAAGCCTTCGATCGGCCAACTCGGTCCACAAACCATTGACGATCAAGTTGACGTTCGAGTCCGATGTGAGCGATGTCGACGACGAGATGGACGAGGTCGAAGAGGATGCCGATCTGAGAGAGGCTCGACTGGCGCGACAAGCCGAGAGGTTCAGGTACGATTCGGACGCCCATCACGACTTCGCTTGCGCCGACGAGCCAGTCGTGTTGGACGATTTTGATCTACGACACGTAGTGAAACGAACGGGCTTGCTCAAACCCGACGACCTCGCTTCGCTGACGCTCGACACGTCGTACCTTGAGCAAGCATATCAGTGGGCCGCAACCGATCCTGACAAGCATGCCCCGCCGCCTCAGACCTTTGGCCGACCTCCTCCTCGGCCTCCCCTCTCGCAGCCCCAAAACTCGGCTGGACTGGCGATGCAGCTCGGTGCCGCGAATGGGGGCCAACCGTTCAATGCGGTGCAAATGGCGGCTGCTCAGGCTCTCCGTGCGGCGCAGCAGCAGGTGCAACTCAAGCGACAGCAACAGGTCGCCGATTCTAACAGTGCGATGCGCCGAACGCCCTCGTCAGGAAACAATGCTTCCAATTTGGGTCCGAACGGGGTCCCTCAAGGGGGTCAAGCGATGCAGGTGAATTGGAACACTGCCGACGCGACTAAACTGGCCGCAGCAGCCGCAGCCTCGGGCCTCGTCCTCCCACCTGGCTTTCCCCAAGTCCAGCAGAACGGGATGCAGCAACAGGCATTCGCGCAGCAACAGCAGCAGCAGCAACGTATAGCAAATGGGCTCTTGAACGGCGCGAATGGGATCAACGCAAATAACTTGCCGACGTCTCGGGCGCCGCTGTCGAACCTCCAGTTGGCGCTGCAAGCTCAACAACAACTCGTTGCCGCGCAATCCGCTGCAGGTGGGGGTGGACAGTCACCAATTTCGATGGGCGTTGCGGGTTTGAACCCGAACTCGAGGCCCAATTCGGCCGCGTCTCAACACCTGCTTCAAAGCCCGTCGTCGTTCCTGAACCAGGGCCTTCCGTCTCCCAATGGAAGTGTCGTCCGAGTTTCGAGTCCGGCCGCCCACCAATACGCTCAACAGCTGGGGCTTAAATTGTCGCAACAACAGTTGATCCCTTCGTTACCGGCTTCGGCAGCGTCTCAGAGCTCATTCACGGGCTTCGCAACCTGAGCTCTCTTCTTCTACCTTCCGCGTAGTGTCCACATCAGGCCATCTTTCGCCTCTTCCTATCATCATCCCCCCAATCCTCACACTGTCTTTCGTATCCTCCTCCGCGTCCAAGGCGTGGAACCCAGCAAGGTTCGTTAGCGGCGCTGTCTTGTGTTCCCTCACCTTCCCCTCTCCTCGAAGTAGAAGTGTTCTGCTGTACGTCTGCTTTGTGCGAATGTGTATGTGTTTTAACGACGAGTCTGAAGTCCAAATCAAAGATGGAAAAAGGAGGAGGATTTGTTGTGAGAAAGACTTGTCCCGAGCATCATTCAGTCTTAAGTGAATTGACAAGGAAGCAAAAGCAAAGGATAAGAAGAAGAAGAAAAACCGGGTGTACGACGTTTGGGACGGAAGACCCGGAAACATGGAGCTATGGAGCCGCGCAGAATGCGGGGACGTAAGTGACTAATATGCCAAGCCTTAAACGGACAAGGTAAGAACCGAAAATACCAAGGAGAACATAGTGAAGATGCGAAATATACTCACTCTAGTTCAAAGAAAGAAACCCGCAGCCCGTGAAGGTGCTCGGATGTTGAAATTTCCGAACACGATCGCTGCGCACGTCTAGACGCGGCGCCGAAGTTGCGGGGCTGTTGCGACGCCCGGAGAGGGTATAGATGAGGTCGGAGGGTAGATTTGAGATCAGATCATAGCTTATCCGTTAGCCTAGGTGGTGAAACTGAAGTAACTAGCGTATCACTCACCAAGCCTGAAGGTTAGTGCGCGCCTGCTTCGCCGCCTTGGTCGATGTCACGGGACGTTCTTGGCCAGGTCCGCACACCGACCTGGAACACCATGCACCACCGCACCAGCATTTCGGAACCGCTCGAACCCGCCACTTTAGATCTGTATTTCACACTGGTTGGGGCCGTAGAAGTCGAACGAAGCACAGTTGCGCAACAGGGAGGTAGGCATTACAGTCTGGCGCTCTGTCTGTTCTGATAGAACGCTACGGGCTTGGTCTTGCAGGGTCTGCGCGTGTGAGGAGAAGGATGAGATGACGAACATCCTCGAACGCAAGAGATGAGACGCAGAGAAAATGGCTCCAACTTTAACTCACAGACGAAACGCAAGGAGTGGGGGGGTGCATGCGCCGTTGACCTTGCTGTAGCCATCGTCGCAAAACAGGTCACACTGCACACGCCCGAGGCATTGCAGATAGGCATTGCTCGGGCACCTCGAGGGTACTGAGTAGGATCGCAAGCACATGCGCTACCGCTCTTCTGAATTCAGCACTGCAGGTGAAATCACATACTCCGGCCGAGCAGGTGCCACCGGTCTCAGCCAAAGCGGGACGAAGCAGGAGCGAGCTTGCTGGGGCACAACAAAGGTGAATGGAGGGTCTAGGCGATCAATGTCAGAGTGTATTTTGCTGTTTCATCCCACTTGTCTTCCTGATTATGATTGGTTACTAGTTGTTGATATTAATCGCCTCGCGCGGCTCGTGCCTGCCTCGCGCGCGCTCCCTTTAGCGCTTCTCTTCTTTCTCCAACTATCTTTACTATCATCTTCGGCTCTCGTACTTACGCATCTCGTGCCTCGGCTTCAGATTCCTAAAAATCAAGAGCAGTGGGGGGAGCACTCGAGAGGGTCGGCAATGCCTCTAGCTCGAATCTTTGTTCGGCGGCGATTTGGGTGAGGGAGGAGTAGCGTCGTTAGACGGTGGGTAGCAAGAAGTAGGAAGGAGCGGCCGGGATGGGAAGTACAGTTGTAGGCGCCACGATAAGTGCGCCGCGGGGACCAATCTCAGGTTCACTGGACGGAAGATCAAGTTTAGAGACGGCAGGCCGGGAGTAGAGAGGACGGGAGAATGATCACCGAGTGTGGCTTGGGTGCGCCGAGACAGGACACACTTTGCCTCTGTCCACTGAACGGGCAGACAGCCTTCGCGAACGGTCCCCCAGTCCCGCTGTCCCGCCTTCCTCGTCTGAGTCGTTCCAACAGACACCACTGCAGACCTACTATTCGAAACGGACCATAGCCTGGATCGCTCAGACTAATGTGCGAGTGGATCACTTCGACGATGGCGAACACGATTTGGCTGCACTCGGCCATTGCAAGTGAAGTCAACCGTACGAATCTCGGAAATGCGTTCCTCACGGCCTCACGCGTCCATTCGGCCCGAGGCTGCCAGAGCGAGAGCCGCGCTGAGGCGCGCTGAGCCACGGCCTGCCACGGCTGAGGCGCGCTCGCCTCATTCACTTGCTTCGCTCCAAGCCGACTGACTTCCTTCCTGTCGTATCGTGCTGTCGGATACCGCAAGATATCAATCCGACGGAGGGTTCTGCGCAGTGTGGGTCGATTGCACTGTAACGTGGGGCCAAATCCGCCATGTCGTCGCCGAATGATCGCCCCACAGCGCCTCGTCGGAGGACCGCTCATGGCGCCTTCGTTTCGACGCTCTCACGACTCGCACCAACGACGGCCACGACAAGTGCCGGTACCGTCGAACCGTACACGCCCTCCACTCCTGGCTACCCTTCGCTTGGATCGACGTTGACCTCACAGGCCGCGTCGCTGACTGCTTCGCCGGCCTCGACCTCGTCCGCGCCAGCTGCGATCAGCCTCGATACGACCACCGCCACCGCCACCGCCACCGTTGCGGCGCCCAACATGTCCCTCATGTCTTCGCCACTCAGAGTTGTCGCAGGGGCTGCTGATGGTGCGACCGCGAGTCTCAACACGCGGGCGAGCGCCTCGACTGGTGTGAGCTCCGGCACGACCACCGCGGGCGTCTCCGCGACGAGCGCAAGTGGGGCGCCAACCACCGCCCTCGATGCGCTCGAAGCACTCGCCCACGCCAGCCACGACCCCACCGCCGTATCGACCGCGGTCCCAAGTACGACGACAGCAACACCCACTACGAGCTCCAACATCATCAAGCCTGCCCCGAAGAAACCGTTGCTCGCGCGGGCATCGGCGTCGCCGTCGTCGGCTTACACCGCGCCCCCGATCGCGAGAAGCTCCAGTGACCCGTCCCGCTCACGCGAGCCTCAGCTTCGAACTGCTGCAACCAGCGCCAGCGACTCGTCTTCGTGGAGTCTCAACTATGGCCAAAACTCGTCCACCTCTCACAATTCCTACGGCGGGTTCGAGGCCCTTCCTGCGTCCACCTCGTCCTACGTCTCGTCCTCATCGTACTATCACGCCGATGTCAACGCCAGTCATTTCTTTGGCGCAAATGCAGCATTCTCCTTCGAGGACCCATCCGCGTCCTACATCCGCTATCAGAGCCAGTTTCAGCAGGCCGGTACGAGTATATTCAATCGTGTGTCGGGCCATATTCGGTCCCAAGCCTTGATGGGTACAGCGCCGATACTAGCCTCGGGCTCCCATCAGTCCTCGGCCGGATCCTCGGCATTCAACAACTCGCCCGTCGGATCTTGGTCTGCGGAGAATGCTTTCGCAGGAACGAGCCGACGCTACAACGGGGAGAGTCCGCTCGGAGGTGGGCGGAAGCTGAAGGAGCATTCACGCGCGATGCGATACTCGATCGGCGTCGTCTCGAGGGAGCGGGGTATGGTTGCCATGGCCAGGCCCAAGGAGGACGGCGAAGGAAGAGTAGCAGTAGCTGGGCGGGCTTGTAAGTGGCCGCCTAAATTCGCTGATTGTTATGAACCCGCTCAGTATTGAACGCGCATGCCGTTTGCAGGTCTGAGGATACTCAAAGTCCCCCGCGGAGGTGTGCGCCGTGCTGTGGATCCCAACGCGTCGGCCATATCGACCGCCTCGATTGCATACCGTCGCTCAAGATCGCGTGGTACCACCGCCTCGGATGGATACGTGGGTTCGAGCGAAGACAGCGCTGCACCGGAGCGTCGAGTGGAAAGAGATGGTATCAACGAGGTGCTCGATGTCAAACTGGGTTCTCGACTAGGCGGCGCTCACCTCTTCAGCGATGTGGCGTGGGGCTATGCGGCCACTTCGACTAAGCTGGCCACCGCCTCCACGAATGGTACCGTTGTGTTGTGGGACCTGAACAAAGACGGCTCGAATCGAGTCGACCAGGTTCGGCACGAACACGACCGCAAAGTCAATCGCATCTTATTCGGTGGCAGCACCGGGTCGTGGGTGGCCAGTGGTGGTCAGGACGGCTTGATCAAGTTGTGGGATGTGCGCGAGGGCCCAAACCAAACACGGAAACTCAAGACGGCGTCCCCCGTCAAGCATCTCGCTTTCTCCCCTTCCTCATCGCAACCGTGGACGTTGCTCGCCGCTTGCGCCTCGGGGACCTTGATCCGCTTCGACGTCAGAAACGTCAACCAAAGAACGGGTGGAGTGACGGACCGCATTGCCGGCCATACCGATGCTTGCCTTTCGTTGGACTGGCGAGACGGGTTCCACCATGAGCGCATCGACAGCGCAGGCGGAAGCAGAGACGGTGGGTGGGTCGTCACCAGTGGATTGGATCGTACGATCAAGATCTGGGACTTTTCAGGGGCGACGATCGCGACCAAACCTTTCCGAACGCTGTACCCTGCACAACCGGCTGCGACCGTCGCTTGGCATCCGACAAAGCCGACCGAGCTCGCGACCAGCCCTCTGTCCTTGCTCTCGGAGGAAGGCAATTCGGATGGCGGCGATACATTGGGTGGTCTCGACCACGCCGCAGCGGGTTGGAAGACGGAGATTGAGGTCTGGGACATTCGAAGGCCACATTTCCCCAAGTACGCGCTCAAAACGGACGAGCACCCCTCAGCGATCCTTTACAACGATGACGAAACACTTTGGACCGTCTCCAAGTCGAACTCAACCTTCCAACAACACGACATCAATGCCGATTCCTACGTATTGCTGGACAGTATCCCGCGAGCGACGCCGGCTTGGTCATACGATGGGACAATGTCTTTCATCGATGAAGCCCGTACGAGCCATGACGTACCCTTCGAGTTCCGCTCGGCCAGGATCGAGGACCAAATCGACCAACAGGGTCTGGAAGCACGCAGGTATCAATCAACGGCTTACATCAACACGTTGCAGCAGTTCGATCCCGAGTTCTCGGCCAGCCAGTTCGCAAACCTGGCGAACAGTCTCGTCGTCGGGGGACTCAGCTTTGCGGAAATGTGCGAAACCAATGCCAAGGTGAGTGGGACATGACTCCGCGGTCGCACGTGTAACCCAAGCAACTTATAGCACAGTCACTGACCGGTTCAACATTTGTAGACCTATGAGTACGCCGAGCGAATGGACAGGTGCCAGTTTTGGAGGATACTTAAAATTTGGCTCGAAGGCACGACGCCCCCCGAATCGTCGTCCGCGACACCTCTCAAAGACGGAGCCCCTCCTTCGTTCAAACCCGATGTTCTTGCCGCTGCAGCGAGCTTTGGGACATCACCGCATCGGCTCCGATTTCCCCACTCTTCCGCATACGCCAACTCCCGATGGTCCGTGACCACATCGCCTCACGTTGGGCCGACGGACATTTCGAATAAGGTTCCGCTCCCGGACTTTGCCGAAGAGTCCACATCGAGTGAAACCGATTCGCCCCACGCCGAGGATCACTCTCAGCCCACATCGCGAGCTTACTACCCTGATTTGAGCTCGACGTCGAGTGACTCTGAAGCTGAATCCCACTTCAAAGTGAGCGCGGCGCGGAAGCTCAGCTCTTCCAGTTCAGGCAACGCTGTCAAGGCCGGACTGGGAGGCTTGACATCGCTGAGGCCCCTCAATACTAATGGCTCCGGTCTGACCATGGGACGAAGGTCGACGAGCTCGACTTTTGGCGGTACAAACCTAGGTGGCACCGCGACCCCCATCGATAACACTCTCGAGGCGTCGAGACCTTCTTCGGGCTCAAGGCACCGCACAGGGCCCGCTCGCCCTTCAGGTTCAAGTTCCGAGAACGAGTCGGGCGAAGAAGACGGTGAAGGCATGTCCCGCAGAGATCGGGTCACTTCGCTCCAAATTGCGCGCTCGCGGCGCGCTAGCTCGAGCACGAGCGACAAACGCCGACCGACACAGCTACGTGAAGCTTTCATGGCGGCGCAGATCAATGGAAGTCGCGCCGTATCGGCAGACCCGACCGTGGTCGGTCTGATCAACTCTCGAAGAGGATCGCTGGCACCCCCGGGGACCCATGCGCGCAATTCGAACGACCTCCAAGCTGCTACGGCCGAGAGGGAGCAGATCGAGCTGCTGATACTGAATACTCAGCGGGCCCAAGCGATGAGCCGTCGCCTCGAGGAGGCGACCGAGATAATGAAAAGACAGATCGCTTCGGTGCTACAGGGCTTTGCCGATGATGTGAGTGCAAGATATTATTCAGCTGTCGTTATCTGTCTACTGATGTATGGTCATTGACCGGTGACTGGCTTTGGGGGGTTGGGGAGCTCAGGGAGATTCGCAGCTCTGCGCGGTCGCATGCTGCGTGTTGCAGGATCGCGACGTTGAGCTGGACTCGCTGTTTGTTGCACGCGTTACACAAGCATACCTAGGTTCGTTGGTTCTTATCTTTCTGTCTGCCTTCCGTTTCCGTGATTGCCCCCTCACGGCGACCGTGTGCTGCCTCACAGACTCGCTCAATACCGCAGAGTTGCACATCGCGGCAGCTTCGTTACAAAAGTACACACCTGTCGTGAAGTTGCGGGAGAAAGCTCAGGTGAGCAACCTCATTGAGGATTGATCTTCTGCACCTCCTTCGACAACTGAACGCTTCCTTCGGACTGTTTGCACACTTTTCAGACCTCAGTGACCTTTCATACCGCTTGCGGCAATTGTGGCAAAGCTTTGGAAGGACCTCCCTTCAATGCGTGCGTTCGGTGCTCGGCCCGAGCCACCCGCTGTTGCATCTGCCAACACGACGTCGACGCGCTGCTGGTCTTTTGCGCTGTCTGCGGTCACGGCGCCCACCCAACATGCCTCGCATTGTACTCCAGCGCGGTCTCTGTGAACGAGTGCTCCGAGCCGACCAAATCTCCGACGCCGGATCGCAATTTCGGGACCAGGAGGAGCTCAGTCGCCAGCTTGGCGTCCGCTTACCCATCACACCCTTCCACTCCTGGGCTTTTGGCTCCTCTACGCGCATGGATGTGGGGGGAAGAGGGTCCAATTGCTGAGCAGTCCGAGCTGCGAATGAGCACCGAATTTGGCACTACATTTGCTCAGCGCCTGAGTGAGCAGGAGGAACTGCTCGCGGGTTGTCCTTCGGGCCTGTGCGAACACAGTCCTTGTATCTTGGCAGCGTGAATTGATGTTGAACCATTTACAATGGACGTAGATAGGGCCCTGAATTCTATGGCAGATTCATCCCACCGGAAAAATGTCGACCCACGCGATGCTGCAGCCTAAGTTCGTGTCTACTTTACTGAACACGTTGCCAGCCACCGTGACGAGTATGGCCCAACAACAACACTTGTAGTTTGCACAAATTCTCATTCTTCTCAGGAGCCAGCATCTTTGGAACGTCCCATGATGGGTGGCGTTCGCACTGCGAGTTTTGTGGCAGTGCACCGCAGCCGCTTAGCTCGCTCCGACGATGACGTCGATCGCGGACCAGGCTAAGCGCCACGCGCCTTCGGCAGTCCTTTTGCGTGCGGAGCCGAGTGGAAAAATAAACCCGGCCTAATGGCCTCAACACGTGTGCTGATCTGGGGCAATTCGTAGGCGAGCTAGGTCCGAAACTGACTCAGGTTCCAGGGACCAAGGCCTAATCCTGTCGGGCTTTTGCGACACCGACACAGGCCCTGTCAGGGGCTCTTGTCACGCCACCAGCGGCTACCAGCCGCCGGCACAACTTCGCTAGAACTCGTCGGCGATTTCCCCGGCTCGCCTAAACAAATGGCTCTACATCTCACGGTGGCTCACGCGGCGCACATGCCAGTCATGGCAAGTAGGTCGGTTGGCAACCGGCTTCCCATACCTGTGTACCGTATAGACAGATGTCCCTTAGAAGTGAGACTTAGAGCTGAAGGATCTAATGGATATCAACTGTACCTTAGGTGAGCACCTAACTACGGACCTCGATAGCTGCCTACTGCCTAACGTACCTAGGTATCTGTCTACTACCTACTACCAAGGCACCCGTTACTAGGCAACTGGACACCCCGTGTGACGAATACCGGGCCGACCACGACCGGAGGTCACGGTTTTCTTTTCGGAAGACAGGGGCGCTGTGCAAGCGCATCCGCTACAAGGAGTGTCGCTTCGGGGAGTTTTAGTGTCGGTCTTTGAAGGCTCTCGGGAAGCGTTGCATTCTCTCGTGTAGTTCCCTGGTGTGATAATCTACCCAGCTACCTCTGAGAGAAGGCTTTCTACTTGCCAGCCTTGTGATCTCACCGTCGGTGCAGCACATGAACCTTCAAAATCTATCTACCGACCTAGTTCCGAGTCCATAAGAGGTACAATTGCAGTCAGTTTCAAGCAAATTTCTGTCTCCGAGCCGGGACAAAAATTGTAGGATCGCGACTCGATGTTGCGGATTGTGAAGTTTGAACCTCCACCAGCTGAGCAGAGCTGAGCAAGTCCACGGCCTCCGCCCCGCTTGAATCGCAGTGCCTGAAATCGCAAAGTCCGAGCGGCGAGGACCCTGCTGGGCGGGGCCGCGGTCTGCCGCGGTCGGGTTCAGTTAATTCAGTCAGTTCGGATTGTGGCGGTGCGGCAATTATAAATGTGCGAAGTACTTTACAGTTTCGGTCCGGTGTAGCGGTTACTTTGAAGACATCATCGCATCCCGCATGGATCCAAGCATCTCGCATGGATCCGAGCATCTTTGCAAAGGTAGACCTGACACAGAGGACCTTACACGGTCCCTACTGTAACAAGTAATGGTCCCACCCGGCTAGTGTTCAACCGCCGAATCGCGTGGGCAAGATAGTCCGCAGGCACGTGACCCGCGCCCGTAAAGCAGTCGAGGCGCCGGGGCGATGCTGAGTGAATGGCTCGGGTTCAGGGTCGAAAAATCGCGGTTTAAACCTGCTCAAGTACCTACATCTGAAATTTTAGCAATACGGCCTAAACAGTAGTGGGGCTCAGAGACTCAACAGTCGGTCGTGTCGGAGATTATGCGAGCAGGGTCCTCCGAGTACGTCCCACTTATTCCCAGGCGCTCGTTTTGCATGTGCACAATGAGGATTCTGCAAAGCGACAGGAGCGACAAGAGACGGCACATGCAAGGCAATGGGTCAATAACTAAAGACAAAACTTGATTCTCCTGGCTGAATGTGGTGGCGAGAGGTACTGAAAATATCCGAGTGGGACCAAGTCGTCCCGTTTCTGCCTCTCGAGAGATGAAGATGAATCATGCCTTGACGGGGAAGCAATTCCTGCCGATGATATCCTATAACGAAGCATGGTATCTGAGGTCTTTCATCAACATGAAAGGCGCCCTGAGTAGGGGCATTGCCACGAGATCGTTCCCATACATGACCCCTGTAGACCGGCGATCACGAACCGGTGATATCCAGGCGAGAACGACACTGCCCGGCATCGCTTGTCGATTTATGAGAAAACGGCAAACGGCCAGATTACTTGCCTATGTGGCTACAGCACCACAAACAACACCACGTACGACAACTGACATCGATAGGGACGAGTCGCAGCCGTCACCAATCGCAGCAGGCAGGGCCCAAGATAACCCCTCGCCAGTTGGTGACCGGGACAAGCGCTCTCATCTCAGCGTGGGTCAATTTCAGTGGCAAAATCGGCGGGCGCAGGCCTCAGCTGGTCCCGGCTGTCGCTCTCGTACCTAAAAACAACATCGTGGGCCAGTGTTGAGACCAATAATAAATTAAGTTGGTGCAGTAGGGCGCTCCTGCAAGATTGTGGCAGTGCACAGGCTCCGCCATCGAACCGCGAATTATCGATGGACAATTCCTCGCCGATTGACGTGGCTCGCACTCCGCCCCAAGCTGGGGGGTGCGTGAGACACCTCGAGAATGGGGAAGGTGCGCTCGCCGCTCGGCTCGGAGTTTATCGTGGTTTTCGCAGTGAAGGACCCAAAACTCGAAAACATCTCGCATGGGCTTACCGCAAGACCTCCAGTATGGGGTTTCTCCGATCATACGTACCTCATCGCGTGCCTTTTCCCTTTTTCCATAGGACAGGTGCGGAGCGAAAAGTCGACGGATGGACACTGGCCGCCTTGTGTGTTCCAAACTCCATCTCGCGTGTTCTCTTGCTCACGCTCCCTGCTTGGACTCGCGACCATCCAGACCGCTATCTCCCTACCTGGCTCGACGATCACCAGTTTGACAGATCTGTACAGCTCATACCAAGACTCCCCACCTTGAGTCCAGTACGTACGACCCATCCCAGATTCTGTGGACACCCACCTTCTGCTGGCAGCCTGGCACCGATTGGCCTTCTCTCAAAGAGCGACGTCGTTCAGGCACACAGCTGGGCGTCTCTCGGCTTGCCCAAGCACGTTCAGGCACCAGCTGGGACGACCAGCGTCCTAGGCGCGGCGCGGCCTGCTTATGACCCGCCGATAATGTCGTCGTTCAATAGCAGGGACCAAGCACGACATCCCGCCATGGATGAACGGGAGGCGAACACAATTACCAGATCACCTAACCGATCAGGAGACGAGATGATGGGCAGACAATCGCCGCAGATGATGATGCTAATGGGGCAAAAGCAAGAGAAGAATGTAGGCTCGGATTTTAGCTCAAAGCCTGGAGGTTGGCGCTCGGTCCTCGTCGAAGCAAACCCCAGCTCATCTTCTCGACTTGTGCGCCTCTCTCCTCGCATCTCCTTGGCCTTTCCCCTCTCCACCCCTCCCTTTGCTCTTGCACAGACGCCGTGGCATGTGATGCGTGAGTGCTTGTATTGTGGCATCATCTCGTTACAGTGTATCCCATGCTGATGCTGCGAACGCTCTCTCTCCGCCTTGACTGCCCCCCACCCGGTGTGTCTCTGATCTCTGTCACCCACATTTCGACCCTGACCGCGCGCGACCTTCTCGCCGGATGCGCTCTGCGGCCGCCTGTCCCGCGTCTTGGATCGCGTTCCATGCGGCGCGCTGCTGCTGCTCTGGGACTGCTCACAACAGCTGTAGTACCAAATCCATCGACGCCGCCGAGTGGGTTCGATCATCGTAGATTAAGTTGGGGTGAGTGCGATTGACTCGCATGGGGGAACTTTGTTGTTGAACCGACCGAACTGACTCTGCTTGCACCTCGACCTTTTTGGGGCTCGCTTGCTTTGCTGCGATAAAATTATACTGCAGTCGACGAGCACGGGCCTACGTCATGCGCCAGCGCCGACGCGACGGCCGTGCCGCAGCCCGCTCCGATAGCTGCCCATGCGCCACCACCGCCGCCACCGCCGTCGGCCGGGACATGTGGGGTAACAGGTGCTGCACCCGCACCCGGGCATGCAGCAGCCGCTGGCTGGCCGCCCGGCTCGACCGAGCAAGCCCGGGATGGGTCTGGTGACACCGATTCTTATCAACGTCACCAGCATCACCAGCATCATCAGCATCATCAGCAGCAGCTGCAGCAACAACAACACCACGACCAGCACCGGCCACTACAGATGGTTCCTCTCTCTGCCCACGATGAGCGACATTCATCATCATCTCGCGCATACAGTCAGCAGCACCCGTCACAACAGCCGTACCAACAGCCACAATACCTACAACAACAACAGCAGCCACAGCACCAACAACAGCACTACTCGCCGGCTCTACATCACCATCAATCGATGCCGAATTTTCGCACGTCCCCCATGCATCCGGGATCGCCGGCAAGCAGTACCGGTGGCACGCCAAGGGCGCAGCCGGGGCCGATGGCTGATCGTGGAACACCCTCTTCGCATTCTTCGCACGTCTACCGACCTTACAACCCACTCGAACACCTCCCTCCGCATGCCTCCCAACCTCGAATGAACAATTCCAACTTCGAAGGCGCGCATCTCGCGAGCGCCATCGGCTCCGACGACCGGTTCTCGACCGTTGGGCCGGCGCGCGTGGCGACCGTTAGCGCCTCCATGCAGCAGCCATCTTCTGGCGCCTCTTCGCGCCCCGATGAGCCAACAATTCAAACGCTCCCAATTCAACCGTCAGCGATCTTGAGCGCGTCACGCAACTCGTCAATGCAACAACATCACATTCATGGCATCTACCAACACTCTTATTCGCATTCATATCCACAACAGCAACAACACGACACGAGTGCCGTCGGCTTCTCCCACCACGTTCCGCCGACGTTGCCCATGTCCGCGAGATCCGGCGAATCGCCGACCTCTCGGCAGCAGCAGTTCTACCCGGCAGCGGCCCAGCAGGTCCACTACGTGAGACCGAGCTCGTCATCGTCTTCTTCGGTCACGTCGAGCTGGTCGACGTTGTCCCCGATTCTCGACCGACCTTATCAACCGAATGCGATAGCGTCGGGGCCCACGGCGGTATATTCGCCGAGTGTGAACCAGCACTGGGGTCCGAGCTCGGCGAACGAATTTGCGAACGCTGGGGGTGTGTTCTCCGCCGCACCGCGTTACAGCACTTACGAGGAAGGAATCATGGCGCAAAGTGGGGCACAGTACCTCCCAATTCCTTCGGGGATGCCTGTTCCCCTTCTGTCATCGCCACCGATCCCTTTACGCCCGCGTCACAGTCCGCCGAGCGAGCGAAGCACCGGCAGCGATGAGGAACGAAAGGATTCTACGACGGTATGTCCGCTTCTGCCCCCTTTTGCGCATGTTGAGCCCATGCTCACTTACACTCGACCTGAAATTACACAGCCCTTTATCAGCAAGCTCTCGCATTTGCTCTCGAACGAGGACTATCATCATCTCATACGATGGAACGATGAGGTTAGTGTGCAATCGATGTGGGCCCACCGCAGCCAGCGTGCCCTGACATTTTGTACGATCGGCTTCGTGTTTGCAGGGTGACAAGTTCACATTCGCGCATTCGTCGCCAGAACTTCTCGAGGCTTTCACTCGCATTTTCCGTCACGGCAACATCCACTCCTTCGTTCGCCAACTGAACATCTGTAAGCGACCTTATTGTGCGGCCGTGGAGCAATGTCTGCCCAGCGCGCTGAACCCAGTATCATATTCACAGACTCCTTCACTCGCCTCTCGACGATGGAGCTGGTTGAATGTCTCCCATCGAATGAAGACCCTGCTCGGGTTTCGGACTACCATGGCTTTATGCATCCCCTGTTCTTCCGCGACTCGCCGCATCGAACGTGTGACCTGACCAAGATCAAGGTGCGCAGATCCTTCACCCACGAAATGGACGACATGTCAACTGATGACTCCTCGTTCCATTTTCCACATCTGTGCAGCCTAAGGCATCGAAAAAGTCCGCTGCATCGAAAGGGAATGGCAATGCGATGTTCGCGAACGCTCCGCCCACGCCCGGTGACAAACGCCGCAGTTCTCTGTCAGGGCTTTCGAGCTTGGTCAGGGAAGCGGCATCGCCTTACGCCTTCCACCCTCACCAGCCTCAGCTTCAGGATGAGCAATACCACCGATATTGACACCGAGATCCGCGCCAAACCTTCTCGCCATCCTCGTCTTGCTGACTCACGATGTACCCACGCCGCTTTTTGGAACTTCTTACACACGGACGAACTTCCCCACCTTACGCCCAGAACTGCACAAACCACCACGCAGCATCCTGTCCCCACCTACTTACTTACGACTCGTAATACCATTGACCCACTTGTGTGTAGCAAGTCCCCCTTAGTTTCCGCCCTCGCTTGTGCTCGCCCGCTTCTTTCGATACACGACGCTTTCCTCTGCTTCGCGGATCCGATCGCTGGCGCTTTGCTCCTCTCTTGAGAGGAACCTTGTTTTGGCTACCGAATCACTGTATGCATGTACCATGACCCCTGCAGATGTTCTTCTTCTCCGTCTCCTCTCTTCCGTCTTGGACCTCTTTGCCTGTAGTACCTCGTTCGTCGATCCAATCTTGCAGCACACGTACACGCGCGAGCGCGCCCTTCTTCTTTTCTTCTAATGATGCGGTGTGTCCCATGACAGAATGTTGTGTTCTATTGCACCTCATTTGATAACACGATGAGTTGCACTCTATCCCCAAGTCTCCTCGACGATCCTCCCCTCCTTCTCGAGCGTTTCCCACCACGCCTCGGCCTTCTGGTCCACCCGTCTCGTCTCGTCCTCATTCTCTTTATCGCTCCCCTCCCCCTCCCCCTCCCCATCCCCATCCCTTTGGTTCTGTATGAAGACTTGTAGGAAGGCCTTTTTGACGCTCTTGGGCATGTTGGTCGACGATCCGCAGATGTAAATCGAGCCGCGGCGTTCGTGGATCCAATCCCATATCAGCGCCGATTGCGATGGGATGAGGTGTTGCACGTAGATCTTGTCCTCCTGTAGGATGTGCGTCGCAATCAGTATGCCTTTTTAAAAACGGTCGATCATTGTGATGACGGGTGTGGTATGCGTACCTGATCTCGACTCGCGGCTGTGATCAATTTGAGGAAGCCTTGATCGCGCATCTGAGTGAACTCGACTTGAAAATGGAAATCCTTGGCGAGGGACCGACACCCAAAGAAGAGCATGTTGTCTGCGAAGAAAAACCCACGAAAAGCAAGTCAAAATTTACGGATATTCCCTTAGGGAAAGCGGAGATCATGTGCCTCAAACGTGCCGACGTACCTTTCGCTCCCTCTCGTATCCTCTCCTCCATCAACGCCCTAAAAGGCGCGACCCCGGTGCCGGGCCCAACCATGATCAAGGGTCTCCCTTTCTCAACAGGGGACCTCAACAACCCACTTCGATCGAATCTGACCCACATCCTGTCCCCTACTTCCCTGCCCGCCAACCAACTCGTACATACCCCCTTCCTAGGCATCGACATGTTGGTTTTGTATTTGACGATCGCGATGAGCAACTCGACGTGGCCTTGGTGGGCTTCGGGCGTGCTTGCGATGGAGAAGGCTCGCGGTCTTAGAGGCGGTAGGAGGTCGAGGATGTATTCTATGGGGACGTTGGCCGAGCGAAATTCGTACATGACTTCGTTGATCGTTCGCCGTGGTCGTAAGGTGTAGTCGTTCAAGTCGTCCTGGCGGTCAAAATCCTCGCCTTCGCTCAGCCAGGAAACATCGACGACTGGCGAACACACCAACTGCTCACCTGCCCCTCGCCCGTACAAAAGAATTGCAGCTTCTCCTTCATGTCCCCTTCGCTGAAATGAGCTAACCATTCGAAGAAGGATAGTCTCGGCACGCCCGATATGTCGAGCTCGTAGGTCAGGAGGTAGTGCAGGGTCGTGATGAACGACTGTGGGAAATGCGAAGGGAGAGGTCGGTCTGTTTTGGGCGGTCGATGATGAGTCAGTTGAAGCCCATGAGCCCACAACGCCCACATTTAAAAGGAAAACGCACTATTGTTATGGGCCTCGAGCCGGAAGGGCTGATGAGCGAGCTCGGTCCATCCCGCCGACGAAAGGAAGCGATCGACATCTTCTGGCGAGTTTTGCGGTCGAATTTCGAGCACGTCCCCAGCCGAGTATCTTTAACCACACGGGAAGAATTCGACGTTCAGGTTTCCCATATCCGACCGGCCGCTGTTCTCGCATACGCACCTGATTGCCTCATCATCCCACTTTGCCAATTCATCTTTGACGAATTCGACCTCGAGCTTCCTCACGTCCTGGAACCAATCCTCCGGAGTGGTCCTCTTGATCTCGACGACCTTGGCCCATCTCGCATCGTTCGCCCAGGGTAGAGCTTCCTCCGACGATACGGCGTGCTCGTGGTTGGGGTTGACTTTGGTCAGCCTGATCCTTGGAGGTGGGACGTCGTCGATGCTGAGGGGTTTGAAGTGCGGTGCGGGGGCGAACAAGGGGTCTATGGCTTGGTAGAAGCGTTCGAGCCAGGAGGGGAACGTCGATTCAACCCTGTCATATGATGAAGAGCGAATCAGAAACTATGTTCCTACAGCATTCGGGCTCTCTTCAGAACAGTCAGTCGACTGACCCCCACACGTTCTGATCATCGGCTTCGCCACGTTCGACGACGGCGGTCGCGCCGAGGTTGTCCAACCTCCTCGACAGCTTCTTGCCCGCCCAGTTGTACTTTGCATAACTCGAATCGCCCAACGCAAAGACGGCGTACCTGAAGGCAGAAGTAGAACCGTCAACGAAATGAGCGCTTTGGTCACCCCTCGGGGAACAGTGCAATGGTGGGCAGGAACTTGCCGTAGGTCCTGGAGAAAGTCCTGGGGTAGCTCGGGGTGGAGTAGGGATGTCCATAGAGGGAGGAAAGAAGGTGGTGCGGCTCCGTTGCCGGTCGTAGGCACGACAAAGACGATCAACCCCAGTTCGAGCAATTCGGTCTGCTCTCCCGGGCCAGACGGAAATGCGCTCTCAACGCTTCAGCATTCAAGCTCGATTCAAACCGGATGTCAATGTACAGTGTGAACACACCTTTTCGAACTGTGAGACGTGCTTGACCGAGGTATGCCAGCCTGCTCGCACGCCTCGACGCGCGATCCGTTCCGCGACGTCACTTGCGGTGCCCGTCACCGTCGCGTGCACGACCAACAGCGACCTTGACTCGAGCGGCAGTGGGGCGTGTTCCGGTGCGAGATGGCTCGTCGAAGCCACGCTCATCCTGTCCGGTGTCGGCCCCTGCGGACGATGGGCCGTGAACGCGCAAAGGGGACTCGCTCGTGCGCAGAGAGCGCCCCGGTCATCGGTCATCGGTCATCGGTCTTCGGTCATCGGTCTTCGGTCATCGACGACGGTGCCGCTCGGCCGACTCTTGAAACTCCGAGTCGGCAATCCGCAATTAGGCGGGCGATCGAGTGCGGGGTACCGTACCTTTGACTCATAGCAAACTCGGTGTTAAAAGGATGGAGTCAAAAAGCGGCGTACCCTTTCGGCACAACATGGTTCGACCGTCGGACTCGGCCAGGCCTGCAGTGAACTCTGAGCGGGCGAGGATTCGGAGATGGAAATGACTCGCTCGTGCCGGCCGAGAAGTGGTGAGCGCCGGGTGAGTGATTCCAAGGCTCCTGACCGGACCTTCGAGCAGGTTCTTTGAAGCTAGAGGCGATCCGTTTTGACTCCTGATTTCGATCGTCGTCGGGTCAAGCCAGAAAACAAAGCACGTCTCGCCGCCCCCGTCGGCGACTTCCGGTCTGTGCGGATAGGCAGTCGAAAGTCCTTGCACGGCACCGGAAAATGTAAGCACCCAGCCGGATCGGCCCCGGCGGCCGGAAGTAAGTCCTTGGCTGCCCATCGACTTGAGCCGCTTTTTTTGACTCCTGCACCTTTTTTTAGGCCCCTAAGCCCGATCGTTGACTCGGTGGTCGACACCTCATTCCGATCTGCAAGACGGCTCGGCATTAGCCTGACTTTTCTCGACGGATGAGAAAGAAAGTAACCGCCAAGGAAAAAGATCGATTTGACCATAATAGCTCCGCTGATCAGCCTGATCCTGGATTGGCGAGCGCAAACGCGACGGCCGAGTCAGGCAGGGCCTTTTAGAAAGCGAGCGCACTCTGCCCTCGTCTCGCTCCGACCGTCGGCGTCGTCGTCGTCATCGTCCTTGGCTCTCAGCGCGAGGGCGTCGCAGTCGACGATCCATGTCGGTGTACTCGGTCTCGTCGTCGTCCGGGGCTTCGACCTCGGGTTCGTCGTCGTACGCGTCGGACCAGTCCCAGTCCCAATCGCACTCGCATCAGCCGTCGCAAATGCTTTCGATCCTTCAACCGCTCGGCTACACCAAGGGCACGTGCGGCTACTGTCAAGGCCAGAACCTCTCCGGAGCATCATCCGACTCGACCAAGCCCCCGAAGAAGACGAGTTCGAGCTACGGGTCAGTCTCGGGCCACTGCTCCTGTGTGCTCTCCTCCTCCGTGCTCCGTGCTCCGCCCCCACGCGACTCCCCGCGTCTCGTGCCATAGCGTCGTCCATCAGCGCTTCAGCCGGTGCACCGCTCCACTTCTACTGCCACGACCGCCGGAATCCTTAACTCCGCAGCGCCCTTGCCTCGCCTGCGCGCTGTATCCTTCAATTGCCTATCTCGACTAGCGACCGGAAACAGGGGGATGGAGCGGATACAGCCGCAGAAACACGTGCTGACCTCCCTCTCGTGTGCCCAGATGCTGGGCCCATCTGCTCAGCTGCTCGACCTACAAGCTCATGCTCGATCGCGGGTGGAGGAGGTCGGGCAAGTACTGCTACAAGCCCGACATGCGCAGCACCTGTTGTCCCCAATACACGATATCGTCAGTTCCCAGCGTCTAGTGCTGTGCGCGTGTGACCTTGCAACTGACACCCCCCCGATTACGATCCGCGATTGCCGTAGGCTCGACGCGGCGGCGTTCGTTCCGGCAAAGAGTCAACGTCAAGTCTTGAACAGGTTCGCGGCCTTTGTCATCGACGGCGATCACGAGGGTAAACCGGGCTGGGGACCTGTCGATCCGTCCACGACACCCTACGCCGATCCAAATCTCGATCCTTCCTCTTCCTCTGTGTCCCCACCTCCGACGGCAGTGTTGTCGACCTCGCCGCCGATGAACAAGAACGTCGCGACCAAAGCCGATTCGTTGCTAACCACGGCCAATGCGGTCACATTCGATCCGCCCATCGAGCCACCTACGATCAGCGACGAAGACCAAGACCTCCCTGCTCCAACTTGGTCGAAACATGATGCGCAACGCAAGGGCAACGCCAAGGCCGATGCGACCATGGCGGAACCCGGCCCGAGCGACCAGTCAAGAGCGAAACTCGCTGGCCCTACCAAGGGGGGCAGGCGCAAGGCCCCGACCGACCTTAGCGAGATGGTGCATCAACTCGAGTGGGCCAACAGTCCTGTGGACAAACCTTTCAAGCACAAGTTCGAGGTCAGTCTTGCGTTAATTCGTCTGTTCTCTCGGAAGGGCCGAGCTGATCGACCGCACTGTGACCCCCTATAGTACGTTCTTGAGGAGGCCTCGTTCACCGAGGAGAAATATGCGCTCTTTCAACGGTATCAGGTACGTCTAGAATACTCAAGGCGAGGCAGCGCTCGTGGACTCATTCATGAGGATGACCTCACAGACCCAAGTCCACCACGAACCGGACTCCAAAGTGACCCGCAAAGGCTTCCGCCGCTTCCTCGTTGACACGCCCTTGCATCTCGAGCCGACTCCGAACCCCTCTTACAATTACGGCTCCCACCACGGTCTCTACCGCCTCGACGGTCAACTGATCGCTTTAGCCGTGATCGACATCCTCCCCGGTGCCGTCTCGTCGGTCTACTTTGCCTGGGATCCCCAATACTCGAGTCTGTCCCTAGGCAAGGTCTCGGCCCTACGCGAGGTCGCCTTCGTGCGCGAACTGCAATCCCAAGGCGGACTAGAGGATCTAACGCGGTACATGATGGGTTATTACATCCATTCGTGCGTCAAGATGAAGTACAAGGCCGATTACCAACCGAGTTGGTTGTTGGATCCGATGACGAACGACTGGTTCGCTTGGGACGCGTGTAAGAAGGTTTTGGATCGGTGCGAGAGGGCCTCGTTCTCGGAGGCGGGTCCGTTGGTGCCGCAGTCGGCGTCGAATACGGCTTCTCAGGTCGGGACTTCCGGTCCTTCTACACCGGGAAACGGTGGTGCGCAGCAGATGGACGTCGATGAGGTGGAGGTGGAGGTGCAAAAGGAGGAGGAGGAAGAGGATACGTTTGTTTACCCTACCCCTTCGCCGCCTGGTTGCCTCGACCCTTCAAGTTTGCCCAAACAACTTTTGTTGGACTCCATCGTATTGGAGGGGAGGACCGTCGTCCCCCTGTTGGTGAGTTGCGAACGTGGTCGAGTGCCGCGCTCTTTCCTACGCGCATCGTCGCTAACCCCGCTCAAACGCCTCCTTTCATCACATAGTTCTCTGCTGCATGGCATGAACCTACAACGCAGCGCGAAGTCAAAGAGTTGCTGGCGACGACGGGCGAACCCTTGGTCGGCAAGATCGCTATTTATACCACCGGGTGATCAGATCATGGGCGCAGGCACGTACGGACAGAAAATGCAGATTGTAGCAAGCCACTCCGAGTCGAAAGTAGTGCAATTCATGATGTTGTGTAGTGCAATTCACCCGTAGAGGGAGACCAGAAAGGTCGTCGTTGCAAAGAAGAAAAAGTTTTCTTCTTCGCGCGTGATTAAAAGATAAAAATCCTTCCGTTCCCCGACAAAACCAATCGAAGCCTTTCTTCTATCGAGCTTTATCATTATTCCCCTCCCCGCTGATCACCACTCGTCCCAATCGTCGTCCTTCTTTTTCGGTGCAGCCGCCGCCACCGGTTTCGTCGCTGCGCTCGCCCCACCCCTAGGTGAAGGCGTCCTCGTCAAGCCCCTCGACCCCGTGGCCACCGGTACGGCCAAAGCAGGCGAATTCCTTCCACCCCCGTTCGAGCCCGCCGAAACGGCGCCGGACCTCGCTGCCGTGGCAGAGGGTGCCATCTTGGCCCATGCATCCTGACCCTGTTCATCCGCATACGACGAAGACTCGTTCCTCGAGTTACGACCATACGCATTGTGGTTCGCCGAAGTGATTGAAGGTGAAGCGAAGGAGCCCATATGCTCATTGAAGAAATCAGCCTCGTGAGATTCGGTCCCTTCGGGTGCTTGATGTCCCACAACTTGAGCATAACCTTGACCCGCCCCTCTCCCCGTCGCCCGATCGACGAACCCGGCTCCCATATCCCCGACGTCGACACCGACCTCCCTCTTCAAGTACTGCGAACTCGTTTGCAACCCCGAGGCAAGGTAACCGCCACCCGTTCGACTCGCTTCTCCCAAGACGTTCCCCGCTTTGGATACGAAGCCGCTTAACTGGGATTGCAAGTTGGGGTCAACGGCCTTCTCCAATGTCGGTTGTAGCACGTTCTCTTGCACCGTTCGACCGACTTGGGCCAAGGCCGAACCAAGGAACCCCCACCCTTTCGACAGGGCCGAACCGGGATCGTCCCTCAGATCATCGAACGAAGGAAGCGCGTTTGAGCTCGTCGATTGTGAAGGTGTGAACGCCGGACTTCCCGATCCGAATCCCGCGTATTTGCCGCCTTGCGAAGGGGGAAGATGCTCGGGTCGGGAATCGTTCGCGGCTCCCAAACGGGAGAAGTAGTTCTCGTTCATCGTCTTTTGGTCCGGTGGTGGATCGTTCGACGCGGCGTATTCGGATCGAGGTGGGTTGTACGACGTATCGGCGGATGAAGCGAGGTTTCCGGAAGGGGATGCTCCCCGAATCGGGATGTTGGTCCGTGGTTTACGGAGGCCGGTCGGGTTCGACGAGGACGAGCTCGAGGCGACGGGTGCGGGCGTGTCGGCCTGGGACCACGATCGCCCTTCGGCTTCGGCCAAGAGTTTGTCCCTGAACTGTGCGGCCGCGTGAGTATTGTACTGTGTTTTGGAAACCCAATTCCATCAGCTCCGACCGTTTGTTACGCTCCTCTGTTTACGGGGGGGGGGCGTTCCCCCCCACCGTGAGCGGAGAAGCCAAAATCCCACACGCCGGGAACGAACCTTGTCAGGAATCGACATCCCCTTCTCGTACTCTGGGCTGGCCTCGATCCATAGCCTCCACTTGAGATTACCGCCTGCCTTCATGCGTCCCAATTGGGCCGGGGTGAACTTGTCCATCGAGGTGGAGCGCACGAACGAGATGTGCACGCCGAGGGAGCGGTGGATCCCGGAGCAGGACAGGCACAGGTAGGTGCCGTACGAGAGCGAGCACCTGGGGGAGCGCATGGTTCAGCATTCAAAGATGGATGGCAATGGGGACCGGGTGGCACTGCGTCGGCCGACGGACTGACCACTGGGGATGAGGCGTGGCGCACTCGACGCAGAGCTTGTTCTCGCCATCCTTCATCAACTGCAAGCAACTCACGGCCCAGACGACAGGGTCAGTATCCTGGGAGAAATCCCACCGGCCTGCTTCTTGGCCCTTGCAGAGAGGTGACACGGGCGGATCACGGCTTGTATGACGCGTGGCCGAGTCCCCCGCGCGCGCCGGTCACACAACACGCCAAGACGGAACACGAACACGACAGCATCTGCGCCGCACCTCCGCCTACTCACATCGAGCAATACGGCCTTGGTGTCATATTCGTACGCCATCGTACTCGGACCAATTTTGCAGAGAAGGAGTGGAAGGGAGGGGGACAAATGGGGTCACCGGGGGCGGAGCGGCCGTAACAAGTGCGTGGGACGACAGAGAGGAGGCCTCGGGCATAATTCGGCGGGCAGGCGCTGCAGTGAATTTGACACTTTTCGGCAACTGATTTTCGAAACGGCGACTTGCGGGGAACTCGTGAACCTTCGGTTTGCTTTTGAATCGCAGAAGATAGCAATTGCAGCCGGTTCGTGATCATATATCACACCGACCTTGGCATTTGTCGCCGCTGCGCAAGCTTTGCATAAGGGGAACGCCGAAAGACACTTGATGAGCTATTCCTCCGGGTTTCCGTCGGAATGACAACCACTCAATCACGCTCTGATGAAAAACCTGGGGATCGAGAGATCGAAAAAGAACTTGGAATGTACCAATATTGTATGCTGTGACTGAAAACTAAAAGTCAAAGTCAGTCATATCGCCCTCAGCTGCGTTCTAAGCGGGGCCTCCCTTTTCGAGCGAGCGCGTTTGCTCCTGACCAGAGTTCGGACTCGCCGAACTGTTGGACCGGGGATCCCCTGGACCCCTGCATTCCTTTGTCTCTGGCCGCTCTACCAGACCGCATCCACTCGAACCTTACACCCGTTTGCGCCCAGCCGCATTCCTCTCCTCTGCCACCCCACAACACCGTCGCCATGCCCACCTCGACCCAAGCCCTTCTCCTCAAAGGTCTCAACGAGCCGTTCGTGCTCAGCGACGTCTCGGTCGATGACCCCCGGGCGGGCGAAGTCCTCGTCCAACTCGTCGCCTCGGGGATCTGTCAGTCCGATCTCTCCGTCCAGAACGGCGTGCTTCCAGGTCAATTTCCTTCCTGCCTTGGGCATGAGGGCGCAGGCATGTACGTGTCGTGCGACTAGACTGATCGCTACTGCTCAACGTCGTTTCCCCGCACCGGATCATGGAGAAGCTCGCCGAAGTCCGAAGCGATTTTTCTCACGCTGATTTTTGAGCCTCCATTCCTGTTCTGTACCACAGCGTCAAAGCAATAGGCGAAGGAGTGACCCATCTCCAAAAAGGGGATTCCGTTCTACTTAGCTTCAACTTTTGTTCGCAATGTCGCTCGTGCCACGCGCAAAAAGGCTCGCAGTGCAGAATGTGGCCGTTGCTCAATTTCGGTTTGCGGCGAGCCTCCGAAGGGCAGCAACATTTCGCCGAGGAGATCAAGACGGGGGAGAAGGTCAAGGGCTTCTTCTTTGGGCAATCTTCGTTTTCGGGATATGCTTTGGCAGCTGCGAATAGTGTGAGCTTTGATGACTTTCGCTCGTTGCGGCGAGATAGCTGATCGCGCTTGTCGTTCGATCGAACAAAGTGCATCAAGGTGGACGCCGACGCCGATGAGCTGGCATTACTCGCCCCTTTGGGCTGTGGTATCCAAACGGGGTAAGCGGGAAGTCGAACGTTTTCAGAGTTCATCACTGACCTTCCTCTTCTGCAGGGCGGGAGCCGTCTTGAAGGTGCTCAAACCCGAGCCGACCTCCTCGATCGGTGTCTGGGGTCTAGGCGGAGTCGGCATATCCGCCATCTGCGCCTCTTCCTCCCTCAAAGTGAAAACCATCATCGCCATCGACATCATCCCGACCCGTCTGTCTCTCGCTCTCGAATGCGGTGCCACGCACGCCATCAACGCCAGTACCGAGGATGTCGAAGCTCGTATCAAGGAGATCACCAAGGGTGAGATGCTCGATTATGCGGTCGAGGCTTCGGGCGTCAAGGCTTGCATGTACGCTGCTTGGTCCTTTTTGGCGCATGGAGGGAAGTTGTGTCAGCTTGGGGTGTTCCCCAAGGGCACGGAGGTGTCGCTGGATGTAGGTCTTCCCTGGGCGTGTTGAGTGAGGATGCTAGCGCGCGGGACGCTGACAATTCTTCTCATCGTTCCTCTGCACGACACCCAGATCAACGCCACTCAATTCAGGCACCTCACCTTCATCGGCAACGGTAAGTCAAGTCCCAACTCGCTCTATCTCTACAAAGGAACGCAACGCTAACCCCTCTGCCCACCTCCGACAGTCGAAGGCGGGTCGCACCCTCCGGTCTTCATCCCTCAACTGATCGAGCTGCGCAAAGCGGGGTACTTGCCCTTGGAAAAGTTCAGCAAACAATTCGCCCTCGCTGATTACGAGGAGGCGTTTAAAGCGATGAAGGATGGTTCGGTGAGTGGTGATTAATCGGACATGGGACATGGGACACGAGTGCAGGTATCTGATCGCTCGCGACGTGATTGCCTCTCGTGCAGGTGATCAAGCCGATTCTTCGTTTCTGAGGAACGCATCTTCTGTCGTACCATCTGCCTTAGCTTTCATGAGTGAATTCCTACGTTTCTCAACCCCGTTTTGAGTTTATACGACTCGTTCGCTGCGATTGCCTGCACACCTCCCTACTCAAGCTGTCGAGTCCCTCCTCTGCTGAGCCCTCTCCTGGGCCGCCAAATTGGCCTGATTCAAGAACCTCCCTTCGAACCTCTCCAAATACCTCTCTCCACCCGTCAACTCGTACGTCCGAGTCGGCTCTTCCTCGACCCGATTCGACCTCGTCGCATCACCCCATGGCATTCCCCCTTCGACCGACGTCGACGTCGAACTCGAACTCGAAGTCGAAGCACCCGTCATAGGAACGGGTCCACCACCTCGACCCGATCTTGCTCCCGTACTCTCCCCCGCCAACAACTGAGCCTGAATCTCATTCGCATCCTTCCACTCATCCAACGCCCTCTCCTCGCTGACCAAACCTCTTTCGACCTCACCGAAGAAATAGGCTCCGTGAGCGCGCGCTTCGGCGATCGCGGAAGAGGTCGCGATTTCGTGTTCGGCTTTGAGGGTACGGTATTGACTTAGGGCGTGGGTGTAGGCTTTGGAGAGCGGGATCGAATGCGCTTCGATTAGGTTGAGGGTGAAGGCGATCACGCTGAGCAAGAGGAAGGGGGGAAACGCGACCGTTGTTTCGCAGGGTAGGGTTGGTCAATCGCGATGATGCCGAGTACCATCATTCGTACTGTAACTCACTCATCCGGTCCAGGCACGATAGACCTCTGCCTCAATTCTGTCCATTCTTTGCCCTGAGGTCCCGGAGCGTCGCGTTGGACGGTCTCCAACTCGTTCAAATCCTTGGGCCTGTACGCCTCGAACGGGTGATCCAAAAAGAACTGTTGTCGGATTCGATCCTCGGGGAAGACGATCGGCAACGGTGTAGGGTTCTTCGTATTGGGTCGACGAGGGGGTGTGCGATTCGTGTGTGGCTGAGGGAGTTTAGCTTTCACGCCTCTCGACGGTTTCGGGGACGTGCGCTCGCGGTGTATGAGGGGAAGGTCCTCGTTCGGTCGACTGGGTAGTGTGCGGATCAGGGAGGGTGGCGGTGGGTGGGATAGGAGGGCTTCGAATGCGGCCGGGGGCGATTTGAGGAACGCTTGCGATTTCAACAGGCGCGAGATCGTCGAAGGGATCGTGCGTGCCGCTTTTCGAGAGTTCATCCCTCGCTGACGGGGTTGGGGGGGAGAGTGAGCCTCTTGTGAATAGGGTGGGTGGCAAGGGAGGGTGGAGATGGGCCCCAATCGAGCGAAGCGATCGAAAGCCCAAGCGCCTCTCCCCGTGCCGAACGGACGCGAGCCGCCTCGAGCCGCCAGCGCGAACCTGCGCGAAGGTGCACGATCATCCGATCTCGCGGCTGGCAACATTTTATCGGCGAATCGTGCTCGGTCTACACGACGCTTCATTGACGCTAAAAGTGCTTGGTAAACAACAGATTGGGAGAGCGGGCAGCAACGGTATCCACTCGAGTTGGAGAAGGTTGCATTTTCGCGATAGGGGGCTGATCTCGCAGCTTGAGCTCGGACCGCTCATCGCGCTTGGAGTGAGCACCGGGCAGGATTTGCCTCCGAGTATTATAAGCATTCCATGCTCATACCACAGCACTCTACTTGCATCAAGACTGAATTATCCCCGCTCAAGCTGCGGAAGGTACCTCATTGTTAAACTAGTTTCTTCCAAGCTAGCCCGCGCAACTCGCCCGCGCCGCCTCCCCGCTCCGTCCGGTCCGGCCGTCTCAGCCCGAGCTGATGGAGCGATCGCACCTCCTTTCACTCCCGACGCGGAGGCCCTGCAGGGTTGTAGCACGACGGTCATTGTCTGGCGTTGATACCTGCAAAAGATTTCTTTGATCTAAAGCTAGTATAGCCATTTTTTTGAGGCCGCTACTACTGTCGTACGAATTGACTCCATTTTTCAACGCGTGGGGAAGACACCACCAATGCCATGTCACTGCAGTCGCGTGTGTCAGCTTTCGCTCAGCGGTCCCGGTCGGTCGCCACCGCGCGGGCGAGGACGACTCTTTTGACTCCTCCACACCGACCTGCCGACCTGCCGACCTGCCGGGTGCTCGTTGTCGAACGATGTCGACCCCTCCACGACGCACTCGACCACAAGTCGAGATCCATGAACTGGCCGAGTCGCCCAAGTCGTGTTCGGGTTCGTCGCCTTTCCCCCACAGTCCTGCGATCGTTGCGTTTGGGACTTCAACTTCGTCGTCTCCGTCGTCGTCGTCGTCGAGCTCGGAGCATGATCGAGCCGCCGCCAGCAGCGGTGACGCGCACACGACCAAGGCCACGACGACCACGACCACGACCACGACCACGACCACGACGACCACGTCCAAGGCCCAGGGAATCCACCCAGACCGTGTACTCCCCTTCGTGGTGACCAACAACAGCTCCGGTATCTCGTCCGACTCACCCACGACCGCTTCTCCGTCCCCCATGGACTACTACACCCGTCGAGGACTGAACCGCGGCGCCGGTCATCGCAGCAGCCCGTCGGCCTCCCCCTTGCTCCCAAGGCGGTCCTCACCCGGCGGTCGAGCTGGAGGGAGTAACCTCAGCAACGATGATGGATTGGACGAAGTCGATCGGGATGCCCCCCGGAGGTGGGCCAGGCTCGAGAAGGATTACCAGGACGATCGACCGGGCATATTGGGGGCATTCGATCGCACCAAGGACTTTGTCAAGCGGAACGAAGGTCCGTGCGCGCGTCCCATCAGTTGGGTGCTTGAAACTTACGCTGAATAGTTTACCATTTGAACAGGCTTCTTGTTGATCGGAGCTGCCCAGGCATTTTTTGCGACGATTTCCGCTTGCGTCAAGGTTCGTCAGCGATTTCACTCGCGCCGCTCTGACCGAGATTCGTCCGGAGACTGACGAAGGATTCATCCCACAGGCACTACAGGAGCGAATGAACATGCCCGTATGGGAGCTCATCCTCATTCGCATGTCCTTGACCTGGTACGCATCCCTTTCCTCACGACCTATGATCCGACTCGGACCAGCGGGCAGAAAGCTCATCGAATCTGATGAGAAACAGGATCGGCTGCTACACCTGGATGCGCTGCAACAACGTCGAACACCCCTTCCTCGGTCCCCCGGGGGTGCGTTTACTCCTTGCCGCCCGAGGCTTCGTCGGCTTCTGGGGCATCGCCCCACTTTACTATTCGTTGCGCTACATCCCCCTCAGTGACGCGACCGTGCTCGGCTTCCTCGCCCCCTTCATCATCGGCGTCCTCGGCAGCGTCTTTCTCGGTGAAGCCTACTCGCTGACCGAAGGCCTCGTCGCGCTCGTCTCATTGTGCGGTGTCGTGCTCATCGCCAAACCGTCCTTCCTCTTCCCCGGCCATCTCTCCCAAGCTCCCGAAGGCGTCACGCCCGAACAACGTACTTTTGCCGTCTTCGTCTGCCTCGGCTCCTCCTTCGGTGCGGCCGCAGCCTACCTGCTGATCCGCAAGATCGGCAAACGAGCCAGCGCGACGCATTCGATCGCGTATTTCTCCATCTACTGCTGCCTCGTATCTAGCCTGTATCCGATCTTTTTCGACTCGCCGCCGGTTTTCTATTTCACCGATCCGACATTTTGGTTGTTGATCACCCCGATCGGAATCTTTGGCTTTGTCGCGCAGGCGTGAGTGATGCAGACCAGGCCTCTTCTTTGCACTCTTGCGTCTTACGAAGGACTCGAATTCTCAACTTTCCATGATGATCCCCTCTCCGTCGCAGTCTATTGACCCTAGGTCTTCAACGCGAAGCCGCCGGACGCGGTTCGCTCGCCGTCTTTTCCAACTTGCTCTTCGCGATGTTGATCGAAAAGATCGTGTTTGGTAAATGGCCCGATTTGCTCTCCCTCTGTGGAGCGGCGATCATCGTTGCCGGTGGGGTCAAGATCGCTTTGATGAAAGTCAGTCAGGCGAATCAAGCCGTCGTACAGGGGACCGATCGTGGGAGGGGGGAGCAAGGGGAGGCGGAGAGGGATTTGGAAGGTGGTGGTGGAGGAGGGTTACAGATCCGGGAGGACGATGCGTCCGAAGAGGAAGAGGGTTCGATACGAGGTGGAGAAATCAAGGGGAACGGTAAGGACCACCAACCTGGGTCGACACATTTACAAGTTAAGAGGACGACGAAACCGAGGTCGAATTCGTTCGGGAGTGGGTTGGCCGAGGCGTTGTTGGAAGAGTCCGAGGTGGATCGTAGGTCCGAGGTCGCGGCGACGGCGCTGAATAGATGATTGTCATCGTCGTCAGGTGTTGGGAATATAGAATCTTTTCAGTGAAGGGGTTCGTTTGGGTATCAAGTTTGCAATATCGCATTTCGCTTTTGAGCAGTTTAAGGTACGATTTCGAACGTTGCAAAGAACGAAGTTCACTCTTCTGCCTCTTCTTCATCCTCCTCCTCTTCTTCTTCTTCTTCAATCCCATCCCCTTCCTCTTCCCCTTCTTCACCTTCCTCTTCTCCGTCTTCCTCATTTTCTTCCTCACTCTCCAAACCCTCGACATCGACACCGTCCTCCCCGTCTTCCTCACTCCCACTCTCCTCATCACTCGCCTCTTTCCCTTCCTTCCCTTCCTCTCCTTGTTGCTCCTTCTTCCCTTTCTCCGGCAATCCCACCACGCTCAAACACGTCAACCTCGATCCTTTGGTATCCCACCTACCGAGCGGTTCGAGCTCCCTAACCGGTCCCTCATCTCCCCCCCGCTCCGCAACCAATCGCGCCAAATCATAAAACAGAATCTGACCGTCGGACGAAACGGACGTCAAAATCATCGTCGAACTCGGCTCCTCCTCGTTGCTCCGAGCGTTCGATTGGGTAGGTAAGGCCACTTCGAGTAAATCGATCGCCTTGACCCGATTCGTATGCCCCTTCAACACGGCCTCCTTCTCCAACGTCGACCTCTCCACAACCCGTTCCTCTTCCCCTTCTTCCCCTTCTTCCTCCTTCGGTACCGAAGCTTGACTGACGTCGTAAACGTGGGTCGTATGGTCGTCCGAAGCGACGAACATGAATTCTTTTTGGCAAGTCGCCGATTTATCGAGCGGGTAAAAAGTGAATTGAACGTCTTGGAACCGCGAGGCGGAAACGAGCGTGTGTTCAATGATCATATCCTGTTCAGGAGGGGGTTTTTCAAAGATTAAAAATAAAAAACGGGTGAGCGGAATCAGTAAATCGAAGTGATGTGGTCAGACCAAGAAAAGAAAAGAAAAATGCGCTAACGATGCCGTAGACGGTTAAGCGGTTGTTGCAAATGATGGCGAATTTGGTCCCGTTCGTATTCCACTTGACCCGATCGCCCTCTGCGCGCCACATATATTCCGGGAACCTCGACAGGATCAGTCATTTCCTCGCTTCCACCCCAAAGGCCGATCCTCGTTTTGAAAATGGAAAGAACGTACCGATCCCAATCTTCATCGTCGCCACGGCCTTACCGGCGACCAAATCCCACATCCTCAACATGCGATCGGCTCCTACGCTGAGCGCGACCCTCGCAGCGGGATGGGGGTCGATCGAATTGACCTTGCCTTGATGCCCCTTCAAGGACCTCAACAGGACCCAATCGCGAACGCGGTAGAGCGCGATCGTCGAATCGGTCGTGGCGCACATGAGCATCCCTCGGGAAGGGACGAAAGAAAGGGTCGTGATCGTGCCTGGTAAAGCGAAAACAGGGGGGGGGGGTTGTCAATTCCTTCCTCCTTTCCCCCTCTAGCCCCTTCCTGTCCGCTGTGCTGAATCCCAAAAACGCTCGCAAAAAAAGCTTACCTCTCATTTCCCCACTTTCCAAACTACCGACCTCTTTCCTCCTCTTCAAATCCCACACTTTGATCATCTCGTCCGTCCCGCCCGAAACCAACCACTTGCCACCGACCTTCCTCTCCGTACCCGTCCGAGCACTCGGTAACAAACTCGAACCGAGTGCCCTGATCGACGATAAATGCGCCGGGAAAGAGAAATAAGGTTCGATCGAGAGTCGTAAGCCTCGTTGGGGCTCGTCGTCTTCGACGTCGTGATGGAGTTGACAGGAAAGACCGTAGAGTAATCGTTCGTAGGAACCGGCCGAGATGAGGAATCGGGTAGGCGCTTCGTTCGCGAAAGAGGCTCGGTCGTTCGCTACGGCGCGTGCTGGCTGGTTTACTTTGTTGGGTTGGGTCGTTGATTTGGTAGATGAAGGGCTGGGTTCGAATCGGGCTTTCTTGGAAGGGGGTACTTGGGTGCTGTGGGAAGTGGAGGAGGTGGTCGAAGTGGTCGTGGTCGTGCGCGGTGCGGAGCGCTTCACGGCGCCGCCTTTATTCTTGTTCGTCATCGTCTCTGTAACCTCGATTCGCTACGTAGTGCGGTGATGAATAGATTCCGGAAAAAAAAAGAGATCCGGGATCCGGGTCAGAGGAGGGAATGGGAATGGGAATGGGGAAACTCGCCTCGATCACGCGCGAGTCAGGCTTCTTTCGCCCGGCTGCGAAGTTGGAGGTCTAACCGAGATTACTATCCGCCGAATTAGTAATGCGTTGAATGGGGTGAATCGCGCGCGCTGGGGAGGCTGCGAAGTCCCCGACCACGGACGGTCACTCACTCTACTTTATCCCCCCTATCTCCCCTCGTTTCCCCACCACACACCGCACACACAGCACACCGCAGCGCCACAAAAAAGCCACCCCGAGCCGGAAACACCAAGCGACCCCAACGATGCCGGCGAGCAAAAAGGATATTCGCAAGAACGAGCAAAAGAAGAAGGAAGCGCTCGGGATCAAGTTGGATACGACCGCGGGTGGTGTACGTTCTCCGGTCGGCGGGACCGCGGAAGGGGGGGGATGGGTAGACGAGAATGCGAGGTTACTGATCCGATTTTTTGAACTCTGTGGGGTGTGGGTGTGGGTGTGTTTTGCAGGTGTTGAAGAAGGCGCCTAAAGCGATGTTGACCTGTACGGTGTGCAAGCAACAGTGCGTCGGTCTTCACTCCCCTCCCAACCTTCGCACAGCTCACTCCTGTCTCCCCCTCCGAACCGGCTGACAACTCTCCCTCCTCATCCCTTTCAACTCGATAGACTGGTCGCGTCGATGCCGATCATGTTGCGCGACCACGCCGTCAACAAGCATCCGAAACAGACGCCCAACGAATGTTTCCCCGGAGCGACGATCGCGGCTTAAGGACCCCCCACCTTGACGAGGGCGAGGGAAAGATCGGAGAGGAATAAGCCCGTAATGGGATCGACGATGGAGGGTTAGAGGGCCGAGGTTGCATCAATTAGAGCGTGTGTGTGTGCGTGTGTTTTGTGGGGGCGTGTGTGTTTTAATCTTTTTCCCCTTTACGTAGTAGCTTGTAACATCACTCTGCAAACAATCCAAGCTTGGTGAAGAACGGTCGGGACAACTTTCTCGGACAGGCATATATATACACTGGCATGAGCATGGCAAGCGGAAAACGACAACTGCAAGAGAGAGAAAGAAAGGGGGGAAATGAAGTAAAACAGATAATACACGACCTCGCCAGCCCAAAAGAATTACACTCCACCCAGAGAACGCCGCGTGTACGCTTCCCAGCCTACCTCCCCTTCCTTCCCCCACTCAACAAAGCCGTCAACAACAGCCCCGCGACCGTAGCGGCACCACCGGCGATAGCCAATCCGACATAACCTTCCTTTGATACGGCGGCGTCGATCAGGGACGCGAGCGATCGGGCTTGCATGTTGCTCGGTTCTTTCTGGAGGAGAAGGCCTGAGGGGATGGGGAAGAGTTGGTGGGGGGTTGGTCGGGGCATGAATGAAGAAAGAGAGTGATCTTACCGTTGTAACGTTTCGCCTCGGGGTAGTTACCCAACTTGTAGTGCCCGACGGCGAGAAAGTACAGGCATTCCCTTCGTCGGGTAGGTTCGGTGCGGTACAGATCTGTCGATGCACCTCGCTCATCAAATCAGCACCACCTCGGGTGATGCGCACGCTCCCCACCCCTCCCCCCCCTGCTGGGACGTAAGGTCACACTGCGACTCTGCTGACCCATGAGCAAAGCGACGCCTTGGCCGACTTGAACTCGATCGTTCGATTTGACGGATCCCCAGGCGTAGTTGAAGCGGGTCTGGACCGAGACCCAACCTTTTTGCGACTCGGTTTCGTATTGCGAGCGCAGGACGTCGAGCTGGGCGGTGGAGAGTTGGGTCAGTGGTGATTGGAAAAGCTCAAGCTTTGCGGAGGATAGCTTTCGGGCTCACCTCGTCGGCTGTCAAGGGGGATTGGGCATCGACCGCGGCTGGTTCGAGAGACGGGAGCGCGCGCGCGATGACGCGGTGCAGGTGCAGCGTAAGGCTCAAGTGGATCCCATACGGCCCACGATCCTTGGCTCACACTCACCTGGCAATACGTCGGAAGGCATGATGGTGCGGGCGGGAGGCTGCGTAGGGAGGGAGGAGGGAGGAAGGAGGAAGAAGCTGTGCAGGTCGTCGTCGGAGGTCGTCGGTGGCGTGGGGGAACAAACAGGCCGAAAGCGACCACTCATAAATCATTAGCGCCGATCCCTAACGATCCCTTAATCGCGCTCGACTCGCTCGTTGGGCCCCCCCCCCTGACCGGCCTAACCTAACCTGACCGAGCACTCGTCTCTGTTCTCGCCTCAGCGTTCTCACCCCGCACCACGCCAACGGTCATCCCAACGGGCCATCCCATCCCCGACGATGGCTTCCTCGCGCCTCAAACGCAAGCTGCACAACGACCCCGACAACCCCTCCCACTACGGCAACGTGGACGAGTCCTTTGTCGAGATAGGCACCGCCTTGCCTTCGCTCGTCAGTTGCCCCCACTCGAGCCGTCCCAGCTCCAAAAGAAATAAATTAACACCAGCCCTGCGTTGAACGTGACTGCCCGATACAACAGAGCTCTACGAAGAGGGATACGAACGAATTCAAACCGTTGTGGGAACAAGAGGTGTTCGATGATCAAGGCAGGAAACGTCTCCACGGCGCTTTCACAGGAGGCTTCTCCGCGGGTTATTACAACACCGTTGGCTCCAAGGAGGGTACGTTCATCGATGCTGCTGCGATGGGGGGAGATGCGGTGCATGTTGCGGCGCTGATCGAGGCGGGTTTGGTTGTGGTGGCGCGAATCAGGATGGACACCGTCGACGTTCAAGAGCTCGAGGGCGAAACGGAACGAGAGCCAGGGCAAGAGCAGCAGCAGCAGCAGCAGCAGCAGCAGCAGCAGCAGCAGCACAGGAACTAGTCTCGTCGATGCGGCCAAACACTTTATGGATGACGAGGTAAACTCATCCTTCCTTCTCCCACCAAAATAGACCCACAATCACTCATCCTTCCTATCCTCCCCACCGACAGGATTTGGAAGAACTCGCGAATTCGCGCCAACTCGAAACGTCCTCCTCCTACGCCGCTCCCGTACCTTCCTCGTCCAACTACGACCCCCTCCTCGGTCTATTCGGCAATTCCAACCCCTCCGTCTCCACCTCCACCTCCACTCCCACTTCCAGCTCAACGATCCCCTCCGCACAAGCGACCCTCGCCTCCCTCCTCGAACCAAGCCCATCCCGCATCGGCGCAAAACTGATGCGTAAAATGGGTTGGAGACAAGGTCAAGGTTGTGGTCCTCGCTTGACGAAAAAGCAGAGGAAACGACAGGCTTTGGAACTCGGTCTTGTTCTTGAACCTTCCTTCGAGGAAGAGGAGGAGGAGGAAGGGGAAGGGGAAGGGGAAGGGGGCGGTGATGAAGAACGGTTCGGGCATTATTATGCCCCGTTGGATCGACCGTTGATTTTGCTTGATGCGGTCGCGGCGAGTGAGGATAAGGGAAGAGGGTTGGGGTATGATTCGTGGTGTGGGATTGGAGGCGCGAGGAGGAAAGCGGTCAGGGAGCAGAGATTGGGTGCTGGCGCGGGTGGGAAAGGGAAGGGGAGCATGAGGGAGGAAGAGGATCCCTATGCGCAGGATGAGCGGGGTTTGGGGGGAGAAGTGGTGGAGGAGCTGATGGATGAAGAGGACGATGATGGACCGACGGAAAGAATGGGGAGACAAAGAGTCGATGTGAGTGGACCAGTGATCCTGTGATGGAAAGAGCCGAGAAATGCTGATGGTCGCTTGTCCGAGCAGGCTCATTCATCGGATCGACCCAAGGGGAAGCACAAAGACGAGACCTTCCACGATGGCGTCAAAGTTTTGTCCGGCTTCGTGCTCCACCACGAGCCCTACAAACCTCCCTCAACGTAGGTCGGGGCCTACAGTTCATATCCAACCCACCAATTTCCCCCGCTGACATATTGTGGTCTCGGCCCGTCCTATAGTTCTCAACTACCCCCGAACCCACCACAGGAATGGCGCCCGAACCCGACCAAGATTTGGGCCGAGGAACAGGCCGAAGCGATGAGGACCACCTCTTCCCAACAAGAGGGGAAGGAGAATCGAGCACATGCGCAATTAAGTGCGGATCAGGTGCGTCGATCACGTGCGGCTCATCGCCTTCCCGTTTACCCGAGGGGTGCTAATCCAGGGAACGTGTCCCATTACCAGCGTGGGACTCTGTTGGGGGAGAAATTACCCCCACCTCCTCCCAAGTCGGTGTTCGAGTACCTCTCGTCGAAAGATAAGGAACGACTTTCGACTCTTTCCACAACGGGGCATCTACCCCCCTCCAGCATGCCCACCAGCGGAACCTCGTCGAACCTCACACCGCTCGGAGCGAACCGATCCCGTCCCTCCGCTTCAGCCCCATCCCGCGCTCCAGAACCGGACGAAGAATTCACCATCCCCGAACTGGACAGTTCGACCGCTTCGCTCGCCTTACGCGGATTCCAACCTTTCTCCTCCGCGTCCACTTCACCGGACCCGATCCGTCAAGCGAGGTATACCTTATTCCTGCAGTACTCGGCCGGTCAATTACCGACTTCGATCCAGGGCTTCCCCTTCGGACCTCGTCCCTTACCCCTTTCAACGCACAGTTCTTCATCCACTTCGTCGAATACTGAACGACCGCAAACGATGAAAGAACTTAATAAGGAATTGAGGGACTACGTCGCTGCTGCGAAAGTGTTCAAACCGGTGTCGGGGATGTTGGGTAATCGATTCACATCCGGTACGAGCGCGAGTGCTTTATTGGTCCCTCAAGTCGAACCGGGTTTGTATACGCCTGTGCTCAAGACGAAGGAGGATCACATGCTTGAAGAGGAGGAGAAGAAGAAGAAGGGATTGGGGGTGGTGGAGTTGACGCCGGTTCAACGAGCGATTAAGAATGATCAGTTTGGTCCGTTGACGAGGACGACGACGACGTTCAGACCGGACAAGTTGCTGTGCAAGAGGTTCGGCGTCGCGGATCCTTTTGCGGTCAAGAAGGGAGAAGAGGAAGAGGAGGGGGGCAGAGGGTAGGGGGGAAGTGGAAGGAGGCGAATTTGGAGGGGGAGTTCAAGGTGCCTTTGGAAAGAAGTGGGGCGGGGAGGAAAGTTGGGGATGTGTTGGGGAAGGCGTCGATGGACGAGTTGATGAGGGAGGCGAAGGGGGGCATCATGCCTGCACACACGCCTATGACGACCAAGGATCCTGCCGAAGGTCTGGTCGACCATCTCGCCCTCGCCACTTCGACGCGACTGAACGCTAGAGCACCCCTTCCGACACTCGAAACCGTTGGCTTGGGGGACGATGAGAGACAAGGGGAAGAGACGTTGACGTACGAGAAGGCGCCGAGGGATATTTTTGAGACAATTTTCGGAGAGAGTGATGACGAGGAGTCTGAGGACGAGGAGGAGGATGAAGGGTTTCCGTTGGAGGGTAGGAGGGAAGTGGGGAGTGATGCGGGCGCGCAACCGATGGAAGTGGAGGTGCCCATGGAGGTGGAGGTGCCCCGAACTACGTTAGGTCCGACGATGGCACCTTCAGGACCGACGTTGGCGGAAACGACGACGCTCCTTTCGTCCGAGACCGTCGTTGATTACAAGCCGACGTTCGTCAATCGGTCTTCCAAGAAATCGGCAGGGTCGGACAAGGATAAGAAGAAGAAGAAAGAGAAGGAGAAGCCGAAGGCGGGCACGCTGAGTTTTGATATGGGGGATGACGAGGAGGGTGGTGCGAATGTGGGCAAGGCGGTGAAGAAGGTGAAGAAGGAGCAGGATACGAAGAGGGAGGGGAAGAAGGTCGAGATTCAAGTGGCGAAAAAATCTGTGGACGCAGTTGACGAAGCGGACGAATGGGAAGAAGCACCTTCAATCGTCCATCCGTCGATTCTGGCGTCGTCGTCGTCTTCGTCGGGGAGGAAGCGCGAAGAGGAAAAGAACGAGGGAGCGCCCGCCAAGATTTCGTTCGAACCCGTCAAGAGGGCGAGGGCGGCGGACCTGTTCTGAGCCTTTATGAGATTGGTGCAGGATAAAAGGGGTAGAACCCCTGTGTTGTATTATGAGGTGCAAATGCATAAGATAATGGCCTGGAAAAAAGCCTAGAATCGAGCTTTCGCCTTCCAACGGCTTGAGGAAAATGAGTCGTATTTGATACGTGGCTCTAACAACGAAACTGGTGTCTTCTTCTCGAAAATATTCGTATGCGATTGGAGCGGCGTCCCATTTGGGCCTCCACTGCGCCGATGTCATGCGAGCCCACATCCAGGCCGGACGACTCTTCCGGATGCTTCCCGAGATTTCTCGCGGAGGAGTTGGCCGAACCGGCGCGCTGAGCCCCTCTTCTCTTTCCCTTCCTCCACATCCCCTCCTCCCAAAACAAGCCCCACAACATGGCCAAGGCCAAGTCCAGGTTATTGACCGTACGACTACTCTCCACGTAAGACGCCTACCACGCCCTGTACCTCCCCAAGGACGATGAGCTGACACTCGGTATCCTTCCCTCTTCCACTCTCGCACGTTCCCGTCCTGTATGCGCGAGAACAGCGTCGGTACAGGGTTCAGCTACATCGCCAAGAGGCCGAGGACGGCGGAGAAGAAGTTGGCGTTCATGAAGGTGCGTCGATGCGTCGTAGAGGTAGGATGGAGTAAAGGGCAAAATCGGAGCTGACCGTCCCCGGTTCGCGGTGTTTGCACGTGCATGCAGTACGATCCCAAAGGTACGATGAGCATGCTCGATCACGTATGCGCAAGAAGAAATCCTGACATTGTCCGTACCTCACAGCGGGCAAGCACGTTCTCTTCATGGAAGCCAAACTCAAGTGACGCACGCTCGCAAGATGGGACACCACGCATAGACCACCATCTTGGAAGGATCAAGTCATTGTACCAAAAACATCTGTCAACAACATGCAATTCCTTCCTCAACAATCAAGCTGCTGGTACAGGCAACAAGCGGGCCGGCCGTGAGAGAGCTGATGTCCAGAGCGGGAAATCCTCTACCCCGGGCCATTGGGTTCGGCTGGACCTCGGGCAAATACGGATACTTGGACATTCCAGGCATTACACGCGAAAAAACACAAAATCACATGTGCCTCCTTTTTCCCTTCACACGAGCACGACCGCTTGGCCCCGTGCGATCACGGCACCATCGTCGGCCAAATCGACTTGCATCCCCAGCACCCCGTTCGCACCTTGGCGTCTACGAGTTCGTCACGCATCCCAACAAACCGTCAGCACGTGGTCCGCTTTTGTTATACTGCGCGTCAGATTGGCTTCTGCTTACTTGGCGTTCGCGATCATGGCCTCGAGCGCGTCGTCGATCATCTCCACTTCGTCCTTGAACGCCATAGAGAAGCCCTCGATGAGACCTAGGTTGCTGACTGAGAATGCCCACAAGTGCGCCTCGGGTAGCATGTTAGTATGGCAAGGGATTCAATCGATACCGCACAAGCTCAAAAGAGCTCAAACTTTTCAGCCGAGTCCGTGCCGACGCGACGCCAGTAACAACTCACCGACATGTCGTCCATCTTCCGCAAACTGCCGATCCGTGCAATGAAAACCATCAAATTCACCTCGATCAACAGGTTCACCTTCATGCATAAGCCTGTCAACCCCATTCAGCAAATTAGGCTCCACGCCGGTGGCATGATAGGCCGGTGAAGTCGGGTAAGCGCCTGGAAGGGTACGGCTGTCGTACGAGGTGAAAACGGGGGTGGTTTGGAACTTGTGGGCGAGTGGATACGCCGTTCCGTGAGCGGAAGTTAGGGGTTGCTGAGGTGGTAGAGGGGGGATCACGCTCGACAAAGTTCCGACGCCGCCGCCATAATATTCTGGCTCGGGCGAAAGATCGAGGCGATAATCGACCTTTTCCAGCGATATTCTGGGAATAGTCTCGTTGCGCGGGAGACAAGCATGCTGGCGATCGGGCGCGACTTGCATGTCGTGTTTTTGTTTCCCGGAATGATGGCATTTCTCCCTTCGTGCTCGAGAGTCCGATCCCTGATTCGGCAGCTCGTGAGGCTTGCGCAAAGCGACATTCTCAATTCCGGGCGAAGGGAGGGGTGGTCGAGTAGGTGTCGAATTTGTGACGCGCGGTGGTGTAGTGTTGTGACCTTGGCTTGTCGGATGATGGTGTCGAGAGTCATTATTGCGCGAGGGAACTGGATGTCGAGGAGGGGAAGGCCCAGAGGAAGATTGTTGAGGGGGCTGCAACCCGCAGAGACGGGCACCAAGCTCATAGTCGAGATAGGCATTCACTTGGTCGTGACTCTGGAACAAGAGAGATGATAAACAAGTTCACCATCTGGCCTCTGCGAGGGCTCGGTCGTGTGAACCCCTTGACTGACGGTTCGACTTACCCGTCGGTGCGGATTGTGATTGTCTTTGAGGGGGCTCGAGTGATGCTGCGAAGTCTACGTCAGGATGCGGAACACGTCAGTGTCACAGGGTACAGCAGACAGGTCAGACTTGTCCCAATTCGTCGGAGTTCCTCTCACCTTGGCCCCTCGCGCCGAACGTTCGAACGACGCGCGAGCCTGGCGATCCCGATCCCGATCCCTTTCTTCCCTCGGCGGGGGGTGCCCTGACAGGTCTTCCGCGGAGGTAAGCAAGATTACAGGTGATTTGAAGGTGGCACGACGTCGACTCTGAAGATACATACTGGTTTCACCACCCAGTGCCCATTGGCTGCTCGTATTTGCGAAGCGGGCCATGGATGATGGTTGAACGAAACTCGCTGTCGTGTGCCGCGGTTGGAGAATGGTTGGGTCGTGGCCGGCCCTGAGCGGTGCAGTCGTGGTCTGGATTTGGGCGACGACTAGGTAAGACGTAGATGTAGAATCCGAGGATAGTCACCCCAAGAGCTGTATGGGGGAGGAGGCTCTGATCTGGGGGTCAACAATGGCCCCAGTCGGGCGCTGTGGCGCGCTGAGGCGTTGAACGTTGAACCCTCCTGGGGGGCCTGAGCGCTGGATCCGCACGGGGGGATAGGAGCGAGCGACGTCATTCAGGGGTCGAAAAGCCGTGCGACCCGCGGAAATCTCGTCGGGCAATCCAGCCGACCGAGATCACGTGATGGTCTACTTTTAAGCTGGGTAGGGCACCGTACAGATAACATGTGTGTCGCGATCATCAACCTGGATCCGATGTGCTTCCGAGAGCGGGGACAAATCCCGAGGCTGGCACCGGTAAGCCGCTCGTTCAACGTGAATCCTATAAGACGTGTGTGAACATGCCCTTGCCCGGCGCTCTAGACACTGGTGATTTGAGTACGTGGCCCTGTTAATGCAAGCTCTGACCTTAGTCCTTGGTAGTAGCCAAGTGCCAAACAGAAACTTGGCGCAGGAGGCGTGTGAGACATGGCAGTCTCCCTCGGCTTGCAGAGGTTGCCGAGATTTGTAAGGGCCGGTCAGTAGGGCCATTGCTCGGGATCACAAGCTTTTGCAAGGCTGCAAGACGTCGATCCCGTTTCATTATCCGTCGCTTTCATTTCGTCACAAAACTCTCTTTGCACTGGAAGGTGCCCAGGAACCCGCCATATATATCCGTGGACGCTTGGAGGGAGTGAATTCGTCGCCTTTTAGCCCGCAGCGCAATTTGCACTTAGCAAGTGTGTTGCAGCTAAAGGTGAGACAAGCGACTCTCTCCGTGCGCGCGCCAGCTCAGGTACATACAGTCAGACCTGAGAAAATTTATATTTTCGGTGGACGGATTTTCCCATAAATTAAGACAGGTATAAGCTTGGAGAGTGCGGCTTCAGATCATTACATTATGACCTGAAACTACGTTTTTAAGCTTCCTACATCAAATCAAGAATTTTCGTGCATCGTTTGAGTCGATACATTGACTTTTGACGGGGAAGAAATTCAGAAGGCCCGAATTACTGAATTGCAGCCAATGTACGGCCTCTACTGAGGCATGATGACACCTAACAGGTTTTGAAAGCTCCAAGAAACAATATCTTGACCTACTGACGCTGGAAATACGAAGTCACTGTCGTCTGAATCCTCGCAGCATCCTGCTCGGCAACAAGAGTCCTGCGAATCCTCCTAGCCTCGTCCTCAAAAGAAATCAAATACGTTGGACCTGAGTGTCCATTCATAGCAAACCTAAGGAAAACATCAAGCGCGGAGATTGCCTCCTGCAGCGTCGTTCGCTCCGCCGGTCGGAGCTCTATCTCCCCTTCCTCCTCTCCTCCTTCTCCCTCGCAATTCTCCTTCAACTCTTCGGCAGTGACCAGGTCCACAATCTCCTGATCGGTCATTTCAGCCCCACCAGCAAGGTTCTCCTCCCCCACATCGACGAGAAAGTGGATACTCATCTTCTCGTTGCTCGTAACTATGCCCTTTTCGACCAGCTCATCATTCGCCGTCTTCAGAGCGTTCATCGCGTTGATGATGCCGCGATCGCCACTGAGAGGCCCGCGACCGTTGGGAAGAGGTGCATGGTCGGTCGATCCTTTGTTGTTGCGATCAGACAAGATTTGAGCGTGGCGCCAGCAGTTGGCAATCGTCTCGGGGCGGATGTCGTTCCACGCCTCATGTCTCGCAATGATGCGAGTCTTATTCATCTTGACACCATTTCGACCGTTCCGAGCAAGGCCCGTAGACGGACGCATAGCGTAGAAGAGACCGGTTTCGTCCATGTTGAAGATGTCACTTGGGTCGTACTTGTTTGTAACATTGTCAACCGCCGCCTTTGCTCTCCTGTGCTCGCTTCTCGGCTGTTTCGGGGCATTTCGGACTCTTCCAGCAGGCGGCTCGTCAACAAGAACGCCGAAGGAGAGGCCAATTCCTGATCAATCGCTCATTTCCGGCTCTCTCTTATCTTATAATTTGACCTGTAAACCCATAAATTATAAGGTATAAGATTGGACAGGTTCTGTCAGCCCAAAAACTCGGGAGATTGAAAAGTCCATAAATTTTGACAGGTATAAGATTGGGCGATATAAATTTTCTCAGGTCTGACTGTACTCGGCCTGCTATGGCAGCCCTGATGGCGCCGCTGGCTCGCACGGGCCCGAAACCCCCGCGCCGATCGAAAAATCCACACTGACGTCTTGGAGCTTGCGCCGCGCCGCCGCCTGAAACAGGAAAGTCTCACTTCTTTGCAAGCACCGCGCACGCGCATTCGCCGTCGGCACCATCAAAATGGCATGTCGCAGCCCGTCGGGTCTAAAGTCGGATCCAGGCTCATCCAGCCAGTGTCAAGCGGAGAGAGAGGTCTCGATTTAAACCCTCGGCCCAAATGCTCGTCACAGATCTGCCCACCCTTCACATCACTCGTGTCTCTTCGTCACTCACCGATACACTTACGTTCTTTTGGCACTTGGCAAAAACACAGCGTTCATTCTACACAACACTGTGACCACCACTCGTTCCTCTGCACGACCATCGCACTCTTCGACTCGAGTTCCCCCGAAACCAGCTCCGCCCCCGGGCTCCGATCGAGCAGCTCATCGCATTGCCCCTCTCAGCCCACTTCCACCTCCGTGACCGCCCCCGGACACCGCCGCGCAGGATTCAACAGCAGTTCCAAGCGACCTTGTCCATCTAGTCCCAGTTCATTCGAACGAATCTTGCACCATGGCCACAATCACGGATTCTCCGTCTTCGACCTTCGGTCTCGCCTCGCAACTTCGCACCCCGCCGCCCCCTTCGCCGATCCTCTACGGCAGCGAGGCCGGACGGGAGCCGCCCGTGCTGGACATCGTGCCCATATCGGCCAAGAAGGTCACTCCTGCGATGCGAGAAGAGTTGCGACGTTCTCCAAAAATTACAGGAACCCCTGCATGGATTTCGAGGTCCGATTCGTCGACGAGCGTGCAGAAGGTACACGCTGCGTCCGCGGTGCGCTCGTCACTCGCCGCTTCGACGAAGTCCGACGCCGATGGCGAAGTCATACTAGGGCGCCATAAGCAGGATAGCCAAGCACCCCGGTCCAGCGCCAAAGGTCTCGAGGACGACAACTCAAAATCATCTAAGACGCCGCTTTCGCCCCCCGAGCTCATCCACATCACCAAGCCCAAATTCTCGCTCAATGCGCAGCGTACTGGCCCTCCTCCTCCTCGCCCCGTTCGCCCGAGCTCGACCCCTTTCCTCGCCTCGGCGTTGGAATCCTCCACTTCGCTCGGCGCCATCCCCGGCGGGGAGCAGAACGACGCCGGTCCGATCGACGTCTCGTTCCCCTCGCTCGGGAGTCTTGATCTCGGCGTTCAGTTTGATGAGACGGCCGGCGCCTTCTACTCGACCTTCCGACCGGCCGGAGGGAGCCAGCGCAGCAGCGCGAAGACCTGGCCCAACAAAAGTCAAGAAATCGAGATTCCAGCGCCGGTCCCCACTGTAGGTGATACGACCTCCGCCATCTCGGCCACGGTCGATCGGTCCGATGTTTCCACCAGCAGCGTCGCCTCTCGTGATACCCCGATTCAGGATCAGTCACCGAAGCTCGAACCGACTACGCCCGTCGTCGAAAAGGTCAAGTCGAGCCGTCCCTCGCCCGCTCAAGCCTCGGGGCCGTTTCCAAACAACACGGCCTCGCCCAAGTCCTCCACTTCCTCCAAGATGTCGTCCTCCTTCGTTGCCCCCAACAAGTCGGGTCGCTTGCCCGGCAACCTCCTCTCCCTCGCCCGCCGCACGGCCCACATCTCCGACACCGTCGGTTACGCATGGCGACTGGCCCTCCTAGAGAAGCTCGAAGCTATCACGGGACCATTCTTGACGATCGAGGATGCCGAGGCAATCCTTTCCATCGGAGCGAGCCCCGCATCAAAAGCGGTAAGCGTTTTCTTCTGCATCTGATCTTTTTTCCTTTGTAGTCCACTCCTGATCTCATTTTTCGGGCGCTTCACAGGCCAACCGAGCGAATCACCGCAAATCCTTGATCGGGATGCCCACCGTTCGTCTTCCCCCTCAACGTAAATTGCACAAGAGCAACAACGGCAGCTCCAGCACCAGCACTACCGAGGTCGCCGCTGGGTCTGGAGCTAGAAATACATTCTTCAACAAGATGAAGCGTGCGCTCGGAGCGCCGGTTGCTGAGAGCGAAAAAGCGGACGCGTCGACCAAGACCCAGCTGTCCAAAGGCATCTTTGGCGTGCCGCTCACCGTGGCTGCCGAGTACGGCTTTGTGACATCAATGATCGCTGGGCAACGCCACGAGCTGCCTGGAGTCTGCTTCAGTGCCGTTGAGGAGATCTACCGACGGGGCCAAGGTGAGCTGAACGCTGCAATTATCGGTCCGTCCTTGTTGAGCTCGACTGAGTCATTTTTGCATCTTTCAGGAATGAACGTTCCCGGTCTGCTCGTCAATCACGGCGAATCGTCTCGCGTCGCCAAGCTGGTGGCAATCTACAACACCGCGCCCGAGTACGGCGAGCAACACGACCTATCCATTGAATCGATCCACAACGTCACCGCTTTGTGAGTGACACGAGCCTCGGTATGGCTTCAGAATAAAACTGACGTGACTTCGCCCCGCCTCTGCTTTTTCAGGCTCAAAAAGTACCTGCGCGATCTGCCCGAGCCAGTTCTCGACCAGCGACTATGGAAGTTATTCCTCTCGGCTTGCGTCTACTCGACCAACTCGATCAAGGTTCGCGTGACGAGTGCCCAAGTCATCTTGCGACTCCTCCCGACACCCAACTTTTCCCTGCTCGTCTACATGGTCGCCTTCCTGTCCCAAATTCCCTTATTCCCCGAGAATCGCATCTCGCTCGAAAGCGTTTCGCACATCGTTGGCGCCATGCTCATGTCGCCGAGAGATCCGTCGCCTCAATCGCAGTCGAAAGGGAGCAAGCTGTTGGCACACATCACGGGTCCGACGGATACGATCGACTCGAGCGCGAACGCCAAGAGGGCTGAGGAAGCCCTCTTGTGGCTTCTCAAGCACTGGAGTCTGGTCGCCGACGGGTTGTTGGAACCCGAATTCGACGTTGACGTCGATGCCGTGCTCGATCGGGACCCCGTTGCAGCCTCCACGAGGTCCGACTCGTTATCTCACCCCAATGACGATACTGAAGAGGAGCTCGATGGTGCCGCCGACCCCCTGCGGTTCTTGCCGAACGATGATTTGAAGAAGAGCATGTCCCAGCCCGAGGCTACCTCGTCTCGAGCGACGCTGCTCATCGCCCTCTCGGCCAAGGCCAAGGTCGAGCAGGCCGAGGTCGCGCAGGTCAAACCCCAACCTGTGGAACCCGAAATCCAAAGAGGGGCCGAGACAGAAGCGCCAAGAGCGCCGGACACACCTACGACGCTCGAGATCCTTCCGCGACTTCACTCCGGATCGGTTCCTGGCGGTCCTACTGTGGCCGAGACCCCGGACGTGTCGCAATACTCGCAAGATACGCCGGTTAACGTTACCCCCGTGGAACGAGTCGTCTCGACTTTTGCCGACTCGGACGTCACGAGTCGACGTGTCAGCGCCAAGACCATGACACCTATTATCTTTGATTGGGAGCCGCCGACCAAAGGTGGCCCAATTTCGCACCAAGAAGCGCACAAGCCGCACCCTATCCAAGTCGTGGCTGAAGAAGTGTACGAGGATCTGCCGCCACCCACGCCGGCGAAGGAGGTCACACCCGACCCGTACGGCGCACCAACCTCCTCGATGGGACCCCCTCCGTCGCAAGATTTGCCCACGACCCCGATGTCGGACGATACCGCTCCCGTGTCACCGACCGCTGCTATTCACCAGGTCACCTCGCGAGAGTTGCAAGAGGACTTCCTCATCGCCGGTGTCAACGAAGAAGCCACGCCCGTGCCTGCTCTCGATGACGAGCGTCGAGGCACGTCGCTTTCGTCCTCCGAATCTTCGGCCCAGGAAGGTGCTCTTACGCCGTTCTCGTCCGCGCGTTCGGACTCGATCCTCGCCTCGTACTCGATGGACCGCTCCGCCCGCAACTCAGAGTCATCGAGGAAGTCCATGAACTCGGCCAATGGGTTCTCTCGGGCGCGCGCCGAAGACGCCTACGGTCCTCTGGGCATGGACGAATCCGTTCTGGACGACCTGATGGACTTTGACGACGATACCTCGTCGGCTGTGCTCAAGTTCCCGTCTCCGCCCGGTTCGGCCAAGACACGACGCCTCTCGGAACTCACACCGACCGTGCTCGCTTCGATCACGAAGATGCAAGCGACTCGACGGACCTCACGAGCTTCGGTATCGTCGCAAACTTCGTCCGTTCGATCGGGTCCTCGAGGCTTACCTCGCCTCGTCGATGCCGATCAGCTCGATGAAGCAAAGCGCACGATCGACGCCCAGCGAGTCGAGATCACAGACCTATGGAAGCAATTGACCGACCTCGAGACGCAACGAGAAGCGGACCGACATCACTTGTCGACACTTCAGATGCAGATCCTCGAGCTCCGAACGGCGGGTCAAGCCAAGGCAGCATCTCAGATCGACGAGAAGCAGATCCAAGCCGAATGGGAGGCCAAACTCGCCGAGCAAAGCAAGGCCGCGCAAGAGCAGCTCGAGGCTTCCAAGGTCGAGCTCGAAGAGGCCAGGAAAGAACTGCGCGTTCAGGATGACGAGTCTAGGAAGCAGATCGCTTCGCTCTCGTCTCAGCTCGACGCGATCAGGAGCTTGTTGATGGCTGGCATGGCCGGTGGCGTTTCGGCTTCAACATAGCGTCCGGTTTACATCCGTCTTGGTCTTTGTTGTTCCATTCTTGGTGGAAGTTATTCATCTTTTGTAGCAAGAGTGTTTTGATTTTATATATAATACCTTCCCACGGCTACCCATATGTCTACATGCAATAATCGTCTTTATACCGTATTACCTTTCCTGATCGTCAAGATCGAGTGAGAAAACCCCTTGACGATCATTGGCGTGCGACGTGCTCTGTCGAGCCACTGCCACTCTTGCCGAAGAGATTGGACATGGGTGTATCATTTCTTGAGGTAACCCGAGCCCTGTTGCGCTTCATCTTTGATGGTCTCGAAACCTGCAGAAGGAAGACGACATGTCAACAGAGTACACTCGCCACCGAACACCCACGAAGACTGACCCTCTCGAACTTCAGACCTCCCAAGACGAGATCAATGCCGGCCTCGATCTTTTTCCTCAGGGCCCTCGCCGCTTCTCGGTCCTGGAAGATGGACCATTGACGATACGAGAGCCAGAGGTACAAGGTCAAGCATCGATGGAATGACTCCAGTCGCATCAAGAAATCCGAGTTGTACACGAGAGCGCGTGCTTGCGAAGCTTGGAACGCCGTGACGACGGTTTCGGCAGTTGTTCCTGTACCGGCGGATGCTTTGGATGCCGTCGTACCACGGGCTTCCTGCGCCGCCGTGACTTCGTCAATGAGTTCCAAAGCATCCGCTACCCCACTCGTCTTCGTCCACCTCTCCATCATGATAGGTCGCCCCGCAGCAAACTCTTCAACGAAATGAACCAAAGCACTGACGACGTTGACATCGCGCATGTTGACGGGCGCGTTGCCGAACAAGAGGCGCTCGTCGCAGCTTAGTGGTCCGATGTGCGCGATCGCATCGACGACCTGACTCGCCGAGCGGATCGAAGGGATCGAATACAGCTCGGAATTGGTACGGGATAGGATCTGGACGAGGCGGAAGACTTTGGAGAAAGGCGTGTGGGCTGGTAGTAAGGCTTGTACGCGTTGGAACGCGGCTAGACTTGTTTCGAGCACAGCCCGTTCGACCTTGATCGTCGGCGTCTTCATGGCGTCGATCAGGATGGGCATGTCGTCCTCGTCGAGGCAGGTCGCTTCGCCCACGACGTCTTCGACGGAGACGGAGCCGTCGTCGGGACCAGATGGACTGGTTGGCGTGTGGAGGCCGAATCGACCTGCTCGTCCGGCGATTTGCTTGATCTGCGGCGTCGGGAGTTGAATCTCGGCTTTGCCGTCCCACTTGTGAAGGCTTTCAAATACGATGCGTCGAACTTTACTGGAAACGTGACACGAGATTGATTCAGTTTCTGCAGTGTGAATCGAACAAGTGGTCTCCTAGCTCACAGGTTGAGACCCATTCCCACCGCATCGGAAGCAACGAGCACATCGTAAGCCCCTTCGTTGAACATCCTCGCCTGTTCCTCTCGCACTTCGGGTGGCAAGCCCCCATACGCAACGGCGACTTTAAGCCCCGTCTTTTCCTCAACCGCGCGCTTGAAGGCAAAGATGTTGCTCCTCGAGAACGTGACGAGACAATCGCCTCTCTGAATCTTGGACAGGTCGCCACCGAGGGAGTGCTCGGCCACGACGAGAGGCGATAAGCGGCTGTAGCGTTTGACGATGCACTCGTCACCGAGTTCGTGCGCAAGCTTCTGCACGAGTTCAACAACGCTTTCTTCGCCGCAAAGGTGAAGTTCGCTGCAGTTGGCTCCAATGACGACATTCGTCCACGCCGTCCCCCGTTGGAAGTCGGCGATCAGCTGGATCTCATCGACGACGCCAACGTCGAGATTTCTGTTCATGGGGAACATCTCGACCGTACAGCTCGTGAGACCGGCATCGACATCGACGGTCCTCTGTTCTTCTCCCGTCAATAGATTGCAAGCAACCTTGGGCTCTTCGCCAATCTTGCCATTGTTGAGTCGTGAATAGACTTCGTGAGCCAAGAGGCGCAGAGGGCCGGCATAGACTCCCTGCCTGCACCGAGCGAGAGCTACGAGGGCGGTGTGGGTCTTGCCCGAATTGGTCGGTCCGACGTGGAGGATCAGCTTGCGTCTTCGAGCTCGAGTGCGAGGGTAAGCTTCGCCAGGGTAGCGGCGGTCGGTCGCCTCGGCGAGGTGATGCAATTTCGACAGGGTGATGTTGGCGACGAGTTTGGGATCGCGAGTGGTGGTGGCGGCGGTCCACCCTACGGCCGGTGGTAGAGGTTGCTGACGGGCCCAGTGCACGAACATGCGCAAACACGCATTTGTGATGCTCGACGGTCCATCATTGATGTAGCTGGACTTGACGCGGGGCAGATCCCACACGATTGCCGGGGTGGAGACACCGTTCTCATCGGTTTGAGGACGGCCATCGACGCCCCTTTCGAGTTGAGCTCGGTTCTCGCGCAGGTGAGACAGAGCGTCATTCGCGAAACGTCGAGCCAGATTCGAAAAGGCTTCTTGGTCGAGTCCCATGTCGCGTGCAACTGCTTTGATGGACGGATCGGCCTTGCTCCAGCTCGACTTGAGTTGCACCTCGAGCCTATCGAGCAGCGCACCAACGCTGATGTCGGACGACGACGCGCGCGAACTAGACGAGGTAGCAGGATTGAAGCCAGTGCTTTTGCGTGCGAATGAATTCCACTTGGTCTGCGTCGAAGCGCTCGAGTTGTTGCCCCCACGTCGGGCTGGGATCGGCGGTGAGGCTCGCTTGGGCTTGAGCTTGGGAAAGGTCGATTGCGAAGCGCCTTCGTTCCCTCCACGTCGCTGGCGTGGAGCCTTTGGGCCAGATCGCAGCAATGTCAAGCTCGTACACAGTGATCTGGAACCCAGTATAGGCGCCCATGGGATCCCGCACGGATGCCGAGCAGCGCACAGCATTCTTGCGTCGCCTGTCGGGGTCGTCTTCAACTCGGCTGGGAGAGGTGCGCGAGTTGCGAAGCCGACCAACGTCGACCCGGCACCGATCTCCCCAAGTCAGTTCCAAGCGCTAATAATAATTCAATTGTCGCTCGTCGACTCGCGTCTCGTGTCCTCCAAGTACTACAACGAGCAGTCTCGGCCTGAACGACATTTGTGCCGATCTCTATTGATGAACATGAAGGGTGAATACTACATGGCTTTGGTTTGGCCTCGGGGCCGAATTCACCCCACGACACGGCCCCACGAAGAAACTAGCGCAGCGCAAGAAGCAACTTGAAGGGTAGGTAAAACCGCGGAGGCGGGTGGGAAAGCAACTCTTCAGTTGAACCTAATAGTGGGTGATGATACGGTCTCTTTCGAGCATTGCGATTCTTCAAACTCACTGTGTTCACACTTGACCTAATAGGTTGGCTCGGCCCTCTGCAGGGTCAGTGAAATCAAAGATAGGATTTTTGATGCAGGGCTTTGGGTTTCATTTCGTTGGTACAAGGCTACGCGTTTTGATAATCAACCTGGTGTATTTCCGAAACTCTATGAATGAAACGTGAACGATGAAAGGGTCCTCCCAGATTACGACTTTGGCCAGACAGTCTGCGCAGTCAAGCCGAATGAAGGCACCGCTGGCGCAGTCCTTTGTTCATCCTGGAATCATACTCGAAAGGACGGAAAACAACCTGGGGTATCTATTGCAATGATCTGAATTAACAACGAGCAACAATATTCAAGCCCAACGCAAAGGTGGTCACTTCAGAGCAAGGGGAGCAGTTGCTCAATGTCCGTGATGATGAATTCGTGCGACATCGCCTTGGATGGACCCTACAACTCCCCCAGTTCGGAATCTTCCTCGGCCACCTCGAGACCAAGGAACCGGCTATCGAGGCCGCAATTGCGTCTCAAGATGTCGATAAGGAGCCGGATATTTGTCCATCGATGTGCACAGCCTCCGAGTAAAGATCTGTATGCCTTGTCCATGCGAAGCTTTTCTTTGATGGCATAGACTACGTGCGCTTCTGGCCGATTCCAGTCCCCCCAGATAGTCTGACCCTTCGGCGTCATCACGAGGACTTTCTCGTCACCCTGGTACGGCTCGCGAAACGAGATCTCCATCACGACGTAGAGGAGCGACTCGATGTCGTGCCACCGTTCGTGGACGACACCGAGTGGCTCGTTCGGTTGGGCGAGGATCGAGCAGGCGAGGTAGGGCCAGGTGCCCTGTAAGACGTCGTATAATCCAAGGGTTAGCCCTTATCAGAAAGTTCATTCGGAGAAACATACAGAGGGGAGGACGCACGGATCGTATTCTATGGTGCAGCTCGATGTAAGGTCGATCATGCGGGACGGCGAGGTGATAATCGATGAGGGTGCCGACACCGTCGCGGTCGATGACGGCGTTATCGTACGAGATATCCCGGTGGATATACCCCAGCGTGTAGAGGTTTCGGTGTCCTGCATTGTCATGGGAACGGGCGTGTCGGCTAGGGAGCGCAAACGCAAGGCCGCCCAGTTGATCCCTGTGCTCACCTTTGACGACTCCAAGTACGGCCTCAGCGAGCTCCTTGGTCGTGGTCGCCGTGTTGAGGGGCCAATAGCACTGTTGGTGGAAGACTATCTCGAGTGCCCGGGGCTCGATATCGTCGAAGCTTTCATCGTCGCCGAAGAAGGCCGGAAGCGTGCGCAAGTCGCCCCGGTAGATGCCGGCGCTAAGGCTTAGTCCCTCGGTGTCGGCACGCGACGCGGCGTGCATCTTGCAACGTAGTGCCATGGCATCGTCGAGGAGGGACTGTTCCGCCCATGCGACGGTCGTAGCGTACTCAGCCGCAGGGGTAGGCGAGGTCGACGTGATTGTGATCATCAACGTGGGGTCGACAGGCGCGGCGTGTCGTGCGGTGGCATGGAACGCGAAGGTGGTGAGACCAGGACAGTGTCGGCGTCGGATGAGGAGCTCCTGGATCTCGAGATCTCGAAGATCGCCGAGCTCGGTCTCGAAGTCGTGGGCGCAGGGTGGGAGGAACATGTCCGAGATGACGAAAGGGCCGAAAACGTCGTCGACCTTGTTCACCGAGGCCAGCATCCCGAGCCCGTCGTCGTCGAGTTCGATGAGGCGCGACAGCTCGCGACAGCACGCGCCGGAGCAGCACGGCTTCCGTACCGCACTTGCGAGCGTTCGTCATGAACGCCCCACTCGCGTTGACGAGGTAGACTTGAAGGACGTCCCCGCAAAGGGTGACCCCGATCGCGTGGGCGCGGAGCGTGGTCCTACGAATCATATGCAGCCGCCTAATCACTTGCTTCTCCGCTTCTCCGCTCATCGTGTCGCTCTCCTTCACCTCAATCGTCAATGCAATCTGCGAGGAGTCGCATCGAGGCGCCGGGGGCATGCCTTCCATCGGAGTTGGGTGCCTGTGACTGCGCCCAAACCGAGGAAAGATCGGGAGCAGCGGTAGTGCAGCAGTCACCGCCGCATGCATGAGGATGATAGCGTCGGGGGTCTGCTCCTTCTCCCCGCGATCGGGCGCGAGCTCGAAGTAAATACCCGAATTGTCGCATCCGACCAGACGTCGCTCGACAGTCTACAGCCGGGTGCATCAATGATCGGGAGACAGTGGTCAGTCATACCCGTACGGTCAAAGCCAAGCGGTAGCACCGGAGCACTCACCACATCCCTGATCGCCTCAGCCATCTCTTTCATCGCAGCCTCCGTCCCCAGTTTTTTGGTGGGCTTGGGGATCTTGGCCTCGTACTCGGACGGCGTGTCAAGGAAGAATTTGTCCATCGCTTTCGAAAGCCGAGGTTTGCCCATTTGCGCGAGGAGTTGTGGCTCCCTCTCCTCCGCCGTGGCGGTCATCGACACTACGCCGGGACTCGACTTGAACGGGCTCGGTTGTTTGAACGCATCATCGACGCCCGACATGCCTAAGTAAGCCGTAGGCTTCGTGTGCACGTCTTGGCCGTGCGGGTTGTACTCTTTCGTGGTTCGACGACGCGTATGACGGTCCTCGCGGACAGGGAAGGTTCTAGACTATAGTGAGGCTTTCTCTCTCCTCTTCATCACTTCCCCGCACTTCCTTCCACTTTCCACCTCATTCCAGTATCACACCATGCTCTTCTCCACCACGGTCAACATTGCGCTACGAGTTGAGACTGTATACGTCTCCGACGGACACGTCTACGCCGCCTTGCGCATGATGCCGTCTCGACAAATTGTACATGTCCCCTCATGTCCCCGCCTCAACCGTAGCAAACAACGTCTTGATCGCCGAGTCCCGACGTCTTGTCGCGCGACTACGCCCGGGAGGCGCTCCACGACGCGAACCGAGCTCGACTCCTCCCTCCAGGCTTCTCCTTGGTCGAGGAACTACCACCTATTCCAAGCACTCGTCCGTGGTCCCATCGATCTCCATGCGGGAACATGTCTCCGAGTTACAGCATGACTATATGGAACTGGTCCACAAGACGGGTCGGTTGCCGCAACTCCCCTCCGAACACGTGACTGAGTGCTTCGCCCACTCCAACGACATCACTCCGCTGGCGCATCTACGGGATCAGGTCAACCAAAGACTTCTACCCACGGCGCAACTACCCAGCCTGGACCCTTGCTTGGTCATGAGGACCCAACTTAGCGAAGACAACAACTCGATGGGACCACGGACGAGTGCTTGGAATAGGTGGTAGTTCCTCGACCAAGGAGAAGCCTGGAGGGAGGAGTCGAGCTCGGTTCGCGTCGTGGAGCGCCTCCCACCTTCCCCTCACCCTCCGCTTGTGTCTTGCTTTGCGACCTCCATCCCGCGAACCAGACGTTGTTTGTTACGGTTGAGGCGGGGACATGTACAATTTGTCGAGACGGCATGCGCAAGGCGGTATAGAGGTGTCCGTCGGAGACGTATATAGTCTCAACTCGTAACGCAATGTTGACCGTGGTGGAGAAGAGCATGGTGTGATACTGGAATGAGGTGGAGAGTGGAAGGAAGTGCGGGGAGGAGAAAGAAAGAGAAACGGAAGTCGGAGTTGAAGTTGAAGTTGCGGAGTCCTGCCAGGAGTGGGTCACAAGTTGACGAGCGCGTGATCAATTGCGGGAGCTCCCTGTGGCGAGGCCGGCGGAAGCTTGATCGGAGCGTTCCCTGTTTCGGCCGCGGCGCTGGGGCGTTCCAGGAGTTACCCCCTCCTTTGAGAGCTGCGCTCCTGAGCGGCTTGAGACTCGACGTCTACAAATGGGCCGGCTTGTACGTCCTGGAAGTATTGCCAGTGATCTGGCACCACATCATCCAAACCATACACGCGGTCGTTCAAGGACCCATCAACATGAACGCCCGCCAAGCCCGCGACTGGCAGGACGTCAAGTCCCAGTTTCTGGACTTCTTCGCTGACGCCGTCCCGTCGCCGATTCAAGCCATATTTCGGCGCAGTCGGGCCGCGCCATGTCGCACTTATCGACTTGAAGCAGACGTGCTTGTACGTCGTGAGCCAGCGGGGACGTGATAGTGGCCAGGCAGTGCGACATGGCGCGGTCCGACTGCGCCGAAATATGGCTTGAATCGGCGACGGGACGGCGTCAGCGAAGAAGTCCAGAAACTGGGACTTGACGTCCTGCCAGTCGCGGGCTTGGCGGGCGTTCATGTTGATGGGTCCTTGAACGACCGCGTGTATGGTTTGGATGATGTGGTGCCAGATCACTGGCAATACTTCCAGGAAGTACAAGCCGGCCCATTTGTAGACGTTCCTTTGCTTCCTGCAAGCAACAACATCGTCCTTGATCCCATACTAGTCCCTAGTCCCAATCCATCTCGAGAGCCACCACCTTGACCCACTTCCGTTGCTTCACGGTCCTAACCTGATCTCACACTCGAGACTCCCTCGCACCCCGTCTCTCCCTCGTCCACACCGTCTAGCCCCGCCTAGAAGGTCTCCCTTGCCGCGAGGACCGTCATAGATTCACACCGCACTCGCCCTTCGACTCGGTCGGCGCGTAGTTGGTCTCCTTTGGCAACCGGCCCCCGCCTGTCCAATTTCGCGTCGCCCAAAGGACATGAGCTCCACCTGCACTCTCATAAGCAAGTTTGATGAATTTAATTGCATACAACACTATATCCAATATGAATACTTGTATATACATATGTGTAGAAATTCCCGCGCTCACTCACTGCAGCCTCCTCTCCTAATTCGTCTCGACCGTCCCATTCAAATCCGACACCGCGACCGGTTCCCCACCCAACCCGATCGCAGCAACGAGATACACCGGTCTATGATCCGAAAAAGCCCCCATTTTGTTCAGATCTGTGACCGCTCCATATTCGAGCACTTGGATCTGTCCTTTGCGCGGTCCGACGATCTTGGGAGGTGGTGGTGGCGGCAACGGAGGTTCGACGTAGACATCCATCGACGGGGTCAGAGGGTGGAAGAAGGACGACATCTGGAAAAAGGACTTGAAGCGCTTGTACGTCGTCGGGGTCGGGGTCGTACCCACCGGGGTGCTCGCCGATCTGCTCGAAAGGAGGTGGTGGCGATGAGGGTGGTCCTTATCACCTCCCGGACTGTCGACCGAAGGCGTTGTCAGCGGTGAGCCGAACCGTCCCGCATGACGACTGCTGATACCCGAAAAGAAGTCTGAAGCACTGTTGCGAGAGCCCCCCGAAGAGCTGTGTGGTGAGGGGCGAGGTCGGAAAGGGTTGAACGTAGCAAAAGCCGGCACGGGTGAGAACAGCGCCGAAGGTCGACTTGCGACCGAAGCCGGATGGTTCGGATGGTGAAATCCTCCTGCCGGTATCTCGAGCTTCAAACTTGGGATCTTCAAGCTCGGCCCCAATCCTCCCGAATTTCCTGTCGCAGCAGGCGCAGAAGCACTTGTATGCGATGCTGGACGTGTAGTCTCGGCCTCCGCGGCAGAACTCTCGGGACGAGCGTCCCGTGTTTGAACACGCTTCGGTGGATTGTTCGCATGGACAACCACGAGCGGAGGTGATGCTCCACTGACAGTCGTGTGCTTCTTCAGTGCTCTCTCGTCTTGCGGACAAGCTTCGGCGACCGCCGTCCCGACGCTTGACTCGCGTCGACGCATGAACCAATCCGATAAGGGGTTGTACGGCGCGTGCTCGTCTTGGGTCCTCACTTTGTTCCAATAGTCCTTCGTGTTCGACTTCCACTCGTTGAGCTTATCCTTAGAGTCTTGCGTCGATGGCATTTCGAAGAAGCTGGCGCCGGGGCCACTTCGTCGCGCTGGGGTGGCAATGTCGTGCTGGGATCGGGATTGGGACCGCGGGCCTACGACCATATCCTTGAAATGGCCAACGAACTTTCCTTCTCGTGGTTTGACGTCGGACTGAGCGGGTTCTGGCGCTGGAGTTGGCGGCTCATCATCGACCACGGACGTGTGAAAGAGAATGCGATCTGTTTGAGGCAATGAATTCAGCATGCAGTACCTCGAAGGGGATAGCCGGACGAGAAGGGACGCACCCGTGTAACTCTGCACCCTCTGCTTGGAGCTCGAGTCATACACGGGCTCCGGCGAGCCATGCTGCGATGTCTCGCCTTCATCCTCGCTGTCACTGACGGTCGACGACTCGGCGGGCGTCGCCGTACCAGTTTGACCCGGCGATCGAGACAAAGGGATCGTCAAATCGGACTGAACCGAGCGCAGGATCGGTCGCGCCGCAAAAGGAGCACCTGTCAGCGCCCCGATCGTCAACTTGCGTTTCGACTTGGGCGGCGAGGCGTTGAACGCTTCGAGTAGTGCGCTGCCCTTCCTTTCCGTGACCATGACCGGCCCAGCACTCTCACTTCGCCCACGGGCCAGGAGTTTGATCTGGGACTTGCGCATGTGCTCCATAGCCGTATCGTTGCCTTTGCTCGGTGCGCTCGGCAGCCCTACCGCGCTGAGCTCCTCGCGGTCGTGCTTTTCATCGTTGCTCATCGCCGAGTTGACGGATCCTTTCGACGACCTCAGAGAGCGAAGCTCGTCTCCACCGCCCGTAATGTCGTTCTTCTCCCGTGTTGCCTGTAGTACTTCGGGATCGCTGATGGCTCCTGTATCTTCATCCGCGAGCTCGAGGGCCGTCCATTCTCGGGGTTTGCGCGGCGGCACGTTGTTATTCGCTTTGGGACTGCGCAATACGGCCAGACTTCCCCTCCGTCGGATCTTGGGTACGTCGTATTTGTCTGCCCGAGGAGTGTCGCGAGCGTATCCCCACGATTAGACATGCTCCAGAACACGGTGTAATCTAGAGCTGACCAAAACTCACAAGTCGGAGCAAAAGTGATATCGCCCTCCTTGAACCCTTTAAACACCCCATTCTCTTCGGCAAGAACGTCCCGCAATTGATCGAATTGCAAGGCCGTGACATAATCCTTGCTTCGGACGATCCAATCTGCGTGAAGGCGCGATACATTGAGTCGAAAGCTGGGTGTAGGAGTATATCAGTGCCAGAGTAGACATACCACGGGCCTTTTATTGAAAGTACGGCGACTAACTTGAGATCACCCATGAAGAAAACCTGATCGAACCGAGTCATCAGATCTCCCGCTTTCGCTCCCCCACCCGCGAAATCATCAATCACCAACTCGTCCAAGATTTTCTGCGCATTCGCCTTTCTCAACATGTTACCACTCGCATGGGCGGCCAAATGAGCGCTGATGAAGAGCAGCTTCGACGATCCCAACCAAAGACTGACGCCGACACCCCCTTTGTTGCCCAAACGACCACCCATCAATCCCGCCGTTACTCGACCCCGTGAAGTTCCTTTCACGAGCTCGTCGCATGATCGAGCGACGAACACGGCGCAGTATATACCAAGTAGCCGTTCCTTTTCGACGAGCACATAAGGGCCACGGCCCATCTTGAACTTTTGCATCATATGGGTAGGGGAGACGTGCTCATGGGCTTCCGCGGCGTGCTCTTCGTTCGTGGCGGTGGAAGCAGCAGGTGCGGAGCGTATTTTTGGTTCATCGGGGTGCAGAGGCGGCGATACAGCATCATCGTGGGAGAGCGAAACCGAATTCGAATGGGGATGGGAACTTGCGTAGGTGTGCGGATGCGACTCCTTGTCGTCGCCGTTTCCGAGTGCGGGTCGTCCACACAACCACTCTTCCAACACCGATGTCCATCGCTTGGCTTCCGGAGCCCGCACTCTCGCCGCTGTCGGACACTCTTGCCCACAGACGACGATGACGTGGTATGGTTGCTCTGGCGTAAGCTTCAGGACAGGGATGTGTTCGGCTGCGGGAACTTCCATCATCGAGCCAGCCGCAGGGGAGACGATCACTCGACTACTCGACTTGGACATCCTTTTATCCAGAATCGCTCCGGGCGAGGAACCCGGTAACCGATGCGACCCAAATGACGGCGGTCGGACTCGTGGACTGGCGGCGTCCACTCCCAGAAAATCCTTCAAGTCGCCGTTGCTCGAAGGCAGCGAATCATGCATGTTGAAGGTAACGATCCGAACTTTGAGTGATCGCCGGGTGAGTACATCCGGTCCACTTTCGTTCGTCTCGATTTTTTGCACGTGTTCATGGTTCGACTTGGCCGAAGAAGGATGAGGGAAGTGGCTTGTTTGAACGGGTACTGACGATCGTCGGTTCGCCTCGCGGTCTCGCACTGAAAGCGGACCCTGTGCGACGACATCCACGGTATCGAGCCTTCGGCTCTTTTTAACGAGACTCTTGAACTTTCCAAGCAAACCGTGGCGATGCTCCTTGATGCTGGAGAGTTGAGAGGTCGATTTTGTCGGAACGGGCCTCGGGCCGGGTGGTGGAGTGGTCATCGCTGCGGCCGGAACGGACGGCGAGGCATCCTTTGTCGATCCGGATGGGGGTGGGGTTCTTGGCCTTGTCAGATCGGTTCGTCGTGGTAGTGGTAGAGACCTAGATCTTCGTCTCTCTTCCGTTATATGATCGACCTCGGGTGTGATCGGTGGCTTCGCGGTCAGCGGACCATCGTCGGCAGTCTGTTCCGGCGACTCGGAGACGGCAAACGGTTGATGTTGTGGGACTGGCTCGGCACTCGACATGACGGCCGGAGAGTCGGGTGCCATTAATTGGATCTGGACCTCCTCCATCGGTGTGAGCATCGCAGCTGGAGCGAGAATGGCGCCCGTCCTGGAGCGAACCGACGAACCATCGATCACCGTCATCGCCCGCAGAGACCCTGCCAGGTCACGCCCACCTGAGACCCCTTCGATCAGTCAACGACTCGTGCCTGCCCGCGAGCCGAACCCGGAAGGGTGGTAGGTCTGTCTTGACTGACGGTCCTACACCGATGCCGGCCGAGCGAAGTCAGATATCGACTCGGCAATTAGCAAATGGTGGCGCTCAACGACGAAGGAACAGCGAAGTAATATGGCTTTGTCAGCCGCACTCATCAGGCACTTGCCTGCACTTGCGGGCACTTGCGGGCAAGGCGAGTTGCCGGCCGCCGCTCTCCGAAGCGCGCAACCACTGGTCGCCCGGGCGCGTCGACTCCATCGTAAGAGCGCAATGCGAACCGAAATAGCTGGGATGGAGTCGGATTTGCAGCATAAGAACCAGGCATCCCGTAACAAACGGGATGGGTTGAAAATCTACCCACGAGAGACCATAGATAAGAAAGTAAAGGAAAGAACACAAGGCTGTTTTTGTATTTATTTATTTTGTAGGGTGGGTGGGAGGAGACGAAGATAGAACGACTATGCTTGTAAAGCGCGATTCTATTAGTACTCGGAATACTGCAAAGACTCTGAGGACTATGGCATACCTATGCTTGTAAAGCGTGTCGCTTGGAGACAAGAAGACAGCAAAGGAAACAGACCTCAGACGCTGGCACGTCGAGGGTGGGTCTGTGTAGCAAGGTAGCCAAGTCAGTCAACGTGTCCAACAAGGACAGTCGAAAGCAGGAGTACCCTAAGGTAGAGCCTGAAGGGGGGTGATGTACCTCGGCTCTTTGAGCGAGACGCAGGCGAACGGGAGAGAGGCGCAGCACTGGCAGGTGCAGGCAAAGGGAAAACAGACCTCGGACGCTGGCACGTCGAGGGTGGGTCTGTGTAGCAGTGTAGCCAAGTCAGTCAACGTGTCCAACAAGGACAGTCGAGAGCAGGAGTACCCTAAGGTAGAGCCTGAAGGTGGGTGATGTACCTCGGCTCTTTGAGCGAGACGCAGTCGAACACGAAAGAGGCGCAGCACTGGCAGGTGCAGGCGGACGGACAGTGGCAGCTGTTCGTCGTCAACTGGTAAGGCAGAAGACTGGAAGGCGGAAGCTGTACGGTATCGCTGGGGGGGTCCTGTGAGAAGCTCTGAACCTGTCAGCCAAATGGCGGCAGGAAGAGTTCAAGGAAGGCCACTGACCTTGGCAGGAGGTGGCAGAGGTACACAGCGATACTGGTACGGCAACGGCAAGCAGTGGGAACTGAAAGGTGCGGCAGGAGCGGGCTTGGTAAACTCTTGCGCAAGTGCGGCTTACAGACCAAGGCTCGAGGCAGGCGTGCGGGGCACGGCTTATTGCAAGAGGGGCAGGCGTGCGGGCACGGCTTACTGCAAGGAGGGTAGAGGTCGCGCGCGCTTGAGTCCTCGGCGTCAAACTCTTGCAGCAAAAGCAGAAAAGACCATGCGCTCAGGCACACTTGCGAGAACGAGCCAAGGCCCAACGTCCATGAGTCCTGACTCACTGTGATTGATGGGTGAGCATAAGCTCTTTGTTTTTCGCAGATAGAGGTGCCTGTGACTCGCTGTCTTCAGTAGTTATTGGCGCGCCCGGCTATGCTGCCTCTTGAAGTTTAGGGGCTGAAGAGTTACCCTCGCTGTCACATAATGGCATCTGAAGATGCTATGCGCCATCTATAGCTGCCAAAGACTATGATATCAAATGGCCATATTCCAAAGGGTGGACTGGTTAATTTATGATTGAAGTGTAGCACCGGGCAAGTCCGAAAGTGCAACATCACGCCTCTGCAGTGGCTTCTGTCGCCAACCTGTCTGCCAGGCGTTGCCTCGCCCACGTCCTGCCCAATTTTCGAACTCAGCATCTTGGTGGCCCCGGTGCGAATTGGATTCAGAGGTGTTTTGCAAGCATTGCAGGTTTCAACTGCTCACAGCGGAGCTGAACGATATCAACATGGGTTGCCAGAACGCAAAGTGTGGAGTCTGACACCGGAGACGAAAATGAAATGACGGATCTCTGCCGGCGTGCACGGTTAAGTGAGCTCCTATGTTCTCGTCGGCGAGAAACCTCCTCTCTTCGTCGTTCTCGGAATTGATATCATTTCACAGGATCGGCAAATTCTGCTGCTTCCTCTTTTTCGTGGCCGCCTTGATATATCGAGATCGTTGAATTGCGGAGAGGTCGTCCTCATCTCCGAATCGCCGTGAATAAAAGCGGTATCGAGGTAGATACGCGTTGGGAAGGAAGAATCTGCGCGTTTAAACCGGCCGTGAACGGGTTAGTGTCTAAGTGCTTAGAAATTCAAGCTCATCGACGTTTAACTCACGGCCGAATTGGAGGAAAATGACTCGCATCCGTCACATCCTCGTTGCGCTTCAGATACTCTTCCAGGTCAATCATACCTCGCTGTGACTCGTCCCTCTGCAGCACCCGACTCGCTTTGTTCATTTACATGAAGCTCCACACCGCATGGATCTTGGGGAATGGATTCAACCGTTGTGCGAGGCGTGTGGTGTTCGTTACGAGGAGGTCGGTACGCATTCGCACCAGGAGCGCTTGGGCAAGGAGAGATTCTATGCAAGTGCATCGGTAGAGGGTGGCGGTGAGCAATTCGTATCTAATCAAAGTAACTCACCAGTTCGGGACGTACGAGCGAAATAGCTATGCCCGATCTGTTCAGTACAGTACAGGTAATTGGGTCAGCGTCCTGACTCTCATAGGTGAGCTGACATTCCAATGGGGATGATCTCACTCCTCGGGGCACCGTGGCATGAATCCCTGCGGTGCCGTGGGTAAGCTGGGACACAGGATACAAAGCCATCAATGAGTTGGTACCTGACCTATACAACTCTTCTTCGAACGTCGTTCTCACTTAAGACAACTCACATCTAATTCGGCAAAGATATAGCTGTGCAATGTATAGCCATCTCTCATCAGGCATTGCGGCCGCTCCCGAGCGATCACGTCCGGGTCTTGGGATTGCAGAACGAACGATCTACCGCGTTCCTGCTTGCCGGGGTTATGCCATCTGATCCCTATGTATCGCCCTGCGAGAATGATTGGCGTAGAGCGAGTTCAGCGGGGAATCAGACCGCGTAAATAGCACATGCGAAAGCCTCACGGATGCCGAGCTCCGCTTCGATGTCCTGGTGTGCAGAACCGAAAGTACATACTCGTCAGCGATCGAGCTCGCTTTCTAGCCAACCGTTCAGATTCACACACCTGTGTCACCAAGCTTGTCAAGACACTATTGACGTCGTTACTGACCATCGCAGCGGTTCGAAAGTCGACGCGCAGTGGAGAATCGGACTCCATCGTGTCGGGGATCGCGCCGACGGCCATGAACGAAGTCACAAGCCCCTTATGAGCTTCGTGCAAGAAAGCTGCGATTTATTTGGTGCCATGGGATAGGTCGCTCACGCACCATGTATCGCAGGTCGTATCCTCGAGCACGAGCGGCCGGTGGGGTAGCGAGCACGACCTTTTGCCGTCGGCGAAAAGCTCCTTGAGGCGCCACTTCCCCGTGCCGACGCGCGGACTGAATCGACTCCCGCAGTCCGTGCATCGTCGATATCGATCGTAACACGAAGCACAGACGAACTCGATCAGCAGTTCTGGTGGCGTCTCGTCGCAGTCGAGCGCACTGATAGTTCCCGAAGCGATGATGCGCGTGCAGACATCACCTGGTCGGGAAAGGCGCGAGCCAAGTTCAGTATGCCGCCGTCGCATTGAAAAAGGGGGGGACTTTAGGAAGGCAGAACAGCTCACATGCCGCGCTCGGGTCGTCCGGCTCTCTCCACTTCTTCCCAAGTCCCAGTCGGACTGCACTCTACCGATCAAAGACTTTCGGAGCTGACCACTTGGACCGCCTTCGTCGCTCCGATCCCACAAAGAATGTGTCATGCCGTGAAACACGTCTTTTCTGCGCCGTTGGCACGAAGGTACAACCGCACTCGACGACCCATCAGGTCACGATTCACGATCATCACGCGGGGCAACCGTCATCTATTGTTAGCAGATCCAATTTCTGCAATTGGGTATGATCTTCTCCATTTCGGCATCGGACCCTCCCGTCTCGGGATTCATTCGAAGTCACGGGAATGCAAGAAGAGCCAGAAAGTTAAGGTACCCATAGCAGCAGAGACAAGAGAAACAAAAGCACAGGGAAAAAAAAAGGCAGGAAAGAAAGAAAGAAAGAGTAAACATGAAGAAGCAGAACGGAGGATTTTATGCACCGCCCCCCCCCCCCCCTCCCCCTAACGTATCCAAAATAGACGAGCCGGTACTCCTCAACAAGAGCATTCCATCACGGCAACCGGGAAATGATCAACTTGACCGCCGCTTGCCACGCCGCGAGGTCGTTGGCCCCACTCGTCAACATCTGCAAGTGCAAGTCGAGCGCCTGCGCCTTGTTCTTCGCGTCGATCGCGCGGCAGATCTCGAGCAGCCGGTCCCGCGTCGCGACCGAGAGCGTTTCGCAGTTGAGCGCGTCAAACAGCATCGACAGACGCTTGGCCGTGTCTTCGACCATCTTGCGTTGCTGCGGTGGACCAGGGGGCAGGTTGCGCATCCCCGTGAGCTGCGCGTTGAGGCAGGTGTAGATCGGCTTGGACTCGGCCGGAATGTGCGTGGTGTCACCAGGGGCTGTGGAGCGGAGCACGCACATGTCAGTATCTCAATCGATAATCAGCATTGGATACCTCGCGTTCAAACTCACGGTATTTGGGCTTGGGGGGTCCAGGGCGACCAGGAGGGGGCGCAGGGGTCGGAGTTTGTGACGGAGGTGGGGGTGCCGGACCACCCTGCGGCTGATACCCTTGCGGCGGACCGGGGAAGCCTCCAGGTCGAGGAGGCCCGTTCTGCGCACCCGCGGGAGGTGCGTAAGGTCCCGAAGGCGCTTGCCCACTCGGGGGAGGCGCATAGGGGTTCGGTGGCGCAGGTCCGTTCCCATTCGTCGCAAAGCTCTGAGGAGCGTTCGGAGTCGGGCCTCGCGGTCCTTGACCCGGCGGGAAGGGTCGGCCTCGACCAGCAGCCGAGGAAGGTCGGAAATCGCCGTCGTTGACAGGAGGCCCTCGGTAGCCGGCGGGAGGGGCAGGGAATCCCGCAGGAGGGGTGGGACGAGCGCCTGCTCCACCCTGGGGCGGTGGCGGAGGAGCGAATCGTTGACCCTGAGGGGCCGGCGGAGGAGCGTACGGTGAAGGGCTCGGGTTCGACTGTTGCTGCGGCTGTAGCGCCTGGGGTGGCGGAGGCGCATACGGCGACGGAGCGGCCGAAGGTTGAGGCACAGGGGGTGCGTTAGCGAATCGTTGACCTGCTTGCGGTGGGGGAGGGACCGGAGCAGGTGTGCGGTTGCTTCCACGGCTCGGGGTTGGGGGTGGAACGGCGAATCCTCCGCCTCCTGCGGCACCACCGAACGCAGGTGGAGGTGGGCCACCTGCTCCTCCTTGTGCGGGCGACATGTTGGGGAACGGAGAAGTGATGGGTGCAGCCTTGGGAGGCGGCGCAGCCGAAGTCGCAGCCGCTGGCGTAGCTTTACGCTGCACCTGAGGAGCATCGTTCCATCCAATGTCGGGCTTGGAGCGAGGTGGAGGCGCAATCGAAGACACAGCGGTCGCCGCATAGTTCGGCGATTGCTCTCGCAGAGCGGGGGTAGGAGGGACGAACCCACTGCCCTGCTGAGGAGCGTACGGGTCCGACATCGGTGCCGCGGCGGGTTGCGGCCGACCATACGGGTTGAACGGTTGCGAGACTGGCGGCGCAGCCCCGTAGGCGTTGGTTGGATGTCCACCTCCCGGGCCGTAAGGGTCGTCGAGTGCGTTGTTGTAGGACGAGGTGCTCCCGCCTGCGGGTGCGTACGCCGAGCGCTGAGAGGTGCCGTACGCGTTGTTCTGGAGAGGCGGTGCCCCGTACGACGACTGAGCGGGTGCGTAGCCCGACGACTGCTGCTGCGCATAGGCCGGCTGTCCGTAGTTGCTGTAGTTTGAGGTCCCGTAGACGTTGTTGCTGGCGCCGTAAGAGGTCGATGCAACAGGCGTGGCCCCAGCAACAATGCGCTGGTTCGAGCCAAACACACCTCCGGCCGATTGGTTCCCCGTCGCTCGAAGCAACCGATCGCGCGCCAACGACGGACCACTCGCATCGGTCGAACCCTGGAAATCATGCGGAACCTGCACAATGTATTTGAGCGCGATGTGCGACAGACCTTGCGCGGCGAGCAATTCGGCGTATTCGACGTAACGCTCGTACAGCTCTGCGAGCTTGTAGACCCTCCTGCCCGGTTCGGCCGATTGGACGTGCAAGTCCGTGTCGACGTAATCGACGGCCTGTTGGAAGACCGAGACCTTTTCGACGAAAGCCGACAACGCCTTAGCGTGGGCTTCGTACCGTTGCGCTCCACCATGAGCACCATTCTGAGCTCGCGACGCCTGCTCGTCTTCCTCCATCTGCTGCACCCAAATTCCGACGACCTTCTCGAGCTTGCCGGCGGCGAGATAACACAAGATGGCGTTCTTGCGCAGCTCGGTAGCGGCAGTCGACGGCGACGAGTCCTTGACGGTGTCATACTGGTACTCGAGGCGTTGACCGAGCTGCTCGCACAGGCTCGGGAACTCATTTGCGTTCGCGTACGTGCACAAGACGACGAATATCTCTTTCCACTGGGCCAAGTGTGCGTTCTGCACGACGTCGGCGAGGTCGTTGCCGACGATTGACTGCAGCACGCGCAAGTACGGTGCACCAGCGGCTTGTTGTCGCTCAAAGTAAATGCTTTGTGTCGTCGCGAGCAACTCGTCCCCGCCTCGCACGGCGAACAGGATGGCATCGGCAAAGCGGTCGTTCGACAAAGCCAAGGCGACGGCCGAGGCAAAGTCGCCAAGCACGAGCGCTTTGGTGATGAGTCGGTCGACCTCGGATTCGTCGTCGCGGTAGATCTTGAACGTCGTCGCACGCAGGTTGAGACTTGCTACCGAACTCGTTGAACCGGCGGTCGCTGCTGCGGAAGAAAAGTTCTCGCGGTTGCCGTTGCTGAAAAGGTGGTCGGGCAAGCCGGCTCGACCGGAGCCGATCTGCGAGTAGAAATCGGCGGCGGCTTGCGACGCACCAGCGTTCAACGACGCGCCATCGTCGGCACCGCCAAAGAGACTCGGCTCGGTCGTTTCGCTCGACTGCTTGGTCACTTCACTGGCAAGACTGTTGCTGGTCGCCGTCGAGTCGTCGAGCTCGGATCCCAGCGGGATCGCACCATCGGCGGTTTCCTGAACGCCGTTCACACCTTCCGGGTTCGACCCTAGCGTCGAGATGGCCAGCGTACTCGCAGGAAGTTTCTCCTTGAGCGCCTTGACGGCCTCGTCGACCTTGGCCTTGTGGTCGGAGCGATCGAAGCCGAGCAGATCGATCAGCCCGCCCTTGGACTGGGCACCAAAGAGTGACGCCAAGAGCTTCCAACTCGACACCTCGCCCTCCTTCAACTTGGGGTCGATGTCGACGGATTGCTCAATCTCGGCGCTTCGCTGTTCGCAGAATTGGGCGAGTGTGCCATTGGATTGGGCCTCATCGAGTCGAACCGCGCGTTCCACGACCTCGGGCTGCACAACGACGTTGCGAATCGAAACGCTGGGCGTCGCAGGTGTGCCTGGTGCCGCACCGGCAGGCGCAGCGGTGTGGGAGATGCTGACGAGCTTGCCGCCAAAGCCGAACGCGACCGATGCGGGTCTTCGCAACCACTTGGGGGCGTGCGCAAGCGATTTGGTCGGGTAGTTGGCCGCGTTCGCGGAGATGGCCGCCTCGAACATGTTGGTGCCGTCCCCACCGGCACCCATCGAGGTGGCAGCAGCGTCGGCGGCAGCGGTGGGAGCAGCGGTGGACTGGATCGACTGCAGCGTGATCTTGCCGTCGAGCGAGGCGGTCGAGATGATGGAAGGGTTGCGCGGGCACCACTGCGTGTCGAAGGACCAGTTGCTTGAGGGCGTGACCTCGGCGACCATCTCGGACGTCGACGGGTTCCAAGCGATCGTGCGACCATCCTTGCCTGAACTGAGCAGCAGGTCCGCATCTTGGGAGCACCAATCGAGCGAAAGGATACCCTTTTCGTGACCCGTCAGGATCTGCGTCAGGGAGAAGGAAGAGCGCAAACGTCAGATTACTATGTTTCGGGTGAATGCTCTCTTTGGGTCGGGCCCTCACCCTCTCTGGCTCCTTCCAGTTTCTGAGGTCCCAGAGCATGATGATGGGGTTGTGGTCGTCGTCGGTCGCGGTCGCGAGTTTTGTAGGCTGCCAATAGCCAAGGGTTGCAAGTCCAAAGAGTCAGCGTCGCAATTGCCGAGTCCCAACGTGCTCGCTAGATCCGCACCGCACTCACGTTGGTCGGGTGCCATTGCACGGCACTGACGCCCCTGCTTCCACCGGGTGCGCCCCACCCGGGCTGGCCGAAACCACTTCCCACGCCGGTCGGTGCGACGCCCGAGTAGGACAGGGCCGTCACCTCGCGCTTGGACTTGAGGTCCCACACGACGGTGTAGCCCGAGTTGGAGCCGGTGGCGAGGACATGCACGACGTGCGAGTTCCACGCGAGGGCGGTGATGTCGTCGAGTGAGCGTGACCGTGCTCCGGGGGAGAAAGGCTTGCTGGGTGTGGTCAGGTCCCAAATGAAGATCTAGTTATGGTGTGAGGTGTGGTGGGGTCAGCTTGTCAGCTTGGACCACGTGCTCCGTGCAGTGTACTCACCTCGCCGTTGGTCGCGCCGGACGCGAGGAGGTTGGTCTGGTGCTGGTTAAAGTCGAGTCCCCGTACGGGCCCCTTGTGCAGGTCGTAGCGGGCGAGCGAGGCGCTGTTGGCGAATCAGGAACACGGGTGTCAGTCCCAAAGTACGATGGCGCGGGTGGAGAAACATGAGCGGCCAGCCGGGGCCGACTGTAGAGCGGACCACGTCACACGTCACACCCGGCCACGTTGAGAACGCCTGGCGCCCGGCGTGTGTGTGTGTGTGTACCGGCTTCTCGCCACTGTTCCCTCGACCGTAGCGCAGAACCGGCCTGTGCCAGCTTCAACTCACTCTCCACGAGTCTTGTCGATGAGCCTACTCGGGTCCCAGAGCCCAATCTCGCCATTCTCGAGGCCGGCGGCGATCACACCGAGCGCTTTGTCGGGCTGCTTGATGTGGCCCCACGCGAGCCGATTGAAGCGCGAACCGACGGCGAGGCTCGCCAACGGCGTCGACAACTCGGTCTGCTCGGTCTGGTCCAGTAGTGCTTGTGCTCGGTTCTGATTCGGGTTGCCGAGGTCCAAGCCTTCGACCGGGGGTAAGGACGAGGAGCCTGTCGCGGCGAACGGGTCCCACAGTTCGAGCAACGAGTCGGACGAGAACGAGGCGTCGAGCGCGCCCGAGACGGTGCCGGTAGCCAACAGGGGCGTCGCGCGACGCAGCTGCTGCGGCGACCAGATCGGCACCGCCGTCCGGGCGATCGACGTGACCATGCTGTTCTCGGGTGAGCTGAAGGGTCGGAGCAGAGGAGGGATGAGGGAAGAGGGAAGGACCAGCACGCGCTGGCTGGGGTCAGTTACGCCGCGCGCGCGCACGAGCTCGCACGAGCACACAGGAAATACGTGGCCGCGTCCTCTCACACTCTCGGGCGCAGGGCACAGGCATACTGGCGGGCGAGGGCGGGCAACAGTTAACAGCGGGGAAGCCACAGTAGTGGAGCCGCCCCGGGCAATTACAGACAAGCAGCCAGCAGCTCCAGGTCGGCCACCTGAAGGCTCAGCTGTCAAGCCAAGTACAGACTGCCAGAAGCTCTCTGTCTCTATTTGTGGACATTCCTCGTCAAGTACTGTAAACACACCTGGCCCCAGATTGTAGAACGCCGGCAAAGTCAGCTCGGGCATTTTCTGAGCGGGCGATCGAGAATTGTGTGCTTCGGGCGGCACTCTACATGGCAAAATTTCCGCAATTGAACTCGGCCCAGGGCGGAAAAGATCGAAACAAAGATCGCAGAGCTGCTTTCCGTCCACTTTATTCCTCGTGATCGGGTTTCAGCCGCTCCATGGAGGGCATAATCATAAATGAGATTGAATTTCGAAAGCCCCCCGCCGGCGTCGATCAATTTGGTCCCGGCCGTCCGCGTTTGAGGTGGCGCGTCGACTCCGAGCGGCGACAGCCCTTCCACGCTCTTCATCTCCTTTCCCCCAAGTGAATCCAACCCTACTCGAACCCCATCCCCACACACAGCTACTACCAAACATGGGCCTCTTTGCGAAAAAGAAGAAGGAACTGATCGCCGAAGTCAACCCGAGCGGCTTCAACGGCGCCAACGCAGGCTACAGCAACGCCCCATCTCGTGGCGGCGGCGGTGGACCGTCCTCGTCGTCGTACCCAGGTTCGATCGCCCCCTCAGAGTACTCGACCGCCGCACCTTCGTACCGAACTCAAGGTGCGGGGGGTTCGTACGTCCCTCCTTCGCAAGGTGGCGCAGGCTACGGTGCCCACCAATCCCACTACTCTCGACCCCAACCCGGAAGCGGTGGGCCCCCGCCACAAGGTGGGGCCGCGTACGGTCCCGGTGCAGGTGGTTCAGGTCTGTCCCAAGCTGGTGGACCTGCTCAAGGCGTCTCTTCGTTCCGGGATCGATTCGCGAAAAAGAATCCGGGACGGGGTGAGGCCAGCCCCGAAGCGAGGAACGAATTGCTCGCTGGAGCACCGCCCCCGCAGCAGCAGCAGCAGCCCAACTCGTCCCGACCGTACGGCGGAGGAGCGCATGGCGCCGACGGCCGGGAAGACGATCAGCCTTTGGACGAGGACGAGGGGGTCGAAGGTATCAAGCAGCAGATGCGCTTCGTCAAGCAGGAGAGTCTGGCCAGTTCAAGGAACGCGGTCAGGATCGCCAGGGAAGCCGAGGAGACCGCCAGGGCGACGTTGGATAAGCTCGGCGATCAATCCGGTCAGTTTTGCATGCCCGGATACTCGGATACGAGCTGCACCTAGCTGACCCACTCTGATCGCGTCGCACAGACCGCATCGCCAACACGGAGCGACATCTCGATCTCGCAAAGGCCCACAACGACCGAGCCCAGGACGAGACCAAAGAGTTGATGGCCCTCAACCGCTCCATCTTCCGCCCCAACAGTGAGTTCTGCCACTAGAGCTCCTTTTCGTACATACTCTGATCTGAAACCTGTCCTCTCCTCGACAGTCACGTTCAACAAGCAAGCCAAACGAGACAAGGACGAGGCGCGCATCATCGCTCGCCACAACGCCGAAAAGGACGAACGCGAACTCGTTCGTCGCGAGCAGTACGAATCGCGCCAACGCATCGACCAAACGTACCACAGCATGGACCGCAACGCCGACGATGCCGCGCGTGCTCGGCAACGCGCCAAGGCTAGAGGCGCAGAACGGGGTCGGTACCAGTTCGAAGCGACGGCGAGTGATGACGAGGTCGAGGATGAGATCGACGGTAACCTCGATGAGCTGTCCGGGCTTGCGGGGAGGTTGAAGATGCTGGCTACGACTGCTGTGAGTTGTACCTACCGGGTCGCAACAGATCCCACGAAGAGGAGCCACGGACTAATACTATTCTTGTCTAAATTGGCACGCACCCGTTCTGCAGGGACAAGAAGTCGACGCACAAAACACCAAACTCTCCAAACTCGGCAACAAGGTCGATGTACTCGACACGAACGTCGTACGCAGCACCCAGCGACTCGCTAGGGTCAAGTAGATACACCACCGCCACCACCACCACTTTTGAACGCCCGGCCTTTGGGGCCACACCTTTTGGCCCCTGCACCTTTTCGCACTCGCATTCGTTCTTTGTTCTTTGTTATGACTTCGTCGTTACGTCCATCACTCGTTCCTTATCACTTTCCCTTTGTACGACTATTGCGTCCTGCTGAAGCTGCAAAACTATTCGTCCTTTTTCTTCGATTTCGACCGTCTTGGCTCGAAAGGGTTTCACCCCAATACCTAGCACTACAGCTCGTGCAGAAGCGAGAGGGCCCAACGTTGACACCTCTTTGATGAAGGAAGAGGCCTGCAGCGCTGGTTAGAAGTACTGATGTTAGGAATCCCCGGGGCTGTCCCCTCTCCCTACGCACACCGGCAGTCTGGAGCGAGGAGCGCGTCAGCGATCGATATTCTTAGTACGATAGCCATCTCAGGATAATCTGGGATGCGATAGTGGTGCGGAGATACTATTCCCGGTATCTGGTTATTCGTACATCATCGCGAACAAGGTCAATTGGCCCAACTCGTACAATGCGGCGCCGAGGTGAAGGCGCAGCAAGTACCGGAGTAGGTTTCTCAAAGCCATGATGATTCGTGAGGGGCCACTGCAGTGGACCTTTCCCCTGTGTTCTATGTTCTACGCGGCATATGCCCCGAGAGTGAACTCTGCAGCTCCGTTTAACAAATCTGAGATCGGCTGTTTACACTGGTATCCCTTTCCTCGGCTCGCGAATTATGGATTTGAGCTCTTTCAATCTCCGTCACGACCGCCCTTGATGGACCGCGGAGACGCCAAGTAAGAGTGAAGATTGAAAACGATGACCGAAGTCTCCGTATCACAATCTACACCCTGCCCCTTTCCATCGAATTTCAAGCGGTCTTGGCACCCCAATCAAGTTCAGTCAGTTGTGCTGAGGTCTAGTTTCCCCCCTTCGTATTACTTTCCAAAGCAGAGGTGTTCTTCGTAAACCGCCTGGATTGAACAATTTCTCCGCCACAACGAGCTCGTGTTTCACCATGGTGTCGCTCTCGTCCATGAAAGAGGGCTCGAATGGCATTAGTTTTCAAAGAGCTAAACGCACCCCAAAAAAAAGGATTCGAGATCGACGAGCGGAAAAGAAGAAGAGGCAAAGAATATGGGAAGAACGAGTAAGTACGAGGGGGGTTAGGTTGCAAGGGAACGACATTGGGTGTATGTGTGTGTATATGTTGCGAGTGGCTGAGAGGCAGGTACGGTCCTACTCCTCGGGAGCGTACTGCTCCTCCTCGACAGCCTCCTCTTCATCGTCGAGGCCGGCCGTCTCGTACTGCGAGTATTCGGCGACGAGATCCTGCATGTTGGACTCGGCTTCCGAGAACTGTTCCGATCACACCCAAAACCGCACATCAGCTCAGATCGAGAGACAGATTTGGAACACAACGTTCGAGATCATCAATTGACGTACCTCGAGCTCGTCCATGCCTTCGCCGGTGTACCAATGCAAGAAAGCGCGACGCTTGAACATGGCCGACATCTGATCGCCGACGCGCTTGAACAGATCCTGGATCGAGGTGCTGTTGCCGACGAAGGTGACGGCCATCTTGGATTCCTTGGGCGCGACGTCGCAAGCTGCGGTTTGGACGTTGGAAGGGATCCATTCGACGAAGTAGGCCGAGTTCTTCTGTTGGACCGAGAGCATCGAGTCCTCCACTTCGCGCATCGAGACCTTGCCGCGGAAGTAAGCGGCCACGGTCAAGTCTGCACGCGTGTGAGCCTCTGATCAGTTTTCAAGATCTAGGGTCAATCATATCGAGTCCGCAGGCAACTCACAGCGACCGTTGCGAGGGTCCGAAGCGGCCATCATGTTCTTGGCGTCGAACATCTGCTGCGTCAGCTCGGCGACCGAGACGGCGCGGAAGTTCTTGGATCCCGGCGCGGTCAAGGGGGCATAACCGACGAGGAAGAAATGCAATCGAGGGAACGGGACCATGTTGACCGCGAGCTTGCGGAGGTCCGAGTTGAGCTGACCGGGGAAGCGGAGGCAGGTCGTGATACCCGACATGACGACGGAAACGAGGTGGTTCAGGTCGCCATAGGTCGGTACCGATAGCTTGAGCGTGCGGAAGCAAATGTCGTCTTTGAGTTCCATATCCTCTTAGGGCGTCAGTTGTGTGCTGTCACTCCAGAAGGAGTTGATGGCATGACTCACAGAGGGCTTCGTTGTCGATGCAGAATGTCTCGTCAGAATTTTCCACCAATTGATGAACTGTTCGAGCCGTACACAACGGTCAGTAGCATGACCCACAGGTCTAGTGAAGCTTTCAATCTCAGCTTACTGGAAAGAGTGGCATTGTAAGGCTCGACTACAGTGTCCGAGACCTTGGGCGAAGGCACGACAGAGAACGTTGCCATCATCCGATCGGGAAACTCTTCCCTGATCTTGGAGATCAACAGTGTGCCCATACCCGATCCCGTTCCACCTCCCAACGAGTGCGTGATCTGGAAGCCCTGCAAGCAGTCACATCCTTCCGCCTCCTTTCGAACGACGTCCATGACTTGGTCGACGAGTTCGGCACCCTCGGTGTAGTGACCTTTGGCCCAGTTGTTTCCCGCCGAGGATTGCCCAAACACAAAGTTGTCGGGTCGGAACAAGTTTCCGAGAGGGGACGCCTTGATGACGTCCATGGTACCAGGCTCCAAGTCGACGAGGACCGCACGGGGCACGTATTTTTGCGCGCCGGCCTTGCGAGCGTACACCAGTGCGTTGTTAGTCGTTTACGCTTTGTACCATAATTTGGGGGAGAACGGTGACCGACCTCGTTGAAGTAGACATTGATCCTCTCGAGCTGAAGATCCGACGTGCCGTTGTATCTGCGAAATAGATTGTGAGTGAGAAGCGCCAAGGGCGTCAGCAGCCACAGCTTCCCGAGATGGAGGCGCAATTGGGACTGACTGTCCCGTCGAGTCAATGCCTGTGCCCATACAAGGTGAACCATGGTGATATCAGCACTACGCTACTACTTAGTGACACGAGAATCGGAAATAGCTGACCGTGTTCTTCCGAGACGGTCTATGCGCACCACGCCGACGAAAAAAGTGATCAGCAGACAGTTGTGGCAAGAAAGGGCACGCACCCCGGGCCCTGAGACGTACCTCCCAGAAATTGGCACCACTGCGTACAAAATAGTCAAGATTGGTCTGGTCAGCACTTTGCTCTGGGAGGAAGCTGTACGCATGGCGGAACGAGGCCGCTGGTCGCAGGAATTCGACTGCCGATCGAGATTCCTCGGCCATCTTCGCGCTGGGCAATGCGCAGACATTTCACCGAGCGGATCGCAGATGTCACGACTTGCATTTGGTTACCGCATTGACCGGTCTGTTAATTGAGCGCGGAAGGTAGACCCAGATGTTAGTCATGACCCTTTTTGTTGCCGCCGACGCCCATAAGGCGGCTCCGTGCACGGCGGATCGCCGAGCCGGGATGAGCGAACGCGTCCTTGTCGCCGAGTAGGAACACGTACTTGAAGGTGGACGATTTCTCTGTGGGTGAAGAGGCGAGGAGGAACGAGGAAAAGGCCATATCAGCGAAGGGGTCGACTTGCGGAGCTCGACGCACGACTGAGCGAGGGCCCATGACGTGGAGTCGAGGCGCGCACTGGATCGCAGTCGGCTATGACACGTGCACTGACCTCATTTTGCTTAGTGAACGCTGGGCGCGGTGAAGTCAAATTGAGCCAGGAAAGGGGGAGAGAATGCAAGGAATGGGTCAACACTGGCAATGAGCCGTAACGCGCAAAAAGTGGGGGAGGAGCTGAGCAGCGGTTGCGGTCGTCGCAGCCAACATCAAATAGCGGCGCGCAGGGCGGTCGGGCGAATCGCGGCGGTGTTCGAGTCGAGTTCAACGTGCCAACTACTGTCAGAGCCTCAGAGGCACGCGTCTACCCGAGTCGCCCTCGTAGCTCGACGCGATCCAACGCGCAGAATCTCCACCGAGTTCTTATGATACTGCTGGTTTCCATCAATAGGGTCACTCACTGCTGAAGCCTGGGCGATGGGGTAGTTGCGAGACGGGCGACGACGTGAGCTGAGCCCAAAAACACGCGAGACTCGCACAAAAGCGCGCTAGCCTAAGGCCCGTGCGCGTCAACAGGCGTCAACCTGCGTTAACCGGCATCGGAAGCGGTCGGTTGAAACCTCTTGAGTTTGCCTGGCTTTGCCCGGCCATGGCGTCCCGCGAAGCTGTAGTACAACATCTAACCACATGATACGGAGACAATAAGACCAGAGCCCCTCAAAGCGTTGTCTGAAAATTCTCGGAGGAGCTGCAAAAACCAGCAGCGCCTCCGAGTCCTTACATTGAGGTGCCAAAAGTTGTGGTGTCGTACTACACCAACTGAGGGAATCACCGCCAGTACTCTTCCTTTCCGCCAGTCAGCTTTTGATGGGCTCTTTTGCGTCAATGTGAAAACGTATTTGCGACCATGCCCGAAGCAGGCGTGCCACTCAGACTCCTCCGTGTAAACGGTGCGCAGCGGATTCGGCTTTTTCCGCCGAACGTTCTGCGCTTGCGAACGTGTTCTTTCGCGCCGGTATTCTGTCTCTATACACCGTGCATCGATTCAAAACTCGGGCGACACAGGCAAGCCTTGGAGCTGAGGTCAGCGAGGGACGCCACAAGCGAGTACCGGATGACAGGGGGCATCCATATGCACGGGGCAGAAACGCGAATGGGTCTAGCAGCCCCCAATACGAATGAAAGAAATGGTGTCTGAACTATCCGATACGAGAAATGTGAGTATTCGGATCGGCCATCTGGAGGAGTTTTGCTATGCAAGAAAGACTTGGCCTGGAGCCGTGGCCGTGGAAGAAGACCTACCGCTTGCCCCGGCGGCAGGCGGGGGTGCTGCCAAGGACGGTGTAAAGAGTGTAGTCGATTTTGCCGGTGAAGTTCGTGCGGCTGTAGCAAATTAAGAACGATAGTATCTTGGCAGGGAAGATATTCCTTCGCTAGAGAAGGGGGAGAAAAGATGGACGCAGACACTTGTCAGTCGTTTGTTCGCTTGACTGGACGAGAGTGTTCAGTAGCAAGCATATGCAGAATAGTTAGAGGTCACCATCGTTACTACGGTATGTCGACCGTTGTACCTGAACGAGGCAACAGTTGACAGGAGCTCGCAGGTAAGGATATACAGGTGAGCCAAGCGCCGAACGCGGTGAATGTGGCATTCGCAAAAGGGAGCACAGTACACTTACGCGGGATGGATTGACGACACCGTACGAGCACGTCAAGGGAATCGATCTAGTGCACGTCGAAACATTCTTGTTGAGCGAGGCGCAAGAGACGCAACTGTGGTCTATTATGAGAAAGCAGAGGGAAAGCCGAGTGTCAATACACACCATTTTCGCGGGTAGTATCACGGCACCCCCTGTACGCGAGCAAGTCAATACCGGGGTTAGAGGGGAAAAAGTGAGTTTTCGTCGAAGCAAGAAGTGGAAACGGCACGCAGAGCGACCTTGGGGGAATGGCTGTGGCTGCGGGGAGGGCGCCGATGGAGGGCCGAGGAGGAACGAAACTTCAGCGGCGACCTCGGTGGTGGGGCAAGTGATGCGCCTATGACGGTCCTCGCGGACAGGGAAGGTTCTAGACTATAGTGAGGACTACAGTTCTAGACAAGGGGGACTGCGAGGGGTCTCGGATAGGTATGGTTGGGCCGAAGCAACTGAAGGCCAAGGATAGGGGGTGGATGAGGTGAGGTGAGGTGAGGTGCCGAGATGAGACTGGGTGAGGATTTAAGAGGAAAGGTTTTTAGGCGAGGGAGATTGAGAGTGAGAATGGGAGTTGCTGCTTGCAGGAAGGAAAGAAGCAACTTCAGAGAGGACCACTATTAAATTCTGGAAAGGCTAAAAGAGTATTCGAAGGTATTTTGTGGTCCGATTGGTAAGCAAATAAATAAAAGGGGTTCGTACAATAATCCAGTATCGAGGGTGGTCACGTGAACACTCGCCCAGCGAGCAACTAGTCAGGCACGCGCGCTAAAGGTCCGTGCTCAAGGAACGGCTCGTAACAGAGCTACGTCAACTCGTGCCCCACTCCTGGAAGGACCCCGAATTCGCCTCCAAGACTCCACCATCCATGATTTCAACTCCGACTTCCGTTTCAATTAATGACAACATCGCACAGTGCAACTCAAAAAGGCAGGATCTAATGCTGTCTCAGCAGATGCCGGGGACCGCACTGAGGAGCGGCCTCACACGGCGGTGCGGCTGCTGCCCACGCGCCCACCTCCGGAAGCCAGCCCGGAGACTCGACTCCGAGCTCAACTTCAAAAGCGCGAAGTAAACGGAAGCACTGAATCGCTCCCGAAAGGGCTGGCAGTCTATACCTAGGTTATATACATCAAATGAAAGGTGAATCTATCCAACATTGGTGCATCTCGCCTCTTTCCTTTCGACGTTCGTTCGCGTCGCCAACTACTACAGTAATTTTACCCCGCGTCTTCTCAGCTTGCGGTTTCCTTGTTCTGTTGTGAGATGTTTTCCTTTCATTCTTGCTCCTTGCTCGCTACTCTCTATATCTTTGGTTGTATTTTTCTCCGCAAAGGCAGCTAGCTGCCTGGCCTCACATGTTCCTTGCTCAGTAGTACGGGAGATCTTCGGATGTATGCAGGATGGGCGTGCCGGCTCGGGCGCTAAAAATCGGCGATTAAGAATCGCACGCGGCGGCCGATCGATCGCTAGCTTTCTCCGACTCCGCCTCGTCCGTTCGCTTCTCTGCACGCAACCTCTACACGTACCCTTTCCAGGACACACCTTACCTTGCACCTCGTATCTTGATACGAGCTCACGTCAAGCTGGATACCCTGCAAGGACGCATCGACACCCTCGGTTCCTCTGATCGGCCCCCCTCCGAGTCGGCCGCGGCGACATCCACCTCGTCGTCGGTGTCGGTCGCGCCTCGCCACAACTCGGCAACGGTCGCCGGCCATGTCGCAGTTGTACCCGCCCGGGACCCGGTAGCGGACAAAACTCGCACCCGAGTGCAATTAGTTGCAGCACTGCTAGGTATGTACCGCCTTCATGGGCCCTTGATCACCACGACCTTTGCTCTGTGGCTGATGGGAGGCTCCCCCCGCCTTCCCGGGTCGCGCGCGAACATCCAACCGTGTTGTGCGCAACAGACTACGATCAGCCCGATCTGAAACTCGGAGCGCGTGATCCGACGAGCAAGGCACAACAGTCCGCCCTCCTCGAGCCGTTCCGGCACTTGATGCTCCCTCCTCCACCTTCTCCAGCTCCCTCGGTCGATGTAGCACCCCCTGCAGCCTACACCGACGACGGCGCACACGCCGCGACCCCGGGTTCGGTGCCCGTGCTCGGCGTTCGCGACGAGGTCGAGGAGCGTCCGTCCGATTCAACGTCGCAACGACTGTCGGACAATTTCAGGAGCTTCACACTTTCCGACCGAACCAACAGGGAGGGAGGGCCAGAGCTCGACGATGAGGCTGTATCGCGTCTCAACGAAGAATGGGGACTCGACGACGTCTTTTCGCGCATCAGCTCGGGCGAGTTCTCCATCGTGCCTACCGTCGTGCCGCTTCCACCGACGATCCACACAGGCGCTCCGCTCCCTTTTCCGAAATCACCGCAGGTCGCTTCATGGCTGACGAAAGATGTGGACGAGACGCGCTCAATGCCGGATCTCGACCAGCTGGACTCGCCCTTGCCGGATCCCTCGACGAGCAAGTTCCGCATCCTCGAACGCAAGCCTGGCGATGGCTCGGAAACGGCTCGGCCGAGAACGCAGAGTCTGGGCGTATCGGTGAGGGCGTCGCTGGGATCATTATCTTTGCCGACTCTCGAAAATGTGCAGACCAGCACCTCCTCGAGTGGACTCGTCAGCTCTCGCCTCCTCTCGGACCTGTGCGACGGGCGACTGTCGAACTTTTCGCTCGCCAAGCACTCGGAACAGGTCGCCAACCCTCGCCGCATATCTTCGTTGCCCGGTGCCGTCACTGTTGGTGCGAGCTCTTCTTCAGGTGATCGTCTCTCGCGACTCGGCCATGCTACCCAATCTGCGGGGTCGTCCGACGCCGCACCCGCCGACGCGGGCTCGCCCGCTTCGATGACTTCGTCGTTTGCTCAACTCGAGCGCGAAGTCATGGGCGATTACCCTGCGGGACCGATCCTCGTCTCGTTGGGTACCACTGACGCTGTACCCGCCGGAGCCAGAACCTTCACGTCCCGCTTCGATCCGGCCTACATCGAAGCGCAGCGCTTGGAGGCCGAACAGTACCGACCCCAGTTTGCCAACAAGCTCGCCGGGGAGCCGCCTAAAGTCGTACTCATGCCCGCCCCTCTGGCCGGTCAGCCGCTCGCGATGCTGCTGGCCCCACCTCGCGCTGAAGGACCCGATGCACCTGAAGAGATCGAGGACGAGCCAGTACCCCGGGAGAGGATTGAAAGGCCAGCAGGGGCACTCTACGGGAGGTCTTTGATGGACGTCATGGAGGACAAGAAGCGCACGCAAAAGTCCAAGACCAAAAGCTACGTTCCCGGTGCGGACGGGCGACGCGCGATGATGGATTGGCGAGGTACGATCGCTGGACAAGAGATGATCGCCAAGCAGCAGCGTCTCAGCCTACTCGAAGGGGTCGATCAAACAGCAAGCTTGAAGCAAGCGCGCAAGTCCATGTTCGGGAGGGACCTCTTGTACGAGCGCGACATGGAGCTCATCCGAGCCGAGAAGGCCGCCGAGGAGGCCGAGCGGCTCGAAGCCGAGCGCGAGGAACAGGAGGCTTGGGAGAAGTTTAGGATCAGAGAGGAGGAGAAGCAGCGAATGCAAAACGAAAAGCTTGCGCTCATCAAACAACAAGAAGAAGAGGTCGTGCTCGAGGCCGAGGACATGACGGCCCTGGCGCAGAAGCCGCGCAGTCCAACCTCGGAGACGCACGAAGTGCTCGGTAAGGAGCCCCGGGACCTGAGATTACAGAGCTGGTGTTTCTGCTGACCGAGATGTTTGCCCTCTCCTCCCCGGTGGGGGAATCTTGAATAGTGCCATCCCCGGTCTCAGCCTCGACCGTTGTGAGCTCGTCCCGTACCCTCGCCCCTCCGATCGACTTTCTCGGCCTCGGGACGACGACCGCGTGCGCAACCTTGTCCATCAACGATTGGCTCCCGCCGACGATGGTTCCTTCGTCGCCCGCGTCATCTGCCGCCTCTTCAAGGTCGTCTCACGACTCTCGTCGTGGATATACCTCGTCGTCGGCGCAGGCGCTCGATTGGCGGAACGCGATCATGCAGGGTACGATGTCCCCGTTCCAAGCGGCTGCAGCGACACGGAGTCTTGACCTGCGCCAAGGTGCCAACGCCGACGACGATCGGCCGATGGGAGAACGGCTTTCGTCGCAGCCTGGCATGCAACCGCCCGCATGGACCCTCGATTTTGGCGAAGCAGGTGACGACGGTGATGACGAACTAATCGACGAGGACGAGTATTTCGACTACGAGGACGACGAAATCGATTATTCTGAGGAGGAAGGATACGAATTCAGGGTCGGCCAAGGTAGAAAGAGTGTGAACCGACCGCCGAGTATCGAAGACAACATCGACGTTTCGGACACGTCGTCTCGGGCTGGTAGCGACGACGAACCCTTGGCGCTGCGGGTCAACGCGCAGGTCGAAGACGAGGACGTGCCTCTCGGCCTCAAGGCAGCGGCCAACGTCCGCCCTTCACAAGTAGGAGAGGAGGAGGAGGACGATATCCCGCTCGCTCTGACCGCACCCGCGATGCAGATGCGCGATCAGGCTGCGTACGAGCGGGAGCAGCATCGCGTGAACGCGGCGCGGGCGCAATCGCAAATGTACCTCCATGCGCAAGCGCGACAATCGGCGGCGTACTTTGCGATGCACCAACAGCTCGAGGCGGCAGGCGAAGGGATGGAAATTCCCGGGTTCGGTGGGACGTCGACGTCGGTCGATCGGTGGAGGCAAAGTGTGGAGAATTGATCGCTTGAAGTGTTGGGTTGGGGTTCACTTTTCCAACGGGGATTCTCGTCAAGAATGATAATCACGGGCAAGGAGTATTTAAGTAGTAATGTCATTCAGTTTCCGCATTTGCTTTGTAACACGAATCGCAGCTGGTCTGTCGTCTGATACCCATAACGGTGTCCAATTCTGGGGCGGGGGCCGGCGAGCGAGGGGTAACCCCTATCGGCGCTACTTTCGAGTAACGACAAAGCTTCGCGGCGCAGGGCGAGATGAGTTCCGAGCAGTACAAAGGGTGCGCCCGAAACCTCGTGTCCAGGCTGCGCGCCGGACTGGCCTATCTTTCGACCATGTGGTGGCTTCCAATCTTGGGCGCGCTCCCCGGGTTTTCCCACGCCGAAGTCGGCCTTCACCAGCCTTCACCAGCCTCACCTAGACTCACCTCGCGCCATCGTCGCCGCGCCTCGTTTCTTGCTCTCGCCATCGGTCTGCTCTCCTCTTTCCACCCAGCCCATCTTTCGAAAGCGATGCGGATAACGAACCTGGCCCTGCTCGCGACGTTGTCGTTGTCGCCGTCGTTGATCGAGGCCAAGGGGCCGATCGGCCTCGTGTTGGACGGGTTCGAACTCGTTGGCAACACCAGTCGAGGCGCGATCAAGGGCGTGCTCACCGGCGTCTTTGGGATCAACGCCACCGCCGTCGACAAGGTCTTCACCAACGAAAAGAAAGGCTTACCCGAGCATCCGTATGCGTGTGAGTAAATGAAGCATGTCGGAAAGCGACGAGCGAGACCGACCACCTACTGATGGACGAGATCCGCGTGGCCTTTCTGCTCCCTCGACACCTCATACCTCCGACGCTCTCCATCCGGCACGTCTCTTCAATTGCCAGTGGACCTCACGGACGAGAACTATGACACCGTCTTCTCCACGGGCACTTACACCCCCTATTCGCGGGACCTGCCCGAGGACACCGTCTGGGTCGTCCACGTCCACGGCCCCGATCCGTGAGTCCCCTCGCTATGGACTTGAACCACTCATTGCATTCTCTACGACTGACGACTCGGAGGGAACGCCTGTACAGTATCTCGCGCAAGTTGGGCGAGGCTTTCGACCAGGTCGCGCTCGTCAACTCGTCCCAAGCCGACGGCGAATTGCCCAGCAATATGAGGTTCGCCCGACTGGACTACAACGAGGAGACGTTCTTGACGACCTTGTGGTGGATGTGGAAGTGAGTGAGGATTCTTGTGTTCCGGGCGTGCTTCGGCGAGGGTGGGGGCGGGGGTGAGGCGACGTCGATAAGTCGCGATGGTACGAGACTGACACCCGCTTGGTTCGGGTGATGGCCATCGCAGACCTCCTGTCGTCGTCATCTTCAACCTCAATGAGACGACGCACCAGATCGACTACCGTTTCTTCACCAGTCGCATGTTGATCCCGCACGCCGTGCCCCTGTCGAACCTGTTGAACAACCGAACGACGTGGGAAACAGTTCCGACCTGGAACGGTCTCCTTTCGCCCCATGGGCTCTTGTACGTGGTTTCAAACTCCGAGCCGCAAGATAGCTTCGCTAACGCTCCCAGTGATCTCTTGTTGAAACGCTAGGGGCCCTGTCGTACCGCACGTCGCACGAGGATGGACCTACTACCACCACACCGTGCGCCGTGTGCCCAACTTTATCCTGCTCATGATCTCGGGCTTTGTGATGAACTTTGTCGTCGGCTGGTTCCATCAACAACCGCCGCCGACGCCAGGTGGCGCACCGGCGGCTGCTGCTGCTTCGCCCGTCGCGGCCGCGGAGGAGAAGAAGGGGTGAGTTTTGTTCGTGTTATGCTTTGGAGGTGCGGGGGCCAAGGACTGGACTCATCGTACTCGCTCTATATAGTGCAAAGAAGGACGAGGGCAAGGCCATCAAAGCCTCGACGACCAAAGCCTCGCCGGCGACCAAACGAAAACCTTGAGCTGGGGTCAGCCAATGAAAAGGAACGGAATGGGTGGGATGTGTTTGCGAGCCCGTAAAAACAGGTGGTCTTGGGGTAATGTGAACCTTTACTTGTCTGTAGATTGAGAGCAGGCTCGGGGATGCTATCGAGTTTTGAATCGTAGCGACGTTCGCCCCGAGTGCGTCAGACATGACGAGCAAAGCACCGATCTCTGCATGTCTAGCTTGCGTTTGAAAAAGTTTAAATAGGGTTACGCTCTTGATGGTTAGAATTGCTGGTGGTCATATCACGGGGCGATTTTACGCTGTTGACTGCCAGTGAGCGGATGCTCGGAGGAGGAGGCTACGCACAGGCGCGCGCGGTTGGTTCCGAACCGATCACTCGCCGCGTGCTGGACCGACGAGCTCGCGTTCGCTTGCACAGCTCGATACGATGCAGTGGGTAGCCAAGGTGCGTTTGACGTCGGCTGTTCTGTTCTGCTCTGCGATGGGGTGTGATGGGCCGTTCGCGACGAGTGGTGTGCGTGTTCGCGTGGCCGTCGTGGCGGGTTGACCGTGATCGAGTGCCATCATCAGCTGACACTTTGCACACTCACCGGCGCGCCGCCGATGGCCACCCCCACGACCCCCTCCACCCCGATCTCGTCCCCGCCGTCATCGTCATCGTCGCCGTCGCTCTCGCCCTCGCCTCATCCCGTACACCTCGCCCCCACCAGGCGGTGCAATACTACAAGGACATCAACCCGGCCACGTTGACGGGTGCGATCGATGTGATCGTCGTCGAACGGCCGAGCGAGGACGGCGCCGGGACCGAGTTGGCTTGTTCGCCGTTCCACGTCCGGTTCGGCAAGTTGTCCGTGCTGCGACCGATCGACAAAAAGGTCCGTTCTTCCGTCCGCGGGGGGAAATAAAGATTCTCGAGCGGTCGATGCTGATGCGGTGTGTATCTCTCCCTGCACCTTGCCTCCGCACGTGCTCCTCGTCTGGGCCGGCACGCCTTCCCCCCCACAAACACCGTCGATCCACGTCCCATCCGCACGTGCGACACCTGACCTCGACGGGCCTAAAACAGGTCCGCATCACCGTCAACGATCAAGAGATCCCCTTTTACATGAAAGTCGGCGAAACGGGCGAGGCCTTCTTCGTGTTCGAGACCGATGCCGACGTACCCGAGAACCTACAGACGTCTCCCATCGCCGCGCCGATCCAGGATGATGAGCTGCAGGAAGGCGACCACGCGCCAGGCGTGAGTCGCGGTGTTGCCGAGACCACAATTTTATGTTTTTGAAAGGCAATGTTGACCTTGTTCTGTAAAACCCCCCATCAACACCAGGAACCTGAATACCTCGACTTGAACGCGCCCTCGGGAGAGGAAACTCAACGTGGGTCTCTCTAAACGGATGATCTCGCCCGCCCATAGCGATGGACCAAATGACCGAGACCTAATCCCACTTTTCAAAACCTTTACCGCAGCCGGGACAGAATTTTCTTCGCCGACGTCTTCCGTTCACGCTTCCATGACCCAGACCCAGGTCAACTCGCCGACGATGACGCTCAAACCGTTACCACCGGTTTCCCCATCGTTGCACACCGCGTCGAGGCATGACTATAACGCAAGCTCTCGTGCACATCGAGGAGCTTCCAGGGTTGCCAAAGACATGGATGGAGAGGAAGCAGAGGACCCGGGACAGGAGGAAGAAGGGATGGACAACGACGACGAAGCCGAGGCTGAAGAAGCCGACGAGGTCGATCTCGCTGCCGACGCCAGAGCAAAGCCAAAGAAGAAGGAGCGCTTCACCGACTCGGACCACCACGAAACGGCCAAAGCCAAATCGGCATCTTACGTTCCCGCCGTGGTCCAACACGCCGTTGAAAAAGTCGCGGGCATCGGTGGGATCGCCCTGACCGGCGTCGCGGGGGGCAAGAAACTCAAGGATGCGGTCAAGAACGATGGCAGATCCAGCGGGCAAGGACTCAGCCGTGGCCAAGCGTCCGAAGATCTCGAAGGCGGGCTGCGAGGCGAGAACGAGTCGGGCCAATTGACGGAACTAGAAAAAGAAATGAAGCAGGATCTTGAAGGGGCAAATGTGATTGCCGAATCCGAGCCAGGGGACGACGTCGCCGATGCGGCGCGACGACACGATAGCGACGTCAGGGAGTTGCTGGGAGGGCGGTCAGGGACCGGGCGCGCGAGGTCGGTGCTCGGTAAGACGACGCAAGAATACTCGTTGAAGAAGAGCGAGACGGGCGAGGCTGAAGTCGACGTCGATGGTCTCAGGGACCACTCTGGCACGGGGCCGCACCCTGAGCGGGCGGGCGGTACGTTCTTTGACACCGACGGGTGGACTGACCGACACCCAATAACTTGTTACTTAACGCCTCGTGCGCGCCCCTCTGTTCTTCCGCAGACCTCATGCTCGACATGTCCGGGTATAAACTTGATGATGCTTCGACCATCAATGCGAGTGACTCCGTCGCCGAAGGTGAGACAAGCGACGGCGAACCGAGGGAAGATGTTATCAACGCCCTCGATGAGAAGGCACAAGAAGAGATGGTCGCCTTCACGCAGTCACTGCTGCAGTCGACGGACCCAAAGACCTTGCGCAACTTCTTTGACCCCTCGGACGACCAATCCTCGCGCGCCGCTTCTCCCGAGCCGTCCGACGAGAACGAGACGACCGCTCCTTCGTCGCCCGATTTCAAGGCACGCCATATCCGATCCTACTCCCGAGCCAGTTCGCCGGTACCGAGCTCGTCCATGTCGATTTCGTCGTTACAGTCCCTCGCCGCCGACTCGGCCGACAGCGACGCCGCGTCGCTGACGCAGGCGAGCCCGCGCCAGTTCACGCTCAAGGTTGGGTCCAAGGTCCACGTCTTTGAGCTGTCTTTGTGCGGGACCGAGGCGTTTGGGCAGGATCGTGCCGCCGACGAGCACGCCTTTGCCGAGCATCAAGTGACTTTCACGCAGTTCATGGAACATGAGTCGGTTGCGGACCATTCGGACCTCGTAGTCAAGTACGGTGGTCGCTATCTGACCTGGAGCAACGCGAGTCCGGTCCTGGCCTCACTCGCCGTGTACCGCAAGTCCCTCGTCGACCACCCCGAGCACCACCCGAGTCTCGAGTCGGGCGCCAAGTCGGGTCGTCGAGGTTGGAGTTCTTGGTGGCGGGGATCGCGGGATCGATCAACGACGTCATTGCCGGTCAAGGAATCACCCGATGGAGCGCCGACGAGCCCTCCCATCAGCCCACCCGATTCTCCCAGATCGCTCCCCGCTCGTCTCGACTCACCTACACCCTCGAGCCCGGCTCTCTCTGCCAGTGGCGATAATGCCACGTCCGCTCCGGGCCCAGTCACTGGTCCAGAGGGCGGCAACAATAGCGGCAAACACTACGCCAAGACGCTGCGCCTCACCTCCGAGCAGCTCAAGGAGTTGGGGTTGAAGAAGGGGATGAACGAAATCTCGTTCTCGGTGCGCTCGAGCTATTCGGGCTACGCGACGTGTAGCTCGAGGGTGTTTTTGTGGGACTCGGATCATTCGGTCGTCATTTCCGATATCGACGGCACAATCACAAAGTGAGTTCGACATCATTGCCATCGTCGTCGTATTGAGATGCGGTACTGACAGCTACCATTGACAGATCCGATGCGCTGGGACACGTTTTCACCATGATTGGCCGCGACTGGACGCATTTGGGTGTTGCGAAGCTGTACACCGATATCGCACGCAACGGGTACAAGATGATGTACTTGACGTCACGAGCGATCGGTCAGGCCGACACGACGCGCGAGTACCTCAAGGGGATCGCGCAAAACAACTTCAAGCTCCCCGACGGCCCCGTGATCATGTCCCCCGATCGCCTCATGACGTCGCTGCACCGCGAGGTCGTCTTACGCAAGCCCGAGGTGTTCAAGATGGCGTGCCTGAGGGACATTCAGCGGTTGTTTCACGAGCGGTCACCGTTCTACGCTGGGTTCGGGAACCGCATCACGGACGCGCTGTCGTATCGATCCGTTGATGTACCGTCGTCGCGTATCTTTACGATCGATTCGAACGGCGAGGTCAAGATGGAGCTGCTCGAGCTCGCAGGTTACAAGTCTTCGTGAGTATGACTCGTCCCTGTGAGAGAGACTCCAAAATCAAAGCCTGATGTCGGACCGAGCCTCACCTCCACAGCTACATTCACATGACCGATCTGGTCGACCAAATGTTCCCTCCGATCAATCGCAAGACCCAACCCGACTTCACCGACTTCAACTACTGGCGAACGCCGATGGCGACGATCGACTTGCCAGACCTATCGCCACCTTCTCCTGCCCTTTCAGCGCGTTCGGGTGATTCGAGTCGACTCGCCTTCCCGAGGTTGGGATCGATCGCTTCTTCGCTGTCCCGGAGGTCATCCCGACCGACCTTGACAACGGACGGTGCGACGACCCCTAACGGAACGAACCGATCCGTTCGTTCAGGAACGCCGAGCTCGCCGCTCTTGCAAGCGACCTTGGTCGAGGAGCCGTTCAACCTCAATGGCGAATACGTCGGCGACGACGACGATGGACAGAGGAGCGAATCCGAGTCGATGCCCGGTTCGTTGCCGAACGATGGTGACTTTGAGAGGTTACGCAGGGAAGCTTTGCGCTTGGCCGAGCAGAAGAACGGAACGAGGACACCGGCCGAAGCTTACAAGGAAAAGGTGAAGGGGTCATCGCGAGGAGCAGAACGGGACGATGATGAAGAAGAGGAAGAGGAAGAAGAGGAGTCCGAGGAAGACGACGATGATGAGGGCGAGCAGGGTGACTTTGACGATCAGTTGGACTTTTCAAGCGTACCTGTGAGTGCCCGTGGTCTCAGCTATGTCCGATCTGCTTCCCAGAACCTGACAGGCGGACTCCCTATTGCAGTATCTGTGATGTGAACCAATTCACACGCAGGTTTGAGGATTCAGATCATTTGGGGGAAAATGTGTACCCCGTGTTGTAGTTTTGCAAAAAAGTGATATCTCCCGAAGAGGCTGTGGACGAAAGGTACAAAGTTTGACTATTCTAGGAGGAAGGAGGGTGCCGACGCCTCGGCACAGCTGGATATACACATCTTCCCAAGTAGGTCTACATTTCACTTCTTATCCTCTCCCTCCTTCTTTTCGTGCGCACTCGCTCCTTGGCCCCATTTCCCCGCTGCTTTGCCCCAGTCCTGTGCCGACAAGCAAGTGCGGTGTGCGTGAGCTTCAAACTGCCGCTCTTAGAGACCACTACGAGATAATCATAACCTATCTGGTAATGACCACGACGTACCTCTCGGACCCCCCATACGTGCACATCCTTGAAAACCGGAGGCGGCACCTCCCGCCTGGTATCTTCGATGTTAAGGATGTCGTACTTTGTCCCCTTGGCCGTGGTGCGTTCGACCTCGACGGTCGGATGTTTCGGCAAACCCTCGGGATGTCTTACCCTCAATTGACTCGGCGAAATGGCCCCGCTCAACGTCGATTCATCAGCCTCGATCTCTTCCTTGGCTCCAAGGACATGTCTCGCATCTCGTCCCATTCTCCGGACCCCCTCGACGGAACTCTCGATCTGACCGGGCCTTTCCCATGTTCGGAACCTTGGGTCCAGAGGCGCATGCTGAGCCGTGACGAGGTATTCGGTCGACGACATCTCATGGACGCGCGACACGGCCCGCTTGAAGGCGAACCTTTCTTCCTCGCCCGTAAAAATAGCCAAATTGCGGAACGAGGGCGGCGAAGCGGTAGGATGCGGTTCCTCTTTCGTCTCCGAAGACCGTTGCCGATGTTGCTTCGCCTCGGCAGCGGCATCCCGCTGGTGTTCGATCCGGGCCTCGTCCTGTTCGTACATCGTCTGCCCCTTGGACTCGTCGTAAGACGAAACGTTGGGCCGGTAAGGCGCTTCGAGGTCCTGAATGACATCCCCGATCATCTCTTGCGTCAAAGAATCGCCAATCTCGGCCGCGGCGTCCATCCCTCGGGACGATGAAGGGTCCGAGATCGTCCCGTCGGCCTCGTAGATGCGTTCCGAGGAGAAGGGGTGGTTCGAGCCGCTCGACGTCGTGATGTCATCAGGGGAAGGTTGGGTGTACTCGCTCTGCGGCGCTGATCCCGATTCATCGTCGTTGGCGATGGCGCGTAGAGCATCGGGGAAGAAAAGGTCGTCAACTTGGGCGGAGGCAAAGGCCAATAGGCGCGTCTTGCTTTCGTAGAGCGCATCCAACAAGGTGATCAATCTTCTCGCTTCGTTCTTTTGACTCAACAAGAGCACCGGAACGTCGGTCAGGATGAGGGTATGGAATTGACTCCCGAGCGAGATAAAGTCCGCCGGTCCAAGCGCCTTTTCGCACAGTTCGGAAAAGGAGAACCTAGCGACGCCACCGACGGCCCAGGGAATGACGACGTTGCGGCCATATACCTTCATGCTCGTCGGTTTCCCTTCGTTATTACCGACGATTCGCTCGACCGCATCTTGGAACTCTGCCTCCTGGCCCTTGACGAACCATCCCTTAGCGGCGCTACCCCATCGTTGCCATGCTTCGACTTGTCCAAAGTCTCCTGGTTCGCGATCGTTCGTCCCATCCAACGCATCCTTGCCATGCTGCTCACGGCGATAGTCCGTCGCGGATCGGAGCTCGAGTACAGGTGACCGTGCGGCAAGAGCGAGGAGGAACGGACTGAGCGATTCCTTTTGTACGCCCGAGTTGTAGAGATCTAATCTCGTGGGTGAGCACGCGCGGGTCAGCCGAATCAGTGTGATCGTTCTGGCTACGACCCCCCGTAGAACACTACACTCACCCTGCGGTAGTCGATTCGATGTCCCCACGACCACCCCACCCAGTCTCCAGTACCAACTGATGACTCTGTTGAGTAAGCCCGCACCCGCGATATCGACTAGTTGCACCTCGTCAAAGGCGAGCAGCCACCCATAGGTCTTGATGAGATCCCTCGCGACACCTGCGAGGACGAATTCCCTCGTGTTGAGATCGTGGTCTTTGGGACTCCTCCCTCCGGCGAACACGGCTCTCCAGCCTTTCGAAAGTGCCAAGGCCTTCATCTCCTCTCTCCTGGACCAAGGGTAGCCCGCCGTGCCGTCGCCTTGATCTGCGAGCTCATTCATCCTCCTCTCCTCGAGTTCGAACTCGACCCTCTGCTTCTCCAACGCCTGGTGCACGGCCGAGTAGATGAACAGGAGGAACGAGTGGTAATGAAAGCGGACCTTGTGGGGAACAGGAAGCGAGGCGAAGAAGAGGTCCACCAGGAAAGATTTGCCCGTCCCCGGTGGACCGGTGAGGAGAAAACCTTTCGGGGTGTCGAGGCCTTCGAGCCCCTGGTCATCCTTGAGGACCTTGACAAGCGCGGTCGACTTTTCTTTCTCCGACATGGAGAGGAGAGATGATCGTTCGGCTTCTTCGTCCTCTGAGAGCTCGATCCCTCGGGACGAGAGCGGCGAGCGACGGAAGGGCCACTCGGGGATTTGGAAGGCCAGCGGGTCGTTCGTCGGACGTAACGACTCGAGCAAGGTCAACAACCGCACGGGCGGTGAGTAGTCCAGTAGTTCTTCAGTTAGTTTGCGCATCTATTGAAGTTCGGTGAGGGTGTAAGTGTGGAGTCAAGGTTTGTTGAAGGCGCAAACAAGCCATAGCAACGCCTCGGGATCCTGAGCACCACATAAGAGGCGCGCATCTCTCTGAGACAGGCACCCCCGTCTCGTGTACGCACCTGCACAAGCGCTCTGATCTGTTCAGGATCTGACTTGACGGTCCCATTCGCGACCATCCCGTGGTACAACAGCAGAGGATCCGTCACTTGAATCGATGTTTCCGCTGCGGCAGCGGCAGCGCTCGATGAGAACCGCGACGACGACGACGATGACGTTGATCTGGGCATCGACGGCGACGACGAGTATGGAGCTACGGTTCTGACATACGAGCGCCATGCGACTTGGGCACATCGGATCCGGGGTGTTGCCCGTCGCATAGAGAGGCTCAGCATGGTGAGAGTCAGAGCAGGCTCGAGCCCGCGTGATTTGATCGGTCTGGTGGGTGGAAGTTTCGAGCGGGAGGCAAGAGATGATGAGCACGGAGCACGGCGCAGAAGACGTCCCTCTGCGATCGGCCGCGCGGTTGGCTCCGGCCCGGCAAAGGTCACGTGCTCATGGGCGTTCGCGAATTCGTTCCCCAGCTCGATTAGTCCTCGAGAACTCCCAGGCCTTGAGTCACGAGTGTTTGGGTCAAGTTATGATTTCACTGACTAATAACTATCACTTTTATCAACGAGTACAGGTGCATCCTCATCTTCGTCCTCTCCTTCCCGACCCACCCCCAAACCCTCCGTCCTCCCACCGGCCACAGGCGAGAACCCGTCGAGACTGACGACTGAACTCGCCAACGGATGGTTCTCGCCGTGGGCCAGCTTGCCGCCCTCGGCCGCCGTCGTCGTGCGACTGCGCGTCCCGCTCGACTGTCTTGAACGCAGGCGAGGACGATGATGGGGAGCGACGTGATTCGTCGGCAACGGCGACTCGGATCTTGAGTGGGTCACCGATCCATTCGGCGCCGCGCTGGGCAGATCGAGCATGTGGCCCATCCGCTCTATCTTGGTCTTGAGGTATTTGTCCAGCTCGGCGGATCGAGTGACTGAAGCGCCAATCATGCCCACGCCGGCTCGACGAAGGTTGTGCGAAGCGCTCGAGTCGTCCGAGGAGTGGTCCTCATAGTCATCCTCGTCTTCGTCATCGTCATCGTCGACGTGATCTCGATCGTCCAAGTCGTGGCCTTCGTCCTCAGACACGTTTGCCGTCGTAGTGTGCGACTGCGTCGCCGATGCTGCGTCGTACATGTTCTCCGTCGCCAACTGCAAAAGGGCTGAGCCACTCATGATACCACTATGGGACCGATGCCCCGCGCCGCCCTTGGTCCCCTTTCTGTGATGTTTCCTCGTCGTCCTCTTGGTCGGGATCCAACTCCTCGGGACCATAGCGACCCTTTCGACGACCTTGACCCCTTCTTTCTCAATCTGCTGAATCTTGTCCGGGTTATTGGTCATCAACTTGACGCTCCCGACCTGCAAATCCCTCAAGATCGCGCCCGCGATGTCGTACACCCTCTGATCGGCGCCATGACCCAGCATCAGATTCGCGGCCACGGTGTCGTGCCCGAGGTCCTGCAAATTGTACGCGCGCATCTTTTCCAGCAGGCCAATCCCTCGTCCTTCTTGGCGCAGGTAGACGATCACGCCCCGTTGGGCCAGGGTGATGAGCCGGAACGCCTCGTCGAGTTGTTCGCCGCAGTCGCAGCGTTGCGAGCCGATCGTTTCCCCCGTGAAGCACTCGGAATGAATGCGCACCAAAGGCGGGTCGACATCGTCCATCGAATGATGCTGATGACGGTGATTATGAAAATTTACAGAGTGCTGGTGTTGATGATGGTGATGCTGCGCCTCGCGTTCGGATTCCTTCGACGATGGCGAATCGATGAATTCAAAGGTGGGGGAGACCGCTCGAGGCGTCGACGGATTGATCGAAGTCGCCGACAGACGACCCATGTAAGCGCCTCTCACGATCCTCTCCATCTCCGTCTCTCCTTTCCTCCATTCCTGATCCAGCGAAGTGCTTCGGATGAAGGGGGTTTGAGGGGGTCCGAGATCCGTCTCGGGGTGGAGGGCATCCATTTGGGCTTGGTCGGCGACAAACGCGAGGTGCTCCTTCGAATCATGGTTGTTGGTATAGAGGTGGAGGAAGATGTGGCCATGCGGTGTCGGGATTCGGGTTCGGACCTCGCACCGTACTTGGATCGGTGGGAGCACGGGAGAGGCTGTCGAGGCGGACGGGGCCTCGACGGCGATCGAAGACGAGGTCGAGGGCAATGAGGACGAGCCGAGAGCTGCTTCACTCTTGAACGGTGGTGGGGGATGCCTCAACAATTTGATCGTCTCGGGATCGGACATGCTCAATCTTCTCGACTTGGCCCCCAACGGCAACGCTTCTGCTCGGTGTTCTTGCGCCTTCTTGGACTGGGTGGTCGAGCTCACTCCAGCCGCCGCTGCCGAAGCCGCGGTCGCTTTGGCCGCCTGTTCGGCCTTGGCGCGTTCCTCCTCCATCGCCTGTGTCCTCGCAGCCTGTTCCAGCGCCAGACGTATCCTCCTCGGGGCCTGTTGTGATTCCAAGCGAGGTCGGGCGGGGGCCTTGGTGGCTTCGAACCCGATACGCTCGTCATCGCACGAGGCGTAGGCGAGCGTGTGGGGAAAGAACTCGTGCAGGTAGTGGTTGCGAGTTACACTGCGGGTGAGAGATCCAAGTGAACTTGTTAGGGAATGAATGAACGCGCTGAACTTGTCACTGCAGCGCTTACTCTGGTCCAGCAGCCGCAGCGGCCGCGACCAAGAGCGGATCGACGGGTGGCCTCCGATCCTTTTGCCGTGACCGAGTCTTGGCCGACGTCGTCTGCGAAGACGGATTCCCCATCGACTCGTGTTGCGAAAATCCACATCCTGTAGTCGCACACGCTGGGAAGACATCTCGCGCGGTGGTCGTCGTGGTCGACTGGGAGGACGGCTTCGCGTTCTGGAGCGCGCCCTGTCGGATGAGTGAGTGGCCGGTCGGAAGCCCTTGCGGCGAGGTCAAGAGCTGCAGCAGGTCCAGATCGGCTGCCGTGACCGTGTGGTGGGCCATGTTCACACCTGCGCTCAATGCTTCTTGCTACTTTGGGGTCCTCCACGGGTCCAAAGTTCGATGCTCGATGACAGGACTGACCGTAGACAGCGGAAGCGCGTGAACATGTATATGACCGAGCCGCCTGCGTCGAGTGACCCCCGCCACCTCCTGCCACCTCCCGCCACTCCCCCGCCGACCCGCAGCTCAGTCGAAGCCTGTTGCTGACGTGATCGTGCAGTCGTGCCGGGTGCCGGAGCATAACCCCGAAATGGAATGATTTTGCGGTGGTCGTGATCGGAGTGAGCGTGCATTGCCAGGTGTCTACATCTCTCACACACACAAAAATCAGTCTCGGGTCTGCCTAGACGTATACAAAGTCGCAGCGCTTCGGAGCGCAAGCTTCCATCGGAATCGGGATGGACCCTGCAAAATCGCACCCACCCACGAGGGGGTGCAGAGCAAAGGCTGTAGCTTGGCATGCAGGGGCTACCCCCGTAGAGTGTTCGAGCAGCTTGCCATGCACTAGTTATCCCCTAGAGTTCCTATAGTTTGCCGAACCCGACTACCGTACTGAAATTGGAGGTATTGCCGTCGCAGCGCAGGATGAAAGAAGTCGGCGCTCGGAAGCGGGCCCGCCAGTGAGTTAAGAAAGGGGCTCTCGACGACTACCAGGCGAAAATGAGAGGAACGCCGGCGACGAGGTGGACAGCCACGCGCATACAGCTGCAGCCGCCCCGAAGTATGCACAGAAGTATCTCTGCCCGTATCGATGCTGTCGCTGTATGGATGTCAAGCTCTGGCGTGAAGAGTCTCGACCCTCGCTTGAAGAAATCTGCGATCGAGATGACTCATTGCAGTACTAAGTCAAAGACCAAGAAAGCCTTCCCACAAGGGAAGAGCTTCATATACTCTGCTAGAAATTCCAAGTCCGCGGGGATGCATATAGGGAAACTATAGCGCATCAACAGTAGCGTTTCTGGCATAATTCCGTCTTTCTCAATTGTGGTCGCTTCCCGATCCCCCAAGTCGCGAAATTAACAGACCGCTCGTTGTAGTACGTATACATCATAGTCGGGGTGCTGTTGGTCAATATAATAGAATACTTTGAACTAGCTCCAACACAGGTGTGGTACATAGTTATCCAGCCTTTACCGCTATACAGTACTAGCGCACGCTCTTTTGCCTCCCCAAATCGATGGGCAACCCTGAATCAACGTGACCGACGTGAGCTGGGCGCAGTACTTGGTGAGGTCGTGGTTGAGGAAGTGACCCCTCTGTGGGGTAGCGATGTAGGTAAGGCGAGTGGGACAGGAAAAGCTCAAAGAGGGACGAAGATCGGTGCCGCTCGGTACGGGCGTCGGAGCGCCGGGTTCGTTAGTGCCGTCGGCGGTGGATGCTGTGACTGCGCCCAAACCAAGGGAAGATCGGGGGCAGCGGTCACAGCCGCATGCGTAAGGAGGACGGCGTCGGGTTTTTTTCTTCTCCCCGCGATCGGAGCTTGATGTAGCTACCCGAGTTGTTGTATCCGACCAGACGTCGATCTCCAGTCTACAGCCGGGTGCATCGATGATACGGAGACAATGGTCAGTCATACTCGTACGGTCGAAGCCAAGCGAGAACACCGGGGCACTCACCACATCCGACCCTGATCGCCTCAGCCATGATCTTTTTCATTGCACCCCCCTGTCTCCAGTCTCTTGGTGGGTTTGGGAATCTCGGCCTCGTACTTGTCCGGCGTTTCGAGGAAGAACTTGTCCATCGCTTTCAACAGTCGAGGTTTGCCCATTTGCGCGAAGAGTTGTTGCTCCCTCTCCTCCGCCGTGGCGGGACTCTTGAGCGGTGAATGTTTCAAAACATCGTCGAGGTCCGACATGCCTAGTAGGTCTGCGGCCTTGCGTGCACGACTTGTTCGCCCTGGTCGAGTGGTGTCGTGGTTGATAGGCCCGCGCGTCGGCGTCAACGGGGTGCGAGCCGACGAGCTGGGCAGGTGAGTTGGCAGCGATTGGGTGGTGGAGGGCAGTGCTAGGGCTTGCTAGGGTGACACGAGCAGACGTGCCAACCGAGGTGTCACCCTAGCACTGCCCTCCACCACCTGCCCAGCTCGTCGGCTCGCACCCCGTTGACGCCGACGCGCGGGCCTATCAACCACGACACCACTCGACCAGGGCGAACAAGTCGTGCACGCAAGGCCGCAGACCTACTAGGCATGTCGGACCTCGACGATGTTTTGAAACATTCACCGCTCAAGAGTCCCGCCACGGCGGAGGAGAGGGAGCAACAACTCTTCGCGCAAATGGGCAAACCTCGACTGTTGAAAGCGATGGACAAGTTCTTCCTCGAAACGCCGGACAAGTACGAGGCCGAGATTCCCAAACCCACCAAGAGACTGGAGACAGGGGGGTGCAATGAAAAAGATCATGGCTGAGGCGATCAGGGTCGGATGTGGTGAGTGCCCCGGTGTTCTCGCTTGGCTTCGACCGTACGAGTATGACTGACCATTGTCTCCGTATCATCGATGCACCCGGCTGTAGACTGGAGATCGACGTCTGGTCGGATACAACAACTCGGGTAGCTACATCAAGCTCCGATCGCGGGGAGAAGAAAAAAACCCGACGCCGTCCTCCTTACGCATGCGGCTGTGACCGCTGCCCCCGATCTTCCCTTGGTTTGGGCGCAGTCACAGCATCCACCGCCGACGGCACTAACGCACCCAGCTGATCCCTGTGCTCACCTTTGACGACTCCACGTACGGCCAGAGCGAGATCGCTGGTCGTCGTCGTCGTCGTCGTGTCGAGGGGCCGATAACACTGTCGGATGAAGACCACCTCGAGTGCCCAGGGCTCGATAGCATCGAAGCTTTCATCGTCGCCAAAGAAGGTCGGAAGCTTGCGGAAGTCTCCCCCGTAGATGCCGGCGCTAAAACTTAGTCCCTCGGTGTCGGCACGCGACGCGGCGTGCATCTTGCTACGTAGTGCGATGACATCGTCGACGAGGGACTGTTCCGCGCATGCGACGGTCATAGCCTACTCTGCGGCAGCGGCCGGGGTAGGCGAGGTCGACGTGATCGGGGTGCCTCGAGGCCTATGAACCGGACTGTCGAGATCGCAATTACGTCTCAAGATGTCAAAGAGTAGATGGATGTTTGTCCATCGATGTGCACAGCCTTCGAGTGCAGCCTTCTCGATGCGAAGCCTACGACGATGAAGTGCTTGTGTTGACGCCAAAGGGTGAGACTATCTTGGAGGGCATTGACCCTGGACAGACTAGGTCCGTTTCTAGGCTCTTCCAGTGCCGCCAAGTAGTCTCACCCTTTGGCTTCATCGCACGCACTTCATCAGCTTAGGCTTCGCATGGACAGTGCACATCGATTCACAAACATTCAGCTACTCCTTGACATCTTGAGACGCAACTGCGACCTCGACATCTTGAGATGCAACTGCGGCCTCGACAGCCGGTTCATAGGTCTCTAGGTGGCATGGAAGAAGCCCAGCTGAGGGAATTGTGGGGTCCATCCAAGGCGATGTCGCACGAATCAGCGTGTTCTGGCTGTTCAACGCTGACATGTTGACATGTTGATCGGCGCGCCGTCTGTGGCGTATCTGCACCAATCGAGCGCTTCGCCTCGACGAAGACGACGACGCGCCAGAGACGGCCTGGTCCGAGCGCCACTGCGCCATGCCCGAGCCCAATCGACGCGCGTCAACGCCCAGACGACGCGCCGGACACAGTGTGTCGACATGTCAACGCTGAACGTACTGAACAGCCAGAACATGCGTCTGTCACTCACTGCTGATGAATGGGGGAGTGTGGAGTGACGTTTCATCCGGGACCAGACGAGACAACACGGGTCAGAGTTGCGTGAGCAAGACGATGTTGATGATGCAGTGACTGGTCAAAGGGAGAGATGCAGGCCGAATCGCCTCCCGCCGTCGCTGTCCGTCTCGCTCGGTAGTCGCTCGGTCTCGCTCGGTCTCGCTCGGTCGCGCCAGGCTGGGTCGTGCGTCATCGCGTCATCGCTCGGACATGTCTCACTCTCAAGCCCGTGACCAGTCATGCGATCATTCAGCGCTGAAGTCTTTTTAGGCGGGATCGGTTAATCTTTGGCTTTGTTATTAGACGCAGCACTACCGTATGATTCTGCTTCGGTCGAGTGATGGCTGTTTCGAAAACGTTAGTACCGTTTTCGTTATGCCTAGGCTACGCAAAGGAAAGTAATACGCAGGTGAAGCTTGTTTGGATCTCCCGCCGTCCGCCGACATCAGCCGTCGGGGCAATTTTCGTCACGAGCGAGTCGTCAAAGTAAGTAGTATTTGTAAGCAGACAAGCTCGGTCCATGTGACGAGAGATGCTTCATGCATCTATCCGGATTGCGCACACGATTTTTCGTCGCCCTGACAGTTGACATGCATTGCAAGAACCACACCAGCAGAAGCGGACGTCGCAAGAACCGAAACGCGAGCACGAAACAGAGCGCTTTGGAATCCAATTCCGGGGGAGAGGTCCAAGCTCAAGATCTCTCGCAAGCACCACCGATCGCGGTACCGCACGCGCTCAGCTCAGCTCCACCTCGGTACGACCGCCTGTGTCCTTCAACCCACGCCTAGCCTAGCAAAGTGAGTTGTTGCTGAAGGTATGCGGTTGCACAAGCTCCAACTGACAAAACTGCGAATACTGTACCATTCTTTCTGGTAGTCATGGCACCTCACGCTCGTCGCTCGTCATCGTCATCCGCTTCGTCGTCCTCGATGGCGGTCGATGGTGATGCCAAAGCCAGCAAGGGCTCCAAACGCAAGACACAGCACGATGGGAGTGACAGCGATAGTGCAGATGACGGGACAGACACAGAGGTACGCACTCCCCACCTCCTACTACGTACGGCCTTGCGCCAGGCCAGTGGATAACTGACCGACCTTCGCGTCTCTGCGGTGAATACGTTAGATGTTGGACGTGTCGTTCGACTTCTTCGACCCGCAACCTCAGGACTACCACTCGATCAAGCTGCTCTTGACCCAACTGCTATCCCACGACGCACCGCTGATCGACATTGGCTCGATTGCGAATCTCGTACTCGAGCAAAAGCTTGTCGGGTCCACGGTCAAGACCGATGGCAGCGGAGCCGATCCTTACGCCGTCTTGAGCGTGCTCAACCTGAACCTTCACAAAGTGAGTTCTTTGTCACCGCAACCGTGTACTACCTCCTGCAGGTGATTCACCGGCCATGGGTGAGCGAACGAAACTGAACCAAATTGAACATGCCCTCACGTTGCAGTCGGCGCCTTCCATTGCCTCCCTGATCAAGTACCTCGGATCCAAGCTCTCCACCGCAAATCCGGAATTTGCCAAAACACTCGATTCCGTTCTGAGTAACTCGGTCGAATCGTCCACGGCGACGACACGGAGCAACGTTGGACTCGTCATCTCGGAGCGATTGGTCAACATGCCGGCCCAGGTCGTACCGCCGATGTACAGGATGTTGCAAGAAGAGTTGCAATGGGCTCGAGATGACGTGAGTACTACACGTATCACGCTCATCACGCCCGTCAAGTCCATACGGCTAAGCCTCTGACGTGTGTGAAATTTCATAGAAAGAGCCGTATCACTTTTCACACCTCTTGTTCCTCTCGCGCGTCTTTCTCTCCTCCGCCGAGCAATTCGAGCAAGACCCCAACGCCAACATCAACACCACAGATGCGAATGGATCATCGGCGGCGGGTACAACGGAAGCTGGCAAGGCCAAAGGAGGGAAAAAGAACAAGAAGGGGAATACTGTGGCCGGGACAGGGAAAAAGGCAAGAACCGGGCCGGGGGGATCCGAGACGAGGGTCGTCGAGGAATGGATGTATCATGCTGAGGATGAGATGATCAAGAAAGCGAGTCGTCTTAAACCCTTGGTGCCGTGGGGTCGCGAGTGATGATGTACATAGGCTGAGCCGAAAAGCCTTCTCCTCACTGCAGTCTTCGTTGTATTCGCAAACGTTCGCCTACTCGACCGCTCCTAATCGGGAAGGGGACGATCCCTTTGGCGTCGAGACAAAAGGCCTGGCGATGTTGGTCGAGTACGATCAGTTCGATGGGATCGTGCAAGGGATGGAAGCGTTTTTGGGTGGGCCGACGCCGACAGCCTGAAGAGGCCGTGACTTCAAAATCGTTTCCCACGTCTTTGCAATGGCAATTTTCGCATCCGCTTCAGCACGGCATCAGCTCGCTCGTTCACTCATCTTCTCGGACCGAGCGTAGGGAATCGTTGCCATTCTCGCAAACGGTGCCATGGCACTACCTTTCGTGACATTCTGACAAGTCGAAGATATGCGAAGTGGCATCGGATGGCCGCTTGGGTAGCATTTTTGATAGGGCCTGGGACCCATCGCAACAACTCTCAACAAATCGTAGTTGGGCTACACACACTGCCGTCCCCTTGACCGCCCCGGGACGGGGCCCAGTCTGAAATTTGCTAAGAATCAGGTTTCCACGGGCGCGAGGCGCGTGTGGTCTATGCGATTTCACATGCGATCCCCCCTATCAGACGAAGGGACCGAGGTGCTTGATGCTTTGCGACGTGCTCAAGTTGCTACAAGGTCGCCACCGGTCTCGTGCATGACCTCGGGCGACTGGGCCCGGTTTGCGCTCGAGTCGGGCCTGTCTTGAATGGCCCGGAGACAGATGGAAGGGGTGGTATAGACTCGTTAGTCTTTTGATGTTGGCATCGAATAATTTTGCTCACTTGAGACCCAAACCGTCCATGCTAGGCGGACTTTGAACTCAGTAGTAGTACCGAGGCACGACATGTTCGCAGACATTCATGTCACATGAGCAGAACAAACTCGAGATACGAAACTAGAGGCCCAAAATACGGCATAGAACCTCAAAGCTGCTACAGACGAGCTGCTTGAGTCGAGCTTAATGGCACCGGGCAAATAATGCGCTGGCTTCCTATGTTGGCAAAGATCCCGCCCCCACTTTATTCGCAGACCATTTTGGGCCTCTTTGGGTGAGGAGCTGCGCCGGGCGACTCGGACCAGCGCGAGCTGACCGGGAGTACACTCTTTCTCCTCCCAACCCTTCCACCCCGTCAACTCGTACATCTCCAGACACCAAAGCATCGACAGCATGGGCAAACACGGTCACCCTACGATGCCCCGCTTGATTCTGATCCGACATGGTGAGTGCACCTCGAGCCCGTAGCCCTTACGCGATGGACACCGCTGACCGAGGCATCGTGATTCACCACATCGCACTGGGGTGGTCTCTATACAGGCGAGACCGAATGGAGCCTCAACGGACGACACGTGAGCTCTCACAACAGCCCGCGCTTGTATTTGGAATAGTGTCGAATCACCATCACTCACACTGCGATGCTGCCCTCTCATGCGACGTGACAGACGGGCAAGACCGACATCCCGCTCACCTCGAACGGGGAAGAGCTCGTGCGCTCGCTCGGTCAGCGCATCGTCGGCAAGGGCAAGATGCTCGATCCGGATCACATCCAAGGCGTGTTGGTTTCGCCTCGTCAAAGGGCCCAGACGACTTTCAACCTATTGTTTCGCGAGAATCTGGACGAGGCCGACGTGCCCAAGTGCGAGACCGAGCAGGGTTCGTTCGAGTTCTCCGAGGCCCCAGACGCCGAAACTTCAACACCACCTGGTCCTTTGAGCGGTGTGCTTGAGCTGGGACACGGGGTGACGATCGTTTCTTTGCGTCCACATGCACAGACGTTCAAGAATGGGACTATGGCAAGTACGAAGGCTTGGTCAGCAAGGAGATTCGCGAGCGGTACAAGGAGGACTGGGACATCGTAAGTCGGCTCTCGACTATCGCTTGTTCTCGCTCGATGGCTTCCGCAGTTCCGCGGAGGAAGAGCACGTCGATTGGACCACACTTTTTTACTCTTAACTTGCTCAACATGTGTATTCAATTGGCACAGTGGGTCGATGGGTGCGAGGGAGGCGAGTCGGCCGAAGAAATGACGGCTCGGTGCGACCGAGTGATTGCAAAGATTGTCAACATGACAAGGTGAGTCCTTTGACTCCAACATGCATTGAAACCTGCTCAAATGCTCTTACGCACGCTGACCAATCCTTGGAATGCAAATCGGACCTGTCAGAGAACATCACGAGTCGGACGAGGAGCATTGCTCGGGTAAAGGGGATGTTGTCGTGGTATCGCACGGGCACTTCACCCGTTGCCTGTTGTAAGTACAAGAGTTAAGCATGAGGTCCCGCTCCAAGGCCGAGCTGATACGGCACACTCTGCGTTTTTTGACTCGTTCGACGTCCATTTTTGAATCTCGGCAACTCTGATCGGCCGCCCCTCAAAACAGAACTCGGTGGTGCGAACTGCCTCTGACGGATGGACGGCGCTTCGTGGCCGATACGGGAGCCATCACCATTTGCGGGTATCAGCACGGGTCATTTAAGGAGAGGTCATTGCTGGGGATGAACTTATTTGGTGAGGTATGAGGCGACTTTGTTCTCTCTCGTCGGAGATCGGGCCGGCGACGGCGCCTTTGCCGTTTCATCAGCTGGTAATTCGTACGAGGGCTCAGAAAAAAAATGTCATAGCACGCTGTGTCTGCTGGAAAGCAAGCAAATGAAATCAAGGCTGTTACTTTAGCATACGTTGACTGTCCACAAATTCATAGTGCGAGTCACCTTTACCTCACAAGTGGGGCTAGTTGACTGACTGAACCCCGTTGATGGCCCAGCACAGGCCTGCAGCGCGTGATGTGTCGCGGACTCTGGCGGACTTGGCGAGACTTGGCTGGACTTGTCGCAGACTCGCAGAGACTCGCAGCGTGTCGCGACGTAACACGGACCCCCCAACGCGCCTCTCTTAACTCCACTCTAGCCGACTTGGCACGCCAGCCATCGACATGCGACGCTTCCTTGGGATCAAGGCGAAAGCGTCCAAGCAACCTCTTGCCACCCACGACTCTTCTGAACCCGCGCCGGAGCCATGGCAGCCTCCCTCCGCTGCGACCGTAGACGCCGTCGCCCGGTCCGATGCATCAACATCCACGTCAGGCGCCGCATACGCCGCTGATACTCTACCTGCGACACAGACTTACGATCGTGCGGGAACATCACATCCACCATGGTCGACGATGACACGAGCCTCACAGCATCATCAGCACCATGACTCTTCCTTGAACGCTGCGCCAAGCTCTGGCCGACCGCTCGCGCCGGCGAGCTCATCGCCGCGCGACCAGAGCACGGGCTTGTTCAGGAGGTCCTCGCTCGCGAGTTTGCAGTCGAACCCATCACCACCGGTGCCCCCAAAGGACCGGAGAACGGTCAGAGTCTCGTTGGGATCGGTTGTGGCTCCTGCCGCCTCAACGGACAAGGCTCAACACCAGGATCAGGGTCCGTCGCGCAGGGGACATCCTCATTCCGTCATCCCGGGAGGCCCGAGCGCCGACTCAGGCTCAGGGGCCACCGCCAACCATGCCGCCCCGACATCAACATCGACGTCCACGTCTGCTCCAGCGTCAGCTTCTACGATCATTTCAACTACAACGAACAACAGTAGGGTCAGCATCGCCAACACCCTTCCCGTTCGATCCAACTCGGTCGCTTCGACGAACGCACCGACCCCCACGCTCGGGCAGGAGAGGACCACCTCGCCGTTGTCAATCTCTCCTTCGTCCATCACGGCACACTCGCATCTCTCCTTTGCTAGTTCTAACACTCGTCTCGGCGGAGCATCATGGGGAGTGGGGAGTGGTGGGCGATGGAACGATGATGAAAGGGATCCGACCGCAATCTATGGCGAGTCCGGCTCCGGCCCAAGCCCTGTCTGAGCGCCTACCTAAAACAGTCGAGAGCTGACTCTTTCCATCCTTGGGCCCACGCTTGCACAGCACCTGCAACATGGTCCGAACTCGCCAATCCGGACCTGGTCGACAACGTATCGGCTCGGGAACGGACACGACAGGAGATCCTATGGGAAGTCGTCGCCTCAGAAGAACGCTACGTGCTCGAATTGCGCTCGCTTGTCAACCTTTACGTTGCCCCACTTTTACACCCGCTCCTCACGACGACGACGGTACCTGCTACCAAAACAGCCACTCCAAGTCTCTCCTTCCTCTCCTCCCCATCTCCGATCCCTACCGTCGTCTCACCGCGACCCTCGTCTTCGTCTTCGACCCCCTATCGACACTCGGCTTCGATCCACGCCGAGTCTTCCTCGGACCTCCCCATCGCCGCCCGTTTTTCTCGGTCACTGCACACCGTTTCAAGAGACCATCTTCCCGAGCCAGTGACGCACGATACAGACGATGCATCGTCGCTTTCGACGCCTCGTGCCGGCTCAAGAGCAACCCAAAATTCGGCCAACGCCTCGTCGGCCGAAGAAAAAGTCAAGAACGCCAGGCTGTCGCTACCCGACCCAGCGGCGAGCTACCGAGGGCCTTCATCGCAGGGGATCAGAGGCAGGGTCTATTCCTCCTTCGGCGCTCAATCGACCAGTTCTTTGATAGGGCCCGATGCGGGGTCTTCGCACAAGCCAGGGGCTGTGTCCACGACCAATCGGAATCGGTTCTCGACCATGTCATTCAAAAACGCCATGGCCTCGATGAGAAGCGTCGCGACACCCAATCATGAGACGGCAGACGAAGCAGAGGAAGTGGGGCCAGCCCCAAGCCTGCCGGATGCTTTGAGGAACGTACTGGAGAGCGTGCTGGAAATGTTGAAAGGCCATGAAGTGCTGGCATCGAGTCTGTGAGTTGGGCACTCGTTGCGGTCGAGATTTAACGGTGCTGCCCCGCTCACGTCGAACCTGGGCTTGTAAATGATCACAGCAAGGAACAGTGGGCGAAAGCTTTTCCCCTCGTGCGCGGTTTGGCGGCGATCTGGTCTGATCAAGTGAGCCATCTCCCCTGTCACCTGCACGCGAGATCGCTGTTCAGGCCACTAACTGGCTAGCCCTTCCTCAGCCCTGGTTTCTCGAGACCTACGCAAATTACGTTCTATCCCTCGAAGAAGCCCTCGCCATAATCGACGGTTGCATCCCTTCCGTCCATTCGATCAACAAAGACGGACCCGCCAACTCCTCGAACCTCGGTACCCTCACTGCCAAATTCCTCAGAAGAACCTCGTCAATGCCATCTCCATCGACTTCCGCTACAGTACCTGCGTCAGCGTCGGATCCAGCAAACCTTCAGCGCTTGAAGCGAAAGCTGATGCATTTGGAGGAGAAAGCGACCGAAGCGGGAGAGAGTGGGCTGGGTCTGTGCTTGAGCAAGCCCTTGATGAGGCTTGGCAAGTTGCCGTTGTTGATGCAGGCTTTGTTATTCCATACCGGTCAGTCTCCGGCGAAGGCGAATCGATCAACAGTCGAACACTAACCTTTCTCGGCACTGTCTGAATATCAGATCCCACGACCCATGAATGGGAAAAGGTTAGAAACTTTAGTCTTCATGCGTTTCACTTCCCTTCAGAATACTGACAGTCTTCACCGAGTTGTCCGAATAGACGCGTGCGATGGCGATCGAAGTCGACGAACTTGTTCGTTCGATCGAAGACGAGAAGATCGAAGAGGAGGAACGTTCGCGCGCTCGGGACGGCATCGCTCGCATCGATGGGATCCAGGACAAGGCCTTGATGGCCCCACGAAGAACGCGAGTCTTGATCGAGGAGACGATCGCGCCTGTGGACGTGGAAGGCGGCCCATCGGGCGGTGCCGTGATGAAGGAGAAGACGTTGATGATCTCACTGGGGACGAAGGGATCGAAGGGGACTTTGGGGAGGAGGAAGGGGACCATGCCGAGGGGAGGCGAGGAGTGGCTCGTGCGCTTCTCTGATGTGACGGTGCGATGCGCCAAGGTCAGAGAGACGGACCTACCCTTTGGGTGTGGATTCTCCAAGAAGAATGAAGGAGCAAAGAGGGAGAAGAAGCTGAAGAAGGGCAAAGTCAGAAACTTATGTGAGTCGGTCTCGACTCCATATTGAAACAGCCCTAAAATTGACGCTTCATTGGGGCGTCCGCAGACCGCTTTGTCAAGGTCGAGAAATGGGAAACACCGGAGGACGCCGAAAAGAACCTAGCGGCATGGCTGGGTCGACCTTCTCAGACCGAGTCTGCTACTGCTGCGATCGAGGAAGCGGAAGACGCCGACGACGACGCCGAATCTCGGATGAGGTAAATTCCATTGTCTGCTTTCGGTTCAGCCATTACCTTTGAGTACTAATACTGCGTGATACCCTCTGGTAGTTTCCGCTACGATGCCGATGACCCACGACCCGTTTCACCCCGCGTGTTCCGAGCCTCGTCCCTCCCTGCAACCGGGGCTACCACGAGCGGGACCGTTGGAGCTCGCAAAGTCCCTCGACAGTCCATGACGACGCAATCGGTCGTGGCGAAGCAATCTCCCGCGATCCAAAAGCACGGGCAACGTCTTCGCGTCGCGTCGGAAACACTGCCCCGGTTGACGAGTCCGGTTTCCCGACAGCGATGGGAGACCCCAACAGCTGCCAGTCAGGCGAGGGCGACGCCCGTGGGATCGGTTTCGACGAGAGCATCGTCACGGTCACCCAACAGTACACCTACGAGCGGCAATGCTCGATCGGGACGAGGTCTGACTCCCCCGGCGACGAGCACGAAGCGTGCGAACTCGGCTTTCGCTACCACCAGTTCTCGAGCGGGGCAAGCCGCGACAACGACTAGTAAGAAACAGTCGTCGAACTCGACGACAAACAAGGTCGTCCCGTTGTCGGTCTCAACCACTTCGATCAATGGCCTCGGCGAGAGGGAGCAGTCGACGATGGCACTGTACGGGAAGTATTGGGAAGCCGCGGACGGCGAGAAACGAGTAGAGGCTTGAGAGGTTCGCGCCCATGGTGTAACTTGGAAGAATTTCGATACACGGCTGCCCGGGCCCGACGGGGAGAAGAAGAAGCGATGATGAAAAAGCCCTGCGCCCGCGCGCTCTGCTCTCACCGATCTCACCCCTGTCTTTCGGCCGATCCGGTCACTCCGTCTCTCTCATTTTGGCCCTCCTCAGAGCTCCTAGGCACGCTTCATCCCTTATCTTTCTATATGATCCCTGATCGTCCGTATTGCTATACCATAGTGGGCGCGGTCTTGACGGACTGTTGATGGTGATCGAGCAGGTGAGGAAAAATATGAGTGTTCGGGAACCGCCCTTCTGAAGCAGCGCGCGAGATCGTCGAGGGCTTCGAAGTGCACGCGCTCGCTCCTAGTCGCCAGTAGCTTTTGCTTCTCGTGGATCCTTTTGTAGCTAGCTATCTAACAGCACCACACGGAAGTGCTTGCTTGCACCGACAATTTCGCGATCCATTTATTTTGTAGTGCTCCCATTTTCCATCGGCAGCAGTCGCCAGCTCTAAGATGAAAGCGACCGAAACTCTCGGTTTACCACGAACCGCCACGAAGTAGGTATCTATCTATGTCCGCTTAAGGTACCTTCTCAAGTAGGTCCTACCAGCTCAGAACCCCTTCTTCGGAGCCCGATTTTCCGGCCAAGCCCAAACCTCCCCTTAAGAGTTCGGGTATGACCTTGCCTTCGATCAGAGTTGTTTGCACCTGGGAGGAAAGGAAGATCGTCGGTCGAGACTCAGCGAGTGCTTTTCTGAAAGCGGTGAAACGGCACCGATCTGGTCCCGAAGTCATGGTCCGAGCACTCACAATGGCCCCTACATCCCTTGGTGTCACACGACCATACCATATTGATGTGCCGTTAGGTAGATAGATGATGACGTTGCCAGCGTATCGATGACCCCCTGCCGAATTGCAAATCGCCCACCGAAAAGCATCAGCAAACCGACGCTGGCTGGACGATCGAGAAAAAGTATAGCACTCACCAATATGACTGCATTTGAACACTCCCACTCTACCTTCACCTACCCTCACCCCTTTCAGCGCCTCATCCATCTTGCTCTCCCTCTCTTCCAACGCCCATGCCTCCAACGGTCTCTCATCCGAACCACCGAGACTATCGCCTCGTTCGTCCATCTCCAAATCATGCTCGGCCAGGTGGTGATGGAATTGATTGATCAGCAGCGGAGCAGCGATATGACACCGCTTGTCCCTTCGTTTATGCGAACAGATGAGAACCAAAGCTCGATAACGTAGCGGGTAAGACCTCGTTTTCGAAGAGGTGAGCGACGAGAGTCCGGGCCGAGGAACGGAAGGGTGGAGGTGAGATCCGACGAACGCCTCGGCCGACGAAGCTTTGGCGGATACGTGGTGGACGATCTTGAAGTCGGGCAAGACGATAACGGAATGGTCGTCGTCCTCGTGCGAGTTGGACAGAAACGAGCCCGTGAGAATCGAGAGCCTCGGCGGTTCGACGACTTCCGCCGTTTCAGTCGAGTCAGGGGCCACCGCGCTCGTAGATGGTTTGAGTGGAGGGGGCGCCGCGATCGACGGGTAGACGCCTTTATAAACCGATCCTTGAGGAAGCGGAGCATCGTCCCCCTTCTTGATTTTGAGTTTCTGGAAAGTCTTGTTCAGCAGGCCCGTTCCTTTTCGGCCTCCGTCCGAACAAGTCGTCGCCAGCTCGTATGCACTCTTGAGAAGTCCCGGTAGCGATTCGGCATCATCAGTCACTTCTTTGTCCCAATCACTCTTTCCGGTCGCGATCAAAATCTGACCTGATTACCAAAGGCCCAAAACGAGGAAAGCAGATTAAGCCCTTCTAGATCGTCGCGGCCAATGTATGCATTCAAGCTTCGACAACACAAAGCACTCACGCCCGTAGTAGTTGACCGAACCCAACATCTCGGAGTCCAAATCGACGTCGAACGTTTTCGGATAGGTTTCCAAGTCGTCCGAGTCGTCGTGGGCACATCCCTTGCATGCTTCCTCCAGGCCGTGCGAAGTCAGAGCTGCGGAGGCGGCGGAGCTGAGCGCCGGACGGGGGATGAAGGTCGATGGCGACATGGCCAGTGAATCCCAAGGAAAGATAAGCGTGTGAGCTGACTTGGTACGACAGGGATGAGTGCGGAAGGAGCGTGAAAGCGACGCCTTCCGAGATTCAACTCACCACGCTCTCGCTCGGCTTCCTTTCGGGTCGCCCATCGGGTCCGCCCGCCCAATCTCGCAACCTCGGCTCGACGTCATCCTCGTCGCCGAGCTTCTTCCGTTCGGTACCGAGTCACCCGGCGCACAATCGCGCAGAATGGCAGCTACCACACATCCTATATCCGGAGGATAAAGGATGAAGAGTGTAGTAAAAAAAAGATGTGCACTGCTCTCCGAATGCAATAATCAATTACATACACGTGGTGCGCGCATACACGGAGAGGTGGAGGGTGAGAATCGTTCAACTCCCAATTAGAGTATGATCACAGATGTGGTGTGATGAACCCATTATTTGCTCCTCAATTATGCTCCACCCCTCGTACTCGCCCCTAAAGAGCCATGACTCGGACTCGAATTGTTCGCCGATCCCGTCGTTCCCCCACTCGGCGTCGTCGAACTCCTCGCCGCCAAGAGACTTTGGAAAAAGTTGGCTAAAACCTCGTTCTGTCCTCCTGCCGTCGCTCCAGTTCCAGAAGGCAAGGAAGATGCGCCTGCGTTGCCGAGGGAAGCTGGTGAGGTCATTCCGGAAGCTGGTAGGGCCGAGCCACGCGCTTCGGCGCTGCCTTGTCCCGAGTCCTGGATAAGATACAAAAACAATGGTGTTAGACGATCAAGGCCCAGTCATTGACCATCGGCAACCTCGATTGGAGTGTGTGCTTACCTTCTGTACCATCTTGGCCAATCTAGCCGACACGTTATCGCCGTCAGAGCCCAAACCTTCTCCCCCACCCCCACCACCCCCAAGCGCCCTCTCCACGCTCGGCAAACTCAACACCGCACTCGACATGGGCCCGACGACCGAGCCTCCAAAGCCTCCTTCGTTCGACATCCCATTCATTGCTCCACTATCACCGGGCCGTGCAGTGAACGCAGCTCGAGGATCTTTGACGCGATCGGCTTGTAGGGTTTCGTAATGCGGTTTCAAAAAGTCTTGCTCGTCCATCGCCTCGACGTGGTTCGTCACTACCCGTGTCGGCTGAGAGGTTGTGCATTTTTAAAAGAGAAAAGTCAGTAAGACTAACTCACCCTAGTCAGCTCCGACTGCTTTACTCACCTGACTATCCTCATCGACATCAACGACCATATCCTCATACATCGCCACGGCCCCACCCCTAGTCGACCCCTCCCCAAGCCCAGTCCTAACGTCCTCATCCCAAGCCCGAGAGAACCCTTCCGGATCGAATCGATCCCTCAAGACCCTGATCTTGCCCCAACTATCCCAACCGCTGGGAACGAGCACCTCTTCCCGATCGACGACGTTGGCGCGGTGATTGAATGGGAACGCCTTCAATGCCGAGCCGACGGCGTTGAGCGGTAATGTCAAAGTCGGTACCGAACCAACTTCATCGGCCTGATTCCCCAGCGTTGTGGGCGCCGAGGCCGTCGTGGGAGGGGGCGAAAACAGTCGATGTAAGATGTAGGATCTCAGTCGGGCAAAGGTCATGGGTCTCGAGTGAGAAGTGAAGAATAACGCGGCGCCGTACTTGAGGCAGACCGTTCTCAGTGCCTGTTGCACAAAGTCGCACTGCTCCTCCTTGAACTCCATCTCCCGCTCGAGCGTGTCGATCTGATCCGACTTGGTGCAGACGATCACCAAAGGAAGACCTAAAGGTTGATCGAGTACACCAGCCGGCAGTGGCGAGTCATGGTCCGGTACCTGTGCTGTTGTCGAGGTGTTTGCCGAAGCCGAAGTGGTCGCAGCGGTAGTGGATGGGGTCGGTTCGTGATAGTTGCGCACATGCGCTTCCACTGCGGGTTCTTGATGAGATTAGCTATATTATCAAGAGATGTAGTGTCCTCGCACCAGTTACCTCTCTCCTTGGCCGTCACTGCTTCCCAGGTATCCTTCGCTGCAGCCTGCTCGGCGACTCGCGTCAAGACCTGAATCCACGCTCCGAGTTCTCGGAGAAACCTGTGCGGGCTCTCCCAATCGAGCACGACGACGACGAGCGAGTCCAAGAGCGTCGATCTTGACAACGCCAAGGACAACAACGACGGATAAGGTGGTTGGTGCGATGGTAGTTGGTAAATGCCCATCCTAGCGACGGTGTCTGTTCGGAGAAACGTGTTCGGCCATTCAGTTTGAGGTCACTACGAGGAGGACCGGTGTAGTTCTGTACGCACCTTCGTCCGCCTCATCTCGGACATCCAAGACCGAGTAACTGAGTCCAACATCGAGCGAAGGGTGGTTCGTCGTCGACGCTGTCCCCGTCGGATTGGTGGTCGATGAGCTCGGATCGCTCGATGACGACGAAGAAGGTTGACCCGTTGCTGAAGCCAATCGGTCGACCAGCGTGGTCTTGCCCGACGATGCAGAGCCTGTTAGTGGTGAGAAACGTCAGTGATCTGCGCCCGTCGAATCTTGTAGGAGCTAGTTCGCTGCGGCGCTGGTCTGGGCTTAGGAGACGACCTCCTGTCCCCCTCCCCCTTGGCTGCGATGCTCGTGGCTCACCCAGCACGATACAGTTCTTCGTCGACACGTTCCTCGAGCTCGATACGCTATCCAGGATCGAACCCCACAGGTCCTGCGTGCCAGGAATGCCACTCGGCCCTGTCGTTGTCGTTGTCGAGGTCGTACCAGCCCCTGCGCCCGCTCCGCTCGCGTGATCATCGCTGGTTCCGACGGTCGTGGCTGGGGCAGAGGTGGAGGCTGTGCCGTTGGGTAGGGTCATGCTCGATCTGATCGGTGATGTTGGAGGTCGAGGCCGATCCATTTCTGCGCGGTCGCCAGACGAGAGGCGTACGGACGTCGATCGCAGCTCCACGGGAGGATGTTGGCGCAAGTCGACACGCGTCGCACCAACGCCCACACGCTCCCACACGCGCCTCACCCGATTCGCCGAGGACCCATGAAAGCCCAGCCTGAGGCGCGTAGGTAAAATCCGTCAAAATCCCGGATTTTGGACCTCATTTGTCCACCCTTTTTTGGTGTATTCGCCCAAAAATGTCCTTAAAATGTCCAGTCCATCTACGCTCGTCCAACAATAGCTCTAGAATTGCTTCAGATGCTCTACAACATCTCCAAAAATCGCGATTTTGGCTTTTCTAGGGCCAAAACTTTGTCCACTCTTTACCTACGCGCCTCAGGCTGGGCTTTCGGGGGTCCTATTCGCCGCTCCATCTCTCCGTGGTCGGGTTCAAAGTTGGCTTTTATTCCAAACGGAGTGATAGCAGCCCAGAACACCCCAAGTAACGCCGAGGACTAGGATTCTTTCGAAAATACTTCATCATTCCAATTGAGTTCTTCTCAATTTTCGATACAAGCCATAGGTGGCCATCAGATTTTTGATGGAAACCCCCCAACCCATTCCCCGACACTGCACAGCCCCCTGCTTAAGCCTTGGTGACGAACATGTCGACGAACTCGTTGACGGGCATCTTCTCCAACGTGGCCTGGTCCGCGACGGCCTTGACGATCTTGTCGACGTGGCTCGCCTCAAAGTGGGGCTCGATGTGGCGCTTGAACTTGGCGTTCAACAACGGCTCGCCCTCTTGCCTTCGACGACGGTGACCGACGGGGTAGTCGATGTGCACCTCGTCCAACACGGTACCGTCCTTCAACGTGATCGTCAACGCATTACCGATGTAACGCTTCTCCGGGTCGTGGTATTCCTCGGAGAAGGTCTTTTCCTCGACGCAGTAGATCTTCGCGCGCAACTCGTCGATCCTCGGATCGGCGGCGACTCGATCCGTGTAGTCCTCCGAGGTCAACCGACCAAAGATCAACGGCACCGCGACCATGTACTGGATCGTGTGGTCACGATCGGCAAAGTTGGCGAGAGGGCCCGATTTGTCGATGATGCGGATCGCCGCCTCTTGGGTCCTGATCTTGACCTCCTTGATATCGTCAGAGCTCTTACCGATCTCCTTGAGCTTGGAGTGCAGGATCATCGCGGCCTCGGCGGCGGTTTGAGCGTGGAACTCGGCCGGGAAAGAGATCTTGAACAAGACGTTCTCCATGATGTACGAACCGTAAGGGCGTTGGAACTTGAACTCCTGGCCCTTGAACAGCACGTCGTAGAAGCCCCACGTCTTGGCGGTCAAGACGGTCGGGATGCCCATCTGACCGCGCTGGACGGCCAAAGCGAGGTGCACGGCACGCTGGCACGCATCACCGGCGGACCACGACTTGCGCGAACCGGCGTTGGGCGCATGGCGGAACGTGCGAAGCGACTGGCCATCGACGAACGCCTGCGAGACGACATCGACGGTTTGCGAGTGCGACAGGCCGAGTAACTTGGAGACCACGGCAGCCGAGGCGAGCTTGACGAGCACGACGTGGTCGAGACCGACGCGGTTGAACGAGTTCTCCAACGCAAAGCATCCCTGGATCTCGTGGGCCATGATCATGCCGGCCAAGACGTCCTTGACGGTCAAAGGGGCCTTGCCGTTGGCGACGTTGGTGCGCGAGATCCAGTCCGAGACGGCGAGAATGGCGCCGAGGTTGTCGGAGGGGTGACCCCACTCGGCCGCGAGCCAGCAGCTGTTGAACAAGACGTTTGTTCGTCAGAAAGGAGGATTCTGTCGACGTAGCCCTGTTTGTACTGACTCATTGAAATCGAGCCACCGGATCTGAGTGCCGATAGCGAAAGCGGCTCGGCTGTACAGTGCATGCATGCATCCATCATGGTCAGTTTTACTGATCACATAGGGTCGGCCCACCCGTATAGAGTAGTGTTGTCGCTTACACAGGGTCCATCTGGTAAGGGGTTCCGGGGACTTTGGATCCGTTGGGGACGGTTGTGCCCTGGAAAGGCGCAGGAAGTCGTCAGACAACAGCTTTCACCGCAAGAACGAATGCAGAGGGTGAAAAAGTTTACCTCGACAACCGGGGGCATCAAAGCGGCGCAGTCGGGGTCGACACGCAGGCCCTCCAGCCCACAGCCGATCGTGTCGATCAAGCACAAGCGAGCGGTGTAGTAGGCGAGGTCAGAGTCGATCTGATTGAGGAAAAAAAAGGGTTCCATGGCTCAGCATAAGGTGGGTGGCTAGGTGACGGCGTGGTGTCGCTGGGTCGCTGTGTCGCTGTGACCGCTCGCTGGGGCCTCCGCTTTGCCGGCGTTCCCGACGGCCTTTCTCCGCATTAGCCGATCTAACCGGCCCATCAGGCCCAGCCACGAAGCACGAAGCGACCATTCCGCTTCCAGGCGGGATCCATCCTCCGGCGCACACCTCCACTTCTGGATGAGCACACGGTCCTAGTCCGTCTCGACCTGGCTTCCTCTTCCTCGCACCCCTTGTTTGTCGTTCCCTCATGGGTAGTACCCCTCTTCCTCGACCGGGATGCGCGAGGTGGGAACAGCCCAGCTTCAGCTTCCGTCCAACGAGTGGTCGTCCAACGCACCTTGTAGTTGTGCACATAGTCGGCGATATCGATCAAGACCTGATCCGGATCGGGACGCTTGGCATCCTCGCCATGGTGACTGGACGACATCCTGATCGCACCGAGCACGGAGGACGAACGACCGACGAGTTGCTGGAGCGGAGTGATCGACGACGAGCGAAGCAGCGACGACGCGCCGGCACGGACGATGGACGGAGTGGAGGGGGAGGGGGTGCTACGACGAGTCGCGGATCGGGCAGTCGAGGAAAAGGCGCGGCGGAGCATCACCCTTCTTGAGGCCGTGAGGAGGTGGGCTGCGGTAGGGAAAGAAGGGAGGCGGAGGCGGAAACGCTTCCCAAGTCGACCGTGCGCGGCAAGCTCACTCAAGCTCACGCGCTCACGAGCGGCAAGCACGAGCGGGCGAGCGGGGCCGCAGCCTGTGGCAGCTGGGCCGCGCTGGCCCTGTCGGAACTCCGCGCCAAATGCGCCGCGCCGAAGCCCCAGTGAATCTGCGCCGTGAAAAGGTCACGAAAATGCCGTACTAATGGCCGAGGCTGATGCCCCAACGTTGTCGCACGGGGTTTACCTTGTAGGGCCTTCTCACGCGCAACGACCTACCCCGCTTCTGGCATCAACCAGCTCTCTACAGCAACTCCTATGGTCTCTGGGCAGAAAGTTGCCTCCTGACGACGCGGTCTCGCGCAACTCATGAGAGCGCGCTCGAGCGAGCAGAAAGCAGTTCAAATTAGCCCCTCGGTATGATTTCACTCTAAGCTCACTAAGGAGAGTCGAAGAGATGGCAGAATGGACAGTCTAGGTTATGGATATTATATGCGTAGAGGTGTGAGCGATTCAGGAAAATACGAGGCGGCCCCGGCGGGGAATTTGGTCGCTTTAGACCTGATCGAATTGCTCGCACTCCTCGTAGGTCCTCTTGGGACCCGAGAGAGACGGTGCACGCTGGTTGACTATAGCGCGTATGACAGTATCAGGATCAAGTTCCTCCCGGCAGGGGCCAAGCACCTCGCGCTGGACTCACTTCCGCTGTACCCGACATCGAGATCCCTCAACTTGGCCGTTCCCTACAAACCATAGAGCAACCCCGTTGTCAGTCTGTTCTGATCTTACGCGCAAAAGAACATAGCCCTTCCACAAACTTACGACATGGTACACCCAACCATGAACGCTGATCTTCCTGCCTTCGGCCCAGACGTCCTTCATCAACTGGCTCTCGGCGATCGCCTTGACCGTGTTGGCGACATGTTGGTCCGTCAATTTGGAGACGAGGGCCTCATCCTCAGCGGACGCGACACGCGATTCCTGGATATGTTCTGTCGCGAGCGATTTGATCTGAGGGCACGAAAAGGTACGTTCAGCGAAAGCGAGCTCGGCAAAGGCGATCAGGAGTGATGGCTACTCACAGGAGCGATCCATCTTCCAACAACCTCTTCTGTACGATTGCTGGGCTCGATCTCCTTGCCTGCCGCTTTATCGGCGACAGCACCGGCCAGAGCGGCCTTGACACCACCGCATCCCGTGTGGCCTATTTTGGACATAGGCATCCCAAAAACAAAACAAAATGTCGTCATCAATTTTTGATCTATGACTCCAAGCTTCGAGTTTATCCATGAGACTGACCGCAAACGATAATGGCTTGGATCTTGAGGACGTTAATGGCGAAGAGGAAGGCCGACATGGCCGAAGGGTCATTCTCATCGAAGCGATTGGCGACGTTGCGCTGAAGACATGCAGAATTTGTGAAAGCCAGAGATCAGGATGCCGTGCAAGAACGTATTAAACTTATTGCATGTACCCATGTACTCACATGAACAAAAATGGATCCGGGTAAAACACCCGTGCTCCTGCGATCGATGCGGCGATTATCCAGCCCGGGAAGAAATCAGAGGCATCAGCTTCGCGCTAGATCGCTTCGGGCATCCCCAATCGAATTCAACCGGGCGAAGATTATCGGGCGAATCCCGGCTCGAGTGAGTGGTTGGCCTCGAAAGGCGAGACGATCCGATGGAGATGAAAGCTCCCAACTCACAACTCTGCACTGACACGACTGTCGGAGCAACCCAACCACAAAACCTTGGGGGACTGGCCCTTTGCGAGCTGCTTGAGCAAACCCGGGTCGGATTGAGCGAACTTGTGAGCGTAGGCCTGTTAGACCGCCAAGTCGCCGAACTTGTCAGCGTCATCGAACTAGTCGTAGGTGAGATTGGTTTAGTGAGTCTTCTTTCACCTTGTTGGTATCGAGAATACCTCTGAGAAACTCGTTATTGTCCGACATGGTTGACGAGAAGGGTCGACTGAGGTTGGGAACGGGAAGAGTTGAGTAAGACTGTTGCAGACAGTCGACGACAGCGTGGAGTCGGATGAGAGTGCGGATATCAGCGTCACTCGAGACACAAGCCCCTCCGGAAACGTCTCCACTTCCTTCCTCTTCTGTCCACGCCCGAGCTAGTTGTCAGGGGCTTCTAAGGGGCTCGCCCTCCGCCGTAATGACGACATCTCTTGGGGGGAGAGGATGGGGACGGCCGATCGGCCGAGCCACGAGGCGAGTCGCAGAGCATTGCCTATCGTTGCGTGGACTCACGACTAGGCTGGTAGGTGAACGATGAGCAAGTTGGCCAGTGATGTCCGTTGTAATTAAGGTAGGACGCGAAGACGCAGCAGCAACCGCGGCGGAACTGAAGCTTTTAGAACGGAGCTTATCGCTCGAGGCCAAGTGGTGCGGCTCCGCAACGGAACGCTTGCGAGGATATGCGGGGGACGATCCAACCACAGATGACACGAGGCGAGCAGAGGAGCGAGGCGAGCGTACGATCGAGCCGAGTCGATGACTGATGATGGATGAAACGGTGCGGGAAGCCAGCTTTGAACCAACCAAGGGGATGGGTAGCGATGGATTGTCGCAGAGAGAGAGAGAGCGATCGTGTATGCACCCGTGTAAGGTATGCGCCTCTGATGTGCATAAAATACAATCTGTCGTTCTTGACCGCTAGGCTAAAAGCAAGTCGTAGCTAGAACTCGACAGTTCTAGCTACTCAGAGGCTACTTATGGGCTGTTTCTGTAAGGCATCCCCTTACAACCCGAGCCCCAGAGACACTCTCGCGACGACCGGCGAAGACCGGGCGCTCGCCTTTAGGCAGTATCTAGGCTCAGATAAAGATCGATGCCGCAAGCAAAGGGACAATAGCCAAAGTTAGGTTGAGAATACTCTTGATCAATCACCAATCAAGCAAGCAAGTATAAAAGGTGCCAGAAGTGAAAAGGAAAAATACGCAATACGCTTGACAAATCACGATATCAGGTCCCTTCTCCGTTAGGACCAATCACGTCAATTCCGAATACCCAATCATGGCGGTATCCACAGAAATGCAGTGTACGTGTTCTGCATCAAAGTCTGGCCCAAATGTAGCCTCCTCCAGCCTAGGGATGACCAGGTCCGCCCCACCGGTGACACTTGCGGGCCATTGGAACTATCGACCCCTCGCCTTCCTCTTTGAGACGAAACCCGATGCTCGTCTCCGCGCTATATACCCTTCCATGCCGTGCGTCGCGAACTGAGTCGGAACTCCTCCGCGAGGCTTCACACGAGCCTTTGAACGTCGCAGTCCAGGCCTTGATGGCCGAAGGTATGGGCCCTTTGATCAAATGGGCCCAACACGACAACGACGACGAGTACGACGAGCTGGACGAACTTGACCAGGAGGTCAAGCTTGAGGAGGAGCGACTGCAACGGTCTTGGTGAGCCAGAGTCCAAACCACGGCCATCAAAGCCTGGAATGCGACATTCAAAGGCTCGTGCGATGCCTCGTGGAGGAATTCCAACTCGGTTGACGACGCTGGCCGGGGTGGAACGGCATGGAAGGAGGCTGAGAGTGGTGGAGCGGAACGAGCATCGGGTTTCGGCGTGCCGTCTCAAAGAGGAAGAGAGAGGAAGGCAAGCAGAGGATTGGAGTCAGTCGCGCTTGAGCTTGATCTTTGAGCCGGGCCGTGGTTTGGACTCTGGCTCACCAAGACCGTTACAAACCGGCCGAGGTTGAGTGTTCCCGGCGAGACGGCGTACATGTACGGTGCCGCGACGGGGCTATACATCCCAAAACACTCATAGTAAAGCATTCAGAAGAAGAACGTTGGTGGGGTGGTAAATGGGTGCGTGTCAGCACGATGATGCATGATGATTCCCCAGTCTGGTCCCACCATCATCCAAGAGGACAATGCGGCGTGCATCCAGATCGCCAAGGATCCTGTCGACCACATGCGTACCAAGCACTTCGACATTGCTCATCTGTTTGTTCGGGAGCGTGTTGCTTCTGGCGAGGTCGAGGTCGAGTACTGTCCTACCCACGCCAACGCTACGGAGTTGATCGAAGCGCTGAGGTCCCAGAGGCTTGGTCATCATATCCGCAGCGTTGGCGTGGGTAGAGTACTCGAGCTCGACCTCGCCAGAAGCAACACGCTCCCGAACAAGATGAGCAATGTCGAAGTGCTTGGTACGCATGTGGTCGACAGGATCCTTGGCGATCTGGAATCTGGATGCACGCCGCATTGTCCTCTTGGATGATGGTGGGACCAGACTGGGGAATCCCGACATCACCTGCCAAGCGACGGAGCCAGATTGCTTCACGAGTGGCTGAGGATGTAGATAGGATCTCGGCCTCGGTAGTTGAAGTAGCAATCATGGACTGCTGTTTTGAATGCCATGAGATAGCGCCGCCAGCGAGCATTGATGCGTAGGATCCCACCGATCTCCGAGATACCAGATCATCGGCGAAGGAGGCGTCGGAGTAGACCATCACCGGAGTAGTTGAGCTGTTACGATACAGTGATGACGATGATGATGATGATGGATAATCGAGCGAGCTCGAGTCCGAGTCGCTCGGGAGCCCCCCTGTGCGACCGACCGACCGGTGCGGGCAGCAACGGCGCATGACAAGCTGACTCATCGTGACCAATAGGTCGCAGCAGTCAAGTTGAAGGAATGGACATTCAGGATGAAGGCGAATAGCCTTCACGAGGCTGTGGAAGGCGAGGGTGATCATCTAGTGGTGGGCTTGGTTCAGCATGAGTCCTAAGGCTCCTAGCACCACCAGCGAATCAGAGACGGCCCGGCCGTCCCACTCCGATCAGCAGCGCTCGAGCAAGAGCAAGGAGCAAGATGTAAAGAAAGCACTCACGGATCCGGATCAGAGACTCAAGTATGAATCCGACTTCAGCTCAGCCTGCTTTCGAAGATGTTTGCTCGACTGGAGCCTGAGCCCCACGTGTCACGTGACCTTTCATCGATTCATTGTCTCGTGCACGTTCCTGCCATGGCTCCCGAAGGTATCCTCAAACCGGCTTTCATCATACGGCCTTGTGTTCCGCTACTCACTCTTCACGCAACACTTGACGACGGATCGTGGCCCTCGCCCCGCTCCTACTCCGAGTCCGCCGCGGCTCGACGTGCGCTCGGCGCTGGGCGAAGGTAGGGGTTTCGCAACGAAGCGGCTTGCGGGAAGTCGATTCGATCCGAGCGTGCACGAGGGAGCATAGCTGTGCGATGTCGTGCAAAGACGTTTGACTGAGATGGAACGAGTATGTTCGGGTCTGCATCAATCTGCACATGCATGCACCTACATGCACTTGCATGCACCCGCATGCAGGCGTCCGAGGGGCGACCGGGAGGCCAGACGGCCGCCAGCTACGGCGACTCAATCGGCGATCTGAGGCTGGCATAGTTTCGCACCGAGTTGGGGTGGGAGTTGCGAGAGTCCAGAGTGAAGCGTGGGCGTTCTCGCTTCAAGCAAGGGGAGGTTGGGTACCCCCATCGAATGGGTTCACATGATCGAAGATGTATTCTTAGATTAAATTTGGGACGTGGAAGCTGCGATTGCCGCTCCCTCGGCCGCCCCGATATGAGATTGCCGTACAGTCGCGATTGTTTCACGGCCTCGGCCTCGTCCTCAGCTCAACCTCCGCTTTGATTTCTTTCTCTCGAATCCCACCCACCGCATCCCCGGTCTCTCGTCGAATTACGCCTCCCAGATTTTTCGGAGCGTTTGCAACACGTGGCCGTCGTTGCCGGTAGCGCGTCATCGTCTGAGCCACCACTGCAGTGGTCGTGCCGCCGTCGTCATTGCCGCTGCCCCGCGGCCGCCTGCACGTGCTGAGGCTTGGAGGCCCACCGTTCCGGAAAACGACTCGCGACTGGCAATCTACCTCGCACCCTCCGCTCCAACGCTCATTTGTCCGGATAGCACACCACGATGCCGCCCTTCTTCAAGTCGAACCACCTCAAGCTGATTGACGCGTGCTACGCCGTCGACCTCGGCTCGGGCACGACGACCGAGCTGCCCGGCGCGGTGTCCAACTCGCTCGGCAAGCTCACCTTCTACGCCTCGGGGCGTCCCAAGAAGATCCCCAAGGTCACGTCCGTACTGCTCGAACGGGCCGAGAAGATTGCGCGTGCAGCCCAGTCCGGTGGGGTCAACAGCAAGGCCCGCGGTGGGCTCGCGGTGACGCTGGACGTGATGAGGGCCCTCGTCGTCGAATGTCGAGACGAGCTGTCGTGCTTCGTGGCGCATGCTCTTCGCTGTGTCGAGCTGGGCTTGACCAGGAACAAAACGCAGCAGAGGGACGTGCCGCTCGAGGCAAAGGCAGCCTCATTGGTCAGTTCTGCCGCGTGGCTCTCACTCGTGTTCCCCAGCCCCACAAACGCCCCCCCGTCCCGGCCCGCTCCCGTCCCTCATTGTCCGTACTGACTTGGCCCATGTTCGTTCTCCGTGTGCATCCAGTTCATCGCCGTATCGATCTACTCAACAGCTCCCTTTCAAAGCCTCAACGATGAAGCCGGCAAGCTGTATCTGCGCTGTGTGGCGCTCATCTCGTCACTCGCCCAGCTTACCGGCGACCAAACCAGGTCAGTCACTGCGGCTGCTTCAATCTTACTAAAGTCGTGAATATATGACCAATCTCAAGAAACTTTTTGGTGTACAGCGGCTCGAGACTGGTCGCACTGCAGGCTATCAAAGGGACGGTCACGTCCGAGCTTCTATACTCGGCTTCGTCCGACTATGACAGTCTCGTCGAAGAGATCGCACCGGCTTTGCTGCACAACGTCATCGACCTTCCCTCAGACCAACTCACGAAGCAGTAGGTTGATTTTGAGCAACTTTGTACGACTCCAATCGATGCCAACTAACGTTTCACCGCACCTCACCTTCGTCAGCATCTCTGCCGATGACGATCCCGACTCCGCGTTTTCGACCGTCAACGTCGGACCCTTGGCCGATCGGAAAGTACGAGAAATCGAACCGTCCAATGAGCCCTCAAGCGGTCAGGTCGGCAAGGAAGCGCTCGACATCCTCCGCTCGCTCGCTCATTTGTCGCACGGAGCCCAGCTCTCGTCGATGCTGACCGCGATGGGCAACTATCTCGATCGAGCTCGTGGCGGCGCTCTGTGGAAGGAACGTACACTCGTCACTTGGTTGGGCAAAACGATCATCGCCGCATGCCCCGTTCAATATCGAGCGACCGTGGTGGGGTGGTGGTTGGATATGATCGTCGAGATCGACGACACCGACGCGACACCGAAATCCGAAGCGCTGCTTTACACGCTTGCGCAAATCTTGCGGGGTCCTACAAGTCTCGTGGGGCTTGGAATTGGTGGCGTTCTGAACCAGTTGACGTCGCTCGTCGTCAAGAGGTGCCCGTGGGGTGACAAGGATCCTCTGACGAAGCCATTACTGGCGACCATCTCTTCATTGGCTTCGTCGCACGTTTACTACGTCGACCAGGTCAATGACATCGTCTCGGACCTGATCGAGGCACTCCGATCCGTTCGCGACGGCGCCGGGGTCGCAGCACGCCTCAACGAACGCGAGCGCTTCCGTGCCTTGCGACAGCTCTCCGGTGCGCTCAAGCAAGTCTTGCTTGAAGCAGCCAAGTCGAGTGACTCGGTCAAGATCGCCGTACCTGTCAAAGCGAACGGTGTCAACGGTCATGACACGAAGAGTAGAACCGTCTCGACAACCGGTCAAAAGGACGACTTCGGTCGACCCAAGATGCGCGTTGCCGAAGCCGGGAAACGGAATCGCATCTCCCCCGAGGTCTTTATGGGGTCCTTGTTCCTCCTTACACAAAACGACGCCATCGCTCGAACGGACTATGAGCGAGCGCTCCTGCTCTACGTCGCGAACGAGTTGGCGATCCCCGAAGACGAGGAGGACGTTGCGACGGATTCGACATCGAGCTTTGCCAAGTTCTGTCGAGCCTTATTCACCTCGATTCAGGAGTTAGCTCTTTCACCTATACTGCGGCCCGCTGTCAATAACTATGGACGGGCTCTCTCGAGAAGGACCTCGGGTGCCGCTTCCGTTCGTTCGAGGAGATCGCGCAGGAGAAGGTCATCGTCTGCTGTGGCCGATTCGCTCTCCTCCGTCGCTTCGGCTGCCGACTATGCGGCCTTGATCGAGATCCTGCGGTCCTTCATTGCGCGCAAATCGGCGACGGCCGTCGTCAACGTCGTGCCCATGTTGATCGCTCTCCAGAAGAGTGCCGCGCGGTGGGGATCCACGGCTGAGGCCGATGGTCACATTGTTCCCCAAACCGATGAACGCACTCAGGCATGCCGAGAACTTGTCGCCCAAACATTCCATACGATCGGAGAAGTTTGGGGAGCGACCGAGACGCAACGGTTGGCCGCACAAGCCGTGTATGCATTGAGCCCTTCGGTTCTGCCTCGTTTGGGCGCTTCGACCTCGGGAGAGTTCGCTGCAAGAGCTTCTACTGTTTCGTCGCAAATCGACCTGGCGGGTGTCATTGATGGACTGGCGTCGAGCTTAAACTTGCAACAAGCGGCTGGGCAAGGATTGGGGAACGCACTGGTGCAGCCTTGGCAGCCTGAGATCTTGGTCGATGGTGAGTCTGGCGTAGTGTCGTCCTCATTCATCTAACGCAGCCGACTACTGACAGTCCTGCTGAATACAGGACGAGCACTCGGTTCAGGACCGTACGGCCAAGGCAACCGCTCCGTCACGAATCTCAGCAACGTCGGTCTCAATCGCGGAGGTTCCATGGCCGAACGTCGATCGCTCCGGGCGCCTTCACTTGTCGATCTTCAATCCTCTCTCGGAAGTCGAGCCGCCAGTGCACGAGGAAGTGCGGCGGCCTCTATCGCCAGTACAAATGCGTATTCGTTGGCCAACTCTGCAAATGCACCCGGTACGGGCGCCCCATCGGGTCGGAGGACGAGCAAGGCCAAGGCTTCGGCGGTGTTGGAACGTTTAAGCGTCTCCGCGGCCAAGAAGACGTCCGTCGTCCTGCCTCAGGCTCTGCGAGGAAACGGAGAGGTCTAAAGTGAATAAGCTATATACCCTAAAATATTGCTCTCCGTGAAGGACGAAGCATACCCTACCGTTCGGCCCGTCCCAATCGGACACTCGTCTCTCTTAGCACTCTCTTAATAACTATCTTCATTTATCAAGGATTGCATCTTTTCCCCTTTTTTTGGTTTTGGTTTTCATCCTCGTTTGCTCTTTTCTGCTTTGCATTCGGAAATCTTGCTGTAATGCCAACGGATCGCCATCTTAACTCGGCCCCATGAGGTCGAGGGTTAGTGTATGCAGTTCGGCCTCCGGGTGCGTAGGTGCCGCTGTGCCGTAGTCACCGAGCCGACTCTGAGACAAAGGGAGCACGCTAAAGTGCTGGTGGGAACAAGCATCAGGCTTCGAATACACTGTCTCTGCTCCGCGGCGACGGAAACTCTGATGAGAATTCACGAGTCCTGGAGGGACTCTCTGTAAGGTATGCGCCTCTGATGTGCATAAAATACAATCTGTCGTTCTTGACCGCTAGTCTAAAAGCAAGTCGTAACTAGAACTCGACAGTTTTAGCTACTCAGAGGCTACTTATAGGGCTGTTCTGTAAGGCATCCCCCGGTTTGTGTTATCATCGTCGACTTCCATCTAGTTTTTCCGTAGGCCAATCAGGGGGGACAGGAATTGGGGGCAATATGATGAACAGTTTCTACAAAAAAAAAAAAAAAAAAAAAAAATCCCCTTTTCGACCAAGTGTCATTTGTTGTACATGCATTGAACTCTACGAAGAGCGCAACGACGGGGTTCAGCCCTTACGAGCTTGCGCGAGTGGTTCCACCGACGAATATTCCTGGCGAAAGCACCAGTAGGAACGCCGGCTGCAGAACTACTACAGGATGCTGTTACACGCGCACACTGCGCTCGTGACAAGATACTGAAGGCACGCAGAACGCAGGCCTTTTTCGCTAACCGGAAGCGGAAGGCCGAGAACAAAGGGGACTCGCGTTCGCCTATAGGCGGTCTTTATTTGGTGAAGACCGAGAACTTTGCGAGCGCTGCGCACCGCGCGCGAAAGTGGACAGCGCCTTGGGCTGGGCCGTTCGTGTGCACGGGTTACACTCCTGCAACATCGACGTACACGTACAGCTCGGCGCTCGATACGCGAACAGGAACATACACCCAGGTGGGTAGCCAATGATCAGGAGCGGTTTCCGAACCGTCTTTTCAACCCGAAGCCATTGTTCCCGATCGACGGAGTCAAGTTGTTGACGGCTCTCCCGGAGTGACTCGCGAACAGATGTCAGCCACGAACGGCGACGACTTGAGATATATACCGAAGAAGAAGACACCACCATGCACGGCGTGGACAACCGGGCGGTGACACCCAGGACGGAGGCAAATTTGTACGGGGTGACAACGCCGAAGGTGGCGAGGCGAGCGCAGATCTTGCTCCCGCCGCCGCGAACCCCCAGCCGGAGCGCCAGGAGAGCTGCAGGAGACCGCGCCGACCGAAGCCGAGTCGGAAAATCCAAGAGCACACATGGCAGATGGCGACGAACAGAACACTTTGACCAATCTTCCCGCTACCTTGCCTACGTTGCGTCGCGCGACGGAAGAGGAGCGACAGATTCAAGAATCGAACCGAGCGCCGCCTCCGCCACCTCCCCGGGCCCGGGAGCCAAACGAGCGTGTACGCGAAGTCTCACGCATTCTCGCAGCGTTTGCCGACCAAGGCGATCTCGAGTTCAAGGTCTTCCTGCGTAATCAGAACAAGCGGGAGTACCTCAAGTCGTCCTCGCCGGAGATGACTCTCCTTTGGCGCGCGCAGAAGCGGGGGGAAAGGACTCTCCTGACGACCTTTTTGGCGAATAATCATGTTAGGACGGAGGAAGAGCTTGTGGCGAAGCTGGTCCGTTCGAGTAACGATAGACATCTCAGCGTTGGAAAGAGTACAGCTAACGCAATGGATGTCTTGGTCAACAGCGAGACGTTGCCGACCAACAAAGCAACGACGAGCATCACCTCACGCGAAAAGAGGCGCGCGACCGCATGCGCGCGATCGAGCAGAGGGGCGACTTCAGTCGCCGAACCAATGAGCTCCTCCAATTCGAGGTCGAAAGGCAAGACCTCACGCAACGCTATATCGACAACGACCAGCGTCAACGCGGCTACAACCCACTTGGATACCTTGCTCTATTGCAACAATTGGCCAAGGAGGCTGAGATCATGTTCAATGTGCAAGAGGCAAGCAAATTGGCGGCGAAGCTACCAGTTGGTCAGCGTATCTCGAACTACGAGGCTGCGACGAGTGGCTCGATGATGAACAAAATGCTTCGCAAGGCAGCGAAGTCAGCGGAAAACAAAGCCGTAGTTCGAGATACGCTGACCAACTGGTAGCTTCGCCGCCAATTTGCTTGCCTCTTGCACATTGAACATGATCTCAGCCTCCTTGGCCAATCGTTGCATCCGCGACCAAGTAACACGATCGGGATCTGAAGTAAAAGTGCACCACCTATAGAGGTGGCAGCGGTAGGACGATACGCAGCAGTGTCAGAACCGATAGTTGAGGAACAAGTGATTAAGTATTGCAACTAACCTATAGAGGTGGCAGCGGTAGGACGATACGCAGCAGTGTCAGAACCGATAGTTGAGGAACAAGTGATTAAAGAAAAGCTAAACAAGGGAGTCCGCATTGCGAAGGCATAGGCCCACGCGCAAGAATATAATCCACTCAGACACTAAGTTTAATCCACTGCCTTAAAACCAATCGAGCCCCTGGGCGCGCGCCGCGCCTCGTTACCGATGGCCTACCACCTAGACAACACTCCCCCTGGTCGAGGTAGCGAGAGAAGCCATACCAAGTCCAGCGCGATGCTTGAGAAAGAGTGCTTTAGGCAGTGCCTTTGTGAACATGTCGGCCGTGTTGAGCGCGGTCGGACAGTATTGAAGGGTGATGTCACCGAATTCAACGCGTTCACGTACGTAAAAATGGTGCACGTTCCAGTGACGAGTGCGACCACGATCAGCGGGATTGCGGACGATAGCGATACAAGCTTCGTTGTCTTCATGTAGAACAGTCGACGAGGTTTGATCGATGCCCAATTCGAGGGCGAGAGAGCGAAGTCCAACTGCCTCTTTGGAAGCAGCAGACGCAGCAAGAGTTTCAGCCTCGGTTGTGGACGTAGCGACGATAGATTGCTGTTTGCATTGCCAGGAGACGGGACCACCCGCGCACATGGCAACATAGCCGCCGGTCGATTTACCGTTGTCCCAGTCGTCGGCCCAAGACGCATCAGAGTAGATCTCGAACTTGGTAGAAGCGCCAAAACGAAAGACAAGACCGAGGTCGACAGACGTAGAGAGATAACGAAGGATACGTTTGATAGCGATCCAGTTCGTCATGGTAGGCGCAGCGACGTGCTTAGCGACAGAACGAACAGCGTTGGCGATCTCCGGACGAGTGCGATGAGCCGCATATTGCAAAGCACCGACGGCCGATTGATAAAGTTTGACATCCGTGAAAGGTTCATTCGATTCGACGACGTTCCGATCTTCCATAGGAGATGAGACCGGACGGTTCGAGACAGAATCGAACGCATAAGTCTCAAGGAGACCACGAACATACGTACTCTGGTGTACCATGATGTATTCGGAAGTGCGATGGAACTCTAGGCCGAGGAAAGTTTTGACGGGACCGAGTCGTTTAAGCGAGTATACCGAATTGAATGCAGATAGTTCATCATTGAGGAACTGTTGGTCGTTCGAAGCAGCGAGTCCATCGTCGACGTAAAGTGATACGAAAATGAACCGACGACCTTTGCGTTTGATGTAGAGACAAGCGTCCGACGTAGAGCGATGGAAGCCACGAGTCTTCATGAGGTCATCGACCGCGGCATACCATTGACGACGAGCTTGCTTCGTTTTTGAACTGAACCGGGCTTGTGTGCAAGCGGCCAGCCATCAGGAACCTTGATATAAACATCTTCCGTCATCGTGCCATTGAGAAAGGCTGAATCATAGTCGAACTGTTCAAGGACGAGGCCTTGGGCAGCGGCGATAGCGATGAGGAATAGGATGGTAGAAAGTGAAGCGACGGGAGCAAAGTTGTCGATGAAATCGACACCGTACGTTTGTGAATAGCCTTGAACAACGAGACGAGCCTTGTACTTGGTGATATTTCCTTGTGCATCTTCTTTACGCGTGTAGATCCAACGAACACCATGAGCGCGCATACCAGTTGGAAGAATAGCGGAAGCGAAAACCTTGAGTTCGACGAATTTCGCAATCTCGGCGGCTTCGGCGGCTTTCCAGAAAGGAGCTTCGATGGAGGCCATAGCTTCTTCATGAGTACGAGTTAGTGCGAGGTTGGTGGGTGAAACACGGGCAACAAGTTCAGGAGGATCGAGATAGATGTGATTCGTATCGATGACCGAGTAAGCAGCGAGGCGACGTTGACGGCGGGAACCAGCGGGCAAGATATTATCCTCGTTGATGTTTTCTAGAGGACCCGGATTGCGACCGACGTTGTAAGGACGATATTCATGGCCATCATTAGGGTAAGCAAGATTGTCAGCTTCATTATCGGACCCAGGATCAGGTGTCACTGGCCTAGAAGGATGATCATCATCATCTCCAGCTAGAGTGCTAGGAGCGGGACTAACCGGTGTTACTGGGCGAGGTGCAACAGCAGGACCAGGTACATCTGCGCGAGGTGCTACAGGAAGGTGGACATCGTCCTCAAGTTCGATAAAGTTTTGATCAGGTCGAAGCTGAGGAACCATTTCGTACTCGTAAAGATGTTCGACGACGAAATCGCGAGGATCAGACTGGATGTCAATGATCGGAGTAGACGAGGTCGAGGGAATGTCCGAAAATGTCACATCTCGAGTAATAATGACCTTGGGTGTAGTGTTTCGATCGACAAGGATGAGATAGTTGTATTCACCGCTGTAGCCGAGAAAGATGCCCTTTTGTGAATGATCGCTCAACTTCTTGCGAAGTGCCCTAGGTAGTAGTGCATAGGCGGTAGAACCGAAGGTGCGAAGATGCGAAACGTCGGGCTTGTGACCAGTGTAGAGTTCATACGGTGTCTTGCGCTTAGAAGGATGAAGCGAGCGGTTGAGAGCAAACGTGGCCGATGCGAGAGCGTAAGACCAGTACTTTCCGGGAAGACCAGCGTACTTGAGCATTGCACGAACGAGATCAAAGAGGGTGCGATTAGCTCGTTCGGCTTGACCATTTTGTTGCGGGGTGTAACGTGCGGTAGTTTCGTGTGTGATACCAAGACGACGGAACTCATCACCGAGAAGTCGATTGACAAACTCAGTACCATTGTCGGAACGAACAAACTTGACCTTTTGACCAGTCAGACGTTCGGCGTAGGTGATAAACGAATTCCATGCTTCGAGTACGACGGCGGCTGTCTTGGAGACAAGCGGATAGGTGAACTTCGCGTTTGAGAACTGATCGACGATAACAAGATAGATCGATCGGCCTTGGAAGTCTTCATAGTCGACGAATCCCAAATCCATAGAGATGCGATACAGAACGTGATCTGCCCACCGGGATTGTTGATTATGAGAAGTTGCCGTCATTCGAGTAAGGATGCACGATTCGCAGTCGACGACGGTTGTGTCAGTCAAGCGAAGGCCGGTGACCGCTCCCGCACGATGCAGGGCGAGGAGCGAAAGTTGCGAAATATGGTTGAAAAACAAGTGCCAAGAATAGAGCGAAGCGCTAGTCGATGATCGAGTGACAGCATCGACAGGTTCTTCAGGGACCACAGTGAAGTTGAAGTTGTAATCGGTGTCGATTTCGGTGCTGGCAACAATGCTACTGCCAACATGCACGTTGATAGTCGAACCGTCATCTCCGAACGATAGTTTAGCTCCGGCGATACGGAGTGCCTTGAAAGAGACTAGACCTTGTTCAGCGCCGGGGAGATGATAAACCTTCTGAATGTTGAGCGTATGATTCTTGTTCGTGCGAACGGTAATGGAACCATAGCCTTTGCAGAGAACCGGGGAACCATTGGCTACACGGACCATGACCGGGTCGAGAGTGAAGTTTCGCAAAAGTGAACGATCATAAACCTTCTGAATGTTGAGCGTATGATTCTTGTTCGTGCGAACGGTAATGAAACCATACCATTTACTCCATCGGTGAATCTTCGGATGCCGCCCCGCTCCGAAACACGTGGATCGGCGATACTGGCGCTCATCGTCACTTCGTCGGTGATCGTTCACTTTTGCGAAACTTCACTCTCGACCCGGTCATGGTTTGTTGACATTTCAGTCACCGCGTTTGCATCGACGGCCGAACTACCAGACTTGGATTTCCATTCGGAGTGTCGTTTGTGTTGAGGGCACTTCATGTCGATGGACCAATGTCCGTTTTCCCCGCAAGCAGTACAGACACAGTCGGGTTTACGCTTCGGTCCTTGGTTCTTCTTCGAGCCCCCTCGCTTTCCACCATTTCCCTGACTCGCGTCCGAAATACGAGCGGCGAGAGTAGTAGACGAAATATCCGAAAGTTTGTCGACAGGTGGAGTAGATCGAGGTGAGAACCGAGCTTGAAATTCGAGCGAAGTCAGCTTGGACCGAGTGTAGGTAATGATTTCCGCCGATGGAGCGAGCGGACGACGAAGATTGTCCAAAGTCGAAGCCCAGGCGGGATGAGTGACCGAGTCCAGCATCAGATTCGACTTGTAAATGTCATCGAAAGATTGGCCAAGCTCGTCGAGTCGAGTAAACAGATCTTGTAGACTGGTGAAGTGCTTCACGATCTCTTTTCCTTTCGAGAATTGGAGATTGCGAAGTTGTGCCGTTAAAAATCGAACTTGATCAGAGATCAGTCCGACGTGGTTGTCGTGTAAACTCTTCCACATCTCATTTGCAGTCGTGCAAGTGCGAGCGGTGACAGCGTTGTCGGAGTCGAGGTAGTTCAAAATAAGGGATTGAGCCTTGGCGTCTTGTTTAAGTAACGCCTTTTGGCGCGCGGTGAGCAGTTCGGGCGCCAGGAGCAGATCGAATATTGTGAGACGAGGGCCCGCACCGGTGCGAAGGCCAAGTCCCAGGGCGGAGGCTTCGGTTTTGGAAAAGCCGAGGCTGACTATTCCCCATAAGTCGTGGTTGACCAGAACAAGTTTCAAACCACGTTCCCAGGCATGGTAGTTGCCTGTCTTGAGTATCGGTACTCGGTTGACATCTGATCTCGAGTGGTAGGAGATCAGATCGGCAGGGGGTGCGTCCCCATCGCCTGTTTCGACGTAGAGCGTCGAGCTCATAACCTGAAGTAAAAGTGCACCACCTATAGAGGTGGCAGCGGTAGGACGATACGCAGCAGTGTCAGAACCGATAGTTGAGGAACAAGTGATTAAAGAAAAGCTAAACAAGGGAGTCCGCATTGCGAAGTCATAGGCCCACGCGCAAGAATATAATCCACTCAGACACTAAGTTTAATCCACTGCCTTAAAACCAATCGAGCCCCTGGGCGCGCGCCGCGCCTCGTTACCGATGGCCTACCACCTAGACAACAGGATCTCCCCGCAGCAACTGTATATTCTGGATCAGTCCCGGGTGCAGCGAGTCGTAAAGCTTGCGCGTCATCTCGTGTTCGCTCGTTGCTGCGCGATCTTTCGAGACTTGGTTGATCTCGCGGACAACTTCGGTAACTCTCTTCAGGCTCCCATCGGGTCGTTCCTGATAGATTTTGTTCCACTTCGTTTCCGCTTCTCGATGCTCAGTAGGTGAGACGTATTCTTTCTCGAAACGACGAATCACCTTGCTGAAGGGGTACGGGCACACAATAACGTTTGCATCACGTTCTGGCCTACGCATTGCCTGCCTCCAGTCTGCATGCATTTCCTTGGCCATTCCATCCAAGCACATCTGAATATACGGCACAGATGTAGGTCTCGGGATTGATACCCATCGTACTCAGATAGGCATCTACGTCCCGTGTCCAAGTTCGCAACGTGGCCGGGCGATCGTCCGTGCCATCGTACTTCTTAGGAGCTTCAATCTTGGGGCGCGGTGCAGTTAGTTGGAATTGCACCGCGTTCCCTCCCCACCTATCGGGTCGTTCAGGCCCGACATCGGGAGCTCCACTGTCGGAAAGCGAAGGGCCTCCATCAGGTGGATCACCACTACCACCTCGTTGCGGGACGGGTGGTGAATGGTATGGAATGCGAAACTCGTCGTCGGACGAATCATCGTCAGACGACGGTGGATCGCCTCCTTGAGGAGCTGCCACTCGAGCTCCAACCTTCGGTGTGAAGGCCGCCTGCGTGGCTCGGCCCCTCCGCTCGGTCCTTGTTTCAGGGGACTGATGCTCATCCCCCGAAATTGAGTTGGCTCGTGGGCGCGAAGTCTTCGGTGTTCTAATCTCGATTCGCACCTTTGAGGTCTTTTCTTGATCTGAGTACGGCTGCTTAGCATAATGCACATTAACATCCGTACTTCCTGGGAAAGATTTTGGGTCATTTTGCATAGCAACCACACGATTACGAGCCTCCTTCAAGTCTGTAGTTCCCAAGTCGGAAAGGCTTCGAGGTCGTAATAACACGCGAGCCTTAGGGGTTTCTGTCATCTCACTCGAATTGTCATCGAGTTCAGTCAGGGGCACCTGAGCCTCAAGTGTCTGACTGCCTTCGACGCCGGCGCTGTCTTGCGCACGGACATCCGTACCAGTAGTCCAGAGTCCTTCGATACTGGCCATTACAACGTCCAATTTCTCTTGGGCCTTACGGCGTAGTTCAGTGAATTATCTCACTTCATCTACAAGCTGTTGCAATGTCTTGTGCTTGAGCTCCTTTTCATCCGCGGAGTGTCTGTCCTCCGAATCCTCGCCACTGGCGCTTCCCATGTCTAAGGAGCGTTTTTCCAGTGACTTTGATGGTGTCGCGTCCGGCCCATCGTTGGCTTGTTCTTTGACCTCCAGTTCCTGACTGCCTGTCATTTGTGTCGCTGTTGCGTCCGCCTGTCCTGGCTTCACCTGTGGTCCCGAATTTCCCGGAGAGCCTTGCGCATGCTTGCGCATGTGGGAATCCCCCACGAACTCTCCGAGTCTTGGGCAAGCTGGATATCGGAATGGTCTGAAGACATTGTAACTGATTGCAGATGGGTTAATCTCGTCCACCTACTACAACTACACGATACTTCGTCCAGCGAAGTAACTCGTCGTCGTTGACTTGTTGTGCTGAGAGGAGATCCTGCACCGGTCTTTGTTCTTGTGATCCGAATCGGGAAGGTGCAAAGCCCTTCGCAATTCACTCGCTCGTGAAAGAGCCTTCTCTATCCCTTTCGGGCCTACCCTCTTCGGGCCTTCAGATACAGGGACTACAAGTAGTTCCCTGACACTGACTGTCGATTCGATGTACTTGAAGTCCTCCAGCGAAGTTGGTTTCGACTGGTGTAACAAGTAAAAAGATGTAAGGGTCGTGCCTTACAGAGAGTCGCGAGGACGATCGTAGATCGAAGTCGTGACAGTGAGGGGCGGTAGAGGATACTTGTTAAACGTCGTTACTGGGTTTCAGTTCGAAGTAAAACTACCTACCAAGAGAGAGAAAGAGAGAAAGAGAGAGATGGGGAAGGGCGTCCCAATTGAGTGAGGCCGAGGCCCGTGCGTCGGTGTCAGTCTTGACGTCCGCTAATTGCTCGCTCGAGTTGCTCGGTCGTCCGCATGAGCTCCGGACAAGCCGCATTCCCGCGCCGATTCCAAATCACGCCTTTTCAAAGCTCGCTCGCGTGTGCTTGCTTTCACGCCCAAGCTTCGTGTTCTGGGCCCCGATCTCAGCTGGCTCTCCGTGGCAGTCCGTGGCGATCCCAACAACTCTTCAGCCTGCTTTCTTTATTGTAGCAGAGCCTTTTCTTTTCCTCCCCATCCACGTTGTTCCTCCGTCCCGAACCAACTCTGCTGTCGTGTAAGTGCTTTTAGACGAGCGCACTGAGAAGAGAAAAGGACCCGGCGTAAGGTTGCAAGTTGCGACCCGCGAGCCAATTGGTTGAGCGCCAGCCACGCGGGCTGATTGGTCGAATCAGGCATCGAGATTGTGTCTCCGAGGCATGATTGCATGAGCTCATCCGGGTTACGAAACTGCCTGTCCTTTGCTCTTGTGCTTACACCCATCTCCCGAATCGAATCGTTCGGCACCCTCTCTTACAACTTCATTTTCTCCCGCGCGGAAGCACAGTCAAAGCATGTCGTTGACACCTACATCGTCCAAGGAGGAGCTCGAGCGGAAGCAAAAGATCGAGCAGCAGCAAGCCACGGTCATCACGGACGATGGCGCCTCGGTCGTCGAAAGCCAGGCGATCCGCGAAAGGAAATTGACCTGGGTTGAGGCGACCTTATTGCTCCTGACCGAATACGTCGTTTTGTGAGTGGTGATCGCTTCTGACTGAGCCGACGATAGGCCTTGGGACCCGGGAGCCGTCTTCGGGATTCGCTCGAAGTCCACCCGCTCGGCAGTGGCTCAAATGTCGAGTCGCGCGGACCAGTCGCGTGAGGGCCTCCTCAAGTTGCCCGGTGGCCTCGTCGTCCGCAGTTTGCCGTCAATCATTCTGTCGCACAACGTATGCCTATCATGATCATTCGCTAATCCGGACATGTATCCTATTAGGGCCATCCTTGCATTCCCTTCGTCATATCTTGTCCTCGGCATGGCCGGTGGTGTACTCTCGACACTGATCATCGGCGTAAGTATACAGTTGGGCCATAGCTGGCGGCGAATGCCTAGTGTCGCGGCCAACAACGTCGATACCGAACGGGAAACATGGCGAGGAGCGATATCTTCTTTGGTGACTGACTTATCTTTATTTTTATCCTCGCAGGTCTCCACTTACTACACCTCGCACGTCTTGTGGCGGTACTGCCTCAAGCATCCCGAGATCCGGGATATTTGCGCAAGTTTGCGCCTGACCTCAGCTTACGCCGACGGCCATAGTGCAATCGGCTGACCCTTGGCTTGTTGCGTTCTTCCAGGATGCCGCTTACGTTTTGACTGGGTCCAAGATCGCTTGTAAGTGGGGAAGGAGCGAGACGACTTTTTTTTCTTTTTGCGACTACTTCGCTGAACGTCTGGCGTATCTGTTTCTGCAGGGTTCGCCGCTTTCGTCGGTTTGGCCTTGAACAACTGGTGCGTGCTCGTCGGCTCTTCGACCATGGCAAGAGTTCAACGCTAATCACGATTATTATCGAGCTACAGGGCTATCATGGGCTTGCACGTTAACGCTGGTGCGACCGCGATTCAATCCAGTGCGTACACCATTTCGTCGGTCGAATCTCCGCCTTGAAGCTGACAGGAGTGTCTGCCTTGCTGAACCGTCCAGTCCGTGGTGGAACCGAGACGACGCTGTTCTGGGCGTGCATGATGGGTCTCATCATGCTGATTCCTTCTTACATTCGCGAATTTAAGCACATGAGGTCAGTTTTTGACATGCAGCGGCGTGATTGTCGACCTGTTTGCTTACTATCGAGACATACCGTGTCCCGTGTCTTTCAGCTACCTCGGCACCCTCGCGGCTTTCACCATGTTCATCTGCGTCATTATTACGATTGCCGGCCATGGTGTCCAGCCCCACCCCAATTACTGGCCTTCGCTCGGCACTGACGTCACCTACACCGTCTGGGCCCCCAAGGGCACCTCTTTCATTCAAGGCATGAACGCGTTGCTCAACATCGTCTACACCTGGATTGGACATGCGCTCATCCCTTCGTTCGTTGGTGATATGGAGAAGCCCGAGGACTTCCCCAAGGCCCTCGCCGTCTCGATGCTATTCGAGTTCATTCTTTTCACCCTCACCGGTGCTTTGGTCTACTTCTACGCTGGACAATACTCGACTGCCCCTGGCTATGGTTCCTTGATCGCCAAATACGGCAAGGTCGCGGCTGGGTTTACCTTGCCGACCATCGTCATCGTCGGCGTGCTGTACTCGCTCGTCACGAGCAAGGCCGTGTTCTACCAAATCTTCCGTGAAGGCTCGAGGCATCGCACGCAGCACACCGTTCTGGGATGGTCGACATGGTTCGCCGTCGTCACCGCTGGTTGGATCATCTCCTTCATCATCGGTCAAGCCATCCCCTTTTTCAACGACTTGCTCGCGCTCATTTCGTCGCTCTTCGACTCGTGGTTCGGTTACATCCTCTGGGCGTTGTGCTGGTTCCAACTCTACCGCGGCCGCTACACCGAGACGACGGGTCGCAAGATCGAATTCGTCGTCAACATTGTAATCCTCATTACGGGTATCTACTTCTTCGGTGCGGGCACCTACGCCAGTGTTCAGTCCATCATAAACTCGTACCATGCTGGCGCCGTCAAGACACCTTTCACCAAGGTCGATACTGGTAAGTTGCAGCAAGCCGTACGAAAGTAAGACGTTGTGCGGGCTGATCTAACCGCCGTTTCTTTCCCATCCTTCCTTCTCAGGCTTCACCTTCCCTTCGCCTTCGTCGTACAATGCGACGTCCGGCAAATTCAACTAGACGTCGCGGGCTTTCGGATTGGCGGACGCAAGGTACCTTTCTGAGTCTGTCCCTCACCCTGTCTTCTTTTATTTCGATACATTTACGGATAGGGTTACTAGGTTCGCGGGCGCTGTGCGCCCACGTCCCTGCGTAATTCAAGAATATTCAAGGGCGAAGTTGCAAGTAGTATAGGGTTACCAGCGGATCTTGTGAATGCTAGTGTTGTTCCGTTCTCTGTCTCCCGCTGGCCATTTTAATTATGGAACGAATTGTCGCTTGGGAAGATATAGCATATATGATATCGCAATAGTCGAGTCCGGCGCCAAGCCATCTGTTCGGCGCCGCTGTGACACTTGCGGTCCCCGCCCCCACTTGTCGGACGTCGGGCGCCAGCCCTGGCGTGGACCGGCGGGCCCGGCGCCAGTGACACGCTGACACGCTGACACGTCTTCACTCTTCCTCTTGAACCGCCCTCATCGTCCCTTCACGGACCATCATGACTCCCAAGACTCAGAAAAGCGTCTGGATCGGAAAGACGGACAGGATCATCAAAGATCTACCTGTGCCTTCGCCGGAGAAGGGAGAAGTGCTCATCAAGAGTGAGTCAGCACTGACTAAGCAGTACTTGGGAAGCTCGCGACATATGGCGTCACCTCGGAGCCGTGGCCGAGCACAGACAGGGGCTTCGGCGATCGAGAGAGGAGAGACCTGCATAGACAGCTAATCTGACCATCTCATCTGGCAGACGTCGCTGTGGCCTCTAACCCGAAGGACTGGAAGCTGCCGTACTACATCCCCGACTATGCCGCCGTCGAAGGCAATGACGTAGCCGGTTACGTCGAACAGGTCGGAGAGGGCGTCACAAAGTTCAAAGTTGGTGATAAGGTAAGGTGTATTCACTGAAAGGGATCCGCGATACCTGTATTCCCCTTTGGTCGGGTCGAGCATGTGGTGCCCCAAAATCGTCCCTCGCCCCAAATCTAGCTCGACGATCCGAACTAGACAGCTGACCCCTCCTTACACGACAATATCGTTCACCCATCGCCACAGGTTGCAGCCTTCACCAAGATGCGAGGTGGAGACCGCACGGGAGCGTACCAGCAATACTCGATCGCGCCTTCTCACACGACTTTTCATCTCGGACTGGAAACCTCGTTCGAGGACGGTTCGACTCTGACCCTCGCCTACATGACCGCCGTCGTCGGAGTGTATCAACGCTTGGGTCTGCCTCAACCCGGTCAAAAAAAGGAGGGAAGTAAGAAGGAGGGTTTACTCATTTGGGGTGGGGCGACCACGGTCGGTTACTTTGCCATCCAGCTGGCCAAGGTTCGTTGCATTGATTCGTGGGTCTCGTGCTGGAGGACTGATGGAGGCAGAGATGTTGATACTTCTACTTCTATCTGTCAGATGTCTGGACTCTACGTCGTCGCAGTTGCCGGCTCGTCAGCGCCGCTCCTCTCTTCATTGGGCGTGGACGAGATCCTCGATTACCGCAACAAGTCTCACGAAGACCTCGTCTCCGAAATCCGCAAAGCGTATGACGGACAACTCCACTACGCTTTCGACGTCGTGTCCGAGAACGGCACGCTCGAAGCGATCGCCGAGGCGTTCCAAGGTCGATCCGGCGCCAAAGCCACCTACACTCTGACGTACGACAACAAGGTCCTTGACGAGATCAAGGAGAAGGGCGTCGAAACGGTCCGAACGCTCGTCGGTACGGCTCATGGCGGTGATTCCGAAGCGTTAGCGGAAGAGTACTTTGACAAAGTCGGCAGGTGGGTCGAGGAGGGGTCGTTCAAGCCGATGAAGGTCACGATCGTACCTGGCGGGTTAGGCGGGGTTAAGGAAGGACTGAGGAGGTTGCAGGAAGGCGAGGTCAGGGGTGAGAAGTTGGTCTATAGGATCAACGAGACTGAGGGCTTGTAGAGGTCAACTTCTAGACATCTTGTATGGAAGATAGAAAGCTTGCAATATTGAATGCGTGTAAATTGGAGGGACGGAGAAGACAGAGTGCCCTTTGTCGTTGGCGACCACGTCACCTAAGGCATTAGAAGTCGAACTGGGGAATTCAGCAACTTCCACTCGATGCCCTCAGACAAGTGGGGTCAACGTCGACGTCCAGCTCACACTTAGCGACAGCCGATGACTTTAATAGAGGCTCCCTCGCTGCTTGAGGAATTGTTCGTCACCCTGCTCGAACCCTCTCAACCGGCAGTTCGTTCCGTCATGCCACAAGAAGTCAAGGGAGCTTATTTCAACGTTTTGATAGCCTTCACCGTACCGTACCTTTTTTCCGAAACATATTTCTGACGCGCGCTCAGAGCTCTCGTGCGCTCGCATATCGAGTGATCGCTGTGAGAAAAACGAGAATTCATTCGGGATCGCAACTTTCGCGTCATCGACTGGCCGAAGTCCGCGGCGCACTCGAAGACGAAGTCAGCATCGGCTGCGTTGACGGGAGCCACTCAATCACGCTCAGCACGGCAGAAGCAAAGGATTACGCGGCTGCATATGATCCGTACGACCGCGCTCCTCGCTCCTGCGATCGGGGTCACCCTTTGCGGGGACTTGCTTCAAGCCTACCTCGTCAATGCAAGTTGGACGTTCACAACGAACGCCCACAAGTGCGACGAGGAAGCAGTGCTGCTTCGGCGCGTGCTGTCACGCCCCATCGAAATCGACGACGACGGGCTCGGGATGCTGGCCTCGACGAACGAGGTCGACGACGTTTGCGGAAGTTTTGTCGTCTCGGACAAGCTTCTCCCACCCCGCGCTCACGACTTCGAGTCCGAGCTTGGTCGAGATCTCGAGATCCAGGAGCTCCTCATTCAACGCCGAAACTGCCCTGGTCTCACCACCTCCGCGTTCCATGCCACCGCACGACACGCGCCTGTGGACCCCACGTCGATGACCCCGATCACGTCGACCTCGCCTACCCCTGCGGCCGAGTACGCTATGACCGTCGCATGGGCAGAACAGTCCTTCCTCGGCGATGTCATGGCACTACGTCGCAAGATGCACGCCGCGTTGCGTGCCGACACCGAGGGACTAAGCCTTAGCGCCGGCATCTACCGGGGCGACTTGCGCACGCTTCCGGCCCTCTTCGGCGACGATGAAAGCTTCGATGATATTGAGCCCCGGGCACTCGAGGTAGTCTTCCACCAACAGTGCTATCGACCCCTCAACACGGCGACCACGACCAAGGAACTCGCCCAGGCCGTACTTGGAGTCGTCAAAGGTGAGCACGGGGATCGACTGGGCGGCCTTGCGTTTGCGCTCCCTAGCCGACACGCCCATTCCCATGACAATGCAGGACACCGAAACCTCTACACGCTGGGGTATATCCACCGGGATATATCGTACGATAACGCCGTCATCGACCGCGACGGTGTTGGCACCCTCATCGATTATCACCTCGCCGTCCCGCATGATCGACCTTGCACCGAGCTGCACCATAGAATACGATCCGTGCGTCCTCCCCTCTGTGTGTTCCCCCGAATAAACTTTCTGACCAGCACTAACCTTTGGACTATACGACGTCTGACAGGGCACCTGGCCCTACCTCGCCTGCTCGATCCTCGCCCAACCGAACGAGCCACTCGGTGTCGTCCACGAACGGTGGCACGACATCGAGTCGCTCTTCTACGTCGTGATGGAATCTTCGTTCCGCGAGCCTTACCAGGGCAACAATGAAGAGCTTGTCATGACGCCAAAGGGTCAGATTATCTGGGGGGACTGGAATCGGCCAGAAGCGCACGTAGTCTATGAACTCAAAGATAGGCTTCGCAAGGACCGGGCATACAGATCTGTACTCGAAGGCTGCGCACATCGATGGACGAACATCAAGCAACTGGTCGATATCTTGCGACACCATTGTGGTCTTGATAACCAGTTCAATAATTTCGAGGTGGCTGCGGAAGAGGCCAAGCTGGGGGAGTTGTGGGGTCCGTCCGGGACGATGTCCCACGAAGCTATCATCTCGGAGATTGAGCGACTAATTCCCTTGCTCTGACTTCACCACCGTATGCGATGGGCTTGTTGATTGTTGTTCGTTGCTAGTTCTGAGCATTGCAATAGATATTCCACTTTATTCTCCACCCAGTCCAGTACAATTTCAAGATGAATGAATGACTGCGCCAGCTGTGCTTTCATTTGGTCCGACTGCCCAGACGGCGGTAGACCTTCTGACAGCGCAAGTTTCGACCACGACGTTCGTTGCCTAAGTCAAATTGGGATGGTCTTACATCATTTGAAAACCAAAGTTTTCCTCATACCACGTGGCAGAACGCGTAGCTTTGAGCCAGCCAAATGAAAACCAAAGCCCTGCATCAGCCTCCTGTCTTTGATCTCAAAGACGCCCCCGTGATCCCGATGGAACGCAAGGCCCACTTCAGCACGTCCTCACTCAACCGAAAGCCCGATACGACCATTAGAATCATCGCTGGAGTCTTGAAAGACTTTCCCAATGTAACAGTAGATCTAAAATATGTTTCTGCAGAGGGACGGGTCCGGGTCTTCCTCCATCGCCTGGCGTACTCTCACCAGCCCGCTGCTTGACGCTATAGTCGACGCGATCCGGCACCTATATCGTCACCCGAATGCAGGCCGCTAATCGGAAGATTGATTCCTGGTCACGCATCGACTACATCGTGTTGTTGGAATAAATTGCTCACCTGCTGGTCTCGGGGACGACGGTGTACGATTCAGATCAGATCTCACAAAGGCACGAAAGTAACAGTTCTGGCCCTGGCTCAACGTTCAATGGGCAACAGCGGTCGGAAAGGACGTTCACTGCCAGCGCATCGACCGAACCACCAAAAATGTGATATGAAAATGTGAGCACCCAACCACCCTTCCTATCTCAGAGTGTTGAAGGCTAGGCACAATCGAGGAGGGACGGAGAGCGAGAGAGAGAGAGAATGGAGTAATTTCGAGTGCGCCGCCGGGCGGACCGACGGAAGCTGTGCCGAGCCGAAGCCTAGCAGGGCAGGGTGGGGAGGCAGCTGGCGGCAGTCGTCGGCAGACGCTCGGCAGGTCCGACCACGCTGTCGGCTCTTCACTGCTTGCCTCTTGCCTCCCGCCTCTCGTCGCCCTCCGCCCGCTCTATCGCCCTTCCATCCACACCCCCCGCCAACATCCCAGATGCTGTCTCGAGCAAGTCAGGGCCGTGTGCTGGCCTCGGTCGCACGAGCGACACCGCAAGCACCCCGCACTGCCGCTCGACGGAGCGATGCCGGCAGTGAGGCCGCGTCCGTATCGCCCTCATACACCAAAGCATCCTTCTCCACCTCTCGATCCTCGCACCTCTTCCCTCTAACGCACCTCTCCCACTCGCCCGTCTTTCTCGACAAGGTAGCCTCCCCCGACAGCTCGGGCGTGATCCCCGCTTTCCGTCTGCTCGACGGCCAAGGTCACGTGCTGCCCGAAGTGCCCGAGGAATGGAAGAAGCAACTCGAGGAGGTCCCCGAGGAGACTTGGGTCAAGTTGTACAAATCCATGATGTTCCTTCCTGCTCTGGTGAGTAGTTGGGGAATGCCGTGAGCGTTCTTGGACGAGGAAGGAGGACTGAAGTCTTTGACTTTTACGTATCAGGACACGATCCTTGCTTCGTCCCAGCGGCAGGGGAGGATTTCGTTCTACAGTCAGTTGGGGGCTATGGTCATCCAAGTCAACATCAAACCACTAAGCCGAACTTATGTTGTGCTGGCAGTGACATCGTATGGAGAAGAAGGAGCCGTCGTCGGATCCGCGGCCGCGTGGTCTCCCACCGACGAAGTTTTCGCTCAGTATCGGGGTGCGTGCTTGACTCACGCCTCGCACATTCCGAGACTACGATCTGGCCATCTGATCTTTTGATCCAATTCACAGAGGTCGGCGTACTCGTATGGCGAGACTATCCGTACGTGCACTCCGTTGGCTCAGACCCCGGACAAGAACTAAATTTTCCCCTTCTCTCCCATTCTCTTGGCACAGTCTCTCGGACCTTATGGCCCAAGTGTTTTCGACCGTATCCGACAAAGCCTCGAAAGGACGTCAAATGCCCGTCCACTACGGATCCCCCACGCACCACTTCCACACCATTTCCTCCCCGTTGGGCACCCAAATCCCTCAAGCTGCCGGAGCGGCGTACAGCTTGAAGCTCTCTCCCGAACGAAAGGGGGATTGCGTCATTTGTTATATGGGTGAGGGCGCGACGAGTGAAGGCGATTTTCATGCTGGGTTCAATATGGCCAGTGTCTTGGGTGGACCGGTCGTCTTCTTCGTCAGGGTTCGTCTCCGATCCCGGTTGCTTCAAGTGAGGGGGGCCGGAGAACTGATCTCGAGCAATATCGGTGCGCTCGCAGAACAACGGTTTTGCCATCTCTACGCCGGCAGCTCAGCAGTACAAAGGCGACGGCATAGCAGCCCGAGGACCGGGGTACGGGATCGAAACTGTGCGAGGTGAGCGTGCCGGATCTCGCGCTTGAGGTTTCACGAATCGAACTGACGCGATCGGGACCTCTTCCACTCTCGAACAGTCGATGGCAATGATCCTTTGGCGGTCTACCTCGCTTCGAAAGAAGCACGACGACGTGCAGTCGAAGGTCAAAATCCGGTTCTCGTCGAAGTGAGTCAAGTCAAGCTGTCTTAAAATCACACTGGGTCTTCCTATCAAGCCTACTGACCCTCCCCTCCTCCCTACCTCGAAAGGCTATGAGTTACCGCGTTGGCCACCACTCGACCTCGGACGATTCGAGCGCCTACCGTTCGACCGACGACGTCTCCAGCATCAAGAAACTTGATTCCCCCTTGTTCCGTCTCCGTTCCTACCTTGAAACGAGGAACCTCTGGTCCTCCGAATTGGAAGAAGCGACCAAGGTCGAACAGAGGAAGAGCATTTTGAGAGCTTACGCGGGGGCGGATAAGGAGAAGAAGCCTGCTTGGGAGGAAATGTTTGGTGGGGTTTACGGCGACCGGGAGGATGGTGGGTTGGAGAGGCATTTGAAGGAACAGAAGATGGAGGTCAAGAGGCTGATTGGGAAGTGGGGGCAGAGTGATATGTGGAAGAAGGATTTGGAGAGGCACGATGGTGGGATCGAAGCCGTCAAGAAGTGGTGACGGGTGTCTTTCGGGTTCGCCGCCAATTATCATGTGCTCGGTAGCTGATGTACGCTTTGTAATAATGTTTCACGTAACACAACGCTCTAGAAGAGATTCAAACACTACACGTTACCCAGGATTATTGCTTTTGGACATGGCTACACCGGTATCCTCATTCGCTTTTCGGGCCTGTACCCAACCCATTTCTATGACTCGATTCCTCATCGACGTCTGATATCATCCAAGACATCCAAGATAGTCGACGTCGACCACGCCTGCGTACGACAACTATCATGACAATAGTTCCCGCCCTCATTCGTCAACTCGGGCAACCCTGCCCACGCATCATCGCGAATATGCTGACGATGCTTGGCGAGGATTTGGTAGATGTGATGGTAGGTCAACTTGGGGTCCTGCTTCCCTTTTCCGACTCGGGTGTCGTAGATGAGGTAAGCGCGGAGGAAGAAACCGATGGGCCAGACCCATTCGGGTCCTTGGTGGTAGTTCCACCCCTTTGCGATGGAGCGATCGTCGCCGTCGTTGCTGTTGTCGTAGTAACCTATGAGCCGGAACGGCCACCACGTCAGTACGCAGCGTTGGTCGAGATGCAAACAATGTTGACGACTCACCTCGGTAATCCGGATCAGCAGGGTCCAAGGTCTTGACGCCCAAAGGACCCAACAAGACCTTCTCCGCAATCTTCAACGCCCCCAAGGCGTGTTCAGGATCGAACAGTTCAGGCGCGACGGACATGGCGATGGGGAAGTTGCCCCTCAATTGGTAATCGAACCTCTCGCCCGTCGAACCAACGACGTCCTTGTAGATCCCGCGGCGACCGATCAAGTCGGTCTTGATGGCGTACTTGGAGTCGTCGGACCCGTTCGCGGGGACGTAGAACAGACGCTCAAAGTTGGATTGGATGAGGTCGGCCCATTCAGAGTAAGGGATAACTCGCTTCTTCCCGTCGAGCGTCGCTTCGACGCCCTTGTGAGGGAACTTGCCCGCCTTGGAGAGCTCGGCGACCCAACGGAGGGCGGATTTGAGCAGACCAATGATCTCGACAGGGGCACCATCGCGCGGCGTTCCGGGCAGGCCCTTGTTACCCGTCTTGGCACTCTCACCCTGTTTGAAGATACAGCATGACGTCGTCAGTGATTGAATTCGACACGAAGATGCAAAAAAATCTCACCATCTTGTCTTGCCATGTTCCGCAATTGAAAGCATTGCCTCCATACAAGATCCCCGTCTTCCAATCGACGTCAATATCGATATTGAACCCTTGATCGCTCATCTGCATATCCAAATTAGGTCCCGCGTTGTACTCTCGGAAATGGATCCCCTGAGCATGCCGTTGCAAAATCTCTTGTACGACATCGGCGATAGTCGATTCGACGGCGTACGCTCGGGCATCATCATGAGGCACCCAGGTGTCATCGAGGGGGAAACGACGCTTGACGGTATCCTTGAGCAAGTCGAGGCCGTTTGGTGCCATCTCGACGTAGTCCTGGATGTTTTGCAACATGAACCAAGGTCCATCGCGGCAATTGTAACGAGGGGTCTTGCCGCTGTCGAGCAAGTTCGGTACGAGACCGTGTTTGACGACGGAGGAGAAGGCGAGGATGTGTTCGCGCGCCTGGGCGAATTGACCCGTGACAAGGAACAGACCACGCAGGGAGATGAAGACGTCTCGACCCCACGTACGCGCCCAACCTGCAGTGAAATGAGGCAGTCCAGCGGCAAGGGAAGGCGTCGTCTTGAACGGGTTCAGGCTCGCCGATCGGACCTGACCCAGCATCTGCACCGAGGTGAGCGCGAGTGCAGCAGTAAAGCTCGTGCCTTCCCTAACGAGAGGCGAGAATTGAGCCATGGCGCGATCGCGTGCGGCTTTGTACGCGACGTTGATAACGAGCGCAAAGTACTTGGGCACGAGGAAAGGCGGCACAACCTTTTTGATGAGTTCGAAGCGCTTCTTGAACCAAGCGGCAGGCTTTGCAAGTCGGGGCAATTGGTCGACTTGTTGTTTCTCGAGCCTGGCGTGAACATAGTCGAGCGCCCACGTGCCCTGCCGCAGGTGTGCGCAAAGCGGGTGGCCAAGATCGTTCGTTGCCATGATGTGTTTGAGGGGATGCATCCACCCTTGAAGACCGCAGTACACCAAAGGAGCCATCCCAGGGACGGTGTAGACACCATCACCGCCCACGGCATCTCGCTCTTCTCCATCAGCCCTGTAAAGCACGGAATTGAGGTCCACGAGATCGAGCTCGTCGAAAGCCTCGACGACGCCCGCGGCACATTGCTCATCCAGATCTGCCGGAAGGCCTTCCATCCACGTGGCGAACAATAACACCGACCCAGGAGGGAACGTATCTGGCACAACAATTTCCGAGTACGAGTGCCCCGTCGCTTCGTCCCTCTTGCTCGCGACAGGCACGTCCTTGATCTCGGTAACTTCAGCGTCGAGTCCTCGCAAGGTCGTCTCCGTATCGCGCGCCTTTTCCGACTTGATGTTAATCGTCGCACCCGTGATATACTTGACGTTAGTGCCGTCGAGGCGCATAGGGGAGACGTAGCCACGTGACTTGTCGTGCGACTTGGAAAAGGCGGTGCGAGTGATGAGGAGGTACCCCTTGTGCGTGACGGGGTTGACGCGATGGCATGTGATGTAATCACCCTCTTGACTGAAGTGACCCTCGACAGCTTCGTCCAAGACGGTTTCGGCGTGGAGGTGGTTCAGAACGCGCTTGATGTGACCGATACCGGCATCCCAGCCGGCCAATTCGTAGTGGCGACTGTCGGTCACAACATCGAGGTGATCGGGGTAAAGGTCGTCGAAACCTCGGGTCGACCCAATGGCGGCACGGGCGAAAGTGACGAGCGCACCCGTCGGCAAGGCATCCTCGGCCGTTCGCTTCGACAGAGGCATCTCGTTGTCGTGCGTGCAATCCATCAAGAAAGCATGAGGCACCGATCCGGCCAGGGGAACGATGCTGCACTTTCTCGTCTTGCCCTTGTACTCGACTTCGGATTGGACGGTCAGGCAATCGCCGTCCATCGATCCGATTGGTTTCCCGAGACCGTACGAGTACAGCAACCCACTCTCTTCCTTGGGGTTGTTCGAATTCATCGCCTCGCGCGTCAAACTGCTCAACCCAAGTCGGCAGACGAAGTGAAAATCGAGCTCCTGCGAGCCCGTGAAGAGCTCGGCGCAGACGTAGAGGTTGGGATTGACGCGTCGAGCCGCATCGAGCAAGTACTCGCCGACGTGGATCGGGGTCGAGTGCGCGTTGTCGAGACGGAAGCCATGGAACAGACTGGCGAGCGTCTCGGAGTACTCGGTCATGTGCTTCCACAACCAAGGGTTGTCCTCCGGTCCGGAGCCATAGCTGAGCTTGACGCAGTCACCCCACACGATCAGATCTCGACGGATGTAGGTCCTCGACTCGGGCCCGGCAAAGTTTTGCAGCGGATCAGCATCCCAGATCCATCCGTTGTTGGCCAGAGCGAGGGACTTGGGGTCGTGCTTGTCCGTCGCCTTGGACTTGGGCAAGCGCGTGAACAAGGGCTCGACCAGCGGCGACTTTTTGGAGATCTTGCCATACTTGGGTCCATCGGCATCGATGCGGGTGTAACGGATGCGGCTGCGGGTGTTGGTCAGGATCGCCTTGCGGTCGTCGTCGTATTGTTCGTATCGCGACACGTTGACGATGTCGAGCACGCGTTGCAATTCCTTGCTGGCTTGCTCGGCCGTATCCGATCCAGGCTTGGCACCCGTCAGAGCAGCGATGAAGGTGATCGAGGCATCTTGATCGACCTTGACGTGGTATCGCGGGCCGAGTTGGTTCCAGTTCTTGGGCAAGCACTTTTTGATGAAGTTCTCCGCCAACTCCTTGGGCGACATCTCGCCGAGATGCGAAGACGTTCCGTTCGAGTCCGCTTTAGAAGCGGACCAGGCCGAGGTGAAGGCAGCAACTTCTCGCTCAACATGGATGGCGTAGTACTCGTACAACTTCAACGAAGGTAGCATTTCTCCCTCCAGAACGACCATGATCGCGTCGAGATCGCCAGGGGACTTGAGCTCGGTGGGGAGACCTCGTCGTTCCAGAGATTCGGAGAAGGTGATCAACGCTGTGTCAAGTTCGACCGCAGCTTCAAGATGAGGCGAGTTGACGGCGTTGAAACCTGGAAGAAACAACGTGAATTGGTTCAGCCATAAGCTCGTCGATATTGTGCGTCAAAACCGCATCTGTCAGACTTACCAGCTTCCGGGTGCTCCTCGAGCCAGGGCGAGTTGTTGGCGGTGTGGTTCAGCACAACATCGATCATACCCAAGATGCCCCATTCACTCTTGATCCGACCGAGCCATTGGGACATCTCCTGATTCTTTTGCTCCCTCGTCAATCCCTTCGCGACAAACAGATCGTCGGCGAGTTCGAGTTGGTCGTAGATCGAATAAGGACTGTCGGATTTGCCGCGTTGTTGCAGGGGGATGTAGTGCAAGAGGTTGTAGCCTCGGTCGCGCATGACGTCGAGGTGGGGGACCCAATCCTCCAAGGTGCCCATGAACTTGGACACGATCGACTGGATGACAAGTCCGTCGAGAGGGAGGTGGACCTGTTCTTTGGAAATGACGCCACCTTTGCCGGGGGGGAGGACGGTCAACTCTTTGGAGAGGATCGAGGAGCGGGCGGGGATGGTGAGGATGGGCTCGACGATAAAGTAGCCCGACTCGGCTTTGACTCGTCCAGCGTCGCCATCGTATTCGACGTGGTACTCGAAGGCACCAGCGGTAGCGATCTGAGGGCCCACTAAGAAGGTCAGTTTTGTGTCTCGGTCTCGCGCAACACGAAAAACTTGCTATCCAAGACTAACCTCGAGATCAATGCCGAACGGCTTTGAAAAGTCTTGCGGCAGCCTGTCGCGATCGAAAGGTGCCCCAAGATGAGTATGGATCGGGTGTAACGTCTGAACTGGGACCTACTTTGTCTGGTGAAGCTTTGTCCTCTCGTACTGGGATCCGTCGATGGGGAAGTTGGTGTAGAGCGAGCCATTGCGCGAGGCGGAGGTGCCGGCCTCGATGTAGATGCGCAGGATGTAGGGTGCTACGGGTGGGGGCAAGCGCAGGAGCTGCGGTGGTGGACGAGGTCGAGGAAAGGCCGAGAGCGGGGCGGAGGCAGAGCGCGGGCCGAGAGGGGGCAAGCGCGATCGGGTATCGATGGTATCGATGACGATCCGGGCGATCCGATCAGCGCAGCATCGCGCAGGGAGAACGCATCCCGGGGGGGCAGCGAGAGCGAGTAAAGAGAGGACAAGCTGTCAGCTATGCGTGGAAGAACCTATTCGATTGTACGGACTAACCGTCTTGGCTTTGGAAGGTGATCCGTCGTCCTGGAGCGTGACGGCGTACACGGTCAGGCGCTCGTCCGAGCCCGACTCGATCGACTCTTTGGCCTGTCGGATCGGTGCCGACGACGACTGGGACGAGCCATACTTGGTCGTGTTGTTGACCATGCTGAGCGAGCAAGGGAGAGGGAAGCACGCACGCCGCACGAGCCAAGAGCGGATCAAGGCTGGGCAGTCAGCACTCAGCACGATACAAGAACGAGAAGAGCCGCTCCGCTCAGATCGTCCATCGCCTGCCCGTGGGCGCCAGCGTTCTCATCCCGAACAGGCAGCGCGCACGACGTCATGCTGCAGTGAGTGCGCCGAGCTTTTCATCGCAGCTCCGGATCCGAGTTCGGAGTCCCGCTCCGTGAGTGTGTCCACTGCAGCCATCATTCACCCATCTGCGATGTACTCTACTTCCTTTACTTTATGTGGGGGAGTTGTCATACTGTGCACTCTAAGCAAAGGGTGCTAAAAACAGCCTCCGTGTTGTTTCTGTTTTTTCTTTGCAAAGTCATCCCGATCCCGAGTCCGTGCGGACCTCGTTGCTGGGGACCATGAAATTCATGGCAGACTCCGTCTTTATTTTCGATGTTTTGGATGCGATTCGGATCTACACACCCGTATCCCCTTTCTTGGCGGGGGCGACTCGAAGCAGAGTAAGCACTGAGCGGTCGGCTTCAACGAGCAGCTTCCGTTCCCGAGCACGTGACCTTCGACTCTGCGCACCTCGCGCACCATCGTCCTCGTTTCGCCCCTTCCGCCGCTAGCACTTTGGACCCACCAGTATCTACGCCCATGGCCCTCCCACGTGAACTAGCGCAACTTGTCGAACTAGCCCATCGGACGAACCCAACCTGGCGCGCTTATACGTCCTTGCTCTCGCTCAAAGGTCCCTCGGCTTCCACACGAATCAGACACTTTCTTGCTTGCCTGCCCATCACTGACTTTTCCGTGGCCCCACCCTAGATGCGACTCGAGCATTTCAATCCCTTCCTCGACAAGGAAAACTTCACGGCCACGCCATCGCGGTGAAAGACCTCTTCTGCACGCGCGAATTTCCCACCACCGCTTCGAGTCGTTTCCTCCAACGTTCGTTCAAAGGAAGGCTCGATCACACGGGCTTGGGATGCGTACTGAAGCATGGGGCTCTCGTCTTATCGTGTACAGACTATGATTCCCCTATCGAGGCGACGGTCGTGAGTCGGCTCAAGGCGCAGGGGGGCTTGATTCTTGGGAAAGCCAACATGGACGAATTTGGGATGGGGTGAGGACGACCACACGACACTCTACTGGGGCATCCACACCTGGTCACTCATGCTTGGTACCCGCAGCTCGGCCAACATCCATTCGCATTTCGGCCCGACGCTCAATCCGTCCGGCCCCGATACCAGCTCGGCGACGGGGACAGCAGCTCGGGCAGCAGGAGGCAGTTCGGGAGGTTCAGCCGCAGCAGTGGCGGCCGGGATAGCCCGGACGTAAGCCATATCCCTAGGGGATACTAAGCTACTTCATACCTGCTAAGCCCCTCCTTGCTCCCCACAGAGCCCTCGCCTCCGACACAGGAGGGTCGACTCGACTCCCCGCAGCCTACTGCGGCGTTCTCGGCTTCAAACCTTCGTATGGACTCCTGTCAAGATGGGGCATGATTGCGTATGCCAGTAGCCTCGATTGTGTTGGAATCATGGGCAAGGAGGTTGATGGTGTACGGACGACGTATGGTGAGGCCGTTGACAGTGATGGATTGGTCCGAGTCGCTCGAGGCGCTATTGAAAATGAAAAATCTTGTTTGTTCCGCGGTATAGACGTCCTCCAAGCTCACGACCCTAAAGATCCCACATCCGTACCCCAAGACGTCCGACTGCGCATCACCGACCGAACGAACTCCTTACCATCACGATGGAAAGAAGGTGATCTAACAGGCCTACGGATCGGAGTACCCGCCGTAAGAACCCCCCCCCCACTCCTCACCGAAACTTCCGCACTGACTCTATTCCGCCCCTCTTCTTCAGGAATACTTCCTCTCCGAGCTATCCCCCTCCGTTCTACCTCCTCTACGTCGAGCACTTCAATCTCTGCAGAACAGGGGTGCAATTCTGCGCAGCATCTCCCTTCCTTGGACCCCCTCGGCCTTGAGCGCGTACTACGTCCTCGCCTCCGCCGAGGCGTCTTCCAACCTAGCACGATTCGATGGGATACGCTTCGGTACACGCTCAGCACCACCTTCCGTTACCGGACATGGCGTATCGAATTCCCGTCTATATGCATCCTCAAGATCCTCCGGGTTCGGGAAAGAAGTTCAAAAACGTCTCTTATTAGGGACCTACGCTCTGACAGCTGAAGCATTCGATAATTACTTCTTACAAGCACAACGCGTCAGGCGATTGATCCGGGAGGAGTTCGATCGGACGTTCACGCGAAGCTCCGTTTTGACCAAAGCCGGGGAGGAGGACGGGGAACTTAATGAAGAAGGTGTGGATCTCTTGCTTTACCCTTCGGCTATCTCCACCGCGCCTTTACTTTCCTCCGTCCAGGGTGATGATGTATCAGGCTACGTCCAAGATGTCCTCAACGTACCCGCATCATTGGCGGGTCTCCCCGCGATCTCCGTCCCCTTTGGAAGGTCACAGGAGGATGGTTGGCCTGTAGGCGTTCAGCTTGCTGGTCAGTGGGGTGAGGATGGGCTTGTTTTGGATGTGGCGAAGGTGCTTCAGGAGGAGGCGTAAGGGTTCGTTTTCGTGGTATCCGTCGTTCATGGAGCATTGCAAATAGATTGCGAAACAAAAGGAGAGAAATCGTGATATTTCGTACACGGTTCCTTATCGCGCGAGCCCCACAGTACTATCCTTCACTCAGCCTTCGTCTCCTTGCTCGCTTCCTCCTCCGCCTTCGTCGTCACCGCACCTCCCTTCGCACCAACCGAAAGCGGCCTTGGACCCCTCCCCCCCTTAGTCCTCGTCGACCTAGACAAAGAAGGCGACCCTCTGACAATCGACGCATCTTCTTCGAAGGCCTCGGTCTGCTTCTCCACGAGCGGTAACAGTTTCGCTTTCGTTGTCGTAGGCGTCGCTTCCCCGTCCTCCGTGTCGACGAACTTGTCCTCCGCTTCCGCCTCCGAATTTTCCTTCTCCTTCTCCGCTCCCTTCTCCGCCGTCTTTTTCTCCTTCTCCTTCTCCGTTCGCACATCCCCCTTCTCTCCCGCCTCCTCACTCGAACTAAGACTCTTCCGATGTTCCTGCAACAACTCCATCCCCTCTTCCACGCCCACTGTCCCCCTCTCCGCGACGCCAATCTTACTCCTACTCAACCTCGCATCAACAGGTTTGGTCCTCTGCCTCCTCGGTCGATACCTCTCTTCCCTCTTCTTGGAATGCTTCAATTCGTCCGCGGACGCAAAGATCACCGCATGGTTCTTCACGAGATCACTGAAGACCAAGGTCGGGAACCGATCGTCGATCGAGAGGGACGTTTCCTGCCTCGGTCGAACGAGACATCTCGCGACCGAAAGCGCAAGTTTCTGCAAGTACACCTCATCGGTCTCCGTTCCTTCCGTATCCGTAGGGGTCGACTGAATCATCTCCGCGAAGTAAAGGATCATGGCGCGGACGACTTCCAAATGCGTCACCGGCATGCGAGCCAAATGTTCGGCCAAGAGTTTGGCGGGTACGTTGACGATTTCCGAACCGACGCGTTTGGGGTACAGGTGGCGCAGTTCGTCGTATTGGCTGAAGACGATGGGCGGGATCTCGAGTTCCAAGAGCCACAGTTTGACCGTTGAAGCGACGACGGGGAGGTCGAACTTGTCGACCAAGGAGCGGAGATGACCTGCCCTGCTTGGGTCCTGGAGCAATGAGCGAAGCCGGTGTTGCATGCCCAGAGGGGTCTCGTAGAGCCAGATCCGACGCTTTTCGGCGTTGGACGAGATCGTTTTCGAAGCGTTCTTGATGTAGTCGAGCAAGAACGTAAGAACTGGGGGTACGACGGCATCCGAAGCGCCACGCGTTTCTTCGTATCGACGAAGGTCGATGCCAAACGCTTCTGAAGGGGGCTCGGAGTAGTGGCAGTGGAAGGTTATCGGTCGGGGTTGGAAAGATCCAGTTCTGTAGAACACCCTCGTTCGGCAATCAGTTTTTGATCCCAGCAAAGTCATCGAGATTCGAAAAACCTTACTTTGATCGCTCAATAATCCCCACCACGTCCTTCTCGGGTCTCAGTAGCTCCACAGTCGTGCTGACTCGCTCCAGCGACCCATCGATCAATTTGGGCAAGGCCGCCACGGCGACATGGAACGACTTGAGCACGCTCGCCGCGGCCTTCAACCGATCCGTCTCGCACCGTTGCACATACGCCAAGTGCTCGGAATAGACCTCTTCCAATTGCAATCGTTTGGTATCGAGGTGCACGATCGCTTCGCGGTAACGCTTCTCAACTTCTTCGGCATGGAGACGCGCGCGCTCGATGCGACCTGCGCCCGTTTGGGGTCCGGCGACGCGGTCGATCAGGGACGAGATGCTGTGACCCACCATGTCTCTCCAGGATTAGCAATGTGAAGAGCCGTCTAGGGGATCTGATGGACTCACGTCGCTTTGCTCCAATCCAATGCTGCGCCCACTTTGGGTTCGACGGTCGAGGCCGACTCGGTCGTTTCAGTACCGGTCGTGGTGCCACTCGGTTGGGCAGGTTTGCGAACGGTGAAACGTCGCGCCAAGGCGGAAATGGTCGCTCGACCGAGAGGTACATCGTCATCGTCGATGGTATCGGCCCCCTCGACGGACTCGGCGTCATCGTCCCCGGGTTCACTGGCGCGACCTTTGCCCTTGTTCGTCTCGATCGAATTGGACCTCGAGGTCGTCGGAGTCGAACGAGGAGGGGAGGTCGGGATCTTGAGGTGATGGTGAGCGAGTTCATCCTCGGCTTCGTCAGCGTTGCGGCAGGCTTCGTCGTACGAGGTCTTGAGCTTGGCCGCGTTCGCGTGGGCCTTTTCCCATTCCGAGAGATGGGATTCGATCAGGTTTCTCGAAGAGGCGATGCGTCCTTCGTGGGAGCGGGACCAGGTCGCGAACGGGGTGGCGATGTTGCGCTGTCAGACAGGAATCAAGCCAAGATGAGCGCCCCCACAGACTGGCACTGGCAACCAAGGACGCAGTACTCACGTCGAGGTCTTGGGCGAGATTCCAGCGCGCTCGGGCCTCCATGACGGTGCTCGACAGGATCGACTCGAGTCCGGTGCGGAGACTACCTCCTTCGTCTGGACGCAGCGCGGAGTATGACCGGGGTCAGTTCCCACACGGACAAGCCCTACGGTGGAAAGGAACGCACTGGCCGCAAAGCCATCCTCCCTGAGCGCGGGTGGGGCGAGTGCGCGGGAGAAGGCCGACTCGGCTTGAACCCTTGCATTGACCGTCGACAGGATCTCGTGCGACTGCACTACGGCGTGGTCGAGTTGGTTGTAGAGCGTTTCGAAGCCTGTGCGGTAGTCGGTCGTCCAGAACTGGAACGGGGAGGCAGCATGAAGGGTTAGCAGCGACGATGGCCCGGGGTGGGGCTCGAAGCTCGAAGCTCGAAGCTCGAAGCGCGGGCCAAGTCAAGTGGGCTCAAGTGGGGCGGTGCGACGACCAAGCGCCACATGGACAAAGACTGACGCTGTTGGAGAACGTCGACGGCAACACGACCGAGGTAGGCGCTTTCGAAGCCGTCTGGCTGGCTGTCTTCTCCCCGGACATGTCGGGAGGAGGATCGGTCGAGGCCAGGTTGAAGTTCTGTACCAGGAGCTGTCGCGTACCCAGCAGGCGGGAAAGAACCGCAGCCGAGGCGCGCTTACGTTAGAGCGCGCGGTGCCTAATAGCCAGATAGAGAAGGATAGAGATCCTGCCCTAGTGGCTAGTGCAGCCGACTCGGAGCCAACAAAGGCCTCACTGGTGTACGGACTACTTGGGGGGACAAGGCTGGCCGTGGCAGTTCCACGGAGTGCCGATTTTTCTTTGATTTGCGGGCGACGATGGCAGCAGTGGCTGACCAACAGGAGTCTAATGTACACCATTCAGATATAATCGAGTACGGGCTCCGAGTCAGCTGGCCGATTTGACAACGCGTTGGCAGTGCGTCATCGTCATCCACCGTCATCCATCGTCAGTGGTCAGTGGTCACTCCGTCTCCGTTGACTTGGGCGCTCGCCTCAGCCTCAGCCTCAGCCTCTTCTCACGTCACACCACGTCTCCAGAGACGACCATTTACGCTTGGAAGCCTCCTCCATCTCCACCATGGATCGACCGCCGATGCGCTTCCAACCCCGCCAAGCGCACTACCTGCGCGTGTCCCCCCACACCGTCCTGCAGTTCATCCTCTACATGGAACCCGGGCACGCGCATTGGATGACCGTAGGTCCACGCAGCCGCTCTCAATCAGAGATCCAAGAGTCCTTTGACCGACTATCCGCGGTTCCACAGGAGGACCGCCTGATGCGCGTTCTCTCGGCGTTGAGGGAACGGATCACTACCAAGTTGAGGAACGAGCAAGCACCGGCCAGGAAGAAATCGGGCGGAGCGAGGGAGAAGCAACAGATTGATGTCTACCGAGGGCGTAGGTCTACTATCGAGATCGGCCTACGGGTGGATAGTGCAGAGGTGAGGAACTGACTTTGGGATCGTCCAGAGCAGAGGATTATCAGATGCTGTTCTACTTCAGAAGTATGGGCAAGCGGCACGTCGTGTTGCACAAGGTCAGTTTCGGAGTGCATGGGTACCATGTTCCCAGTACTGAACCTCGTGTGGCCACAGCACGAACGCCAACGAGTGTACCCGATCGCATCCATGCCCCCACCCCCGAGACCCATAGCCAAAAAACCACCACCACCACCACCCAGGGCATCGACGAGCAAGCGCACACGCGAGTCCGCGAGTGTAGATCTGACATCCCACGAAGACGAATATGAAGATAACAATGAAGAACAACCCGCCAAGAGAAGTACAGCCCAACCGGATCTGTTCATCAAGGACGAGGACGACGAGCAGGATGCGAGAACTTTGCTTGAATCGGCGCAGACGAGCGAGACGATCGATCCTAAAGAGGATGACAAGGACGATGTCAAACCTGATGTTAAACCTGAAGTGCATGTTCTGTGTGAGTGAGCTTAACGAGTCGGTTTCTTCAAACCCGCGCCGACCTTCGCGCTCGCATCATAGACAAGAGTTACTCGATCTACAACCGCGCTCTCGTCGTAGTGTGAGCACCACTCGCATACTCTCTTGGATTCACTAGATGTACTGATCAAGCTTTCTCTCCCTTCCAGAATCGAACCCTGGCCGGCGCTCTCGGCCGCCGACCTACCCCGCCCTTCAGCAATCCCCAACGAAATCCGTCAACTCTCCGCCACGCCCCTCCCGGAACGTCCCGGACGAGTCGGATCAAGTTCCCTCACACCCGCACCGCCTCGAAGAAGTGGAAAACCTCTGTTCCGATCGACGACGACACCATTGGAGGAGGACGAGGAGGACGAGGATGAGGATGAACATATGTATGCCCCTATTCCGGGGAGGAGGGGTGGAAGGGAGGATACGGTGGGTTCGGTCGCAGGGAGTGAGGTGGAGGATGAGGATGAGGGCGAGCTGCCGAGTTTGGATGAGTTGTTGGGTAAGAGGTAGGCGCACTTTCTCAGTTGCGGGGAGGTGTCCTTGCCAGTGTGCTTTCGAGGAGGGGATGTTATACAGCCATACGAGATAATTGTGAATCACGTCTGAGAGTGAAGGGGATTGTCTTGCTCTCGGTCGACAGATGGAGTCGCCTAGCGAGAAAAGGAGAAGAGTGAAAGGCGAGGGCGAAAAAACGTTGCAGCTTGGGGAAAGTTCGTCGCGTGCCAGGAAGGGCGCGGCCATGAGAGATTTATCAACCCAGTCTGTGTGGGGTGGGTACTATGGGCGAGGGGGGGGGGGCGCAGTATGTCTCACGAAAGGGAAAGGAAATAAGAGACAAGAATAAACGTGTGGTTTGATCGATCCGGTCCTCTACCACCTAGTCGAGGAATTGGAACGGTGGGCTGAGCCAGGAGTCGTAGCTTGCCGAGAGCTTGGGGTCGGAATCGAGTCGCAAGGCGCTGGGGTGACCCATCGAAATGACGTTAGCCCAACCACCGAATATCACTTCCCCCCTCCCTGAACAGCTCACCGAATCAAAATTCGATACGGCCTCCCCTTGTCCACACTCGTCGTCGCCGGATCGTCCGGATGCTTCACCGCGACCATCCCATTGAAGTTGAAGAAACTCGTATCGGCCCCACTGGTTTGCGAGAAATCCGTCGGGTCACGCGTCAGGTCATTCGCCGTAGCAGCCGTACCGAGAATGGGGACAAAGGCGAAGAGGGGTGGGTTGTGCGGTCTCTTCTGCAAGCCTCCGGTGAGGCTGCTGTTTTCGGCTAGGTGGAGGTTGTTGTTGGACGGAATCGTGGGTATGAAGGTGGTATTGGCGTCGACGAGGTCGGCTTGGAGGTATCGACTGGGCACTGTGTGAGGTAGCAGTCACCAAAGAGGTGTCAACGAAGTCGCCCCCGGCTTGCACCCCCAGTGCTGCGCGCGGAAGACGTACTCGCCAACCTCACGAAAGCGAAGATCCCATCTTTGCGAGAGACGGTCGTTACTTTATTCGGGTCCGACAGCACATCCGCCGCAGTCGACGGCAACGCATCCGGATCCAAGCTGTTTCCCACCATGATAAAAGGATGCCGCAGGCCCTTGATCCCATACAACTGACTCGCGATATCCGTCGAATCAAGAACAGGCATGACTTGGAGACCCGTTGCAACGCCAGCATAAGCGATTCTGTACGTGGGGACGGGATCTTCAGCGGAATCGATGACGAGCCAGCCTGATACGACGGGGACGCGGACGAGGTCTTTTTTGGAGAATTTTGGGAATGTGAAGGTTGCGGTGAAGGTCCCGGATTGTCCGGGGGGGATTGTGAGACTGCGTGGGGTGAAGGCCACAGTGGCGGCGCCGGCGATTCCAGGTCGAGGGATACCAGAAGGGTTGATGTCGATCGAAGCGCTCTTGGGACCAAGATCAATCGGATTGTGTTCAAAAGGTTAGCTTACATGTCCTGGGGACCCGCGCATGCGAATTTCCGCCCTCTGCTCACTTTGTCGTAAGTCGTCACAGTTTGAGAGGATGTCGAGCTGAAGGTGTAGGTAACCGCAAACTTGTTCGTGTTCTTCAACGTGATGGTGTGAGAATTGTTGAAGTGTTCGAGGTCGCCGAGCGCGATACTGTGAGGCTCGATCAGGGTTTTGGCGATGTACGCTCGGTACGCCGAGACGATTCCTGCGAGCGAACAATCGATTGGGTCACCTCAGGCATGCGAGGTGGTGAAGCTATCAAATATCCAAATGGTAGCGATGAGGACTGACCTGCACCTTGTTGCACGACCGTTGCGAAGGCGTCTTTGGGCTCTTGCCTAATCCGCACCGGTTGCGCAGTCGTGGCCATGAGCGACTTGACTTGACGAGGGGTGAGATTGTCGGCCTTGCGATGGGAGAAGAGGAGAGCGGCGATCCCTGCGGCCAAAGGACAGGCCATGGAGGTTCCTATACGTGAGGCCCCCAACAGCATCAGCGGCGACTGGACGTCTGAATCTTCTTGAATCGCCAGAAGGGCCTGACTTACCTGACATGACGCCGACACCTGCCAACGTAAAGTAGAACGATGATGTCTTTCAACCTCTCTGACACATGTAGAAGTGTTTGTTGTGTTCCACTGACCTCCCTGAGCGACGGTCAAAGTGGACAGAATGTTGCTCCCAGGGGCAGCGAGGGTTTTACCAAAGCCTTCGAGTGTGGTCGTGGGTCCGTACGACGAGTAGAACGCCATCTACAAGACAAGGTGTGCTCAGTCAGATCAGATTAAGTCTGAGAGCATTGTTTCAAGGGAATGAACAGTGCTCACATTCCCACCCGACTCATGGTTGGCGAGAGCCTCGACAGGAGCGCGTTTGCCAGCAGCGAAACTGACTTGTAGCTTACCGCGACTGGCCGTGCAATACCTGATCAATGCTTTGACCCACGAGGGGTGAACGATCAGGAAGTAGTGAATCCCGCGAGCGAAATGGTTGCTGTAGTAATTAAGAGGACTTTGGGCATCTTCGGGCTTGAAGCTGACCATCGCGACGCGAAGCTTGTTCGCAACGGCCCATTTGGCCACCAGGGAATGTGGGCATTGTCCTAGCTCGAGCACGAGTAACGAGTTTTTGAGGTCACCGTTGGGGAGCGCGATCGTGGATAGGTTGCATTTCGGGTCATCTGTGATGCTCGGAGGGATGTAGCAGACATCGAGCGTTTCGTTGATATTGACGGGGTCGACGGCAAAGTAAGGGATCGGTCGATAGGACGGGTGGGCGATATCGAGCAGGTACCCAACTGGATACTCTCGGAGATCCGTCGCTGCAGTCCCTAACACTTTCGTTAACTCGCCGGGAACATCCCCGTAAAAGAGTCCTTGCGTCCCAAAGTTACCCGCCGAGCTGACGACCAAGGATCCTTGATTCGTCACATGTGAAGCAGCATCGGCGATCAGACCGTCCTCCCATGCACTCGGGCCGCCCAAACTCAGCGTGATCACTTTGCACCCATCGGCGTAAGCTCGTAAAAGTGCAGCGGCAATGGTATCCTCCGATGACTGTCCCGTACAAGCGAAGGCTCGATAGTGCCCCAACGTGACTTCGGGCGCCGCACCAGAGAACTTGAAATCGTAATCGAAGTTCGCACCGACGATGCCGGTGACGTGGGTACCGTGATCTGTGCAGTTCGTGTAAGGGGAAGGGCCCGGATGTTTGCCATCGTTTCCCACAAAATCATGCTGTGCTTGCCATTGCCAGCAGAAAAGTGAGCTGACGCCCGACAGTCGCGGGGCTTAATCGTGTGCTCACACCCATAGCGATCTTGCATCCTTTTCCAAAGTCTCCGCCCAGACGCCAGTTGGTATAGTCGACTCCTATGAGAAAATCACAGCAAGCAAACTGTAAGCATTCTCGTGCTTGTTGTGCCTCCGACCATTTGCTTCTGACCCACCGGAATCCACCAGACACACCGAGACGTTGCTGTCACCGAGCAAGCCGAGATTGTGCATGAGGTGGACTTCACTTTCGACATGGGGTGCGAATGAATTATTGCGATAGGCGGATGGCGGCGGTGGGAGATAGTGATGGTTGTTGTACCGAGGACTCTCCACCTTGGGCTGGGGCATGGAGACCGGGGGCGGCACGGGGAAACTCATGCCGTGGCCGTGACCGACAACCTTGATGACGTCGACGCCCTAACAAAAATAAGGTGGTTCCATTAGGACAATATTTTACAAGATACCGATCTCCTCGAACTCTACTCACCGTCACCCCAGGATAATCGGCAAGGTGTCTCGGGGAGAAGCCTTCCAAAGCTTCGACACTCATAGAGCAATGCTGATCAAAGTTGAAGGTATTGTGGACCTTTGCTGCGCCGACGAGGTCACTCGACAACTTTTTGATCTGGTCGTTGCAAGCTTGGCGATGCTATGATTTTCACAAAGAGGCAGTTGATTAGTTTGGCGGAAACCCCCTGGTTAGGAGGCACTTGCGGTGTTGGCATATCCGAGACGCGAGGCAGTGTTGCCATTCAAAGGAGCGTGGCAGAACACCTTTGCCCGGGAGAGGACCTAACTTGTTCAACCGGAACGTTCGAGCCTTTCATGTCAGTCTGAGTCGATAGCTTGACGAGATACCTCCCTGAACCGAACGAGGATCGTTTGCCGGTGGCGCCCTTGTGGTTGCCGCGCCTACTCGGCGACGCGAGGGCCATCGTCGCCGACCAAAGGATGGCGAGCGAAACCTTACCGACCAACATCGTGCCGAATGTAGTCGCAGTTGAGGTGCAGCTGGGCTGGGGCGTGAAGGATTTGATGTTGGCCTGATGAGAGACAAAGAATGAGGCAATTCGCGCGATGCACGGTCCCTTGTCGCAAAGTGCCGCACGGGCCGATTCTCGAGACAGCTGAGTATCGAGAGGAGTCGCTTGGAACCCAGTCTCCCGAAGAATGAGCTGGCCAGGCACTATACTGAAGTGGAACGATGCCCACGTGGAAGCCGAAGGGAGGAGGTGAGTAATGCGAAGGAGGGGAAGGCATACATACCCAAGCAGCTCGAAGTGCGCCAGTCTGCCAGAGACCGACCCCGCGCTACCCCGCGCCTCGTCTGGCAGAACAGGAGTATTTCCGAGACAATTGCCCCCTTTCGCATTGGAAGGGACCGCGCGCACGGCGCCGGTCATTGCCAACCCTGATTCTGAAGCTCCGCATTAGTCAAAGGTTAGTCTGCACTTTGAAGGCGAAATTACGCGGTCGAGATCAATCACTCGGAGCAGCTCGCGGCCGGTGTTGCATGCCCAGAGGAGTCTCGTAGGGCCAGATCCGACGCTTTTCGGCGTTGGACGAGATCGTTTTCGAAGCGTTCTTGATGTAGTCGAGCAAGAACGTAAGAACTGGGGGTACGACGGCATCCGAAGCGCCACGCGTTTCTTCGTATCGACCTTCGCTAGATTTATTAGGACAGGTTCGGCAATCAAGCGCTCAGCGCGGAATTCATGGGTCACGTGATTCTCACCCCGATCTCACTAAGTTAGCGCCGACGACCCGCTCACTGCAGAACAGAGTCGGCATGGCGGAACATCAGGCCTAAAGAATCGTTCACCTAGTCAAGACGTCATCGCTTCATGGTCAGCAGCACCAAGTCGTATTAAATATTTGAGGGATCGGACCGGAGCTAAGAGCTTGGTGCAAAGGCGTCACCATTCACGTTTTTGGTCCTCCGAGTCGAACTTGGTTGTCGACCTGCCTCGACTGATAGTCGCTCGACGCGTCGAGGCGCGCTCGATCGTGCCTTCGTCCCTCGGAGTCGGCTTGTTGCAGGCCGTGGCAGCCCTTGACGATGGACCCGTCCGCAATGTCTCGGCCCCCGCCTCCCAAAATGTACAGTCTGTTCAAGCGACGACCACCTCCAACTGCTGCACCACCTGTTGCTGCTCAAGGCGTAGAGAAAGCGGCCGATCCGGCTCAGCCCCAGCCTCAGCCCCAGCCTCCACCAGTCTCAATCGGGACCCCTGTAACTCCGCCATTGCAGCCGAGTCATCAAACCAACGTGGCCCAGCACCTCAGCATGGTCAAGGCGAGCAAGGATCCACGCGACAAGCTGGCCAATAAGGCCCTCAATACGGAGCGCTTGAAGGCGTTGACAGCTCGAGGCGACGAGCAGGACGATGATGACGACGTGGTGATCGTAGCAGTGCCAGGGTCGGGTCCAGCATCTACGTCTAATGCTTCCAACACCAGCAAACCCGCAGCTTCGAGGCCAATCTTTGACCGTGCAGGCCGTTCAAATACCACGCCGCTCGCACTCTCGCGCACTCCCTCAGCTTCCGCGAGTGCTGTCCCCGTACTCGTCATCCCCGACTCTCCTCCACCGAAAGCGAAGTCCACTTTTCAGCCACTGGGAGAAATGTACAGAGCAAAGCGACTTCAGAGGAAGCTCAATGAGCCCGTCGAGGCGCGTTGGCCCAACTCGGAGGAACAAGGTCATTTTTTCCAACTTGGTTCGACCCGCCTATCTGGGCAGTATCTCAGTCGAGATCCCAGCTGGATGGCCCGATGGTCGTCATCATCCTCGGGCAAAGGCAAAGCCATTGATCGCGGGTCTGGTTCAACGTACTTTGACGCTTTTGGCGCCTCCGTCTTTGCCGAAAGACTTTCACAAGGCCGGCCGATGAACTTGCCTCAACGCATACAGCGCCCCCTTGCTGAAGTTTCTTCGCTGGTATCGAAACGCCATACGCATCCTCTCCTTGTGCGAATCGCTGCACCCTTTCGGGCTGCATCTCCCAACAAAGCCGATTTTGAGCGACCCGGGGAGGGCTCTTCGACCGTCGATAGGAAGGACAATTGGGCGGTCAAGTATGCTCCACAGGCAGCGAACGAGGTTCTGGGATCGACCAGTGGGTCGAGTGCGCTGAAACTCAAAGCTTGGCTGCAAGAGGTCAAAGTCTCGGGTCAGTTCAGACTCGAGCGCCACTTGGCTTCTCACGTCTCCCCTAGTCGACCACTGACAGCCTCTCGAGTTGATGTCTCGGATGCGCAGCCCAAAGTGGCAACAACAAGCGCGGTCGACAGATCCAGCGTGGGGTCAGGATCAAGAAAAAGCGACGCCAAGGATACGGCAGCGCCACTGATCTTGATGACTTTGTCGCCTCGGACAACGAAGAAGTCGACTACGAGGGTCTCGACTGTGACGATGATGACGGTGGTGTTGAGGAGCTCAGTCCGAGCTCCGGGTGGTTTCCTTCCCTGAGCAACCTCATCTTGCTCGCCGGTTCCAACGGGTCGGGCAAGACTGCCACCGTGCATGCCGTTGCGAATGAGTTGGGGTGGGAGGTCTTCGAAGTCTACCCGGGAATTGGCAAGCGCACGGCCAAAGACATTGAGAAATTGGTCGGTGACGTGGGTCGCAATCATACGGTTCGGGCGGGTGGGGTGTCTTCGCCGAGGAAACCAAGCGCCGCTGCTACTGGCGGTCTGTTTTCCATGTTTGCTAAACAGAGTGCCAAGAGCCAGCCGACTGCTTCTTCGTCACGGATCGACAGCGCAAAAGCCAAGGAGCTGGCCGAAACAGCCGAGTCAAACGCGCACCAGTCTCTGATCCTGTTCGAGGAAGTGGACGTTCTCTACCGCGATGAGAAAGATTTCTGGTCGGGTCTAGTCCACTTAGCGACCACGTCCCGTCGACCCATCATTCTCACCTGTACCGACATGTCATGCATCCCCTTTTCCGATATCGGGCTACAAACTATCAATACCGGACGCTCCGACCACACCGAGGCGTGGCTTCCCTTTGCCCCTCCCGAGCCAGAACTCGCCGCCGCCTTTCTGAACCTCGTCGCTCTAGCCGAGGGGCACATAGTGACAGAATACGCCGCACACCGACTTTATGTCGACATTTCGCCGGCACCAAATCTGCCTGACTTTGTCACGAATGGATTCGCCGATCCTCTTCCGCATCCGTACCCGACCGATTCGCGCGTCGAGACGACGGCTCCGATCCCAGATCTTCGACGCTCGCTGATGCAGCTGCAATTCGAGTGTCAATGGGGAGTAGGTGATCCGAGTGGCATCGGTTGGATGGATTTTGAGCCAGGCAGAGAGGCAAGGACGAACTGGAGCTTCCGTACGCTCAACGAAGAACGGGACCGAGACTGGTACGGATCCGACCTCAATCTTGGGATCCTCAGGTCGGTGGGCGATCCGTTGGAGAGCTACGCCACCGCGATGGAGGCGCGATCCTTTGTCGATGCATTCGTCTCTCGTCGACCAGCCGTAGCCCTTGAGGTGGGTCAAGCTGAAGGCTTTTCATACTTGTAGGAGTCCGAACTGAATCAGCCTTTTGCATCACTTCTAAGGACTATGACGCTCCTCCGATACAGTGGGCGAGCGGTGAGATGCTCGAAGGCCCTTCAATCCCCTCCGTGGCTCCCCAACTACCTCATCAACTCGCATCATCTAGCAATCTCGAACAAGCCTTCTCCAACACCGTCGAGTGCATCATCGCGTGCTTGTCGAACGGCGTTTCTTACCCATCGAATGAGGAACTACGCACAAGCCGGCTGTCCGCCATCTCCGAGGCAGCCAGCGTCTTAATCCCCTTAGCGATCGTCGACGCCCCTGCCCCGATCCTACCCTCCCCACGGATCTTCATCGACTACCTCCCCTATATTCGACAAATCACTGCAAACGAGGACCTCCTAGAAGCTCTGCAGGGTCAAGACCACGTTGCGCTCATGGGGCGACGATCAACGAGGAGTTCGAGGGCCGCACAGAGACGACCCCGAAGGCTTGGATGGAGTGAAGAGAATGTTGAAACGATTCGCAAGGGTGGCTTCGAGGGGATTGAGCAGGACCGATGGCCAGAAATACAGTGGGAGGACGAGGATGATCCGATTGAGGATGCTGCTCCTTCTACCGCGGTCGACGAGGAGCAGGAGGAACTTGCCGCGCATTCTAGTCAGATCAGCGAGAGTCAATAGTTCTTCGCTCTGTATGGTCCACATCGATTTTGATCATGAGCATGGAGTACTGCAATGGCAAGATGGCGAATCAGGATGAAAGTGTGTGCACTACTCCAACTATCCTCACAAATCGCTCCATCTCAAGATCGAGCATACAACGCTCGATGCAACTCCTCGACCTGGCCTTTTCTCCGTGCACTAGCCGCGCCGGAATGCGAGTTGTAGAACGCCAGTTGTTTCCCGAGTAGGGTTCGTAACCTCGTAGCGTTGATGCGCGAATACTTGGTTTGCCTCTCGTCCACGGAGAGATAGTCCGTCATAATGGGCGCTGCTGTGACGAGTGTCAGAGTCTGAGGGTGCGGCAATACAAACGTTAGAGGTGTGTCTACGCCAGTGCCCAGGCATGAAAGCAACGCGCGGTAACACGGACCTGGGACAATTCCTGGAAGACGTCGGCCAGTCGATCGTTGCCCAGCGTGGCGACGTGTTGGACGAGCCATTGGACATCCTTTGCGATGTACATCAAGGCCTGATCACTGATTTGCGCAGGTTCTCGATCGATAAGCCATGACTGTTCGAAGAGGAACACATTCCCAAGATTAGCATTCTGGTCGCCCACGCGCACATCCCTGTAAACTGACCATCAAGACGGAAGCGCAATAGCTGAGAGCACCTCGGTAAACATAATCTTTCGAGAACTCGGGCAGCTGAATCAAGACCGACATCATGACGGTGGTGACAAAGTCGATCAAGTCCTGCAAGTAACCGCTCGCGTGAGCCCCATTGGCGGGGGTCGTGGTCGTCAACCAGTCGTAGTTGGCCTCTTCAAAGAACGAGTCCATCTTTTGCGCGATGTTGGTCACGATCCTATCTTGCGTCATCTTGAGCGTCGCGTCGAACGAGGCTAGAGAGTCGAGATGGATCGTGCCTCCCCTCTGCGTCGCGCGCAAGGTGACGAGCAAGGTTTCGAGGTCTTGACACGCCGTCTGGAAGAATAGGACGTTGACGACGATTTGGGAAAGCTGAGACAAATTGCTGATCATGCGTAATCGTCGTTGGATATTTTCGCTAACTTGTTTGATCAGCAGGTTGTCGAGGGCCTTGCGTAGGACATCATCAATATCGCGATGTTGCTCCGCGAATCCGTCCGAGAACTGATAGTATTGTTCTGTGAATGACCGGATGTCGATGCAACACAATGGATAGGTTTGCGAGAAGGGCAGGGCCAGAGGGAATCCAGGCCTGTCGAGGGAATCGACAGTTCATGTGAGTGTCCGCTTTGTGGAAGCGAATGCAGAAGGTGGCGGAACTCACGTCTTGAGTTCATCAGCGGACCATTCGCCTGATGCCGGCAACCAACTGACGCTGACGACCTTGTCGAATTCTTCGGCATCGTTCACGACCATAGATTGGTGGTCGTCATCAAGCACAATCTGATGATTGCGCAAAACCAGATCAGGTTGTGGTTGCCCGCACCGAAAGATTCTATTTTACGCACCTGTTCAAAGTCGCCGCTGAACTTGCGTTGCAGCAATTGCGAATATCTCTCGAAGAGCGTCAACAGCAGGTTGTTGAGTTGATTGACCGAATAGCCATATCCCTAACGACAGTTACGGCGGTCCCGATCACGCGATTAGCCCGCAGCTAGATTCTGTGCTAGCCCATGAATACAGCTCACCTCGAGCGTCTGAACGAATGTCAAGACCTTTAACTTTGTGCCCAAAAACACTTCAGGGTCCTCGCAGTTGGCCAGCCCCTCATCGACGATCTTGACGACGCGTTCGCACATGCCGTCCCAAAGATCCTCGACATCCTGCTCTGACCGGAAGCTGTTTGTTGTGTGTAGAACGTGGGATTCGATGAGGAAGAAACCGACGATCTCCTCCAGAAGGAGCGAGAGGGCGGGGAGGGAGAAGGGTGACAGTGAAGAGGTTTGAGACAGCAATAGTTCTGCTTGCGCCTGCGGATATTCCCGATTGTAGTGTACTGTCAGCATGGCCCAAACGCGTGCACCTCACCCGCATTTCCGACTCACTCTCCGATCCGCTTGGTAGCTGAGTTGCAATTCTTCGCGTGCATCGAGCGAGTCGTATATGTGGATGCACTGGTACAATGGCCTGAAGTCGATTTTGACGTTGACGTTATCGAGAACGTTGTCTAGACGGATAAAGCCGACGTCAATACCGCGAGCTTCGACGTACGCCGGCATACCCCTAATGACTCACATTCATGTCGCTCACTGACGCTCAATTCTATCGGGCCGTTGATCTTGGCCAAGCCCAAGCTGGGTTCCTTCCTCTTCCGTGCATTCCACTTCCTCCCTCTCGCTTCCATCGCGTTCAAAGCACCTTTCCCGACAGCGCGAGAGGCCTCTCGGGCCTCGTACATCCACGCTTTGAGTGAGCGCGTGACGGATTCCCGAATGACGTTGCGTGAAGTCGGAATACCGGCGAGCATCTGTGAGGCGAACGGATACTGTAACACGGGCTTCAACTGCGTCGATTGAAGATCCTCGATTTGCTGTCAATAGCGTACACGCACGATCGATCAGCAAAGTGTGCGCATTTCTAGAAACATGCGATTCAGGCCGCGGGGACCCACCCTCAGGGCCGAGAAGAATTTCTCATTCTCGATCAAGCTCTGCACCTTGTTGGCCATGTCGAGAACCCTCAAGCACGCCTGTAGGGTGTCGATCGCCTCATCAATGTTCTGCCCAACCCTCCGAGCTTCGAGTAATGACTTTTTCTGTGCAGCGGTAGAGGTGGTGGTAAGGGACGAGTGAGCTACCATCCCGCCGTGACGTGACTTCAGAATGCACCGACAAACCTTGACGGCTAAGCCTCCGCCGGACTTTTGGACCTCCTCATTCAACTCTACAACGCGGTGCTTGAGCGAGATGGTCCCCTGTCGGACCCTCAACAAGGCGGACACGGAGCCAACAAAGTTCTGTGAAATCGGGCCGAGTCCGTTCAGCGACCGTGCGAACAGGCGACACGAGACACAAAAAGGAGCTGACCTGGTAGTTCTTGGCACATACGGCTTCGATTTCGGATTCTTTCTCTGCGACAAAGACTTTGAGTGCCTTCAGGTACGCATCCTGCTGCCTCGATCGGTGAATCTGGAGGGGAGGCAGGGAGGTGGAGGCGGCAGCAAGTGGGGCGGCGCGCATTGACACGATCGCGCGCAAGTTGACCGAGGGAGGCAAGAGATGAGTAGATGATGCAGTGAGCGCGTTGAGACGGTTCGATTCGACATACATTGACTCTGTTGAAGAAGCGTGTCAGGTGGTGTCAGCAGGGCAAGTCCATGCGAGCTGGCCTCGTGGGTGAACCTCCGAGTGACCCACAATATCGGTCCGAGCTGCTCGATGTCACTGTTGGAGCTCGACGACAGGGAAGAGAACTGCGAGGTGGGGTGAGAGAAGAGAAAGGAGGTGCGACCACCGATCAGCGAGTGATGGCACGACGCGTCAACGGCCCAGCTCGGGCCGCGTACGAGGTGAAGCTGGGACAGTTGGGTCTGGATCTCGGCCTGGGAGAACTTGGGTCGACGCGGGTGGTGCGACGTTTTGTTGGTTGGATGATGACTCGACAAGGCCATGTTGCGGGTGCGCCGCACGACGCTGGTCTTGGCTCGTGCACGTATCTTATAGTCGGTCGCACACGGCCGCTCGATCGGCGCTCGGGCACTCGGCGAGCCTCACAGCAGCACAGGTCGAGGTGGGTCGTACAGAGCCAAGGAGACGCGCGCGCCGTGGCGCGAGGCCGAGCGAGGTGAGCGTGGTGGAGCGCTAGACTCTGCTGGACTACATATGGGCCAGACAGGGCCAGACTGCGGCTGACTGCGCCGGACTGCACTACGGGCAGCGCCGAAGCTCGATCAGCGCTTGGCTCATTCACTCGCTTTCACTGACCCTACATCGACCTTGGACATCACTCGTCACCAGCACCTGAAACAGCGCGTGAGCGTCGACCCGCTCTCCCCATCGTGCACTCCCCCGGGCACCAACACCACCGAGGTTCGCTCGTTCCGCTGCACCGCGTCTGACCGGCTGACCGTCCCTCCCAGCATCGTCATCGCCCCATGCAAGCCGACGACGACTTTGGCTCGGTCGCATGGGACAGGGGCACCACCGCCACAACGTCCGCGTCGACACAGGACGCCCTCACAAGCTCTCACCAGCACGATGGCCAAAGCACTGAGCCCAGCTCGTCGTCGTACCATGGTCCCGACTCGGTGATCGCGCAATCGACCCAGCGCGAGCAGCACGTCGCTGCCACCACCTCATCCCATGTCGTGCACTCGTGCTGCGTATCCGAGGGCAAGGTCGAACTCAAGGATACGAAAGAGGCATTCGTGTCCTACCTTGTTTCGGCCAAGGTATGTCGTCCGCATTGAGGCTCCTTCGTACATGGAGTGACCGGCCGACTGAACTTGATGTCCCGCCCCCCACACGCACCGGCTTGCACCGCCTGTACCCTCGCTCTCGCTAGACTGAATTGCCGTCCTTCACGTCCAAGAGCCCTTCAGCAAGGAGAAGGTACACGGACTTTGTCTTCATGCGCGATCTCTTGACCAAAGACTACCCCGCCGCCATCGTACCGCCCTTGCCCGAGAAGCACCGCATGGGTCAGTCCCGAATGCCGCTGGATCAAGACGAATGACATCCACTGACAGGACCTCGTCTCGTCTTCCGAAATTGATATGCATATGCTCAGAGTACGTTGTCGGTGATCGGTTCAGCCCAGAATTCATCGAGCGGAGACGAGTAGAGTGAGTGCGGCTCCGACAATTCGGCCAACTTTGACATTTGCTGATCCGGACACCAACCCCCAACCCCCCGTGGCGAACCAGCTTGCAACGATTCGTCGAACGCCTCTCTCGGCATCCCAAACTCTCTCAAACGGATACGTTTAGGGCCTTTTTGGAATCGACCGAATGGGTCAGTCAAGCTAGGGTTCCAACTTCTCGGCGTAGTAGCGGGCACATGAACCTAACTGTAATCTACGAACTTACTTCAGAACGTCTTCAAGCACAAACAACTGGCGAGGCACTCGACGGATGCCGAACCGATCGGTGGGTTACTCGATACCGTTTCTGACACATTGCTCAACGCCTTCGTCAAAGTTAAGAAACCCGACGAGCGCTTCATCGAGATGCGTCACCAGATCGAGCAGTTCGAGGAAGGGCTCGTCTCAATCGAGCGACTAGGTGCACGCAATCGGACTCGACTGAATGACCTCACCGGCGATTACGAGGACTTGGCGATGGGCGTACAGGGCTTGGGCTACCTCGAGAGTGGGATGACCGATGTCCTGATGCGCTTCGAGAGGGCCCTCGTCGATTTCGGCACCTCGGTCCGAGAGTATGGCGAGAAATCCTCGGAGCCGTTTTTGGAACACGTGCATTCCCTTCTGGCGTATTCCAGCTCGTTCAAGGGTGTACTCAAGCTAAGAGACCAGAAGCAGTTGGACTTCGAGGAGTTGAGCCAGTATCTGTCCAATGTGGTCAGCGAGCGGGATCGTTTGGCCGGCGGGTTCGGGTACGGCATGGGTATTGGGAGCTACCTCAAGGATAAGGTCGATAGTCTGAGAGGCGCTGCGGATGATACAACAAGGGAAGCCAGATTGGCCAAATTGGACACCAAGGTCAAAGCGGTCAGTTGTGGTCTACTGCTTGGCGCTGCAGCCGCATGCGGTTTGCTGATCTCGTAAACCCTCTCGAACAGCTGCAAGAGGCGGTGCTTAACTCCCAAGACACATCCCAAGCATTTAATGAAGAGGTCATTCGCGAAGCAGCCATTTTCCGCTCCATCAAGCGAGCCGAGATGAAAGAGCTGCTGGGCGCCTTCGCTGACGGACAGATTGCCATGTGCAAGGCGAGTTGCTGCCTATCGCAGCAACGAACAGGATCATGAAAGCTGACTCTCTCATTTCGCTGCTTTTGGAATAGGCCACCGCTTCGGCTTGGGACAAGACGATCCCTCAGATGTGATACATGTTGGCTGTAATCCGTTGGCCCTTCCTGAGAGTCGGGGAACACCTCTACACATTGTGCTGTGCTGCTTAACGACTCGTCAAGATGCCTGTAAGACATATCTCATTTAGTTAAGGTCTTGCTCCACTGGCGCACACCAACACGGTCTGCTTTGCGTGAATATCCAAGCGGTTATGTAGTCGGGATTGCGCGATGCAGAATCCGACTCGTTTCAGGGGCATTCTGAGTTTGTTTCAGAGTCGAGGTGTCAGACAAGGCATGGTTGGATTTTTCAGAGACAGGCGAGGCCGCTGCTTTGCGATGTTGTAGATGTCGCTCTGGAAAGGGTGTATTGTCACTTGAGAGGTATCGGAAGAAGCGCTGCCCAACGATCGTAGTGATCGGCGATCAAGCTCAAGTCTCGACTGGCTGTACCAGCTGAAGCCACGCCGCCATCGTGCTTCCACCCGTTAGGCGGCTAAATACCAAGAATAGGAGGTATCACCTCCGGGGACGAGCAAATAGCTTCGGCTCGAGCCTCGTGACCAACAGGAGCCTTACGCTTGGCTCCTCACTGCAGATCCTCTTAAACTCCATGTGTCACAACCCTCGCGCCGGTGCGTGTGCCGTTTCACTCTCTGATTTCCGCCGCCTTCTCCGAAAGACGGGAGGCGTGTCACGGATCGTCCGACACTTTCCTTATATTTAGCGGAGCACTACCGCCGATGATGCTGATCCGGCAACATTTATCACCAATTAAGTAGAAGCAGATATTAATGTCCATCCGCCTTCCGCCGGAGAGCTTTTCAGAGCTTGCAGTTACGAGGAAAGCGAGCTTCACGTAGGCACCGTTTGAGATGGAACATTCTTCTCTCTGCGGCACCCACGCCACGCCGGCGCTGCGTGGCTGTGAGACGACTTGAAATTGAGACCATCGTCTTCACTTAATTCGTGGACTGCAAACCAGGAAGAGACAGGCTAAACCAACTGTACACCTATAAATCATTGGGAAGCGTGCTCACCCCCGGCCACCTTGGGGTTGCCGGAATCGTTTGTTCTCTAGCACTGCACAAGGTTTTGTTCGGAGACGCGTCAGACGAACGAGCCATCGACATTTCTCGATCGGACGACGCTCCTACCAGATGGCCAGCGCAAAAAAGCTCAGGGAAAATCACTATCAGAGGGTTGGGATCGGCAGGTTGTGCTTAGGGTTGGAGAATTATTTGGCACATTTGGGCCTATCCTAGCTGCATTAAGAGCCGCCTGAGGCCGCCACAATCTCCGAGCGCCGACCGACTTTTGGCGAATGCTCGTCTGACGCGGGCCAGGGCCATGGCCTTCAGAGGAGCACCGTCTCAACGTCTTGCTCTCGTCGTCTCGCCTCTTGCAGCTTGCGCGTCCTCTCTTTACGTATTGTCTCGACCGTCCACACTCTCCTTCGACTCGAGTGATTTTTGACGGTCCGTCTCGACCGCACGACTGCTTGCTTCTCCTGTAGGACCATACGACCTCGCGCTCCGACTCGAAGGCTCGAAGCTCTTTGTACGAATCCGCCACACCCTACCTTGGGCCCGAGGCCTAAGCCCACAGACTACCGCGGCGCAGTGCCGTCTTTCGCACCCGGCTCGCACCTCCGCTAGTCTCTCCAAGCGACATCAGCTCGGCGCCGTTCATCAGCCCTTCGAACCCGCCTTGGCCGCCGTGTACGACTCGACCCGACGATCTACAATGGCCATGTCGACCTACCCAGCGCTTGCCCACCACCACCACCACCATTACCACTCGGCGCAGCAGCAAATGCATGACGCTCAAAGCCGAGGAACAGCAGCGGCATCAGCTCACTCGAACTCGTCGGCGGCTCTCGATCTCGATCTGTCGAATCTGTCGCTGCAAGATGCGCCTCATCGCCAGCAGCAGCATCAACACCAGCAGCAGCAGCAGCACCCACATCCTGCACTGCACAACTTGCACCAGCAGCACTTCAAATCGAGATCCGCTTTCGAGGAGCCTTCACATCAAGCACCGCAGAGCCAGCGCTCAGCTCGATCGCATCCAAATGACTTCGTTCATCCTCTGCATGCTGGTCGGTCATCTCAGCCGACGCTCTTCCAGCCCCAGCCGTTCGGCGCCTCGAATGCACCGCCGGATCATCCTCTCCATGCCACGACTAAGCTCGATACGCCGAGGAGAAGGGGTGTGGTCAAATTCTTCAGTCAGTTCCCGTCCTCTTGCTTGCAGCATTGCCGCCCCGGGAGCGGCCACGGCTTTTTCTCGGGCGCCTCCTCGTCGTCGTCGGCCTTAGTCATGCATTCCTGGCCCCGCCGCGCTTCGGTCCCGCGCGCAAACGCGCCCTGCCGTTCGCTCACTGTCCGAGCGCGGGTTCAACCGAAGCCCTTCGGCGCCGGGGTGCCCTTCTCGCTGCTGGCAGAGGGGTGGATGATGTCATGGAAGGTGCGGGCCCGCCCTCTCCGTCGTTCATCGCACCTGGGCAGCCTCGGCCTCCATACATGACGTGGCGTTCGCAGTCGAAAAAAAGAGCTGATGTACTGAACTCACACCTTACTCCGACTCTCCTCCGCGACCACTTTTGGAAATGTCTGCTATTTTCGACACCCGATCCTATTTTTCCTCCTCGCCTTCGACCCACTGCTTCGGCTACCGTTCCTTGCATCGCATGCTTTCTCTTTCTCTTTCGGTAAACAGACTCTTTGAAGGGTTTCGGTTTCATCGTCGACAATGATCCTGCAGCTTTGGGCGGACAAGAGGGTGAGTTAGGTGCCGCCGTGCTCTTTGTCTATGTTCCAAGACGTCAGCGCTTTTCCTGTCCGACACGGAGCATGGCCACTCACGCGCGACCGAGCCAAATCGAGGAAGAGGAACCGACTTGCCCACCAAGAGTCTGCAGTGTGCTGGCCGCTAAAGATTTCCAGAGTACTAAGCGTTCTGCTTCTGCTTCACATGTTCATCTAGTGTTCTGTCACTTCTCCGCCATTTCTGGAAAAGGTGGCTTCCGCTCGCTGGCCGAGGTAAGTGATGCCGGGAGACAAGCGCAGCGATTCACTTTGCGGGGGCCTTGGCTGACCTTTGATCTACCACTTCCTCTCGATTCGTTGCGTCATAGGGCGAAGAAGTTGAATACGAGCTGGTTCAAGGACCAAAAGGCTTCCAAGCCACGAATTTGACCGGGCCTCAAGGTGAGTCATGCGGTTCGTTCGCCATCTGCGTCTCGAGCTCGATCTGAACCAAGTTATTTTTTGATTCGACAGGACGCACCGTTGTGGGAGACCCGAAGGCACGCATAACCAAACCTTCGCCCTACATGCCATTTGCGATGCCTCAATTCCTGTCGACGGACCCATATGCGCCGCAGGGATGCGTTTTCGCGGCGGCGGGGTCCCCGTACAACCTCGTCTATGTTCCCGCATCGGTTGCCGTTTCTCCGGGGCAATTTAATGGATATGGTCACGCTCTTGCGCCGGGTCGTGAAGGACGTCATGGAGCTAGTCCGTTCGGGTCCAACTATTCCTTTACGCCTCCGGGGCCCTTGAACGGGGCCCCGGGTGCTTCTTCGCACACGAATGGTGTGGATTCCTCACGCGGTGGAACTGGAAGCGACTCGGATCATTACTCGTCGTCGTTGTCGGCACCCACGAGTTACCCGAGCAGCCGTGGGGGTATCGGCGCTCCGCCCGCCGCCCCGTTCGGCGCCGCCGACTACGGCAAAGATAACGCCCTATTCGACAAGGACTCGACGCGAAATCAGGGCAGCAACACCGCCAACGGATCCTCGTTCGGCTTCGCGCCCTTCTCGCCCGCCTCCAGCTCCCAGTTGCCGCTCTTCGATGATGGCGCACGAAGCGCGCGAGCCTTCGACTCCCACTTAATTCCCTCCCAGGCCCCGGGTTCGTCCTCGAACCGGCCTTCATCGCGAGGCAGTCTCATCTCTGCGTCGAGCGTCAGCGGCAACGTCGTGAGCTCACTCCTTCCCGCTCCTAGCAACGTTTTTGACGCCCTCCGTCCCGCGCCGATCGGCTCGCGTAGTCGCTCACCCGGCACGAACCACGGGACCCCTCTGGGCAATGGCTCTTTGTCGGGCAACGAGTGGAAATCGTCGCCCGTCCTCTACACCTCAGCGTCTTCCTCGGGTGAACACTAGGCGGAACCTGTTCTTCATGCCGAATCGTCATCACTCTTCTGCATGGACCACCTCATCTACCCGCTCCCCTCGTCGCATTGTCATATCCATATACATACAATTTCGACCCCGTCCACCTGCATCGCCCCGTCTTTTCAAGCTCCTTGTCGTCGTCATCGCCGTCTTCTCTATCTTCGTCGTCCTCCTTCTCCGCAAGTTTTCGTACATCGTCGTGCTTATTTCCGACCTCATCCGCATTATGTGACCTCAGCAATCGCCCATTCGGTCCATGTGGCAAATTCTCCAGTCCCTTGTCTGTCCTGGCTTTGCGATAGTTATCCGTCCCTCAAGCTTGACGGGGAAAGATCGCACGCATGCCACCCCCACCCTTGAAACACCCCATCCTGCGCAGTCGATTCTCCAAGGCTCCTCGTGACATTCTACGGGACGTGTTGACTATGAATCCGGCATCCACGTGCTAGTGAGCGCACTGCACTGCATATGATGTCCGCTACTCGTCTGCACCACCTTCACGTCCACCTCCGAACACCGGCCCCGCGCGTTTCAACCTTCCCTCCGAATTCGTCCTCCGCATCACAGCAATTTATGGGTTTCGCTCCATCTGTGCCGGTTCCTTTCATCTCCCATCATATCCCTGTGTCCACGTTTCTGTCTGTGTGTGTCTCCCTTCTGTTCAGTCCCTTGGCATCTGTTCTTTACGACCCCCGTCCAACGTTTCTTATTCCCTTTTTGCTTTATCACCCTTTTTACAAGAGGGAACAAGAGGCAACGACATATATTATTTTGCTCTCCGTCGTAGTATCATGTTTGCCGAATGTCAGTCACGTCCTTGTTGGGCTACCTAGGTACCTGCTATCGTATATCTCAAAGAAGGGATTTGTCGGCCATCGAAGGCTCCCGAATCCCCGAGGAGAGGGATAAGCCTCAACAGTGAACCCTAAAGGTAGCTCGGCCAATGGATCTATCATCCCAGACAGTCTGAAAAGGCGATCAAAGATTATGAGAGGAACCAAACATGCTATTATAAATAAGGTAGATAGGCATGCACTGACAACGAGCTACTGGCCTGCGAGTCCTGGCCACGAGGCGACGATTATCTTCGGACTATCTCGGGTACTTATAGATCGGTCGGTCCGTTGTTGCTCAGATCTCAGAGTTGCGCTAGAAACACGCCGCATATAGCCGCGTGGAGCCGCGTGACACCTTCGCTCGCTCCGCACTGCGCAGCCCGTCAATGATCCCGACCTTATTCCCCACACGATCGCACTCGCCATGCAGCAAGTCGGGTCAGGGTTCTTCGAGAGGCGTAAGCCGGGTCGCCTTCGCTCTACTACCTCGAGCGACGACCCTGCTCTTGCTCCTGCTGCAGGGTACGAGTCGTCCCTGAAACGCCATCGAGTCGTAGTCCTCGACGAGCCCGTTGCGTCCACGTCGACGTCAACCTCCGCAATTCAAGCGGAAGCGCGATCCAGCGCCTCGCCTTCGCGACGACGACGACGACGCGGCGAGGACCCTCTGCAACCGAACCGAACAGAGCGAGGGCACGGACAAGACCCGGACATGCATCGATTCATCTCACCGCTGCCGCACTCGGTTCGTTCGCGCCCACTCTTTGACATGCTTCGGTCGCCCGAAGCATGGGGCCTCAACAATGGGCCCTCTTATACAACAATGCGCTGGCGCAAGCGCCCGAATCTTGATCTCGCAAACTCGCGCTCGTCCCGGAGGTCGTCGCTCATGCTGGGGTTCAAGAGGTCGATGGGGCGACCACGCACCTCGGCTTTACTGCTGCTATTGCTCATGGCTTTCGGGATCTGGATTTACTCGGTCCGCGACTGGCTCGTGATGGTGTGGTTCAAGGCGCGAGATGCATCTTACGAGAAAGAGCTAGTGTGGACCTGTCGCCTCAGGAAGGAGCCGATGCTGTTCGTTCGGGCCGAGGATGAAGTCGCTGTGGTGTGGGAATCGAATTGCGACAGGCCAGCGATACTCGCATGGTCACCTCAACCTGTTTCGGACGGCAAAAAATTCGGCCAATCGAGAAAGAAGGACCAAAAGGTGCGCCGGGCGGGCAAGGCACTCGAAGGATGGTCGACGGCCGCGGTAGAGATGACACGGGTCGGATCGGGTAGATACGTCTATTCTAGTAGTGTGCGACCACTTCTGGGTGGTCGTAGGTACAACTATCGCGTCGGGTGGGTCAAATCTCGGGCTGCTGGTACCGAGAACCCGAACCTCGAGCAACCGACCAAGTTCAAGAAGGTGCTGGCCAGCTACTCCTTCGATTGGACCGGACCCGCTGTCATTCCCCATTTAGACTTGGAGTCTGCAGATTCGAACGCGACGAATACGACTGGCCACCTGATCCTTTCGCAGCCCACCTCATTCCATATCGGTGCGCTCGCTGACAACCAGTACAACGTGCGAACTTTCCATCGCGTGCTCCTCAAGATGCTCGCCTACTCGCGTCGACTTCCCTCCCATTCTCCTAGCCCTCCATTGCTTATTCACGCCGGCGATCAGGTGCAAAACCCCCACAATCTTGCGCAGTGGCAGACCGACTTTTGGGACGCCATGACCTCGAGGCTCCCTATACGATTCGGACAAACGACACCGATCGTTCAAGCTCGGGGCAATCACGATTGGGACAGGACGGGGGTGAATGTCTACGTCGGCGGTTCGCACCCTCGATCGGACTGGCTCACTGAGCGTCAAGAGGAACCCGTGGCGAACCATCCCGGCACGTACTTTGCCTATTCGCCCCATCAACGATGTCGCATTCTCGTTTTGGACTCGAACTTGGACTCGGCCCTGCAGGTCGAGCAGGAGCTTTGGCTCAAATGGGAACTTGCGAGACCCGAATGGACGAAGTCGACAATCAGGATAGTGGTTGTGCACGTGTCGCCTTTCCTTGAGTTCTGGGACACCGAGGCCTGGACCAATGGGAAGGAGAGCCAGTGGTAAGTGATTTACTCGCAGGCGGTTTCGGCATTTCTCGATCCCAAAGCTGACTACGAGCTCTCAAACGCTGCATTGCTTGAACAAAGGTCCGTTTACGTTCGTCATCGACTAGCACCCCTCTGGGCTGAGCACGGAGCGAACTTGGTCATGTCAGGTCACCAACACGCCTACTCGCGCGGATTCCTGCCTCACTCGCTGCACCGCTCCTATTCGAGCGTCGACGGCTCGGCGTCCCTGGACGTCCTCTCGAAAGCGATCGTTTCGGAACGAGGATGGGAAAAGATCGCGAAAGGCGGCGTGATTGAAGAACCGGGGACGGTGTACACCATCTTTGGAGGCGCCGGCGGGACGTTAGACCAAGATCGCGTCGAGGATTGGGGCTTTTACGATCGCTCGATTAAGGGGCAGCATCATTTCGCTTGGCTCGGATTGGGTTTCGCCGGAGTAGGCGTCGACGATTCGGAGATGGGTGAGGTGAGGATGGGCGACGACGACGCGTTCGGCGAGGCCGGGTCCAAGAAGGTGTATAGGACTATTGGAGGGACGGCGTGTAGCAATGGGACGATCGAGGTGGTGGATGTGCTCGAGTGGAGGGCGATCGGGTTGAACGGGAAGGTTTTGGATGCGTTCCGAATCGAGAGTTTGGGGTGCGCTGAATGGTGAGGAAAACGGTGGGGAGGAGACCGACATTCGTGAAGCCAAGCGTATGGTAACAATTCAGTAATGTTGTTGTAAATTTTAAACATCCGAGCGATCAAACCGTCGAATGTAACATAGACCTCGGCGTTGGCGACCCCGACTGCACGTGGCGCCAACCTTTCGGCATCGGATGCCTCCTGTTTCTTTTGGGGCGGGCCCGAGCGAGACCGCGGTGTGTGCGGGATGCACAAGATGCACCTCTTTGGTTTTGCATTAGGACGTAATAACAATCGCTTTTAAATGGTGTAGATGGTACGTCGCTAAGAACCTTGCCGTGACTGTGAATTACTGGCGGGTAAGATCCCCAAGTCGGCCTGCATTTAGGGGTGGGGTGGCCCGTGCGCCACGTAGCAGCGTGGTGTATCGGCTTGAAGTGGCTCACGGCTGCTCACGGCGTCAAGAGGCGTCAAGTCTCAAATTATCAAACGGGCGCCGGCACGCTCGCGCTGCCCCACCACTTGCACGCGTTCGCTCAGTCGAACCTGCAGGCCGGACAACGTCTAGCAGCACGACCAAGCATCGCGCGGTGGGTGTGGACTCTCCTCCGACACACCGACGCGACAACTTGTCATTTCCGAGATTCGGTACGACGGACCGACTGCCTGGGTGTTGCCATCGGTGGCGGCGGGTACTGCTGCGTAGGGCCGTACGGCGAGGTGCACAACACCATCGCGGCCGACACAAGCACGAGCAGTTGGGCGCACCTACATCAGTCTCTGTCTCACGACTGAGAGGTCAGCGATATGTCGTACCAACGCGGTGCAGGCTATGGTAAGTCGCTCGCTCCCGCTCACTGGCCCACCTGCTCGGGTCCGAAGCCGAGTGATCCGTCCACCTTGGCCTCGCTCGAAACGGCACGCACTTGCCCTACAACTCACTGACGATCCAGTTATATTGCGCACTCTCCCGGACTGTGTCTCTTCCTTTTCAGGAGATGGCGCGCTACAACAGCCGTCACGCTCCCCTCCGTCGTCCTCATTGGTGGTGTCACCGTCCGCTTCATCCGGGAACGAGAACGGAGACGGTCCGGTCCACAGCCACAGCCACAGCCATGGCCACGCATCCACCTCCCCACCCGAGATCCCAGATCGTTCGCACCGTCGAGCAGCATCCATTTCCAGACGCACATCCTATTCAAGACCGCCAGGGTCCTCTTCCCACCTCCAGCCTTCAACGTCGGCGCTGTCTGCGTCCCCTGAGGCGCCTTCGACGTTGAGGCGCATGCCCAAGTCGGCCGTGTACAATGATCTGGCTTCGACCGCGCGTGGATCGTCGGGCGACCCGCCTCAGACAAGCTATTCAACCGCTTCGTCACAGTTCTCCACGCCCAAATTCGGTGCGCCAAGGGAGTACCAACCCGACTCTCCGCTTACACCTACCATGGCCTCGCAAACCTTGCCAAGTGGGGCCTCTGGCGCCTCGCACAGAGACCGAGACCGAACACCATTCGCGACTCCGGATCGCTCAATATACGCAAACCCTTCCGCCTCAACAGACATATCAGCAATTTCTCGATCGCGAGAAGCCTCGGTATCTTCGGACTCCTCCCTGAAAACCGGAACGACGCCGAAACCACTGCACGAGCCTCCAATCCTTATGCCGAGTAGCATTCTCAAGACGGCCGGCTCTAGATCCCACCTATCTTATCCAACCGTCCATTCGAGCGGGTCAAGCGTCGTCTCGGAGTCCTACGACAACAAGAGTGACACCGACTCGGCCGAATCCTATGGGTGGTCCGGTCTCGACGATTCGACGCTGCAGCACGAACCGACAAAGTCGCCCTTGTTCGGCGAGGAGGCGAGTGGAAGCGGCTATACTAACTCGGTGCTGATGAGAGGGGTGACCACAGCCCGTCTGAGAACGCCATCTCCTCCGGCATCTCGAAGCGGTATGCGTCGTACTAGGAGCATCTCGAAGTCGGATGCCGTCGATGGGGATCCGGCGGCGTGGTGGACGTCACCTGGGTCCGGCAAAAGGTCGAGCTTGATGAGTCTCAAAGCCACCGACCTCGGAACAGTCAGAGCCGAGACTCCTGCAGCTGTGCCGGAGGAAATTGAAATTGGTCAAACTTTGAACTCCTTCGGGATTGCATACATACCTCCCGAAAATAGTGAGTCCCCGTGACCTGACGGGAGAGGCCTGACGCAAGGCTGATAGCTGTGCTTCAAACCAAACTATAGTCAATTCCGGAGCGAGGCTATCGACTTACGAGCCCCAACGGCCGTCCAGTGCTCGATCGCGCGCCACGACTCCGGATTATCTGAGGGAACAATCCCCTTCACGGCCGAGCGAGTCTGCCGCAGTTCCCGAGCAAGCCGCGGCTTGTGTACAAGATTCCTCCCCGCTCTCCGACCCCAGTCTTGCGCCACCTTTCGTCGAGCGACCACAAGTGACCACAAGGCAACAGCCGCTAAGCTCGAATCGGTCGGTAGAGCGCCCAGCACTGCTTGGGCCGAAGTCTTCCTCGTCCGGCTCGGACGAATTGGTGATCCCACCCAAGTCCCCAAACCGCCAGCCCTGTCCCTCGCTTCAACGAGACGCTTCGAGCCAGTCTCTCAGCGAATCCGTGGGTGTGCTCTCACTCGCGTCTCCGACCACCTCGACGATGGTCGATACGAGTCCTCAAGTCGGCGGCAGCCCCAATTCTCAGGCGGTCTTCGCGGAACGCAAAGCCAAAAGGCAGGTGTCTGCACCCGCACCTAGACCACAGAAGAGCCGACATCGCGCCTCTGCCAGTCTGGTGGGCAAGCACAAATTCGATCACGAGACGAAAACACTGGCGCCTATGAGCACACAAGCCGATGTCGAAACAGCAAGTCCGAGCAGCGGCCAGGTGTTTGAGCTAGGCGCGGCTGAACGAATCGCTGCCAGACCCACTCTTACGATGCTCAGTTCGGCCGAGCCCCGCTTCTCAGTAGGGAGGGGTCAGCTCGACGAGCCCCCTATGTCGGCTTCTGACTTTGCCTTGTCGTACGGCGAGTTCGACGCGGTAACGCCGATCGAAAACCATGAAGTCGACCAGGACGAAGAGCCTTCCACCCGAACTTCGCATGTGCGCTCTCCAGCAGTAGCCGATGAGCCCATAGCTATGGATCTTGCACCTTCCAGTCCGTCCCAACCCACTGCTGCGACACTACGTCTCGCAACCGTGGCGACTCCGACCGCGTCGTCGAAACGAACACCGACACGATCCGAATCCCCGAAGGATGGGATTCAGAACCCTGCCTCGCTTTATTCCCAATTGACGGACACGATCGCTGACGCTGCCAATCTTGAGCACGATCTCTACCTCGTCGAAGTCGGGAGCGCCGCTGCCGGACCCACTCCCTCCGAGCGCGAGCCCTTCCGTTCAGCATCAAGGCTCCAACTGATCGATCGACCAGGTTCGGTCGCCGGTTTAAGTGATGTCAACAGCGCTCGTGCATCCAGCCCTGGCTTCAGCAGCGAGGACGTATTCCACGACGCTACCGCCGAGGACGGTATGATGAGCGATGTGAGACGGAGATCGACGGGCAGCGATGTTTCAACTGTTCCCGCGCCTGCTTCCATCACGCCCCTCGGTCTGGGCAGCGTCAAGCTCGATGCCAAAGCTCGAGCAGCCGCTTTTGTGGCTGATCTAAAACGTGCACGAACAGCGGCTTCGGGGTCCTCCAACGGTGACCCGCCCGTCCCATCGTCCCCCTTAATGGCCTCGCCGATGACCACGCCCGTCATGACATCCGACTCACTTGGAATCACGGTATCCTCGACATCGCCGACGACCTACGTGGAGCCGGAGTCGCCCCGTGAGGTCCTGATTCTCGAAGGTCACAACGATTCCGGACGTTCCCAAAGACTCGATGCCAAACCGTCAAGTCCTGCTCGTGCCTCGCCTGCGAATGGACCTCCCTCTTTCTCGACCGACACGCCCCGACCGCTGACTCCGCAAGTCTTTGTCGGCGAAGAGTCTTTGTCGTCTCAGTCCGCCCTTCCGCCTGCTCAACTTCTCGCACCTAATTCGGGGGCCATCTCCATCTCTGATCGAACGCCGCTCGCGCCTAGCACTACCGCGGGACTGCCTGCTCGTTATGACTCACCACCCCTCGCCGCTCCGGAGCCGCCACCACCGTCCCCTCCTCGGCTCATGCTAAGGCGCAGAAGGCTTTTGCCGCCCTCGCTGCAGATCATCAACGATCTCCGGCGGACGAGAACGGCTGGTGAGCGTGCGAACCTGTACGCGATGAAGATCCGCGAGCTCAGGAAGGAGACGAGCGGGATTGCGACATGGGTCGGCTTCATTCAGCATGGAGTTCACGAGCGTCAGTCACATCGGTTATCTGCTACCGGTACTGGCCCCTCAGTTCACTGAATAAACATATTCATTCAATATAGGCATGAGCGCCCAAACGGTCTCACAGCTACCTAGGCACTCTCGTGATGAGGGGTCCTCAGCCAGCTTCCCTACTCGACCGGATGCGACGTGCGCCAGGGAATTGCCTCCGGGGTCTTTCACTCGTCAAGACCTCGTCCCGACGGTACCATTCCCTGGAGTTTTGGGGGCTGTTCATCACTCACCTTCTTCGAGTCTTCCAGGTATGTCGTCCCCCCCAAGCTCATCAAGTTCAACGGCACGGTTCTCCACATCTCAACTTTTATCGAGCACGAGTCTCTCGATGCGACCTGCGAGTGCGATAAAGGACAAGGCATATTTTTTCACCTCGTTAGGACGAAGGGGTTCGAGGCGGGAATCGGCTTCTGCCGCCGTTCCAACTTCCTCTACTTCCGTAGCACCACCCCCGCGACGCTTGAGTGTATCTGCTCCTTTCAACGCCGGCCCGACGACGACGACGACGACGACGGCTTTGACAAGCGCGGTTCCTTTCAGTTCGGTAAGGTCTGCGGGCGCGGTGGCCGGTCCGAGACCCATTGGGGGAGCAAGTTCTCTCCATCCTGGACCCAATGGAGGGATCACTACCAGCTCAGCCCCAATCCCTGTCTCTGCCGCGAGTCCAGTACTATCAATTTCTTCCAACGTAGCGAGCAAGACCTCCCACGAGTCCTTGAATGGCACGACAAACCGGACATCCTTCATCAACGTCGGTGGGCAGTCCGCTGTATCGGAGGCAATGAACGCTCGAACCGAATTGCTCGGAGAAGAACGCGAAGAAGAGGACGACGAAGAGACGAAGGAAAAAATCCAGAGATTGGTCGACATCTTGCCCTATGCACGGCCCGAACAGATCCGCAGTGCGTTGAGAAGGGCGAATGGGGATGATGTCTTGGCGATTAGTATCTTCTTGAGTGATGATCAGGAGTGAGCAACGGGCGGCAGTGTGGCTTTGAGTTGAAGCGGTGAGACATGAAGTTATTGGTGCTAGTACTTCCTTTCTTGTTGTAGATTTGACAATGGTGAAGATTTCTTTTCTTTTCCTGTTCACCTCTCTGGGCGATGTCAATGCGGCAGAGCACGCCCGTATTCCTTTGGCACTCGCCACCCAGGGTGCCTAAGCCGCACGTGAAGCACAGACAAATGCCATTGCAGAATCCCCAACACAGGTACGTTAGTCATGTTTTTTTAACAATGGATGAGGATCAAGTCTAGAAGCCAGCCCAAATCGTGAACCCCAGATGGAAGAGTCGAATGATACCAAAAGCCCGATCGCAGACCTGAGAAAGCACCACGACCAAGAAGAAACGCGACCCCCGCCTCGGTACCGATCAAGCTGGAGCACCACAGACAGGGACGAACTTTCTGAGATTGACCGCCGTACGCCAGGTGAGCCCCATCTGGTCAGAAGTAAAGCGATTGCGGCAGAGAGTGTACGAGTAGCTCATGATGTTGGTGACGCCGGTTTCGATTTCGGCAGCGGGGGCCGAGGGGTTGCAGGGATTCTTCTGGGAGGCAAAGGAGGAGCCATAGTAAGGGCAGCTGATTGGGGCGTTCGACGTCGGCCATTTGGGGGTCACTTTGAAGAAGCACAAAGGAAATAGGCGTCAGATCCGTCGCAATCATGCAACCTAAGTTGAGGAGTGAAGGAGGGAGCTTACATCGGCACATGTCTCCATCGGTGCCGTCATTCTTGCCCGCGCAACCTCCTTCGAAGGTGTGGTAAAGACCGAGCCAGTGCCCAGCCTGATTTCAGTGAACAAACGACGACCCCGCAAAGAGTCAGTTCGACGACCAGCATCTCCAAACCTGTGCAGAGAGTGTTCGCATACCTCGTGGGACAACGTGGTCGGAGTGTAGAAGTTGGGGTAGCTCGGAGATTGCTCGAAATACTCGGTACGGATCTGGCCAGTGTTAACAAAGAAGCGACTGAGCGCTCTTTCTCCGACTCGGCGTTTCAGTCAGACTCACCCAGATACCATCTTGAGTGAAAGGGGACGTCGAAGTCGGGCGGTAAGAGAAAGCTGGTGTCCCTCCATTGATGTAATTGACGCTGTAGATCCATAGCTGCTTGTTCTGAGTGGCCGGCCGCTTCGCGAGGGGACCACGGCATTCATTGGCGATGGCGATTTCAGCCTGTCCATCCGGCTTGCCCACGACTTGGTTCATGTACGATGCCGCAGTGGGGAAACGCCAGTACCATACGCCAGCAGTGGTCTGGGTGTTGCCTGTCGCCAAGACGAATTTGATCCTCGGGTTCCACTTGGCGTAGTACGAGGTGATGCGGGCCACCTGCAAATGAGACATAGGAGTCAGTGGGGTACAGAGGCGGGGAAAGTACGAACAGTACCTACCGCGGCTTTAGCATCAGCCTGAGAGTGGTAGCCATAGAAACCTTGATGCCGTGGTGAGGAAGGGATTAGTTTCGGGCTTCGTCCATGATCATCCGGCTTTTCCGTCGCTGCAGCGCTCCGGCGGAAAGTCCACTGAGGGGACCTCATCCTCCAAAACTCTTGAGGCTTACCCGGAGTTTTGCCCTGCAGTTCAGCAGCTGTAGCGGCGTAGTAGTAGAATCGAACATAGACGGTGACGGTGATGGTTTGATCCGTGTACTTGGGGCAAGCTGGGGAGGTTGATCGCGAGGTCAATCCACGGGCATGAGCTCAAAGGAATTATCCTGCCCGCGCAACAGCGTTTACCTTTCGATTTGACCGGGTCAGGACCATATGACACATTTTTTCCGAGCACGGGATCGGTAAAATCGTCGATAAGCTGATGGGCGTTCTTGGGAGGGACTGCCGGCTTCATGAATGGTTCCGAACCCGTGGACTGAGCTCCAACGCGGCCTGAGCTCGTCGGAACCCAGCTCTCGTATGGGCCGAGCTTGGGAGGAACGACCGCGGCTGAGACGGTCGTCGACGCGATCGCCAAAATGGCAAAGAATGTGCGAGTCAACATCATGATGAGTGTGGTTAAGCTGAGCTTGATAATGGAAGGAAGAGAACCAGGAGTGAAACAAACAAAAAGTGCAGCCCTGCTGTGGCCCTCTGAAAAATCGGAGTCCTGTGCTGTAATCCGACTTTATGGCTTCAAGCCAGTGAATCACAATTTGTCTGAGCGGGCATCCAGATTCCAGAGCCAGCCTTCAGAACAAGTGCTCCGGCAGCCCTGACCACGGGTTGAGAAGTCGGCGGCGATCAATTGGCTCTCGAAATCAAAAGTTAGGCTTGGCAAGTCGGGTGTCGGGCCTCGGCGCTGTCCAATCCGCAATCGAAGCTGGGGGACGAGGTTCCATTAATTTCTTGGTATGTACCTACCTAGTCGAAATGTTCCACTCAGGACAAGGTGCCTGTTAGGTTCTCGATGTTCCAGTCCCAAATCCTCGGCCGAAAGCCCTCGACCGTCGGCTTGGCAAGACACGGATTCGGAACCTTTGGCCAATCATTTCCTGCTCGAGATCATCTGGGCAGGCGCACGAGCGATGATCGCCGGGAGCGATTGCCAGCTAGTAGTGATCACATGGCCTCCTGAAGCCGCTGCATAAGACGTGGAACCTGCCTAAATGCCAAAGGTGACCGGTACTGCATGGTATTAGGTAGGTGCGGCCATTGCAATAGTAGGTACATCGAGTGCCGCTTGGCTAGTGATTGCATATTTCAGAACACTCCGGGGATCACGATCTTCCTGTGTTTGGGCCACTCTTCTCCAAAAGTTGCTTGGTACCATTTATGACCAGACACCTGAGAATTTCGCCATCAGTTGGAGTGAATTTTCGTACACCCGATCCCGACAGAAAGCACTCACCGCTCTGGGGAGCATGACCAAGATTTCTTGCATGACGAAGATCATCGGAGGTTGCAAATACCACTGGGAGAAGGGTCTCAATGCAGGAGGAACACCTCGTAAAAGTGCATATGGCGAAGCCGAACGACCGAGCAAGGATGAGAGCGTGGTCTTGAGCGTCGGTGAATCGATCGAGGCGAGTGCGAGGCCCGGGAACGGAGAAGGGGCAAGGCACAATGAAGCGATAGCGAAGCCTAAAATTGTTCACAGTGCAATCCGATTTTGGTGAATGGTAGGCTCAACATCAGCCAGATGTCGTGTTGTGACCTCGCGGCCTAGGAGAAGGCGCGGTAGCTACTACGTACCGATCCACTCGATCCATTCGGTAAAATAACTCGGGTGCGAAATGTAATCGTACAAGAACCCTTTCGGGATCGAGTAACGCTCGCGGGGTGACATCTTCTTCCTCTGTTCTAGTGTTCTCCCACTGCTCTTGACCTTCTTCCTCTTGAGGTCGTACAACATCTCGTCGCACACGACGTTGCCCACAAAGCCAAACAACCAGAGGTTTACGCCGATCGCGAATACAAGCAAAGCCCACGAGTCGTTTCGCAGACCCCATGCATGTGTTGTGTTCGTCCCATTGGTCGCTTCACCTCCAGAGATCCAGAATCCCATTGTCCCTCCATTAGCGAGATTGAAGAGCATGGCCGAGAGAGGGACGGCGATGTTCATCCGCGCTCGTCCTGGATTGCGCACGGTCGAGATGACGGCTCGATTGAGATAGTGTACCAAGAACATGAAAGAAAGAAGTGCTCGAGCTCTTGGAAGGGATGTGAACGCGTTGAGGATGCTAAAGGGCAAGTCCCAGGTAAGGCTTTTGGGGATCTGGGAGATGGACGATGACGGGGAGATGGTCATGGCGACCATAAACGAGAGTGGCGACACGAGTTCCATGAGCAGCCATCCAAAGTTGCCGTTGACGCTCAGGAATGAATGGTCCGACCACCTTCCGAAAGGCGCATCTGTCGCACACAGGATGGATGAGAGACGGGTCAGGCACGTATCGACAATGTGGAGCACCACGGCGTGTCCACGGCCAAACCCGACTGCTACAAACCATTTCAACTCACCAATGATGAAACTCGCTGGTCCGGCAGTGAGACCAAACGTGATGAACAGTCGCTGCACGGCGCCGTACAGTCCCACGACCCCGTGGTCGCCCCTGAGTCCTCGAGCCAGCGTCGCACCGTACGACAGCAGTGGCTCCATCTCCGCGGCCGGACGTATGACGTGCAATATACGAGGCGAAGCACAAGGAGCGATGGCGCAAGTACGCCGAAATCGCTCAGGATCTATCTACCTCTCAGGATCGCTCGGTCGCGGACTCAGTACTCAATGCTGAAAACCACAGTGTATGTATGATTAAGAAAGAGGGTATGGGGCCGTGATGGACCTTTTGCACTACACAAACATATCGGATGATGCCTGCCAGATGCGGGGCATATTTTATGGGAGATCGAAGGGTAAGAAGGCGTTTTGCAGGACAAGGTAAGGTGAGCAACCATGGTGATCAGAACGGCGGACCGTATCTCGGCCCAGGGCTGGTCGGCAACCCATTGGGAGCCATGTTCCTACCTGGCGACCCATTTTGCCCTTGACCGCCAGGAGTTGAAGGCGGTCGATTTCGATACTGCTCCTGGTACTGGTACTGGTGTGAAGACTGATCAGACGTCGGCGACAACGAATGAAACGCATCGGCTGCTTGGGACGGCGTGTGGGCATGACCGGAGGGAACGAATTGCGCAGAGTCGGAACCGAGGCCACTTTCGGCGAACCACTCCGTATCGACGGGTAGGATCTCGCCAAAGTCGAGGTCGCGCAGCGGTTGGCGTAACGCGTCCTGCTCCATCAGCAGTGGTGCACCCAAAGCGAGGTAGAGCTCCGAGTTGCGGTTCTTGCGTCGTCGCTCGGTTTTAGCCTGCTATTTTCCGCAAGATCAGTAATATCAGTAAGGGATGCCTGGATCACAAGAGCTCACGTCTGATCACTCACCTCGGGGTCCGCACCATCTTCGATCATCGTTGCATCAGCAGGGCCCGATTCGGGTTCGATGGCAAACACGACATCGAACTCGCTCAAGATGAGGATGAACAGAGGAGCAGGAATCGAGAGACTGGGCGAAAAGACGATGCTGAGATTGCGCAAGTTCATCTTGTTCACGTCCGCGGACTGGGCGATGACGCAGAGGTGGGCGAAGAGGAAGCGGAACAGGGTGTATTCCTCGATCGGGAGCCGAGCAATCAGCGAACCGAGCAGGTTGACGCGATCGTTGCGATTGCCCAGGTCTATGCCAGTAATCAATGTACGGAATTAGCGGGTAAGCTCGCGAGCCGTGTGGCAACGCCACACCACGTACCGATAACCTGCAAAAACTCGGCATGGAGTTCTCGCGTGAGAAGATGGCCGGGCAACTCCCTCAGATAGAGCTTGAGTAGACCCGCGATCGCATGAGGGTCGATATATTCCTTCGTCGCGAGAAGGTTGACATCGCCTTCGGTGTTGAAGCGATCTTTCAGCAAACGGATGACATTGGCGCTGCCACTCAACCTGAAGATGCCTTCCTCAGTTTCAGCGTGCTTGGCTTCCAGGTACTCGACGCATCGGTACACGACGGCAGGTAGCTCGAAACCTGGGCGGATGCGCGATTGTGCGACGGCTTCCTTGAGCGGTATACCAAAGACTGGTTGAGGAGCGGAAGCTTTGACATCCGCGCTCGACTTGTCGACGCGACTGAAGCCTCCCCAAAACGATTTGGTCTTGCGTCGTTCAGCTTTGGCCACACCACCCTTGAAGTCGTAGCCATTCGGAAGGGGCGTGGCATTCATCGGGCTCGAGACGTCGCTGACCGAGTGCCTACCTCCGCCGCTAGCGAACGAGGTGGAGTGCGTTTCATCACCCATCGCTCGTTCCTTTGCCGATCGCTTCGTCAACAACGCCGGCCGATTGCTCGCTTGCGCAGATTCGGGTCGCGCGACCGATTCGAAGGTCAGCTGGCCTGCGCGGCTACGTGCGTCGTTAGGTGTCGAGACTGGAGCAGGCGCAGCAAGTTGGTGATCTGGATCCGACGACCTCAAAGCCGACTCGGAAACGGATGCCGACAGCTTGCCCAAACTTGGCGTCGTGGGAAGCGGTGGTCTATCGGCACCCTCGCTGATGGTCGTCATCGAACGATGACTCGGAATCGAGGGTTGACTCTTGACCGGGGTTGCATTGGCCGGAGTGGCCATCCGCAGTGTGCTTGGCGGTGTGGTCAGTGCTTGAACCCATTGATCCCGAATCTCATCGGTCTCGGCGCAGAGAATGTGCTCCTGCTCTCCTTCCTTCTCGTAGATCGCTCGAATCAAGAACGCATGGATGTAGGCATCGTAGTCGTTATCGACCTTGCGAGACGAAGGGGCCTGTCGACCGACCGCCGCATTAGCAAGCGGGATCTCGCCGATTTTGAGCCCTCCTGGGTTTTCGTAGTACATCAATGCGACCCCGGGATTCACGATGTAGTACCTTGTTTGCCAGCCGCCGAGATGTCGACCACGTTTTGTCAGATACCCTTCCATTGGCCCTCCGGGCTGATTGGACGCGGAAGACGGGTTCAACATCACGGACGATTTCGTCGAGCGATTCAACTGGGCCGACACGGGCACGTTCGGAGTCTGAGGATCAGCAGTTACATCGCTCGTCAAGAAGATGCATATCGCCGACCGATCCTTGAACGGAATCTGAACGAGCGTCTGGAGGTGGCGCTCGGTCATGATCATGCGTTGATCCTGTTTGACGGGGGCATGGTCTTTGAACAGGGACTTGTCGGGCAGAGGCGCCATTGCCGCGTACTCCTTGCGACCCGCTTTCGATCGGATCGTCGAGTCGAGAGCCGTGATATCGGAAAAGGTTTTCTCCATCGTCCATCGAGGCATTTGGGGTATGGGCGGAAGCGGTTCGGCGCCCTCCAATGGCGGTCGGAGCACGTGCACGTCGATGCTGAACACGACGACCTCTTTGCCCTTATCCGACGTCCTCAGTCTCGAGCTGTTGATCCGTACGCGAGTATGGGGTAGATGCGCGGGGACGAGAGGTGCGGATTGAGGTGAGGATGGGGCCGAGGTGTCGAGCGTCGTAGAGGGGTGGGTCGAAGAGTTGTGCGGTCGGGATGGCTGGGGCTGATGGGGCGAGGCCGAACGCGCTATCGTAGACCCCGAGTGGCCATCGCCTTGACTCCACCGATCCTCAGTGAAGTGCGACCCCGAATTGGTAGACGGAAAACCCTCCGAAGGCGACGAAGGAGACGTGCTACTCAAGGCGTAGGCTTGAGCGGCCGACATTTTGTGGTTTGAACCGTCCGATCGAGCAGAAAGCAGTGAGCCTTGGGGGGAGAAGGGCTCGTCACTATTGCCGTACGACGAACGAGGATAAGGCACGGCTGGCAAGGGAGTTTCGGAGATGAGACGCTCTCGATTAGAACGCTTCTGCTCCGCAGAGCTCGGGGCCATGAGCTGATCTTGAGCACGATCTTGATCATCTTCCTTCCCTTTGGGCGAGACGAGGTCCCCGTATGAGAGATTTGCCGGCTGCGCCCTGGTTCTGTACCGCTCATTCCGATGGATCACCGACCTGTCTGTCGACCATGTACCGCCATCGCGTTCGCTATCTCGACTCGTGAACGCGGTTGGGGACAGAGGACTGCCTGGAGCGATCGGCGGTAACATTGATGCGATGCCGCGACGCCCTCTGCGATTGCTCTCGGGCGTTCCATGCAAGGACAAACTGGCAAGATTGACGGGAACGCTCATCGTGACGGATAGACCAGCACTTCTCGAGTCACCAAGAAGCTGAAGACGGTCGTCATGATTCGTGTTGGAAGAGTGCGGTCGAGTGACGATCGGTGGGGGCGGAGTCTTGGGCGGTCGCACCGCCGCTCGACCGTCATCGGATCGATTTGCCTTCATCTGTTGACTGGCATGCGCGACGACGTCATCAAGGTTCAAGTCCCTGAGGTCCAAAGAGAGACTCTTGCGCAAGTCGGAGGCAAAAGCACTTTGCTCGGCGCGTGGCCGTTGCGGTAACGGAAAATTCGGCGGCGGTGGAGCAACTATAGTGCGCAACGAAGAAGCAATCGATGGCGTGGAGCGGTTGGCGTGATGGTAAGGTGCACTCCAATCCCGGTCTCCAAAGTCATCGATTTGCTTCGGGGAGGCGGTGATGTCGTCCCAGTAGCCCCTTTCGGACTCGCTCCTCCTTCGCTGGTGAGACGGGTTCGGGGCCGAATTCGGGCCGTCGGGTTCCGCCGATGTGCCCCTAGACGCATCAGGCTGTCGCCTCAGTGAGTTGTTCGCCAATACCAGCCCTTGGGTTCCATCGGGGAGGCTAGTCGCAACGGAATTCGCCGTCGAATCCGTCGTCGAGGCTTCGTGGCGGCGTAGCTTGTCGTCGCCGATCGATCGCGTCGTCGCCCCGCTCGGCCTTGAACTAGTCGGGTTACTAGCGCCGTCGCCGACTGCTTCGACCTCGAACGACCTCCTCGACGCGCCATTCGCTTTAATATTTGGTGCTGTAGCTGAATCAGGTGCCACGTCTTCGAGCAGCGGCTTCTCCTCGATCAACGTGCGATGCCGAGAGACCAGGTCGTTGTAGCGCGCGAGGATGTAGGTCAGCGCTTCCTTGTCGGTCGAGAATGAGGACAGGAGGTCCGAGAGCAGCAAGGGCTCGGAATGGTCGTGCGACCTTGTATTTGACATGCTGTCCGGGTTCGCTTCGATCCTAGCTCTGTCTGAAGGGGACGGGGCGGTTACAAGGTGCGAGACTCGTCCTGTGTGGATCCCCGGCGTCGTGGGTCGAGCTCGGAGAACGTCACAGAGTCCACGCCGGTGATGGGCCCTGGCAAAGCGCGGAAGCCAAGTCAGCAACAGCACGATCCGCGAGTCCTGTAGCACACGTGTGGTGGACTCACCGACCTCTTCACGCGATCTACTCGACTTGCTGTCAGCGCTGCACTCGGTACAACGTTATGCGACCCTGGGTGTCGACTTGACTTGTGGATCTCCACGACCTCGTGACGCGCGTTTCTCAGGCGGGCGAAATTAAAGGCGTCCACCTGCGCTCCAGGTAGCAGCACCTTACAAGTCGTGAGTGGGGTCGGTGTGGTAGTTGAACGTAACGAACGTGAAGGGGGCAATCCCAATGACCCGGAAGACGTCGGGGTTGTGAGAGTGAGTATGAAGACGGGAGGCGCTCAAATAGGAACGAGCTGACACTCTGCATTAATCAAATGGAGGACGCGACCGCACGCGCGCCTGGGCGGGCCTTGGGCCTGAGCCAGCCTGAAGCTATGCATCTGCTGCGTGCGTGGAGGTGCGTGGGGTTTTCCGTGCGGAGGCGCATGGGAGCAGGACGACTCGTTTTTAATGTCGAACTTCCTCCTATCCTCAGGCGCCCTCACGAGCTTTCCCCCACTCAGAACTGCTGACTAATTCATACTTTCATAGTAAACGCCAACCCTGGCCAAGCTCGGTTCAGATCGCGCTAAGTAAGCGCTCAAGAGTCGTTTTAGACTCGGAGTAAATGGGGTCACGTGAGCACACGTGAAACGTGTCCGCACGTCCGTCCGCACGAGATCAGCTGAGATCACCGGCGCCACTGCAGATCCCATCAGATCTGTTCTGTCTAGTATCTGATCTTGATCTGGTCCGATCAGGTCACTGATTTGATCCGAGACATGGAAATGCCGAATTTGACGCAGGGGGGGTAACACCGTAACCTCGTGGAAGCCTCATTTTCTTCCTCATCGAGTCATCATTATCAATCGCAATCTCAATAGCATCCCCACGACGCGACACGCACGCAGTCACGCGATCTGGATCAGCCTGAAGCGCCAATGCCTGGCACTGGCCGAGTGACAGTGGATGACTCAATCCATCATCTCTCACTAGGGCTCGGGGGGCGCACCCCTGCGTAAATGAAGGTCGTTGCGAGCTCCGCCCGCACCTCCCGGACCGTGGGGGGAGGGAAGATCGGCGCGCGCGCACGGCTGCAGTGAGAACCTTACTTAGTCGTGCATTCTTTTATGTAGATGTAGATGTGTGCCACAATTGATGGGTACCTTTTTTAAATCGCAGTTGCACCATCTATTAGGTACCTATGCACTTTTCTCTTAAGGCCAAGCCGATCTATCTGATCTAATCTAAAGCGGACCCTTGCCCTGGGTGGCCACAAAGCCAGAAACGGGTGCGAAATCGTCAGACCCCCTCAGACGCCCTCAGTCTGTTGAAGAAGAGCTTAGACTGATGGGGTCTGACAACACCTGAACCAGCATCTCAGAGCTAGTAGGCAATGGTATCAGACACTCTTATCAAGTTCTTATACAGAATTCTGTCGATAATCTTCTCCAAAAGGCTGAGTGCCGCTGAGATCCACCAGAATGGTCTGAATTCCCTCTGAACCGCTCTGATTCGGTCTGAGATCGGTCTGAAATTGGTCTGAGGGGGTCTGAGGGGTCTGCGGATTTGGCATCCGTTTCTGGCTACAGTGCACCATAGCACCGCCGAATCAGAGCGACGAATTGTTCACAGAGGAAGAAATGCTCGACTCCTAGTCGACCATCATCGACTTTGATTCTTGATTGTTAAGAAGAGAGGCCGCTCTCAGCCACCAACCATCTCGGATCCTCAATCTCATCGAGCTCGAACGTCGCCGTGCGGGGTGAGGTTCCTCGTTCGCAGCCGACCACGTCTTGCAGTGGGCGCTTGCATGTTCTTGAGCGAGGCGGGGCCGGGCTTGCTGAGGATGCTGTATACGGGTGACTATTTGACAGAGGAGAACCGACCTTTGGACCCGGCCAAGGTTCCGATATGGAGAAGATACCCGACGTCTGAATGAGTTGCGAATCGACAGACGGGCAAGTACACTGCTTCTGTCCTCAGACGCGATGAATCGACTTCTGACTCGAGTGGCTGATGCGCGATTTGCAGTGTCTACAGTCACGAACCACGGTGAGAAAAGGGAGCATGGTCTACAAGCGAGTCAGTTTTGTCGAGTCTCCTTGCGACTACGACGCCAATCTGTAGGTCATGCCCGCGCATTCCGTCCGCTGCCAAATGTGCATCCAGACGAGGCGCCAACGATCGAGACCCACACCCCTTTCGCGGACGAGACCAGTCCCGCTCTCGACCCGGCTCGTCTACCCGTCATACCGATGACGACACCTCTCCCATTCCCGCAATGGGTTCTCCAAGTAACCCTCCCCTCGAATCTCCTTCGCCTGCTCTAAAGAGGAGGCTCGTCCAGCCGGACGAGGGCTCGGTCGCCGCCCTCATGGCGTCGCTTGTCTGTCGCAAGACCTTGGACCCGGTCGCAGTCCACTACAAGATAGGAAAGAAGACCAATGTCTTCCTTCCCGATATCTTACAAGCCCCGACCCAGCTTGTGATCGGTAGTGCCGAAGAGCACTCCAGGTGGCTGCAGCTGGGCGACCTCCAACCTGGGGCGCCGCTCGAGCAAGCCGTCGCCGCTCTTGGCAAGGTCCAAGAAGAGGAAACGAGGAAGAGGTGGGGAGCCGCTGGAGCGAGGCGATCGCTGCGCAGTGGCAGCAAAGCGCAAACGTTGATGTACAAATGAGTTTAACTCTCTTTCGTTGAGGGTTGACGGTATGCGATCGCACCAGCTGCTCCCAACCCCTTCCTCGGTTCATCTTCATCCTCTTGCGCCTTGCGAAGAGCGGCGGCGGCTTGCTCCAGCGGCGCGCCAGGCTAGCTGCAGCCACCTGTGGTGCCGTCCTCGGCCCCTCCGATCAAAAGCTGGGTCTGGGTTTGTGAGCGGGAGGCAAGACGATGGTCTTCTTTCCTATCTTGTAGTGGATTGCGACCGGGTCCAACGTCCTGCGATAGACCAGCGTCGCCATGGTGTGGACCGAGCTCTCGTCCGACTGAACGAGCTTTCCTGTTTGGAGCAGGCGAAGGAGGCTCGAGCGGAAGGGCACCTGGAGAACCCATTGGGGGAATGGAGACATACCGTCATCGCTAAGGCGGGTAGACAAGCCGGGTCGAGAGCGGGACTGGTCTCGTCCGCGAAAGGGGTGTGGGTCTCGAGCGTTGGCGCTGTGGCGCGCTTCCAGTCCGGGTGCCCCTTTGGCACCAGCGTCAGCTTGTACTCGACGTCCGAGATGAAGAGTCGTAAATTCGACTATGCCGGTCGCATCAATCAAAGTCGGGCGGATGAGACGCCATGATGCTGACTGAGGGGGAGGGGGAGGGGCAGACGGAGAGGTCAGAGCAGGGGATCGCGAGGGTACGTGTCCAAAAGATGCCCTCAGGAGACACGAGGTTGCCGCGAGGGCGTGCGCGCGCCTGAGTCAGTCAGCGCCCCTGAAACTCACCCCGCGGCTTCGCCCGCGCACCCCGGAGGAGGAGGTGGCACCGTCAGCTGCCTGTGCACGGCGGTGCATCGATTTCCTACGATACATTCCAACGGCTAAATCAACCAGAGGAGACATCTCGCGGTTTGACAAGGCCCTAGCAACATTTTTTTATCTCTGGTTCCGAGTCTGAACGCGTCGGCCCTAGGGGAGTTTCTTTGTTCGGGCTACGCTCGACCACGCCGAGGCCAATGAGGTGCGACATGTACCGAAGTATCCCGACAGCTTGTGCAAACATCTCATGGCCGAACCGGCAAAATTCGAGTTGAGCCGATTCGCCGAACTGCATTGTAGCCTAAACCAGGGACATCAGTTGTCCCGGGCGCAAAGAGGAAGTAGTTAACCGACGGTACAAATAAATCACCCGTTGTTTGGTGTGAGGTCTGTCAGCTATGCCTCAGAACTCGGGATCCGCGGATGACATCTCGGATCCATGGTCGGAGTGGGTCCACACGCGGAAGCGTTGAGTCGAGAATGACCTCCCGAGCGACCCCTCTTTCCCCGCGAGGTCAGGACTCTTTCAAAAGATAATGACAGCATTTAAATAAGAACATTTGATTACATGTATCAGACCAATCCTCTTACAAAGGTTCACACCTCGGAAGTCAAAACTGACGATAGGAAATCTAGAAACACAGTACTCCGACGAGACTACACCAGAACAGCGACGCCTACGACAAAGGCGAAGACAGCGACGGCGAAAGGACCAAAGTGGTTTATTGTCGCTGAAGCGGAGGTGTGCACACCCGTTTCGTGGACGGTCGAGCCGGCGTTCGTTGACCGGGAGGTGTTGTCCGGTACGGCGACTTGGTACATTGGAGCGACGGTCCTATATCGAATGGACGGGTTAATGATCAGTACTGTTAGGATTGACAAGCGGAGTCCGCGACCTGGACTCACGTATCGGCACCCGCATGGGCCAAATAATCCGCGTTGACCGTCGCCGCCGCGGCCAGTGCACAAAGCGCCGTAATCTGCGTCTTAGGTCCCGCGGTCGTCTCGTTCCAAGGCCCATTCCACCACATCCCAAATAACCACGAATTATCAACGTTGTTGAACACGTTTGACAGCATTTGCGTGTTGATAAAGTTGTAGATGTTGGGGTCCGGTCGAGCGAGGTACAATTCGGCCAGAGCGAGGATGAAAATTCCTTTGAACACGGTTTCGTCCTGTTGACATCCGGGCGGTTTACCCGCAGACGGAGGTGCGTCATGTTCGCAACTTTCGACGAGCACACCCGTCGAGGCTTCGGTAAAGTCTCGAATACCGGCGTAGGCGATCGTTCGGCCCAAGTCGAGAATACGTTCGTCGCCGGTCGCGTACCACAGATCTGCAAGGCCGTACAGGAACGCGCCAGAATTGTACGTCCATGACGCTTCGCCCGTTTTGTCGCAGTCCGGTCCGGTGATGGTATCCCATACTCGGCCGTTGTCCGCGTCGAAGCCCCATCCGAGCCACCAGTTGAGGGTGTTCATAGAGTAGTCAAAGTACGTTGAGTTGCCGGTGTAACGGTACAGCCGCGTCAAGATCGAGAAGTAGAGACTGTGTAGAGAGGTGGACGACGTCAGTGAGAGACAAGGTGTCCCAAATTGGAGTAAGCCTCGGAACTGACCCATTGGTGATGGTGTTTTTGATCATCGGTCTGTAGGTAAGCCAGAGTACACCACCGCCGCATGTGTCGGTCCAGTAGAGCGTGTTGTTGTTATTGATCGTTTGAACCATCTGGAACCAAGTCTGGTTGGGGTAGGCTTGGTGCGCACGCAACGCAAACATGGCCCACCAACCTGGAGGATTATTGCAATCCGGGCAAATCGTCAGCGAACAGAACGTCGCACCAATAGGAACAAGAAACGCACTCTGATCATCGACGTAGGCATCGATCATCCATCCTTTATCGTCGTTTTTGATGAGCAAATCCTTGATGAGCAACTCGTTGACTGTTCAGGGAGTAAGCGAGCCAGGAGAGTTAACTCGGCGATTCACACAGCGCTTAGGTCTCTTCTCTTCTTCGGAGTCCGCGAGGCCTGACAGCTACCGACGTAAAACACACCATTGTTACCAAGAGCGAGATCGAGCTGCGTGTATGCAAGACCTAACACGGGTGTCTGCCACCATCCTGTCCAGCTGTGAAAGGATGGGTCGATCGCAAGAACAGGTCACGGTTAGAGACCCCGACTCGTCGATGACGGCAGGCACCGCGCGAAGGAGAGGGGGGACTGACTCGAATACACCATCCTCGTACCATGTCTGCATACGAGCTACAGCGGCCTGTGCGACGAGCGCGATCGAGGTCAAGTTGTTGACATTGATGTCTGATACGATGGATGCGCGTTGCGGGATCGGGAGGGTCAGTCAACGAGCCAAGAGCGACGAAGGAATGCGGTGCTTGGCCCCCTTCGCGGTTGAATGAGGTGAGGCCCTGCGTGCGCCGACGCGGTGGCCGCCATGGGAGCCGCGCCATCCGACGCTATGGCCCAGGTCAATACTCACAAGTCGAGGGTGGGAAGGGTGCATTCGACGATGCGATGGCGGCTCGTTTTGACAAGCGGCCGACGTTGAACTGCTCGAGCGGGTCCAATCCGGCGCGACGTTTGCCCAGCGGATGCCGATCCCAGGCAAATGCTGGGCTTTGCGCCGTGTCCGGGTCGAGCAGCTCGGGTCGCTTGGACCTCAAGGCGGCGGGGATCGTACCCGGGTCGACGAGCGGTGTCTGAGGCGACATGAACGCGTGCCCTACCGGTGCGGTCCTGGCGGGGAAGGCCATGTAGGCGGTGGCATCGTACGGCGACGGGTGCGAGTCGGCCTCGGCTCGCGACGAGGAGGACGACGATGAGGTCGAGGGGAGCGCCGAGCAGAGCTGCAACAGCGTCGTAGCCACTAGGCCGGCTGCAGCAAGGCCGTGCATGGTGTGCAGTAGGACCGTCCTGGCTATGGTAGATGGGACAGTGGTGGGTGGGGTGTTGCAAGAGCGAAGGATGAGGTACAAGTCCAAGGCCCTAAAGGCGCGAGAGCGGTGCCCGAGCCGGGCCGAGACGGTCTACTGACGGTCTAGGACGGTCTATAGATGTTGGTCGCACTGCCCGGTCGCACGAGGCGGCGCTGCCAAGGTACGAGCCGGAGTCGGGCCACTCTGGGGGCGGCGTCGTTGCTGGAAATGAATGAATAGGGTACTGCGCGCGCGCGAGCTGCGTCCGTGCGTCGGAGCGCGTGTGCCACAATGGGTCATTAGAACCAGCGGTACTCACTACCAACATAGGACAAGACGCTGGTCAGCTGGTCAGCGCGTGCTCTTCAAGTTCCCCTCGACAAAGCCGGTCCTCACGGTGCGCATCGACGACAATAGGCAACAGCTTCCTAAAGTGTGAGCAAGGGACGAACTCAAGGTGGGCCGATGGATTCAATGACTGACATGGTCCCGATTCCCAATGTCTCTGACATCACACACACACACACCCACCCGCCGCCTGGCCCGGCCTGGTTCTTGCTCTGCCCCCCGCCACCGCCACCGACACTCGTCCTCATCGCACTTGAACGATGTCGAACTCGTATTCAGACTACAGTCGACTGAAGAACAACCACCATGAGCTACGGCGGCGCACTTGACAGCTATGGGCTGGCAGAGGATGTCGCCGTGTACTCGTTCGACTCGCTCGGCGACGACCATGACCTCGGTGGACTGCTCGACGAAGGCATGAACGACCTCAACGACGAGACCTTTGGTCTGGGAGGTGGCGAGACCAACGACAATGATACGTTTGGGTCGGTCGGTGAGTACGGCACCACCGCGCAGTGTGGCTTGCAGCGGGCTAGCACAAAGGCGCATGTCCTGCTCCGGTGCGGCCCCACGCCGTCCGTCCGATCGAGCTGACATCCCCACCCGCATCCCCGGAATGCTGCAGGCCGCGACTTTGACTTTGCAGGCAACACGTCTCGCATGCTCGCCAACGACAAGCCTTTGCAAAAGCTCGACAACTCATGGATGTCGGGACCGGCGCAAGCGTCGAAACCGTTCGCCGCCGCGCCTCCGTCGTCGGCTTGGAACTCGCTCGACGCCGATCCTTTGCTTTCTGGTGCCTCGTCCTACCGGCCTCCCGCACCCATGAGCTACCAACAAGTAGCTTCCGCAACGCAGCCCCGATCCAACATGAGGACCTTGGACGAGATCGAAGCCGAGATGCGCAACCAGGCTCGCTCGGCTGCCCCCCCTGCTCCGGCCCCCGCTCCACCCTCATCCAAGCCATTGACGTTGGAGGAACTCGAGGCCGAGATGTTGCCCAAGGCTCGTGCCGGTGCAAGTGCTGCTCCCCAGGTCCAACAACCATCCGCAGCGCCCCAGTCCGAGTTCCCCCCACTTGGCGCCGCACCGACTCAAGCTCCGCCAGCAGAGCCTCCTGCCCAGCAACAGCAAGGCCAACAACAACCCTTCTTTGGTGCCGGAGGGGCCCCTACTTTCCCTCCTTTGGGCCAGCAACCCGGTTTCGCTCACGCTGGGCCCCCGGGTTCGTTCCCGCCTCAGCAGTTCGGACGACCGATGCCTCCCTTCGGTCCCGGGATGCCAATGCCACCGCCACACATGCTCGGTCCAGGTCAATCACCGAGCCTGCCAGCGCAAATGTTGCCCCCACGAGGCGCGGATACGCCGTTCCAAGGTCCTCCCGGTGCACCGCCGATGATGAACACCCTCTTTCCTCCTCTGCCCTCGCAAGCCGGTGGCCTCGCCCTCGTCGAGCAACAGCTGCAGTTCTTGACCATGAACCAGCACGCCCAACACCCGTCCTTGACGAGCGCGCAACTGCAATCGCTGTTGCAACAGGCTCATAGCCAGGCCAACACCGAGACTGCTGCTGCCCCTGTGGGTGAGAAGGGTGACACGGTCGAAGGGGACGAAGAGCTGAAGAAAAAGGCTGGAGAGGACCTGATCAAGGTCGTCGAGCAGAGGATCTTGGAGCATGAGATGTTGGAGCAAAAGAGGAAGCGGAAAGCCATGAAGATTGCTGCCATGGTAAGTATCAACGATCTGGGTGGATGCTCTGTTCCGATTTCGATAACGGCTGACTGATCGGACCCTTTCGTTCAGGCCAAGCACAACAACCTCATGTCTAACTCGGACAAGGACTTCATCACGCGGATCCAGGTCTCGCAACTCGTCACCGACGATCCCTACGCCGATGATTTCTACTTTCATATTATGGCCGCCATCAAGATGTCGCGCCACCAGGCTGCCCTCGCCGCCGGTGCTGCACCAGGCACGGTCCCCTTCCCTCCTTTGGGTATGGGACCCGGAGGACCAGGAGGTCGTAACGGCCCAGGGGGCAACGCGAACAACAACCGCCGACCGACCCGCCGCGAGAACGCGATGAACCGTATGGCGCAAAACGTCCAGCGTCTCGTCGACAGTGCCAAACAACGCAACAAGTCCGGTCAACTCAGTCTCGATGGCGCGCTCGGCAAGATCGCGTTGCGGACTCGAAGTGCGCCGCGCCAGATGTTGCAAGTCAAGCCTGATGCGGCGGGGGCAAATGGCTCGTCCAAGAAAGGCTCGGCCGAGGATAAGGACTCGAAGCCATCGACTGGGTCGCACTTGTTGGAAGGACTGGTCACGCAATCGAGCGTGGCCGCGAACGCGACTTCGGCCGATGATGGGAAGCCCCTTTCGCATCGTTCGGTCTTGGCGATCCTGGAAAAGGTCTACGATGCGGTGCTCGACCTCGAGCAGCTCCGTCGCATCCAACCTCAATTGCTTGGCGCGGCCGCCGCGGCCAAAGACCACCACGCATCAGCCGTGGCCGCCAACGCCTCGGAAGAGGTGCAGGCGAACCTCGAGCAGCACGTCGTCGAGAGTCAAAAAGCCGTCGATGAATGGACGGAGAAGTACGACCAGCTTGCGAACAAATTGTGGACCGAATTGAGGGTGATGGAACCTTTGGACCGATGCACACCTCACCCATTCATCGCGCTCATCTCGGTACTCAAGGGCAAACGCATCCTACCACGTGCCTTGAGGCATCTCTCGCCTGAACAGACCTTGACTTCGTTGACCTTGATGGTTGCGACCTTTGATACGCTCGACACGGTCCAGGACGCTCCAATCCTCGATTCGCTCGACGAAACGAGCGGTGCAGGTTCGATCGAAGGGAAGCAACGTCGCGCCGTCGTCGAGACCAAGACCGAGGCGTTCCTCAACGCGTTTCTTGCCCCGGTCATGGCTGTGATCGGCCAAGCCCCTCTTCGCATGGTCACGGGTATGTTGGGTCTGTTGATGGAACGTAACGACTTCTCCAAGGTCGTGCAGTCCAAACCCGGGTTGGCGTTCTTGACCATCTTCCTCTCGCGCGCCGAATCGATCAAGCAAGCGACCCCGGCACCGGACGCACAAGACTTGCAAGGTTGGCAAAGGACCTTTGATCACTTGTTCAACTCGTTGGTACAACAATTGCCCCGTTTGTTCCCTTCGACAAGGGCCATCTCGACCCTCCCCTTCGGAGCAGCCGCGTACTTGTCCAACACCGCTCAAGCAAGTGGCCCAGGTCACCTCAACACGATCCGCCCTGAGATCGATTTCGACGACGAACCGGTTTGGAGGTTGCTCGCTGCCGTAGCCGTATGTGCCGAAGCGAATGAGCAAGAGACGTTGGTTTCGAGTGTGAGGGATAAGGTGTTGGAGAATGTCATGAGTGCGAAGAAGGCGAGGATCGCACCCGAGGTCGCGGCACTCAAGATTGTATGTTTTCCGCTTAGAGTCTAAGCCTGGGCTCGGTCGAACGGTTCACTGATCCCTTCTCTTGCGTTCTTTCATTCCAACAGCGCAACGTCAACCTTCTCTTGCATTCGCTAGGCCTCGACGCGTCCATGTTGAACGCCGAGTAGACCCTTTACCTCGTCTTTACTCTGTTGTGTGCGCTGCCCCTATATTTGCGTGGGCCAATGGTTTCCCCGTCTCCTCTTCTTCCCATTTTTCTCTTTTGCCACCGAGCAATATGCTTCCTTGAATATTCCCGAAACGGATACTTTCCCTGAGAATTAAAACTTTAAACGATTTTTTGCAGGATGCGGCGATGAGGACCGTACGTCTCGAGAAGAAGAACGTTCGAGTGGGTAGACTGAGGAACGGTGCGACGGGAGGTATTGATTATCATGTACACTCACTGGGACAAGGTTGAACATAAAAGATGGAAGGGGGAAGATCTAGAAAACCATGTACACTTGGTTGTTGACGCCTTGGTGATCTTTTCGGTCTCTCATGATTGGCTTTCCTTGCCAGCTTGGGCCTTCTCCCAGATGGGGTCGTTGAGCCCCCTTCGGTTCCTGGCGATTTCGATGGCGTAGAACTGTGTTCGATAGCCTGAGATGAAAAGGTTCAAGATGATCGTCAATCAGTACTTTCCCAGCGGGGTGCGGGGTGTGTGTACAGCGACAAATGGTTCGAACGGGACGAAAGAGGGAGTTAAGCTCACCAAAGATGGAGTTGCTTTCGGTATAGTCTTCGTTGACGTCGGCACGAATCAAGGTCCCAAAGTTGTAGTCGTCGACCTTCTTCTCGAAGGGCATCATGAACTCCCTCCAGCGGCGTTTACCCTCGGCCGACTTGAGTTCGTGTTCGGAGAGTTTGGAGAGCCGGGCGTCGGATTGCAGTTCGGGGAATTGCTTGACGAACTCGTCGTGGATCTCGTCGTCGTGTCTGGTGAAACGGACGAGGCGTTAGTTTCTGAGAGGACCCAAGTCCAATCGCTGACTCTCGAGGCCCCACTTGGCCAGGTCAACGGACCGTCCCGCGTAGTATATGAAGGAGCGTACTGTGTGAGCCTCTTGAGCGAGCTGCCCTTGATGGTACTGATCAAGCCCATATAAGTCTCGGCCTGTTCGAAGCAAGCAACGGCGAACTGTTGTTCAATCTGTTGGGGTATATGAAGGTGTTGGTCGGTGGGAGGAGCTCATTAAAGTCGAGTTCGGACTCGTTTCGAGTCGTTGCCTACCTTTTCGTCGTTCTCGGCTTCGCTGGCGTCGAAGGAAGCGGGGATGCGGCCGGAGCCACCGAGGGCGCCGATCGAGCCTCCGTCGATGAGATCGTCAATGGCGTTGGACATGGTCCGTCAAGGGGTTGGGGGGTGGAGTGAGACTGGGCAGAAAGGGTGAGGGTGAGGGTGAGGAAGGCGTAGGTCAAGAAACGAGCGCGCGCGAGCTTCGGGCACAGGAAATGACGACGATTGCGAACGAGACTAGACCAGACTCGGCTGCGACGTCGGCGGCTGCGAGTCACCGCGGCGTGCTCTCCCTCTGCCCAGAAACAGCGCTGGGCTACCGACCGATAGGAGCTGGTCGGAAGGAATTCCCCGGCCCTTTGTCCCTCTCCGTCTCACGCGCTAGCTGGCCTTGGGTTGATCATGTGGCCGTTTACGCGGAGTAACAACGCCACGAACCTACCACAGGCCGAGCACAAACGCAACGACGACCACGTCGACCGAGACGACCGCGACGACTGCGACGAAGCCGTCCACCAGCAAGCAATGGACTCGCACCCGCTTGACCCCACACTGGCCGAACCCCAAGATGTACCACTCCCCTTCCGCTTCTCGACGAGCTCTTTCCTCTCCCTGATCCCCGAAGTATTGCACGGACCTTTACGCACGCTCTTGATCCACTCGCTCCGACTCGGCCCTCTCCCGCCTCACATCGCCTTCATCATGGACGGTAACCGACGTTCAGCCCGCCTGCGCTCCCTCCCCGTCCAAGTAGGACATCAAGAAGGCTTCGAGGCCTTGAAGCGGGTCCTTAGCTTCTTGCTCAAGTTGGGGATCTGCAACGTCACCGTTTATGCGTTCTCGATCGAGAACTTTAATCGGCCTCCCGACGAGGTCGATGCGCTGATGGATATGGCCAGGGAACGATTGGTCGAAATTTGTCAAAAAGGGTCAGTGATCAAACCCATTCCTCGGTGTAGAGCACTGGACTGAGGGATTCTTGACTTTACTAGCGCACTGTTGGACCGACATGGCGTACAAATCAGGATTTTGGGACGACGCGATCTTTTACCCGAGGACGTGCAAATCGCTTGTTCCAAAGCCGAGGAATTGACCCAGCACAACACAAAGTTTGTCATAGTTCGACTTTGCCAAGTCGAATGGCCGGAACTGAACAATCTATTCCTTCGTCCCACAGAGGCGTCCTAAACTTTTGTTGTCCCTACACGTCCCAAGAGGAGATGCTCACCTCGATCAAGCGAGCCTCTCGTCTTCCTCACTCGTACGTGCATGTTTCTCACGCACTCTAGATCACTAAACCCCCGCCATTCCAGGCTCACCAGACCACCTGCTACCTGCAGTGAAATCACCGACGAATCCCTCTCCTCGCACCTCTACACCTCCCATTCACCCCCCGTCGACATACTCCTACGCACCTCGGCCGTCTCCCGTCTGTCCGATTTCCTCCTCTACCAATCGAACGAGGACACCGTACTGCATTTCATCGAACCAAACTGGCCGGATATCGGAGTCGTCGATGTATTGGGTCCCGTATTGGTCTATCAGAGTGAAGAGGTCGTGAGGAGATTGAGGACGGCTGTGGGGTGGATGAGAGGGTGAACTAAATTTTATTTACTGCGGATTGGAGATTCTTCTCCAAGATAGGATGGCATATGAAGAAAATGTTGTTGTAACAAAAATAAACCGGATCATGAACCTCTGCCAAGTTCCTGAAGATGAGATCTTCAGCGTGCCGGGTGCTGAAGCAAATCTTGAAGATTGAAGAGGCCGAGTGAATCGACTCGATCCTCGGCCTAGGCACCCGATCTTCAGGGTAGTATAGGGATGATAGATCAGAAAGAAGAAAAGAAATACGCGCCACCAGAGTCACGGCGCAACTCGTCCTTAGGGTGGGGGGCAAGTCCTTGAGGCACGGCTGCTCGGGCACTTGACGTTGCCCGTCCCCGACCGAGAACTTCGCCGCATGGATCCTCAACCCTTTCCTTCCTCCTATCCGAGCAACATTTGTCGTCATCATCCACGTTACAAAAATTCAAGAACAAAGCCTTAAAGGGGGTAACCAACGTTACAACTTATGTAATAATGTACAGTTCGGAGCATTCCGCTCTGGTTTGCCTGTTCTCCCCGTCGATGTGGAGTAAGCTTAGGCTGTCGCTTGGGAGCTTGAGCCTAGATCTGGGAAGAGGTCGATAATGTTTCTCGGTAGTCGAATGCGAATGAGTGGCCGAGGACCGGGTGACAGAAGGTGGGCTCGATCCGCGTAACGATAGATCACCGTGATGGCCCAGCACCCGATTCTGTGTGATAAAACAAAACATGGGCCCCTTCAGCTTCAAGCTACTTGTGTAGACCCGATAGCGTAGGAGATTGAAACTCACGAGCAGCCTTTTGCGCACTCTTTGCCGCCGCGTCTACGAGGAGCCAGATTATGAGAGGGTATGTCAGATGCCGTTTCCTCCCTTAAGTGCCCTTCTTAGGTGGAACATGACGAGAAGCTTACATACTAGTCCAGCAATGAAACCGAAAAGAATTCCGACCACGTTCGCGACCGTCGCTGCATCTACAAGTGCCCATGAAAACTCAGATGTCAGTCCCCCCTTCTCTTTCACTCCACCCACCGCCAAAGGACCTACCCCCAAAAAACAAGATCCCACTCGCCGCGACGGGCAGCTTGTTTAATGCGCCAACCATGGAGAACGTCGTCGAACTTGTTGTCCGGATGACCCAGGCCGTGCAGAAGGAGATCCCTACGGCTGCGGCTCCGGAGAAGGCCATGAGGGAGAGGAGGGCAAAGCGGTTCTTTTCGGGGCTGTACAAAGAATTCGGCAACCCACTTGGGTGAGTCTGAAGATGCTTTGGTTATGATAATCCATGGGCTGCCAAATGTACGCACAAGTTGGCTGCGAGTGATTCGCTGGACCAGTCCTCGAGGAGGAGAGAGAAGAAGGCGAGCACGGGGATCGACAACAAGTTGTTGTACCGCAACGTGTCCCAATCACTGCACGAACAAGATCATACCCAATAAGATCACTCTCCGCTCGGACCGCGACGACCAGGTACGGACCTGAAATTGGTGATCTTGATCCGCTTGCGCATCGCGAGCACGAACCCAGCCGAAACGAAGCAGTTTGCAAACATCCACAAGTAGCCCGCCGACGAAGCTCCTCCCGCTTTTGTGACGATCGATGCACCGGAAAGGAAGTTGGCGATGTCGGATGAAGCCGCGACGAGGGACGAGACGACCTTTTTTGGAGTGACGGGTGCGAGAGTGAGCTCACGAAAGATATGACTTCGAAACGTTGGGAGACACGGACCATCAGTGCGAACGAAATGAGCGTCAACCCTGTGACGTGTCCTCCGAACCACAAAACTTCTCCATATGCGATAATGACTCTGTCACGATTGAGATGTTCGGGTTGTGAGCACGTACGACATGCGAGAGCTATCGATCGGGCCGGAAACAGCTCACATTGTGAGGTTTTTGAAGATGGTGTAGATTGGGATAGTGAGGAATTGCTGGTTGACAAAGTAACGACATTATGACACAAGATCAGCCTTGTGAAGTGTGAAGAATGGAAATCGAGATTTTGGAGGCCGACTGACGAGACTTTTGGATCCGGTGTAGATGACGCAGACGAGGAGGAACGAGATGGGGAACCATTTCCGTGCATCATTTGTATCCCAGTCACGGTATGAGATCACCTGTGGCGCGTACGGGAAGGGGGATCGTTGAGATCAGAATGTGATGGCTCGAGTGGCTAGCCGAGAGAGCTTCTTACGCCGAAATGCTTGCACGCTGCTACGCAACCGACACAGACCGTACTCTTTGGAAAATAAGTTTTCAGTCAGTTGAATGGATACGGAAGGGAGAAATGTCAAGGACCTACCTGGATTGCGAGCAGGAGAAAGTTCATGTTGAAGTGGCTGCCCGAAACGACGTACTCTGTGATCGATGAGGGTGGTTCCAGTCAGTCACTGGCTGGTCCCGGGGTACGTGGTCTCTAGCCGGTCCGGGAAGGAGCACGTACTGTTGACGACCTGGTGAGATACGAGGGAGGTACCGCGACATGAGTCAGTTCACCGCATCAGCATCTTTCGCAGCTAGGCTAGCCCGCCTCATGAGGACGCCGATCCGAGGTCAGAGGGAACTCCGACGATGCGGCTGGCTGGACGGTTGCCTGTCCCAGCCAGCGTCGGCCGGTCCGCGACTGACCGTCATGAGGATGCTCGCCACGCAGTCTGTGCCACGAGTAGAGCGCACATTAGCTCGGATAGCCCTTCCCCTACCCTGTCTCCCTTCTGTTCCAGCTCACAAGAAAATACGGGCAGTGCCGAGTGGTTCAGGATTCGATCCGTCGCCGAGCGGTACTGCAGTTCTGAACTCCGCCGGCTCGGAGGCGGCGGCGGCGCGGCGTGTCTGGACGCCCGATCGAGCAGCGGAAGCGACGACTCGAGGTCGTGCTGGGGCTTGGTGTCGGTCCCGATCTCGCCATCGTCGTTCATCGCGAGCGTGTAGTCGGCTTTGCTTTCCGACATGACTGAAGCTGTGGCTGGATAGCTGGGATGCTGCGCCGAGTGCGAAGGATGGAGCAACCAACGACGAGTGTGGTAGCGGAACCCACCTGAAGCCGATTCGGGGTCGAGCAACGTACTACGAGTCTACGACGTACTGCCTACTGCGAAAGCGAGCCGAGCGCTCCGACGGACCCTACGTGGCGTTTCCTGACTGCTCCAGCCCCTCCAGCCAGGTGCTCCGTGCTCTCTCTCCCACCTTCCCAGAAAGTCATCGAATTTCCAACGCTAGAATTTAGGCCTATTCCAATTGGCGGTAGTACCGGGTAAGAACCTTGAGTATGTAATTATGCTGTTATTGAAATCTATCAAAAAAAGAAGAAGAAGAAAGTGTCGACCTTGCTGAGACAGTTTTTACACGAGACCGCCCCCGTCGCCGCTGATCGTCGCATAGCACCACCGTATGCAAACTGTGACACACGAGCTGAGCCCCCGCCGGCGATCAACGAAACGTGAGACGGACGCAGAGACGCTACCAGAATAACTCAATGCTTGGCCCATGCGCTCTCCTGTTGGCACCCCTCTGTCTTCGAAGAACCGGCCGTCGCTGTGCCCAAGACCCGACTGCTGACTGCCGACTGCCGACCGGCGGCGGCGAAGTCGAGTGAGGACCCCCGAAAGCCCAGCCAGAGGCGCATGTGGAAAAACGCCCTTTTTTGGCCATTTTGTCGAAGTTTTTTTTACGTTATTTTGGCCCCAAACTGTCAAAATTTCACACGCGCCTCGGAAACATTACCAAAATGTGTTCTACATGCTCCAAAAATCGCTCAAAACTCCTCGAAAACGCGTTCCGAGCGTTTGCGGGCGCGCGGCGGCCGATCGAAAGTGGCTTGCGGCGCGCGTCGCTTCGGCTGGTGTCGCGCATGGCTCCAGGCATCAAACAAGCCTTCCTTGCTTGGCTGGCAGGCTCGCTACTTCGTTGTCAGACTTCCATTTTGCTGAACTTGAGCTCTTTGTATCCGCGGTGGCATTTGCGGCTTGTAGAGGGTCTGCCGGCGGCATCTCGCAGGCCGGGCACGCTCCGAAGGGAGGCAAATATTTGCTCGACATGTGCGCTCGTGCTGATTATGCGCTCGTCGGGGTGAAGTGAGGTAAGGTCCGTGGTTGAACGATATGTAGTCTTTGGCGGGCTTAACGACTCGATGACCTGTCGACCATCTATCATGCGGAACGGCATAGTGCCATCAATGTGGTGAGTGGAAGAGCACTGTGCTTTCTTGATGAGGCGAAGCTCCCGTACGACGACGACATTTGAAAGTCCAACCAACGACGCGAGCGCGCTGTTGTCACTTTGCTGTAGATCTATCGCACTGTAGCAGACAAGACCTGTGTCAAATGAGAACTTCACAGCTCAACTGCCACTCAAAACAACGTACCAATACCGATGGACAGCACTTCTTCTCCATGAGCAGTTTGATCGCAGCTGAGTGAATGCATGTCACGCTTGAGGCCAAAGCAGATCAGAGATCCGATCTCCAATGTTGTGGTAGTGGTTACAGCTCCGCCGTCAAGCGATCCAAAATGAGAATAGCGTTGTGCTAGCGCTCCGTCTGCTCGTTCCTTTCGGAGACATTTAACAAAACATTAGATCCAGTTGCCTTCGTTCCTATATTCAGCGACAACTCACTTGAATGCGGCCATCCTCAATATAGGCATTCTTCTGAAATCTCGTTTGTTGTGAGCGGTCGGGGCATCTGGTCACCTCCAGTCCAGCGAAGGCTCCTTGTCGTGCCCGCCATGTCTTCGAAGCGAGATGGTCCGATGGACTGTAGCAACGCTTTCAAGACGCGTGAATGTGCTGCACTGCGTCCTTGCTCTGTATTGCTAATCCCTACGCCTGCTTCTCCGCGGGTTGGGTCGTTCGATTCCATCGGCCTCCTTTGAGTAGAACAGCTTTGAGGTGGCTACACTCATGTGCAGCTCGATGGGCGATGAGGTTGGCCAGTTCAGCGAGAAATTTGTATCGCGAGCATCGACAAGAGGCGGAAGGTTCAAGTGTGTGGGCTTTGTAGTACCGAACACGCATGAGCTTAGATCGAGATTTCGATAGTTGAACTTGGTAGACGCACGATTGGACGTGAGGAGCTGTTTGCCTTCCCAACGGCCTCGATAAGGTCGAGTACTGGGTGCGCTCAGCGTCTTTGGACAACTCGATGTGAAGACTGAGGAGACGCGTCGGCGCGAGCGACATCGAAGGCGAGGAGCTCGGCGATCGTCATGTTGGTAAGCGGCGATGATCGATCAAAGTCATCGTCGTTCAAATAGTAGGCCTGCACAGGATCATGTTGTTGTGCTATGCTCCAACCTCAGAACGAAGTGAAGCGGGAGGAAACCTGCGCGCCCCTTCAATCTCAGCAGTCGGAACTGAATCCCTCACAGCCACTGAACTCAAGTAATTACTGAAAGAGAAAAGGACAAAAATGCCCTCGCTTCTTTTCATGAGGACAGAAATGCCCTTCTCAAAAGGACAAAAATGCCCTCGGATTCTAGACTTCTGTAATACTCGATATATCAGCTCAGAACCAAGAGGGTAGCTTCTTGTAGTCTTTGTGATCAGCGCCGTATACTCAGAATCTCCAGAGGTGCCGTGAGAAGTCAGTTATCACGGTCGCAAAGGCAGGGGCCTCATCGATCGTCGACGCGTCGAGGCGCGCGAGTTCGCGCATCGACGTTGGTCTCCTTCCGCATCTCGCCCCCGGCCCGGACGCCGAAGTCACCACCGACTTTCGACAATGGAACATTGTTTCAAGAAGGGGGAAAATCTCTGAAAAGAAGGAGCTCACGGATGCAGGCTATCGATATGCGCTTGATGACCAGAACCAGCTCGACGTTCCGTAAGTCTGACACGCGTCGTTGGCACGTCGTGTGCAAGACACGAGGTCACGGATGATGAGGACGATAGTGACTCGACTGGCGAAGAAGAAGGTGCCATTATCATTCCGCCACGATTCCCCAGACGTACTGGACGTCCAATCAAACGCAGGGTCCGGGGTGCGGACGAGAGGGCCAAGCGTGATACGATCTGTGGCCTCTGCAAAAGGCCCGGACACAACCGAGTTACATGCGATAGATAGATCGAACATTTGAATCTGAGTATAAGGTGTCAAAAGTGTCAATACTACTACACGTTGAAGGCGTGCTGGTCTGTTTCATATGGTAATTCACTGCGGTCTATACTCATCGCTTTCAACGGGGCCTCGCTTCAGTCGCAATAGGCCCCTGCCTTTGCGACCGTGATAACTGACTTCTCACGGCACCTCTGGAGATTCTGAGTATACGGCGCTGATCACAAAGACTACAAGAAGCTACCCTCTTGGTTCTGAGCTGATATATCGAGTATTACAGAAGTCTAGAATCCGAGGGCATTTTTGTCCTTTTCTCTTACTGAAAATGGCTAATGACTTGTTCAAGCGCGAGCATCGCGCGAAACGCGTCTCGAAGCGAAGGCAAACGTGCCCAAAGTCATCCCGTAGGCTGCTTAGGGTGGGCCAAAATTGGGTCGACCCACGGGAAAAATGTCAAAATCTGCAAAGGCGCCTCGGGGGCAAAACGTGTGTTTCGTCCCAAAAAAATGTCAATTTTTTGTAATGCGCCTCGACGATTTTCAGGATTTTGGGTCCTCAAAATGTCAAAAAAAAAAATGCGCCTCCGGCTGGGCTTTCGGGGGAGTCCTCTGTCGAGTGACGCGAGGTGACGCGCGGGCGGTGTGCAGTTGTGCACTATCTCCTGTTCAAGGCGGCTCCCCTCTGGCTTTGTCCTTTGACGAACGCACCGCTCTGAAACACCATCACGACTATTTGGGTAGACGCTGGATTCGGTCAGTTCGTCCAATACTGCCTCACTCTTGTCCCATCTCATCTGATACCATTCTGTTGCCCCCACAGTCTTTGACCTGCACATTCAAACGCACACTCACTCTCTTCGCAAGCGCGACACGCAGACACGATGATGGCCCCCCTGTCCACGTTCATGGTCGCCGCCGCGACGCTGTCGGGCCTCTTGCAGGTCGCAGCAACAGAAGCAGCAACAACGGGACCTATGCTCTCATCATACTTCCCAGCGTGAGTACCACGACTTTGTTGCGTGTAGTACGGTACACTCTCTTCCGTGACGCTCGCAACAGCTGGGCGTTTGTTCACCGAACTCGCAAGCTGACGCGGCGGTGATTTTGTCTCAACCTCGCCGGCGGGCAGTTACACCAAAGGAGCAACCGTCGCATGGAACCAGACCAAGCTCGCCATGTACTTTGTCGACATCACGACTAAGGATGGGTTCGAGATTGGGCCGAATCAGCCCCTCGATGGGATCAAGAAGTTCACGTCACAAGCTTATGCCAGTCAGTCCTACCTCCTGAGCCTCGGCTCGGGCGTCGTCGATCGACGACGCGGCGGAGGCATTTTTCGTGACGAAGCCTTTTCGAGCTGACTCAGAATTGTTCCGTTCTCCGTGCTTTCCTCGAACTCTCCGCCTCGAATATCATCAACTCGCCGAATTAGACGGCGCCAAGCCCATGGTCACGCTTGGCAGTTGGAACGGTTCGCTCTACTTCTCCAAGCAACTCTCGACCCCCGAAGGCCGCACCAAGCTCGCTTCGCAATTGCAAAACTACCTCTACTACAAGGAATTCAAAGGCGTCGATATCTCCTGGCTTTACCCTGTTAAACAAGGTATCGGGTGCAACACCGTCAGTCGAAAGGATACGGATGACTTCCTTGAGTTTCTTAAGACGCTCAGGGGGTGGCTCGGGACGGGGTACCTCATTTCCATCGCCGTTCCCCCTAATGGGTTCCTCACTGGTAACGGCACGGAACACGTTCATGACTACTCGGAATGGGCGAGAGTGCTCGATCATATCAATATCATGACGTACGACTACGCGGGTCCTTGGTCGCCCAAGACGGGACCGCTCTCGCCGATGCACTCGTGCGCTTCCGGTGGAGGCGTCGCTGCGGCTGTCAAGTACTGGACCTCGTCGGGCTTCCCTGCCAAGAAAATCTTGATGTAAGCCCTACAAATGCATCTCCCTACTCGAGTTCCCGACCCTGACTCGCCTTCTTCACATCTTGAACTGGATGCCGAGATAGCTCGATTCCGTAAGTTCGACAATTGGACTTGTTCAGCAACTCCGCACCCCTAAATCTGATCTCGTCTACCCAAATCCTAACAGCTCTTACGCCATCTCCTTCACCCTCAAATCTTCCAAACTCGAAACGACCTACATGACCGACGGCGACGGCGGCACCTCCAACTACTCTTCCCTCATTTACCAATCCTGGTCCTCGATCCCCAAAGGTGAAGCAGCCGACTCCAACGAACCGACCACAGATGGCTGCGGCGTTGTTACTGCCAACTACACGGGTCACTGGCATTACACGAGTTTGATCAAGGAGGGTCTGCTGGCGCATGATGGCTCGACGGGTTTGAAGGGTTATATGAGGTACATGGATGGATGCTCGCAGACGCCGTTCTTGTTCAATCCTACCAACAAGCACTTCATCGCTTACGAGGATGCGACGAGTGCTTCAATTAAGGCCGTAAGTCCTGCGAAGTCGAGGATGGGATCTGATTGGTCATATGTTCTGACAACAGCTTGATCCTTTTTGACAGGGCTTCGCTCGTGACAACGGCCTCAAAGGAGTCACCGTTTTCACTTCGGAGGGCTTTGACGACACTGGTGGGTTTCACCCAGCCGATTCGAAGATGCGTGCTGCCCACTGATATATCTCTCCTTTCGTCGACAGTATACGACGCCATCGTAGCGGAGTTGAACCGTCCGAAGAAGGAACCCGAGTCAGGCGGCGCGACCGGCAAGTCCGATACCCCCCAAGCTCAAGCCGGCGGTAAAGCCCCCAAATCATCGACGCCTCCTCCTTCGAGCAAGCAACCCCAAGACATGTCCAAGAAAGCTTCCCACGGCGCCGGAATCCTGGGTAAAATGAACCTCCGAGCCCGCTCGTTTGGCCCAAGATACGGTGCAAAGAACTATCACCAGTAGAAACGATGATCACGATCTCTCACGCTTCTTACGCCTGGACGCTTCACGTGGGCTTCTCCTTTCTCCCTCATGCTAACTTTAGCTTTCTTATTTTCCCGCGTTCGTTGCACCACTCGCTTTATTTCGTTGTTCCAGCCTCTTTGTTTCCTTCTTTTTCCGTCGTCTCTCCTTTAGTTCTTTTATTCCCCTCTGTGAAGCGGACGTGAGCTAGCTTCTCGTCGTTCTGCATTACAGTTCTGGCTTCTTGCTGTACTCACGAGACCGCTCTCGGTGGTCCGTTTGAGCACCTCGAATAGAGTCGAAAAATCGGGGCCGCTACCTCTCGTAGATTGCGGTAAACATAATTCAATTCCGCCGAAGATTGAACGTCTCTAAGACCCAGCCACACACCTGAAGTATAGCACAAAATATCAATCTGTCCAGGAAACAGAAGCATGAGACCACTAGTCATCGACGCACTACTCTGCCAATCGACGCGCATTGCTGTATCAGAAAATGGAAGGTGGGTCAACGTCTCAAGTAATGGTGAAGCGTCCGATAGTGGACTAACTGTGCCGTGACGACTCGTTCGAGATGTCTGAAGAGCCAGAGCCGGGCGGGCTGGTCGGCGATGGGGAGGAAAGGTCCGGGCACGTTGCCTCTGAGCTTGAGGGCTGCAGAACACAGGCAGGAGAACGGTCAGATCGGAGAATCGGAGAGCCGGAAAAAATACACGACCTGGATGAGGAGACTTACTGATTCCTGTTGCTTCGAGGGAAATTGTGACCAAGTCCGAGAACGGCACATCCCAGCCGACCTTCAACTTGGCGACCTTGACCAATAGGATGCGCGTCGTCGTCACCACGACGGCCAACGTGTCGTCCGAAGATGGGATGTCCAGATGAGCGACGTAGGTCTCATTGAAGTACCGGCCTGTCTCGACGTTCTTGACCCAGCTCTGGCCGAGCGCCTCTCGTTCTTGATAAGGCTGTAGATTCGAGGTCACATTTGGTCAGCTCTGACATGCCGACCGGGGATATAAGTGCTGCTCACCCTCAGGATACCATCACTGGCGGTAAACCGAGGAAGTCGAACGCGATCGATGCTCGATTGATCAAACACTGTCGTTGTGTTTCGGATGCCCTCGGTGACGTTGTTCGCCAGATCGAACAACCCAACGGCAGGCTTGGTGACGAGACTGTGGAATGGGCAAAGCTAATCACAATCAGACGTGGTCATGCAGTCAGGAACTGGCTCTAGACTCACCCGACGAATCCTTTGCCGACTCCCTTGAGGAACCCAGCGGCACCTTCGGCTTCTGCACCCTCGAGCGGTTTCGTCGCCAAGCCCTCGAATCCACTGGCCACACTGGTGATCAACGATGTCGCACCAGCCGTCACACCGTATAAGGCATGTTTTGGTTTGTTTCGGAACTGGCGCATACGTCGTTGATTCTGGTACTCCTTGTCGAGCGTCGCGGCGGACAATCCTTTGCCGATACTACCTGTCACCTTGGCCATACTGTCTGAGACACCGAACACCGTCTTCTTGGCTAGCGATCCAGCACCACGAGCGATTCCAATGCCCAGATCACGGTTACCGTTCATCATGACCGAATCGTAGGGCTGGATGAAGAAGTCTGCCACACCACTCGACACGTTCGTGAACAAGCCGACGGGGTTACTGTGGGAACGAGACACCGCCATCAGCCTAAATGAAAACTCAACTCCACGCCGAAAGTAGAGGCTGCTCACCCAAGGAAATCGGCGCTGCCAAGTACGCGATACAGTTGACCGAAGAACTCGTTGCTGTAGTGGAGCGTCAAGCGCTCCTGGAGAACCGGCAGGGACAGGCGCACGTTTTCAATGACCAGAGCGTGCAGTCGCACGGGGGCATCGTTGACATTGCCGAGCGCCATGGTCAATGCGTTGACGAAGAAGAAGAACGGGTTGCGAGTGTTGAGTCTGTAGAGTTAGAGGAGACAGTTGAGCATCATACCAACGAGTGGCCGTCTCAACAGATGCTACTCACTTTTGGTCGACGTTCACTCGATCTGTTCGCATGAACGATAGATCGAGTTGGATCGGCTGGAGATGAAGCACTTCAAAATAGACGTCGCCACCTCCCGACGAACCCTTGGGCTCAGGAATATCTGCCGGCTCCTCGGTCAATCTCGAAGGGATCTCGTCTTGCCCTGTCGCACCGGAGAATTTGGCGAAGTCGAGTAAGGCGAACAAAAAGTCTTCGTCGACTTCGACGGTCATCTCCTGTAGCAATACCGAGGCGTACTTGAAGTACGTCACACCGTGTGACTCGTCCTTGAGAATGATAACGGAAGCCTGCAAACTCGGATGCACTTCGAGCTCCTTGCCATCCTTGGGGATGACCGACGGGTAGAGCAGAATGGGGTACAGACCACCAAACAGCTGGTTGTCGACCTGAATCCACTTGATTGACAAGTCATAGGCGACGTTGGTCGTCGAGTCCGAGTACTTGAAGGTGAGGCCTCGGAATGAGGCGTAGACGAGCTCCTGCATCTTCTTGTTGACCAGAGAAATACCGATACCCTCGAAGCTGATACCGAACGAGAAGGTCGTGATCACGTCGACATCGACGGCCTCGAACGTCGTTTCACGATTGCTGCTCGTCGTCGATTCAGCGCGAGAGAGTGAGGTCTCTCGCCGCTGCAGTTTGAACACGCTATCCTCCTCATCGTAGTTGGAGAAGGTGACGGATTGTGTCTGGCCCTCGGCGCGCACTTCGATCGAAAGCACGCCCGTGTGTTCCTCGTACGGGAACTTGAATGGCAGCTGCGATCCAATCTCGAGCACGTTGATGATACGGTTCGTGCCGTTGACGCTGATCTGCAGTTGCTTGTTCGTTTCGGCCGGTAGATCCCACGCGTAGGGTAATTTGCTCCTCGGGGAAAGCTTGTATTTCTTGCGGCGCGGTCGACCTTTTGCTGCAGCGTCCTCCGGGAGCTGCGAGAGGGCGAGAGGGCGTCAGACCGGGTTTCAGTCAGGAAGAATGAGAGCAATGTCGAGTCGGAAGCACTCACAGCTTGGCAGAGGGTGACCGGGTAGTCACTATCGTTGCGGAATAGGAATGGCCAGCCCTTCGTCTCGGCCTCAAGCTTGATGAAGATGCAAGGGCCTTCGAGCATCGCATCGACACGAACCAGCAATTCTTCCTCGTCTTGGCGTTGCACTCTGACGTGATTCTGGCCAATATCGGAGATCATGAATGGCGCGGACCTGCGAGCGTATATTTACGGACGAGAATGAGCAGGGGATCCCCCGAGGGTGACTCTCCGCAACCACTCACCACACAGCTGGGGCGCCAGATTGAGAAAGGACAAGCTGGGGCTTGTTGCCAGCCCGCATGAAGCCCAGCGGGTACCGGTCGCCCGGTGTCAGCACTTTCTCGTTCGTGGAACCAAGCTCGCGAACACGGATGTCATGGTCCAGGCTACTCTTGACGATGAAACGGGGGTAGAGCGTCACCACCTTGGTCAACTTGTAATCGCCCAAGCCTTCGGTGACTTTGAGACCAATGTGGATCTCCTCGTTACCCGAAGCAGAAGGCAGCACGACCTCGGTCTCCATGCCGATTGTCTCGAAACTGAGCAGCGCGGACCAGTTCGAGTCGTTGATTCGCAAGAGGACACGGTTGCGTCGATCGTCGGTCGGGAAGGAGAACATGAATGGCTCTGCACCGTTTCGTTTTTGGCCACCTTTAGAACGGCCCACAAATGAGTTAGCAAAAGTGGCGCAATTACCAGAAGATGCACACCCGAGCTCACCAGAGAAGATGCTCTGCCCCGCCACGTTCTTGGCTGAGGACATGAACGTCTTGGTCTTGAGCGCGAAATCGCATCCCGACTTGTTGATGAGGATGTAAGGCGAGTAAATCTGCACGCGGAACGCGCCGCCCGAGTCGAGATGCTTCTGGAAGTGGATGCGCAAGTTGAGGTTTAACTTTTCCTTGTCCGAAAGCACGAGGTCGTGTTCGACGGGCAGGTCCTCCGGGTTGTCGGTGTTGATGATGGCGAACTCGGAACGGTTAAAGACCGTGTCCTGGACGTCGATGCTCAGCAGCAACAGATGCGACAGCTCGGCAATGTGGATCGGAGAAATGCCACCTTCGCGCAGGTACGACGTCCAATTATGCTCAATGTTCTTGTCAAACACTCGGTACTGGATGTCGTGCGGCAGGAGATTCTGCACTTCGACGGGCGCTCGCAAGCGCAGTGTAAGCTTAGGGTAGACCCGCACGAGCGGGTCCGACTTGTCGAGAATCGCATGAGCCTGGAACCGGAATGCCGCCTCCTTGGCCGACTTGCACACAATCGCTCGAGTCGGGTTCTTGACCAGCGCCTGCCAGTGCAGAGGTTCGCCGGACCAAGCGTAGCCAAAGCCAGCATCAGGTCGGAAGCGGATCCGACTCGTGTAGGCAGCAACGATAGGGACGGGGCAGTCTTCGCCGGGCAAGATCTTGTAGATCTGCGATGCCTTCTTGCCGAACTCGTCGACGATGACCATCTCGGCATTGACGAGCGATCGATTCTGCACGAGGAACGTCGAACGGAAGGTGACGACTTTGACGTTCTCGACGAGCTTGACCTCACACATCAAGCGATGCGAGACCTTGTCAAGCTTGGGCTTCAGAACGTAGATGTGCTCGCCCTCGCGATCGACCGAGACGTTCTGCAAAGCTGTCCACGATGTGCCTTCGAACTGCAGCGTTAACGAGTTGCGACTACCGACGTGCAAATGCTCCCGCATAGCCCTCCAATCGTTGAAGCGCCAAGGCGCATCGTCGCCATCAGCGAGGCGGTGGGCGTCGCCTCCGTTGTTGCCCTCACTCCAGAGCGACAGGGGATAACCGGTTCGGTTCTTGATCAAAAACGGCGCCTGAGATCCCCGAGCGCGTGTCAAGAGCTTCTCGCCCTCTCGGCCAATAATGGCTTGCGTCGTCAGACCGAGCTCGATGAACGTTGACGTGATGTTGAGTTCAAGGCGCTCCTGCGACGATAGTGTAATCGACAGGAGGCCAGTCGTAACAGGCCTCGAGACGTTGACCGAGAACCTCCACGGGTCCACCAGAGGTTCCCAAGTCGACACGCGCAAGTTGAAGCACTGCACGCGAGGCTCGATCGTGACCTGCGCATCGAGATCCGACGACCAGTTGTGTACCTCGGCCGTGAACTCCTCCGCTCTGATGTCAAAGACGGGCAAGTCGTGAAGATCCCCAATGAGCACGAGCTGAAAGCCGTCGAGCGTGACTTTGAGCGTTTCCTTGGTGATGAAGATTTGGGCTTGAAAAGGTGCGTTCGTCGACGCCATTGCCGACGCCGGCCCCGAAGCCCTTCGCTTGGTCCCTGCAATGGATTGACGCGTCGGGTCGGTACCAGAGCGCTGCCGACTAGACACTGAGGCAAGGTCGGGTCGAGCGGGCTCTTCCTCCGGTAGAGGTGGTGTTCCTCGATTCGAGAGCTCACTAGCTCGACTGATGATGGACTGGATGAGGAGAATGTCTCGATACGACACTCGCAGGATGAGGGGCTGGATTCCGACTTCAATGTTCGTGACTTGCTGTCCAGCGTCGCCTCGACTGTCCATCATTAGGGTTACATCGAAATCGTCGACTACCCGGATCTTTTCCTTAGGCCGGTCCATCTGAAGGATAGAAGCACACGACGTCAGTGATCAGCGGCACGAGATCATGCATGAGAGCCCAGCACTCACCCGACATAGGAACATGCCGATACGCGCCACATTGAGCACCAACGTGCCTTGTTGCGAGATCAAGATCTGATCGATCGACAGAACGACCGCTTCGGAGTCGCTCTGATCGGGGTGCGCGAGCAACTGAATCGTTGGCGAGACAATATTGACTCGGAACGCAAACGTTGAAGCAGGCTGGGGCTGCTGGACTCCCACGGCCGACTTGTCATCGCTCAAGGTAACCCTGTCATCTTCAATATCCTTCGACGGCGCAGCATTCGGCGTCTTGGGGAAGGCGCTGGTGAAATAGTCGAGCAGGCCGAAGAGGGGGTCGAGCGAAAAGACCATCTTGGGCGTATCAATGGCGATGTTGGCGTACGCGCTCTTGTCAACCCCACCACTCTGCGAGTAGCTGATCATGAACTGATGACCATCGTGCTTGGTCGCAGGGATGATCTCCCTGAACTTGGTCGACTGGGCAGGTCGAGTGTCGTGGAGCGTGAATGAGCGCACGACGACCTCGGCCTCCATCGACCCGTTCGAAAGCATCTTGTACTTGACCCCCGTCTCGTTGAGCGAGAAGCGAGCCAAACTGGCATCCTTGAGGGTGTCGACTGTCGTGGCTGCAATGGTGAACAACTCGAGATAGACCGTCTTGACAGTGAACGTAAGCTCCAGACTCGATTTGAGGGGCACAGTCGTACCATCGGCGTGCCTGGCAACGGAAGCGAGCTCGGGGAGCAGGTCGACGGTTTCGCCGTCTTCTGGCACCGAGTCGAGCTTGCGATCCTTGGGCGGAGGGGTAAGGGGGCGCGGAGGTGCGATGGCGGTAGACTCGTCCTCAACCTCATCATCTGCCAGAGCAAACGTACGAGGTACTGTTTGCATCAGCGCGATCAAGGCCGCATACTGCGCCTCGGGCAAGTGCATCTTAACATCCGACATGCGAGCATCGACTAGCGTGCCCGGTTTCGTGAGCTCCTTGCTCGGATCTATAGTTTGCGTCATGGTGACATCGACATGGATGGTGACATCATCAAGGATTTGCACGTCCTGACCATCCTGCTCGCCCTCGCAATTCAGTGTCGAACTGAGGCGAACCTGACGCAATTCAAACACGATCTTGGTAACGACCTCTTCGTCCGAGACCTCAAACTTGTTCGCGAGCGAGATCTCTCCCAAATGCGCACTGATCCCATGCTTAGTCACCGCCGTACTATCCTGAGGGAAAACGACGATCGGCGTGCGGATGAGGATGTCGTAATGCATTTTGGGGATCCAAGTTGTGACCTCGGTCGCACGTTGAGCAGCAGCTTGCGCAGCGGCATCGTAGGCGGCCTTCATGCGCCCGAACTTGGACATGAAGACGAGGATTCGATGCACAGGCTCTTCGGAGAAGATGAACTTGAGCGATCCGCTGCGGAGGTACACGAGCGTATCGTGGCCAGGATAGGTCGTCTTGTCCGTGGGGTCGTACGTCTCGTACTGGAAGTCGGCCAACTCATCTCCCTGAATCGTCAGCAGCTGCCTGGGTGTGTCGCCACTAAAATCGTCCAATAATTCGAGGTTGCCCAGTCGGGCAGCGACACGCATTGTCGGCGAGCGCAAGAACACTGAAACATCCGCAGCTGATAGTGATAGGGTGGCGATCCGCAGGCCGTCCTCGTTCAGGATCAAGTTGATGGACGTCAGCTTGACCTTGACGCGCATTTTGTCGTTGACTTGCTCGGCCTGAGGCGGTTCTTCGCCCACAGGTGTGCCAGGAGCAGGTGTACCCCCAGCCCCTCCACCTGCTCCGCCATCAGTGAAGGTCGTCATCACCCAATCGAATAGGGTGAGAATACTGCCCCGAGTGACAACGACGTTGATTGTTGACATCTCCACGTCGACCATCTGAGACGTTCAGGGGTCGTCAGCTGTAAGTCGCGTGTCGATTTCGAGTACACTTCACGTACCTTGTCTATGCCTTCGTGCACTGTCATGAACTCTGGCGAAACCTTCTGCACGCCCCGGTACTGGATGCGCACCAGGTCCTTCCCGTGCGCACCACTCAGCTCCTCGGAGGTGACGAGATGCCGGAACTCGTGTCCCGCTTCAACCATCTTGTCCTCGATGTAAAGACTGCGCAACAGGATATCGACGCTCATATCGAAGGGGCGTAGACCAAACTCAAACTGGAAGCCCTGCAACACCGCGTTCGCGAGCAGACGATCGGGTTTCCTCGGGTCCGAGTTGGAGCGGAAGATCGAGGCCTGGACCTTGTCGACTTGGAACGTGAACTCGAACGTTTTTTGGTTGATGTTTTGCTTCCCGGTTGGGCTATCCTCGGTGTCAAAGAACTCTTCCTTCTCTTCCGTGTCATCCTCGTCCTCCTCTTCCTCAGGTTCCGACTCGGCCTTCTCGACGTGGTATTCCACGTCCTCGTGGACGACGGGTCGGGATCGAGCAAACGACGAATGCCGAGCGACGATCGGAGACGGCCGAGTCGCCGCATTCTCCGAGGCACTCTTGTCGTCTCCGAATTTGGGCAAGGCGACGTCGATCATGCGCATCAAGCTCTTGTACTTGCGATCCGAAAGATTGACCTGCAACTGGGGCAAGGATCCCGAAATCTTGAACCTCGTCAGGTTAGGCGCTTGGTCGAGGATGCAGTTCTGCGCGAGAAAGGTCAAGCTCGTGCGCTCAAGGATGTGCAGCTCGCCATGCTTGTGCGAATGCCCGTCCCCACCATCGTCGAGTGCTTCGAGACACACTTTCAGACTCGGCCCCATCAACAACTGCGCTGATTCGAGCTTGATGTGGAACTTGTCGTACATTAGGCTCTCGAGGCGCTGATAGTCCTCATCATGGTATTCTTGGCGTTCCTTGGCCTTGACCTGATCGACCGCTGCTTGGTCCGCCAGATCACTTTCGACGGCGATGTGCCCCGCGTCCAAGACGATGTGCTGGCAATCCTTGCGTGTGACATCCTCGGGTATGATGATGATGGGCGCATTCAGGTCGAGCTGTAAATCGACGGTTTTGTGCTGTGCAAGCGCGTACTCGAGACCCGCCCGTGTCTCCTTGCGGATCCCTTCGAGCGTCTCGCTCGCGACATCGATCAAAGCGCCGACCGACTCGAGCTGCGACTCGGGGGGTTGGAAGAACTTGAAGATGGCCTCGACGTATCCCCTGTGGTAGATGATCTCCATATGACGCAGTCGGACAGCGAGCGCGTTGTCCGCGCGTTCGTCTAGAGGCTTGTGCTCGAATTTGAGCCAGAAGAACGGATCCTTGACCTTGGTCGCCTTGGGGAACTTGGACCCGTCCGCGTCGTCTTCGTCATCCTCGTCATCCTCATCATCCTCGTCATCCTGGTCGTGTGTGTCTTCGCCACTCAGCGCGGCCGCTGATCCAATCTCTTCGTCGTATTGGCCAACGTCATCATCGGCCTCTCGTTCCTCCGGCGGCGGCAAATTGCGCGACACCGAATCGACCGACCACTTCTTGTTCCTCTCCTTGACCTTGTCCGCCTTGACCCTAACGATCTGTTGATGCATGCTCCCTTCGCAAGTGTTGTCAAACACACGCAAACCTCCGAGCGCGAGCGTCGCATCAAAGTTCTCTGGCCGCTGTACGAGGTCCAATGCGAAATCGTCAAAGTTGAGCGCGACAAGGTCTTGTTGCCCTCGTCGCAGCGCAAACGATCCCGTCTCGAGCTTGGCCTTGACGCGCAACATCATCGCTTCGCTGGGCAAGTCGAGGTTACTCGACACGGCCTCCTTCTCGTCCCAGTCGATAGCGCGGTACAGTTCTTTCCTCTGCTCCTCGCTCAAGCCTCCCTCGCCCTCGTCCTGGGCCGAGTCATCTTCGGCCTTCGCGGCCCATCCCGTAGCCCACGAGATCCACCCAGTCTGCTTTTTGGCTGGTTTTGGATGCTCGGCCTCGTACGTCGCCCTCTCCTTGCGTAGATCGGACCTCGCGATCGAGCGATAGAACCGAATATCACGATAACCCAACTTGTTCTCCAACTCGACCAAACGCGCCAACTCGTCGGGCGAAGCGTCATGACAACTCTTGGCCTTGAACAAATCGACATATTCTTTGCGATCGTCGCGGCGTTCGGCGAAGTAGGCCCATGACCATTTTCGGTTCTTCTCGTGTACTTCGGTGAGGATCGCTTTCGTTGCGAACTTCCACAGCGCTCGGTTCGTGTTCTCGTCGATCTCATTCTGGGGTGGTCGGAAGATGCGATATTCGCGTTGGCGAATGTAGAAGTGGAACAAGTCGACCATCGATAGCGCATCGCGGTACTGGTCCGCATCGAGCACGAAGCCCAACTCTTGGAAGAAGAGCTCGGCGTCGGTCTTGGGTGTTTGCGCATCGACCTTGTGGTGGTTCATGATCAAGCGACCTTGACCCGAGACGGGCTTGAGCACGAACTGATGCCGCGGCGTCTTGTCCTTGGTCGCGATCAATTCGGTGAACTTTTTGATGGCCTCGTTGATCGGGTACCCGGCGAGCGATTCGGAATCGGTGTCGAAATAGACGGCGAGCGAGTCGAGTTTGGCGAGCTTGTGTACGCCGTTTTTGGAGTTGGTGATGAAGGCCGGGTTCCAGTGCTCGTCGGTCGAGATGGCGGAAAAGTGGGACAAGGTCAAGCCGACCGAGAACGGATGCCCGGGAACGGACAGCTTGTCCTCGTAACGAATGTGAATATTCCGGATCTGCACGTGTCGATGGACTTGAGCCTGAATTCCGCTAAGCTAATGAGCACGTAGAACACTCACCTCCAATTGCAGATTGTCGACGATCTTGTTGACCAAACTGGTTGTGAAGGACGAGTTCTTTTGCTCCTCCTCCGCGCTGAGCCCCGTCGTCGGCTGCGCCGTCATCAACTCGGCATTCTCCAACTTTTCCAACTTGGCCGCTTGGGCGCGGGCCGCATCTTCTTCTGGGGTTGCTTTGGCTGAATCGGTGGGGACGGCGAGGAGGTAGACGTTCTCGACAAGGACTCGGACTGGCTTGCCTGACAAGTTGGACCTGTTGGAAAGCGATCAGATCGAATCGAGCACCGTCAGCTTGAAACGACCTCAGAGCGTCGGTCCACCCAGTTCAGACCAAGGTCACGAGTAGCCTACCACGGTATGGACAAGGTCAAGTCACCCAAATACCCCTCGACAACATCCACGGGGAGGCGGAACTTGTCGAGCGCTGCCTTCTTGAGGCGCAGGTTGCGCAACTTGACGTCCCCGGACCAAATCCCGACGTTCAATTGGCCCGTGTTCAAATTGTCGACCTGTTTTTTGGAAGCGGTCAAAGTGGTGATGAGTTATAGCACTGTTGGACGAGCAGCTGGATCGGCCTCGGCTTCGAATCCGGCTCCGGACCTCGAATCCCTCCCTCGATGACGATCTCCCGCTGACATTATTCGGCCTCACCGAGGCAGCATACTCACATAGGCAGACAAGAACCTATTCAACACACCCGCCAAAACGGATTCCAACATGATGGTCTCTCAAAGTACTGGTCCAGTTCCGTACGCGAGCCCGTACCCGGTCAGGAGTCGATCGATCGAACGAACAGCAAGCAAGGAGGCTGGAACGGAGTGGGGCGCCCGGCTCCGGGAGGCTGCGGGTGTCGATGACGCGTGTGTGCGCGCGCGCAGGCAGGCGCAGACCGAATCCGATTGAACCGCCTCGGTGCGACGTGGACAAGTTGAAGTGTGTCGATCCACCGAACTGGTGTAGGACCTCTGGTGATACCCAAGTGGTCGGGAGTAGTGGTCGGGAGTAGTGGTCGGGAGTGGCGAGTGAGGGAGTGGTGCACTACGCCGTGGGTATTCCAATGCACCCGATCTGTCGGGGGTGGGGTGATGAGCGAGAGGGAAAGGGGAGCAGTATGGGGTTGGAATAGGTGGCGCCCCCCTTCCGAAAAAGATGATCGCGGCGCCTCGAATCGAATCGGCATTTCGACCAGCGATTCTCGATGTTGTGCACTAGCTCCGGACAATGAAGGGGCTGTCATGGTAAGGAGAATTCACTGATGAGGTGTGATTACATACACGTGCGACTCCAACATGAAATACACCATCTCCTACCTTCACTTCCGAGACGATCTTTCCCACCCAAAGCCCCGACTCTTGTATTTGAAGCTCCCAAGATTCCACCTCACCGACCACACCTTCATCCATCTCTGTGATCAAGACCTCCCCGAGGACAGATTCATCATCGTCGTCGCGCCTATCCTCGTCGAGCTGAGTTCGCCGTCCCCCTCCAAAACGGGACCTCGCTCTTTCCCCAACGCCAGAGGTGCCGGACTAGCTTCCGCTTCGATCCCATCCATCCCACCGCCTAGATCCAAATCAAACATCCCACCATCGACCTCATCCATAATGTCACTGACATCGTCCCCGTCGTCATCGTCGTCATCACCCTCATCGAGCTTGACTTTTTCGTCAATATCGAGATCGTCATCCTCGTCGTCGTCTTCGACGTCCGAAGAGGATGCCACGGACAAAGACGGTGCGACCGGTTGCGAGGAAGAACCGTACGGTGTATCGTCCGAGTGAAGTGATAGCGACTGCAGCATGCGTGGGGATTGCAGCGAAAAGGCGTGCGAGCCGAGCAGTCCGGCAGAGGGGGGTGACATGGCGGCAGGCCTGTGGTGTTGCACCTCGCGGGGTCATTAGCTTTAAGGTAGTTTTGAGGTATCGCCAGATCGATCACGCACCAGTAAGCCTTGTCCTGGGGTAAAGAGGCACCGGCCGAAGCGACCTGCAGAATGGCCGCGGCCTCGAGGAGCTGCACCTGCTGATGTTTGGACAGCAACAGCTTGGACGCCTCTTGCCATTGTTCAGTGTGTTCCCACCGCTGTAGGAGTGCATTCATTGTTCAAGGGATCATCATCGATCGAAGGAAGAAAAGGAGGTGCGATCAGCTGTCGGGGGATGGCCGGGCCCGAGCGCGGGACAGCCGCTCCTGCTTACGTGTTTCTGAAGGCAGGCGGCATGCTTGTACATTTCTACTCGACGCCGTAGGATTGGATTGAAAACATTAGAATCAGCGAACCAACAGGACTCCTTGGCCTCAGACCGCACCCGGAACTGACTGGAGCAGATCTCGCACTGGTAAACGGTGGTCCCTTTCTCCCTCTTGGCCCCCGGTTTGATCTCCCCGTCGTCCTCGTCCTCGTCGAACACGCTGACCGAGAATTGACTAGCCCTCTTGCTCAACATAGCCGGTGCTTTACTCCCTGCACCCTTGGCCTGCGCCCCCGAGAGTTGGGTCGGTAACGAACGAGCGACGCCGAGGTCGGCTGCTTGAGGTCTCAGCGACTGCGAGGTCGAGGTCCTGCGTGCGGCTTTGAACGTCGAAGGGCGCTTCTGTTTCCCTGCCGAGGACGAGAGCAAAGGTGATGAAGAGAGGGCTCCGTTCCTGCCATAAGAGGCGGCCAGCTCGTGCGTGGTCGCGACGTTCGAGGAGCTACGACGACCCGAGGGAATTGTCCTCGGTGATGGGTTTGTTGCTGCCAATGCCGCCGCGGCCGCTGCATTGTTGTTGTGAAGTTGTTGCTGCGGGAGAACGTGTCATTACGCATCAGCCACTGAGATGACTAGGTCTCTGCGATGTAGGATGATGCACTGCAACCCCCATTCGGCGCGGCTGATGGGGAGCCGCGGTCCGGGATCGGGATCGGAACAAGTGGGGCACGGGGTCACAAAGAGGTCCCATTCACGGGTCGACATGGTGTTGGAGACGAGCACGACGACTGACCTGCAATGCCGAACTACGACGTGTACCATAGCTGGAGCTCATGCTGGAGGATGGACGCGCTGGGTCGTCGGATGAGTCGGTTGGGTAGGGGTAGGTGGATCGGTGCACTCGAGCTGGACGAACGCGAGAAAGAGGGCCTCGAACACTTGCCCGACCATCGACCGTCCGCGAAGAAATCGATTTCCGCCTTCCAACCTCCTTGATGAGATCGTAGTCCGCTTTCACGGCGACGCATTGCAGTGTCCAAATTCCATTCCAACTCCCGCCTTTAGGCTTTAATTTTGGATACACAATCCTCTTCGCAAGCGTTCGCCATCATCATCGTAAGCTTCACACCCAACCCCTCGGTAGTACCTCGGTGCCTGCCGATCCCTCGATTTCCGGCCGCTCACTGCAGGACTTCGTGCGGATGTCCTCGGCCAATTCCTGCACAGGCACTGACCTCTATTTCTCGCGATAATTCCGGTGCAATGAAGCTATCAAGTTGCTAAGTGAAGCTTCAGCGTAGCTACTTGGGTAATTGATAGCTAATGGCTTCAAGGTGAGTGGTCCGTCCATTTATGGAACCGGCCCCTGTAATTGAGTCAGTGGGCAGTAGGTGCCCGTTAATCGTCCGACCTAATTGAATGTCACTCGCACTGCGGCCGACGTCGCTCCCAGTAATTGCTTTCCCCCCATCACTTCTTCAACAATCAACGGCCGACATGAATCATCCTCGCGATTCTGTCATCGTTCCTTTACTGAGTGCCAAAGACCGAGAGTGGCAGTACCGCACCGACTTCAGCACCGACCCGGGCATCGAAAAACGGGACGAGGACGCGCCGCAATTTCACAACGTTCAACGACGAGTCTCGGAGGCACCTGACAGCAAGAGCGGTGTGACTGTCACGTTGTGCACTGACCTTCTCGATCGGCGGTATGGCGAATCAAATCGAACAACAGGACACGAACGCTTTGTTGTCATTGTCTTCGTCGCCGTGGCATCAATCGTACTTATGCTGTGGCGGGTGTGGCCGGCGCGTCTCAGACCGGATATCCGCGGAGCCATCGGCGCCGGTTTGTCGCGCTTCAATCAATGGGCTCTGTCTGGCCAGGCTGGAGCAGGTATTGAGCAAGCTCGATTGGTCCGTAGAGTCTGAAATTTGGAGAAATTACCGGTCGAAGTTGGAGCAACCTCACCCGAGTCACACCAAGGTCGTCGAGGCGCTCTCGAACTTGAAGGTGAGTGCTGTGTAAGGCGCCGCTCCGCTTACGCCTCACGACGACCTCGAGCCAACCTCTGCGGCCTCACGCTTGCCCTCGCGCGCGGCGCCGCCGCGTCTCTTGACCTTAGTCCTTTTAGTAGTCTTTCTTCGCCTGCGAATTACACCGTTTGATCCTTTCTGTTTGGACTCGGAATCAGTGAGGCTCGAGAGCGATCTCGTGCCTTTCATGCTGCAGTGAGCACTGGCTGAGTTTCAAAGACCCGAAGGTCCCAAACTACTAGTGGTCACATCACTGGGCCGTGTACACATCCCACACGCCGGAGAATCCGGATCTGAACCTATTCCTCTCTCACACACTCTTGTCATCCTTTCACCGTGTGCAGGAAGAAGCTTCCATCAGAGACTGGCCCCTGTCGACGAGGACCCTTTCGCAGATAGGCACGCCTGTCGGAATCTCGCAGAGCGCGCCATTTCCAGCACGGATTCGTGAAGGCCCTGCGATGATGCGAGAGGGTGATGGGCCGGGGAACTAAATTCTTACAAATGGGTCCAGGCCAAAGTGAGCTTGAAGCACGTGTCGCGCAGACTGCTGTCGAAAGGATGGCTCAGATTGACCTTGTGGTTCTCTCCCCTTGACTGTGGACGTTTTTAACGCTTTGCCCGCTGGAGTACTTTACTCCGCTATGGCAGCCGTACGGTCTTAGACTGCTCTAATGATAACGAAGCTGAAACGAACCATTGATATCGACGATGTTTGCGTCTCTAAACAGCATTAGCTCAGACGAGATCAATACGTTCGAACGTCACCAAAGTTTCTTTGACTGCGCCAACAAGGTTGCCGAGCGGTACGCGCGCCCCGATCAAAAGATCGTGTATTCCCCCGTCATGGACTCGCTCAAGTCACAAAAAGCCGCCTTGGTCGAGCTCTCTGGTCGTCTCGTCGTCACTGGGCTGACCCAAGCTCTTGCCGAGCCAGGTCCGTTATGATCAGACCAATCCGGAATTTGGGACCGGCGGCATGAGCAGTTTCCACGTTCTAGTCATGAGATCAACTTCCTGAAGAGCACTTTCGAAATGAACGTCGGGATGTGTGCTCGCAAAGATGACTTGATAGTAAAAATGCCTCGAGCGGCCCCACCGACTCGTTGCCCGAAGCCGGCCTGCCGTCCACGAGAGCATTCAAGCCGCAGAGCCAAGAGGCCCCAGTTGGCAGGGGAGGGGGGCGGCTTAGAGCTACCGCCCAGCTCTGCCCAGCTTGAGCCGGCTTGAGCCAGCTTGAGCCAGCTCGAACGAGGCGTGGCTGATGGCCTGCTCGCACCCGTCCGTTACGCCGTGCACTAGATCATTTATACAAGGTAGGTGTCGCTGCTCGAAGCACGCAAGGTGGAGCGTGTCGTGATGCATGTGTTGGCGATGTACTGATCTTGCCGTCTGCCTCTTTCAACCACCTCTTCTGCTGGACCCATACCACCCGCCGTGCGACTCACGACCGACGACCAATCGACCCACACGCTCCGTTTTGCCCTGACGCTGCCTGTCCTACTGCACGACCCCGACGTGTACCCCACACCCGCCCATCCGACACGACCACCGGCTTTGCACTTTCTGCAACCATCATACGGACCTGTATCGACTGCACCGCCTGCGTGCTGCGTGCTGCGTGTGACGTGCGTTCTGCCGCGCCGCGCCCTGGCCCGCTCGCTGGCTGGCTCGCCCACTGGCCGCGCCGCGTTTCGCAAACTTGGATTTTCGCGCGGCCTGTCGCGGCCTGTCGCTTGTTCGCTGCCTCTGCTGGCCTGCCCGCCCATTGATTTGCCTACGCCCAACCGCCCTAACCTCACCCGCATTGGAAAACGACGCATTCGACTCTTTTCCCTTGCAACTACCACTGCGTCGCCCCACCCAATCCTCGCCCCTACATTCCTTCAACGTCGTGCTCTCCTCACTCTACGCCACTTCGACCTCATAACACACAGGTGCGTTCTTTGGGCCTATGCAAATCATCGGTTGCGGCGGGACGAGGCACCCTCGGGCAAGGGAGCGCAGGGAGTTGGCGACGCGGAGGCGGAGGCGGTCGCAGAGCGAGCACGGACATGCAAGTGGCTGCGGGACTGGGACATGGAGGAGTTGCAAGATGGAAACTCGGGTTGATTGGGACGAGAACGAGGGGGGAAGCGTTCAGTCGGCGACCCAATTGTAGCAGCAACGTCGGCGCGGCGCATCACACAAACAGCGATCAGCCGGAACAGCTTCACTGACATTCGGACGCCCCTCAATCATTCTCTGCAGATGACGAAGCGAACCAAGAAGGTCGGAGTTACTGGAAAGTACGGTGTCGTAAGTCCACACCGCTAGAGGTCCCACGGCCAATCGAGCTCGCTCCCCAAGTTGCGACGCTCACCCCATTGCCCATTTCCTGCAAAACAGCGTTACGGTGCTACGTTGAGGAAGTCGATCAAGAAGATGGAAATCACCCAACACGCTACCTACACGTCAGTCGGTGCTCTTTGGCTTCCGTCCTTAGTCTTCAAGTCCTGACCCGGTTGCATTCCACTCGTTTTACTTTTCCCTAGCTGCACCTTCTGCGGCAAGGACGCCGTCAAGCGACAAGCCGTCGGCATCTGGCACTGCAAGGCCTGCAAGAAGACCACCGCCGGTGGTGCCTGGACCGTCTCGACCACTGCCGCTGCTACCGTTCGATCGTGAGTTTCGTCATCCCAGTTGGAACGAGACGACCAGCCCCGGAATGCTCACCAATCACTTCACTATTAACCTCGGGAACACAGGACCGTTCGTCGATTGAGGGACTTGGCAGAATCATAAGGGTCTTTCATTCGGGGAATGAATCGGCTGCTTCTCGTCTCGACTCTCAACTCTTTCCGTGACGTCCCGTTCGCGCTCCCCCATCACGTAGTCATCTCGGGTGGCCTTCTTAAACCAAGGTCGTTGTTTCTTTTTTTCTACACAAAAACCTTCGTGATGTGTGTGTGTGTGTTGCAACGTCGGATAACGCCAAGAAGAAGATGGGGAGGACGGAGGTGTCCTTTTCTTTCTCTTTCTGGGGATTGTTATGAATGATAAAAGATGGGCGGCTCAGAGAGTGGGGTACGCAGACTCTACAGAGGTCACGGACTTGATGTGGCGAATATTTGAGAACGCGTGCATGGCAAGCAAGTTAAGGCTCTACTTACTCACCTGAGGTCATTTCGGGCCTGAGTAGCAAGCCAGGTGCAAGCGTTTGATCTCAGAAACTGTGCTCTCGGTCTAAACGATTGGACTTTTCGGACCCAGCTGCATCGGCATTGCACCTTCAAATCGATGCCTTACAAGAGAAGAAATCCACAAAACAATATCTAAAATCACCCCTCCCTTCCCTCAGCGTCTAGTGGTGGCCGTGAGCGTGGCTGTCCTTCTGGAATCGGATACCGCTATACCAATTCACGGCGAACATGTGAGGACGGGTATATCAGGATTTTGAAATGGTTGAACGAGGTTCGCGGGGACTTACCAGTAGTTGCACGCCTTGGGTCCAGGCTTGTCGACGTTGACAAAGATCTTCGGGTGCCCTAACGAACCTCCACCTAAGATCCGGCCCAGAGCCAGAGAACAAAAGAACCCAACTGAGCACACCCCTTCGAAAACTTTTTTTCAAAAAAAAACCCCAAAGTTGTGACTGACCTCCATCACAACTCGCCACACGCCCGTGGATCAAACGGATCGGTTCCTCGGCGATCAATTCGACCGCGGCCAAGGGGCGAGGTTGGAATCGTTCGTCCGTTTGCTCGAAGCGAGGGCCTTGCATAGCTTCCGTTCTATCGGGGGAGAAGAACAGCTGGGATGAGTTCACGATAGAGTGGGTGGTGTTTGGGTATGGAGATGGAAGAGGTGTGGAGGAGTGCGCACCGAGCGGCTTGACTTTTGGACCAGACCGTTGCCCGGTTCGGAGCTTGGGCAGGGCTGATCGAGGGTGGTGTGTGAGGTTCACTATATGGGGTGTGATTGAGTGGTACGGTTTGATGATGATGCGATGCGATGCGCCGTGGAGGTCACGGGACGAGTGATCGAGGCGCATGCGGAGACGAGTGGACGAAGCAGCGCAAGGGTGTTGATGGATTCGAGCCAAGAAATGGGGACATAAGTGTAAAGAAAAGTGGGTCAGCCACGAGCTATCGAGGCACGGTTGGCTTCAACCAAGCGGACAGGAACAGAGCAGGCGGACTAACGCAGGCTTCCTGCTGACGACGTTGTGGGCCATTCGCGAGTGACGCATCAAAGGTCGAGCAGCGTTCAGGCATGTCCGCGATAGTGACGACATGTTGGATGGCCCGGTAGTGGTGATGCTGAGGTAGGGGGAAAGACAGGGGAGGTCGATGAGCGCCGCGTCGCGAGCAGGCCGTCTTGAGGCAACACAGGGGGGGAGTCGGGCCGCGCTCGGACCGCTCCTTGGATTTGCTGTTCTTTCGGTCTTTCGGGCCCCGGTCGATTGGTAATTCGTAGGAAGAAAATAGACGTTCTTAAAAGAACTCACTTCAGAACTCCGATCAGAAGGATGCCCACATGGACTTTACATTCGGTCTTGCCTGTCAAAATCGACACTCTTCGAAAACCGCTCGTCAAAAATGATGCAGTAGTGAGAATTGAAGACTTGTCACACGACTCCTGTGGTCGACACGAAGAGACACCAAAGTCGGTCCCTAAGTGACATAAAATGGCGAAGGCAGTCCAAAGCAGAGAGGAAATCCCTCCTATACCCGAGAGTTGCTGCCGCACATTGACCGTACACCGAACAGGATTCGGCCGGGCCGGGGCCAGCTCTTTGAGCTTTGAGCTTTGTTCGTCCTTGGAAGGCACCGAGGGTCGCGCCGGTTTAATCCGTGCCTGGCCCTTGCTGCAGCGCTTCGTTTCAAATTGACGCTCGGGGAAAAGTAGGAAATTGAAGAACGGACACCCGTACACGGTACGACGCCGAACTGGCACGTAAGACCTAATTAAAACTTGAGACCAAAATGCGAGTTTGATCCTTTGTGAGTATTTGTAGGCAAAAGCGCTCGGGCAGCTCACGACCGGGGCAGCTCGAGACTTTGCGAGACTTGAGACTCGAGAGTGCCTCGTGCATGCATGCCTGGGCTTGCCTGGGGAGGCCTGGGGTGCACTAGCCCCACGGTGCGGATCCGCCGTTTGATCCGAGTCCCTTTACTCCACCTACCCATCCCCCCTTTCATCACTTCCGGGTCATAGTGCTTCTCCAACCGACCTAGAAGGCAAGACTACGCGCAGGGGTGTTGCTCGCCGTGGTGAGTCCCTTTGTCGCGGCCTGACTGCGGGCGTTCGATCCTCGTCGCGTGTCACCCGCACGTCGCCGTGACCGGCCGGCTCGTCTCGACGTGATCGAACCCGAGAGACCGCGAGCTCGAGAGCTGACATTCGAGACACGGACCCCTTTTGCAGATCGCTCGACCTCAAGATGCTGGGCAGGAAGAAGAAGCGCCAAGGAAGCATCTCGTCGGTCGAGGCTTTCTCTGCCACAGGAATCACCGCGGGCCATGCCGGCGTCGGACATGTGTCGACGGCTTCGTCGTCGTCGTCGAACGCGACCACCGCGCCAGGACCTCCTCCCGCCTCCTGGTCTGTGCGCGCGAACGACCACCTCAATGCCGGTATGACTCCAACAGCAGCACCAGCATCCTCGTCCTCAACATCGGGAGGTGGAGGTTCAAGGGCCTTCAACTACTTCGTCGAACGCGCAAGGGGCGCTGTAGGATTCGGATCGAGGGAACGCACCAAGTCCAACTCGAGCGACGACACCTCGACCTTCGCCTCAATCTCAACTTCGGAGCCGGGCTCGACCTCGTCGCACACGATCTCGTCTGGATTCAACCCCACAGCCAAGGCGCCCTCCTCGACTTCGAGCGCCAGCCACAACCCCAAAAGTAGCAGCAGTCTCGATATCAATTCGGTTCCGCTCGGTGCGGCACCCATGTCGATCCCGTACTCGGTGTCCATGCACGAGATCGCGCCCCACCAGTCACGCGGCGCCGCGTCTTACGGCGCGACGTCGACCATGGCGACGACGAGTTCGTCCGTTGGCGCTTCGGCAACATCCAACTCGGCGTCTTTCTTCTCACGACGCACGCCCACGGCATCGAACCCACATGCCCCAGCCTGGCTGGCACCGACTTCCGCAAGCGACAGCAGAGGCGGGGCATCATACAAACTTTCAACGTCCCCGAGCTCGCCGAATCTGTCGACCCCCATTCTCGCGCTCAGTCAGGAGCAGCTCCCCGCCGGTAGGCGAAGGCAAGGGACATCGTCATCAACAGGCACATCCGCAGACGGCGGCAGTCCGGTTAGTCTACGGGTACCGGGAACTGCTCTTTTATGCCGAAAGCTGAACCCTCACATATCCCGCCTCCCTAGCTACTCACGTCGTCTCGGTCGACATTCGCTCGGTCCAACGAGGATATCTCGAGTCGGAGACAGTCGCGCATGTGGACCGCCGAAGACGCTCCCCCGGTACCGATGCTGGCTCGCAAGTCGACAGAAGACTTCTCGTCGTCGAGAGACACGCTCGGCGTCGAACCGACTCGGCGTGTGCGCACTACCTCCCTCGCACCCAACGCCGCACTCAACTCGTACCCTTCGTCATCGAATCTGTCGACTTCGGCGCCTTCATCACGCGGCTCGCGGAGTCCTTCCCTTTCACCCCGTCTCGGGCCCAGCGATAGTCCAGTCCCGCTCCCCTCGTCGAGCTCGGCTCTGAATCTTTCGCGGCAAGCCGCCGGATCGTACTCCTCGACCAATACGCTGGCGTCAAACACGACAGCCGCGACCAGCACCCATGTTTCGCGCTCGCCTGAGCTCGGCGACCGTCGCCGTGATTCGCAGACGATCCACTGCCAAGGCTTCTTGCAACGCAAGGCCGACTATGTGCCGATGCCGTCACCGAGCCGACTCTCTCCGAGTGGGACAGCACCGACTATCTCGTCGCCCGTAGCCACGGGGTCCGGTTCATCCCAGTCCTACTTTTCGCCTCGGGCCCCATCACCTCGTTTGCGACCTACCCGACTTGGTGCCGAAGTCGATCTTCAAAAGGGATGGAAGCCGTATCGCGCCATCCTCAAAGGCTCCAAGCTCTATCTCCATAAACCACCCGCGGATTTGTCCTCGACGGCCAAGTCCATGTTCCCGACGACCGTACTTGATCCGCCGTCTCAAGAGCCCAGCCCCAGAACACCGGCCGGATTCGAGGGGGACGCGTCGAAACGAAGGCAGAGGGCATATTGGGGCGCCGGGGGGTCAGCGCACCCTCGGCTGATGGTTGCAGATGAGTCGGCGACATCGTCGAGCAAGCACAAGGTGACCGGCGGTACGGTGGAAGCGATCACGCACGAGATCATCTTTGCCACTACATTCCCTGTCGATGAAGGGTCGCCGGCAAGGGTGGGAGCGTCAGAGTCTGCCTACGATACTTTCCTCGACACTCTGCTGCTATTCCAGCCGTACTTGTCCGGTCCACCCGGCCTATTCGCGACGGAGCTGCAGAGGTTTGCGGCTTTGGCGACCCGAACCAGTCAGGAGTCAGAGACTGCGACACCCGCTTCGAAGGCTGCTCTCGAAGCTCGACTCGCCAAGCTCATCGGGGATGCGTGCTTAAAGTATCCGCAAGACCTGTCGGCTATGATCGAAAGCTCCGCAGAATGGCGCGCAACGATGGACGAGATCTTGAAGCAGGTCCACACCTTGTCGTCTGAGGAGTCCAATCCGAAAGCGGACGAGCTTCAGAAGCTGTGGGATCAAACGATCGAAAAGGCGAGCAGCTCGCCACCGCCGCTTACAGCTTCGACAGAGTGGGCGTCCCCCTCGGCGGCCTCTTCGGCACCGAGATCGGGCCCCGCTTCCCTGCCGAACTCACCGACCAAAGCCCGGAAACGGACGCCCGAGTCGCCGACGCCCCCTTCGCCGACACCCGATGCGGTCATGCAACTCACACCGCACTCGCTCGTTCAGCTCGACCCCGTCGCTTTCGCGGCGCAAATTCACGCCTTCCACCTCGATCGTCTGACCGCTATCAACAGTGATCCGCTGTCGACCTCGAGGCTGATCTTAAGGCAAGCAGCGTCTGGTGATGCGCCGAAGTGGCCGTCGCTCCTAGACATATTCTCCTTTTCGGCGTCGACGCCTCATTCCTTGACGCGGGTTGTCGTCAATTCGATTCTTGCGCCACTCACGCCGACAGCGGCGGGCCCGTCTTCGGTAATCTACATGCGCGCCGCCGTCATCTCTCAATGGGTCGCGATCGGCGAAGAACTGCGTCGGCGAGGCGATGCCACGGGTTGGGCCGCCGTTGCCATGGGCGTGTGCTGTCGTGCGGTGGCTCGATTGGACGAGGCGTCGAGGAGCGTCGGCGCCGAGCGGATCGAGCTCGTGCGACATACCTGGGCGCCGATCCTGAGGTCGATCAATTTTTCTGACGACGACGAGTCCAAGATTTCTCCCCTTTCGTTCGAGCCGTCCGAAAAGGGGACTGCGATTCCTTACCTTGGATCGATCCTGGAAAAGGCCGCTGCGGGGCTCAAAGCGTCTGCAGCACAGATACCCGAACAACCGGACGCTACTCTGCTGTTGCCACTTTACGACTTGCGCGAGGAACTGGGCAAGGTTGACAGTGTCTGGTCACGCGAACCGCCGTCGGCCATGCAGGTTGCACTCGATCCGCGACTCCAACATTTCCTGCAAAGGAACTCTCGTCTAGCCCACCCTGAGAAACCGCAACTCAGCGCATATCTGGCCTCATCGCTCAAAGCAGAACCGCGTCTCGTTGCCCAAGGCATCAACTTACTCGCCAAACCTCGATCTGCTCAAGAGCCGAGCCCGCTAGTGCCCCTGGTTATGGTCGAGCCGTTGCCTCACATCAGTCTGGTCGACCGCGGGCAGATCCTGGCCTCGTCTCGCAACCCAGCTTTGCGCCACAAGGGGTCTTACAGCAACATGAGCTCCAACGCATCGGATTCGGTTCACCCGGGTGGCACTCAGCTCGCTCGACGTGCCTCGTATCCGCCGCACGCTGCCTCCGCTAGTCTCGGCTTGGGCGCGTTCGCTCGACTGCGCAAAGACATGACCGATCCCGCCAACACGTTGCTGCCCTTTGCCGATGGCGACATCGTCTTCACAATTGTGTCCAACGCCGTACGCACCGTGCCTTCAACGCCGACCTTGGTCCAAAACGAACGAGGAACGCTGTCGCGCACCTCAAGTTGGATCGAGTCTCGGAGCTCGCGGGGTGCGGGAGGCCCCAATCGCAATAGCGCTCGTCAGAGTCTTACGCCGACGCTTGCTCCGCTCAGTCGCGTTTCTTCGAGGGGCGGTTCGCCGGTCACGGTCTCCCCCCAGTTGAACGAACATAGCCCAACCGGGCCCAAGTTGCAAGCCGCGAGTGAGGAAGAGCCCGTTCACGTCGTCGTCAGAGCCGGAACGGTCGAAGCGTTCGTCGATCTGCTTGTGCTCGGTATCAGCAACTTGCGCACGCCTTCGACCGATGCTGATGGTCAAAGCTCACTGACGGGTCGACGCCCGCTTCAACTCGATGCGCAAGATTTCCGCTCCGCCTTCTTCTCGACTTTCCGCAGCTTCACCACGCCGCTTGTCCTGCTCGACATGTTGCGGAAACGCTACCTCGCTGCCCCGAACGCTTCCCTCGACCACGTTAATCTCACTTCTGAGCGACCGTTCCCTGCGTGGTCGATGGCGCCGATCAGCCCAGGCATCGAAGTCGATTGGGCCCACATCGCTTCGATCCGGGTCAGCGTCTTGCGCAACATATCGTATTGGATGGACCACCACATTGGCGACTTCCTCGACGACGACGAGCTTTTTACCTCGGCGACGACGTTCTTGCACTTCATCGAGTCAAGCGAGCGAGCGAACGCACGGCCCGAGAACGCGCAGGTCTTGGCCGAGCTACAGAAGCTGTTGAAGCGCATTGGGATCGACATGTTGAGGCCAGCTGTCAAGAGTAGGGCTCCTGTCGTTATGGCGAGCGCGACCCCGCTATCCTACGACGAGCTGGACGCGAGCCAACTCGTCGATCGGTTGGACCAGATTGCTTGTCGGTTGACGCAGAACCTGAGTGGTGGGTCGACAATGAGAGGACTGCGGTCTAGAAAGTTTGCTCCGGCACTGACGTTCACCCACACCCAACAGAAACGGATTTGCTGAGGTACATCGAACAACTTGAGATCAGGGTCCAGGCCGACCCTGCTTTATGGTACCCGAGCTGCTCGATCAAGACGGACGAGGAAGAGCTCGTCATCGCCGACTCGTACTCGCTGCTGGAGGCGGCCCAGAACGACGGCGCGCCACTTCGACAGATGCCATTGAGCCTTCACGAGGTCATTCGAGCCCATGGCGTCATTCGTAAATGGGTTCTGGCCCACCTCACTGAGCCCGAGATCAGCTTGCGACTGCGCACCCTTCGGATGGTCAAGGCACTCGAGATGATTGAGATCAGCCGATCGCGCATGGCCAATGTCGTCTTTGGCGGTAGCGTCGAGGACCAGGTCAGCGTCGTCGACCCCAGCTTGGCCGGCTTTGTAGAGCGAGTCGTCATCTCTGCCGTCGTCGCCCCCGAGTCTCGTTTGTTCGCCTCGGCCTGGCAAGGCGTCGCGTCCACTCGCAACGTCGTGTCGACGGATTCGTTGTTGGCTCTGGTGCGCCACGACCTCGTCGTAACCGACTCGACAGCCACTCTGGACCCCGCTTGGCTCAATGAACGCCTCGTCGAGATCGTGTCCCAAGTCGACAGCCTCTCGGATGGCGTCTCGATCAACTTTTCCAAGCGCCGGTGGATCTTCAACATCATCCGCAATGCGCTCGTGATTCGCCCTTCGCAGCCCGCCTACGGCAGCGATGATCCTCTGATTTCGATCGAACGCAAGATCGCTGGATGGGGTGCTTGGTCGATGCGAACCTTGCGCGATGCGGCGTCGGGAGAGGGGAGCAAGTCGACTCGGTCGCTCAAGCCATTCTCACGTCTGGTCGCAGCGCAGCAGGACAAGGTGCGCCGCGAACGGACGGCCAAGGAACTCGTTTTGAAGACCCAAAAGACGGAACAGCAGCAACGCGCAGCTCGGGAAAAGGAAGTCGCCAAGGCAATGGACAAGTCGGTCAGCATGCGCACGAGGCGCATGACGGCCCTGTTCCGCGGCGGTGGCAGTCGACCCAGCTCCGTCAACACTGCTGCATCGCCTGCTTCGACGCCTTCCATTCCACCGCCGCCATCTCCTCAGGCTCTACGCGTGCTCAAGGATTGGATGCCTTCGTCCAAGCCATATCTCGTGCTCCCCCTATCCGGAGTCGAAGTGCAGCCTTACGAGAATGGTCAGCGCTCGTTCGTCTTTGAGCTCGTCACCGAGGATGGGCAGCGCTCGTTGTTCCAAGCGAGCACGGCGCACGAATTGCGTTCCTGGCTTGACCATTTCAGGCGCTGTGGAACGGAGATCGCGTTCCGCCGAGCGACTTTCCTGGCTCAAACTGCTCTCGCTGAAGAACCGGAGGAACCAGCTGCGGCCAAGTCTGCGACCTCGACCGCTGCAGTCAAGATCCCCGCCTCTGCACGTGAGTTTTTATAATGCTGAAAGTAGACTCTTATTCCTGCTGGTGTTGACATTTGATGACGCCTGTGCAGTCTTCGGCACGCCACTGTGGGAAGTCCTCCAACGCGAGGACTCGACGATTCCTCGCTTCATGGACTCGGCGCTCGCTACCATCACCGAGCGAGGTGAGCTAGGACTGGAGCCTCGCGTTGCTAGGAGCCCTTCCACTGACTTCATTATTCATGAAACCTACTCTAGGTCTTCTCGAAGTAGGCATCTATCGAATTTCGGGAGAGAATCGCGTGATCCAGCAACTTCGTCAAAGTCTCGACCGCGGAGGCGACCCGGTGTCCTTGCTCTCCAAGACGGACGTCCACAACGTCTCTGGTCTACTCAAGCTCTTTTTGCGAGAGATGCCCGAGCCTTTGATCCCTTACGACCTCTACGAACCCTTCATCACCGCGAACGCGATCGAGGACTACGACGAGCGTCTCTACGCGATCCGTGACCTCGTTTGGCGCCTCCCTCAACCCAACTTCCACCTCTTGCGCCGCTTGTCGGAACATCTCGACAAGGTGACCGATCACGAAGAGGTCAACTCGATGCATGCCGCGAATCTATCCATCATCTTTGCGCCGACCTTGCTCAAGCCCACACCTGGCCCGACTGCGTTCGGATTGTCGATGACGAATCTGGGCAAGGCGGCCAATATCATCAAGAGCATCATCTTGCAACAGAATTGGATGTAAGTTACAATCAGCGTCCATCTGGCGCCGTAATCCACGTGACTGACCTCGCTCTTTTGCCATTCTTGTACAGCTTCGGAGAGGAGGTCGTCGAGGAAGAGCAAGAGCATACGCCGTCTATGCAAGCTTCTCGCGAGCTCGGCACTGAGGCGGCATCACCCCCTGCGTTCAGAAGCGGTTATTCAGCCAATGACTCGCCTCAACAACCGACGGGCCTAGGCTTGTACGACTCGTCCAGCCCCAACGCTAGAGACGTCTTTGGCGCTGCAGAGGATGGCATGCCCACGTCGAGTTCGACGCATTTCCTGTCTGGTCACAGCATGGCTGAGCAGAATCTCGCGGAAGAAGGACGGTCGATTAACGACATTTCGGCGCGAGAACGAGGCAAGACGAACGAGACCGAGACCTCGCAAGGCGACGGCGAAGCTCAATACGCCGTCATCCCCGCTTCTTCAAGCTCCTACCTCGGTGACACCTTGAAGCTCGATTTCGAATTCGAACATACGGTCGTCCCTCCAAGCCCGCATGGTCCCGTTTCCGCCGCTACGGCAGCCCAAGCCGGACGACACGTCGAGTAGACTTTCCTCGCACACACGAAACCCCTGAGGAGATCTACTCTTATTTTGATATCATTTACTTTTTCTTCTCGCTTCCTTCGAATTCGTTCGTTCTGTTTGGGTCCCCTTTTTGTCCGTATCTTTGTTCGTGTTGGGTTTGTCCTTCCCTTCATGTGTACCTTGGAAGCATGCGTCCGAATGGTCGATGGTCGTAATTGAAAGCATCGGCGCATCTTTTTCCCTCTCTCTCTCGATTGCCGGGCGACTTATCAGATAATACATGATCGTCGGACTCTTTACTTCCACCTGAGCAAGTTGCAGACTTACAGCCAACCGAGACTAATCCTCCCACCAGCCATCCTTACTCTTGGGTCGTTTCCCGCTGTCCACTCCCCCGTTTTTGGCATCCGCACCACTCGACACCTTCCTGATCTTCTTCTTGGCCGGTGCACCCTCATCCCTCGAAGAAGAGACCGTCGTCGCTTTCGTCAGTTGTACGGGTACAGGCGCAGGCGTATAATCGAAGCCCAGTACGAATCCATCCTCCTCCTCAATCCTAGCCTTTTTCCTCTGCCTCGTCTCCAAAACATCCTGATCGACCTCTCCAAACCCCTCCCCATCCTCCCCCGCGCCACCCCTCGTACCAAACTGCTGTTGCGCCCTCACCAACCTCAACGTCTGCGCGAGGCCCATCCCTTTCCTCACCATCGTCGGATCCTTCTGCCCTCCATTCTTAGGTACACTCTCGATCCCACCTTGCCTCTCGATCGCCTTCAAAGGTTCGGTCGTACTATACACCAACACGGGTTTAGCCTTGGTCCTTAGCGCGTCCTCCCAAGCCGCTTTCTGAGAACGATAGATCGCCATCGTGGCTCGGGCATCGTCGATGGAAGAATGTTCACCGGATTGAATGTCGACGCCGAGGACGAGCTTGGAGAGCGTTTTGAGAGAGGGTCGCTTCGTTCGTGCTAGAGCTTGAAGAGGGGCGTATTTGGAGGTGTCGCGTGTGAGGTGGTGAGGGTGGGAGAGAAGGAGGACCTAGATGGGTGGAGGAGTTGGGGGTTAATGGTCAGGGATCGGAGGCCATCTGAGATGAGGAGCGGCACTGGGACCGACTTGGGTATCGTTCGAGATGGCATGCCCGATCAAGATCCTCCCTTTGATCAATTCCGACACCTTCTTGATCACCTCGGCGAACGTAGGAGCTGTCAAAACCACCCCAGAAATACCCATGATCAGCCGCAACCCGACCTTTGCGCCTCTTTGTCGTCCGAAAACTGACCGTTCAAAAGATCGCGCTCCCTCACACCGGAGACCCAAGTCCTATAATCGGTGACCTTTTCCCTTGGTTTGACGAACGAGTCGTACGTGACGTGACCGTGGTAATTGACGATCGAGACGCGGGCCAGGGCCGATTCAACGCCTTCGGGGCCGACGCCGACCATTTCACAATCAATGGCTGCGCGGTGGTTGAGTCGATGAGGTCAGCGTGGGTGTCGTCAGAGCTGGAGAGTGGTTGGAACCTACCTAGGTATTGTCCCACGCTTTTTTGGGATCCAAGAGAGGAGAGAAGGTTCATCAGCCGCCATGTAGCTCGTGTAAGTCGCTACTTGCCTTCGCTCGCCCCACTCACTCCGTTTGCCACCCCGCGACATTCCCCTGCAACAGATCCTCGACGGGTACCATCCCCTTGGTCTTCTTATCATACCTCTTCCTCTGCACATCATGCTCATCCTCGACGTCGTGTGTTGTTGCTCTGCCCTTGCCCTTGCTGTCTCGATTGAGAGGGATCGTAGGCGAGGCGACGATCGTTGTGGAGCTGATCTGGCTGGGGGAACACGCGCGGCCTCGTTTCTTGGACGATCGATCGGGTGAGGGGGCTGGGTGCAGCATCTGGTGAGGGGGATACGGGTGATGAATACGCTCGTTTCCCAAGTGGGCACCGATCCGGTCTCGGCTGCGAAGGGCCGCCCGACGACGACCGACAGCGGGAGCGTGCATGTAAGGTACACTGACCTGCTGCAGGTTCTTCCAATTCGAAGAAGCCGCCACGGGGGTAGCAGGAGCCTTGGGTGTCTTGCTGGCTTTGGCCATCGTGGAGCTCGGCTGTGGAATGAGGCTGAACAGAGCGCAAGCTCCGCAGAGTGATCGGCACTCACCCGGGCCTCACCCGGGCCTCACTCACCTTCGCAAGTCTTTGCACGGCGCGCACGGACCTTTATCTCGACGTCATAATCAACCTCGCCCGAAGAGAGAGAATTTCCATAAATTTATTACAAGTTGCAAAAATCACTGATGCTAATCCCTCACTCCATACACCTCCTTGGCGACCCGATCCCAACTCTCCTTATTGACGGCCCAACGTCTCGTGAAATCCCTCTCCAGCGCATGAAACCTCTTCCCCACAATGACCAGACTATGCAACGGACCACCGAAAGCGTCCTCGTCGAGATGGGAGAGTTCTTCCAACGTCCCCGAGACGAACGTTTGGGATGGGTCACCGATCCGGGATAGAGAGATGCAGAGCGTTTGCGAGGGGTCGAGGAAGGGGGAAGGGATCGGGGTCAACGGGGAGCGGTCGTCGGTCATGGACGGGTCGGAGGCAGTTGCAGGTGCAGTGTCTTTGTCATTGGATGGAAGAGAAGGGGGTAGTAGGGAAAGCAGTTGCTCGATCGCGGTCGGGACCGACATGAAGCGAGGAGGTTCGTAAATCTTGCGGCCCCTGTCGATCAAAGTATTCCCATCAGAGACAACACCATCATCAGCTCTTGGGACACCGCCAAACTCGGAAACTCGGATCTTCCAGAACACCGACCTCGCGAGATTCTCAATACTCTGTTCCTTGACCTTGATATCCAACAAGCACAACGTGTGCAGATCCAAACTCAGATTCTCCCGAATCCGATCGAGCCACGAATCCGGTCGCCAACTCTCGGTGAAGTAGGGGATCGAGATCGTTTGACCGTAGTTGTACAACGCTAATCCGACGGCTCCGACGGCGTTCATCACGGAGGCATTGTGGATCACGACGTATGGGATTGACAGCGCCTCGGCTCGCAGGAGCAAGTCGGAATGTGTTGTCGCTCTGCAGAGGGGGTGCAAGATGCGGAGACAAGTCCAAATGAGACCCATTACTCTCGATGCGTTTCAGATGCTTCTCGCACTCACCCAAACGGATCACCGACGACGAGGAACGAAACGTCAACCTCGCTCGCCCGCTCAAGAATCGCATCCGACTCGGTCTCGACCATATCCCTATCGGCAACGATAATATCCTTCTCGTAGAAAGCTTCCTATGAACGAAAATCAAAACTCGGACATCGATACACGTCGCTCCCTAGCTCAGACCACCTACTACTCCCGAGGAACTGACCAATCGTTCTTTCCCCACGCCGAGGATCGAGGTATAAGCTTCAAGGTACACCCGTTCGGACTTTTTGATGGCTTCCAAACCTCGAACAGTGACGTCCTTCTCGTCCGAAAGACCAAGCCCGATGAGGTAGAGCATTCTTGCCGAGTCGGGGTCGAGGTTGAGGCGACGGGTTGAGTGAGCGGAGATCGGAGCTTGAAGCTTGTAGAGCTGCTTTACAATCTGATGTTCTGGACGATTGCCTTATAACGCCGAGTCAAATCGTATTGACCGTGCGTAGTGTGAATGACGGCGACCGAATAAGAGCGGAGCCAACGTACGCCGGCCGAGCTTCGCAACCGTGACCGGACCTCCGCAACCGTCGATCACTAATTCCGTCGGTTAGCAGCTCGGGCACTCCACTAATTCAACGCGCATCTGCTCAGGGCGATGCCTCAAGCTTAATCAAGATTCGAAATTCGAAAATCTCCCATTTCATTATGAGATAGCAGGGGAAACTTGCGAGTCCGAAAAAAGCACGTGCATTTTTTCTCGAACCCCGAGCCACTCTGGAAAGGGGTCTCTCACCGGCCGGCTCTTCCGGGGTGTGTCCTCGGCGGCGAACCTGCTGGGTCCATTGCGGATCAATAAAGATGGTCCGATCCAGTTTTTGAATACTTGTCTCTGCCTTCCACCCTCAATCCAGAATGATAAACAATGAAACGAAAGACTTATTCGACCGTCCTTGATCAACTGCCACGTCCTTTCTTCTTCCGATGATGATGCGCTCCTTGATGCCCCTTGAGCCCAGCGGATACAACGATTTTCTCTTGCTCATCCTTCTTCGTTTTCCCTTGTTCGTCGTTCAGCGCCTTATCAATCTTCGTGTTCGACTGAAGGACCCATCAAGTCGGCTTTTCTGATCTACCCGCGACCTTCATCCACCTTCAAAACACGCACCTCTTGACTCTCCACCAAATCGGACATCCCTCCTCCATCAATATGGGATCGAGCAAGCTTGGTCGAGTTCTTCTTCGTTTGCGGAGGTTCTTTCACGCCATTGCCGGGTGGTGGTGCAGGCGTGTTCAAAGGACCGGGAAGTTTGGTCGTCGAGTTCCCACCGGGTCGAAGGGGAGGAGAAGCCGGTGCGAAAGGGGGTGAATCTGCTGCAGGGTCCTAGGATCATGTTGAGCGGAAGTTCGGAAGAGCAATGAAACTGGAATGCTCCGTGATCTTTTTGATCTAAGCGGACCGTCGGACTTGCCTGAGTTTCCAGAGACGTTTCTCGAACCCGAATCGGTTGAAATAAGGGGTGAAGAGGAATGTTTTTTGTAGATGGCGTAATACCATCCTAAAGCCGTCGCAGTACTAAAATTTCAGATGCTATTGTCAGTCCAGTTCGCGCTTTCAGGCCGATAGTTTTAAACTTATGACTCGTCGACTTACGCGGCGAGGGCCAGCACGATGAAGAGGACCACGCAGACCCAACAACACCTAGGTGGACTCCCTCGCTTTTCAGCTTTTGAACCTGCAACCGACTTTGCGCTCGTTCTACAATGATCAACATATTGTCAAGATCAGCTCCGAAGACACAAGACTGTATCGCCCAAGGTAGGAAGGGGGTGAAACTCAACGGTGCCGCGCTCAAAAGTTCCCGAGTAGTCGACGCGACTCCATCGTGTCTCTCATCCCTCTCCAACGTCTGCGCCGAAGCCGATTCACTCCCACTCTGATTCCGTGCTCGGGATCCGAACCTCGTCGGATTCGAAGGCATCACCGGAACGGGTCCATTGTCAATCGCGATTGAAGTCGTCCCTGAAAACCTCGACAAGTGGTTCATCATGATGGTTTCTGAATCATCCGTTCGATCTTGATACTGCTGCAAGGTCGAATAAGCCGAGGACCACGTCCGATGCGTATCCCTCGAGGAAAGGGACGTCATACTAGGTTGATCGCGATAATGCCGAGTGGAAGACGTGGTCATCGCGGGGGAAGGGCGTCGACTCGTCGCGCTCGTACTAAACGATTGCCCGGGACGAGAGGAGAGCGTCCCTGCCGAAGGTTGGTGATGTAGTTGCGAGAGCTCTTGCAAATCGTCATGATCGGACGAATTGAGTCTTCTTAACGAAGGCGTAGGTTCCGGTGGCTCGAAGGTTCGCGGTCCAGGATGACCACCGTATGAGCTCACCGGCGGTGTCACCGTCGGCGTGTAAGGGAACGTCGGCGTCGGGGACGTCGGAGGACTGAAGGACCTCCCGAATCGAGCGGGCAAGGATCCAGGAACATACCCTTGCGACGGTTGTCGCTGCGGCTGTAAGGGAGTTGCGGCGTAGATGGCCGTCGTGGACTTAGGAGGCTCTTCAGGTGGGAGGGGAAGGAATGGTAGAGGTGGCACCGCGCCATTCGAACCGCCATAGCTTGGGGTGGACACATGAATGAACTGGCTTCGCCTCTTTTCACTGGATGAAGCTGACATGGCCTGGTCGTCGGGTTCGGTGACTTGCTGGTGGCTGTTTATGGCGTGATACGAGGTGTCCCTACGAGCAAACCCAAGGCAAGATGTCGCGACAGTTGCGAAGGCTGCACCACGTTGCGCTGAGGTGTGCGAGACACACCTCCTGAATCGAACAGACCGAACACGCCGTCGATCCTAAGCGCCGGCTCACGAGCGTTGAAACATGGGGGCGATATCCGACTGGTTCCCAATGTGGGGAATAAAAAATAGAGGCATGATGCCAGATGTAACCCCTGTAGTCTATTCCACATGACGTCACGTGATGCGATGAGTCTGAGCGTCATTAGGCGTCACCAAGCTGCAGCGATCCGAGACCGTCTGAAACCTCGCGAAAGGGCCGGTGTTCGTTGGCAGCGCTAATACGCCGTCGGCTGAGCCGGGGCCGTCAGGCAACTTGTAGCGCCGACTTCGGCCTTGTGTCCACCAATTTTGTAGAGCGACCAGGGAGTGTATTTAATTCGACTCGGGACGCTCTGAAATCCACGTACTCTACTGGTTCTGCTGTGAGAAGAGAATGGAGACTGGGTGGCCGGCCGAGTTCGCCCGCCCGCCAGATCTCACGAAAAGCCGATCTACATCCAATTACCGGAAATAAATGACCTGAGTAAATTGGCTGATATAAACCAACTTTACAGTGCGGTTCTATGTGCCAAAGAGACTTGCATGACGCGCCCACGCTCATCCCCGCACGTGACCGACTGAAAGACCTCGTAGCCGGACGTCGGGAGCTTTCGATCGCGGTATAAGTTGATGGCGCACGAGACGTCCTCCTTAGGCGCGTATGACGGTGGTGAGGTTAGAAAGACGACCTGGGCACCTCAGAGACCTGTCGGAGACCGGCCCCCTTCCGCTCGGCTTCGCGTTCTCGCTGAACTTCGGGTTGAACTCAGGAGCTCGGGGGTGGGACAGGTTCGGCCTGGAGGTTGTCGAACAGATAGTAGCAAAACTTTCGTTTCTGGGGTTCACGCGAATCTAGAGTCAGAGACAGCGAGCACATGTCAGGCACTCCTTTTCGAGGCGATCGCTACAATGACCGATCGTCAGGAGGAACTGGATTGCCGAGAATGGTCGTTCCCATGATGGCGAGGGCGGTGATGATGTAAATGATCTTAAGCATGGTGATGTGGCGAGGGGGCGAGCAACGTATGCGACCGCGAAGCAGTACTTGAAAAGAAGACCCGTCGTGGAGGAAGTCCGAAGAGGAGAGAGAGAGAGAGAGAGAGAGAGCGAGAGAGCGAGCCCCCCCTGACAAGTGGACGACGTGCATCTTCTCTTCTTGGAACGGAAAGGGGCTTCGTTGAACCGGGCCAGTGGTCAGGTAAAAGATGGGATTTGTACCAATTTTGCGGACGCTTCGGTCCAGTTTTAAAGACATCTATTTTACCTGTCGCGCAGCTGTGGTCTTGTCACTTGTCAGATACGGGATGGGCGTGGAAGCGCGTGCGCAGCACTTCCTTTTGGTGGTCACCGGTCACCGGCGGCGACTCACCCCGATGCCAAGGCATCGCCCAACGTGGGGGCGTGCCAAGTCGTGGACTCCTCCGACAATGGGGAGATTTTAATTTCCTACGCTGTACAATGCCAAACGCCTGACCATGCGATTTTCCACTCGCTGTTCAGTCACTGAATGTATGAACATGTCCAAGTGCCGAATGGCAAGACCAATATCGTGTCTGTCAGGAAGTGTATTGCCATCGATGCGCGACGACTAGAGCAAGGTTTGCCAACGGTTTCATTTACAACGACGCGCGGCGCGCACGCAAGCTGGCCCGTCCTCCGATCACTTTGTAAACCTGCCTATTGAAAAGCTGATCGCGAGCGAGCTCGAGTCTTCTCGAAGCATTGCCAGCGCAAGGCGGGATCGAAGTTCCAGAAGTGTCGATTTCGGCGTGGGACGCGGTAGACCCCAATTCGTCAGATCACTTGCACCTCAGTTCCCTCTCAGCTCCTTCCACCCGATCTGCCTCACGTTCCCTCGTTTCTCGCCCCATCCCCAACACGATGTTGGGTCTCCTCTTGGTGTACTATGGCGTGCTGGTCGGCTCAGTCCTGGCTGGTCCAGGATTCTCCGGCAAGACCGAAGTGTCGGCCTACTTTGCTTCGTGAGTTACGATGGGAGTCCGAGTCCCAAGGAGCTCGATCGCGCCGTGAGACGACTCTTGACGTCGCGATTGAACGATCAGCTGATGCATTACATCCTGCCTTCCCCAACCAACAGCTACAACATGTTACCCTCCGAAGTCCCCTATTCACGCTACACGCACCTCAACTACTTCGTCTTTGAAACCACGGCCGAGCCGACGAGTCTCAGTCGAGCCGGGATTAGTTCGTCGGTCGTGACCGATTTTGTGACGCGTGCCCATGCGGCCAAGATCAAGGTCTCGTATACGGTCGGTGGGTGGACGGGATCAAAGTGAGTTGTTTGACTGTATTTCAGGGGCTTTGAAAGTGTTCGGGACTTCCACGAGGGGCCTGGACGGGCATCCCGTAGTGCGAGTGTTAGATCACGTGATTGACCCGTTCGAATCATTCCTGACCTTCCCTCATCCGGCCAATCTTCGTTCGACGCGCTTGGCTCGCGGTACACTCCCTCCCCACCTCTCTCACTCGGCGGCTTGTCGGCGGGCCCTGTCTTCGGCACCACGCAGATACTTCTCCCAACACGCCTCCAACAGCCGTACCGTATTCGCGCAAACTCTCGTCAACACGATGAATCAATACGGCTTCGATGGCATCGACCTTGACTGGGAATTTCCCGGCGTCCAAGGGATCGGGGACAATCTCGTCCAAAAACGTGATTCGGACAATTTGCTCCGCCTGCTACAAACGATCCGCAAATCAGCGCCTTCGGCTCGCATCTCCCTCGCTGTGCCTGCGACGGGGTTACAGGGGCCTAATGGTCCTTTGAATGATTTGACGAGTTGGCTCCCTTCGTTCGATTACCTGACCATCATGACGTACAATATTTTCGGCACATGGGGTTCAACGACGGGACCGAATTCGCCGCTCAGTTCATCGTGCGCGCCCAGTGATATCCCCTATTCGATCGAATCCTCCGTGAAGCACTACAAGAGTCTCAAAGTCCCAGCGAACCGAATCCTCCTCGGGTTCCCATCCTATTCGTACGCTTATACAGTCGACTACGGTCTACTCCCAAAAAAATGTCCCGACGGATCCACGTCCTACGCCTATCAACCCAAATCGACGACCACGACCTGCGGGAATTGGATCGGTACCCCAACACCAAATCAATACACCTATCGCGAACTGAGCGACCAAGGTTATCTCACACCCTTGGGAAGTTCAGGTTTCAATTTCTCCGTCGTCGATCGAGCGAGTCAAACGAGGGTGATTTATAATCCTTCTACTAAAGTGTTGGTCGAAACGGAGGATCCGACGACAGCGAGAGTGAAGGGGACTTGGATTAAGAATCAAGGTTTGGCGGGGGTCAACATGTTTGATTTGAAGGGGGATGATACCAAGGCGAGTTTGATCACCGCTGTGAGGAGAGGGTTGGGGTTGAGGTGATGAGGCTCGTACGTGGATTGGAAGGACGTGCATACTCCCCACCCACACTTGATGTGTGGTTTTGTCTTTCTGTGACCTATCACTTAAGCAGACGTTCTGTACCCATTGATGAACTCGTGTAACATCTTCTGCTCTCTCGTCCAAAAGTTCGACGACACGACAGGGAGAGCTTCAAAATTTCACTAAACAAGATGGAGGGATGGTCTCAGTGCACGCCTTCTCGCGACGAAAAGGAGGGTCCAACGCGTACAACAAAGAAAAGATGGGAGGCTTGCAGAACTCTGGAATTGGGGGTCGGGGAAAAAGAGCGATAGCGAGGACGCGGAGAAGAACCACGGGGGTTCCAGGGTTGGCGGAGATGAGTGGACTTTGTGATGGTGGGCTCGGATGATTAGGAGAACTTCCATCGGCTGTGATCGAATAGAAAGATGGAATCAGTCAGCAGATTGTGCATCGGAATGGATCAAACCTGGTGTGGCTCACTTGTTGCAGCTGTTCATGGCGACATCGTGGACGCGAAGGGCAGGAAAGAGGGTCAGTCAAGCGACATCAGGATCAGATCGCGCGGAGCGTGGGGCGCTCTGTCCAGGGTATAGAGCTCACTTGAGGCAGCTGCGAGTTCCGACCGATAATGAAAATCAGCGATGTCATCTTGCTTCACCATAGCATAGTACCGACCGGGGAGCAAGACTTACGTCACGAATGTCGTCATCGGTTCATCCGCACTCCTCGTTTGCATCTGCGGGAAGCGAAGGAATGAAGCGAAAGCACCTGCATCAGCTGAAAGAAGCCTCGCTCAACCCGATCTTCCAACCCCCCAAGTCTCATTCCATCAACCTCCCGAAAACGAACCTGGTAGTACATCGTCCTCCGCTGCTTGCATTTGCCGCATTGGAACGCGTCCGTTTCGGCCTGTTGAGGGGCCGCGCCTTGGGCTTTGAAGAGGTTCTCTTCGGCCAACTTGCGGTTCAGCGCTTGTTGTTCCTCCGAAGCCATTTCCTGAAAACGCAACCTGAACTCGCATGAGCACCCACTCAGCAACGTCGATTGCGCTCCAACCTCGATACTCACAGCAGGCGACATGCCGTACAACCTCGTGACAGAGATCTCGCCCGAGACTACGTCCTCGCGCAACGAAGGGTTGTTCGCCGCCTTGAGGTTGAGGTACAGCGAACGGATCTTGGCCCTGTACCCCGCCGAAGGCTCGTTGATGTGTACGTGTTGTTCCAACGCTTGTGCGCGTTTGCAGATCAGGTCCGTCGCTGTAGGGATCGTTGAGGAAGGTCAGTCCCTCTCGGTTCTCCCTAAGCCAAAGTTTTGATACCTGACGTACGTGCATCCGAATCGAAGCTCATGGCATCGTAGATCATCTCGACGCACTTGTCCCTCGTCTTATCGTGGAGGCTGTATTCATCGGAGAAGAAATCCAACCCATCGGTCGTATGGGTTCTCGGTGCGCCGTTGAGGGACTGTCTTCGTTTCGGTACGGGCGTGGAAGAGGTCTTGGAAGGGGAAGCAGTGGTAGTGGTGGTAGTGGTGGTGGGAGCTGCTGTGGGTTCTTCCTTGGGCGCTGTTGTGGAGGTGGGAGGAGGTCGCTTGGTCGTGCTCGTGGAGGTTTTGTGAATCGGTCCAACGGGTGAAGCGGGTGCAGGGGAAGGCGAAGGCGCGTTCGAAGCTGATCGTAAGCCCGCAACACATGTCAGCTCAGCACCTGAACCCGTGGCAGATGCGGTCCGCTCACCTGCACCCGACACCGGCGGTTTACTCTTGGCTGCCCCCCCGGTCGACGACGACGATGCAGCAACTCCAACGTCGTTCTTCCATTTCTTGACGATCTCACGGGCCAAATCGGCGACTGCTTTATTGGGGTTGGACTTGAGCTTGTTGACGGTCACTCCGATCTTGGTTTCCTGTTGTAGGTTGTCGCGGAGGTGGAGGTAGACGAATGAGCGAGCGCTGGTTGGCTGAGCCCAGGTGCTCTGCGTAGGCTGGGAACGTACCCGGATGAGATCCTCGGTTGCGATGACTTGTTTCTTGAGCTGTTGTAGGATCGACGCGATCTCCTACACGCGCAGATTGCTCCCCCACAACGTCGTACGTCGTACGAGCGCAGAGTGGGAGCGAGACGAGCATGAACGAGGGGGTGGAGGCAGAGCAACAAGATCAGCATCCTGGCCAGTGATGCGCAGGAGAGGTATGGGAGGTACCTGTGGTTGATCCTTGGTGACTGCGGTGGAGAGTTGCTTCTTGAGGCTCACGACCAAGCTCGTAGGAGTCGACGTCATGGGAGCAAACGCGCTCGCGTTGGAGGTGTAGGGGCAGGAAAGCGGGGAGAGCCAGGGGGTGTTGAGCCGACTCGATCTAGTTTTGGTGCGACGCCGTACGGGGGCTGGGGCTGGGGCTGGGGCTGGGGCCGAGACTGAGGAGGACAGGAGATGAGACGTTCGAAGGAAAGGAGACGAGACGTTCGATCACTCGCACACGCGCTCGGGCGAGACGGATCGCTTCCGTGGCCGAAATTCGCGCGACCGGGGTTTCCCTCCTGGCACTGCTGCTCCAGCTCCCACACGATCAGCTGACACCCCCTTATCTCGGCGGTCAGCAGTCACGCCCACCATGGCCGACGCGGACCAGCCGACGACCAAACGCCCCAAACGCTCCAACGACGCGCGCTTCCCCGTCGCAAGTTGCACCCCTGCTCCTCCTTGATCGTTCAGGAACTGACCTCTTCCCTCTGACCACAGGCTCGCATCAAGCGCCTGATCCAAGCCGATGAAGAAGTCGGCAAAGTCGCACAAGCCACCCCCGTGCTCGTTTGTACGTTCCGCCCCGCTCCGTCCTTTGAACGTCTTGCTCACCCCCCACCCCCCCCCCCCCCTCCGTGGGTTCTGGTTTCCCAGCCAAAGCGCTCGAGTTGTTCCTGCAACAACTCGTCCAAGCGCTCGTTCAAGATTCCCAAGCGCGCAACGTGCAAAAGATCTCGGCCCACACGCTGTACGCCAAAGATCTGGGCGCACGTGACCTGGCCTTCCCTTCACAAGTCTAATCCTTCTCACCTCTCGGTCGCACAGTAAACGGGTGATCAACACCGTTCCTACGTTTGACTTTCTTTCGGACTTGGTCCAACACGTCCCCGATCCGATCCAGGCCCAGGACGAAGCCTCCATCGTCGAGGGGGACCAGAAACCCCGAACGACCGCTGCTACTTCAGCCACGGCTACGGGATCCAGATCGAGTGCGAGGGGACGGAAACCGGTGGCCAGGCTGGCGGACTATGCAACGGAGGAAGGCAGTGCGAAAGAGGCTGGTGCCAAGGATGAGGATGACGAGTATGACGCGTAAGTGGAGCAGGCGGACTGTCCGAATGGCGTTTGCGATGGGGGAGGAACAGGCTGTGAGGTTCCGGTTCCGTTTCTGTTGTAATGGGTACTCTTGCGTGTCATATCGAGTCGCATTCGAGAGTATCCGATTCCCAGCTGTCCGAGAACAGCTTTTGCGCCGACGATGAAAATCATGCTTCCTCTCCCTGTCTCCCCCTGTCTCCCCCTGTCTCCCCCCATATCGACCGTCGGCTCTCTCTTGTGCGGCGATGTGGCATGCCCGCTGCCTTCCCCCCAGCCTTCGAGTTCCTCACCGGACTATCGACATGGCTTCATCCGAATCTCTTTATTCGACCGGCTACCTCACCTGGTGATGTCCATGGAAGTGACGACGTAACAGGTGTCTCGATCTGGTCGACAGCCGCGATCGACGTCGGTCAAACAGGTTCGTCATCGCTGCCCACGTACTTCCCCTTCCCTCCCCCACCCCACCTAACCTTCCACTTTCAGTCGCTTGTATACCCAAACGCTCCGTGCTCTCGCACCGCAACTCGCAACTCCATCTCCCCGACTGGAATCGAACGCTGGACTTGTCCCCAACTCTCCGTCTCGTCCTCGTCGTCCTCTACGAGCTGCACCTAGGTCCTCAATCAATTTGGTCCGAATACCTCGCATCGTTAGCCTCTGCAACGGTCCCCGTAGGAGTCTTGTGGACCGGGAAAGCCAAAGTATGGGCTCGAGGAACCCAAGTCGCCCGAGTCGTCCGTGAATTGGGATTGGATCATGTACGTGTGTGGAGTATGACCACATTCATTTGCACTCGTCCTGAACGTCATCTCACCACATAGGAAACGATCCGACAATTCTACGACGGGCTTCCGGCGAAGGTGCTCGGAGCGATCGGTAACCCCACAAGGGAAGCCTTCTTCCGAGCTTATTCACTCGTCTCCTCCCGAGCCGTGAGTATTCCCAATTCCCCACCCCACTTTTACAGGCCCCAACACAGACCCCTTGACACATTCCTCCCACAGTTCATGATCGACGCCTTTCACACTGTCGCCCTTGTCCCTTTGTTCGATCTCTTCAACCACTCCGATACACCGCACGTCCATCCCGAAGCTGAGCATTGGGTCTGCTCGACTTGCGGTTCGTTCGGGTTTTGTTCGCATGACGATCAAGACGAGGGGTACGAACTGAGTGAGGGAGCATCACTTTCCTCCCCGACCTCGCACCCAACCGCGAGGGAGGAAGACGAGACTTATGACCTCGTGACCGTCCTGCACATCGACCCTTCCAACGGGGAGCAAGAAATCTTCAACACCTACGGCGACATGAGCAATGCTCAATTGGTCACGATGTATGGGTTTTTGATCGATGGGAACCAGTACGATAGGATCCATTTTGAAGTTGGGCTGAAGAAGGAACAGAGGCGCGAATGGGAAGAGTTAATTTCGCTTTGGTCGGAGCTCGGACATAGGCACGAGGAGCAGTCCCACGAGCTCATTATACCCCTTCCTCCGACGACAAACTCGACGATTGGACCAAACCATTCCACCCACGAAGAATTCTACATCGACGCCGAAGCCCGACTCTCCACACCCCTTTGGCTAGCCCTCTTGATCCAGTCCGAGATACCCCTCCCTCGCTCATCGAGGAAGAAGCAAAAGGTCTTTCTTCAAAGTTTCTACGATTCCCTCTCAGCGACCGCCTTTTCGCTCGGGCCATTAGCGAAGAGGAATTTGGGGCTTTTCAAATCCCACGTCGAAACGATCGTCCGTCGGATAGTCGGGGTCCAACATCGACCTGAATCGACCAGTCGGGACTTGTTCGATTTGGCCGAGACTGATGGGTTGGAGGAAATGGAACGTTTGGCGATAAAGTCGCTGGCGCTAGAGAGGGGTTTGTTGGAGACGCTGGTGGCGAAGCTTGCGGACTTGGTGTAGATGTTCTTAGGATAGAGCAAGAATTTTGGGGGGCATCTGTATGGTACCGACAGGGACACTAGGACCTGCATTGCAACGCATCATTTCATTGACCCTTCTCCTATCCACATTCCTTCTTTCCAAGAGGTCTCTTCCTTCCTTCAATTCTTTAATCAACCGATTACATCTTTGATCAAAGCTCGTCATGCGCCGTCGTGACCGGTTCGCCCGCGCCATCAACCACGGTTTGTTCTTCGTCAACTGCATCATTTCCACCGCCCATCATAGCGGCTGCGGCATCAGCAGCTTTCTTGGCCGCGAGTTCGGCCTTGACCTCTGCAGAAAGTGGGGAGAAAGGCGTCGGTCACCTCATCGGTCCAGCTCGTTGCCCCCACCTTGAACAAGAAGAAACTCACTAGCCCAATCCTGGAACTCCCCCTTGGGTTTCCCCCCTTCCGTCCCAGCGGCCCCCGGTTCCTCAAACTTGACCGGACCATGCTCGACCTCCGGCGCGGGTTTCACCTCCACCTCCACCTTGGCCTCTTGCGCCACTCCAAGCGACCTCCTCAAAATGGTCTCGATCTGTTCGAAATAGACATTCGGGTCCGGGACCGTGAAGCCCGACTTGACCAAGGCGGTCAACCAAAGCACCTGCAAGCTCTCCTTCAATCCATCATCTCCACCCTCCGCCTCCTCATTATGCGCCTCGACTTTCGTCAACAACGCTTCGATCAGCGGATGTTTGGGGTTGATCTCGAACGTTTTCTTTTGCATCTTCGCAAAGGCCGTCATGAAATTTTCGCCGGTGCCCTGATTTTGGGAAGCGATCAAGCGTTCCATGTTGCCGGAATAACCTTGTTTACCTGCGACGACGAGGCAGGGGGAGGTCGTGAGGCGGGTGGAGATGACGACTATCCAACCACGAAATTAGAACGAGGTGGAGTTAGCTCGTTGAAACTGAAGGGACATGGTCTATGTAAGCGCGAACTCACCCTTCTCAACCGAGTCGGCCAGCGTCTTCTCGATGTACTTGGCCAGCGGCTCGAATTGGGTCTTGTACGTCTCTTCCTCCTCCTTGGCGTCCTCGTCCTCATCTGTCAACAATGATCACGCACCAAAGGAAACACCCAGAAAAGACCATCAGTACCACACCAGGACGTTTCCCTCCGTCCCTCGTTCTTGTTCTGTGATCTGAGGCTGACCTTCATCACCAAATTTGAGGCCTTCTTTAGCGACGTCCTGGAACTTGAGGCCTTCGACCGTAGGGAGCGTCGAGACGAGCTGTACGGACAAGGTGCTCGGTCCCGTGTGAACAAAGCGGTTGGAACGAAGCCCACAGAGAACTGTGACGTACCATCTCATCCATGGGGTCGGTCATGTAGAGGACCTCGTAACCCCTGGCCAAGATACGTTCCACGAAAGGTGATTTCGCCAACTGTGATCGAACCGAACCCACTCATCAGTTTCCTCAAAAGGAAAATGTACCTTCACAACACGCAACTCACATCCGAAGTTTTTGCCCCCGCCGCAGCAATGAAGAACAACTGACTCTGGCCCTTCCTCCTCCTCGTGACGACATCATGCAAACTCGTAACGTTGTCCGAAGCGGACGAATGGAACCTCAACAACTTGACCAACCGATCGCGGTTCTTGAGGTCCTCCACGACACCGACTTTCAGGGCCGTGCCGGCTTTCTCGATCAAGGCGTTGTACTTCTCCGGGTCCTTCTCCGCTAGGGAGGCGAAGGTGTCGAGAATACGTTTGATCAAGTTGGCTTTGATCTGATGGATCACGCGCGTCTTTTGTAACGAGTCACGACCGACGTTGAGGGGGAGGTCATCGACGTCGATGAAAACCTTGACCCAGTTGAGGTGACGGGGTAGGTAATCCTTGCCCAAATCGTTGGTGATAAAGACCCGGCGCACGAACAACTTGAGCGATTCGAGCAGTACGTAATCCTTGGAATAGAAATCGTTCGGCAACGAAGGGGGGATGAAGATGAGCGCTCTGAAAGAAGTCGGTCCGGCATCTCCCTTGAAGTGGGACCAAGCGAGGGGTTCTTCACTCGATTTGAAAGCGCCTTTGAAGAATTCCTCGTATTCGGTCTTGGTCACTTCTTTGGGGTCGCGCATCCAGAGCGGAGCTCGGTCGTTGATCAATTGCCATTCGGTCGTCGTCACTTCTTTGGTCTTGGGTTCCTTGGGCTTGTCGTCGACGTCCTCGACCTTGACTTCGGAATCGTCGTCCGTCTTGGGCTCAGCTTCGTCCTCTTCTTCGGTATAAGTCGTCGTCGTTTCGGTCCAGAGGTAAATGGGCGAAGCGCCATACTCTGCATGTTTCGAAATCAAACTCTTGAGTTTCTCGTGCTCGAGGTACTCCTTCGCATCCTCCTTGAGATGAAGGGTGATTTCCGTTCCTCGACCGAGCGTCGTGCCTCGAGGGTCCTCAGCGATACGGAAACCTTGCGCATCGGCGTTGCTTTCAAAGACGTATTGCTTGGGCGAGTCGTTGCTCTTGGAAGCGACGGTCACGCGGTCGGCGACCAGGAAGGAAGAGTAGAAGCCGAGTCCGAATCTACGGTCACACAAATTTCGTGTCAGGTTGACGGCTAGCCAAAAAAGGAAATAGGTGGAAGACAAGACTGACTGTCCGATCAAGTTGGCCCCGTCGCCTTTATCGAGTTTGGCCAAGAACTCGGAAGTACCCGATCTCGCGATCGTACCTAAATTCTCCGCCAGCTGTTCCTGCGTCATACCCAAGCCGGAATCTGCAAAAGAAGGTTCAACCGACGGATGAGCGATCGCGCGCGCCCTCTCGACAACGTCGTCAAAACTGACCTCGAATAATAATACGTCGGCCCGGGACGTCGGTGATGACGCTGACGTTCAACTGAGGTGCGGGTTCCAGGATGGCCGGGTCGGTCAAGGACAACAGGCGGGTCTTTTCCAAGGCGTCGTTGGCGTTGGACACTGCGGGTCGATTCGAGCGAGGAAAGGTCAGTGTTCGTCCAGTCGATCAAGTGCAGCGGTTGTGGGGACCTACATAGTTCTCGGACCCAGACGTCCCTCGATTCATAAACTATTCGATGCGAGAGGTGGGAAACGAACACGTGGCCGTCAGTGAACCCGTGCTCGAGCCTCCTGACACCGTCCTTCGTCGGACGATCATGACGTGGCCAGCAAGGACCACCAGACCGGCTGCTGCCCACACATCATCGCGCCTTGGCACAACCACAAAAAGCTACTCACGATTTCCGACCACGATCTTCATCAATCTCGCAATATCACTCTGATACTCGTACTTCTTCGCATGGCTGAACGTCTCTTGTTCCTGTTCAGGCGTCAAGAGGGAAGCCGCAGGTGGGGCATCCTCCGAAGCTGATGATGTGGCAGTTACGCCTAGGGCGAGACGAGTCGATAAAGCCGCGAGGGCCAGGAAGGAGGTGGAGAACCTCATTTTTGCCGTGGGGAGCGGGCCGATGGGTATGTTGGAGAGGGTGTGATGAAGGGGGTAAAGATGGAACGATGCACGCGACCGGACAAAGAACCAAAAGCGGACGGCGGTCGATGGAATCGTCTGGAATCTCTTCCCCGCGCATGCATGCACGCCGCACGCGTCGCGCCCACTGGCAGTCGCGCTCTCGAGCACAATTTGTCGTCGCCATTCACCGTCCCAGTCCCCGGCTCGACCTCGCACGCTCATGAGTCATGACTTGTTGAATTGCTGCTAGAGATCGCACTGAAACAGAAAGCAGGTGACTACGAGCTGAACAGAAAATGTAACCCAACCCCAATATAGCACAACATGTGTAGAACCCTGAACTCTGAACAAACCTCCTCCCGACCGTGACGTCGCCACGTCACTTCCCCGCGCCGGCCTCCCCACCTCTATAAGCCTCGTCCAACGCCTGCGTCAAATCGTCGACCGATAAGCCCATCCCTTCTAATTCAGCGTACAACTCTTTGAGACTTCGCGTTGTCGTTTTGCCCTCGCTGGGAGTCTCGTCCGTCGGAATTGGTACGTTCTTCGGATTCCTCGGCAAAGACGAAGATCCTTCGACCGGAGGGACGTCCTTCTCGAGATCCCACACGTCCGCCAAAGCATCCTTGACGACCTCATCTATCACCACACCCTGCTGAGCTTTCCCCTCTCCCCCCGCCTTGGTCAAATCCTTTTTCTCCGTCTCGTCCGGATCGGCCTTGGAATTCCGAGAAGGTGGAACCGCGCCAGTTCCACGCGCGGCCTGGGTGTGGCGCTTGTAATGGCTCGGGTCTCGAACCCGTCGACGAGGCAAGAGGGGCGAGTGACGGGTCCTTAGCAACGGTGGCGCTTCTTCGATGGGGTCACGAGAGATGATTCGGATTGCCGAGCTAGTGCAGTGAGTGATGGGACACGTGCGAGGTGTAGCCGTTGCGAGATCATGCACGACGATGTGATTGTGGACCACGTCAGTCGGTCAGTCTCCCCCGTGATCCCCCTCTCCCGCGCAAGCCCAAACTCACATCAGCAACCCGACCACCGCTACCACAATCACCACCGTCACCACCACCACCACACCCTTCCCAGTCCTCAACCCAACCCACCTCCGCTTGCTCTTGCCCTTGCCCTTGCCCGTCTCCTCCTCGCTCGTCTGAATCGGCGGTGCCGACATGCCCGTCACGACGGCCTTCCTTGGTCTCCCCCTCTGTCCTTTCGGCGAGCGCGTGCGCAACCGTCCATTACTTCCTCCCCCACCCACTAGACTATCAAGATGCCCTCCCCTCGCTGTAGGTCCATGAATTGTGATGGACGGGATTGGGCGGGCTGAACTGCTGGACGCGGTTGAAGAGGAGGATGTGCTCGTGGTCATTTACGAAGAGGGCTCCGAGTCACTGTCGAAGGCGGAGGGAGCAGAATCAAAGGGAACCCCCCCGAGTCACGGCGCTGCTGCCGTCGGCTCGGTTCTTCAGGAATCGGGATTCAGGAATAGTCGAGTATTCGAACACGATCACCTCGACCGAGTCGGCCGAGCGCGTCATGTATGGCATTTCGAATTTCAGCTTGATCTTTCGCTACACCTACCACATTTTTAATAGCAGATCAATAACGCGTGAAGATCTTTCTGTCCCTTGAAGAGATCAAAGACTGGGACTTGTACGAGCGCGAATTAGCCGAAATAGCGCACTAATCGGACCTCTCCTGTCGCTCTCCGTGGATCCCCAGCGTAGTTGTAGGCGCCAGGGGAATTTCTCGTAGCTGCTGGCTGGCTCAGAAGCTGTTACGGAACTCGGTCGACCGCGCAGTTAGATCGATCCCCTCTGCGGGTTTTCCGAGCTATCTTCCTCCTCCCATTCTGCAACCCCCTTCTGTTGTCCACTATTCTCCTCTCCTCCGCCACCCGCCATGCCACTCCGTCACCTCTCAGCTTGGTGCATCATCGTAAAGATCACTGTCGATTTCAAGTTTCTTGAGGGACCAGGTTGAAGGATGCTCGACTCGTTCTCATACATGAGATAGGCACTGTCCACATATGCTCATTAGGAGATTACTCGTCGGCCGAATCACCGCGGAGCGGAAGGGCCGACGGCGTTCGGGCAAGCTCGGGAACTACAAAGTTCGGTCTTGTACGCTGTTCAGATAGGCTCACCTAGCGGTACTCTAGCTTTTCCCCTCCATCCTTCGCAATCCTCCGCATCACTGCCGCACCTCACAATGAACCTCGCCAAACCTATGCACGCTCGCCGAAAGCATCGCCCTCCGAGGTCGGCTTCATCAGGCCTGCGTTGAGTGAGGGTCGCTGCTCCAAAATATTCAAGATTGGAACCCTTGCAGGCTGGTTGAGGTCACTTCCTCTCCCCGATTCGACCTCTCCTCTCCCAAGTTATCTGAGGCAAGCTCAGCGTCGAGTAAACATGTGGGCACTCGTATTGCTGTTGCCACAATTATACCTCCGAGCCTCATCTTTGTCATTTTTCTGCCTTTCCGATTGCAGTCGCACGGACCCTTACGCCGGACCTGGAAGCGAGTTGTACCTCGTGAGTCCGACCCCTATGCAGCGAGTCACCGGCTCCCATCTGCTACCGAGCCCCTGGCTTGATGACAGGCTGACTCTTTTGATGTGAAATTATGCTTCATTTCCAGTCGTGCCTGAACAAGTGCATACGCGAGCGTAGAGGACCCGGAGTGTGAGTGTGTTGAACCCTGTCCTCGCGTCAGAGTGTCCTCAGAATCTACAAACTTGAACTGTATCGTTCACATTATTACTTGTGATTTCTGCAGTACCGTCGCCCCAAGTCCACGATATCTGCAAGACGACCACCATCTTATGCGAGTACGAACAGGTGTCCCCCTTCCCCACCACCGGGCCGAATATTACGAGGTCAGCGACGCCTCAGCGACGAGGGTAGCCGGCGTAAGACGATGGGCCTCCAAGCTTCCGCTCCCGAGTCTCAGCTTCTCTGTTCTCCGGTGTTGTGTATAATGTTTGTGCGCCCTTGATCTGTTGTTCGTCGCGCTTGTCGAACTCCTTGGAGGCCAATTCGGCGTCCTTGTACAAGGATTAGATTTTGCTGCACTTGTCACAAGCCACACAATCATGTCAATAAATCAATGTCAGTGGGGTTCTATTATAGAATGCAACAATACCGCCCGGTTATTGTGGGAACCGGGGATGTTTGCCCCGCACGCTTCACGACATAAGCGAACTCTACTCTTTGCTTAGCGGCGAACAAGCGACCCCATTCCATTTGATGATATGACCTGACTTGATAAGGGGTATATGAACGGAACCTGTTTGAGCATTGAACGTAAGATCTTGCTCGACTTCACCGTCGGCCGGGCGCTCCCCCCGCTCGATCGGATGCTCACGACGCTTGAGCTCCCGCGAAGAGGGGTCAAAGTGGCACCGAACTCGGAAAGACAGCTATCGGGTGTACCACCCGCTACGTCCAAGCATTCAAACCTACTGAAGCGGCTTTCTCCGACGACAAGTACCAAATTTGTCTGTTGCTAGTTCTGCTAGCCGCAGGTAAGCTCGGACATCATGATCACCGAAGAGGAGCCAGGGCGCAGAGGCTAGAATGACAGAGGCTAAAATGACGATGGTGTCTTCTAAAGCCGCGCCGAGGGGGTTCCGAGGTTCGAAAGCTGAGCTCCTTCCTTTCTCCCTCCTCCCTCCTCCTTCCTCCGCGTCTCGCACTTGTCTCGCCTCCCACCCATCTCAAACTCAGATTGTCTCCCCACGCCATGGATCGTCTCGTCCCTCCCTCGACTCAGTTCTCTCAGCTCGATCTCGATCACGATCACGATCCAGACGTCGACAACTCTCGAGAGGAGGCCGAAACCAGAGCCAAGGCCGTTGTCGTCAAGCAAACGCCGTCGAGCGCGCTCTCGCGTGTTCCCCCCGAGCTCTTCTACCACATCGCCTCGTGCTTGACGGAGGGGTTCCAACCCAAAGACATCCGCTTGGTGTACCCGGACCTGCGTCATGGCGCTCTCGTGTGCCGTTCGTGGCGCGCTGCTTTCCAACGTCGTTTGTGCCTCGTCGTGCTGCTGCCTCGTCGAGTCGGGCTTGACCGACCGTTACCCGGTCGAGCTGCTCACCATCCTCCCCACCGGGCATGCACGCTATCGTGAAGTCGATGCCGAGGGCGTCCTCGGTTGCGCGACCTGTCTCAAGGTGATTCGAGCCGTTGCAAGCCACTTGAGAATCTTGAGCAACATGCCGTGCTATCGCCCCTGGGACCAGAAGATTGCGCATCTGCTGAAAGGTAAGCACAGGACATTTCAGCATGTGGCATTCAATCTCCGTGTTGCTTCCCCTCGATTTTGTTCCTGTCCATTCCACTCAGATCTTGAAGAAGTGCATTTCGATCCAGCGACATCGGGAGAGGTAGGACGGGTCGTGCAAGGCCAGGTTACGTGGGCTCACCTCAAGACGTTCGCGCCGGTCATACTGGACTCGGACAAGATTCGCACCTTTGTCGACCACATCGTCACCCCCGCACTGGAAAAATAATGCTTCCTGACCTTGCTCACGAAGTACTTGGGCCCGATGCGCTCGACCGTTCCTGGCAGCGTCTTTTGGACGCGAGCGGCCCTCGACTCAAGCTGGTCGAAGTTTGGCACCGCACCTCTCGTGCTGAGGATTACTACGACGCTGCGGCCGCGATTCGCAAGTACACGCGCGAGATCTTCCTTCGCCGTCAGCTCAACGTCGAGCTCGCCTTTGTTCGCGACATCGGCCTCACTCGCCGCCTCCTCACCATGACCCCCAAGTCGGGTACGACCCCTCTCCGTTCGATTTCCTTGCTCGTCTCGATCGCGAACACGCTTTCGGCCACCGAGTTCACTCGCGAAGTGACGGACGGAATCAAAGGCACCGACTTTCCAGACCTACGCGAGCTCGAAATCGTCGTCACGGCATCCCTGTCCAACTACAAGGCCGGTCCCATGTCGATGTTCTCGGGCTTGGTGGTCCGTCGCCCCCCGCCGGAAGAAGCCGTGTCGATGTCGTCGCTTCAAAAGTACATCCAAGGGTCAAAGCTATGGGATGAGTTGAGGCGATACTGCAAGACGAGGAGAATCTCGCTTGACATCCGAGGTCAGGTGAGAGAGTAGGAGGTTATAACTCCAAGTTTGTTTCTTTTTCGAATCTCTGTCCTTTTTCGAATCTCTGTTCTCTTTCGAATCTCCTGCCATTTTCATGTTTCACGTCTGTTCTGTCGATATCCTCAGCAATGCGCGTCCTCTTACTGCGGCCCCCCTGTGAGACTGTGAGTACAAGAGTTATAACGGATGATGCCCGGACGAGAGGCTATTCGAGGCTATTCCGATGCAAGATTTGGTTCGTCAACGCTGCTCGGCTTGCCCCAAAAAATCGTCGGATGGCCCGAGTTTAATGAAGCTAGCTCGAGGTTGGTGAATGAGTCAGAAGCACTAACTCGGGAAGCCAGGGGTGAAAAAAAAAACTCAAAAGGGGAACTTCTGTAGTGTAGTGACGAAGTCTTGATTTCCGCGAGAGCGCGAGATAGTTTAATCTAGTATCCAGACAAAAACCGAAAAATAAAAATAAGAATGTTCCCCTATCCATGGCCATGTTCCGGACCGAAACGCTCGTAAGGTTCGTCTCGTCGGCGACGGCTGCGCAGTAGCAGCACTCTCCGGTCGGCACGGGCTCTCGAGAAGGCCCGTTCAGATGAACACCTAACTAAGGTGTCGGGGGGTGACTGCTTAATTATATGGACCTTTGTTTAGGCTCCTACCTACGCATGGCCATCGGCACTCCCCAATGCTTCCGATCGGGGAGTCCCAAGTTATGCCAGAATGGAAAAGATGTCTCCCTAGAGAAGATTCGGCGAACGCTACCCAGCATGCCATTCGTTAGACGTTGATCCACGTAGGTAGTCAGTAGTGTTGACGAGCTTTGTTGCTGCTCATAATACTCGACAGTTCTGCTTCTGCAACAGCTACGGCAGTTGCGAGCCGAAAGCCTTGCTATCGCTCCAGCTGGCGCTGTAATCTCCGTGCACGCATCAAAACAGCCTACAGCTCCTTGAGATCCTTATGACTCCCCGAGACGACACTGAAAGCTTTCGAGATGCACAAAGAGCCAGCCAGGCTCTCGGTTCGGTGGTTTTTTTGGTAGTAGACCTTCGACCTTTCTGTTCTTTCATTCCAAGCTGCGTAAAGAGGGGGTTTGTAGAACGATGTCCAAAAAATCGGGTAAAGAAGTACGGCCCCGCACCCCCTTGCACACACACAAGGTACTTCAGAAAAGAAGAGCTCCCAAGGCTTTTTCGCTGCCCTGCCTCACATAAACACACACACAGATCCGTTCGTGACGACCCCACCGCGTTTACTTCTTCTTGGCGGCCTCCTCCTCCTCCTTCTTCTTCTGCCTCTCGGCGCGGATGCCTGCGTAACGTTGGTCCGAGCGCGCCTTGCGCAAGGCGGTGTAGGCGGTGCCCTTGTTGGCGAGTTCTTCCGAGGTGATCGCTCGGGGACCTTCCTGCTTGTGGCCGGCCGGGAGGGGGAAAGTGGCGGCGAGCGTCTTGAGGCCCTCGACGGACTTGTCGGCGCCCTAAATGACCAGCGAAAGTAACCAAGTCAGTTTTCACGTTATCCTTCGGCTCTGACACTCCTGGATCTCTGTATCTGTGCATCCACCCGCCGCCTCGAGCGCTGTCGCATGAGACGCACCTCGGTATCACCCCTCTTGACCTTGCCCGCCTTCTTGGGGAACACGACCAAGCGCTGCTTGTACGCCTCGAGGCGCTCCTTGTTAATCTTCAAGCTCTCCTCGGATCGGTTGCGGCGGCGGTGGTCGACGGGGACGCCGATCGAGAGGGCCTCCTTGCGACGAATGCCGGCGGCCTTGAGTTCGGCGGCGGTGAAGCCTCGGCCGGAACGCAGCTTGGTGTTGTAGCGCTTCGTGGGGCATCGGACGGCGGGGCGGAGAAGTTCAACGGGCCTGAACGAAGTGGGATCGAAAGAGGTCGGTGACTGCAATCCCCTCCCCCTTTTTTAAAGCGTGTGCATGCTTACCTGAGACCAGCCTTGACGGCCTTGGCCTGTCGTGCGGCTCGTCGCGAGTGCTTCCTGCCCGGTTGGTCGAACCACGTCTTTACGCGCGATTGCCAGTCCTTTCGGAAATGGTTGCGGTGGAGAACGCTGGAGAGGGGAGAGATCAAGCGTGGGGGCGAGGGCGAGGATGCGAAAGGGCAGGTGCGGGATGAGCTTGATGGGATCTGTATGGTGTGATGCGGAGGGTGAAGCACTCACTTGTTGTGTGCGAAACTGTGAGATGATCACGAATGGGACGGACAAAGGCGAGAGCACGAGGAGTGAGAATAGCGATGGATTGATGGGGTCATGTGCGGATCGTCGTCGAGGTCGGTGCAACGCCATTCCCAGGCGCGGAGGTAGCGGGCAGGCAGGCGCAGGCAAGGCATGGGCAGAGAGAGGGCAGGGCGAAAATCGTCAGTTACGGCGCACGAGCCAACACCGCGCTGTCCACCACGATCCAAGCTGACGTACCCCATCCTTCTATCGGCCTATTATGGAGAGGATACGTCCGAGGTTGGATACGGGTGGTGTAGAGTGTGGACAGAGGTGCGAGACGGGGTGTTGGGGGAGCGAGTTTTGAGCGTAGGCGTCGACGCGGGCGCGAGGCAGGCGGGGTGCGAGTGAGTGCGAGTGCGAGTGCGAGTGCGAGTGCGAGTGGTGGCACCAACGGCGGCGGGCGACGGGCGACCGGGCGACGGGCGACGGACGAAGCACACACCACAACAACAACGAGCGCCAAAGGAAGGAGGGATCAACAGTGTCAAAAGATGTCAGTATCCAGATCCAGCTTGGGTAGTTTGAACGGTGGGGTGGGTGTTCACCTTGTTGTACTTGACGAGAGACGAGCAGAGACAGACCAGAGCCAACGAGCACGCCCGGCTGCGAGAGTCGAGTCGCCCGCCATGACTTCTCATGACTTTGGCGCGGGCAGGCGCGGGCCGCGGGCAGGCGCGGGCACTCGCGACGGCGCGACGCGGGCCTTGCCATTTTGACCTGGTCCGAAATCGGGTCAAAAGCGCCAGGATCGGCCAAATTGCGCGTCGTGTCGACTTGGTCCGAGCTGGTCGCGCTGAGCCCCTCTGCAGCCCTCTGCTCCTCGACGCTCAATACGCCGCTCAGTACCCCCTACAACCACAGGCCGCCACCACCAAAACCAACGCCTGCTACTCCCTCCCCAACTCAGCACCTCCCCCTGCGACCCCCCCATGGCCTTCTTCGGCCTCGGCTCCTTAGCCTACTTCATCCTCCTCCTCATCAACGCCGTCGCCATCCTCCACAAAGAACGCTTCCTAGCCCCTCTAGGTCTCACGACCTCTTCCTCGAACGCACAACAAGTCGCTTTCCAGTCGGGATCGAACCCCGTTAGTCCGACCTATCAGACAGGGTTCGAGACGTACGGTGGGTCGATTGGGGATGGAGCGACGGGCGGGGCGGGCGATGGTATGAGTGTCAAGTCGAGGGCGATCATGTTGGTCGATGCGATCAGGACATTGATGAGGAGTCAGTTCAGTGGGCTTCCCTTTGATGATCGATCTAGCGCGACCAGAGCTGATCAGATCGCTGGGGTTCGCCTTGCAGTCCCTCTGATCCCGATCAACATCGTCGTCATCATTTACGAACTCGTATTCGGCTCGGGATTTTGACGGCGATGCGATCCGCTTAACGAACGGCACCTTTCTCAAAGTCCGCTCCAAAGCCCGTCCAGCAACCCCGAGCTAGGTCGCACGAATTCCCAACGCCAACGCCAACGCCAACGCCAGCGAACGATCGACGAAACACGTCACCACCGACCCGCCCTCACACACTCACGAAGGAACTTTACATGCGATTCCCAGCAAGCGTCTTTCTGTTTCCACACTACTTTACATGTATCTGTATCCCCTCGCAACGAAGCAGTACCGCATCCTCATCCCGTAATGGCGTTGCGTTGTCTGTGAATGCATGAGGTAGAGCAGGGAGAGACACGAAAGCTCCTTCTGGGGTCCATCCTCGAGACAAAGCCCTCTCGGAGCCCCCGCGACGCTAGCAAAGCTTCCCCTCGACTTCAGTCCTCCTTCGGTATCCCCTGCTCATGCGCTATCGGTCCATTATTCGCCTTCCACTCCCAACTCGGTCCCTTCGCTCCCCCCTGCCGCTCCTTGGCCTCATCCTCGGGCCCTTTCCCATCCCCACCAACCCAGACCTTCCGTTGCTCCCCATCGCCAGAATCCGCTTTATAGAACTCCCTCTTCCAAACCTGTACCCTGTCCTTGATCTGCTCCAACACGTACTCACAAGCGACGAACGCTTCCTTGCGATGAGGGGAGGAAACGGAGATGATGATGCTGGGGGTGCCGACCGGACAAGGGCCGAGGAGGTGGTAGGCTGCGATCCGGGTCAGGTCGATGGGTTCTACTTTGGGGGCAGAGGGAGACGTTGTCGAATGCGAGTGGGAGCTTCGTTCGGTCGGACCGTCGTGCGTACATCCTGCGTGGGGTTCGGAGAAGGGTCGGGGAAGACGACGAGCGGCTTCGAGCACCGAATGTAGCGTTTTGAGCGCTAGGGAAGCGTAGCTCTCGTATTCGAGGTGGGTCACCGTTTTTTCTGGTTATGACGAGAGAAGAGATAACATGGGTGCGTGATGAGTCGGTATGGGTTTTCGGGGAGAGGATCAGTCCTCTCGACCGGCCTAGGAAAGTGGGGGTCGAGCTTTCAACGGACCTCGGAACGAATCCCTGGTGTAACCCGTCTGTAGTCATACAATCCACACGTAAGAACCCACCCGAATCAGCTCGCCAAATACCCGGATTCAGTCTGCCCCTTTTCATCTCGACTGACAAAGGTCACCACCGCCCCCGCCTCGGGACTCTTGACCCAATCCTCGATCGTCGGTTGATGCAACGGTTCGTAGGTGAGCACGCCGAGATCACCTTGAACGGTGGTCGTTCGCCATGGTGTGGCTGGGGTAGCGGAATCGGTTGTGGTTGGTGTTACTGCGGTGGCCATGGGCGGTGTGCGGGGGAAGCGTGCGAAACTAAGAGGGGACGATCAGTTAGGTAGGCTGATCAGCGAGGGATGCGAATTCGGTGAAAGAAGTTAGCGATCACTTTTTGTGGTCCCAGCTCGGCAATCGCTCTGCAGACTATGCTCTGAGTGGCCACAAAATTGGGGAAAGTCTAAAACCCATTTTTTGTAGACCTTGCTGGTAAGGATGTGCAGGTCATCTGATCCGAGGGTCGGCCTAGCTCGGGCCCCGGCGCCCAGGCCTGAACTCGGCCGGAGCCAGTTGTAGCCAGTTGTGCGGGAACCACCGCGTCGGGCTCGACAGCTCGACCGCCACTGCCTGCCAGGGCAGCCGTTCACTCATCCACAGCTCATTCCTCGGAAACCCGACCGCGATGCCCCCTCCCAACGCGGCCTAACACCCCACATACACCTCTTGCCACCCCGCGATGGGATCCCCGTCATCACCCCCTGCTCTCGACCACTGCGCAGTTCGCTCACCCGAGACAGTCCCCGTCGTCTCAGTCCCCGTCGCCTTGCCCGCCGAAGAGGTCGTCGTCGACGGCTCTCTCGAACCCGCCGGGGCTGTATCTCCACCTTCCTCTTCCCCATCCACTCATCACCGCGTCACCGCCACGGGCGTCCTGGCGACGACGACGACGGCTTTGGTGCATAATCGATTGACCCATGCTGCGGGAGGGATGTTGTCCAGTACGCTGACCGGCTTGTTCACGCGTGAGTTTATCTCGAGAGTGCTTCGAGAACCCGACCCACCACCGATTTCGCCGAGGCCCCGACCGCGCGCGGCGCGCACGTGAAAGTCTGTGAAAGTACGCGAGCAACGGTCTCGGCCAAGCGTACCTTGGCGGCCACGATCAGGTGACCTCCTCTTCTCGACGTGCGATGTTCGCTGGGCAGCGATGACCAGGTCATGGGGTCAAGGAGGTGTTTGTCTTGGCTTTCGGCTTCTGTGGGTGTCGACACTGCCAAGCACGACGGGGTGGTACTTGCATCGGGGAACAATGGGCAATATCTACGGCGTCGTTGTCCTACGACGGTGGAGGCTAGTTGCGCAGACTATGTGCGGGTCTTTCGTGAGGCTCATTATGCCATTTCTCGTGCTTTCGGCTTTCCTCGCCCCACCTCATGACCGTACTGAAACTCGACGTGTTGACACCCCGAACGCGCGCTCTCGGCGCTTCGCTTCTCTCTCTCTCTCTCCCTCTTGACAGTCCTTCTCGTTCTCTTCGTATACCGCAAGTCGTTTCTCCTCCCTTTCGGCGGCTCCTCCTCATCGCGCAATCTCTCTTTAACCGAATACAACACCGAATACAATCGCCACGTCGGAGCGAGCGGAACCGCATCAGGAAAGGCTCGACCCCATTCCCCGGATCGTTCTTCGACCGGGGAATCCGATGGGACAGCGTTCGGGACCGGACCGCAAGCGGCAAGGAGGAGTCCGAGATCACCACCTCCTCCGGCGAGGTATCCGGGTCGTCCGATCGGGACTAACAAGCCGACGTTGAGGATCAAGTTGGATCAGGATCAGGTCGTCGATGAGGAAGGCGAGGTTTATCGATGTATCATCAAGTCCCCTTTACCCGAAGGAAGTCTCAAACCTTGTTTGAGGAGAGCGACGATACCTACACCAACCGCAACCGTAATAGCAGAGGAAGGGGAGACCCGACCTTTGCTCTTGGACGTCGCCCCTTCTTCACCGATACTTTCTTCAAACGATGGTCACGAATCCTCCACTTCTTCCACCTCTTCACCTACGAGCAAGAAAACCGTCCGGCTGATCGAACCCGCTCATTCGGCATTTGAACTCGATCGACTTCGATCACACTGGGCCTCATGTGCGACCTCACCTGCTTCCAAAGGGATCGGTGGCTATCGCTCGACGAGGGATATTTACGCCAAAGGGCAAGGAGGGGATCGAAACACGACGGCGCCTTCGGTCACATCACCAACGACGAATGCGGGCAGTTATTTGAAGCCTTATGAGGTTTGGGCACCGGGGGAGTTTGACGTTGATGAACAGAATAACTCGTTGGGGTTGGACGTCACGCCTTTGGTGTCGAACTCGGCTCGTGCGGCGAGTACTACGGGTGCGGGAGGAGGGAGTACTCGACGTCGATTGTCACCTTCTCCCTCAGGTCGATTCAACAAGGACTCGATACGATCTACTTCTGCAAGATCGGTCTCACCCATCCCGAGTCGATTAGCAGGCAATGGTCCAGCTTATTTGAGGACGTCGAGTCCGGCTGGGTCACCGGGGATGACGAGTCATTCGACGAACGCGTCCGTCGCGGTGGGGGGAGGTCCGAGGTCCGAAAGTCCTGGACGACCAAAGTGGGTGAGGAAAAAGAACTCGGCGTCGATGTTGGGTGAGGCCAATCCGACCAGTAAATCAACCTTATCGAACTCGACCAATCCCTCAACAATAACGACCTCATCAGGCTCAGGCTCAGGCTCAGGCTCAGGCTCAGGCTCAGGCTCAGGCGCCCGACCGATCCGAACGAGAGTTCTCGACGGGTCGGAAGACTCCGAAGGGTACGAGGATTGTTCCGAGGGCTCGGGTACGACGACACCTGTTTATGGTGGGGTTGGGGGAGTAGGGTCGTCGCCTTTGAGTGGGGGGAAGGCTATGTTGTTGGGGGAGGGTTTGAGGATGTCGGAATTGATGGGGAAGGTGGGGGAGTTACCCGGGACGAGGGAGGGGGAATTGCCGTTGATTTCGGTGGAGGCGCCGGGGAGCCATGTACCGGCTTGATCTCTTTCGCTGCATCGACCCCCGTCCTTACGATCTCATCTACTGACCTACCTCTCCGTCCTAATCTGCAAACTCTGTTCCATATGATTCCATTCTCGTCATGCTCTCTCGGCTCTCTTTCGCCTTACTCATTGTACTAATCCCTTCGCATTTTGCAACACTACTCGCAACCCCCGTCTTGTTCTGCCAAGTCTTATACGTCGGTCGCTCTCTCTTTCTCACCATTTGGTCCCACCTCTTGTTTTAACCCACCCCTCCAGTTCTCCCCTCGTTACAATTTGATGACAAATACGATCAGTACCTTTTTTTTTACCTGTGTAATCAACAGTCTCCTTTCGCCTAACTTGTCTGCCGCAGCGGCTAGGGTCGTACACTGCGCTTCCTCTACGTCCCCAAACATTCCACCCAAGCTCCCAAACCCTTCCAACAAATCGAGGACCAAAAAAAAAAAAAAACCCAAAACCTAAACCTAAACCCAGATCTTGTCGCTAATCCATCCTCCCCCCCCCTTCGTACCTCTCCTAACCCTCCCTACGAACCAACCCGCACTCGCGCAGCCCAACACCACGAAGCCCCAATCGACGCCGACGAAATGACCGTCTAAACGAGTTTTGACGAGGACGTCTAGGGGTGCGTTGAGGAGGCCGACGAGGCCGGATAGGGTCATGGATAGGCCGTAGACGGAACCGAAATGTTCGAAGCCGAAGATGAGGACGAAGGAGGAGGAGAGGGCGGTGTCTAAAAAGGGGGGGTTAGAGGGGGGGGGGGGGGGGGGGGAGGATTTCGATCAGGGGCTGTGCGTGAGGGAACGCGCTCGAGATGGGGGGTTCGGACTCGTCGGTACTCACACATCAAAGGTCGGAATAGACAAAATATCAAGATACCCGCCAATTGTCCTATATACCCTTCACTCATTCCCAATATACCGAAACCTAAACCCATAAGGAACAAGATGATCGGTACTTCGACCCACGGACGATGGTCGAGCAAGTAACCGATCAAAGGGATGCCAAGGAAGCCGACGAGGGGGAGCAGTAGCGTGAATGTTTTGGAGAGGGAGAGGGTAAGGGAGGGGGATTGGAGGTAGTAGAGCAATTGGGAGGTGACGGATTGAATGTAGAAGTTGATGCGGGCCATCTGAGACGAGATGAAGAGAGGGGGGGAAAGGTGTCAGGGGTCAAACATGAGTGTGCTGCGGCAGGCTCTCCCAGTAGAAAAGGGAGAGGAACGTACATGGATACAAACAAAGAGTGTCAAGCATACGAACCACCAACTCATAATCTGATCCCGTGCCGAAAGACCATGCAACGAATCATGAAGCTGTTCCTTCCCGTCCAAGATCGCTTCGACGGAAGGCAAGTCCTCGGGAGCTCCTAAATGGACGCGGGAGAAGGCCGAAGCGGAGATCTCGAAGGCCGAGTCGTGAGGGGTTTCGGGGCCGGTTTGGAAGGGATCGGAGGAGGGGACGGCGAGGTTGGTCGGGTCGGTAGTGGGTGCTTCGATGTCGGGGGGTAAGGCGATGGCTTGAGGGCGTTGGTAGATTTCGGGGGGACCGATGAAGAGTTGTTCGACGATGACGCTGTTGAAGACTTGAGAATGCTCAGTACCTGTAGATTTCTTCTGCCTGGACCCGAGAAACACAGGCTCACATGAAGGGGATAACGGTGTAGAACCAGAAAAATGTGCGCAAGGAAATCCCTCCCTTGACCTTGTCATAGAGAGCTCGATCTATGCGAGTACTCTCAGATCAGTCTAACTCTAGTCGAGCGATCAGCGACGTTTCTGATGAAGTACTTACAAACGACGTAAGGGATCGAACTCGCGTCGAAAGCGCCTGTCATCCCACTGAGGATCAAGCCTGAATAAGCCGGGAAGGCATTCGAGAGATGGAAAGAAGGCAAAAAGATCAAAGGACCTCCAAGTGCCAAGAAAAGGAATCCGAGGACGTAGGTGTCCATCCATGTGGAACGGTAACCGAGTCCGAAGAAGAAGTTGCCGAGGATGAAGAGCGTCGCACCGAGGAGAGAAGTTTTTCGTGGCCCGAGTTTGTCGAGGGTATAGCCAATTGGCAGGCATGCAATCTATGGGTATACAAGAATTTCGAGGGTGTGAGTAGATGAACGCCAGAACTTCGAGACGTTCGAGATGCATTCTTTGATCTTGCCACGGCTGCGGTGGACACCCGAAGGATTCCGGTTCGGAGAGAGAATGCCACGTACATTTGTGACACCAGCACTCAGAGTGAACATGAAGTTGAGTTTGATGTCCTGAAAGGAAGGGTATTCATGATCTCAGTGCTGAGCTCTGTTCGATAGTCAAACCCTCCAGCCTCGGCTCACCTGGCTTTCGCACAGCAGCCATTCACCCGTCGTCGGGTCGGTCGTGCGCTCCCCGGGCTTGCAGTAGTCCGCGTAGACACCTAAATACAAGCGATAGGTGTTAGTTATGTCATACATTGAAATACAATCCAAGTGCTGTGCGCACCTTCTTGTATAAGCACCGGCTTGAGGGCTGCAGCCGGAGAGCCGACGTCACCGTCAATCCCGTCGGAGTCCGGCAGGAATTGATCATGTGCCGGTGCGACGTGGTACAGCGTGTGAATCGTCAGCAGATGACCCAGTGCACCACTTGAGCTGACATGCCTTGCTTACCAGCAAACCCGAAGATCACACCCGCACATGTCAAACTGTTCCACAATCATCCCGATCACAACGTCAGCGATTCGGCAAGCTTGACGTCTATCGAGTGATAGAGATAGGCGAATGCGATAACGCCGAAAAGTGGAAATCATTCCGCCCTCGACTGGCAAAGCACGACGATGATCAAGCTTGTTCGCGTGGGAGACCTACCAAAAGAAGATGGCAAAGACGATCTGAGTCAATCGAAGTGCCGTTGAGGGCACAGGGGTAGGCAATGTCATGCTGGGATGTCGTAGATCGGCGGTAAGAGCCAAGAGCTTCCGTGCAGGCAGCTGGCACGAGAGTCGGCGCCGCTTTGATGGCTCTCAGCGCGCCAAAGCTAATCTCCGCGTACTCCGTTCGCGAACCTCGTCCGTCTGTCCGACCACTGGGCATGCACAAGAACTCCGAGGCATGACAGCTAGGTGATGTCATCGAAGTATAGTGAAGACTTGATCTAGGTGAAATCAGACACTTAGAAGCGTTTGCTCCATCAGGTGGTCTAGATCGTGGGAAGAAAAGCCCAAACTTGCCATCAATGATCAGGAGCTTCGAATCGTCATGCCGCGCGCGGAAAAGCGGTCCGACAGACACATGAGCCGTGCAGTTGCTAGCCGAGCAGAATCTCGGAGGTCAACACTCCCTTGATTACTTTTGACCCATCCCATACATAGTTCATGTCCTATATGAAAAGTCCTGTGCTCCTATTTCCGCCACTGTCCGGCGGCAGATCCGAAATCCTCAAGCTTTGTACGGTACTGAAGCGTCATCGGCCTAAGCGAGGTTGCGAGTCGGCGTTTCGTAAGGGGAGTTCTCGCCGAGTTTGGCGTGCGTTTCAAAAGTTGCGTCGTCGCCCAATGGGACATTGTCGGTCTACATGTCGTCCCACAGCTTTCTTCAGGGTGGAGCAAACCCATACGAACTTCACTACGGTGCTTGAGTGAGCTCCTATCCTCGTCGTTGCGCGATGCCGTGTTTCCTCATGGGTATCGAAGGGGTGCTGGGAGCAAGAAGGAGACGCCATTGAATATTTTGGAAGCAAAGTACCTGACAACTCGAGGCCGAGTTTCCAGGGATCGAAATGACGTTTGAATTTCGGCATTGTGCGCACGCCCCGAGTGCCTCGTTCCGGGCGACCGAGATCCGTCACTTAATAGGTGCAGGTAGGGAAGGGAGGTGTACAGTGGAGCAAGAGCTGTAGCACAATCAGCGCCGACCGTGTTTTAGACCCTTGCGAGCAAGTGGGACCATCGAGTGTGGGAACCAAGGGTTGAACTTGTGGCAGGAGGAGGGATCGATGACGGAATGCAACGGCGGCCATGAAGGCGCACCGTCGAAGGCCGCCAACCACGGGCATCACTGCACATTCAGTCTCGGAAGATTTGAATTAAACCCGCGTTCCCAGACTGGTAACATCCTGTAACTTGTAACGATCCAAAGGGCGAAGCCATGATTCGGGCGGTACCGTACCTTAATTCGGCCGATCGCATAAATCCCAGGCCGATGCCAGCCCCGCGGGACCATGGAGATAACCCACGACCTACGGAAGCTTAAGCTAATCTGGACGAGAGGTGGGAGCGTGGGAGGGTCGCCCAGCGCAGCAGTGCAGCGCGGACCCCTTGGAATCCGCATCAAGTGGCAAGCGCGTGACCCGCCGGGGCCAAAGCCCGATCGGCGCCATTCAGCAGTGCCGTAATTCGCCCAAGGCCAAAGCGGGGGCCTGGGCTCGGAGTGTCGTACCTGCCTGAAATGTAGCTATTTCTGTGAGCGTGTCACCATAAGAAGATTTGAAAGCTGGTTGTGGACAACGCCTTATTTATTGTTGTGGGCGAGCTTGGATGGGCAATCGGACAACTTGCAGTTATTAGCATTTGGTACTCCGGGGAAACAAGCTTATCACCGCAAGTTGACCCCGCCAGGCACGCGAGCCGCCCAACATTCAGCGTCTCACCTTCACAGTCCCCGAGCTGCGCCGCGAGCATCCCCGAGCAGCCTGCGTCACGTAGCACAAGCTCTCGTGGGTTCTCCTATCAATCTTTCTCACCCTCTCGACATAGACCATAATCTCCTGTACAAAGGTGTCCACATCTCGTCCTCCGCCTCGTCGTTCTCCTCGTCGTGAAGCTGCCGCATCCCGTACGTTCTAATCGTCAATCTCACCACTCAGCCGGCTGCTAGCTTCAAAATGGAAATAAGTCTCAGCGCCGCGGCCTTCAGGAAATCAACGTCGTCTGTTTGCGTGTACTTCCTTGTGGTCAAGTCCCATTCGACTGCATGTGGTCGGCACTAGAAGGGCATGCTTAAGTACCTATATCGGAATGCAAGAGTGCTGTCGAGTTCGATCCGACGACCGCCCATCGTAGAAGTCGTTCGTGGAGGTTTGCTCATAACCGACCGAACTAGCCAGTCCGATCCGATCCGCGCTGCAGTCGACCATCGTCATCGTTGCATAATGCATCCTTTCCTCGTACCATCCCCAGCGATGGCACACCCATCGGCGAACGTCGCGAACGAATACTGAAGGATGTTTCCTCTTCTCCCCTTTTCCGTAGCAGAACCGGGCGGCGGCCAACAACGACGACCAGCACCGGCGGCGGTTCCTCGCTGCTCGCACGGACACCTCTCCACCCCCCTTCAACCTGCGTTCGTCGTCGGGTGTGATTCGAGTCGACCCTAAGCTCCTTTCGTCGAACGTGCTGCGCTTTACACTGCTTGCGGCTCCTCCTCCTTCCCCGTCTCACCCTTGCACCGTTAACCATGGCTTTCGCTTCGTTCGATAACATGAACAACGCACTCACTGCCAGTTCCGGCGAACCCCTCCCCGACGGCGCAGCGTCGTCCACAGCACCTGGACGCTCCCCCGACTCCTCGTCATTGATTACTGGCCAAGCTCCCCTGGGCTGGCCGCCGGCCGCACCCAGCGGCGCCCAGTTTAGCTTTGCCAACTCGGCCCACCCCGTCGCTACAGCTCCGGGTGGTGACGCCGAATGGGTAGCAGCGGGGACAGCAGGACCGGCAGGAGGTGCGGTCGGGGTCGGCGCCAGAAGGACCGGCGTGACCAAGTTCTTCAACGTGCTCAAGGTGAGTGCTTCCTCCCGTCGATCTCTCAAATCCTCCATCGAGAGCACCTTCGAAACCATGGACGATTTATGGAATGAGTCGAGGTATAGCGGTGCTGATCCTGAGACTGGCTCTTTGAACTTTCGCAAGGGGTTCGGCTTCATCTTGGACCACCGAGCAGACGAGCTCGGCGGCGACGAAGGTGAGCGGTCGCTTGCTGTGCATCTGGTTCACTTCTTTGGCCTGGCATGGGTTGATGGGCCCGATTGCCTTCTGTTTCCACAGTCTTTGTACATTATTCTGCCATCGAAGCGGTGCAGAGCGGCACCGGCGGTTTCAGGTCCTTGCAGGAGGTCAGTCTCGTTCGCTGCCGGCGCGGTCGTGGTCTCGCGCGCGCCCCTCGACGTTTGTCTCACGTCCGAACACACTAACGCGGACGTCTTGCCACATCGATTGCGATTGTAGGGCGAACTCGTACGTTGCTTTGTCGCGACGACCGGCTAAGATCGCGCTGTGGTAACTGACCCTATCTCCTCTCACGATTATTCATCCCTCTCTAGGTTGAATACAACATCGTCCGCTCGGGCAAGGGCTTTCAAGCACAGAATGTGACGGGGCCTGATGGTACGTCTCCTTTCGTCTTGCCCACGACGACGGGGGGAGGTTTCGATGTGTCACAATCTACTCAACGGATTCAAAAAGAAACAGTATGCTGAGACGCCGACTCCTCTTTTGTAATGTGTGCTAGGATCGCCCTGCGTGGGCTCACCTCCGCAACCGTCCCCCAAATCCTCGCCAGCGCGAGATGGCGCCCGTCGTCAATCCACGAGCGGCGCCTCCCATCAGTCCCATCGATCGATGCAGCCGCGCGGTCACTTTTCCAGGTCAAGCGTACATTACGTCGGGCCACAGTATTTTTTGCCGGTCCAGGATCCTTACCTCGTCAACATAGGCGGCTATGGCGGCCCCGCATCGACACGGCCACCTCCACATGGAGATCGCCTCGTAGGAGCGGCAGGCATGGCGGCGCCTCCTTTTAAAGTTGGTGCCCACAGTTATCGATTCGTCGAAGTACCCCGGCCCCACCCATCATCACATCATCAGCCTGGTGGACCGGACCCGCAAATGATACTTGCTCAGACTGGCGCCGGCCATGGTCACGACTATGGGTACGGGCCAGCGCCACCGTTCTACTACACCTCCTTTCCGGCGCAGTACGAGGTGAGCTCAGCTGCGCCTCCGGGCGGCGCAATGGCGTATTACCCCTTGAATGCGCATACCGGCGGAGTTGCCATGCCCGGAGGGCCGACACCGACGCATGTTCCGGCTTCCTTTGGCGTTGCCAAAACGGGTGGGGGTGGGGGTGGTGTTGGTTCATCGGACGAAATGGATCCTCCCGGCGGCGGAGGCGGGGGCGGCGGAAATGGCACAGCAGCGGGAGGCAGTTCTCCGGTGGTCACGGGATACATTTACCCTATCGGTCCTGGCACGGCCTACGCCCCTTCGCCGCCGCCGTCTCAATCCTTTCAACCACAACCAATTTCGTCAAGAAATGGTACTACAGAATCTTTGGACTCTGCCCCCGATTCTTCCGCGGTCCCGCCTCCAGCGACGACCTGTGATACCGTCTCTAAACCTTCGAACGAAGCTTCTGCTGCCGCCGTTGCCGCGTGAGGTATCAACATTTTTGCACTAACGAACAAAACAGAAATGAGGCCGCCGCCGTCACACACTCCGGAAAAGGGGGAATATGGCGTTATTTGTCCGTAGGGGTCCCCGTGTGGAAATGTGAATGGGGTGGTTGGTTCTTTGTAGAAGGGTGTGGGGTTGGATGTTGTGTAGAGAGGGTCGAGAGCGATTATGTTGCCAGACTTAGCATGGACACGCTACTTGGAACACGAAGAAGGCCTAAACTTGTTGCTTCATGTGTTAACCTAGTTCGGGGCATTGGGGACCCGTGCGTTAGCTGGCGGCGATTTAAGAAAATGGATTAGAGGAGCCACGGGCAGGTCATGGATCCGAGTGATCATGCACAGGCTCCGCTTCTCCAAAGAACTGGAACTGATCTGTTTTGGGACGCCTGGGTCAAGATCCTTCTTGCTAGTTTGTCGTCTCGAGCTGCTCCGTCTGCTCAGGGGGTAGTTTTACTTCCTGAGTCAGCAGGCTCCTTCAGCGTTTCGGATTTGGGCACATGATCGCACACACTTTGCGATGCCACCGAAAGAGTCTTTAAGACCAAAGCCTCACACCAGAAGCAGACTCTAGCACCGGCCATGGCCAGAGTTCTGATTTGTATTTACGAGTGGGAAACCGTTGAATTAAAGGGAGGATGAAATTCAAGTAACAGGAGAATTGAACCGTAAACATGATTTCAGCAGGGGTAGGGAGAAGAAGAAACGTAGTACAGCAAAAAAAAACCTTTCCATTCATCACTCTGAGAACACTGCGAGATACTGGGGTTGGGGTCACGGTGGTTGCGGCAGCCGATCGAAGGCTTGTTGGTCGTCGTCATCATCGACGGGGTAGCACGCGAGAGGGGACAAACACGTGGGACTCGGCCAACACTCATGGCTCGAGACAATGCCGCATACAGCTGCCCATGAGTAAAGACGGGATGCAGGGAGATTGACGCCAACACAATCGAGTGACTGACCTTGGGCTTTGTTGATCGTCATGGCCAAGGCAACTCGAAGGGGGGATTGGAGCCGGCGCATAGTGAGACCGAGTTGTCGCATTCGTCTCAAGTCGCACGCGAGTGATGAATACCCTGGTGCCCGCTCGATCTCCGGTCAAGATGTCGATTTAAATGACTCGCAATATTGCGTGCGAGACAAACCTGCGGTTACCGTTGCAGAGGCCTGCGTCTGTGTCGAGATTGCGAAGAATGACAGGGATCCCCTCCTCGAGACGCAAGTGAGACGCGGGCCGTTTGACGAGCTGGTTCAGTGCAGATATCCTGACGAAAGCAAATCAAGCACCATTCCACCCCCAGTTTCGCTTACCTCGACGACCTCGTCTGCGCTGCGATACTCGACATATACGCCAAGCAGCAGGTAAGCAGGCGGCCGCGAAACGAATAGGAGGTAGTCTTAGTGTCGCTTGGCCGAGTGAAAGAGGGGAGCCAAACGTACGGCGATCTCGTCGTAGGGCTGTATGCCGGCAATTCCATCACCCACTTTGAGTAGCTATTCCACAAAGTCGGGCGTTCAAGCCAATTGAGCCTCGTCCATCGCATCAGCGTCCGAGCTAAGACGCATGTTCTCAAACGAACGTCGCGCCAGAAGTCTGCCTTGATGAGGGATGCATAGACGATTTGACCGGGAGTTCGCAGGGAACGGCAGAAGGCAATGGCGAAGGTACCCTGAAGATTGAAACCTTATTCGCGGGCAGTCGTTTAGAGCGGACGCGAAAGTGTCCAACTGACCCGCGAAGATCGTCGTCACCCCGCCGAAGAGCTCCTCGGTCTCTCGGAGATCACGCAGCAAACGGTTGACCCAAATCGATGCGCACTTGGTGCTTCATCCCATCATCCAACATGATAAGCTTGGTGGTACCCAAAACGGCTATCACTCTCCCTTTTGACTGGGCATGGCGAGTCGGCGACGTGTCGAGTGGGATCCAAAGTGTCGAATGCACCGTGTGCTCCCTTGAAGAAGCCACGCCGCTGTTTCCGAGGACGCCACCGCGCTGGCTTGGTCGGCTCAAGTTCGCACAGTATCGAGAAGCGCGCTTTCCACGAAAGTCTTGCCAGTACCCCAAGTACCCCCAGCCGCAAGCATGAGAAACACATGCTGTGTGGGATACTGTCGGGTCTGCTGCAGACGGATGTTGTTGGACGGAGCAACTGACCGCTATCCGAGGCTTCAAGTAGCTGTTAATACCTGAGGAGGGGGAGGCAGTTGCACCTTGCCCTGCGAGCGGCGCGTGCTAAAGTGTCCAGTCGACGTCGTTCATTCGCACACCCAGTGTCGAGCCTAGCAGTAGGTGCACACTGCCATTTAGGTGCCGAGGTAGTCGCGGATGGCAACTTTGGGCCAGAGTGGTTTGAGCGCGATTCTAGCCCTGCGGGTCTCCGCTGGCCTTGACCCGCAGCAGGAGGAGGTGGTGGGGCGCTGGGGGTACGTTCAGCATCGTCACGGTCGGCCATCGCGCTGACCACGCTGACCGTTCTGCACACCGTGTCGCCAAGATTGGTCGGATTGTTGTCATTACGCGCAGGAGACTGAATCTGTTGATCGGAGCGGGACGAAGAGGAGGGCGCTCGAGCAGGCCCATCGTACGGCGCTGCCCTTGCGCCCAAGCCACGGCGAGGTCGCGATGGCCCTCCCCGGCGACCTTGGAGGATTTCTCCTTGGATGAGTGTCACCAAAATTCGATGAGAGTAGGAGAAAAAGGAAAGAATTAGAGGGAGTCGCACCGGATCATTTACAACCTCTCGACCCTCATGTTGTCGTTGAGCCCCTAAAAACCGGTATCGCGCTGTCACTAGTACGTCACGTGATTGACGGCGCCGTTCGCGCCGCGCCCGTGCGTCAATGACAGCGGGACCACGCTTGAGCTCTATAGAAAGAGTGTCATGCAAACCCGCGCCCATGCTATAAATCGGCCAACAGCTCCTCATCATGTAAAAATTTGACCAAAATTGTACTCGGACTGTTCGGTTTTCATGGTGCGGAAAAGGCAGAAATTGGCAACAGGACTTACGGATCCTATTCCGAGAGTCTCGCATTATCAACCGCTATTCATGCATACATAGCTTCCAGCCTAGCGAAAATCTGACGCGCTGCTGAGCGGGCCAGAGTGCGCCGCAGCGCGCAGTACGCCGCAGTGCGCCAGAATGCGCCGCGCTTGTGCTGAATGAATGCACGCGCGTCGCCGCGCCTCCTCTCGGCTTCGCTCCCCCACGGCCAAGGGATTCGCACGCGACCGACAGGCCATGGCGCCTCTCCACGCCGGATCCACTCCGAGCTCGCCAACAAAACGTAGTACAACACCCTCGACCGCCTCATCTTCTTCCCGCAGTCGAACTGCCTCGCCGACCAAGTCGTCGTCGAGCTCATTGCACCGTGGCAGCGAGACCAGCAGCACCAGCTCGTCACTCAACTCGTCCGTGCGACCAAGTTCCCGTGCCGCCCAAGGGGGTTCAAACATTTTCCCCGGCAAGACCAACAGCAAACTATCCTCTTCCGTCACGCCCTCAAGTCCTAGCAAACGCGAAAGTGGACTGGGGCTGCTCCAGAGGACGACGCAGCCTTCGTCGTCGACTTCGACGCTGCGTCAACAAGCGAGCTCGTCGTCGATCCCTCGCCTCGCGTCAAAGTACAGCCTGCTCAGTGATAGGAACGCCAATGCAGGCGATGGACTGAGCGAATCGGATGGGGATACATCATTCACTCTCTCGCAGGAAGGCTTCTCGGAAGAGGACGAGGAGGACAGCGCTGATGAGAGGCAGCGTTCGATCAAACCCGTGCGACGAGCTGGTTTTGGCGCACGACCTGTCTTGAGCTTTGCTTCCTCAGAGGCTTCTTCGAGGCGCTCCGTATCTGTCTTTACCGACGATGAGAGTGCGGCCTCGACCTACAAGAACTCTTCGGCGGGCGATCCGGCGAGGGAGGATGGCGACGATGCCGAGGGCGATGAGGAAGAATCGGTCGACGGCAAAGCCGTCAACGTCGTCGTTTGCTTGCGGTAAGTCAGCGTCGCAACTGGGTGTCATGGTTCTCTTCCTTTTGATCTGATGACCGTGATTCTACAGTGTTCGACCCACGCGCATGTCGAACCCGTCTTCCAACATCTACAAATACAACGCCCCGCGATCGGTCCTCTCGTTCGCGCCAAACCACCCCGTCTTCGTCAAGCGAGGGGCGACGTCGAGTTCTCGTCCGGGCGAATACGAATTCACGTTCGATCGGCTGCATCTTGCGCCGGCGCCGAGTGAGGCGTTGTACGATGCTAAAATTCGTCCGATCGTCAGGGCGGCGATGAATGGGTTCAATGGGACCGTCTTTGCGTACGTCAGCAGATGTGGGAGGTGCAGTTTCAGCTGGCCCGAGTGTTCGCTGAACCGAGTTCGTTCCATCGTTCCCGCAGCTATGGACAAACCGCGAGTGGAAAGACACACACGATGATGGGGACCGAGGCCGAGCCGGGCATCATTCCACTGGCCATCGATGAGCTGTTCACGTTCATTCATCGGGTGAGTGGCGTCGCGTCGACGACTTGTGGGACCTTTACGCTAATACTGCTCTATGTGCAGCAAAACGACTCTCGCTCCTTCTCCCTGCGCGTCTCCTTCCTCGAAATCTACAACGAACAACTGCGCGACCTACTCATCTCAAATCCAAAATCGACCAAACCGCTCGAAGTCGTCGGCGAGGACGGAACGGTCAAAGGCCTCGAAGAACGACCGGTGGCGATGCCGTCCGAGGTCTTGTCGTTATTGCACGAAGGTGATCAACGAAGGAGGGTCGGCGCTACGGATTGGAACGAGAGAAGTTCGAGGAGTCATTCGGTGTTTGTGGTGACGATTGAGAGTATGCCGAGGAATGGGGCTGGGATGGCGAGGACTTCGAGATTGGTGAGTAGCGGATGGACTACTTTGGTGAAAACGACTTTGCTGACGCTCGGAATCTGTTGGGTCAGAATTTGATCGATTTGGCGGGAAGTGAATCCGCCACGGGGCAAGACGACCGACGTAAGGAAGGATCGTTCATCAACAAGTCGCTACTGACATTGGGTACCGTCATCGGGAAACTGAGCGAGGGCAAGCAGTGAGTGCCACCCCCTTTCCAACACACTGCCAAAAACCCTTGGAAATAACGTTCAAACTGGCGGTTGGTTTACAGTGCCGGAGCGCAGCATATTCCTTATCGCGACTCCAAACTTACTCGTCTACTGCAACCGGCGCTATCGGGCAAATCGCGAGTCGCGGTTATCTGCACCATGTCCCCCGATGCCGAACAAGCGACCGAAACGCTCTCGACGCTCAAATTCGCCCGTCGTGCCAAGATGGTCGTGACCAAGGCCGAACGAGGCGTGTTGATGACCGAACAAATGATGCTCAACATGTACGAGAAACAAGTTGAGGCTTTGAAGCAACAGATTGCGCAGCGGGAATCCGCAGTGGAGGAGAGCGAGTTGGCCAAGGAGAGGGATCTGGCTGCTGCGCGCGCGGACGAGTACGAAAGTCGAAGCAAGAAGGCCGAAGACGAACTGGCGCTCAAGGAACTTGAGTTAACGAGGTTGAGGGAGCAGCTCGAGCATACCAAATCGTTCATCTTGACGGGCCCTGTACTTGAGGCGAACGCGAGGAGGGTCTCGGTCGGTGGGGCAACTTTCCACAATGCGGCGTTGAGCCCTTCGCGCGCCAAGAGGATCGTCAGTGATATGGGTGGGTTCAACTCGTTGGGACTGGGGACTCCGAAAGGCTCTCGAGCGAGCTTTCGTTCAGGCTCGAACGCGACGCAAGCGGACATGTCGAGATCGGAGTCAGGGTCCTTGGAGCGCGAACACGAACTAGAACGACAACTCGACGAGGCGAATCGGAAACTTGCGGAGTTGGAGACTGTTTCCGCCGAGGCCGAGTCGTTGCGCACCAAGGTCGTCGAACTGCAGCGATCGGTCTCGCTGGCGAGAGTCAACGCTGAAACTTCGGCCACAGATCGCAAGGAGCGAGTGAGGGAGCTTGAGGAGCGATTACAGGAGGCAAGAGACCAATTGAGAGACGCTGATGAAGCGAAGGAAGCGGCTGCGAACAAGCAGACCGAGCTCAATACCCTCCGACAAGAGCTCGAAGAGGCGCAACTGGCCAACACACAGCTCGCGACTGCTAAGGTTCGAGGCGAGGAGGCCGCGACTTCACTGGCGACATTGCTCGAAACGACACGAGCGGAACTGGCCGAGGCGAAGTTGGTGGTCGATGACAAGAGCGTCGAGCTAGAGAAGAAGTCGAGAGCGATGCTGGATCTCGAGGCCAAGGCGAGGGAAGCGACGAAGCAACTTAATCTTGCGCAGAAGACATCGCAGGATGCCATTGCCGAGCTCGAGAAGAAGTTGATCATCGCTCAGGAGGCGCAGAAGGACACGATGCAGCGAATCGAGGGCGAGCTCGGCGAGACAAAGCAGGATCTCGAGACGTCGAGGAAAAGGACTGTTGAGCTTGAGGAACGGCTCGTCAATTCTCGACAAGGCCAAAAAGAGTCGACGGTGAGACTCGAGAAAGAACTCGAGTTCGCGAAGGCTGCACTGGAAGCGGCACAGGTAACGATCGCAGAAATGGAGCAGACACTCGTTCTTGCTCGGCAATCCCATGAAAAATCGACTTCACGCTTGGCAGCGGAGCTTGCGGCAGCGAGGACGGCGCTCGAACAAGCCAATGCCTCGAATGCGCAGCTCGTCAGCTCGGTCGAAGAAGAAGCCACGCTTGCGCGCAAGGAGCGGGACCTTGCGCTCGATGCTGCGACAGCCGCCCAGACTCGTGTTGCAGAGCTCGAGGCCGACCTGAACCGACGAGACGAGGAGCTAGCCGCCGCCAAGACCCGGATAGTGGACGACAAGCAAGCGCTCGAGACCAAGTCCGCTCTGATCCTTAAGCTCACGACCGAACTCGCGAGCGTGCAAAGAGTTCTCACGGAACGCGAAGCCAAGATGGATCATCTTCAACGCCTCGTCGATCAACACATCAAGCGTGAGGCTGATATGGCACAGTACGAAGCGAATCGACGAGCGGGCACGGATTCGTTGCAGGCACGACTCGCGGCGATGCAGCAGTCTTCAGCGAGCAAGTCCTCGACGGGCCTATCGTCGTCCCAGCGATCGGCCAAGAGTTCTTCGGGCCTTCTCGCCCACGCTGGTCGATTTGCGTCGGGCAAGGATCTTGAGACCGTTGATGAGCTACGAGTTCGCAACGGTGAACTCGTCAACCGAATCGAAGAGCTCGAAAGGATGCTCGAGCTGAGCGGAGGCGGCGCCTTGAACCGATCGACTAGGTCGAGTACCCCTGTTCCCGGGCTCGGCACGCGAAGGTCGGGGAGCATCGATTTAGCCAAGGTCGTTGGTCCGGCCGAGACATTTGAGAAGAAGGAGCTCAACTCGATCATCGATACGCAGAAGAAGGAATTGACCGAGTCCCAGGCTGCGCCGGACAGATACAGATTGGTGAGTGATCGCAATGGAAATACCGTATCTATGATCATCAACCTAAGCCTCCTTTTTGACTCTTGCAGAAATATTTGGCCGCTCAGAAATTGCTCGACAAACTCACGGCCTCGGTCGAGCCATCTTCCCTCCGACCAGAACTACATGATCCGCGATCACCCTTCGAATCACCTCGCTCGTCACTCGCCGAACTGAACGGGTCAAGTGAGAATCGACGACCCACCCTTCCCTCACGCACCACGACAAGCTCTTCTCCGTCGTCCACTTCCTCGAACCCAATAACCTCGATGCACCACCTTGGTCGCTCAACCTGGACGCGTGACCAACCCCCTCCCCTCCCCTGTTCCCCCCGCAATGCCGATAAAGAACGCCAACACCGTCGCGTTACGATAGGGAAGGAGATTGAGCAACTCAAGCAGGCCAAAGAGGTGTTGAAGAAGAGGGAAGGGTTCGATACGCCACCTTCTTCTCCGACGAAGCTTTCGAGCGCGAGGTTCGGGGATGACGGCTTTGGAACGTTGAGGAGTCGAAAGGATTTGTTTGATTGAGCGGTCATATGATCAGTGATGGTCGTCCTGTGCATAAGTTCGTGTTCCCCATGTTTGTTTGCTGTACCACCCTTGCATACCTCCTTTCCGTTTTCGAATTTTTTCTTCTAAGTCCATAGTACTATTATTTTCGAGGCGCGCTGCCCTATCTTCTATTTTGAGCAATCCCAGTCACGATTGAAACGTTTGCTATGCAAGGGTTTGGAGAGAGAATTCGTATTTTAATCTATACAACATACCAAGTCGGAGAGATCTCTTTGCCTTTCGTTCAAGCCATGGCCTGATCCTCGCCCTCTTCTTCGTCGTCATCCTGATCCCACCATTCCAAGATGCCTAGACCTTGTTCGCGAATAGAGCACTGTGCGGGGACTAGAGCGATCAGCGGTCTGCTATCTCGTGGTCCAGGAACCGCGACTACCCACTCACAATCAACGAATAAGGTGATCTCCCCCTCTCGACCGCCTGCGTACCCGAAGCGTTCGGATCCGCGCCCCCTGCCCCCGCCCCCCCCTGACCCGGTCCGGGCCCTACTCCCACCCCCGTATTCGTCGGCGGAGCCGAAGCACTACTCTTCCCATTCGTAGGACTAACGTCGTGCCATGATTCTTGCTCGCATCTGATTCGGAGCCAGTCCTTGCGTTCGATGTAGAGTTTATCGTCCGAGGGCATCGAACGTAGATCTTCGGAGGTGGGGACGATTCGGTTCGGTGGCGGTTGGCCGGTTTCGTCTTCCGGAGCGGGGACGAAGAAGTAGGCGCGGCGGGAGGGGTCACTGAGAGAGAAAGAGAGGGTCAGGGTGGGTGGGGGTGTTTTCGGAAAGCGATGGGAGGTAGAAGTACGTACAATGCTGAATCGAGCGGCAGGAAATGCGGGGGTATCAAGATATCATCAAAAAACCCGACCGTAACTGTAGAACCCCGACAAGAGAGAGACAGGTTCATAAGTCTGGCCTCGAAGAGCTGTAGTTCATTATGACAGTCTGCTTCCCAAGGTGTCGTACCTTTGATACCTTCTTCGGATTGGGACGAGACGCGGGCGAGAAACGCTTCGCCGACGAAGGGGCGGAAGACGATCAAGCGGAATTCGGCTGGAGGGAATGGAGTGTCAGATTTTGAAAACTTTAACAGGTCTATGGTGGTTCGGAATGGACCCACTTCGGTAGTAGTAGCACCCATCGCCGTAGAGAACCGCGCCCTCTGTCGCCTCCAGAATGTCGAGCAACGAGATCACGAGCCCCACTTCTGGGAGGACCTATTCACCAAGCCACAACAAACATAACCACACCTCAGCACCGTATCACACGATCCTCAACTACTCGGCCTCCCCCTCTTGATCGAGCGCGACACGAGATCTCCCGATTGCTGATCTCCCGATTGCTGAACTGTGATCGTTCGTTACCTTGTTGGCATACCGCCGTTGTATCTCCTCCCTGATCGCGACCACCGGGTCCTTTCCGAAATCACGCGGTTCGACGCGGATCGTATCCTATTTCGACCGTCGCCGTTCCAGGTTCCACGTTCAGCGTCCAGAGTTGGAGCGAAGATCAGGTTGAGCGACGTTGAGCGACGTTGAGCCGGTTGCGAAACGTCCAGAATCGACGAGCGGAGCGTCGGTTGGGGAGAGGTAAAGGGGTTACAGTTAGTCTTGGGGCAAGTGGAAGGTGGGAAGGTGGTGTACTGACCCGCTGGATACAAAAGGTAAACATGGTTCCCCCGTCGGCCAACGCAGGGACGAAAGCCTCGAAGCGCGAGGTGCACGAGGAAGGCGGATCATCCGTTTGAGCAACGAGACGAGGTCATAGCGCAAGCTTGACCAAGCTTGACTTGGGCAAGGGGTAGCTCGCATGTTCAGTCATCGGATTTCACAGACCTGAGACCACCTCTTTTCGACTGATCTAAACTTCCAAGCCCGTCAAATATTATTACAACACTGTCCAAGTTCACGATCCAAATAAACCTTCTTCCGTCCTTGAACCCCGGGGTCGATGTGAGCTCTCCGGCAATTTCGCAGCAGGCCGCAGCTCATGCACTCGAATCGTTCAAGTCGACACAAACGCTAGAATGAAGATTCATCATCAGAGCAACCCAATCAGTCCTGCGGAACGCAAGCTATCGATCGAGAAGGTGGGAAGGTGGGATCCCAGGACCAACCAAGCTTTATGATGCGCCGAATACTGCCGCACCGTCGTCCCGCTCGCCAATTCCCATAACCGAGCTGTATGATCCGACGAGGCTGACAACAATCGAACAAGAACGGTCAGCGAGCCTCTTCCTCCAACTTCAACCCGTCCCTCCACTCAATCGACCGACCAGAAGAAAAGTAAACTAACCGGAAACGAGATAAGCCGAATCGGCGCTATAAGCCATATCCCACACCCAACGCTGATGGCCTTGTAGTACTTTGTCGAGTGAGTAGTTGCCGTCGTCTTTGGGTGACCAGATCTTGATCGTCGTATCGGCGGAACAGGTGGCGAGGTTTCTGGACATTGGGGATGGGTTGTCAGAGGAGGAGAGGAGTGGGAGGCGGCAGAAGATCGAGTGGATTGAAGAAATTTTGTCATCAGCCGATCGTACAAGGATGGGGGGAGGATCCTCGGCGTACTTTGTGTCTGGAGAAACGAGCACTTTGATGAGGTATCTCGAATGCGCCTGGAACTTGGTCTTGGGCTGCAACGAGGTGAACGCCAATCCTGGCTGAATAGTCCAGACGTAGACGATACCCTGTGACGCGAAATTTCATCAAGACCCGATGATCAGCAAAATTCGAAGAGAGCGCCTGTTTTGTGGAGCTGAGCAGCCCACCTTGTGATTCCCTCCGACCAAAGCCGATCCATCCGAAGCGATTGATACCGAACGCATTGGAACGTCCTCCTCCGGCAACTGCAAATCGCACGCAACGAATTTCCTCCATCAGCAACTAGACCATCTCTCTAACCTTTCAAAGTTTCCGCTGTGCGCCTCTCACCAAATCATGCGAACAGCAATCGGCGCCGAGGTCCCAAATCTTGATCGCTCCATTCTGGTCGCACGAGATGAGTTCGCCTTGGTTCGAGTGTAATGCCAGGTCGTTGACGGGGGCGTTGTGCGCATAGTTTCGTTGTGGTGTGGCCGTTCTGTTGGAAGTGTGTATGTGTGGTCGGGATAATACGAGGACAGCCGGCGGCGGAGGATGGGAGGGAAAGCACCTTCGATCCGATATGAGCTCTTGTGGCCTCTTCAGCGAGCTTTGAGCGAGCTTTGGCCCGTTGCTAGGACGAACCTGACATCCCAGATCTTGACGGTACCATCTTCCGAGCCCGAGACGAGCCATTTTCCCTCGGCATGCCATGCCAAACTGGTGACGTTCGCCGAGTGACCGGTCAGGGTGATGAGCTGGTTCGTCGCAAAGATCCATCGGAATCGGACCACGCTCAGCTCCAAGTCAGAGCAGGAGAAGACGAATCATGCTCGACTGACTGGTGGCACATTCGCGCCTCCTACACCTGCTGCTGAGGTAGCGATGTCGTAGAGCTTGACGGTGCCGTTGCCCGCTGCGGCGAGGTACCGCTTGTCCGGCGAGATCTTGAGTCGATTCACTTGCTGCGGTACAGGACCCAACATTGTCAGTTCCATCTCACTCGAAGAAGTACATGCTCTTGCCCCACGCAAGCCCGTTCGAGCTCTTCGCGATCCGACCTCTGCAGCCCCACCACCGGCCGCCCTCCCGCACACGTACATGTTCTTGATGGTTCAGCGTCCTCGAACAGACCCCACTCCAGGCCTCCCAAAACCTGATCGTGTTGTCATACCCTCCCGTCACGAGGATGACGGACAGCGCATCCTGTTGAGCCGACGAAGCTTGAGCGGCGGCTTGCGTTGCCGGCGTGGCTTGTGGGGGCAGATGCGCGGTCGAGGGGAGGGGAACGGGCGCTTGTTGGGTCGTCGGAGGCGCTCGGGTGGTTGTGGGTGCCATAGGCGTGGTGGGTGGGATGCGAGACTGAGGTGGGGAAGACGAGGGAAGAGCGAGGGAGAGCACGGCGTGGCGTGTGGGGGGGGGGGGGGGGGGGTCCCGCTTGACGGGCTCAATCGGGCTCAATCTGCAATCAATCAATTAATTCAGATCCGCTGACAACTTCAAGTGCAAAGGCGGCCCTGCACAGGATCATCTTTCACAGGCGACAAGTGGGACAAATCAGGCCACTGGTGCAGTGAGACATTCACAAGGATCCATGCAGTGGATCATCCCTCATTACTAGTTGGTCCAATTGCGGACTTGGCGCCGCGTCGCGCGTAGGATGATGTTTTTCGCTTCTGGTCTAGTTCCCTAGCACCACTCATTACTCATTCCCACCTCTACGCATCGTTTGAAATCGCCACCACTGCAACCCGCATCCTTTGACTCTCCTGCGATCGACGTGCTCGACTGCCGAGCCGATCGCGCCAATTCTCCCCCAAGGCGACACACCTCCTTTCTACACTAGGCCGCACGAACGAGTGCTAACATCGGCTAACATGTTTCCGTACTCTCTCTTTCTACCACTCATCTTAATCGGGCAATCAAGTGAGATGCAGCAGCATTCTACGCTCTGCCACATCCGTCGTCCGAGGAGATCCACACTTGACCCCTAGTGCCTATCCACCTCTTCGGGTGTTACTCGAGCGACGATCCACTACGGTGGGCGGCGGAATTGCTGGTCGTCAATGCGGTCCAATGTGGTCGTCTTGACTCGAAATATGTCCTACCCATCCTTCCTGGCACTAGCAGAGACAGCCCGGATAGCTCGTATCTCGCATCACTCGCGTCACGTTTCATCTTGGTACAACAACTCCCCGACCCGGCAGCAATGGGATCTCTCTTGAAATCTGCTTGACATTGAGGTGTAGGGATATGATGATCGATTACTTGGCTAGCATACCGTTTCACGGAGGACGGGGTAAGCCCATCTTTTTCGGTCGCGTGTTGCACCGATAGGGGGTCCTTTCCAATGACTAGCTTTCAACCTTTGAGATCTGATCCTGATGACTTTGCCAGTTGTATGGTGTTGTGTTGAGTCATGATGTGAACGTAATTCAGCCCGTACCTGGTAAAAAGCCCACCCCTGAAGCAGAGATCTGAGACCAAGCGAACCGTGCTGTAGAGCCTCCTTTCCACTCGTTGCGAACCACTTCGTACGAAACGCCGACGACGCTTCTTGTCTTTCTTCCTCACCCCACATCCACTTCTCACAATCCCGGGCCCAAAAGGGTTGAGCCTTTCGCTTCTTTCATGATCATGACAGCCTCTCATCAGACTACGCTTTAGTGCTTCATCCCCATCTTGTCTTCCCAAACTGGGGGGGGGGGGGGGGTGGGGGGTCTCGTTTTCCAACTAGTAAGAGCTGACGAGTTCGGAAAAGGGGGAGACCATCGCCACCCCTCGAAAAAGGTAAAGAAGGTGTCGACGTGGCACTTTGGTGGTCGTAGTTGAGGACGTTGAGGTCGTGTTTGGAGTGGATCGTGATGTGTTTTTGGTGTCGGGGTGGAATGGGGTGGGGTGGGGGTTGAAAGTGATGATGCGCTTTCTGGATTTGAGGATTAATGTGAGCGTGGCCAACAGCCTGCTCACGATCATATGATCACACTTTCTTTCATCTGATGCACCCACACCCAATGTCGAGTCTTTGTGATACTTGAGCCATTATGCTATCTTTTGATCTCAAAGGTGTATTTTGTCGAGCTTCAGCATGCACCTAAAAGTGAGCAAGTCGATACAGCATATTGACAGGGCAGGGTGCTCGTCACAGGCTGAGCTTCGGTCAAATTCAGGCGCTTTCGCTTGTCAGTTCCATGAAAATTACAGCGCTTCTTTCCGAAGCAGCTTTCATCGCTTGAGAAAGCAGGGCCACGTAGACGTGTCTCGCTCTGTCAAGACGGCGGCGCTTCCTGCAGACAAAGGTGGGTCGGACGATCATTGAGACGTGTCGCCTATACGCCAGACCCGTCCCATGATGGGCTCTCTTTCGAATTGGTCGGTGTACTCTCTCGAGTGCATCTCTTCCGTACCACCCCATCCCCACTACACGCACCCCATCTCAACCTCTCTGTCCATCCCCACCGAGACGACCCAACCTTGGTGTAAAAGAGACAAAGGTCCGATTGCAACTCGATGTATCAAGACCCGAAATCTGGTGCCGTTGTATTTTTTTATGCCTCCTCGGTGCGGACGCGAGCGTTGCCGTTGGTCAACTTGACGCCCAACTGTACGCAACAAAACGGCACTCGAAATCAGGACCACATCACCCGCGTAGATGCCATACGTCGATTGCCAACTTACGACACGAGCCTTCTCAACGATCTCGACGCGCTTGCGGGACGAAACGCCGTGGGCGATCTCGGCGGCGTACGAGCCGTTGTGCATCAACAGGAGCTCGAGCTCGCGCGTGTTGTTGACGAGGAATCGCCTGTAGCCGTTGGGCATCACGTGGCGGGTCTTCTTGTTCGAACCGTAACTGGTGGTCGTAGAACAATGGGTGGGGGTAGGTCAGCTTCCGGGTTGGTCTGGACATCTCTTCGGTGAGAGGGTTTACTGACCCGATCTTGGGCATGGGGAGTTGACCCTTGAAACGACGTCGGACTCGGTTGTCAATACCTAAATGCCATCACAAAATACCCGGCATCATCAGTACCGCATGTTCTTTCTAGCCCACGGTCCGTCCTATGGGCCACGCGACACTCTTCGTCTGTCGTGGTGGCTTCCGCTGATTGCACGCACCCTTGGGCTTGCGCCATGCTGCCTTGACACCGGCATAGCGATCCGATTGGTGGCGGCTAAAGAAGGGCGATAGAAACGATCCATATACAATATGCAAATGGTCCAATCCGGTGTTCGAGTGCGAATGAGCGAGATTGTCGTAGTGTGGAGGGTGGTGGGCGAGGGCGAGGGCGAGGGCGAGGGCGAGGGCGAGGGCGAATGCGTCGTGTGAGCGTCGTGCGAAAGGTAGGGCCAGCGTGGGTGAGAGTGATCAATGCAATCGTCAGCCATGGCTTCATTTAACCCTCATATACCCCGATGACACTGACATGAAAGGCTTTGTCCTTTTCTTGATGCGGGGGATCGTAGTGGCGGCCATCCTGTGTTACCTCTATAGAGAGTGGGAGGGGTGCAGGGTGGGCGGAGGGGGGTGCGTAGACAGCAGTGGGCGAGGCAGGCAGGCGAGGCAGGCAGGCGAGGCGAGGCGAGGCGATTGGCAGGGCAGCGCGGTTTTGGGCGTGCGGGAAGTTTTCAGAGGGCGCGGCAAGGCAGAAGGGACGTCAGCTCAAGCACTTCGCACTCCTCTAGCGAACGGCACAGAGGTCCAACCAACACGACGGTCGTACGGGTTCGGATGGAGAGGGCGTCGGTATGTACCTTTTGTTGATCTACGAACTGGGTGGAGACGACGACAGATCAAAGGCGCGAGACGACCATCGATGGCTGCGACGGTGGCTCTCACGCGCCTGCCGCAAATTGGTCGAAACTCGGTCTGTGCCATGGCCGAAATCGGGTCCGGGCGATTTTGGCCCACCGGCCGGTTCCTCGACTTCGCCTGCCAGTCGATCAGAGCTCACTTTGACGGTCGGTGTTCGGCTCACAGTCTTACGACACGCAGAAAAGCCTGGGAGCGGAAATACTACAGGCCATACTCCAGATGACCGATGAATGCAGCTTGGAATTGTGAGGCCCTGCCTCTCTTTATGAAGGCGTGGTCGGGTGTGAGTCGTGACGAGGTCGGCGAAAGTTCGTTTTGAAGTTCCCCAGGTGCAGTAGCAGCTGTCAAAGAATGCCTCAGCTCTTGCACGCAGACCGTTGGTATCTAACGAGGTTGTCTAGCTCTCTCCGAGAAATCAGGTCCCGGCCAGAGCGCAGAACCGAGTAGAGTCTCGCGGCGCGCCGACGCTCACGTGCGCACGTTGGCTTCTGACAGGGGCCGGCCGGGCCCAGGACCGCTCGGGCGCTTTCGGAAAGCTTCTGAAGCTTCAAGCAAGCTCAGGGCAACGAGCAGATTTCTGAGGCACAGCGATAAAGCAAAGCATGAGACAGTTTGCTACAACACAGTTTAGCTCGTACCCCAGAAGAGATGAAGGGAGTGTAGTGACTACACTCGGCGCTTCAAGTTCCGTCTTCAGCAACACCGCTGGCGGCTTCGGGCCGTCGTCCGGATCAGACGTCGATGGCCGCATGGGGCCACATTGACAACAAGGGGCTGCTTGTGGCAGTGGCTGCTCGTCCCGTCCCGTGTCCGTGTCGGGCTCCTCGTCGACGGAGACAAGAGCTAGTAATGGACCCTTTTTCTCTCTTGTCTCGAAAGGGCCGGATTCAGCCCCGAGCGCTCCGGCTCTTGCCGCGAGTCCAAACCCGAACGATGCCCAATGATGCCGACGACGACGAGGTCACCTGACACTTTTTTAACGGTAGAGACTTGCAGGTGGCCCGGACTTACAACCTCCCGGTGAATCCCGATCCCTAGGTAGGTACTCGGACTTTATCAGCCCGTGGCAAAGACATGTTGTTAAACCGTTTTCCTGGACGAACTTTCGGTGATCGGAGCTACCGGCGGTCGCAGAGAGACGTCTATTAGCTGAGCCTGAAAAAAGTTGGTCAAGGTCCGGGTGCAAGCTCCGGGCTCGTAAAGCCCGAGAACGTTCGCTGCCTGGGCTTGCGCGTCGGCTGGGCTGCGGCGAATCGGTCGAATTGGACTGGCGCTGACTCGCCGGGACCTTGGCGCAAGGACGGCAGGCAGGCTTCGAGAGCTCCGCGAATCGCTCCGCGCCCCACCAGTCAACCCGTCGCCGCTCCCCTTTTGAAGGTTTCCCCCTTCCCTTTTCTCGATCGAGGTCGTTGCTCTATAAAGTCACGCAACCAGCTTCAGCCCAAAGAGCACCTAGACGAAACCCGAGCCACCTACGCCGCTCACATCGCCAGTGAAACCGCCCCTTTAGGCCTTTCCCTGTATCGATCGCTGCGAACACGCCCCTTGAACGGTTGAGCCCGCTCCTTATCGCCTCCGCCTCTCCTCATCGTCCAGCCCAAGCCGCAAGCGACCCACGTCTCGCCTGTAGCTTCTGCTCCTTGAGATCACACCAGCTACTCGGACATTACCCATTGCTAGGTTAGTGGCGACTACCCCTCCTTCCTCTGGTGCCAGCGATGTGGCGCTCCCGTCCTCGATGGAACGGCTCCAGGGATGGGCCTGGCATCGGGCCGTTCTATGTACGACCTTGCCCGGGCCAATAGCAGCTGGGCTGTTTTTCGCGCCTGGCCTCTGGCGGGATTCGCTCGCTGCCTTGGACCTGTGGATGCTCCGGAGATCGAACCCTAGTCATTCTAGTGTGCTGCATTGTACGACAAGTCATCCGGGATACTTTGCTGACATGCCTTGCTTCCGTCTCCCTTCTCTGTTACGCCACGTCGCTGCGAATTCGCCCTCCTGACACGCCCGTCCGTTACGGCCTCGTGACTCCGCCACTGTTCGACTTGGCTCGCTTGTCTGGTCGCGCGCGCGCCTCGGTGCCACTCACACTGCACGACTCTCGCCTCCGACTTGAACGTGATTCCATCCGCCGCGCCGTTTTCAAAAACCCAACTCTCCTCTCCGCTCGCCTCACCACTACTTTGCGCAAACTGTTTATCTGGGGTTTTAAACGACCAACAGCCCTCGAGTCCCTTCGAGGTATCCAATGGCCCCCACTGTCCGTGCAGCCCCCGTCAACAACAAAAAAGCCGTCTCTTTCGACTTGCCCGCCGATCATGCCTCGTCCTCGAGCGTGAACACCGAGTTGTCGTCGCTCGACTTGCTCCCCCACGCCGATGGCGTCTTGCGCGATGAGGCCTCGCTCGGTCTCCCCGCCGCTCAGGGTCTCTACAACCCCGAAAACGAGAAGGACTCGTGCGGTGTCGGATTCGTCTGCCACATCAAGGGTCAACCGTCACATAAGATTGTCTCGGATGCCAAGGCCCTCCTCTGTGCGTTGTCTTTCGCCCTCCTTAGTGAGCCGCGCAGAATGCTGACCTCGAGCTCACGACTGTCTTCTTCTCATAGGCAACATGACGCATCGAGGTGCCACCGGTGCTGATTCTCGCGATGGTGATGGTGCCGGAGTCATGGTCGGTATCCCCCACAACTTTTTCGTCCGCGAAGCCGAGCGCGAGCTCGGGGTCACGCTGCCCCACGAGGGCGAGTACGCCGTCGGCAACGTCTTCTTCAAGAAGGGCAACGACGAGCTTTTGGCCTCGCAAAAAGCGACGTTCGAGCAGATCGCCGAGTCGGTCAACCTCCGCGTGCTCGGCTGGCGCCCCGTCCCGACCGACGGCTCGATCCTCGGTCCCGCCGCGCTCTCGCGCGAGCCCCTGATCTTGCAGCCCTTCGTCGTGCTCAGCACCTCGTACGGCTACGGCAACACCCCCGACCCGGACTCGACGTTCGACGAAAAGTACTTCGAGCGCCAGCTGTATGTGCTCCGCAAGCACGCGACGCACACGCTCTTGCTCTCGAGCGGTTTTTACATTTGCTCGCTCTCGCAAAAGAACGTCGTCTACAAGGGCCAGCTCGCGCCTGTGCAAGTCTACAATTATTACCACGACTTGAACCACGCGCTCTTTGCCTCGCACTTCTGCTTGGTCCATTCGCGTTTCTCGACCAACACTTACCCTTCGTGGGACCGAGCCCAGCCGATGCGATGGGTCGCCCACAACGGTGAGATCAACACCGTCCGCGGCAACAAGAACTGGATGCGTGCTCGCGAGGGCAACTTGCAGTCGTCGCGCTTCGCCGACGAACTCGACTTGCTTTACCCGATCATCGAGACCGGTGGTTCCGACTCGGCCGCGTTCGACAACGTGCTCGAGCTCTTGACCGTCAACGCCGTTCTGACCTTGCCCGAGGCCGTGATGATGCTCGTCCCCGAGGCGTGGCAGAACAACACCGACATGGAGAAGGAGAAGGTCGCCTTCTACCAATGGGCGGCATGCTTGATGGAACCGTGGGACGGACCTGCGCTCTTCGCCTTCTCCGACGGGCGCTACTGCGGTGCCAACTTGGACCGCAATGGTCTCCGCCCTTGCCGATGGATCACGACGTCCGACGACCTCATGATCTGCGGTTCCGAAGTCGGTACCATCTACGTCGAACCCGAGAAGATCACCCGTAAGGGTCGTCTCCAACCCGGAAAGATGCTGCTCGTCGACACTGTCGAGGGCCGCATCGTCGACGACAAGGAGCTTAAGATGAAGACCGCGGCCAAGCAGCCTTTCGCCAACTGGATCGAGTCGCAGATGCTCAGCTTGCCCAACATCATCGCCCGCGAGCGAGCCAAGGGAGCTTCGCTCACGGGCGTCCTTGACGACTCGACCGTCTCGACCGATCCGCGTTTGCTCGCGTTCGGTTACTCGTTCGAGCAGCTCGACCTCCTCTTGCGACCGCTCGTCAACGACGGCAAGGAAGCGCTTGGATCGATGGGCAACGATGCCCCTTTGGCGTGCATGGCCACGGCGCCGCGCGTCATCTTTGACTACTTCCGCCAGCTCTTCGCTCAAGTTACGAACCCTCCCATCGACCCCATCCGAGAGTCGATCGTCATGTCGCTCGAGTGCTACGTCGGTGCCGAGGGCAACATGCTTGAGATGAACCCCAACCAGTGCCACCGATTGTTGCTCCGTTCGCCCGTGCTCACGATCGAGGAGGCCAACGCCCTCAAGCGCTTGGACACCGTCAACCCCGAGTGGCCCGCGCGCACGATCGACATCACCTTCGACAAGGCCGAGGGTCCCGCCGGATACGAGGCATGTCTCGACCGCATTTGCGCCGAGGTCTCGAACGCGATCGCCGAAAACATCCGCGTCATCGTCCTTTCGGATCGCGCCGTCGGTCCTGATCGCGTTGCCATCTCATCCGCCGTCGCGACCGGTGGTGTGCACCACCATTTGGTCCGCAACAAGCAGCGTTCCAAGGTCGCGCTTATTGTTGAGACTGGTGAGGCCCGTGAGGTGCACCATATCTGCGTGCTCGTCGGCTACGGTGCCGATGGTATCTGTCCTTACCTCGCGTACGAGGCGATGCTCAAGCTCCGCCGCGAGGGCTTGCTCAAGAAGGACTTGACTGAAGGCCAAGTCATCAAGAACTACCTCTACGCCACCAACAACGGTATTCTCAAGGTCATGTCCAAGATGGGTATCTCGACCCTGCAGTCGTACAAGGGTGCGCAGATCTTCGAGGCGCTCGGTTTGGCCGAGGAGGTCGTCGACCGTTGCTTCGTCGGCACCGCTTCGCGTGTCGCCGGTTCGACCTTCGAGCTGCTCGCCATGGACGCGCTCGAGATCCACGAGCGTGGTTACCCTTCACGAGAGACCGTTTTGCCCCCCGGCTTGCCCGAGACGGGTGAGTACCACTGGCGCGACGGAGGAGAGCCCCACATCAACGACCCCACCGGTATCGCCGAGCTCCAGAATGCCGTTCGCCAAAAGAACCAGTCGTCGTACGACGCCTACGCCGCGAACGCTCGTCGCCAAGTCCGTGCCGTCACCTTGCGAGGTCTGCTCGACTTTGATTTTGTCAAGGCGACGCCGATCCCGATCGAGCAGGTCGAGCCGTGGCACGAGATCGTGCGCCGTTTCGCGACCGGTGCCATGTCGTACGGTTCCATCTCAATGGAGGCCCACTCGGCCTTGGCCATTGCGATGAACCGCATCGGCGGCAAGTCCAACACTGGTGAAGGTGGAGAGGACGCCGAACGATCGGACCTCTTGCCCAACGGCGATACGATGCGATCGTCGATCAAGCAAATTGCGTCGGGACGTGAGTAGATTGTTTCTCTATGAAGATGCGATGTTTCGTTTCATGAGATACTGACGGCGGAGGTTTTTTCGTTGGTTGCTACAGGTTTCGGTGTGACCTCGAACTACCTCGCCGATGCCGACGAGTTGCAAATCAAGATGGCCCAAGGTGCCAAGCCCGGAGAAGGTGGTGAATTGCCCGGCCACAAGGTGTCCAAGTCGATCGCACGCACGCGTCACTCGACCCCGGGTGTCGGTCTCATCTCGCCTCCCCCTCACCACGACATTTACTCGATCGAGGATCTCAAGCAATTGATTTACGACCTCAAGTGCTCGAACCCGCGCTCGCGCATCTCGGTCAAACTCGTGTCCGAGGTCGGTGTCGGAGTCGTCGCTTCCGGTGTTGCCAAGGCCAAGGCCGACCACATCCTCATCTCTGGCCACGATGGTGGAACGGGTGCTTCGCGATGGACCGGTATCAAGTACGCCGGACTCCCTTGGGAGCTTGGTCTCGCCGAGACCCATCAAACGCTCGTACTCAACGACCTCCGTGGTCGAGTTACGATCCAGACCGATGGCCAGATCCGTACCGGCCGGGATGTCGCGATCGCGTGCTTGTTGGGTGCTGAAGAGTGGGGCTTCGCGACGACGCCTTTGGTGCGTGGGGATCACCGACTTAAACTCGCACATAGCCTTTCGGTGCTGACCTTGCGCTTGCTTACTTTCGAATTCACAGATCGCCATGGGTTGCATCATGATGAAGAAGGCAAGTGGATCGACTGAGTAGGATAAACCCTGCTTCAAGGCACTTGCTAACTGTTCGTTCCCCTTCACTACGTCAACAGTGCCACCTCAACACCTGCCCCGTCGGTATCGCGACCCAGGACGAGCAGCTGCGCAAAAAGTTCTCCGGTCAACCCGAGCATGTCGTCAACTTCCTGTACTACGTCGCCGAGGAGATGCGATCGTTTATGGCCAAGCTCGGTTTCCGCACCATCAACGAAATGGTCGGTCGCTCCGACATGCTCCGTGTCGACGATAGCTTGCGCAACCCCAAGACAGCGAACCTCGACTTGTCGGCGCTGCTCAAGCCCGCCTGGCAAATGCGCCCCGGTGTCGCGACCTTCAAGTCGCGCGCGCAGGATCACAAGCTCTACATCCGCCTCGACAACAAGTTCATCGACGAGGCCGAGCCTGCCTTGCTCAAGGGCCTGCCCGTGCGCATCGACTGCGACGTCGTCAACACCGACCGTGCACTCGGCACGACGCTCTCGAACCACGTCTCGAAGCGGTACGGTGAGGAGGGTCTACCCAAAGACACGATCCACATCTACGCCAAGGGCTCGGCCGGTCAATCGCTCGGTGCTTTCCTCGCTCCCGGTATCACGATCGAGCTCGAGGGTGACTCGAACGACTACGTCGGCAAGGGTCTCTCCGGTGGTCGCTTGATCGTCTACCCTCCCAAGGCCTCGCCTTTCAAGGCCGAGGAAAACGTCATCGTCGGCAACACTTGCTTGTACGGTGCCACTTCGGGTCAGGCCTACTTCCGCGGTATTGCCGCCGAGCGTTTCGCCGTCCGCAACTCGGGCGCGACTGCCGTCGTCGAAGGCTGCGGTGACCATGGTTGCGAGTACATGACCGGTGGTCGCGTCGTCATTCTCGGTATGACCGGCCGCAATTTCGCCGCCGGTATGTCCGGTGGTATTGCTTACGTCTTTGACGGCGCCAAGGACTTCCGCGCCAAGGTCAATATGGAGATGGTCGAGCTCGACACCGTCAACGACCCGCGTGAGATCGCCGAGCTGCGTGGCATGATCGAGGACCACCAGCACTGGACGGGTTCGTTCTTTGCCGAGCGCGTACTCAAGAACTTCAACCAGTGGCTGCCTCGCTTCGTGCGCGTCATGCCCCTCGACTACAAGGCCGTGCTCGAGGCCGAGGCCGCCAAGCAGGCGCAGGAGAAGGCCGCCAAGCACCCTCCTGTTGACATCGTCATCCCCGTCGCCGGTGTCCAGCCCGCTCACAAGTCCAACGAGCCCTCGGTCGTTGATCTCGAGGACGCGATGGTGGACGACACCACGGCCAAGAAGCGCGTCGAGCAGCTCGACAAGATCCGCGGCTTCATGAAGTACAAGCGCCTGACCGAGTCATACCGCAACCCGCGCAAGCGTGTGCAGGATTGGGCCGAGCTCTCGACCCGCCTCAGCGAGGACGATTGCAAGCAGCAGACCGCACGTTGCATGGATTGCGGTGTCCCCTTCTGTCAGTCCGACAGTGGTTGCCCCATCTCCAACTTGATCCCCAAGTGGAACGACCTCGTTTTCAAGGGCCAGTGGAAGGATGCGCTCGACCGGTTGCTCATGACGAACAACTTCCCCGAGTTCACCGGTCGCGTTTGCCCCGCTCCTTGCGAGGGTGCTTGCGTGCTCGGCATCAACGAGCAGCCCGTCGGCATCAAGAGCATCGAGTGCGCCATCATCGACAAGGGTTTCGAAATGGGATGGATGAAGCCCCAGCCGCCCAAGGTCCGCACGGGCAAATCGGTCGCCATCATCGGTTCCGGTGCCGCCGGTCTCGCCGCCGCCGATCAGCTCAATAAGGCCGGTCACTCGGTCACCGTCTACGAGCGTCAAGACCGATGCGGTGGTCTGCTCACGTACGGTATCCCCAACATGAAGCTCGACAAGCGTGTCGTGCAACGCCGTCTCGACCTCATGGCCGAGGAGGGTGTCAAGTTCGTCACCAAGGCCCACGTCGGTGTCACCCACAACATTGACGAGATCCGCTCGGCCAGCGACTCGCTCATTGTCGCCACGGGTGCGACCTGGCCTCGTGACCTCAAGTTGCCGAACCGCAACCTCGACGGCATCGACTTTGCCATGACCTTCTTGTCGGCCAACACCAAGTCGCTGCTTGACTCGAACCTTGAGGATGGCAACTACCTCTCGGCCAAGGGCAAGAATGTCATCGTCATTGGTGGTGGTGACACGGGTAACGATTGCATCGGTACCTCCGTTCGTCACGGTGCGCTCAGCGTCACCAACTTTGAGTTGCTGCCCCAGCCCCCGCCAACGCGCGACCAGGCGTCGAACCCCTGGCCTCAGTTCCCTCGCACCTTCAAGGTCGACTACGGACACACCGAAGTCTCTTCCTTGTTCGGCTCGGACCCGCGTCAATTCTCGATCAGCACCAAGGAGTTCGTTTCGGACGGCAACGGCAAGGTCAAGGGTATCAACACCGTTCGCGTTGCTTGGGAGAAGGACGCCTTCGGCGCATGGAAGATGGCCGAGATTCCGGGCTCGGAGGAGTTCTTCCCCGCCGATCTGTGAGTTGCACCGCGTGCTGCTTTTTCAGTTCATCCACTTTTGCTGACGTATCGACATTCTCCTTCATGCAGCGTTCTTCTCGCCCTTGGATTCTTGGGTCCCGAGGAGGCTGCCATCAAGGCGCTCGGCCTCGAGCAGGATGCTCGATCCAATATCAAGGCCGACTACGGCAAGTTCGCCACCAACGTCCCCGGCGTCTTCGCTGCTGGTGATGCTCGTCGTGGTCAATCTCTTATTGTGTAAGCACTGGCTCTTCTCGCGCCTGTCTGGACCAGAGAACTGATCTCGAGTCGTCCGTGTACAGCTGGGCTATCGCTGAAGGCCGACGATGCGCCGCCCAAGTTGACGAGTACTTGGTGGGCAACACCCGATTGCCCGCCGCCGGATCGATTCCTGAGCGATCCTTCAAGTCGAGGAAGCCGGCTGCGCCGGTCGCCATCCAGGCCTAGACGGCGCCTGTTTGTTTTCCTCCCCAACCCAAAAAAACTTCAACGACTCTGAAAAACAGCATCGAAGTCCCTTCACGCTCGCATTCCTCGCACGCACGTTTCCTACCCTTCCGTCCGCCGTATAATCTTGTTTGCTCTCTCTCTCTCTCTCTATCGTGTTGCGCCTCGATGTTTATTTGTTGAAGAAACTCCTCCCCCCCCCCCCCCCCTCTCTCTCTCTCTTCTCTCTCTCTTTACAAAACCCTCAAAAAATCGGAATCGGGTCCTGGTCGAGTTTTTGACCAGTTTGCAGCTGCTTCCTTATCTTCTCATCTCCTTTCTGTTTTGTGTCTCTTGTTCGCTTCTCGCCTCTATACAGTTTCCGGAGTTTATGAATACCTTTCCCCACAATGTAATGTCGTTTTCATTCATCCAAATTTCTCGTGATCTGAGAGAGAAGAGAGTGAGAGCTTGATGTGTCACCATAGAGTCATTTGAGCCGTTCCGAGAAGGCCTCATGCGAATAGCTCTTCGAAAAGGTCTCCAAGGACAGCATGTGAAGTGTCGTATGGGATCCATGAGCTGAGAATGCAAGCAAGGTACACGAAAGACGGGGGGTAAAAAGATAGCATGGACGCCGGACCAGCCGTAGACACGTAAGAAAAAGATCGCTGCGGCGAAAGAGGGACGTGAAAGAACGTGTCGCGTATAAAGAATGGGGAACGAGCGCGAACAACAAGAATGGAAGAGATGGGCAAGTCAAAGAAATGTTTCGAGGCTGGTACTGGACGCGCGCTCAGAGGTCATGTTCGACCTTGACTCGGGACGTAGACGCCGTAGGACGGGGCACGACTGAACCTCGGCCCATCTCGGTATCTGTAGTGGAACACAAGAGAATACAATAATTAGTTGATACAGGATCTCTCAAATATTGGTCAATGGACTAACCTTGATCCGTAACATCGAATCCAAGGTCATCTATGCCTCCGCAAAGCGATCCAAGATCGTCCAAGCTCGCAGCGACGGTCGAGTCAGACACCTCACTGACCTCTCGTCGTCGACGAAGGCTACGACGCAGCGTGACGTTGGTGTTGTAGTCCGAAGGACTGTTGTTGGCCGTCGACTTTGCGGTCGATCGCTTGCTTCCCCGAGGGGTCGTCGCCTCGGTCTCGGTGGCGTCGCCATCGTCGTCGGAAGCTTCGGCAAGCGCCGAGGAGGCAGTGGGAACGCGGCGAGCCTTCTTTGGTGCACGACGGACCCCCGAGTCTTCTCGTCCCGAAGCTGATTTACTTGATCGTTGAGCATTCGTCGATGGCGTGACGAAGGGATCTTGATCAAAGACGACCCCAGCGGCAGCGGCAGCAGCAGCAGCTTTGCGAGCGCGAGTTGTACCCGCAGTCGGTCGAGCAGCAGCAGCAGCAGCACGTCGACGTGCGTTCCGAGGCATCTCGACCTCAACCTCATCTTCGTCTTCATCCTCTTCGTCCTCGGCTCCCTGTTCGTCCTCGGCTCGACGTGCCCTCTTGCTACCAGCAACCGGGACGCCGCCGGCCCTGACGTGCTTCATCATATTCGGCAAATCCTTACTAGGGCCCACGAACCTCCAAACCGACCTCTCTCCATCGATCTCCTTCTGATGCAACACAATCTCTTGCGTTCCCGACGTCGACCATCTTTCGAGGAAAGAGATGGTCTCCACCCCTTCAGCGACGGGTTGGCGTCGAAGGAGTTCGCTCGCCGAAGTGTCGAGCATGTCGTTCGTGATCGCATCGATGTGAGCCGTCGCGGCAGCGGCTTTTTTCGAGATTTTGGCGGGTGTGAGCTTCATGACTGAATGTTTGCCGGCCGAGATTTATTTGGCGGTGGAGATTTCCTCGCGGTTCGCGATTGTAAGCGGAGTCCGGGAGCTGGACTCAAAGAAAAAGTGCCGGCCGATGTGGGGGGAAGGCAACGAGTGCTGGCAGTATTGCCACTGGTTGTTGTGGCGATGTTGTAGATCACAGACTGTAGAAAGCTATTATACAAAACGTTTTGTGTCAGTCCAGGGCTGTCAGAATCGTTTGAACCCCGCCCAGCGAGATCGGGCACACTTGGACCAGGACTGACCTCACCGGACCGGTGCGAGCAGCGGTGACTCGGTTGCTGAAATTTGAAGGGCCTGCGTCGATGGTCGAAGGTGATGTTCGTTCCAAGGGTGGAAAGAGCGTGATGCAAAAAGCGTCGAGTCAAGAGATTACGAGAAGAGGGACGAAACAAAGGGCACCAAAAAGATAGACGGAGCACACCGGGGGGAGAGTGTTCGAGTGATTTATCGCACTATGGAAGTGTGACGACGAAAATTGCCTTCGACGGACGTTGCGCGAGCCGTCGCTCTTTATTCTTGTCCGATGCTCTCATCACAAAACGCGACCGTTGTGTGCTTGGAACGCCGGGCCTGTGACGGCCAGCCGGAGCGAAGTGGGGGTGCTCGACGAGCGAGGCGCGGCGGCGGCCGGCGGCGAGAGGGGGCTGGCCGATGGAGTGCGAATTCTCCTGTTTGGGCCATAGCGCGGGTTTCAGATTCGACTCTTGAGACAAAAACCGTTGGAAGTCTACTGGCTTCTGGCTTTGTTGCTGCGTGAAAGGAATCGACCAAAATGCATCTCATTTGGTGAACGCAAAAGGATCATGTACAACATGCCAAAGAGGAGAAGAAGGTAGCAACATTTCTGTGCAGACAAGGGCCTCGATCTCGGCGGACCCCCTGTCTTTTCGACTCTACGCGCGCGGCCGGCAACAGCCCTTCCCCACGCTCAGCTCGACGCACTCTTCGACCCCTGCTTGATCAAGCTCTTCCTCGCCTTCTCCACTTCCTTCTTGACCTTTCTCAACGCCCCAATCCCACCATGCATGACCCTCGTAATCAAATCGCAAGCCTCCCCCTTGTTTAATTCCTCAACCTTGACCCACCCACCTTCCCTCTCCCTCCCTGGAACCCAAAGTCCTTCGATCCTCCCATCTTGGATCTCATTCTTCAACTTGTTGGAAAGCATAGTTTGTTGAGAAGGGGTGGAAGGATGTTCACGCCATGGTGCGAAACGACGAGTCGAGATGGTGGGTTTCCACAAGTCGACATTAGCGACGAGGGCGTCTATGGTGGCGAGCAGATGACGAATGTCGGGGTGCGTTCCCAAAACGGTAGGTTTTGCATAGGGGTTACGAGTGAAGGCTAGTTGGGGTATGCGACGATAACCTTTGGCTTCCCATTGTGGGATTGAGGTGGGAGCGTCGTCCTTTGGCGAGATTCGGATATAGCCTTTCCCTCCCAACTCCAAGACATAAGCACCCTGTCCTACCCCGATCCAGGAATTACGTGTCAAACGCGAAAGAGGGATCCGGCTTGATTCCGAGTGTTTCGTCGTCGAAGCTTTGGTTCGAGAGGTGAGGAATTCGGTGACGGTATTGAATTCTTCGTAGGCTAAGCGGGAAGGGTCGGCGTCGATGTAGGGGAGGATTAAGGCTCGCGGTTCAGGAGCGGGGGAGGTGATGGCGAGGTTTTGTAGGTCCTTTGTTGATCGGGCTGTGGGACGTGAAGGTGGGTCAGCGAAGCTCCACCCTTGGCACCCTCGTGTAATTCGACTTGCTTACCCTCAATAGCCAAATTCGGATCAATCCCGAACAAAGTCGGCGTACACACGATACCTTCCGTCGAGTTCCCCACGAAATCAATGATGAGGCAATCTGTTTTCCCCGTCAAGGGACTCTTCCTCATCCCTCGACCGATCATCTGTTGAAAGAGGTTGCGCGATTTGGTCGGTCGGGCGAGGAGTACGCAGTCGATAAAGGGAAAGTCAGCGCCTTCCGTGAGAATACCTGGTGGGGGGTTGTTCACCGTGTCAGGATTGGGCAAGTAGAAGCTGACAGCGTGAGGGAGAATGGAGAGACTGACTGCAATTAACCAAGACCTGAAATTCCCCATTTCGAAAGGCATCATAGATTTGTTCCCTCTCCCTAATCTTGATCCCCTGATGCACGAACCTCGCATCGATCCCTTGCTCCCTAAACGCATTCGTCAACGAAACCACATGGTTCACATCCACCGCGAAGACCAACGTCGATCGTCGAGTTTGTTCGGCTTTCTCCTTCCAACTTTCGACGCAGATTCGATTGATCGGGGCTTGGTCGACCGCACGAGCTAGGGAAGCCATGATGAAGTCGCCGGAAGTTTTGGAGGTGCCGATGGAGTTGAGGTCGAGTGCTGAGCCGAGTCTCACGGTCGTGAATCGGATGTCGCATAGCCAACCTTTGGTGATCATGTCGAGCCATGAGGCGTGCCAGACGATCTTTTGGACGACTTTACCCAGGGCCAATCCGTCGGCGCGGGAGAAGGTTGCGGTGAAAGCGAGAATGGGGATACAGAGTTCACCAGAGGCGGATAGACAGAAGGGCTTGGGCGGGAGATGAGGAGGATCAGGCTGAGTCGATTCGGCGGAGAAGGAGAGGACGGGAGAAGCGGCAAGTACGTCGTCTTCGATGATGACCGCCGAGGTCTCGGATGTTTCGCTGATGCGAGGGTCGAAGCGACAGAGGATGTTGATGTAGGATTGAGAGGCCGCGTGATGGGCCTGCAGTGGTCCACACGTCGGTGTCAGTATGGAACCTGAGCTTGTGGGGAGCCGCTTTCGGGTGCGCACCTCATCGACGATGACGGCCTTGAAAGTACTCGGATCGAACTTGTCCAAACGTGCAAGATCGCTTCTAGCAAGAGTCTAGAATAGATCGGGCGAGATTAGACTGTGTTGAGCTCTCAACGCGACCGTCGAATCTCGAGTGACTCGCTTGGAAAGTGGCCACGGTCACGTCGGCGAATCCACTTGCGTCGTTGTCACCTTGCTCGACTTCGACGTGCTGAAAAGGGACAGCATGATACCCTGAAGGATTAGACACATTGTGATCCCCTTGGAGACGGCCCACACGGTGACGAACGACTGACCAAGGCAGGATACGTCGTCTTCACCACCTCGGCGGCTTGCTTGGCCAATTGAATGGTGCCGACCAGAATCAAGACGCGATTTGCCAATTGTGCCGTATCGGGATGTATCCTTGCCGGTAGTCGGGGAATCAACTCGGTGAACATTGCTGTTTTTCCGCTGCCTGTAGGGAGGTCATTCCCCGAGGGTTGGGGTGAGAAATCTGCTCGATTGTGGCGAGTCTTCTGGACTGACCGGTTGGAGAGGATATGCCGAGACGAGAAAGCTCGGTCGTGGATAGAGTGTCGAGAATGGTATTGATGCAGTCGATCTGGTAGGGACGGAGCTTGAAGGGTCGAGCCGCCAAAGAGGGTATGGTTGCTGCCTCGGTCTCAGCCTCACCCCTGATCTTTTCAGGGGCCTCGACCGGGACGGTGAGCTGACGAGGTGCACAAGTCGACGAGAACGACCGCGGTGAGGGAAAGGCCCTGACGGTGGAGTCGAATTGCCATGTTGGGTATTGTGACGGTGGTCCAGGTGCTCGTCGGGTTGGTGTTTGAGCTCGGACTCTGCTGAACGAACGGTGATCGACGGGAGGGGCAACAGGCGATGGCGGACGGCGACGGGTGAAGAGCACGCGCGGTATCCGACATGGACACGAGCGGATGAGAGAGCGGATCATAATGCCATGGTGAGGTGGTCTGGGGGAGCGGAGGATGTGCAAGGAGGAGGAGCAGAGAGTGAGCGTGGGCGTGGGAGTGGGCGTGGGCGCTGCCCCGGGAAGAGCAATCGCAGTGGGTCCGAGTGGGTCCGAGCGCGCGCGATCCCCAGCGGCGGCGGTCGGCGACTGCGAAGCTCTGCGAAGCCCCACCAGTTTGCGGAGGTGATTATCCCGTCCCAGTTACTTCAACCCCACTCCCCAGCCTACACTCATCCGACCCGACCAAGCCTACCTCGTCCGTACATCAACCATCGCCCGTGTCTGGTCGTAGCGACTCGACGCTCTCGCTGCGGCTGTGCTTGCGGCGCGCCACCTTCCCCACGTGGGAACCCCCGGCAGCTCCCCCGGCCGACCCGTCATTCAACACCTCTCAACCGACCCGCAGCTCGGCACAGTAGTCCGTTCCGGGGTCAACCTCAACAGCACCCTCCACCACGATGCGAATTGCAGTCTCCTCGTCGCTATGGGGCCTCGCGTTGCTTCCCTGTTTGGGCTATGCACTGCCAGCCTCGACATCCGGAGCCGGTCGTCTGATCAAGTCCAACACCAGCATCCCCACTCCCATCATCGCACGTGCCCGCCCATCTCCCGCGTAAAATCATCTTCCTCTCTGACCCTCTCCCCCTCTGCGTCCCAACTAGCTCTGGCACGGCCTCGGCGACCGCTACGATGCTCCTGGATTGCTCGCGCTCAAAGCCGAGCTGCAAGGCCATCACAAGCTCAAAGGTGTCTACGTTCATCTCATCGGCGTCAGTGAAGGTGGTGCTGCGGACCAGTACGTATACAACTCCTTCAACGACACACGGAACGAGCGATCGTACTGACGATGTGAATTCTCGACAGACGCTCAACCTTCTTCGGCAACGCCAACGACCAAATCGCTCTCGTGTGCGAACAGCTCACCCAAACACCCCAACTCGTGGATCCTCAACTCAACCCTTCGGGCAAGGTCGATGCGATCGGGTTCTCCCAAGGCGGTCAATTACTTCGTGGGCTCGTTGAGCGATGCTCCGAGCTCAATTTTAGGAGTTTGATCACGCTGGGGTCGCAGCATGTCAGTTTAGTCTCGGAAACGTGCTCGACCTTGAAAGGGGACTGCTTCGATCAAAGCGTTGATCCCCGTTCTTTTCCTGTCTTTCCAGATGGGTATCTCCTCCCTTCCCCCTTGCCCACCCGGATCCTCCCCCTTCTCAACCTGTCACCTCTTCCGCTTATCCCTCCTCAAGAACGGTCTCTACTCCTCCTGGGCCCAACAGAACCTCCTTCCCGCTCAATACGTACGTGATGAGGCGAGGATCGAAGACTACTTGAAGGTCAATGTTTTTTTGAAGGATATCAACAATGAGAGGGAGGGGGATAGGAAAGTGGGACCGCCGAAGGATGGGGAGGTGGTTGGAGTAAGGGTTCGGGATCAAGGGGAGGGTAGGAATCAGACGTACAAGAGGAACTTTGCGAGGTTGGAAAAATTGGTCTTGTTGAGGTTCTCGTGAGTCCTAAAACCCCTCCCCTCTCACCGATTACATCCCCTTTGGAAACTCACACTCCCTCTCTCTCTCTCTCTCTTTTCATTCGGACATCCCCGAGAAAAGAATGGACACCACCGTTGTACCCCCCCACACAGCGCACTTCACTCTCCCCTCCCCGACCGCTTCCCCCTGTCCGTTCTCCCTCGACCCAACATGCTACGTCGATCCCGTCGAATGGGCCGACTTGCCCCTCTATCAAGATGATTATATCGGGTTGAAGGAATTGGACGCGAGAGGCGTGGTTTGGAAAGGCGTTTGTAAGGGGGCGCATATGGAGATCGATCGGAGGTGTTGGAGTACGGTCACTAGGTTTTTGGTGGGGAACGGTGAGAAAGAGGGGGGCGAGGATGTGAGGGAGAATGCGTTCGTACTGCAAGGTTGACTATGGGTTGCGATCGTTCTTTCGGTAGGATTTGAGGGACTCGTGTGTACCACCAAGGTGTTCATAGAGCTGAGTTTATGTGATCACATTAACATGCACATTCTATGCTAAACAACATCAGAGATAGACTCCTCCACACACAACAAGATCAAGTAAGCTGAGGATGATGCCACAGCCAAATGCGAAGAAAGAAAATATCGTCGCTCCCGCCGAGTACCTAGTCAATCATGTCGCGTTTGGAGGCCAATCCCAGGGTCTATTCATCCACCCTCTCTAATCACTCTAATGCACCCCTTTTACCTTATCACCCCCGCCCACTCCAGCCTCACCTGCCTGTCCAGGGAGGGCCGAATGCGCAGTCGACCTCGTCGTCGTGGTCTTCAACCCCGCGAAAGTATCCTTCTTGGAATTTTTGGGCAGACGTGATGCAAGTCCCAGTTCGTCGAATAGGGGTTCCCGTTCGCAGTGCCAGAAATTCATCCCTGTGATCATTAAGAAAGGTGTGGAGATCAACATCACTTCACCGACCTTGGAACCTAGAGGGGTCGAAGATATGGAAAACTGACCATTCCCATCCCTCACATTCTGAGCAGCCAAACCCCTCTCCGGTTCCCCGTTTCCATTATCATTTGTACTCCAACCTTTTTCAGGACGAATGTTGACATCTTCTAGGCGGGCGACGAGTCGACGAGAAGGACGCGTATTGCGGTCCCCTTGTTCGTGATCTTCTTCGGAGGATCCGTTGCCGATGGGTCGGTGCGGTTTCTTTTCTTTGTAGAGGAGGTCATAGGTTACCTGAAGAGTTGTAAAGACTTAGATTAGTTTCGTGGAACATGCGGAGAAATCAAGTAGCAGAAGGGGAACTCGCCCTTTCATGAGGGACGAGGAAGCGGAAGAAGCCGCCGGTTTGGCGAATCGCGGTATGGTGTACAAAGACTGGTACAAGCGAGGTGTGACCTCCAGGTCAGTGACTCATGAAGTCTCATGAACTTTCAAGGATCTGTTCGTGCGACTCACCATCCCTTCCGTCGAGCTCGTAGGCGTGGTCATCGACCAAATACCCCCAGCCTTCTGCGAACATCACCCCCAATTCAATCGTCAGCAAATCGAAACCCGCAGCATGCCCATCTCGACCACAGAGGTTGAGAAAGTGCACTCACTCATATTCCAAAACTTGACCACCCCCGAACGTTCGTAAAACACCTCCCCACCTTCCAATCGCGGCAGGACCGACGGCCCCATCCTCCCTCCGACGGCGCATTGCCCATCTTGAATAGGGGGTCCATGACTAAAACCGACGCCCATCGGAGGAAGGTGGAAAGGAGGGTAAGGGTTGGGTGACATACAGGGGTAAGGTCGTGGGATGAACTCGATGGGCCCTGAAGTACTTTGATAGTTCGGGGAAAGGTGGTACACGGATGGAGGAGGGCAATCGAAGAAGGGGGATCGTGGAGGGGCGCTGAGGTTGGGAGCGCCCGTTTCGGCTTGGCCTGGGACGGGGGGCCAGCCACTGGTGTCTTGCATGGCGATGCCTGGGGAGGACTGAGGCGAGGGGAAGGCTTGTTGAGGTACTCCGCCGTGGAGTATGATCATTGTCGGCGAGTGGGACGAGTCGTCGACGTTGGCAATGGCCACACCAGAGTGATGATCGGACGCGGTGGTGGAGGCGTGACGGTGAGGAAGCGAGGCGATCGAGCCATTCGGAGACGAGCGGTACGGCACCACCATCGGCGAAGTAACGTGAGGGTGGTAGTGATGGGATGGATCGTATCCAACATGGTATTGGTGGGAGGAGTAGTCCTGCTCGAGAGCGTACTCGTGAACGGGGTAGTGCGGGTGCCCCGTGGTGATGGTGGGTGAAGGGATGGGGTGAACCGGCGCCCCGGTCGGGTTGATGCGAACGCTAAACAAATCCTCCGAATTGGACCGGTGCAAACCGCTCGCGGCGATGGACTCCTCCGTCCCCACTGCTGGCGACGTTGAAGGGCACAGACCGTGTTCGATCTCGCGTGGGGTAGTGGACGAACGCGCCCGACGTCGACCACCCAAGGTGACCGTTGGCGAAGAGGGCTCCGAAGTGGGGGATGGCGCTTTGACTTGAGGTGGGGGAAGCAGCACGTCACGACGTCGTGCACCAGCTGGAGAGGACCGAGGTCTGTGCGAGAGACGGGTTAGACATAGAGGATACTGGCCAAGAGTCAGCTCCGAGAGTCGCTGGGTGCGATGGGAACCATGCTTGAGGTGCAGCACCAGCTCAAAGGTTCGAGCTGAACGAGCGCGACGAGGAGCGCTAGCGAACGCCGTGCTGGGGAAGGTAGTAAGTAGTACAAGCCATGACGGAGCGCACTGACCTCTGTATCGTCTCGGCTTTCAGTATATCCGTCATGATGAACATGGTGGTCACACTTCAGCCAGGAGAGGGGTTATCAGAGCTGAGACGAGATGCTGGGGGACGGCGAAGGGTAGCTCAAGAAAGTGCTCGAGCTAGTCGCTTTTGGAATCGATGACTCGCCTTCTGAGGGGGGCTGAAGCCCGCGCCGCAAGACTCAACGTTCCAAGCCGTGCCATTTCCACACCTCTATCGCTATCCGCATTCCAGTACGGTGATCACCACCAAACTCTATTCTACCCAAACAATGAGAAAACGAAGAGCAGACCCCAGTCCGAGCCGCTATGCAACGCGGCCTGACCGTGCACGTGAAGAGAGAGAAAAAGCAACGACAGCAGGACCCACACCAACCTTTCCTCCCCCATCCTCATCTGACCGGTCGCGACGTGGTGCGATCTGCAGAAGCTGCTGGCAGCCGGCGGCAGCAACTAGCAAGTTGGGTTCGAGCACAGGGGGGCGAAGGCGAACTATCGACACTCGGCGAGCATAAGACTCACTTTTTCGTGACAAAGTCGTTGGGCATCAAAGATACGCGCCATGACGTGAACTGCCGAATGGCCGCAAGGGACCCTCCTGTGACGCCAAATCTCGAGGTGGAGGCGAAGGTGGAGGCGGAGAAAGACGGTGGGGTGAAGGCGAGGTCGAAGGTGAGGATCAGGTGAAAGAACAGCAACACAGAATGAAGGAGCCGGCGTGAGGGGGAGGGGGGAGGGAAAGGAATAGGCGCAGAGGCGAAGGCAGCGGATGAAGGTGGAGATGATTCATGGTCGACGCGAGAGTGAAGACGAGAATCGGATGTGGAGTTGAGGTCGGTGATAGAGGTGGGGACGGTGTAATGCGGTGTCAAGGCGTTGTAAAATGAAGGTGGTCATGGGAATGGGAAGCTTGAGGAAGATGAACGGCGGGGCAAAGGTGAAGGCGAAAGCAAGATCAGCCAAAGGCCGTCCGACGGTACGAGGTGGGGTCTGGCCGATGATGGCAGAGGCGGTGGCGGTAGCGGTACATGCTCGCAGGTGGCCACAAAGGGACTGACCGGATACAGTCACAAAATTTAAGAATCCCAAACTCTTTGCCTTGCAAGACGACCTGGGCTGCCGGGGATTTCCTCCACGCTCAAGCGCAAGCGACTGGGAGGCTGGTGATGTTCCGAGTCAGGCTCGGGTGGTACTCGGACGAGTGGGAGGGGTGAACTCACGATGGCTGAAGGTACACTACTGCCGAATCCCACCATCTACCACCTCGGTCCTGCGTCTGTCCGTGAGTCGTTACGGCCCAGTGGTGGGGGAGCCATGTGAGGCTTACGCAGCAACGAAGAAGAAGCAAGGAGAGAGAGAAAGAGAGGTGAGGCCGGTGAGGGGCGAGCCGCACTCATATAGGCGCTGAGGTTGGGCTTGGCGCTTACGAAGCAAGTCGAGTCGAGCTCGCTTGATCGGTGCCAATGACGCTAGCCCGCGCCGCTGCCGCTCGGCATCGCAGCTACCCTGGCGCTGCGGTTCTCCGAAAGGAGACCACTTGGTCACCGAGGTCACCAAGGTCACTCTGACCCGCTTCGACCTCATTTGTAACGGCACCGATGTACAGAACAATGTTCTTGAGGGTTCTAAAATGACTTCTGTATTTTTAACGCGTCTGCTCGTACTACTTTGAGTCCAAATGACCCATAACCTGTCTTGCCCCTCCATGGTTCGGTGTCATTCCGAGGGGTCAAACCAAGCTGATGAGCCGGGAGCGTGCCCGTCACGCGCAGCATGTTCACGTTTGGCACGGCGAACGCCTCGGGTACTACCACCGTCTCACTCCCTCAGCCTCGCTCGAGGGTCTGTCTTAGTCCCTCACTTGAGGCGTCCATTAAGACAATCACGCACGGTCACAAAATTCTTAACGAAAAACTCGGTACCGTTCCGAAAACCGTTTTGGGTCAGCATCAAGCCATGCGTCAAGCATTTGTTCTGCTGGAGGGCCCTGTCGATGGTGAGTCCAAGTTCACCTTGTGGTAATATAGACGTGGATTTCTTCCGTTTTCGTCCATTTTGTTTGATTTTTTCAAACGCCCCAGGCCCAGCCTTAGGCGCTTAGGCGTCGGGCCCCGCCGACGGTCATGTCTTGTTCTGTTGACATAGAGAACATGATCGCGGCTGTAGACTCGGCAACCATCTTTATCTTATCTGAAGAGTGCCCGCCTAGGGTTCTATTGCTGAGAAAGTTAGGGTTTGAACAGCATCTACATCACGACCTTCATCCTCGCCGTCTTTCTGAAAAGTCTAGAAACCGGAGCCAACTCTCGAGTCCAAAGCGCTCTTATGCGATGCCGACGAGTGAGATTCCGCCGGGGATATGGTGTGGCTTCGCACTCAGTTATAGGGAGACGCAGCCGCTGTCCCGCAGGCGCTCATCGGTGCAGCCAAGACGAAGACGAGCCGCTATGATCAGGTTTGTTGCATTGGAGCGTCGGGCTGACATACTAATGCTAGCGGTAATCAGTGCCGTACCTTGACAATACTCTCGGAAGAGCATGCATTCCTGACACTGTCAGTTCATTTGCTGTAAGCACTGGTATCCCCAAATCGGTGGGTCTGCATGACTTGCCAGCTCTCAGTGGCCGCAGTGTGACTCGGAGGCGAACCGTTTCTTCGGCCGAATCGGTGCAGTGCAGTGGACGGCGGACTTTCGGTCCCGCCGGCGGCAAGGGAGATCTCACAGAGTACCGAGCCTGCAAATACAAGTCTTGCAAGAATCGTCTGCAACGACCTCTCACGCTAGGAGGAGAGAATTTGATGATTTTTGGGGCTTACTAATGCGCAGGCGCTGATGCCTAATCGAATCAGTGATGTCGTCGCGTGGTCCTTCGCTATCCTTCGCCAGGTCTGGCGGTGTCGCGCCTTCGCGAGGGCGCTGGCCCTCGCTTGGCTCTGCTCCTCACCTGCTCCCTTCTACCCGACTCCGCACCCGCCCAACCCCCCCACAACTCATCCACTCCCCATCCCACCTTGTCCCCACTTTATAACCGCTCTTCGTCGCCGCCGCCCTTCTGCCGCCCCTTTCGATCCGCAACCCTCACCTTCCCACCTCCACCCTCGGCTCACCTGACCTCCTTTCCATAACTCCTTCCGCCCACAAACTCCTCCACTACCCGCCTCCCCTTTCTTTCAAACATGTCCACCAAGGTCGAAGACAACTCCGCCACCAGCAACGCCTCTGCGTCTGCTGCCCCTGCTGCGGCGACGTCGACCTCGGCCCCTGACGAGACGCCCAACGTCGGCGCGCTCTCGCTCGAGGATGACGCCAACAACGACGCCAACAATGCCAACAACGCCGATGAGGGTCTCACCCTTCGTGCGCTCGTTAGCTCCAAGGAAGCTGGTGAGTTGCAGCGCTTGATCCTCTCCTTGTAGTGGCCCGTGGTCACTCTTCTGTCTCTGTCGACCACGACGCAACGAGTTCGCCGGCGGGCGCTTCGCACACGGCGCAAAAGCACGTGCATCTCCGACGTCTGAACGCATAAAGATGCACTTGTGATGCAACGGCAACTGTCATTGCCATCTCATACAACCAAGATGTCTTTTCCACCTCATTCTATACATCCGATGCTGACCATGGCTTGTCCTCCTGAACTCCTCCGCTTCCCCGCGTCTCGTCTTCCACCACTTCGCATCACTCGCAACACCTACCTTCCTGCCACTACCAGGTGTCATCATCGGCCGAGGGGGTGCTACGATCGCAACGATCCGCCAAGACTCGAACGTGAAGGCCGGCGTGTCCAAGGTCGTGCCTGGCATCGTCGACCGCGTGCTCTCCGTCGGTGGTTCCGTCGATGGCGTAGCCAAGGCAAGCCTTGCTTTGCGCACCCAATGGGTCTTGATGGACTGAGCTGATCCGGTCTGACCCTGCCCTGTTTTGAAACAGGCCTACTCTCTCGTTGCGCAAACGATCCTCGAGAACCCCGTCCCCGCCCCCGGTGCCGCCGATGCCCCGACGGCCCCCACTTCGACGACGACGACCGTGCGCTTGCTCATCTCGCACTTGCTCATCGGTTCCGTCATCGGCAAGGGTGGAGCCAAGATCCGTCAGATTCAGGACGTATCCGGCGCGCGCATGGTCGCGAGTAAGGAGATGCTCCCGCAGTCGACCGAGCGCGTCGTCGAAGTCTCGGGTGCGCCTGAGGCGATCCGTCTCGCCGTCAGTGAGATCGCCAAGTGCCTCATCGAGGACTGGGACCGCTCGCAAGGCACTGTCCTGTACCACCCTGGATCGGAGGGTATCGGTCACGGCGGTGCGATCGGCAACGGCTTCCCCGCCGGCGCATCCTTGTTCGCCGTCGGCGGCAACCGTCGTGCCTCGAGTGGCAACCATGCCGGTGGCTACAACGGTGGCAACCAACGTCGCGTCTCGAACGGAATCGAAAGTGGTGTCCTCGGCAACGCCGGTGGCGCTCCTTCCCCTCAAGCCCGTCGTGTCTCTGGTAACGGAGCCGGTGGTGCGACGCCCTCCTCCGCTCCTTCCGCGAACGAGTCCGACCCCAACTTCCGCGAACAAAAAATTTCGATTCCGAGTGACATGGTCGGTTGCATCATCGGCCGCGGCGGAACCAAGATCAACGAGATTCGTCGCTTGAGCGGCTCCAAGATCTCGATCGCCAAGACGGCGCATGACGATACGGGCGAAAGGATGTTCGTCATCTCGGGCTTGCCGGAACATAACGAGAAGGCATTGTTCTTACTCTACAACCAGTTGGAGAATGAGAAGAACCGAAGGCTCAGTGCGCAGGAGGAGGGCGAGGGAGCGCAGGAAGCCTAGAGGTCGGATACACCTCATTCCTCGCCTATCGATTGGATTGCGATTCGAGCGTGACCCCTTGACTGGACGTTTCATGCTGCGATCAAGAACCTCGTCGATTGGGGGCTTTCTTCCTTCAATTCAATCCCACCAAAAACAAATCTCAAGATCGATTCCAAAACATCTACCCCTCGCCAATCCCCTCCTTCCCTCCCCTTCATCGCACCCAAAAAAACTTCAAATCTCTCGATATTCTACCACACTCCTCCTATCCCGTCCTCAAGATCTACAGGTCAAAGCACGCACCATCTACCCAACCATTTCCTCGACATTTTGACCATTCCACCTCGACAAGCTTCTATTCATAGCCTCTTTCCGCGTAGGTTCTTGTTTGCTGATGAGAGAGAAATCGGGTGTATGTGGAACGGTGGTTCCTTTGTGTGTGTATGTGTGTGCATGTGCGTGTCTGTGCATTCCTGTAATCGTAAGCGATACAAAAAATCCAGAATCTTGGTTGCAGCAAGAGAGAGGCTGAGTTTGGATAGGCACCGGATTGTGGAGGTCAGATCGTGGGAGCGAGCAACTTGATAAGCCACTGCACCTCGCCTGGGTTGACTTGACCCAATTCATGGAAGATGTTCATGAGGGAGCCCCCTTTGTTCGTGTACGGGCCCCAGGTTTGGAGCGAAGATCAAAGGGAAAGAAGCAGCGCGAGGTGAGGGAGGAGGTAGGAGCGAGGGATGAAACAGGGGGGGGGGGGGGGAATGAAACCGCGCGCGCCGAGAGCGAAGTGGTGCAACCAACTCACAACGCGCATCGCGTTCTCTCGCTTCCCTCTCTTCCTTCACTCTGGTCCGTGCGCCTTGACGAGGATCGACTGCGACTCGTTACGTGTGTGCGAGAGGAGGTGATGTCGTCGTCGTCGAGATGGGGTCGGTGTTTGATCCACCCACACTACCATCCTCAAAGTCATCAGGTGTCGTCGTCAGCGTTGGGTCGAGGGCGGCGCGAAAGCGGTCAAAGCGCCAGCGCGTCGACGACCCCGTTCGTGCGAGCGATCCATACCAGCTCCACTTCGGCTGCAGTGGAAGGCGTGCTCCCGAAACGAAATGGGGAGAGGAACGGTCCTCCTCCTATCGCACCACTACCAACTCCACCACCGCGAACGTCCTCATTCTCAAAGCTCAAGGCGCGAACGATCCCGACGCGATCTCAATCCCATGTCAAAGACGTCTCCCGCATCACGGGCGCACATGCGGACAACCCCGTTGGAGAAATGTACTACGAGATGGACATTTCGGACGGGGTCCACGAAATCCCTTATGACGATTTGGTTTCGGCGTTGTATGCGACGAGGGAAACTCCTCTCGTCGATGAGCAGGATCTTAGTGAGGAAGGCGTCCCGGGTATTGAGGGGCTCTTTGAGGATGGAGAAGGAAATTTAAGGGGAGGCGCCGAGGAGAGTTTGGATTGGCAGGTGCTGTTGGATGAGTTGGTCACGAGGGATCATCGGGAAGGGAGTAAAGTCGAGACGACGAAGGCAAAGGCGCGAGAGATCGAGAAACCGGAGATTGTTCCTGCACCGAAACCTACAACTACGACTACGACTACCTCATCGAGTATGGAAATCAAGCCATCAAAATCTTCGACATGTCAAACACCTGAACCTGTATCGACACCGATACCTGCATCGACCCGAGCGCCAATTGTAAAAGCTATTCCTGCGATCATCACACCCACGAAGAGGCTCGCCCCTCTCGGCAAAGCACGGGACCTCAATCCTTCACCACGACCCATCGGCATCCTACCCTACACACCTCCATCCAATGTTTCCCCCACCGATCCTTCTTCCCGCCCCCTCCTCTCGCGCTACGACTGGCGTCTCTCCTCCCCACTCCCCCGACAATCTCCCTCCCTCATCCCCCACCTCTCGACATCCCCACCAGCAATCTCCAACAAGGGGCGAACAAGTTGGTCGGTGTGGGACATGCACCTTATTTCAGTGGGAGGAGGATCAAGGATGTAGAAGGGTGGGGGTGGAAGGGGAGAGTGCCCCAGGGGGAAAAGGGGACTTGGAGGGCCGCGGACCGGCATCGGATAAAGTGCGTACGGTTGGGTTTCGCTTTCGAATTCTGTTGGTTCGTTCCGGTGACTAAAAATATTTTCTGATATACGCCAACAGAATTGATCGCCTACTAGACCTGAATGAAGAGGCGGAGGAAAAATCCTACCTCGAAACTTTAGCTCGATCTGGCACACCCGAACAACGCGAAACCTTGGGGCGAACCGTTTGTCGCGCCCAGGGGATGTGGTTGACCAAGTCGAAGAGGACCGATGAGATTCTCAAGATGACGAGGGAGGAGAAGGATGAGTTGAGGAGAAAGTCGGCGGGCGGGGGAGGGGTTATTTCGACTTGGAGGAATTGTGAGGGTGGGGATTTGGATGAGGCCAATGGGTATAAATTTGTGTGAGTGCGCGCTCGAACGTTGCTGATGAGACTTTTAGCTGAATGGATGGGTTCTCCCCGCATCAGACCGGGTACGATTCTCCGCTTCATACCGCTCAAGTCCGAGAACGTCGGCTCTGGACCGGCACCTCCACCGAGTCATGCGCCAAAACATCCTCAGGGGTCGGTGTTGGAGGTTCAGAATGGGCGACTAATCGTCATTTTCGAGGAGGCGGATATGTGGGTCTTGGGACAGGAGGAGTATCGGTGAGTTGATGGTGTGCTTTGCATCGAAGTTTAGAGCTGGATCACTGATCGAGGTGAATAATGGGTTCTCAGAATCGACATCGGCGTCGACGATGCCTCGTACCACCTTCAACGCGCCGCCATTGACAGTCTCTACTTTGACTCGGCGCGTCAACGACTCCGCAACGAGCGCACATGGCAAGCCGCGCACATGGCTTTCGCAAGGACCAAGATTTGTTCGACGGTTCGGGAGTGGACCTTGCAAGGTACTGATGTGAGGGAGTTGATTGTGCCGACCGAAGCGACGCCCGCGGTAGAGGTCGCACAGAATCCGGCTGAATTCTCATTCGACGATCTGATCGATGGGCGAGACGAGTCGGCCATCGTTCCAGCTTCCATGACCCAAGTCGAAGAGACGACACCGAGGCCCGCATCGAATCCTTCCCCCTTACTGTGTGACAATCAGCTTATCAACTCATGGGTCAAGCGCCACCAACGTTCCCCACCCTTAGCAATGGAAGGGGACCCGATCCTCCGCCTGAACGACTCCCAAACCCGTGCCGTGGCAATGGCCATGTCCGAATCGCTCTCCCTCATCCAAGGTCCCCCAGGGACAGGCAAATCCGCCACCTTGGTGACGTTGATCCATCTCCTCAAAACGCATTTCCGGATCCCCCAACCGATCCTCCTGTGCGCACCAACGCACGTCTCGATTGATCATTTATTATCCCTCCTCATCGACGCGGGGTTGAACCCCTTGAGAATGGGGAAAGCGTATAAGGTTAGGGAGGAGTTGAGGGAGTGGACTGTGGAGAGGAGGAGGGAAGGTCATCCGCTTTGGGACTTGTGTGAGGGGGCTAGAGTCGAGTGTGAGAGAATCAGGGAGGAGTTGGATGGGTTGAGGGAGACGGTCGGGGTTGATAAGAAGGGGCTGGAGAGGATCAGTGAGTTAGGATTAGGGTCCGAAATGGGGAGGAGAGCACTGATGCTTTGCGTGGTGCTGCGTTCGTACATTGCAGTGGAGATGGAGGAGATCCTCAAGAACGAGTGGCGCAGGTTCGTCACTCTAGAACAGAGATTGTACTCGAGCTTGCTCGCGACCGCGGATGTGTTTTGTTCGACCACGATCGGAGCGGGCGCGACAAAGATCATGAGCGTAAGTCCGGCTGTGCACCGACGAGACGAATCAGTATGCTCATTCTCGTTCACCTTGGAGTAGATGATCGATTTTCCTATCGTCTTTCTGGACGAAGCAGCGATGTGCACCGAGGTGAGTGAACGGCAGGAATGAGTTGTGCGCCCCCAGCGAGCTTATTCGAATCTCGACTTGACTCTCAGCCCGTGAGCTTGATCCCTCTGATGAAGGGGGCCCAACACGTCTGCTTTATTGGCGATCAGAAACAGTTGCCGGCTGTGGTCAAGGTGAGTGCGAGGGGCTCGTCAGCTCACCGAGCTATTGCTAGAAGCTGACCGAGTCTTGAAAAGCACTCTCAGTCTCGCGAAGCCGTTCAGAATCGATTGCACGTCAGCTTGTTCGAGAGGCTCATGGCTGAGAAAGGTTGCTTATATTCCGTCAGGGGGTTAGCCTCGTTTGAGGATTCGACGGAAGCTGATCAGTGTTCGCGACGTGACCTCCAGCCGTGCAAACGACCCTACTCGACACGCAATACCGCATGCGACCTCAGATTTCGGCCTTTCCCAACCAAGCGTTCTACAATTCGGCACTCAAGGATGCTCCGAACGTATCGAAACGGTCCTCACCGCCCAAATCGACGTACCTCCAAATGAATGCCGAGACGGGCAAACCTGATCCCTGCGTGTTCATTTCGCACGAAGGCGCCGAGACGTTCTTTCGTCAATCGACGTTGAACGAGACCGAAGTGGACCTCATCGTCTCCATCGTCGGTGACCTCTTGACGCGGAATCCCGAGCTCGACGCTTCGACGATCGGGATCATTTCACCTTACGCTTCCCAAACGAGGTTATTGAGCGATACCTTTTCCATCGGGGATCGAAGAGGGTTCAGTTCGCGCGTCATCGATCGATGGGGTTTCGACATCGCTCTTCGAGCGAGTCAAGTCGAAGTCAATACCGTCGATGGGTATCAAGGTCGAGAGAAATCGATCATCATCTTATCGACCGTTCGTTCGAACCCGGCGAACTTTATTGGGTTTCTCTCGGATCGGAGGAGGTTGAACGTCGCGCTGACGAGGGCCAAGGATTTGTTGTTCGTGGTCGGGAATGAGAGAACGTTGGGGTTCGCGAGGAGCGGGTGGGGTGGGAGGGGGAGGATGAAGGGGACGGGGGGACGGGCGTTTGGAAGGGTTTTTTGGCGTGGTATAGAGCGAGAGGGTGGATAAAGCAATGGGGTGCCAGCGGTGGGAAGGGGCAGTGAGGGGGTTGGGTAAAATGTTTTTCGCATAGCATGTTTTCGTACCCCTTTATCTCCCGTTCCCGCTTCCTCACTCTAAGATGTTCGGGGGGTCGTTTTGTTATCCCTTTCAGGTGCTCTCTTGTGTTTGCAGAGGGTTAGATTGGTCGTTTTTCGTTAATCGTAAAATCGGAGAGACGCGGCGCGCACTGAGGCGCTGATGGGCCAGGAAGGGCCAGGATGGGCCTGGATTAAGCTCGACGCCCCTCCCTTTGGGAGGGGCTTGTGAGTTATCCGCGCTTTTGGCTGAGTTGCCCTCCGAATTTTTGGCCCTGAAAAGTGCCCCCTTGCTGTAGCATGGCATATATTGGTGCTAACTGAAAACTGGAGGGATACGTCTTTACTTCATCATTATTGATGATGCTTCATCGAAGCTTGAAGTCTAGGAACGCTTGATCATCTCGCTACAACAGCTTGAATCAACTGATTCCAAATGACACAGGTTGGCGCACGGACCAGTCGTAGTCCAGTCCGCGTCGAAGGCTGCATAGAGCCAGGTCACTTAAGCCCGGCTGCGCCTCACGCATCCTCTCTCTCTCCTCCACTCAACATCGCACCTCACCTCATGATGAGCCATGTCGGTACAAACACCCAGGCTGGTTAGGGGACCGCCCCGTCGACATCCATCAATTGAGTTCAGGGCGTCTCCCTTGCGATCAGCTTCAAGGGCCAGTCCTACGACCCCAGCACCGAATCATTCAACCAATCCGACAGCCGTTCTCGGTCACTGGAGGCCACCTTTGACTCACCAGGACCGACGAGATTCCAGCGAATTACGCAAGAAGATCAAAGTGATTCTGGGCGAAAGTCTTGACGAGGACTCTACCCCCCGGCCTGTGCAGATCGAGGCCATTGCTGCCCTTTCGAACTCGATCAATTTGGGAACCGGAATCGATGTGACGCTGTGTTCGTCACAGCGCCAACGGTTCAGGCAAAAGTGTTATCTTCGAAGCAATGTATCTCATTTACGGACGCCGGGCCGTCACCATTGTTGTCATTCCACTGAATGCACTGAGCAATCACTGCATCAGGTGAGTTTTTCTGCCGACTGGGCTTGCTGGACCGACATTCGTGCTGATTTCCGCGGTCACATGCTTCTTTCAGGCTGCCAATCTCAATTGAAAGGGAAAGAACGCGATTGTCGTATCTGAGGAGACCTGGAGAGACGGCGAGCTGTACAGGCAGTTGGACGACCCCAATCACAAGATCTCCTTCATTCTGATCGAATGTGCCGGTTGACCTCCTGTTTGAGTGAAGTACACATGTGTTGATTTTCCTTCCTGTTGCGTGTCAAGTCTCCTGAAATGCATATGAACGATGCAGATTGGGCAAAGTTGATCTCTAACGAGTCCTTTCGAGAGCGCGTCAAGTTGCCCGTCTATGACGAGGACAGGGGGGTGGTGTGCATCAAGAAGACTGAGGCCAAGATGAGGGACCAGTCGAGCAAGCGCTCGATATATCTGAGCTTTTATCCCGGTTGTAGATGACGAGTCGGATTGGGGAGTTGGGAGGAGATGCTGGAGATTGACTCGCGGTAAAGACGCTTGATGTGCAGAGTAGGCTCGAAGGTTGTAAGCGCCGGCAATATCTCCGTTCTGAATGTGGGCGTAACCAAAAGTTCCATGAAGCAGCTCGGTTCGTCGATCCAATTGCCGATCGTTGACGTGATGTGTGACGTCGATGTTGTCAACGGTCACATGGAAGTACTTGTTCGAGCCAATCTCCTTCAGTTCCGTCGAATTCGCCTTCGTCAAGCTCGCAGCTGCCTGGAGAGTCGCCCAGCGACATGTCGTCAAGCCGCAATCGTACAGAAACATTGTCAATCGCTCGTTCGCTCCACATGCGAGAGTCATGAGACCGTTGCGATGCTGCATGGCGTTGTTCCTTCGGTTGCAAGCGAATGCGATCTGACCCATGACACTGCAGTAAAGCTGCGGCCAGCGTGTTGAAGTTTTTGGTGTCAGTTCGCTGCGATACCCAGCCGAGCCATGGTCAGAAACACTCACAAACTCGATACGCTTTCTTTCGTGACCAGGCTCTTGTTCTTGCTCTGGATCGGAACCATTCTCCGGGGTGGCTTCTTCCATCTCGACATCAGTGGAGGCTGTTGGGTCCTTGTCGCAATTGATTGGCTCAGCCGGTGGTGGGTCTCCGCATTGTGATAGCAAGTTTCGAATCCGTCCGCTGATAAAAGGGTTGTCTTCGGCGATTGCATCGAGCCGGGCGTCGATGTAATCGGATGCGAGGACTTCGGGAGTCAAGTCATGGCTAGCGACGAAGGCGGACTTGGTTCGCTTCATCTCTTTAATGATGATTGAGTCGGCCTGCACGCGGATAAGGCAAGTATTCAGTAGCTTTATTGGATCCGGAGAATCAATCCGAGAAGTACGAAAGTGTTGCCCACCTGCTCGGCGATCCAGCCATTGATTCGGCTTCTTGACTCTGCGCCATCCTCGCGTGCAAGTCGTAGAATGAGATCAAGTACACGCTTAAGGCTGGACCAGTTGCTGTTGAACAGCTTTGGTCGGTGTGTTTGAACGCCTTCAAATCGTGTGGATGAGCTGAAGTACCACGACAGGTATTGACATAGCGAGAGATCGCGGCTACGCCTCGCGGCGGTTGTTCTGGCGAGTTGACGAGGTGTGGCGTCTGCTTGTTCGGGTCATTTTTGGTTTTAGATATTGTCGCGCTTGACGTGGACGACGGTGATCGTGAAAAGAGGAGAATAGCGAAGCGGACTGAAAGGGATCAAGCCGAACGGAGCAGGCTCGCCGATGAGAGCGCCACTTACACGATGCGCTCGGACCATCTGAGGCCCGATCGACCAAAATCGCAGACTTCGGATCGCTGCAGCTCCACCCACAGCTTATGAAAGCTCTCGCCACTTGGGGTATATCATTTTTAGAGCATAAAGAAAAATAGGGTCCTTCACTTTTGCATGGATGCGCCTACTTGCCAAGTTACAGAGAACCACCCCAAAATGGCCCTGAAATTTCGGAGGGCAACTGGGCCAAGCGCGCCGATAACTCGTAAGCCCCTCCCAGAGGGAGGGCTTAGTTGAGCTTAGGTTTCGCCTGGATGGGCCCCTCTTGGTGCCGCTTCCCGTCGTGTTATCTCCGCGCTCTCGGCTTTCAGCTCCAACTGCGCGAGTCGGTTTCTTGTCGCCGGCTTTCTGCGTGGAGGCTCTGAGGTCATAGAGCCAGTGCACCTCGTCCCGACGCGACGTGCTTCCGTTCCTACCCGTGCCACAGCTCCCACCTCGAGCTTCGTAACTCCCTCGCCACCAGCAGCAAGTCATCTGGCGTCCAACGCGTCGCACGGTACCTCCTAGCTGCTCGAAACCACAAGCTCAGGACCACGATTAGCTCGATTAGCTCCTACCGAGGAGGTACAGTTGAAGGTGAGAGAAGACCCCTCGCTGGGTGTCACAGCTGGCTATCGAAAGCTTCCGACGCGTGCGACGACGAACCACCGACGACGAAGCGAGCCAGTCGACGCGGAGAGGAGTCCAAGGTCGCGATCAACAACATCGACCATATCATGGCACGCGAGGAGGCATGTACATCGGACTTGGATGGGCACGGCTTTGCAATCGCTGTCACCTACGATCGCTCGCCGCCGCTGTGCTCACAAGGTCCGATTGATTGCGAAAGCGCTCAGCTCGGGCACTGCCTCACGAGGAACAGGCCTCTACGACGGTGCACGAAAGGGAGGGAAGCGTTGCAATATTGGCACAGTCAGCTCTGAGTTGCTGCTGTGTTGCGATTGAATGTCGAACGCGGTGATGGAATCTAGCGGCGAGCTGCTCGCGTGCCCGCGGCTGCGACGAGCACAGCGACGAGCACGGATCGTGACGAGACGCCCCGAATTGACATCCGCTCTCTTCATGGCATCAAGGCTTGCCTGCTGACATCGCCTTCGCACTCTGTTTTCATTTCAATCGTGATGATGTCTGCAGGTTCATACGAGACAGGTCCCATCGCTTGCCCCCTCTTCATCAACCCTCGGACCGCTTCCCTACTCCACCGCCTCGGTCGTCATGGATTCTCAGGAAGTCCGAGTCAGTCAAGATGGGAAGCATGTGCTTGGCCCAGTATATTCCGCGTACGCTGACACAAGCCACGGATATCACCCAGGACGTCATTCAAGATCTTCGGTCTCTGACCGTCGACAACCTCAAACGAGTCATCAGGCTTTTCAACGACAAAGGCCTTTCGATCCATGGCCATCTTAGGTTAAGCGGCACCAAGGCCGATTTGGTACGCTACACCATCGCATTACCGGGCGGTGATGATCGTTTCCTGACCTATATGGGTGAACTTTGAACAACTACTGCAGTTCTCGAGGCTCAGCCATGTCGTTCGGACCATCTATACAACCCAACGGGCCTCGTTCCCTTCGCTCGTCAACATCGTCTCAGACGTGTTACGGTCAGTCCCATCCCCCACCTCCGGACCGAGCTGCCCTAGGTAAGATTGCTGATGATGTTCTGCCGACGTGGTACTCGCAGGAATATCGGCTCTAGCCCAGCGAGTGCACGATACGCCGGGTACAACAGTCAATATGGCGCCGCGCCCGGGTACCGACCACCCGCTGCTCAGGACTATGGCGCCTCCACCTCGAATGGAGCTTCGCACCAGAACCAGGCACTGGCGTACAACCGACCGGATCCATACCACCTAAATGGCGTCCCTCGACCCGGGTACGCCGCCGCCAACCTCCACGGCCACGTCGCGGCGCAGGCGAGCACGTCGAACCCCGTCGTCGAGTTGATCAAGTTCCGCCCGAGTCCGTTTTACCGCATCGACAAGGCCTTGAGTCCTGTCACCCACATGCCTCGTGCGGGCCAGGGCGATCGCAAGAGCGTTGTCATCAATTTCGTCATTCCCGAACCGCAGAGGGCCTTGATCTTGGCTTCCAAGTGAGTCTGGTCAGGTCGTCGTGTACGCTCGAGCGGATTTTGATTGGGGCTCTTTTCCTTATGAGTGCAGGGCAGCGAATGCCAAGCCTTACCAAGTCCGACTGTATTGCACCACCGAGGACCACTACAATCCCTCACGGCCGACGAACCTGCAACTGGCCGCGCCGATAGAGTTCCCCGGCGTGTGCGAGATCAAGCTGAACCACACCAACATCGTCGCCAACACCAAGGGCATCAAGAAGCAAGCCGGGACCGCACCACCCGTCGACCTCATGAAAGGCGGAGCATTGTCATACCAGAGTGCGGGGGGCGTTAACCGACTGGAGATCATCTACATCAATACCGACAAGCGGCATTCGATCGTCGTCAACCTCGTCGAGGTCACCTCGATCGAAGACCTCGTCACGCGCGTGCGTGGCGGCACTTCGAGGTCCAAGGAAGACATCGTCAAGAAGATCGTCGAAATGAACTCTGACCCCGATGTCGAAGCGAGTTCGTTCGGGTTGTCCCTCAAGGACCCCTTGACGATGGCGCGGATATCGCTCCCGATTCGCTCATCGGTGTGCAACCACATCGCGTGCTTTGACGCCAAGGTGTTTTTCATGATCAATGAACAAACGCCGTCATGGACGTGCCCGATCTGTAGCAAGGAACTCCGCGTCGAGGACCTCTTTGTGGATGGGTACCTACAGGACGTATTGAGGGGTTGTTCGTCCGACGTCGATCAAGTCTCGGTCGAACCGGATGGGTCATGGCATCTCATTGAGACGGAGGAGCATTCGACGAGACAGTCGAGGGCCGGGTCGGTACACGCCAAGGCTGATCCCGATGGTCCGAATGGGAACGATGCGAAGGGGAAGGGACGAGCTGATGCTTCGTCACTGAGTATGACTTTGGAGGATTCGAGTGATGATGAAGGCGGAGGAGGAAGAGGGGGAGCGAGGAAGGCCCCTCCAATGAATGGGGCCATGAACGGCAGAGCCTCGGGCTCGGGCTCGGGGACGGGGACAAGTACACCACGGGGCGGCAAGCGGATGGACACGATTGATCTCACCTTGTCGAGCGACGGCGAGGATGCACCCGCCGCACCACCTTCAAGAGCGCCTCCACCAACAACAACCGTCACGAATGGTCTGCCCGCTTCTCGAGCTCCCCTGTCGTTGCCTATCCGGCCTGGCTCTGCGACACCAGCTTATTCGGTTCCTCCTCCGAGACCGCCATCTTCAAACTCTTCTTCGGGTGGGGCGAACGGGTCCAGCAGTATTGGTCATCAGCACCCGCATCACGGCACCGCTCGTCCGCCGTTCGGTGGTCCCTCCTCTTCCTTTGATCGTTCAACAGCCCCTACACCCTCCTTAAGACTCATCAACCCCTTACCCCATTCCTCCTCTTCCAACTCGAACCCCTCGAAATCGACATCCACCTCGCACGTACCCGACTTCTCCACATCCGCTCAAAGCGTCCTTTCAAGACCTATGCCATGGGACGTCGAGAGGGAACGGGAGAGGGAGAGGCAGAGGAAGAGGGATGCGGCGGCTGAAGTGGCGTTGGAGGCGGCGAGGAAGAGGTTGAGGTACGAGGAGCATCGCTATGAGGATGATTATGCGGATGAACTTGATTATTAGGGGCTGGGGTAAGGGGAAGGGGACCTCGTGTGTGGGGGGCGCGCTGCCGCTATGGTTGATTTGAGGAAGGTTTGCGGAGGAGCCGTACGTAGTTCGGAAGGAAAGATGCCATCGGGTCCCATTGGGATGGCGTCTGTTGTTGTGCATCCCATTTCACTTGCATTTTATTCGGGATCTTTGCGGAAATGAGGTTTCCTGCTTTCCCGTCCTAACACATAACTTTCCCGGACCATGAATAACTTTTGATGCCGAGCCGCGGGGGTGGAACTCGCAAGGAAATGCGTATCGTTGAAATTCACGAACTTGCGAGTTGGTCACACGTGCACGTAACTAAGAAAGATATGGAAGAGGCAGGATTGTACCCGGGATTTACGTCACAGCGACGGAAACGGCCGGGGCACCCAAACTCCCTCTGCTGGATGAGATTCCACGGGTGCACTCGGAACAAATCTCCGCGCGTCCCGTCGCATGGCGTCGTCGCCGCCCAGGCTCGCAGGCTGATTTTCGCGAACGAGCGCCGTCGCCCGTCGCCTCACAGCCGGTCGCGCAGGCTCTTCTCTCTCTTTCCCTCCACCTCTTCGTCACACTCCCCCCTTCATAGTGAGTACGATCGAGTTGGTTCATAACTTTGGATCGTCGGTGGGCCCTCGACGGTGTTGCTTTGTGCATGCATTGCTTTCTCTTCGGAGGGTGCGGCGGTTGTTCGCTTCGTCGCACAAAAACCGATCCGGCCTGGCGCTGCCCGGCTCTGGGCGAAGTTGCGACGGACCGCCCTGCTGGCTGTCGTGGCATCGTGTTCGTTCGAGCGCTATCGCGACCCGCGCTAACCACGTCGCCTCGCTCCCCGTTTCCCTTCGCTCCATCGCCTCTTTCCCTGATCCAGATATACTAAAATGTCTGCCGGCAAGAAGTCCAAGACGCCGTAAGTTTTCGCGATCCTTTATCCTCATTCGCATATAGCATACACCCCGTGTGCTGTACGCGGGCGGCGGCGTTCTTTATCGTTCGGTCGCCCTTCGATGCGATGTTCCGCATGCCTCCGTTGCGGCTGGATCACGGCCAACCCCGATTTTTCCTAGATGCCGATCGCCCTGCCTCATTGTTGTATGATGCACGTACTGACCGGTCTTCCATTATGCTGGACTCGATTCTTACAGTCAGGAGTTCTTCCAAGATTTCATGATGGGGTGAGTGACCATTCTGGTTCTGGCACTGCCGCCACCAGCGAGTGACCCTCAGCCGGGGACACGCTCGAGGCGCCGCTCCAACCGCGTACTCGAAGTAGTTTGCGTGCGAGGTGACGACTTGCGCAGCCTCATCGTTGCGGAAGTCGTCATTGCATCGTAGAACCCCCAGGCTCGCTGGTGGTGGACGAAGTGTGTCACCAGTACCACGAATCTGACATTGCCCTTGATTGTTGCTCTTGCAGTGGTGTCTCGTACGTTTTTACCCCGATCCGCGTCGCGCGATGAGCATGAGGCGGAGCCGATGCCGCATTCACGCCTCCGCCCGTCGTGCGGCGTCTCGCAGTCGTCTAGCCGCGTTCTCATCATTTTGGGTGTTTCGACATTCACAGGGCCGCTGTCGCCAAGACCGCCGCTGCCCCCATTGAGCGAATCAAGCGTAAGTCACTACTCACAGTCAGCCGAAGGGTTTCCTGCACGGCCGGGAACCCTCGGTCTTGTCCTCCGCACCGAACGAGCATGGACCGCACGAGGAACGGAGCGCTGACATGGCAGTTGCGTCGTTGTCTTCCAAAAATACAGTCTTGGTCCAGAACCAGGGTGAGATGCTCAAGTCGGGCCGCCTCGACACCCCTTACAAGGGTATCGTCGACTGCGCCAAGCGCACGTACGCCGATGAGGGTCTCGTCTCTTGTGAGTAACTCACTGCTTCTGTAGTGGCTGCGGACTTGTGCGACCCTCGTCCCGGATCTTTGGGAGCGAGGGGCACGGCGTGCACCGGTCGTTGAGCTGTTGCTGACTGCCCTGTGCCTTTTTCATTTCGACAGTCTGGCGAGGAAACACCGCCAACGTCATCCGTTACTTCCCTACCCAAGCCCTCAACTTGTGGGTCTTTTCCCATGGACTCTCCACGCGTGCTCACGGGCCAGTGAACTGATCCCTTTTCCTACCGGATGCTACCCACAGCGCCTTCAAGGACTACTACAAGTCTTTGTTCTCGTACGACCAAAAGAGGGACGGTTACGCCATGTGGATGGTTGGTAACCTCGCCTCCGGTGGAGCCGCTGGTGCGACCTCGCTCTTGTTCGTCTACTCGCTCGACTACGCCCGAACCCGTCTCGCCGCCGACAACAAGTCGTCCAAGAAGGGCAGCACCGGCGAGCGCCAGTTCAACGGTCTCCTGGATGTCTACAAGAAGACGCTCGCTACCGACGGTATCGCCGGTCTCTACCGTGGCTTCCTCCCCTCCGTCGTCGGTATCGTCGTGTACCGTGGTCTCTACTTCGGCATGTACGACTCGCTCAAGCCCGTCGTGCTCACTGGTAGCCTCAAGGGCTCTTTCCTCGCCTCGTTCTTGCTCGGTTGGGGTGTCACCACCGGTGCCGGTATCGCTTCGTACCCTCTCGATACGATCCGTCGTCGCATGATGATGACCTCGGGCGAGAAGGTCCACTACAAGAACATGGTCGACGCTGGTGCGCAAATCATCAAGGCCGAGGGTGTCGCTTCGCTCTTCAAGGGTGCCGGAGCCAACATTCTCCGTGGTGTTGCCGGTGCTGGTGTCTTGTCCATGTACGACAAGCTCCAAGAACTCATCTTCGGCAAAGTCTACTCTGGTGGATCCGCCTAAACGTCTTTCGAGTGATAGTAGTACTAGTGTTTGGTTGCAAAACATCCTCCATAAGCCATGCCTTGTTCTTGGCCCCTCGTGTAACGTCTGCTATCGCAACTGAAAGAGAGAGCTACACTGAGATCACACGCATCGAATGGAGACCGACCCTGTTGGTCGAACGAAGAACCAACACCAATTGCAGATAAGGGTTTGGGCTTGCACCCAGACATGAGATTACTTTCTGGGCCGAGATGAATAATCGAGTTGAGACGGTGTCGACTACGGTGATCGAGAATGTGTGACAGCCGTCTAGTTATAGATGCCCTGCGAAGTTCTGGGACATCCCTGGAGATCCTTGGACATCCTAGGAATCGGATGCAGAAGGTAGCGTGCGCCCGTTCCAGCGCTCGCCTCCCTCCGCCACACCACTTGAAAAATCTCTCCTTTGACAAGTCGTGAGTTCGCGATTCTTTCTCTTTTCGATTTTCTTCGGCTTGGACCTGGGCTGGGGATGGAGGAGGTCACGGTGGCGAGACTTGGTCCGTGACTCCGATGGCGATCTATCCGCGTTCGATGCGATCGAGGTGTTCAGCCCGGGTGGGGAGTTTGGTGCGAAGCGAGTTCCCGGGCCTCTCTGTCGGGACTCGACTTTTGGGGGAGGAAAGGCCGCTGCATTTCGAGACTCGACCCGGTGGGATACGGTGTATCTACGGGGTGGCTACGGTCTTCTAGGAACTGTCGCGTTGGTGCTCCGTGTATGCGTGGAGCCGGATAGGTCCTCACCGGGACCAGTGACGACCACGGCGGTCATTGTGCCCGCACGATTGTGCCCGCACGGCGCCACGTTGCCTCCCGCTCGATGGGCGCGATTCCTAGCCGGGCCCAGCCAGCTTGCAGCGAAGGGGCCCGCCCGTCCGCACCGCCTGTGTAGGCCAGCGCCGGCTGCGAAATTTCTCTTTGAGCGCCTGAGCCAATTCGCATCGCGTTGCGCGCGCTCAATCCTGCCTTTCTCTTCCTCTCTCCTTCCCTCAAGCCCTATTCACTTAGCTACATCTTCATACATACATCAACATGGGAAAAGAGAAGGGACACGGTGAGTTTCGCATCCGTTGCATCTTACGGAAATCGCTCTACTCCGGTCGTTGCACCTGTTGTGCGTGTGTGCGCGGTGGCTGATCCGTTCCGCATCCCATCCTCCCTTTTGCCCTGCGCTGCGCTGCGCTGCCCTGCGCTGCCTACTTTCTACGGCCGACACCCAACCCCCGTCCGCGCTATCCATGCCCCTCTGTGACTGCATATAGTTAACGTCGTCGTTATCGGCCACGTCGATTCCGGCAAGTCGACCACCACCGGTCACTTGATCTACAAGTGCGGAGGTATTGACAAGCGTACCATCGAGAAGTTGTGAGTTTTCGCCCTCCACGACGTCGTCAGCGTACGGGTGCGGGATGGACGGCCAGTTGCGCTCTCGCGGGCGCCCCGTCGCCGTCCTTCCTCCGCGGCGCCGGCGCTCGCCCGCAGCCCACCGCTCGCTGAAAAAACGGCGGTGGCGGCCTGCGCTGGGGACCGCGACGAACGCTCCGCCCTCGGCTCCTGTATCTTCCGGTGGCGTGTTCATCGCTGCTGATCTTTTCTTCATCGTCTTTGGTCTGGCTTCACCGTGACACAGCGAGAAGGAAGCCACCGAACTCGGCAAGGGTGAGTCCGATTGCGCTCTCCATCGCTCGAGCCGTCGTCGGCCACGAGGTTGCGTCACTCGCGCTTCCGCGTGCAAAGGACGCATCTCGGGCCGCGACGTGGCTCCGAGTGCGCAAGAGGCGTAGAATCGTTGCAGGCATGGTGCAGATGGCTGAACTAGCCCAACCCGTTTTGGCCCCCACTCACTCTCTAGGCTCCTTCAAGTACGCCTGGGTTCTCGACAAGCTGAAGGCCGAGCGTGAGCGTGGTATCACGATCGACATCGCCTTGTGGAAGTTCGAGACCTTGAAGGTGAGTACCGCTCCCGTCGCGAACACGCGCACGGCATTTGAGTACTCTGCAATTGGAGACTGACTTGGGTTCCGCCCTCTCCCCTCGCAGTACATGGTCACCGTCATCGACGCCCCCGGTCACCGTGATTTCATCAAGAGTGAGTTGCGGCTGTTTCTATCTTCACAGCCGACGGACCGCTGATAAGCCCACCTTCCCACTCCTCTCGCGTCACAGACATGATCACCGGTACCTCGCAGGCCGATTGCGCCATCCTCATCATCGCCGCCGGTGTCGGAGAATTCGAAGCCGGTATCTCCAAGGATGGTCAGACCCGCGAGCACGCTCTCCTCGCCTTCACCCTCGGTGTCCGTCAGCTCATCGTTGCCATCAACAAGATGGACACGACCAAGTACTCCGAGGCCCGCTACGAGGAAATCGTTAAGGAGACGTCCAACTTCATCAAGAAGGTCGGCTTCAACCCCGCCGCGGTTGCCTTCGTCCCCGTCTCGGGCTGGCACGGAGACAACATGTTGGAGGAGTCCCCCAACATGTCGTGGTTCAAGGGATGGACCAAGACGACCAAGGTCGGCTCCGCCAAGGGCAAGACCTTGCTCGAGGCCATCGATGCCATCGACCCCCCCTCGCGCCCCACGGACAAGCCCCTCCGTCTCCCCCTCCAGGATGTCTACAAGATCGGTGGCATCGGCACAGTGCCCGTCGGCCGAGTCGAGACCGGCACGATCAAGGCCGGTATGGTCGTCGTCTTTGCGCCTGCCAACGTCACGACCGAAGTCAAGTCGGTCGAGATGCACCACGAGCAGCTCGAGGCCGGTCTCCCCGGAGACAACGTCGGCTTTAACATCAAGAACGTTTCCGTTAAGGATATCCGACGTGGTAACGTTTGCGGTGACACCAAGAACGACCCCCCCAAGGAGGCCGCTTCGTTCAACGCCCAGGTCATCGTCATGAACCACCCCGGTCAGATCGGTAACGGTTACGCACCGGTCCTCGATTGCCACACCGCCCACATTGCGTGCAAATTCGACACCCTCCTCGAGAAGATCGACCGTCGTTCGGGCAAGTCGATCGAAGACACTCCCAAGTTCGTCAAGTCCGGTGACGCCGCCATCGTCAAGATGGTCCCCTCCAAGCCGATGTGCGTCGAGTCCTTCTCCGAGTACCCCCCTCTTGGACGATTCGCCGTCCGTGACATGCGTCAAACCGTCGCTGTCGGTGTCGTCAAGGTGAGTCTTTTGTCGTATCGGCTTGTCGGTGAGATCGTTGCTCTACAGTTGCTGACTAAATCCCTCCCCCGCGCGCGCGTCGCCCCTGTCTCCCCCTTCGCCCCCTCCGCCTCTCTCCTTCACCCTCTCCCCTCCTCGACCTTTCGATGATACTTCTAAACAATTACAACCCCTAAAGAGCGTTGAGAAAACCGATGGCCGAGGTGGAAAGGTTACGAAGGCCGCCGAGAAGGCCCAAAAGAAGAAGTAAACGGTGTCTTGGTCGTCGCCCTCGCTGGGCCTCGGTCCCCTCATGTCGAGCTCCGCCACATCCGGAGGGGCAAGGGGGAGGTGACGAGAGCCCTGGCTTCGTGTCGTCTGATGCATGTTTTCTTTTCCCCATGGCTTGTCATTGGCCTGCTGCGCTTCGTTATCGCCACTTCGCCTCTCCGTTTCGGATAGCCCGACTCTTCTAGACGCCCCGTGTTCTCTTACCCCCTAATCAGGGGTCGTTTGTCTCCCCGAGTCTTTCTAGTAGTGTTTGGGCCCTTCTGAAATTTGAATCAGGTTGTTGTGCATGACATACTACAAGGAGCTCGACAGCGAGACTGGTAAGCGCAAAGAGTTCGATCACTTGAGGGTGTTCCATAAAGGACGTATGAAGGCCACCATAGCTTTTCTATCCCAGACGCCATAGCTTGTACGATTTGAAACTGACGACGGCGCCGAATGAGACCATCCAGCATATCTTTTGGGGTCCGTTCAAAGTTCATGAATGGGTCAGATATTGCCGAGCGGCCGGTCTGAAGCTCTCTTTCCTAACGATACATTTGGCGCCTGATTTAAATTGAAGTTAGACGCGACCGCGAAAGAGACATTCGACGGCGCCGAATGAGACAATCCAGCATATCTTTAGGGGTCCTTTCAAAGTTCATGGATGGGTCAGATGTTGCCGAACGGCCGGTCTGAAGCTCTCTTTCCTAACGATACATACTATTTTTTCGACGATAGTGGGCATCAGAGACCCAAAGCTGAGGATGAACACCTCTCTTTGGTCTCATTTGAGTGAGAAGATCCAAACAAGGGTGTATAGATTTCAAAGTGAGAACCGCTTATGGGACAGACAAAAGAAAGGGAGCACAGAGAGTATTCGGACGGAAGTGAAATTTGGGCCACAGAACAGGAAAAAGGAAAGCCGTCTACTGGGGAGAGAGAAAAAGAAGGCTAATCGGGTGGAGATCACCTAGATACGTTGGAGGGATGGGGATCTGACAGGAAGCGTGGGTTGATTTTTACCGAACTCCCCGTTTACTTCTTGCGGTCAAGACTGCCGGGAAGGGCGTGTTGACGGATGGGGAGCAATGCGAGCAAGGCCATGAACGCCGCGGCGGTGATGGCGATGAAGACGATGTGCATCGAGTGGTCGTACGCGTCGATCGCGAGGTGGCGCACGTCGTGGGGCAAGGTGCGGATGTAGTTGACGTCCGAACGGATCTTCTCGATCAAGTGGTGCGCGCCCTTGCCAACGATGCGGCGCTCGAGGTCGGCCTTGAGCGTGTTTTGGAAAATCGAGGTCGAAAGCGAGATACCGAGAACCGAGCCGGTCGCGCGGAAGAGGTAAGAGACACCGGTCGAGGCGGCCATGTCGGCAGGGGGGACGGCGGCAATCAAAGCGACCAAGGTGATGGTCTGTGAGAAGAAGCGAAAGTTTGGAGGAGGTCAGTCGATTGATTGAAGGGCCGGAGAGAGAAGTAGAAACTAACGATGATGGCACCGTAAGCGACACCGGCGGGGCCCATCGAGACCCAGAAGATCCATTCGGCGGTGTGCTGGGTCCAGAATGACATCAAAAGAGGGCCGAGGACGCCGAGGACACCGGCGGTGAGGAGCATGAGGCGGTAGTTACCCGTGCGGGCCATGTAGAGACCAGCGAGGAGCGAGGCGGTCGAGGCGAGCACGGCGTTGGGGATGAGGTATATACCCGCACGCGAGGTCGAGCGCTGCTGCACGGCCGAGAAGTAGAGCGGGACCTGGTAAATGATACCGAATTGGGCCATTGTCGCGAACCAGTTGGTGAGCGAGACGAATCCAGGGGTGCGCGAGAACAGGATGCGGGGGGCGAGCAGGGGTTCCTTGGCGACGAACTTCTCGACGACGACAAAGATGGCGAGAACGACGAGGCCGCCGATGATGGAGCCCCAGACGATGGGGGCGCTCCAGGGCTGCTCGTTACCACCGAGCGAGAGACCGACGAGGAGCAAGGCGACGGAAGCGACGAGCGAAAGCGAGCCGAGGAAATCGATGCGCTTGATCTTGGTGAGGATGTCGCCGGGGCCGGAGGGGATATCGACCTTCCAGAAGACGATGATGAAGTGGATGACGCAGATGGGGACCTGGATCAGGAAAGCCCAACGCCAGCCGATCGTGTCACCGAGCAAGCCACCGACGGGGCCACCGATCGCGGCACCAAGAGCGTAGACGACGTTGCCGAGACCCTGGTAGACACCACGCTTCCTGAGCGGAATCAAGTCCGAGGTGACGATCGAGGACATGGTCGTGAGTCCACCACCACCGATACCGGCGAAGGCACGGGCGGCGATCAATTGAGGGTAGGTCTTGGAGAGGCCGCAGAAGAGCGAACCGAGGAGGAAGACGATCGAGGCGAAGAGCGTGGCCGGCTTACGGCCAAAGATGTCCGAGAATCGACCGTAAAGAGGCTGGAACGCGGTTTGGGTCATGAGGTACGAGGTGCCGAGCCAAGCGATTGAGTTGGACACGCCAAACTCGGAGCCGATAACGGACAAGGTCGTGGCGACGATCTGTTGCGGAGCGGTAGTGTGTGTGTGTGGGGGGGTGGGGGGGGAACCAAAGGGTCAGCGCTCCTGCCCAGCACGAAGTTCGGACGGAGCCTTCTCATTATCACCTACAGTACCACTATCAGAGACAGAGAAGTGATCGAGTCGCAACGAATGCAGCGTCAGCACCGGATGTTCTCTCTCTTTCGGCGCCTTCGCCCAGGCGCAGCACCGAGGCGGAGACATGGGGCGGAGGCGGAGAAGAGACCACACGGCGAGACTCACTCGAGGGCGGACAAGAAGGTACCGACCCACATACCACCGAGGACGATAAAGAGATCGGCACGGAGAGGTTCCTCGGTGACCAAGACGCCAGCAGGTCCACCGGCGGCGGGAGCGGCTTCGACGTCGTCCTGGGCTTCGGTGCCCGGGACTTGGAAGGCGGAGGCGTTGACATCACCGTGGATGACGGATTGGATGGCCGACTCGGCGGCGACGCTGGTGTGGAGTGAAGGTAGCAGGTCAGTTGCAGTACAATGGATTTCCGATGCGGCGAGACAGGACGGGGAACTGTCTCGGGTTGCGGAGCCGCTCTCGAGGCAGATCCTCTCGCTGGCTGCGGAGACCCGACCGGGCGGACCGGCCGACAGCACCGACCGACGGGCCGACCGAGGCCGCATCACCCACAGAGGACAGCGAGAGCAAGGAAATGGAACGTACGCGTAGGCATCCGAAGTCGCAGTAGCGGCCTGGTTGCCGATCAAAGGCGTCGTCTCAGTTGCGGACGACATTCTTGGAAATAAAGTTGGGTGTGGGTGCGAAGAGGGAGAAGGGATGGGGGCGGAAGTTGCGGAAAGCCGACAGCGGCGGCGGGCGCCTCTCGAGCTCGACGACGTCAGGCCTGCGCACTGCCGTCGTCGACTTCGTGCGCGCGGGCGCGGCTTCTCGCCCCCACTTGTACACGTTTTTACTGGCGCTAAGGGCGTTCGGCCGACGGACCTTCCTCAGACCTTTGCCACTCTTGCGAATTCGAATTGTGGCCAAGGGTCGTGACCTTGCAATATAATATGCCTTTGCGCATCACAAAAAAAACTCCTGACTTACAGATCCTTTAAACGGGACAAACAAGGCAAAAAGATGGCAGCACTGCAAGTTTATCAAAAGTGGTTCAAAGTCGGCAAGGAGTCGGTGATCTCTCTCCTTCACGAGATCGACGTCAAGGTGGGTCGTAAAGGATTTTCAGCTTCAGGAACCGATCTTAGTGGCCCTAGATCCGACGCCCCGTGCCTTTTCGACCCTTCAAGGTCCGAAAATTAGGGCCATTTCGCTTCGCCCGAGCCCAAGCTCAAGCTCAAGCTCACAAGTTTCCTGAGTCGACGGCCGAGTCGGACGTCCCGATCATAGCAAAAAACCCCCCCTAAAATGGGACGATCCCGGGATCATCCCGGGATCGGGCCCCCGATTTGAAATCGGTGCAGCGATTTGAAATGCATTTGAAATCGGCGCGGTGATTTGAAATGCATTCGAAATCGGCACAGCGATTTGAAATGCATTTCAATTCGGCGCACGGATTTCAAATGCGTTTCAAATCGCGCCGCCGATTTCAAACGCATTTAAAATCGGCGCACGGATTTCAAACGCATTTAAAATCGGCGCACGGATTTCAAATGCATTTGAAATCGGCGGCGCGATTTGAAACGCATCTGAAATCGCCGCACCGATTTGAAATGCATTTGAAATCCGTGCGCCGATTTTAAATGCGTTTGAAATCGGCGGCGCGATTTGAAACGCATTTGAAATCCGTGCGCCGAATTGAAATGCGCTTCGAATCCTCGCGGGATCGATCCCAAATGCGGTTCAAATCCTCGTGAGATCGAACCATGCCCAACGGTCAATAAGGACAAGGGCATAGAACTTGTGTGAGAGGGCCAATTGCGCAAGGTAGAGTAGACGAACATATTACTATTGCTCAAAGTATGTGCAAGTATACTACTGAAACGGTACGAGGCCCCATGCGGTGGTGCATCGCACCACCAGGCCTGCAATCTGCTCTTCAGTCAGCCATCGTTATTGGATCTGAACGCTCCCACTCTATGAAATCGACAAGTTCCTGCTCCAGCTCCTCGTCAACGGGCTCGTCATCGTCCGAATCGTCCTCCTCGTTGTGGTCGGTATGCATGAATGGAGGCGGAAGAACGTCGGGGACGCCCAATGTCAATTCGCACCGGCGGTCTTCATTGACTATCCAGCAGTTGACCTTTGGCAAAGACCTATCGACATTGCCATCCTCGGTGGTGGAGTCCCGTGGAACGGCCGTGCAGCGGTCAACCCAAAAACTGCGAAACTGCTCACTTTCTTCGGGCAATCGAGCCGGCGAATTCACCTGCTGATCCGGTTCCTGCACGGTGTCGCTCCCATCATTCCACTCAGCCAATCGAACTGCACCGAGTTCGAATCATGAAACATACCTCGTTGGAACCGGACTCGTCATTGGCTGCCAAGCGCCTCTGATGAGGCACTTCAGCCGCGATCCAGGCGGCGGCGGCGCATTTCAAACGGTGTGCGTATGGAAGTTTCGGGTCGGAGAGAACGGCGCGATCTACGGCCTTGAGATTAGTCGAGAATATAGCCTTGGCCTTTTTGAGCGTGACCCAAGGCATGATCTTGATGGGTCGGGGGAACTCGGTGGATCGGCGTCTCTCGTTTGCCTCGGCCTCGTCCGTGCGCCCCTTCTCCTTTCTTCGACCAGAGTCACGCTTGCGGCGTGCGGCGGGAGGTCGTGTGGGCCTATAAATTGAGGTGTATTAGCGCCACATCTTCATGTTGTAGAGCTTGCATCGTCAGAGTGACCTACGTCTGATCGAGAAACGTCTTCCCTGCTTCGGAGCGCAGCCATGCCTTGGCGTACGGGGCCACGGCGGTGAGGGTCGCATGGAGGATCGAAGATCTTTTAGATCGAATGACGCGATGAAGCTGGGCCTTGCGAGCCGAGTAAAGGGATGAGCTCAGCAAACTCCATTCTTGCCAATCCGACGAGGGCGAAATGTCGACAGGCTTACCTTTGCTTGTTTTCGGTCGGCCGGACTCATCTCCCCAAGGATCTCAAGACCCCTCCCAGACGCAAGGGTTGCGACCAGATACTTATAATCCTTGTCTTCCCAATTGGTCTTGAAGAGAAAGTATCGCTTGCAAGTTATGAGGATGTCGTCATGGTCGAAGGGCTAAAGACAGTCCGGAGGTGCCGACATGTCAGCCAGAGCCAGACACATTCGCAATGGCGTCAGCAACTCAAGCATGACACTCACGGGCGGTAGTGTTGCTCCGGGACCTGAACGCTGTGTCTCGATACGACGCTTCTTGGCACGAGGCGCAGCCAACATCGATTTCTTCTTCTTCTTCTTGCCAGGCCCTTTCCCTAAGACTTCGCGCTGGGTTGACGTAGGATTGTTGTTGCGAGACGCAGGACGTTTCAAAAGGGATGAATCGTCGGAGTCGCAACTTGTCATCTCGTCATCAACAACGTGGCCAACGTCATCCTCCCCGCCGCCGCCGCCGCCCTCCTCATTGTCCTCGCCACCGCTGCCGCCGCCGTCCTCCTCATCACCAGCATCATCGTTGTCCTCGTCGCCCTCTCGATGCTCCTCCTCGTCCTCTTCGTCCTCTTCGTCGTCATAACCGTCGCTCCTTGCTCTTTTCCTACTCTTTTTGGGTTGTGTTTGGTGGATCAGGCGGTTCTCTCTCCCGTCCCTCTTGGCCTTCGCCCGTATTTGACCAGTCCCGTTCTTCTTGGTAGTGTCCGGTCTCGCGCACGCTAGTGGTCTGACCGGCTCGTTGATCGACGAGCTCGATTGTTCTGAATGCGAACCAAGCTCCTGGGCAGACGGGTGAAGCGAGGCCTGTTCCTTCGTCCTGCGTCCGTACACCTTGGTGGCTTTGCGCGTCGATTGCGAAGGAGGGGGTCCTTTGAGGTCGACTGAAACCGCGCTCCTTGACTTGCAAAGCTTGATAAGCCTGCTTCGAGGTCGTGGAATTCGAAAGGGTTTGCCATCGTCCTGGTGGCACACGGTGGGTCAGATGTCAGCTCCTGGGCAAGGTAGAAGTTCGCGACAGCATACTCACGTCGTTGTCGAGGGTTTCGAATACGCATTCGAGGAGCGGGTCATCGAGTCGCTCTAGGTAATCACGAGATTTGCCGAGTTCGAGCTCTACCATCCAGTAATTGACAGCCGACAACCAGAGCTCGCCAATCCACTCGGCCGTCTCGTTGTATGGCCCAATGCGGGCTCCCATTCGTTGCGCATGCGAGTCCAGTAAAGATTGAGTTTCTCGCCCGCATGGCGATACGACACGTACGACACGGACGACGCCGAAGGGAGGGTAGCGGCGACATTGGACTCCACCCGAGGTGTGGAGGTGGTGGCGGGTTTCAATGATGAGGTGGGCGTGGGACGCGCCTGGGAACACGCCTGGGAACACGCCTGGGACGAGTATTTGACATGTCAGTGCCTTGCCCTCGGCGCGCGACGACGAACTGACAGGTGGCTCGCTCGGATGAGCGGCGATCGAGGAGCTTGAGCACTCACCATTATGTGGGAAACGATCGGCGACGATGAAACGAGCTTGGTGGATGCGTGCTACCCCACCCCGAGCCTGGACAACAGGTGACACAACGAAGGGCCGACCGGGGGGTGAAGCAAGCCAAGGAGCGAAAGGCGAAAGCGCGACCGAGATTTTAACTTTGAACTTTGTCGCACCGGCGTCCAGCGCGCGATCAGCCGGATCGGCCGCGGACGGCGGACCGCGCTTTATCCGACGTCCCGATGCTCCCTTGTGCGACGTCAACGACAGTTACCCACTAGCGAGCATTGAACATTAGGAGCAGTCAGTTCGAGCCGTACATATCTCCTGGCGCTGCGACATGCTCGAGCACTTACACGATGGTGTTACCCCACCTCCTGTCGTCTCCAGCGCCTACAGTCGACGGCTCGGAAATAGGACGTTGCCATGGTGTCGTCACCCCGCTTCCCCACAGAAGCCATGTCACCTCCTCCCCCCACGTTCCAAGTCCAATCGAGTGCCAAAGAACCGACCTCAGGTGGGAGTGATCAAACCTCGACCACCCTCGCACCCAGTCCAGCCAATCAGTCGACCTTGCCCCACCCCAATGTGGGGCGATCAACCTCAAAGCCCCGCGTCGGTAAATGCATGACGGTGGAGGAGGCGATCGAGGCGGCACGAAGAGACTGGCAGAACCGCATGCAAGTCATGGAGGTTGACGAGGCAAGGTTATCGAGGCGAAATCATCACGGTCCCCCGTGCCCCCGCTGACGAGCACGTGACTTTTGGCCCCTTCGATAGTCGGCGTCCAGCGACGATGACGACAAGATGGACGTCGATGACGACGGCGATGACGAGGAGCATCAAAAGGGCGACGAGGACAACGATGATGCTGGTGATGAGGAGGACGGCGGCGGCAGCGGCAGCGGCGGCGGGGACGATGACGGCGGCGAGGACGACGACGGCCATGACAGCACCAGACAGAACGACAGAGGGAGCGAAGAGAACGATCACGATCAGCGCGGGCTGCGAGTGACGAGTCGAGGCTGTGTGCACCAACCTTCGCTGAATTGGCTATCTACGCGTGGAGCCTGGAATACAGGGTTTCGTGGAAGCCTGCTGCGCCTTGATTGAGGCGTTATAGAGCGAATGCTTTGACGCCACCAAACTACCGAAGTCGTTTTCAACGCTGGAAACGCGGGTCAAGGCGCATTTGCGCATGTGCGTCATACGGCGCCACGTCGTCCCGCGGAAAGCATCCAAGACGACGATTGCCAAGACCGGTTCGAAGGCGAATCGCACCACAACATCGGCGTACACCCTAAGCTTGAAGGAACAAATTGAGCTTCGAATTCTGGGAAAACCCGCCCTACTCGGGAGCCTGCGCACCGGCCTCGGCGACTTCGCAGAAGTGCGGACGAACCTATGGGAGGGCGACGTCTGGCGCGAAAGCGTGGTGGCAGGTCGCGCGGCCTACCCTATGGAGACAACAAACGGTGAGTGATCGAGGATGGCGCGACGAGGAAGAACAATATCGGGTGCCGGAAGCGTGTGAATAGGTGTCATGATGGGTGACCGGGCGATAGCGAAAGCGACGGAGGGGCGGACAAGCGCAAGAGACTGCAAGAGACAGCAGGAGACCGCTAGCCGAGGCCTGCCGAGGCCGAACGCTAGCGGCCTCTAGCGGCGGGCAGGCGGCGGCACTCTGCGGCACACGGCGGGAGAGGGTGATGCGATGCTCCACTGTCGCATCCGCATGGGGCCTTGTACCGTTTCAGTAGTATACTTGCACATACTTTGAGCAATAGTAACATGTTCGTCTACTCTACCTTGCGCAATTGGCCCTCTCACACAAGTTCTATGCCCTTATCCTTATTGACCGTTGGGCATGGTTCGATCCCACGAGGATTTGAACCGCATTTGGGATCGATCCCGCGAGGATTCGAAGCGCATTTGGGATCGATCCCGCGCCGATTTGAAGCGCATTTCAATTCGGCGCACGGATTTCAAATGCGTTTCAAATCGCGCCGCCGATTTCAAACGCATTTCAAATCGGCGCACGGATTTCAAATGCATTTCAAATCGCTGCGCGCGATCCCAAATGCATTTCAAATCGCTGTGCCGATTTTGAATGCATTTCAAATCACCGCGCCGATTTCAAATGCATTTCAAATCGCTGCACCGATTTCAAATCGGGGGCCCGATCCCGGGATGATCCCGGGATCGTCCCATTTTAGGGTTTTTTTTTTGCTATGATCCGTCGGGCGAGGCGTTCCAATAGCCGCCGCCGGGGTGGCAGGGACCGCGTTCGCTCCAAAAACTCTATACACTTTGTGGTAGAAAATCTGCAACCCGAAGCGAGTGGCACGGCAGCTTGTGAAGTGGTGTCACGATGTATGGTAGCATCATTCAAGCTACGCCCGGGCGAGGTGGGTGGAAACAGAATGGGAGCGCGTCACATTAACCCAGACCAATTGACGTACTCGGGTCTACACAAACAAGCTCGTATCTAGACCTTCGCCGAAATCCAAAGATAAGATCTTACGGTCATGACTTGAACTGCGTACCAAAAAGAGCATGAGTCAACGGCACCTCGTTTTCGAGCTGCAGCGAGAACTGTGAAGACTCATGACGTACTCGGGTCTACACAAACAAGCTCGTATCTAGACCTTCGCCGAAATCCAAAGATAAGATCTTACGGTCATGACTTGAACTGCGTACCAAAAAGAGCATGAGTCAACGGCACCTCGTTTTCGAGCTGCAGCGAGAACTGTGAAGACTCACCTAAAGATGCGCGACGCATCAAATTCGACATGAAAGACCAAACTCGTGTGTTGCTTGTACTTGGCCAGTTCAGACTGGCTCTTCCAATCCCAGACCCTCGTTGTGCGATCGTAGCTTCCACTGAGGATCAAACCCCTTGCCTCGTCGAACGCCAAGCTGCGTACGAGGTCCGTGTGCCCCCTGAGGATGGCCAAACAGGTCCCCGTCGCGACATCCCAGATGCGAATCATCTTGTCGTTCGAACCACTCGCGACGAGCGCCCCCGAAGCGGATAAAGTCGCGCAGGCTAACCCTCGTTCGTGACCCGTGAAGACTCGTTCGACCTCGCCCGTGAGAACATTCCACATCTTCATGGTCGCATCGCCCGAGGCCGAGACGACGCGGTTATTGTGGAGCTGCACGGCGTTAACGGGGCCACGGTGGCCGGCGAGTACGCGGTACAGTTCACCTGTCGAGCGATGCCAGACTCGGATCGTCGTGTCCTGCGAACAAAAGCAAAGCTCATCAGTCGGGCGGGCAGCTCTCGGCACGAGCTAGAGGTGAAAAGGAAAACCGACCTTGGAGCAACTGACGATCCACTGGTCGTCAAAGGTCAAATCCAACACAGCCATGTTGTGCCCAACCAACTGCATCGTCGCTTCCCACTGCCCCCTTCCTGTGATTGGATCCCCGACGAGGTCCCAGACGAGAATCGTCGAATCGCTCGAGCCCGTGATCAAGACCTTGTCGTCGTAGCGCAGGCACAATACGCTCCCTTCGTGGCCCGTCAAAACCTTGGTCGTATGTCCCGTCGCGATGTCCCAGACGCGGACCGAGCGATCACGAGAGCCCGAGATGATCTTCTTGGGGTCGAACTGGAGGCAGTAGACGCTGTCAGTGTGGCCCTTGTACCAGTTCGAGCGAGGCGCGGCCCGCTTCCAGCGCTCGTCGACGAGGTATCGATCGCGGAAGAGGCGAGGCCAATTGAGCGTCAAGGGCGCGGATGGGATTGATCCGAGCAGAGGGGAAGGTATGGAGCCCAGAGGAGGCAAGGTCGCTGACGAGTTGCGCCGCGAAGGACCGAGGGAGGGCGGGAGGTGAGCGATCGAAGAAGCAAGGTTTGACAACGCCGATGAGGAGCCCGCTCGGGATAGAGGCACGCGTGTCGACGAATGGGTTCGTGGGGGTGCCGCAAAGGCGTTCGTCGCAACCGTCGACGTCGAAGGTGGGGCCGTCGAGATGACCGGGGGTGCGGTGCGACGTGGGGTTGCGCCGGGCAGGATCTGCGACGCATGGGCCCAGCTCGAATCGCTACCCATACTCGCCGACATGGGGTCTTCGGCGGTTTCACGGGTCGGCGTTGCTCTTGTGGCGAGAGGAGTCAAGCTGAGCGAACCCAGCGTGTCGACCATGTCCGAGATGCGTCGCACGAGGCGTGTCGGCGTCTCTGGTCCGGATCCGGAGGCTTCGCCGCCAGCGTTCGAGCGCCGCGAGCCGTCTCGTCGCATCGCGCTCGTGACCGCTCGTCGTAACGAGGGTGGCTTGGAGGGGGCGTCATGGTAGATTGACGAGGCGACCGACGGTGCGACGGGTTCACGAATGCGCCACCCGGCGTGCTGGTGAAAGAGGTCGCGCCAAATGACGTTGTCGAGGGCCAAGAGGCGCCAGGTGCGAGAGACGGCCGAGGCCTCGAGCAAGGTGACGTGGTCGAGGTGTAGCAAGATGAAGAGCGAAATTTCGATGGGGAGAGAGCACAAGAAGTCTGAGAGGAAGTGGAATATGCACATGATCCATCAGCACATGTCTCCATAGCCCGTTCCTCGTCGAACCGGTGAAGACTGACCAACTTTGCCTTGCGATCCATCGACGAAGCAGGCCTCGTCGTCAACGACTACCCCTTCATCGCCATCGAGGACCTCGCTCAACGCCGATGCGTCGTGATCGCTATCATTGATGTTCGCACTCCCTTGCATAGGTGCTGCCTTGCCACTGCTATTGCTGGCGGCGTGGAAGCCCGGTGAACCGGCGCCGAGGTGGGGCCACCGCGGTCGGAACCGGTCCCAAGATTCGGAGAGGCGAGAAGGAGAGATCGAGCCGGCTGCTGCTGCAGCAGCTGGGCTGGCCGGAGAGGCGGGGCTGCGGTTAGTTTGTGTCGGAGTGCGCTGGTGCTGGACTCTCCTCAGCCTCGACAACACCGGCTCGGGGTCGATCGAGAAGTGGGACGAGAGGAAACCGGCTGCCGAGGATGAGGCAGGCGGCGATGCAGGTGGGTGGGGGGCGGCCGGGCTCGAGGCGTAGGGTACGCTCGCCGATCTCCGGTGCATTCGACCGGGTACGTCGGGCCCACGGGCACCGTCGGAAGTAGCGTCCTCGTCCTCGTCGTTGGCACCCTCGGCGTGATTCTCGTCTTGATCTGGGTCGCGCTCGTTCTCGACGTCACGTGGACCGGTGCTGGTCGAAGGTGAGCCGGAGAGGCGATGCCACAGGTGGACCAGGGACCGCGTCGGTGCGCTTGTGCTGCTCGGTATGCTCGTCATCGCAGCTGTCGTGTTGTGTGGTGTCGATGGAGCGGGGCGTGGGTGCGGTCGCATGTTGAGGGGCCGACTCGGAGCGTCGTCCAAGGTTGCAGGACTGGGTCGCTGCTCCTCCTCGTCTGCATTCGATCCCGATGGAGAGGCATGCTCCCCTTGCATACCTTTCATCTGCCGCGTGTGACCGACTCGTCCGACTCCGGCTGTGGCTGAAACAACCCAAAACGAAGGAGCCCGGTGTAGTCGGAGGGCAATAGCTTGCCATCCCAGTGAAGGCACTTGCATCTGGGCACTCGACCCGGGCGCCTCCGGGCACGCCCGTGGGCCGCACTGCGCTATACCAATATCTCATGAGGATGACGAAGAAAACAACTCGAATGCTCATTCCTCACCAATAACACAACATGTGAATAGGATGGACAATACCACCCTTAAGGCTAGGTCCCAAGAGGATATGCTGCAAACGCGCCCGTTTACTGGAGCCCAAGAAATATCTCAAGAGTGAGGGAGCATCTCCAGTCGCCACTAAAATGAAATTGGTATATCATAAGTAACAACAAACCAATCAATGTGGTGTTTGGAGCTGTGAAAAACAAAGGTACACGGTGAACAAATTTCCGGTTAGACCACGTTTGCAGAAACAGAGTACCACGAAAATTGGCACATCTAAGCAACGTGTCGCGTCTAAAAAATAAAAAAATAAAAAAACTACCTCTCTACATCTACTTATAATCTTGCACCTCATATAATAAGCATTTCATGCTACCTACTTTATTTTCGTCTGAACCAACCCCTGCCAGTATGTGTCGCGCCACATACCAACTCGGACCATTTCGACCTCGGCTTGGGTGGGGCCTCAGTGGCACGGCGGGGCACTCAAGAGTCTTCACTGCAACAAGTTCCGACTCGGAAGCATGTGCATGAGTATGCAATCGTGTGCTCAGCAGTGCAACTTCTTGCAGATGAAGTTGGAACCGCGCAGAGTCAATTTGCAGTGTGTGCACTCCAATACACACCGATTTACGCCGACTATGGTGCGTCGCGGCGAGTCACGCCGATCGGCATAGACCGGCATCAAGGTTGCTATGTCGGCGCCCGAGCCCTTTAGACCGGCGCCCTGCAGCCCACTTGGAATCTTAGGAAGAGCACATGTCTTGATTCGTGACACGTGTACGCGAAACATATCAAGGCTCATCCGCGTACCTCTGTCTCGGATCCCTCCCGTTCACGGTGCGACCATGTCATCGGGACTACACACCTTCATCGCCCCTCCTCGTCCCTTCACGATCCAGTTCGACCCCACCGAAGTCGACGAGCTCAACGAGCGTCTCCTCCGAGCGAGGTGGCCTCTCGTCGATGCCGTACCTGATGACCGCTCCCCGAACGACCCCGCACCGTTTGGCATGGGGCCAGGTGAGTTTGAGTCCAATTCACCTACATCATAGCTTCATGTGTAGTGCTGACTCCCGCGTATGCCCATCTTACAAACCTGGGAACCGCCACGCTACCATGGCAACCCGGCGTGCTTCTGTCCTCGGTCCCTCGGCGTTCTCGACTCTGGCCTTCCGATCTCGCTCACGTGAAAAAACATCTCACTTCTCTTTTCCGACATGGTCGCCGGGCGCACCTCGCGCATTTCGGATTCTCCGACAGGCCCAACGATCAGGTTGATGAAGGAACTCGCCGAGGAATGGAGGACCAAGTACCAGTGGAAGGACACCGAGAACCACTTCAACACGTGAGTGAGGCGCAACTCGCCGAGCTCGACAATTCCGTTCCCACGCCAGGCGCGACTCGGGATCCTTGTCGTTCAATTCTGATCGGCTCCTCTACACTATTCATGCAGCTTTAAACACTACAAGGTGGAGATTGAGAATCTTGATATCCACTTTTTGCACCACCCTTCGACCCACTCCAACGCCAAGGCCCTCATCCTCTGTCACGGTTGGCCCGGTGCGTGCAGATTCTGCCTCAATTCGTTTCAACTACTGACCGCTCGCATGCACGGACTCAATCGGTCCATTATCCTTCCACCACAGGCTCCTTCGCCGAGTTCCTGCACATGATCCCGTTGTTGGCCGACCCTGTCACGTCGACGCAGCAAGCCTACCACGTCGTCGTCCCCTCGATGCCCGGCTTCACTTTTTCGGACCCACCCCCGACGTCGAAGTGGTGCATGGACGACACCGCGCGAGTCTACGACAAGCTCATGACCGGCTTAGGGTATCACGAATACGGTGCGCAAGGTGGTGATTGGGGATCTATCACGGCGCGTTGTCTCGGGGCGTTGCACGATGATCACTGCAAAGGTGAGCGATCCACTTTCCCGGGCTGGCACGGCTCCAGCGCCGAAAGCGATCAACTGACCGGCAATGCTTTCCGCTTTTTACAGCCGTTCATCTCAACTTCCTCCCCGCCAGCCCCGATGGTATCCTCGGCATGATCCCTCCTCGTCTCTTACTTTCCTACCTCCCAAGCTTCATCATGCCCGATCTCCGACGCCAACGCCTCCTCCGCGCCCTTGATTACGTCGAAAAGGGATCAGCCTACTACGCGATCCAAAACCTGACACCAAGAACCGCGACCTTCGGTCTCAACGATTCGCCCATCGGACTCCTTTCCTGGATCGCCGAAAAGATGATACCCTTCATCGACGCTGCGATGGCCACGCAGTCAACGTCAACCTTGACGCGATGGACCTTGTACGAGACCTGCACGCTGTATTGGTTGACCCATTCGATCGGGACCAGTTTCTCACCTTATTCTCAGAACCGGAACTTTAAAGATTTCTTGACGGACCCCAAGTATCGGTTGGAGAATATGGCTTTGTCGACGTTCCCGAATGAGATCGTGATCAGTCCCGTCGAGTGGGTCAAGAAGACGGGCGATCTCAAGTGGAACAAAGGTCGGTGCTCTGCTGTTCTTGGGCGCCTTGATGAAGAGTGTCACTGAAAGATACGTATCCTTACAGAACATACCGATGGTGGGCATTTTGCGGCGGTTGAGTTGCCCCAGATCTTGACCGATCATGTTCGGGAGGCCTTTGAAAAGATTTGGGTGTAGCGCACCAACAAGAAGAAAAAATACCTAGAATCTCTTTCATTTCAGAAGAAAGGTGTGCAACGGTGCAATCGGAAGTGTGTTTCCATACTACAAACCCTCTTTCAGACGACCTGCTTGATCTCCTGCTCGCCATGCAACGTCCCCAACTCGACCTCGGGCGCCTCCTCGTCGATCCATTCGTCCTCGTCATCAAACTCTTCCTCCTCCCAAGCCCATTCCGGATCCACGCGATGGATCAGATCATCCACCGCGTCCAGTTCGACAACGACGTTCCGCTTCTTGACGATGTCCCATACCTTCAATTGATCCATCTGCTTGATACAACTGAGGTTCTCCAAGTTACCAGCGGAAAGCTCGAACTTGGCTTGAGCGCTCAACTCCAAAGGGTCCGATTTGGTACCCAATATGAATAGCGTATCGGACCACCCTTTTCGGAGGACGTTTTCGTTCAATTTGCGAGTCGAAATGAGGTCCATCCCGATTCGTTCGACGACGTTCAACCCGCCGACTCGCCACTTATCACTCAACCCGACGCTCAAACCCAATCGCTCCTCTTTACGATTCACCAACCTCGCCCAACCGTCCGGTCCTTTGGGTCGTTTCCCGAACGCCCTCCCACCACCTTTCAACATCGGTGAACCGCGCGAGCCGAGTCGGGCTCGACCGGTCCCTTTTTGGGGTCGGATCTTTTTTCCCGAATAGGCGACCTCGCGACGGTTCTTGGTTGCTGCTGTGCCCGTGCGCAATGAGGCGAGGTGGGCGACGATGAGCTTGTGGAGTAGGGAGGGACGCGAGGGGGCGTTGAACAAGGGTGCAGGGAGGGGAACGAGGAGGGGGGAGTCGGAGGTTTTAGAGGAGGAGGAGGAAGTCGAAGGGAAAAGTGAGCCCAGGGGGACGTGGACGTAAGGGTGGTAAGGGGTAGGTGGAGCTGTAGGGATGAACGAACTAGGATGAGCATATGATTCTTGGAGTCGTTCAGTAGGCCCCCAAACAGCACTCACGAGTCGAGGACGGCAGTCGCTGCTTGACCGGCTTAGACGGAGCTGGTGGAGGTGGTGGTGTCGCGGCGACCTGTTCCAAAGAAGCGGCAGGCGCAACTTCTACTGTTGCTGCTTCATTCGGGTCGGCGGCCGTTGCGTTGGGTAATGTCACGGCATCGGCAGCCGTAGCGAGTGTGCGACGGGCACTACCGGTCAACGAACACGCCGCCGTAAAAGTCGAGGCTGCAGCCTGTTTAATTGAGATTCAGCACGTAAGTATCGGCATTCCCATCATCGTTATTCGCCGTAGCCTGGGGTCAATGCACTTGCCCTGACTACGATGCGCGGTAGGCTCAGCAGCGTCATGATCGCGTCGAGGCTCTCTGAGGTCGTGGGTTGCGAACGGCAAGCTGCGATCGCGCCAACCCGCTCAGCAGCTCAAGGTCATTCTCGATCGACTCGGGTACGTTTGGGGAGTACAACTGACTTCGCGCTGCTTGCAGATGTTATCCTGCCTACGACAGTGTATGGCAATCACAGTCAGAAGGATCGGTGAAAAACTAAAGAAATCAGAAGTTGACACAAAAGGAATAAATCGTACGCTGATTCAAAGTGAAGGAGAAGAAAAGGGGTCGCCCCCTCCAAAACTCCTTCTCCTCGGACCAACATGGATTCACCTTCATTAAAAACGCATCACAGTTCGTCATCTTTCCCAAAAAGACCTTTCCAAGCCCCAGCTCAAAACGATAAATGTCCAGAGTAGTCCGAATCGAGTTCATTCTTTTCTTCCCTCCACCGAAGGTAAGAGAGAAAGAAAAGAATGACCGCGAATTGCACTGAAGCGGTGAACCGAGGCAAACAACCCGGGTAAAAGGTAGACCCTCCTTCCCAAGTGCGGAGAGAAAGAAAGAAAGAGGGAAGCACGATCACCCCGACTGCCATCGGTTCATCGCATCTCAAGCTTGCCAAGCGAGATCGCATCCCTCCTCGATTTCCCTCGGGTCCTCGATCCCCGCACACCCCTCGAACGCACATCCCAATCTCGTAGAACGAATCCCCGAAGATGGTACCCCCGAAATGTTCCTCACCAGATTGAGCCGCAATTCCACAATCCGCCTGTGAAGCTTCTCCGACCATACTCCCCGCCAGACCTCCTCCCCCTTAGCAACATCCCGCGACGTCAACTCCGACCCTGGCTGATCCCGACCGAAAATCCCGTCCCTCGGCTTGACCTACGTCGATCGAATAACTCGTCGTCCAAAACTGTGCTCGTGAAGGAAAAGGAACGGGAAGGAACAAACAGCCTGGATTCGAAGAAGCTCACCCTCCCGATCTCTGCTCGCCGAATCCCAACACTTGCGACACCCCCAAGGCCCAAGAAAGTTATGGAGGAACGATCCCCAGACCCAAGGCCAGACCGTCCCATTCGACCCTCTTCGCATCCCCGCGAAGCCCTCGCCCTTCTCTCTATCAATCGAGGATCTTGGGGTGTGGACCTTGATCGGAAGAGACGTGATAAGGCTCGAAAAAAGGCGCTGACCTGAACGAAGATCGGAAGACAATCCCCCATGCCTTTCCTGTTCCCGTAATAGAGCGCCGACGTGAAAAGTGGGGACACCGACGAGAGGACCCGAAAGAAGAGATTCGAACAGGTGCGGGCCTTTCGCCTCCGTTTCCCAACCCATCCTGGACCGACGACGCGCAACCAGATGGGAACGAATCGAAACGACCGAGCGCAGAACCAAATCCGAGACGTGGTTAGACCCCGATCGAGACCAAAGCGACGGAGAGAGCGCACGATCGTCGAACGAGAAGAAGAAATTAAGACGAAAGGTAGACATTGGGGAAGAAGGAGGAAAAAGGAACGAGCCCGAAACGGCTTCATAGGAAGATCGAAGCGACGGGTAAAGGCGAACCAGCCAGAAACGCGACTCCGCGAAGGGCTACGTTCCCGAACTGGAGCCTTGACGAGGTCACATTTGTCTGGTCGTGCGTGATGCGCAAGTTATCACAACGCGCCACGTCGTCTGGACGATTCCAACGATGGTCCGCTGTAGTGAGCAGCGGGTTCGAAGAAGAGGTGGATTATACTCGGACCTTGACCCCGTTGCGAAGGAGGTGGGAAAAAGAGGGCACGCGTGAAGAACGGAGGGCCAGCGGAGCCAGGGAACACAGGACCGAAGTCCCCCATCCCTGGCAAAGCTGCGATCAACACCGGCTAAACAGTATAGTTCCTCTGTGGGTGGGCAACGAATCGCGGTCTTGGGCTTTGAGCTGGTGGGCGAGGAAGGTGGGGGAACAGAGTCAACGACCTTTTAGAACGCGCGCAAGCAAGCGGCGCGCAGTTTCAAGGGCCGCGTTCTGCCGCGTTAGACCGCATTACAGGATGGCGTTGGGGTAGGAATGGTCAATTCCAAAGCAGTGAGGCACCGGAAAATTCAAACATCTGATCACGCTCAACTACCTAAACTTGCAGGACCAATTCAGAGATTTTTCGGCGACATGTCAGAGTTCGGGGGTCTCGATCACTCCCACATTTCTGATGCGGCATTGCTTCACTTCTCTTAGGAGCCAAACGAATTTGCTCCTATCCAACCGCCGATTCGCGATTCGGAGACATCGGAGATCAATCTCCAAACGTCGAAACAGCCCAGAGCTTGAACCCGAGGCTTCCAATCAGAATCATATTCTGAGACTGAAACGTAGGTAGGAAATTCCTCTCGTCGCTAGCAAGACTTATCATCGGCGAAAGGCGCGGGCCGCGATGTACAATAGGGGTCTTGGCTCCGTAAATGGGGTGCACGAACCTGTTCGAGCGAGTGTCGTGGTTGACCCCCAGCGTGATCATGACGCACCCGGCGTTATAAAAAGCCAGAATAACGAGATTGCCGCCACTATTTTGGGATCCCACCTTCTTCGGGAAAACCACGTTCAAGAAGTTGGCGCAAACGTTCCGACTCATCGCATCGCTCTTCGACTGTAGGAGCCCCGAGTCAGGAAAGACTTGCGCCCCTGCTCACGAGAAGACTAAAAGTGGACTCGGAGAACCTCGTCCTGTGATTGCCAGCCGCGGAACGCAATAAGTGTCCTGCTCAAGCCACTCTCACGCGGCTTCGTCATCGGTTCCTTGCGGTTCGATAGGCGCTTGTGCCTTCCCTCTGACTCGGGGTAGGCAAGTACCTGACGATCAGCATTAAGCCTGGTTTTCATGGTCGTTGGCATGTATGTTCTTTTGCATTATACTTGGATAGGACGCTATAGGCACACTTGCTTTGTCTTCGAGCTGATGGAAAAGAGTGAGCAGTCTGGCGGAAAGGGGCCCATCTGGAGAACTCGACGCCGCCGATGCCTAATGAGCAGCAAGGGATTGCGACCGACCCAGCAATATGCAAACTTGCGTGATGCCCCAGTACTCCGTTAGAAACTGAGTGCAGCCTTATCGATGAACGTCGCCGGCCCCTGCCTGACGAGCCCCTTTCGGGGGTGCCTTGCTGTGCTCTTCTAGAATATCACGGCCCTCGGAAGCTGAAGCTCCGTTGAAGCGGAGAGCATGCAGTTGGTGTGTTGGGAATGAGGGTTAGGAACCGCGCGTTCTTTGGTAATCTGTTTAGAAGCGCTCGTCTGTTTAGTGAAGCCTGGCGATGCGCACCAACCGTTGTCTTCTCTCCACGGTTGGATTACACGCTCGTCAGGTACGCATGTTTAGCTTCACAGCCACTTTCGTTGCAATTAACTGACGGTTGGATTACACGCTCGTCAGTCTCTTATTCATGCACTATCGGGGAATACATTTTAAGTTTTAAGTCATAAATTCCAGCTAGTCTTGTTCAAAGACAGAATCTAACAAACGCTAGATCCGCTGGACCACCATAGCATGTGTCATATATCATACACCAATATTGTATACGGGCCATTATCTCGCTGGGATTAAGACTGATGCCCCCATTTCTCACGCCGTACATCAGTTTTCCCTCCTCTTCCTCAGCACCCGGCTCCTGAGGGTAAATGGGGCAAGTTTGCCATCATCGCCTCCACCAGTGAGGTATGCTACTCCATATTATTTTGGAATGTCCACCACTTTCGCTTTCGGCCGCCCATATTCGCCTAGCCCCTTCTCATGATGCCATGCTCCGTCCAGCCGCGTCCGCGATCGCTCGTCTAGAGTCCAGTAGATGTCCGGTTTTGGTATCATTGGCATCGCAAACCACCACAAATATGCCCTCACCAGTTTGGCGGCGAAGGTACATAGATCCTGTATCTGCAGGTCAGTCCATCCTTGTTGCCGCGCCTCGAGTTCGCTTCGCGTAGCCCGATACAGGTCCTGACCAATTTTGTCGCGAAGTTCTTGTCCCGATGGGCACTCTCCAAACGCGTGTTTCTCTGTTTCTTCCTCTGCTCCACATATCACACACCCAGGGGAGGTCCCCCGTCTCTCCGAGCATCGCGAAGCAGTGGGCAGCGCAGTGGGCAGCACATGTGCCCGCATTTGGAGCTGTGTCTGTGCGGCATACGTTGACACTGCGCGAAGATATGGGTACTGCCCTGCTGAATGTCCGATATTCAATAGGAGTCGAACACTGTCGCCTGTCTTCTTTGGTAACGACCTCAGCTGCCAGTCTTCTTGAAGGTCGTAAATCTTCTTGCCGATATCGCCTTCCAGCCATTCGATCTTGTTGACGGTCATTTTTGCGATCGTCCACTGCGGGAGAGCGAAGTCGGGAAAAGGCACAATGAGGTCAGGCTGTAAATGTCCCTTCTTGGCCGCTTCTGCTCTTTCGTTTGCGCGCGATGCATCGTCCGTCCCTCCCGTATGAGCTTTCACGTGTTGTATTTCGATCGTGTCGTTCGTCGCGAGTAAACGTTCGAGCCATGTGTAGTGTGCAAGCGCAGCTCTCGGTTTCTTCGGTGCAACTTCGCCCTGCCTAATCTTCTCAGCAAATCTGACCGACGTCAGATGATCTGCGAGAACCGGAAATGGTGTAGTAGCCCCGAAAGTGTAAGATTGTATAGTCAGCGCTGCCATAATCAGGGCTGTCAGTTCCGCTTGCATGATTGACGCGCCCGCAAACAAAGCTGCCCGGACCTCCCAATACGGTCCCACGACTGCTGCGGCCGCGGAGGTGAATCCCGTGGGCAGGACAATAAGTGAGCCATCTGTCGCCCAAATGCCTTGTGCCTGCTGTTGTCTCATTTTGAGTATGGGAAGAAATACACTCTGAAGCTGATCTTCGACTTCGGTTTGTCGCTCGGCTCTGTGTCAGGGTCAGACTTTATCTCAGTTATTTTTATCAAGACTGGAGCCCTAGCCGACTAGGCCACCAAAAGGGAACAGTAATCAAGATGAAACTTGATCACGAACTGAGCCCTTTAGCTGTCATGGGCTCCCAACCATGACACTCTGTTTCGCAGGAGTTCGACTGGTCCCTCAGCTAATGTCAGTTCATCAAAGCGATCCGACCACTGCCGCACCGATCTGGTATTGGGATCTAGCCAATCGGAGAAAAGGTCCGGTCGATCTCGCTGCGGTCCTTTCTTGAGCTCCCGTAGATCCGTAAGCCGAGCTGGAAGCGCCGCCACTGCCCGCCGTAACTGTGGTTCGTTCCGCCGAGCCCCCCTTGTCTGAAAATATGCATGCTCCGCACTGACCATCGAGGTGAGACGGCTTGATTGGTCGGTCTTCAGCACTTGCAGCTTCCCACATTGTTGTAAGGCACTAAGAGCTGTGTTCCACGTCTGGGGGACTTTCCGTTGCGAGTGCGGAAAAGACAGGGGCTTGGGGTCAATGAAGGGAGAAGTGCAGCCGTGGTGTCGGCATTGGAGATCGGCCAGCGTGATCCTTGCCATTGTTACAAACCCGGAATGTGATGAGTGAGGTCCCGTAATAATCCGTCGACTGCCAGTGCCCCGTTTAGTCGCCATAGGCTGGCAAGCTCGAATCCAAACTTGATGACCGGCTAACCAACTTTGCCGTTGGTGTGAAGACCCATCCGTAATATTCCTTTATCCGCTGCGCGACTATTTGATCAAGTCTGAGCGCATCCTCCGGTCGAATTGGGCACAATGCTAGCTTTGGCCTCAACCTGCTAATCACTTGTTGCTCGATAAACCGCCGCAGTGCTGAGAGCGGAAGCCTCCTAGTCGATGTGCTGGGAAAACCAATCGATCGCACAATACTCTCCAGCTGAGTATATTGTCAATCTGGTGCTGCAAACGGCGTTTTGGAGAAGACATGTGCCGGGTCGACAGCAACCTGTCGTTCTCCATGAGGGGTGTTGACCGTCACCCTTTCTGGTGGCGCAACCAGTGAGTCAGTTTCTCCCAAGATAATAGCTCGAGTCTTCGTGCCCCAGTCCGTTGTAGAGTGTCATGGTAGCTAGCATAATTTTACTCTTCGCTAGCAGAATTGTGTCGTCCATTGCGGCTACCTGTGTGACTCTAAGGGCGAGCTCGTCGGCCTTTGTGTGCGCGCGCCGCCGTGCCCCGCTTTGCGTTGTGATGAGAAGGGGGTCATCGAAGACTTGCTCGCCCAGCCAGTAGGAGCCATGGCCATCGCAAGTGAAAACCTGAACGGATTTGGTGGATCGCCTTGTTTCATTTGTCCGTCCACTTTCGAAGGGGTCTGTCAGGCCGTATGGTGTCTTTATCATGAACGAGCCGTGTGCTAACCGCGCTCGGTCGAAAGCTTCCGCGTTCGGTCCGAAGCCGAAAAATTCGTAAGCGTCGTATCCGGCTTCTGCCCGCAGCAGATCAAAGCCCTTCTTTTGATCTCGAATAAGGCCGTAAATAGGGGTCTTTGCACGAACAGCCCATGCTTCGAGTTGCCAAGGAAGCTCGTAAGATCCCGCTGCTGTACGCCGCTTTGTACTGCAACCTGTGTCTCTGGTATCATGTGGTGTTTCATTGCATAAGCCTGCGCTTGACGCGTGAACCATGCAGCCGCCGTAACCGCGAGGATTGGCCAAGCCAGGCTATCCATCCATGCCCCTTCCTGGAAGGATGAACTCGGTAACTCTACTTCGGAAGTTCGGCCCGCCGCGCCCTGCGCCGCCCCACACCAACTGTCGGTGTTTCGCCACCCGTCGTTGTAGGCCCCCCTTTCCCTTCTGGCATGTCGCCAGGTCTGTCCACGACATTACGCGCCAATCATTTCGCACCTCGTCACCAATCCAAACCACGAGCCTTACGATGAAACTCGTTTTCAGCTTTGCAAGCCTTGCCTTAACGATTGTCTATCTTGGCGGAGCCGCTGCTCTCCCTGTCGTGTCCAAGTCTGGTCACGAGGCGACTCAGGGGCTTGAGCCCACGGCAGCCACGGTCACGGTGCATGATCTCACCGCGACGAGTCAGAGCACCCCCCAGCACCAGGAGTACGAGGGAGAGTCCAAGTTCATCTCTATTGGAAAAATCTTCCACAAGATTGGAATCCCCGTTCCCGTTGGAAGTGGGTCACAGTCACAGCCTCGACCCGGTGGGTCGCGGAGCAATAGCATCATACTCACCCCCTGCTATTCGATATGCGCCCTTTTTCAGAGGTCAGTATTTTCAGCCAGAAGTCTTGTTCAACTGCACTCTTATGTTCCGACTACCCCGGCTGATCCTGAGCCGTTTGGTCTTGAAATTCGGTCCGAATTAGCCCCCTCGTCTGCTACAAACGGTGCACCTGAGGATGAACCTCCAGTCCGAGTGTCGAGGTGAGTATTGGGTAAAGCACGTTTCCCGTTAAATACCTTGCTGATGTAATGTGGGCATGGAAACGCTCGATTATTCCTGACAAGGCTGTTGCGGCAAAGAGGAGAGGAGATACCGAGCCTGAAAGGTCGTGGACACGTGGCCCAGTTATTGATCTCGTAGTCTGCAAGGATCTATACACGAAGTTGATATCCAGCCCAGTAAAAGCCTCGGTCCTATGAGATACAGTCAGGTCGTTAGGACATATGTGAGCTGCGCTCCTCGCGTCCCTGGCTGATCGAGTGCTACTAGTAGTAAGATGAGCCGGCCGGCGATCTTTCGCACGGTCTTGGATCTTAAGACCCCTGATGCCTAGCGGCCTTGTTGAAGTGCCGCACATGTTGAGGTCACTTATCCCAAGTATGAAGGAGAGATGTTGAGTATTCACTCCGCCTGAGTCTGATGGAAAGTTCAAGCTAGGCGAGGCGACAATGCCGGCTTCAAGTTGCCGTCCCCGTCGCACCCAAACATCTTGACCCCTATGCTCCGACACGGGGAGGGGCTAGGAAATCTTCCGCAACAAGTCTCACTAGTTGGAGTTGAGTCTTGTTGAAAATGGTCAAAGCTACCCTCAACATGTTTATTTTGTGCTCGGATGAGGAGCGTGTACATGAGAGGCGGCTTAGCGGCCACCTGCCGCCCTAAAATCGCGCGGGAATCGGCGGGATTTGGCAAGGGCCCCCGGGGGTGGTACCCGCGGATGGTGGCACCAATTCTCAAAAAGCTTTCGAATTGGTAGATTAGGCTGTGGCCCGTGGAGCTTAGTGCGAGATCTACGACTACATCGGACGAGAAAATTTGAAAGGTTCGGATGGTTGACCATCTTCCATGTCCGGGCCCAGCCGCCCAGCGCTGGACTAACAGCGCAGACAGTGCGCAGACTCGGCTGAGCTCGGCGAGTGCGATCCGCTTCGCATCGCCGTTTCCTCGTCGCTCCGACTGCTGGCCTATCGTCACCCGACCGACTGTCTGGTGTCGCGCCCATCTCCGCCATCCTTGTCTCGATCACAGACTCTCTCATTCAACGAGCACACCTCTCAAGCTCCCGCCCGTCTCCCCAGTTCTTTGCGCCTTCTCTGCTTTGCTGGTCAGCTTCTTCGCAAGCCGATCCGATCCGAACCGAACCCGATGACGGACTCGGCTGCACCCGATGCGGCAGCGGCGGCGCCCATCGATTCCGAGCTGCAGCAGCCGGCAGCACAGCCTCAGCAGGAGCAGGGCGATGAGGAACCTGGACAAGGTGGGTCTTATCATCCGGGATCGGCGGCTCCTGCACTTTACAAGTGCAAGCTGCGTGTATTCCTTGCACACGAGCTGATGCCGACTCGGCCTGCTTTTTTTCCTCCGCCATTGCTCTCTCGTCGGACCCCACCCGCTCCGTCAATTGTTGTCCGTACCGATCCCGTAACCACGGATACGATACATCAAAACTATAAAACTACTCAAACGCCCTCTGTTGCTCGACCTGCAGTCGATGCGGAAGCGCAAGCACAACTGTTCGAAATCACGCTCGTGATCCCTTCGCAATCGTTCATTGCTCTACCCCGCTCGCAGGAGCGACAACCCAACAAGGACAACCACCTCGAGATCCCCTTGTCGTCCCAACTCCAGGATGCGGTGCTCGACCTGCGCAACGTCATCACCGAATCCCCGGAAGGCTTCTGGCTCGGCCATTTCGGACTTAGACCGATCGTCTCGTCTCGGATCGCTGGATCGCAGACCGAGTGGGGCCCTTGGGTCGATCTGCCCGAGCCTAGCACCGAGCAGCAAGAACAGCAGCAGGCAAAACAGCAGGGAGGGGACGTATTGGAAGTCACCGGGTGGAGATTGAGCAACGAAGGCGTGCTCGGCGAGTATGCCGACATCGCCGCCGTCTTTGGCTCGGGAGAAGGCTACGAGAACCGACGACGAGGCCTCAAGGTCGTGCCGAGTGAGTTGACGCCGGAAGGCTTGGCCTCCCCAATGCGATTGTCCTGACGCCAACATCGATTGTTGCAATCTGCTCCGGAACACCTGCAGCCCCCTACACGGCGCTGGCGATAAACGCCCACTTGCTCCGCTTGCGCAACATTCTCTTCTCCGATCTGACCCAGCTTTCTTCGAACGCGTCGTACGACCCGACCTCCGTCGCCATCGGTGCCGGTCAGACCATCTACCGAGACGTCCGCGGGCAAGCACCCGACGACGTACTGGCCGCAGCGGCAGCAGCCTTCGTCCATGCCGAGGACTCGCCCGAGGAGGACGGTCAGTCGGTGAAAAGTGCTCGATGCATAACGAATCGCAGGACTGTATGGCTGATCACATGCTGTTTACACGGTCACTTCAGGCAAGGGAAAGGGCAAGAAGGGCAAATCGACCAAGAAGCAACCTGCATCGACGGAAGTCAACGGAACCGCAGCCCCTGATGCCACCACCCCCGCTGCCCCGAGCAATTCGACAGCGCACGTCTTCACCGACTTCAAGCTCGAGGACCTTTCCGCCGCGGCTTTAATCGAACACCTCCAGCCCGCCGCCTCGTCGACGCTGTCGAGCCCCTGCGTCCGCGCGCTCGGCATCTCCCCGTGGTCACCTCCGCCCCACGCTCGCCGATTACGTGGCGACCATGTCTACATCACCCTCACAACGCTCGAAGGAGAGTCATACACCATCACGGGTGCCGCCGCCGGATTCTGGGTGTCCAAGATCACGTCTGCCAACTTTGACCCTTCCCCACGCACCGTCCTGCCCAAGGGCGTCCGATCGGGCGCGTACTACTCCCTTGTCGAGCTCCTCGCCGACCTCAGCCCGCTCTTCGCCAAGAACCTTGTCCCGCTCATCCAGTCGCAGCAGCACCTCCACGGTACGACCGACATCTATGCGACGCTCGCGATCACGCACCAAGCCCCGGCCGCATCGTGGATCGTGGCTACCCCTCAGCACGCCGCGGACCCGTTCCGCACCCAATCGGCCTACCTCCTTACAACGTCGACGACGGCCGAGCAGCTGCCGCCTGCGCGCGATTGGACCGATGAGTTCGCTCACGTTAAGGAGATTCCCAAGACGAGCGTGGCCGAACGCCTGATGCGCGAACGATTGACCGCTCGCACCCAGGCCGATTTTGTCAGCTCCGCGACGAGGTGTGCGATGTCGATCGCGCGGGGAGACATCCCCGCCCTGAACCCGAACGAAGCACCCGAGGCGCACACGTACGTACACAACAACATGCTCTTCACTAAGGCCGAGGATGCGAACCGCATGTACAGCCACATGGGCGACCATGAGGCCGCTCGTTACGCCGCGGCCAAGGACGTCGCCGGCGTGCGCTGGCTCGAGCGCGCCGATATCGACGGCTTGAACTCGATGGCGACCGTTTTGGTCGACTTTGCCGGCCAGCGGTGGATCGTGCAATCGCTACTCCCCGGTCTGTTTAAGGCCAAGGAGGAGGAGGAGCCCAAGCTCGTCGACGGCGAGGTTGAGCATTTGACGACGTTCCCCGACGGTGATGATGCGGCGCGTAAGCAGGCCAAGGCCGCGCTCGAGGCCGACAAGCCGTTCCCGTCCGAGGCGACTCCGAACAAGGACGACTACCCTTCGTTCGGCCAGTTCCGCATCGTCTACGGCTCGGCCAATCCCGAGGTTCCCGACGAAAAGGTGCGCGCTTCGGCTTACTTTGACGGCCTCGCCCGCCAGGTCGCCGACAAGCTGCGCTTCGCCCGCCATACCGTGCGAGATGCTGCGGGCCAAGAGACTCAGCTCTACACCTCGACGGACATGCACGGCATCGCCTGCCCCGACGGTCGCTCGTACTTCATAGATTGCTTCCGGTTGCACTGCGTCGACGTCGAGTTCATCGAGAATGACGTCAACGGATCCGTCTTTGGCCCCTCGAGCGAAGGTGGCGATGACTCTGCGGCGGTCAAGGTCAACGGCGCGCATGAACCTCGACCGTACCCTCATCGTCTTGCCTTGTTGCGCATGGAGTTGCTCGAAGCGTACCACGCGATCAAGCTGCGTAGCTGGATGGAGGAGCGCATCGTCGAGATTCGCGCCAAGAACAAAAATAAGCTCGCGAACGGGACCGCCAATGCCCCGGCGGAGGGTTCGATCGAGTCTGAGCTCCAAGAAGCTGCCCAGGACCCCGCACCCAAGGTGGAATCCAAGGAGGAACCCAAGGCGAATGCGGATGCGGTCGAAGAGAGGACCGCTGTCCCCGAGCCGTCGGCCAACACCGTCATCGATGCCGAGGACTTTTCGTTACGCTTCAACCCCGACGCCTTCGTCGAGCGCAAGCCGACCGCGAGCGGCGAGCCTTCTACGGTCATCTACGACGCCGAGGAGCCATCGTCCAAGGCCGTGCGCGACGCCTCGCTTTACCTGCGCGAGCAGGTCATCCCGGGCTTCATCGTAGACATCGTTTCGGTCGGCATGATTGTCACCGACGGCTTCTTCTTGACCCGCCTGTTGCACCGCAAGGGTATCAACTTGCGCTACCTCGGTATGCTCGCGGACCGTATCGACAAGGACACCAAGACGGTTGACTTTTCGGGCAAGAAGCACTCGCAAGAAGAGATCGACATTGCGCTCAAGACGCTCAAGCAGTCGGTCTTGCTCGAGATGGTCGTCCGTGCGTCTAAGCACTTGCTCAACCGATTGCTGCGCGCCGCCCACGAGTACGACTATGCCCCCATCGTCTCGCACTTCCTCAACTGCTTGCTCGGAGCCGCCGTTGAGCCCGCACCGACCGCCGAGATCTTTGACCTTCCCCTGGGCGCGAACCTCGAGCGATCGTGGACCCGACTCACGCCCGCGTCGCTGCGCTCCGAGCTCGTCGCCGAGATCGAGTCGCGGTTCTGTTACCGAATTCCGACGTCCTTCCTCGAAACCGAGCTCGTGCCGAACAAGGTCCTGCGCGAGATCTGCCTGCGCGTTGGTGTCCAGCTCGTCGCCCGACATTATTCGTTCGAGGCTCCCACGAGCACCAGCACCAAGGAGGGCAAGGCCCCCACCACCACCAACGCCAGCGAGGCGAGCAAGGGTGGGAAGAAGAAGAAGAACGCTGCTGCCAAGTCCGCCACCCCGACGGAAGCGCCCGCGACGACGGTCTTCCGCAGCGACGACGTCCTCAACGTCTACCCCCTCGTGCGATCGACACCGTTAAAGTCCCAACTCGCGGACGAGACTTTCGCCGTCGGTCAGCAGTCTTTGACTGAGACCCACATCGATCTCGGGACGGAGCAGCTCATGGAAGCGCTGCAACTGTGTGAAACCGTATGCGGATCCGTCCACTCGGAGGTCTCGGCCAAGTACCACAACTTGGGCATCCGTAAGTGTTCATTCTTAGCGACCCTGAGATACTTCGCGCCAAAGCCGGAATGCTGACACGTTTCGTTGCACACTCCCACAGTCAACCACAGTCTCGCGCAAACAGTCAGCCGCCGCATCCACTACCACGACCTCGCCGAATCGCAGCTCAAGGAAGGCAAGCCCGATGACGAGGCCCGCACGCGGTTGGAATCACTCCTGATCAGCGACATTGACGGCGCGCGCCTCGAGCACGATACGTTGGTCAACGCCGCGGTGCGCATGATTCGCCAGAGCATCATCATCTGCGAGCGCACGAACGGCCTCGATTCGACCGAGACAATCCAGCAGTATTCGGACCTCGGTCTGCTCGAGACGGCCTTGGGCAACCACTCGGTTGCGATGCGATTGACCAAGCACGCGATGGTCCTGTGGGCCTTGACGTACGGGTCTAATCATCCCACTATTTATCAGCTCCTGGTCAGTTTCACATTCACCTTTTGACGCATCGGGGTTAACACGACTGTCTGCTGATCTGATGTTACTTGTGTCGACTGGCAGACGAATGCCGTTCAAATGGTCCAGCAGGAAGAGCAAGGCTTCCTGGCCGGGGTACCGCTCCTGAAGGAGCTCGGCAAGCTCGCCGAGATCCTGTGGACGCGCGACTCGATCAACTTTGCCACCGTTGAATCATCGCTTGCGCAAGCCTACGTCGGAGGTGGCGATCTCGCGCAATCCTTGGAACACATGAAGGTCGCGCAGTCCATCTACGCCAAACTGCTTCCCGCGGACGCCAAGGACCTGGTCGAAGCGACGCAGTTCGTCAACGTCCTGACGGAGCAGCTCAGCCAGGTCGGCGCCGAGCGACAGGCGCGCGAGGAACGACTCAAGAAGAAGTTCCCGCGCTTGATGACGGAGAAGGAGCAACGCCAAATGGTGGCCCAGGCGCGTGCAAGGCAAATCGTATCGGGCGGTGCATCTACCGCAACGACCAATGGCGCCTCGGTCAGTGCCACGCCGGCCGCGGCGTCGCGATTGGCAGCGGAGAAGCCCGTCGAGGTGGCCGCTCCTCGAGCGCATGGCCAAAAGGGCATGTTGAGCGTCGACGAGCTCGTCAACTTCATCCAAGGATCGTCGTCGAACGGCACCTCGGCGTCGTCGAAGGCCTCTAGGAAACGCAAGACGTCGCCTCCCGGTGCCGCTGCGTCCGTAGAGAGCTGAACGAGCAGGCCCACGCACGGAACAGAGAAGTTTCACGTTTGCAGCACTTGTAGCATCAACCACCGCCCTTCCACAACCCATCTTCTGCCCCTTGCCAACCTCCCCCTTGCATGATGCTACTACCACCCACTATTCTTTACCCCGTTCCACGTCCCCCACCTGTTTGACTCTCCCTCCTCCCCTCCCGAGCCCCGTGGGGAATACAGCACGAACATTCCTAAGTATAGCTCTCCCCTTCTATTCCTTCTTTCTCTCTTGGGGACCCTTCTCTCTCTTTTTTATTTCTCCTCCGAGCAAACAAGATTATCAAATCACCATTCCCAACCACAAAAAAACCCCTTTGCGAATCTCGTTCGTCCCGCCGCTCTTCGTGTAGAAGGGGCACGGAGTTGGGGGTCCTCTTGCAATGGTGATCAAACCCCACGCCTATGGGGGATCAAGACGATAAATCACACTTGTGGCTGATGGGAAAGCCTAAGAAGTTTCAATGAAGAGAGCGCTTGGGTCTCGAGTTTTTTCCGCCATACGGAATTGCAAACACCAGAACGAGGCTTCTACACGAGAACGCAAGGGTTGAACCCCATTGAAATGCGTCTAACTTGACAGACCCCCGAACGAGCCGCCGAAAGATAACCAAAGCCATCCGGAAAGCCGACCTTTGCGTGAACCATCTTGTTCTCCCAGTGTGTTCACCCGTGTGTTCAAAAAATAGTCTACTACTGCCCTCTGAAGAAATGCGAGAAGAAAAGAAGTGTCTGCTCCGAATTGAGAACCCGTGTTTTTATGAAATCTTGATGCTGCTTAACATCACTTTGACATGGCTTGAAGTCCGAGTGTATGGGCTTGGTTGAGTTCTTGGACCCATCGCGCTGCGCCACCGGAGGGATCTTCGAACTTAAGTGTTGTGTGGGACTGTTTGAGATGCATCCAAAGCAATATGAGCTTTATGCGCGAGTCAGGAGAAGCCTTGGACTTGGGATTCGACGTACCGTCCTCAATAGGAACCCTTTCTCCCCCTCCCTCTCCGCCTTGACGAACCCCACCGTACCGATCTTATCGACCCCACCTTTGAGAGCCTTTCCCAACCACACCTCATGCTTGATCGTTACCTTGTCCCAACTTTCCTTCAAACACAACAACCGGTCCGTGCTCGTCAACAAGAGAAGTCGTTTCTTCTTGATCAGGGAACGTTTGGTCAGGATCGGTGAGGTGAGGAGGATTGTTTCGGACGGTTGGAGGATCGAACCCCATTTCGTCGTTGGGTGAGGTGGGTTCGCATTCGAATGGGTCGTCCTCGTCGCAAGTTGGGTAGTTTGAGATGTCATCTTGTCCGGACCGCTCGTATCGGCTGTGAAATCGTCCTGGTCTTCGTCTTCATCCGGTCCTGAAACCGAACCTTCCCCATCCCCGTCCCCATCCTCATCCTCATCATCCAACCCATCACTACCGAACCCACCCAGCAAATCATCTACAGCTTGCATATTCATCCCTTCCCCTTCCCCTCCTCGATTCGGTGCTGGTCCAAGCTTGGGTTGCACCAAACCTGTTTCGATCGGGGGTGGCGTGACGGTCCAAATGGTCGAGAAATCGATCGAGGGTTCGGAGGTGAAGAAGGGGTGCGATTTGATGGCTTGAATACCTTCGGCTGTGGCACCGAGTCGTTGGGTAGGGTCGACGACCTTTAAAAAAAACACCATAGAAACAATAGGAAAGGTTCAACCAGACGTCATTGAAAGATTTCGGGGGACGACGACGCGCTGCTGAAGCAAGAATAGGATAGGAATGTAACGCACCAACAAATTCTCGACCAGGTCCTTGGCCTTTTCGTCGAAACCCAAAGGAAATTCGTACTCCAAGCCGATGATCTTTTGGAACATCAAATAGTCCGTTTTGGCTTGGAAGGGGGGTCGGCCGGCGATGATTTGGTACAAAATGCAACCGAATCCCCAATAATCGGAAAGGCGCGAGGATTCTTTACCGGACGAAAGGATCTCGGGCGAAACGTATTCGGGGGTGCCGACGAACGAACGCGCGCGTTTACTTAGGTTATCTGCGAGGGATCTGAGAACATAAGGACCTGGGACGATGTTGGACCGGGGGACAGATACAAAGCCTTCAACGAACCTGGATTGGAAGCTTGTTCAGGCGTAGGTTCCGGCTCGGTCGTGTCCGACAACAACTTGGCTGTCCCGAAGTCGGTGACCTTGATGCGCATATCGACGTCCAGCAGGATACTGTGGGAACACACCGCCAAAGGGGAGAAAGTCAACCAGTGATGCCTTGGGAAATCTCCGCTTGCGCAACCGCTCACTTTTCCGGTTTGAGATCGCGATGGATGACCCCTCTCGAATGCATGTGTTCGATTGCGCTCAAGAGCTGCGCAGCATAGAACCTTGCCGAAGGGAGTGAGAATGAACCAAACTGATGCGGCATGAACAAGTTCGTCAGCATGGTCTTGAGGGAAAGAAGAGATGAGCACTGCGCCCACTTTTTTGATCCATTTGAGCAATTCGCCATTCTTGGCCAACTCGAGGACATAGTCTACAATCGACCATGATTGCTCAGTACAAGACTCACGCACAATTCGACTTTCATTCCCACGACTCACACAGTGAATGTACATCCTGAAAGGTCCAGTACAACCTGACGATGCCCGGATGGCCATCCAACGCCTTCAAGGTGTCCCTCTCGATCAAGACATATTTGGTCTTCTTCTCCCTCTTGATGTGTTCCTTATCGAGCACCTTGAGTGCGTACTGGTGATGTGGTGCAACCTTGTCCGTGACGAGCGAGACCTGTGGGGGTTGGCAGAGCTGGGATGAGCATGACAGCTTGCGGTTGCTTACGCGCTGCGACGAAAGCACTGACGGTGGAATACGATCCCTGTCCTAGGGTCTTGCCAAAGACAAAATCCTGCGGTGTCTTGCGTACGACCATGACGGAAGGGTTTGAGGAGGGGTCCTTGGAGTCGACTTTCCTCAAGGCCGGCTGATCGCTCAAGGTGGAAGACGAGGCTCGATCCCAGCTCGGCCTGGCGATCTGGAGGGCCGGTGGGATCGGCAGCGGGTTCGATTGGGGTGAGGGTTGCTTGATCGTCATCATCGAGGCTGGAGAGGTGCCGAGTTGAGAAGACTGACGTGTCGGGGTGACTGCGGTTCCTACGCCAACGAAGGCGCGAGCGGTCGAAGAACGTGAAGGCCCGGGAGGAGTAGCCGAAGAGGAAGGCGTCCGCAGGTCGGCTACAGTGAGGTCGCGTAGGCCCGAGGTGAGGTCGAACCCAAGGGGTGTCGAAACGGTCGAGTCTCGGTGGGGGGGCTCGTCAAAACACTCGGCTTTGTCTCCGCTGCCGGTGGGGATGGGGACGACGGAGTCTCCCGAGTCAAAATTCTCGCCGACGAGTTGGGCCGAGTGATTCGATCCGCTCGAACTGTTCCTCGCCATCGGCATCGAGTACAGGCTCGAGTGAGAGTACTGATCGGAGGAGAAATGGGGGTGGTTCGGCATCGGGGTCGGTGGGGATGCGCCATAGGCCGCGGACGGTCCTCGTATCGGTTTGCGGATCGGGACCGCGACGACGGACGAGGTGGACCGGATCGAGGACTGGCGCGACACGATCGAGGACGACGCCGAAGACAGGGACGAGGTCGTTGACAAAGGAGTCGTGATGGAGCCGTAGCCGGGGTGGGTGATCGAGCCATCGGTGTGGGTGCTGATCGGGGCGTATGGTGCGGGCGTGGACGTGGACGTGGCCGAGCGAGCCGGAGAGGACGTCGTCGACGATGAGGTGGAGGGGGAGGAGGCCGATGGCGTCGACAGATTCAGCAGCGTTGGATGGCGTGACGGGCCTGCTTCGGTACTACTCGGTAGATGACGAGATTCCGACATGGCGGCAGAGGCGGAGGCGGTGTAGCTGCTGCGATTCAGAGTGGCCGGACTCGGACTGGACCCGATCGGAGCAGGACTCGATCGCTCGCTCGCTGCCGAGGGAAGCACCTTATAATCAGTATTGAAGCGGGAGTTGGGCACGACGACGTTGTAACGGAAGCATGCTGAGTGTCGGGTCGGGGCCCCCGGTGGATCTCACTCGGGGAGACCGCTACACCGCTAAGTTCTAACACGAGCGAGCACCACACCTCACATGCCTCACCGGCCTCACCGACCTTCACCGACGAGCGAGCGACTCGCAAAGTCAATCAACACGTCCGCGCTCGGTGGAGTTTGTAAAGATTTGTAATGCGCAATAGTGCGCAATCCACGCGGGGAGGCTCGCCCCTGATCGGGTTCGATCGCCACTATACTCGCTTTCTCGCATCATCTTTGTACGGGTAGCGGCGCCTTCTTGCCCACTCGACGTCGACGCACTACACTGGACCCGCTCTCGAACCTCGCGTTTACGACCTCGGGCGCACTCATAGATCTCGTCGATAGTCAGTTACTGCAGCATCCGCGCTCTTGCACAACACACGATCATGTCCACCACTGACACCTCCTTTGCCCCCAACACCCCTCAGAGAAGATCTTGGTGCACCTGAGGGATGGGCGTCGCTTGATTGGGGTGTTGAGGTCCTATGACCAATACGGTCAGTCCTCTCGTCCTCCACAAGCCTCAAGCCTCAAGCAGCCAGCAGCAAGCAGCCAGCAGCCAGCAGCCAGCAGTTTGGCTAGTCCTCCGGTCCTCCGGTCCTCCGCTCACTCCTTCCTGTCGCTCCCACCACAGCCAACTTGGTTCTGACCCAAACGATTGAAAGGATATTCCACCCACCGAGCAAGACGTTCGCGCAGACCGACCGAGGCGTATTCCTCATCCGAGGCGAGAACGTCGTCCTCCTGGGCGAGGTGGTCAGTCTCACCGATCCGAAGCTGCTCTTTTCGACTCAACCTCTGAACCCGCTCTATGCCACGTATAGGACCTCGATACGGAAGACGCGGCGATCGAAAAATTGCAACAACAACCTTGGCCACAACTCGCGGCCGTGCTCGAGCAGGAGAAGCAACGAAAGGAACAGCATGCAAGGATAACCGAACGCGTGTTGCATCAGAACAAGGGGTTCGGGCAGGAAGGTGGGGAAGGGGATGCTTATTGAAGGAGGCGTATGTCCAATGCATCTGCTGTTTATACTACTTTGAACTCTGGCGGCCGAGGGCGGGGGGTGGGGCAGTGGGGGTTCGACTGGGGGACTCGCTACCTTCCAAGAGCGAAGATCCAACGCGCAACGATACGGATGACAAAGTCTGCGTGCATCCTAGCTAGGGAGATAACGAAGCGATCACGACAACGAGACGGATGAGCTCTCGTGCGAGCTCGGAAGGTTGCCGCCGATCTTGACCCTCGAAAGCTCCACCCAGATACAGTTCGAATGCATCGTTCCGCAAGAAATGTTCTCCTGTTCGAAGAGACCTCCGGACTATCCAACGACCTCGACCTCGGATGGAATTGCGCTCGCCCGAAAACAAGCGCGAGCGAAACAGAAAAGACTGGCCTGGTAAGTGTAGGGTCGGCCATCCGAGCGCGGCGTTCGCAGCTTTGTGCTTGGCTTCGCTCACCCCACTCTCGCCGTCTGGGACATGCTCGAAACGATCTACATCGCGCGCCACGGCTTTCGTCTCTCGTGGGAAACATCGGGTCCGTTCACCGACTCGATCCGACTGGACTGACTCGAACTGATGCTGCCTTCGGAACGTCTTGTTCGCGCACAGTCTGGAATGCGCCGACGGGCACCCCACGTGATCCACCGCTCTCGGCGCACGGGGTCGATCAAGCAAACGAACTGGCGAGCTGGTTAAAGACCCTGTCCGTTGATGAGAGACCGCAGAGGATATATTCTTCGTACGTCGGTGTGTAAGCTCGACGAGGCTCAGGAGCATCGACACCGGTGACGGAGGTGGCGTGTCCACCCCACTGTGGAGAAGCGGAATGTAATAGTCCCCGTCGGCGAGAGATCCAAGATCGCGCCAAGGAGCTGTTGCTGATCCCCAGTCGATCACCATAATCAGCCCCTTGTACCGATGCCTACAGACTTCGACCCCCGTGGCCGAGGCGTTGGGTTGGCCGATCCTGGTCGAGCATGGATTGGCCGAGTGGTATCTCCCCGTCAGAAGGGGTAAGCTGGCGAGAATTGTTGGGATCGCATGTTCAAGAGGGTCTCATACAAGGTTTACACTCGCACAGGTCTGCACCCTCGTAGTCTCCCGGCTTCCGAACTGATTGAATGGATACCTCGGATCGCGCCGACGGCCCATTCATCGCTACTCTACCCTTCCCAAAGGGGCGAAACACCACACCAACTGCACGAAAGAACAACACAAGTTCTCACCCTACTCATCAATCACATCAACTCGTCCCCCGACCCCCCCAAAACGATCATCCTCTTCACCCATGCCGCGACCTTGATCGCTCTAGGGAGGACTTTGATCGACGATAGGGAATGCTTCGTCAAAGCTGCAACCTGTTCGGTCAGCAGGTACGAGCTTGTCAAAGGGAAGCAAAAGGAGAGGGATGGACTGGGCAGGTGGGAGATCAAGATGAATGGGGATACTTCCTTCTTGAAAGGCGGTGAAGAGGTAGGCAACTTTTTTTCTCTCGCGGGGCTATGTCCTGAGCATTAGACGACCGGTAGACTCAGAGTTCTCGCAAACTTTTGATTATCTGCAGCGCCATTGGGATTTCTCGTTCGTGGAAGCTTATGGTGCGTATTAGGGTCTGCGGTGATCCGCATCGGGGGGAGGTGGATCTCCTGACTGGTGCCAGCACTTGGTTGGACGCAGGACTTGGCCGAGAAAAGACTGACTCGTCTAACTCTTCTCGTACACAGAGGAAGATGGTATCTTGGAAGATGGTACCGACGCACCCTTACTGTCGGATCAGTACAAAACCGTCGACAACACGTCGTCATCGACACCAGCGGAGGTGACGAATGTAGGGACCAAATCAGCGAGTTCGAGCAAGTTATGATGCGAGATCGTTTAAATCCTGGATTGTCAATGTTTTCCATAGTAGAATGTACTGCACCAGGAGATCTTGAATGGACGAGGCATCCTCAGCAAGCACTTTACTAGAGTTCGGATCATCTTCGGTTGCCTTTTCGAGAGAGAAGTTTCTTCGCCATTCGCGGTGGAGAAGAGCACCTCCGGTAGAGCATCTTTGACATTTTAGTCACTCAACTAGTAGATTTGGTTTGTGCCAATAAAAGCTCAGAGCTTTCAAAGAGATCTATCACCCAGCCTGGACTGTCCGGAACCGGTATCGACATTACTCAGCGAAGCGATCGGAATTAGTCAGCGAACTTCTGCGTTGACTCGGCCCGAGTGGGGGCGAGCTCGCTCTCCTCTTTCGGCTCTATCATCACCACGACCCCTCCAATTCACAAGTGAGCTGTTGCGTGTGACGGTAGCTCTCGAATCTGCCCCGTATTCGACTCCTCGCTTATACTGCCTCTCGCTTTGGCTCCCTCCTCCGTTGCTTGCCCTGGGTCTTCGGCGTCCAAGTGTTCACCGGTTTGGTCGAGGTCAGTTCGTACTTCCCACAGGCGAGAGATCTCTCGGTCCAACCAAAGAACCACCTCTGTCCTGCTCCTTAGATCCTTGGCACGGTCAGTTCGATCCACCCCACGACCGAATTCGAAGGCTTCTCGTTCGTCATCTCGAACGCGCAAGAGATTCTCGACGATTGCAAGTTGGGCGATTCGTTCGCCGTGAATGGATGTTGCTTGACCGTCACCGAGTGGGATACGAAGGAGGGATGGTTCAAGGTCGGGTTGAGCAATGAGACGTTGCAGAGAACCGATTTGGGTACGTTCAGAGCATGGACCAAGCTTTGTCGGCGTTCACATCTTGCCCCCACCCCCACCCCCATCTCAGGGGGAGAATGGGCGAGGGGGTCACATCGGCGAGTTTGTACCAGCTCTGACCAAGTCGAAGGAAGGCTGAATCGGGCTCTCATGCACCCTTGTAGGCTCGATCAAGGTCGGATCTCGAGTTAATTTGGAGCGCGCGATGGCCGGACACGGTCGATTCGGAGGACATTTCGTTCAGGTCAGTTTTGTGAAGTCAATGCCAGGTCGGGCAGGCTTCTCTTCATTCGATCTTCCTGCGTCCGCGCGAACGGCATCCAAATCCTCATCTCCTGCGACATGGATTCTCACTCATCATCTCATCCTGTAGGGCCACGTCGATACGGTCGCTCAACTCTTGTCCATCACGCCCGATGGCGATTCAATTAGGCTGCTCTTCTCCTTACCGTTATCTTTCTACTACTCGCTCATTCCCAAGGGTTACATCGCCCTGGATGGTACTTCCCTGACCCTGACGCACCTTTCGATCCCCCGCGAGGGGGACGAGTACTACACCGATGGGCAAACGGGTCTTTTCGGCGTGATGCTCGTGCAACATACGCAATCGAGAACGGTCGTCGCGTTCAAACAGGTCGGTGATAAGGTCGCGGTCGAATGCGATGTCGTCGGCAAAGGCGTCGAGGCGATCGTGAGGAACGTGTTGCAGAGTGGGGGAGAACAGAATGGGGCCTTGGAGGCGATGATCGAGAGGGCCGTCGAAAAGGTTTTGCTACAGAAGGGGCTCGTGAAGCCGTAAGAGCGAGCGAGTACGACGGGCCCGCTCGCAAGATGGGTAACTTTTGTAGTGTACGATCGAAATAATGTGATAAGAGTGCATCAGCCAGTACGAGACGGTCAGGTTGCCATCGTCGGGGTAGTCACTACTGGACGACTCGGGAGTCGGGAGTCCGAGCTCCGAAATCGAGTGAGGTCCGAGCTCAAAAAAGAGTCAACAAGTCGTCTCAAGTCTCCTCACGTCGTCGCCGTCGTAGGCCGTCGTCGCCGGAGCGTGCGCGGTGCGCGGTGCGTGCGCGGGTGCGGTTCCTCTGCTTTCTGCCACCTCTTACACAGCGACGAGCGAGCTTGATTCCGGCAAGAATGGCGTCGACTACATTACCCATGCCGTCCTCGGAACTGTTGCAGTCCATCGTCCTGCACGCGCTCGATGCCGAATCGCCGCTCTCGGACAGTCGGGTCTTGCCGCTCTCGTTACCCGCTGGGGTCGACGGTGCCGAGGCCTTGGTCGGCTACAACGCTCGACCCGTCGGCGATGGCGTCGAGGAGCAGAATGCGCTCAAGGCTGCGCTCGACTCGTTGGTCGCCAAGGAGGTCAGTTGAGTTCGAACGGCGGAGAGCGGGCGAGCGAGCGTGCGAACACAACCACACAACCTCGAAGCGATTCCTGCGATTGGAACACGAACCAACTGACCCCCGCCCCCGCCTCAAACGGCATTCGTGCTCCCCAGATGATCACCTGCCACCAACTCTCGTCGGATGTGCACTTCCTGAGCCTGGAAGGAGCCTCGATCGCCGACGCGGGCTCGCACGAATACCTCGTCTGGTCCTCGCTCGACTCCAACACCCCGCTCTCGGCCAAGGAGATCGAAGCGCGCGTCGGCAAGGACGTCGCCAAGGTCGGTCAGGGCAGGGCCATGAAGAACAAATGGGTCAAGAAACAGGGCGACGGATTCGTCAAAGCGGTCAGTGAATTGGGGCGCGAGCGAGCGAGCTTGGCGACCGTTCTGGGCTCGGCTTGGCGGTGGGGATCATCATGAGAGTAGCGACGACCGACCCCCGTGGGCTGTCCGTTGACTCGTTCCTTTCTCTCCCTCCCGGGTTGTCGGGAAAACTGCAGGCCGAGACGGTGCACGATGCGACAAGGGAACAGATGATTCAGATCAGGACGACCGGCACCTTGCCCGACGAGAAGGAGCTTGCCGATTTGAGGAAACGGAAACTGATTGAGAAAAAGTCAGTTCCAGCAAAGGTCTCTTGTTCCTCGCTTCAGCCCTGCATAGACTCACTCATCCTCCACCGTCATGACGCAGGAAAACGTTCTACTTCTCCCTCGACAAGGGCGTAAAGTTTGCGACCACGATCGAAAAGCTCGAGACCGACTTGACCGTCGAACTGCTCAATTCGTACGTTGAGATCTTATTTGGTGGGCTTCGCCGCTGGCTAATCGACGATGGGACGTCATATAAAACTGCAGCGGCGCGTGGGAAAAGTCCAACTTCAAAAAGTACAATTTCGAAGCCGAAGGCGCACCGACGAACGGAGGCGCACTCCACCCGTTGATGAAGGTCCGAGAGGAGTTCCGAAACATCTTTTTCGAGATGGGGTGCGTTCAGTCGCATAATCAGGCTTTGAGACCTATGGGAAAGCTGATCCTGTGACTTTGGTGTCAGTTTCACCGAGATGCCGACGAACCGGTTCGTCGAATCTGGTTTCTGGAACTTTGATGCGCTCTACGTGCCTCAGCAACACCCTGCTCGTGAAGTCCAGGACACGTTCTACCTCAAAGGTGAGCAGAGATCGAGGAGAAGTCCTCCGAACGTCGGATCCCAAGAGCAGGGTGCACGAGCTCAACTCGTCTTCTCCGTTTGTCCTGCAGACCCCGTTGCCTCGTCCGGTTTCCCTCAGGACTACTACGAACGCGTCAAGAAGACGCACGAGGTTGGAGGTTACGGATCGACAGGGTACTGCTGCCCCTTTTCGAAGGAAGAGACTTCTCGCCTCGTCCTACGTACACATACCACTTCGGTCTCGGCGGCGATGTTGTACAAGATCGCGAACCAGCCGGCAGGGTTCAAGCCTTCGAAGCTCTTCTCGATCGACCGCGTATTCAGAAATGAAACCGTCGACGCGACACATTTGGCCGAGTTCCACCAGGTTGAAGGTGTCATCGCCGACTACAACCTTACGCTCGCCGATCTCATTGGTGAGTTGGCGCGAACGCGGTATCGGATTCTCACGGATCGTGTACTGACCCTTTCCGACGCCCCGCCCTCTGCACAGGTTTCATGGAAGTCTTCTTCAAAAAGATGGGCGTCACGAACCTGCGCTTCAAGCCGGCTTACAACCCTTACACCGAACCTTCGCTCGAGATCTTCTCGTGGCACCAAGGTCTCAACAAATGGGTCGAGATCGGTAATTCGGGCATGTTCCGGCCTGAAATGTTGGAACCGATGGGCTTACCCGCCGACGTCAGAGTTCACGGATGGGGTTTGAGCTTGGAGCGCCCGACGATGATCAGGTATGGGATCAGCAACATTAGGGATTTGTTGGGGCACAAGGTGCCTTTGGAGATGATTGAGAAGAGTGCAGCGGTCCGGTTCTCCACTGCGCATGAGTAGCTTTTTTCTTCTTCTTCGCCTTAAGACTTCTCCTTGTTCCCTCATACGGGACAATCGTCGAGACGAATGACATCCTTGAGCAATTTCACAATACTTGCATACCCTAGTTGTGGACCATCGCGATTCGAATGAGCCAAAGAAGATGATGCTCTCGGTCAAAGGCCACGGGTCCTTCCGTGCTTGGCCACCGAGCATCCTCTCTACACACGGGTACTTGCGACAAGGTACAATGCAAACGAGACGATGCTAGTTGGCTGGATAGTACAACGAGAATATTGCAGATTCGGAAGGTGATGCTATGTGCATGGATCATCTTCCATCAAAATCGTGCTCTTCGGGGCGATCAGATCTGGAAATCCTTTTCGACGATCCTCGAAATGATCAACTTCTGGATCTGGGTCGTGCCTTCATAGATCTCAAAGATCTTGGCATCGCGATACAACTTCTCGACGGGGTATTCCGAGTTGAAACCGGCGCCACCGTAAACTTGGACCGCGAGATTCGCGTTCGAAACGGCGTGGTGCGACGCCAGGGCTTTGGCGACCGAAGCGTAATAGGTACACCGCGGATCGTTGTGGTCCTTGGCCGAAGCGGCTCGCCATACCATCGCGCGCGCCGACTCGGCACCGATCGCCATCTCGGCGAGCATCTGCGCAACCGCACCATGCTTGATGATCGGTACACCGAACGTCTTGCGCTCCTGCGCGTACTTGGCAGCTTCGACCAACGCGCGTTGGGCGAGTCCGACCGCACCAGCCGCTACGAGCGGGCGCGTGATGTCGAAGGCGCCCATGGCGATCTTGAAGCTGCGTAGCGCGTAAAGCAAGCGAGCACAGTCAGTAGATGAACTTTAACGGACCAGTCACGAAGCGCCAGCCTTCCCCCCTTTAGTGCAGGATGGAGAAACAATCTGGACTCGAAGTATTTACCCGTCGCCTTCCTTGCCGAGCAGATTAGCGACCGGCACCTTGACGTTCTCGAAGGCGATAGGGCGTGTGTCGGAACATCGCTGGCCCATGTTGACCAGCTTGGAGTCGACCGTGATACCTTCGGCATCGCCATCGACGATGAAACCACTAAGCCGCCTGTGGGGCTTGGCCGATGGGTCGGTCACGGCGAGAACGAAGTACCAGTTGGCGACGCCCCCATTCGTGATCCTGCAATCGATAAACGGCGAAGTTGAAGATCTGGTCAGCTATCGGCACGTGGCGGCAGCGGCATCTGTCACGGCCATTGTACGCATCATTGAGAATGCATGCAAAAGCTTCAATCGGACAGTCGAGACAGCGAGCCGAGAAGGCATGAACGAACCAGAGCTTGGCGCCGTTGAGGACGTAATGGTCACCTTCCTTGGTCGCACGAGTAGCGATCCCAGCGACATCGGAGCCGGCTCCTGGTTCGGTGACACCTGCATTCGGCGGACGGCGGGAAGGCGGGAATGGGTTCAGTTTTTACATAGTAACAAGAGCCTCCACCCGATGAGCCCGAGCGCAGCGCACTGTCCGTACTCCTCGAGACTCACCGTAGGCACACATGATGGGTTCCTCGGTCATGCGACCGAGATACTTGTGCTTTTGCTCTTCCGAGCCAGCGATGATGACCGGTGCTTGAGCCAGTCCATTGGCTTCCATTGCGGTTTGAATGCCGGTGCAACCGTAAGCCAATTCTTCCGACACGAGCGCCGAAGACATGACCGAAAGGCCCGGGCCACCATACTGTGTGACGATGCAAGGCGAAGGTTCATGTCAGCTCACCTCGCATACATTTTGAATGATGGGAGCTTTGGAAGATCCGTAGAGCGTCGCGAAAGTCCAGATTTGGTGGCGAAAAAGTCGATGGTCCGGCCCACCATCATTATTCGGAGAAGTGACGACTGCGATGGCACGGGGCACGCACCGGGATGCGCGTGATTGGCGCACCATAGCCGGGCCCAGCGGGGGCCGGACGGCTCGTTCCAAGAAGAATGTCCCGGAGCTGGCCACCATCCCGGTCAAGTTCAAGAGGGAAAGATGACCTGTCTCGATGTATGACAATGTCGAGAAGAGGCTGACCTACCGCTTCGGGGATGTGGACGTTCAAAAGGCCGGCGCCGTGTGCCTTCTTGATCACGTCCCAGGGGAACTTCATCGATCGGTCATACTCGGCCGCGACGGGGATGATCTCGTCTCGCGCGAATTGACGAGCCAGATCCCGGAATGCTTCCTGATCTTCGCTGAGTCCAAAAGTCGGCCCGCCAGCGGACACATGGGCTTCGTTGGCGAATGCTCGACGCGACTGGGATTGAATAGCCGAGACGAGCGGGCGACACGGCGAACGGAACATGGTAGGCAAGCGGTCGCGAGGGCAGAGGGGCGCAAGGTGAGTAGGGAAAGTGGGCACGCTCGAGCGGTGGAAGGAAGCGATAAGGTTCTGCACCGAAAGGTAGAAGTTCCGTACAGAAGAGACTGAGTGAAGCGAAGGTATCAGGCAGACAGCGTTTCGAGCGACTGGGAGAGACTGGGAGGCTGGAGCTAGTGAAACGCCATTGCAAGCCTGGAGTTCGGAGGCCCGGCGATCGTCGCGCGCCTTTTTTTTTAATTGATAGACTTCATTAACAGCATAATTATATGTCTCGCGCCGTGGCGCGCACCTTGGGCAGAGAATAGTATGAAATAAGGGACGATCTTAACCGCGCCGCGCAGCGGCAAAGAAAGCCGATCGGATGGGCAGCCTGGGCCGGTAGCAAGTTTGCCCCGGGACAGCCTGCTGCAACTTGTTCAAAGCCCATTGAGCTCGGTATGAAACGACTAGACACTAGAGTAATTGAATGGAAGGCTATACTGAGTGAAATGATGTGCAATTCTTTATGTACCCTATGTGCTCGTCAACTTGCCCGTGCTGACTAGCGGAGCAAGACACAGCATTGAAACACGTGATTGACGGAGGGAGCTTGCAGCGCGCGCGCCGAGGCGGTCAGGTGCATGCTCTCGATAGCTCTCGATGACTTGCTTGCTGAACCAACGACCCGACGTGAGTAGTCGATTATTTCTGTAGTCTCACACCCGAACCTGTCCTACTCAGCAATCATGCCAACCTCGCGGTTGAAGCCACGCTTCCCCCGGGTGAAGCCTTCGGACTACCTCGACCATCCCGACTGCCCTGACCAATATGCCGATATGCCCCTGGTCCACGTGCACGCGGGACGCAGGTTCGTCGACAAGGGTGGGCGCAAGAGGCCGAGGAGGGCCGATGCACAGTCGAGCCACACCGCATCTGCGACGTCCGGCGTCAACACCAACACACATCAACGCGTCCCCGTCGCCTCGAGCTCCGTCTCTACCTCCGTCTTCGTCAACGACCTCGACTTCGCCCAAGGTGTCTTCGACGATGGGCAGTCAACAGGGCCATCGGAGCATCAGGACTACGAGTATGAGAACCAAGGTGATATGGATTCCTCCGGCCACTTCAGATACTCACCCGACCCTTTGGACCCCAACCCCGACTTACAACGTCCGACGCCCCAAGGATTCGCACAGGCAGTTCTCCCCCCACCACGCGCATCGGATCCACCTCTTTCCCCCAAGCGAGACCGCTATCTCAAGTTCATCACGACCGAGAACAAATTACGCGAAAGTCAACGCGCTTCTATCCTAGTGCAGTATCTGGCCTTCCGCACCCGCACCCATGGCCGCCTTCGGCCGCTCGTCTCGAAAATGACGAAGACGACTCGGACGCTCCTTCACCATGCGACTGCCAACATGGACATGTCATTACTCGCGAGGTGGTCCTATACGACGTGACTGCATGTATGTATGATATTAACCGCATTTGTCGCTTGCTTGATGCCCTTTGACGCGCCATTGAGCCGGGTATCTCGTTCTGACACGTGACTGCCTCTGCTCCACATTCCCAGTCTACCCGCTGGCCCTTACCTTCTGCGCCTCCGACCCACCGTGTGTTTCCGACGTCGAACGTTTGGCCCAACTCGGGTGCATAGCATCGACCGCTGCTAGACCCGAATCCGCCTTCTCGTTTAGACTAATTGAGTTGGCCGAAGCGTGTTGGAAAGTTAGTCCACGCGCCGTCTCCGGCTGCGCCGATGGCCTCGAACCTTCATGCGGTGTGGGTGGGGAACCAAGCATAATCATCGGCACCCACATGTGAGTATCGGTTCTGGTTAATAGTGATGGGGTGAGTGTTCGCTCATGGGTTGCTTTTCCGTTGTCGTTAAGACAAAGAAATGCGGAAGCAATTGCAGCGGGCGATGGACGAATTTCGCGCCGTCCAAACACTCGAGAGCGACCCCGGAGCCGAGAGTTGCTCTCGAACGGAGTTGATCGGCCACGCACATGGCAATCATGCACGGCGGGCTCTAGCTAGGGCCCGTCTACTTCATCGTAGGTTCTAAATAGCATATCTTTTAGTACTTTAGGTCATATTTTCGTTTTATTAGCGATGAGTGTCATACAAAAGTGAAAGACCCATCTGAGCTTTGTGACGCGCTCGCGCAGGAGCTTGTCGCGGGAGGTCGCGGGTGCGCGAGTAGCTGAGGTGCGTGGTCTTACTCCTCGGCTTCAGATAGTTTGGTTTTTCATGCGTCTGGTTCTTGTGATATGTATCACCTCAATGAAGATGTCTACTTCGATTTGGTGACAGCTGTGACCTGTCTGGCAGTGTCATGAAATTAGGAGGCCTCACGTCACGTCATCGGCGCAGATGCGATGTTCGAGCTCGAGTTCAAAAAGAGGGGTCTCATTGACCCGATGCCAAGCTGCCAAGCTGGTGCAAAAGTGGGATCTACTAATGCTGCTACCTCGACATGTTTTCTCTGTCACTGCTTGATTAACTTCGCTGCATGGGCTTCATGTAGACGTCTTCGACAAAAGCCTCTCCTTTCGTGGTGTATTCCAAAAATATCTGCCTCTGTAAAGCATCGGCCTAGCAAGGAGAATGATTCGAACCAGGAAATAATCTGCTCAGGATGACCGCACAGGCTGCTGGGTTTAGAACATTGGCACCAGCAGTGACTGTGACTAGTGACGGAGACTCGGCGGTCATGTCAGCCGGCCGGATCGTGGAGCCGGCTCGCGACGCTGGCACATATGGGCCGCCGTTTGGGCAACAAATGGATCTGCGCGCGCGGGGCCATTTGCGCGTTACGACTCGTTTGTGCGCGCGCCGAAAATCGTGCAATTGCGCGCCATTGGGCCTTCATACGCGCGTCATTCACAGCTTTGCATCCCTTGGACGCACTTTTGGTCTCTAACGCGCTCTGAATCCGTCGGAGTTGCGCGCTTTTCAGGAAAAACATCTGTTTCTGGCCCCTATTGGCGGTCCACGCGCGTTTCGCTCGCTGTTAGACTCGCTTGCCCCACCGTATCCGCGCACGGAGGGGGTATTACACGCGCTCCAGCGCACTCATGCGCGCGCAATCTACTCAATCTGCGCGCTTTTTGGCATTTTTCCAAAAAGAAAAAGAAAATCGGAAAAATAATTTTGATTTTTTTCAAATTTCATAGCTAAATTCCGAACCCCGCACTCCCCGCTCTTTACGATTTGCGCGCCTCGGAAGCTGCTTACGCGCGCTCGCAAACAGTTCTCACGCTCGCAGAATCGCAGATGCGCGCGACCGGAAACGCTCTCACACGCTCGCGGCGCTCTGATTCGCTCGCAGCTTTTTCCCCAACCGACACCGAGGAGGATTGCCTTTTTACTCCGCGGTGTCGATCTCATTTTCATGGCAGGAGGGCGTTTGCTCCGATTGCTAAGTCTTGATGTACTTGCAAATAGTGACATTGCTATGGTGTATTGGGTTGGCGGTGTGGCTGTTGAAAGCGTTCGAGGGCCGAGGCTCAAGGCTGGGCACTCAGCTGGCTCCATTGAGTTCCAGAGAACTAGTTAGTAGTAGGACTCGTTCCAGAGAATTATTTGTCGGGGAGGCCTGACAAATCCTGCGCCGGTGCTCCTGGCCAAGAGTCTTGGTATGCAGCAGCAGAATCGTATATCAAACATCAGCACTGGAAGTCTGATCCAGCCTGAATCAGGAGGGGTCAAAGATTCGGCAACGAGCTCCCAGCTCAGCTTGCAACGTACCTGCACCCTTGGCGGCCAACTCCCTCTCCCAAGTCAGAATGATGCCATCTAATTTTCTCATGATGGCAGTTGAAGGCTGTTGAGTGAAACAGAGTCGTTATGAAAGCGGGGAATAACTGGACAAGGTTGACGTGGGGGCGGTGTGTGTGTGGAAGAAGGCGGCCGCGCGTGAGCTCGCGTGTGTAGCGCATGAACGACCGGAGACGAGGCTAGACGAGTCGCGGGCGCGCAGAAGCGTTCGGCGGCGCGCGCATATCCATATTTCTGCGCGCGCGGAGGCCCCGGGCGCGCAGATCCATTTGTTGCCCAAACGGCGGCCCATAGGCACACGCTGTCTCGCTGTCACGCGCTGGCAGAGAGGGGCAGAGGAGGGCAGAGGCTCAGCCTGTAGGGCTGGGTCACTAATTGTTTTGGCCCCGTCACTAATAGTTGACAAAAGTCGGACCCTCGGTCACTTATTATTGTCACTGTCACTTATGTCACCAGATTTTCGCCTGTCACTAATGTCACTAAGTCCAATATTTGGTCACAAATGTCACTAAGTCCAATATTGGTCACTAATGTAACTGAATGGAAACGATGTACATTGCACTGTCGGAAGCAAGCTCTAGCACTCAACATAACAAAGTGCGCCAGAGATATCACCGTTACATGGTCATCTCGTCATCAGGTGACCAAAGATCCATCGCTTCGTCTTCCTCGTCGTCCAACACCACTGCTGGGAGCGGAAGCGATGTTTGTTCGCTCCTCACTGATGCTTGGTCAGAATCTGGAAATCGACCCACTCGAAGATATCCAGCTGGGCCGGAGTCGTGATCCGGCATTTTCGTGTTGGTAAATAGCATTCCAGACTTGTCATTCACATTCCAGGGTCGCCATCAGGTACAAGCAAGTAGACCGGGTCTAGACCGGTACCTAGTACCTATGGGTACTTAGTGACATTAGTGACAGCGATTTCTGGGACCCCCTTGTAACTAATCCGTCACTAATTCGTCACTAATGTCACGTCACTAATGTCACCTATTAGTGACCCAGCCCTAAGAGGCTGGCAGCAGCTCACAGCAGCGCTCGCTCGTCCACACAGTGTGTGCCACTGCACTCTCGCCTACTCTCGCCTACCCTCGCCAGCCCGCGCCCGTCAGGTCATCATTCACCCGATCGACTGCTGCCGTATCGATGAGTTGGGGTCACCGCCCTCCGGCGGGGTCGGCCTACGACCCGAGACAGAACGCCTTTTCCGAGATATTCTCTCGACCCGGACCAGCGACGATGGCATCATCCGCGGGATACGGACAGCAGCAGCAGCAACACCACCACCAGCCGGCGTCGTCGGCCTCGCCGGCCTCGGCGTCGATTGCCTCGTCGTCGTCGTCCCCGTATTACTATCCGGCCACGCATGACGACTTTGGATCGCCCATTGCGCCCTCATCACCGTTCTATGGAGCCTCGACGCATGCGTACCCTGCAGCACCTCTGCCGCCGCCCGGCGCCGCCGCCACGCGTCGATCGATGGGAGGAGCTGGCTCAGCACCTGCGACTGGCCTCGCAAACCGATCGAGCGTGATCAACCCCGTGTATGCCACTCCGTCGACCTCGGCACTCCCTCCCGCGTCCTCAGTGCCAGTGCGACCGACTCCCCAGTACCCTGGCACCTCTTCCGAGCTGCTGACGGGCTATTCGCATGCTCACCCACGTCACCAGCACCCGCACGTCGTTCTCGATTCATCGCGGAATGGGTCGTACTACCAAGGCGCCGGCCCCAACTTCGCGTCAAACGTAGAGTCCCACAATGGTTGGCTGCATCGTCCTCAGTCGATCGCATCCTTGCACTCCAATTCCTATGGATTGGTCTCCCTCGACACGCGGGGCAGCGCTCCGTCTCCGTCCCCGAGCCTACACGGATCCAGCGCCAATTCAATACGGTCCGGATACAGCGTGGGGCGTCCTATCCCTCAGGTATCTGGACCGCCAACGGCTTCTACGAGTGCCTATGATCTCTCGACAGTGCGAAGAAGCCAGCCGTCGTATGCTCCCCCCGCCGCGGGCCCTCGTCGTCTCTCGTCGGGCCCGTCCGTTTCGGACCACCTCCCGACGGCCACGCCCCTCACACCCCCCGCGGGCTACGGGAACGGGGTATTCTCAGCTGCCCCCCGTCTACCTGCCATCGTGCAGGACGACTTTGTCGGGTTCGACGCGTCGAGGGCGTATGGAGAAGGTGGGGGCCAAACACCCACAGCCGATCTTCCCGGCTTGGTCAGCAGTGAAGAGCTGGGTGCTGAAGGAAGCCGGTCGAGCATGTACTACCAGGGCGACCGACAATCGCCGGTGTCAACTCTCGATTCTGCCCACACTTACGATGACGATGAACCTTTCGGCACGCCGTCCGCTCACCCCTCGAATTACTGTGAGTCTGCTGCGCTCGCCCGTGAACCATCTTTTTAGTCCTGTACTGACAAAATCAAGGCCCTCTTCTCTTGCAGCCACCTACGAATCTAGCGTATACAACGGCTCGACTGTAGAATACTCTCGGCGAAGCTCAGGCGAAAGCGACCGTATTTCAATGCACTACGGGCAAGCCTCCGACGGGCGATCGCCAGGCCCAGCCCAATTCGGACCCTCGCACAAAGCTCCCGATCAGCTGTATCTCGGGACCAATGAGGCAGCTCATCACCCTGCTGCCCCCTTGAACCCCCGACGATCCTCAGAATCGATGCGCATGACGCCCCTTTTGCCCAAGGTAGATCCCCACCCGGGTAGACCCCGCTCTCTTTCAGGAGAGGCCCCTGGTGTGCGCCGCTCCGAGCCGGCGAACCCGCACACGCGGCCTTCATCGATGTTCAGCATGCAAAGCGCCCAAGACTTTGCTCCAAGGCGGGCTCCTGTGGTCTACCCAGCGCTGTTGTCGAGAGTGGCAGAAGCCTTCAAAGCGCGCATCACCCTCAGCGAGCGCGTCAAGGACGGTCTCGTCTACCCGGCCACGTTCGATGGCCGGGACGCGGTAGACAAGATCGCGTACATCATTCGGACGTCCGATCGCAATCTGGCCCTCTTGTTGGGACGAGCGCTGGATGCCCAAAAGTTGTTCCACGACGTCACTTACGACCACCGCTTGCGAGACTCGCCCCTCGAGCTGTACCAATTCCGCGAACGACTGGCCCTCCCTTTCATCAAACCCGATGACCTAGTGTTGCAATTCGACGGCCAGTCACCCGTATCGAGGCCGGGCTCGATCGCCGAAACGACCGCTTCGAACGAAGAGAGCGTGCCATCTGGCGTCTTCACCTTGCTCACGGACTGTTACTCGCCGACCTGTACCAGAGACCGACTATGCTACAGTATAGCTTGCCCGCGACGCCTTGAACAGCAGGCTCGATTGAACTTGAAGATCAAGCCAGGCCTCCAGCGCAGCGTGAGCTCGGAGAGTCTCGGGGACCTGAGGGTACGTCATCCTATAGCGGACACGATGGTAACGGCCGGCTGCGGTGACCACTGACCATTGCACTACGACATCACCAGGAGCCTGGGTCGCTGTGGATCCACTCCGTGTCGCAAGAGGTGGCCGATGCGACGTCCGACACCGAGAAGAAGAGGCAAGAAGCTCTCAATGAAGTCTTCTACACCGAACGGGACTTTGTGCGAGATCTCGAGTATCTGCGAGACGTGAGAGAGCTTTCCCGTCTTCATCGTGATGTATCCGATTCAGTAACCCCCAAGCCAAATCACTCATTCTTGATGATCTTCCATTATTCATCCTTACACAGAAATGGATAAAGCCGCTGAGAACGCAAAACATCATTCCCGAAGGTCGACGAGAAGAATTCGTCACCCAAGTGTTTTGGAACGTGCTCGAGATCCACTCTGTTTCTGTGCGGCTGGCCGAGTTGCTCAACAAACGACAGAAGCAAGCCGAGCTTGTGCACCACGTTGGCGACATCTTTCTCGAGCTGGTACCACACTTTGGGCCGTTCGTCAAGTATGGGGCGCACCAGCTCTACGGCAAGTACGAGTTCGAGAAGGAGAAGGGTTCCAATCCTGCGTTTGCCAGATTCGTCGACGTGAGTGAATACTCTTGACTCCACGCTCCTGCCCTCCTTTGGTCCGCTTCGGTGCCGACGAATACGCTTGCATGATGTGATCACAGGAAACGGAGCGTTTGCCCGAATCTCGCAAGCTCGAGCTGAATGCGTACCTCACCAAGCCGACGACTCGCCTTGCCCGGTACCCCCTGCTTTTGGAAGCGTGCCTCAAGCACACGCCCGAAGACAATCCTGACAAGGTCAATCTCCCCAAAGTCGTCAAGCTGGTACGCGAATTTTTAGGAAAGGTCAACGTCGAATCGGGCAAGAGTGAGAACCGATTCAACTTGGCCCAGTTGGACCAGCAGCTCGTGTTCAAGCACGGGGAAGCCGTCGATCTTCGCCTACGGGACGAGGATCGAGAACTCATCTTCAAGGGGCCTCTCAAGAAACGCGGTGGAACGCAGAGCGACAGCGCCGAACTGCAAGTGTTCCTCTTCGACCACGCCGTTTTGATGGTGAAACAGAAGAGCAAGAATGAGCAGTACAAGGTCTACCGCAAGCCCATCCCACTTGAGCTCCTTGTCGTGGCTCCGATTGACGATTCGGCCTCGGGCCGCACTGGCGCTGTGCGACCCAAGTCCTTGATGGCAAGAGGCACGAGCACAAAATACCCTTCGCAACCACCACCCGGCGTTGAAAAGAACACCAAACAAGGTTTCGCCATGACGTTCATTCATCTGGGGAGACGAGGGTATCAGATCACGGTTTGGGCAGCTTCGTGGGCGGGGCGGAAAAAGTGGCTGGAGAAGATCGAAGCAAGGCAGAACGAACTCAAAGACCGCAGCCTCGTGTTCGAGACGTTGCCACTGACCTCGGGATACTTCGTTGGCACGAATCGACTGATCTGTGCCGCACCTTTCGGTACGCCTTTGGATTTGCATGGTCCTACCTTCTGTTGCATGCCCGCTTTGCTGACCACGTAGTGTCATCGCATGCGCATGCTGCTCCAACGCAGAAAACGGCAACCGGATGGTCTATGGGACAGATAACGGCGTTTACCTTTCCGATCTTCGAGACGTGAACAAAGCTCCCCTCAAAGTCATCTCCGTCCCGAACGTCACTCAGCTCGACGTCTTGGAGGAGCAGGGCATCCTCATTGTACTGGCAGGTACGTCACTGCGCTTCGAGACCCATTCCCCACAAATTGGACCGCCCCCAAACGGCTGAACCCTTGATGTCGCGTGCTTCATAGACAAAGCTGTTCAAACGTTTTTTGTCGATCACCTCGACCCGGGCGATGCGATCGGTGCAGCCAAACGCGCCCGCAAGATCTCCTCGCATGCCACTTTCTTCAAGGCCGGGCAGTGCTTGGGACGGACTTTGGTCTGCGTGGTCAAATCGGGCTCGGTCTCGAGTACGATCAAGACCCTCGAACCCATTGACCAGGTCCGGGGCAAGAAACAGCCGGCGCTACGCAAGTTCCTGCAAGGCAGCAACGAGTCTCTGAGGGTCTTCAAGGTGAGACCATGGAAAGATGATCATCTGTGCAATCGCCGCGGTGAGTGCTCACAGGCCTCTGTTTTTCGCTGTTCAGGAGTTCTATATACCCAACGAGTCATCATCGGTCCATTTCCTCAAGTCAAAGCTCTGCGTTGGCTGCACTAAGGGCTTCGAGATTGTCGATCTGGAAACTCTCGATACGCAGGGTCTGCTCGATCCCGCGGATTCTTCCCTGGACTTTGTGCAGAAAAGGGAGATGGCTCGCCCGATCGCTATTTACCGAATCGACGGGGAGTTCCTGCTTTGCTATGACGGTGCGTTGACGGATCGGGATGCCCCACAACCCCTGAGGCAGGGACTAACTCTCTTTCCTCGGTCTGCATGGTCGCAAAAGAGTTTGCATTCTACGTCAACAAAAACGGTTGGCGCGCAAAGTCGAATTGGATCATCCAGTGGGAAGGATTTCCCACACACTTCGGTAGGTCGCAACCGAAGCCCCGATGTCACACACTGGAAGCTGACCCACATGGTCGTGAACGCAATCACTGTGCCAGCTCTTCACTACCCTTATGTGCTCGCCTTCGAGCCGACGTTTATCGAGGTCCGTCACGTCGAGAGCGGTGCACTCATGCAAATTATTCCGGGAAACAACATACGCTGCCTCTATGCCGAAACGCCGCCCTCGCTCTCGAGCAACTCAGCCTACTACCCGCCGGTCAATAATTCCTTTGGTTATGGGCGATACACTGCAACAGGGCCACCATCTCGGAATGAGAGTGAGTCCGATAAGCTGAGCCCCGAGGTCCGCTCACGAGGCGGGCCTGTTTCCTGATGTCCGATGTCTTCTTTACTGAACTGAACCGGGTGTCCACTTGCCGCAGTGATTGTTGCCGATGGAGACCGTGCCTTCTCGCTTCAGTTCACCGGCTGAAAAACCGTGCCTCCGCTTGAACTTACGACTGTCGTGTACTGGAGCACCTGGACAGTGTTGTCCAAAATGGTCCTGGTACGTCTTCTCTGAGCGAGCCAAGGGGGTCGAGCTGATCGCGAGCGTTGGGCGATGCGCAGATCTCTACTACCCCACCATGAGCTTTGCGTTTACAGCCACCTACCTCGGTCGTTTCAAAGCCGGAAGTTTAGAGGACCCGGCAATTCGATGTGCGTTGCGTGCGGATTCTTTTGTTCAAGTTGCGGTGCAATGATGGTTGTAATATGTTGATCCGATTCTGCTGCGAGGGCGAATATGCAAATGGGAACAATAATGGCTAGCATGGGCCGGATTGTTTTTCGTGAATTTCCTTGACAATGCTTTGTTTGAAGGTGCCTTAGCAGCCCTGAGCGAGCGCAACGCGACAAAAAGCAAAGATGTGTTGTGTGTCTGGCTTGCGAGGCTTATGTAACTAAGCTTGGCGCGGTTTTAGCTGCATTCACTCGGGCTCACTCGGAGTCACTTGACACTCCGGCACGATGCGGACGCCGGGCGTGCATAGCCCTGCATAGCCTGAGTCTAGTACTTGCGCGGTCTCGTTCGCTTCACTGCGATCGCCCTCAGGCTCGATTCACCCGTTTCGCGAGTCATTCCACACCTACCGCTACTCTGGATCGCCATGAGTCAACCCAATGGGCAGGAAGTGTTATGCATCGGCTTCGGGGCTTTAGGAGTGATGTATTCGTGGAGTGAGTCCATCATGCCTGGCGGGCGATCTGCGGAGAGAGATGGTGAGCTTAGAGAAGCTCATCCCTACCACCCACAGTCCTAGAGAAGAGTGGCTTGAAGGTCACCGCCATCACCCGACCGCACATGCTTGACACTTTGCAGTCCCAGGGCATCACCATCGAAAGCGAAAAGTGAGATGAACTTCATTTTGGGACTGTGGCCCCCAAAGTAGCGGGGACCGGTGGGATTTGCAATCCGCGTCCGCCGTGGGCTTTGATAAGATGCTGACCTTGCCTCGACACGACTCAACATTAACCGAATCCCACCCCCACCCGGCGACCCCTCTGGCTGCCTGATCCCCTTTACGACCTGTGACTGTCAGATTCGGAACGATCAAAAACTGGAAGCCCCATAGATTGGTCGGCGACGCCGCGCACGCCAACGACCGATCGTATGCCTACATCGTCTGCTCGTTCAAAGCATTGCCGGACCTGGTACCGACTGCCTCTCTCGTGGCCCCGTTCATCGAGGGCGAGCATGCGCAAGAAAAACCACCGACCATCGTGCTGTTACAGAACGGGATTGGCATCGAGCACCCACTGCAGCTGACCTACCCACACGTCCCCATCATCTCTGTCGTCGCTTGGATCGTAAGTTTGGCCCCGTGAATCTGGCCGTGCTCGCGCGCGCCCTCCGTACACGGTGCACGGTCTTCTTCATGCACACATCACGTGAAGTGCTGACTGCAAGCTGCTTTGTGCGAAATCACTAGGGGGCCAACCTGCTCAAGGAAGGCGACGCTATCCGCGTCACTCATGGTAAACTAGAGCGTCTGGTCATGTCCGTCCCCTGCTTCACCTGTGCTCTTCCCCCCATGGTCACGATACTTACCCGGAAAAACTGCCCTGGCGTTGCAGAGGTCTCTATACGGGCGAAGGGCGTTCGACCACCCGAGGGGTCGCGGAAGATGACTTTGCCGATCCTGCGGGCTACATCGATGATCCGGATCGGAAGCGAGCGGGCCTCACTAGCACGGATCAATTCGCGAATGCCCTGCGAGCAGGCGGTGGAACGGTGGAAGTCGCCGCCGAGATCCAGGCAGCTCGATGGCTGAAAGCATTGTGGAACTCTGCACTTTCCAGCCTGTGCACTCTCTCGCGATCCACTGTCTCGGCGCTTCTTGCCCCGGAAGTGCTGCCGTTTACCCTTCCCGTCACCCGCCGGACCATGCTCGAGGTTCTATACGTTGCGAGGGCTTGGGGGTACTCTGAGGAAGCTGTGCCAATGAAGGCCATCGACGATACGCTCCGGATGACTATCCAATTGTATGCGCCCCAACCAACCAAGAATTCGGGAGCAGCTCCGACCTCGGACGTCGTCAATGAGAAGGCCGACTCCTCCCGACGGGCCACACAGAATTTCAAGCCTAGCATGCTCTTGGATGTGAGTTGACGCTGACGAGAAAACCTGGTCTTATTGAAACCTTGATGCCGGGATGTTCATACGAGTCAAAGCTTTTTGATCTGAACTCAGATCGAATATGGGCGTCCTTGCGAGCTTGAGCCAATCATCGGCTCCATCCTGGACCGCGCTCGAGCGCGAGGTGTCGCTACACCCCGACTCGACCTTGTCTACGCAACGTGAGTTTCCAAGCTCCTCCTCGATCTGCTGATTGAGGTAGCTGATGCTCATGCATGTACGGGCAATGTTACCAGGCTCAAGGTCCAGCAAGACAGTGCGCTGAAAGCCTCAAGCCAGCGACAAGAAAACCAAGAGCACATCAACCGATGGACCCATCGAAAACCGCCTATCGCCGGTGCGGTAGACACGCATGCGTGGGACCGGCCCGCGCCCAAACTTGGCAGATTCAATTCCATGGACGCTGGTGGCGACATCTTGAGCACGAGGCCGGATAAGAAACTGAGGGGGAAGCCGGTGGATCTCGATCTGGCTTGAAGGCAAGGAAGGGCCCGGGTAGATCTGGCTCAGTATGAGACTTAAGTGCTAGCTCTCACATTTTCGTGCCATTCCAATAATCTGGTGGCTTAAGTAGATACCTCACTTCGGTTCCGCCATTGACCTCACCGGATTGATGACCTGTTCAAGTCACGCCTTCAAGACTCCTGGCCCCCGAGCTGACAGCATCAAATCGATCAGGCTGAGGCCCTGGACCCCGAAAGCCCCGGCGGAGGACCTTTTTGTTGTTGACATTTTAAGGACCCAAAATCATGAAGATCGTCGAGGTGCATTGCAAAAAAAATCCCATTTTGGGACCAAAATCACATTTTTGGCCTACCTTGAGACACCTTGAGCAGCCTTCGGCGTGGTGACGGGCTTCGCAGCGCTCGCGCTCGGACACGTCACTAGTCATACTCTGCAATTACTTTAGTGCAATGGTTGTTAGGGATTAGCCCGAATAAGTACTAATGGCTCTCACTGCTGATTTTGAATCTCTCTCTATTAGATTAATAAAAAAAAGACCAAACATGCGCAGGTTCCGTTCCGCTTCGCTTCGTTCTGACATTGGCGCATAGCACGACAAGATGATCTCATGCTTGCTTCTCGACGAATCAGGACTACTTCTTGAATGACGATGACTTCGATCGATTATCGCCGCTCACCAACACGACGATTGGCGAGCTCCTCGGCTTCGATGTCGCTCCCGCCAACGCGTCTGACATCTGTTCACACCGAGTTGTCCAAAGACGAGCCCACCCAGTATTCGACCTTACCCTACCCGACTCTCCAGACCAGAGACACGTGTCTCGCCACCGATCCTCTGATCAATGCACGCAGGAATGAACATCGATCTTTGGCCGTCGCGTCGACCCGTTTGCGATCGGCTAGGGTGGCAGTGCACCCGAGCAGAATATGTTCAAAGCTGAGCGCTGCGAGCTCAACGATGGATGGACAACATCGTCGCTATCAACAGAACTGACCGCAACCGTATCGCTGTCGCACGTCGCATACTGAACGGATTGCAAAGGCAAGAGCAAGACTGGCTTCTACCCTTGGGGGAGGAACGAGTTTGGTTTATGTTCTGAGATTCTCAAGTCAGTACACCAGTCCTTCAGTTGGCCCACTCGTGTCCATCTCGTATCTGAGGCAACTTGCTTATTCCGCGTCTCTACTAACTCAGGTCAGGATTGGCTCGGTGAAGACGCGGTGGACTTGTCGATTGAAAGTGTCCTTCGAGCTGGTCGAGTGCAGAATACCAATTCCGAGACATCGTACGGACTCATACCCTCTACCGTCATCTCCTTGGTACTGGCTCGCCCTCCCGAATCGGATCCTTATTTGATCTTCAAGGCCTGCTATTTCGGCCCGCCAAACCAGTATCGGAATCGTATCGAGCTAGGCGATTGCATACGCAACGCGCCGACCTCAAAGTCAATCCGGGTTTTACCCCTTTGCTTCGATAATCATTGGGTTTTAGCCCGCATCAACATGCACAAGCGGACTTGCTCTGTGACCAACTCACTCTCGGTCATTCCGATCATCGCGGCTACTCAGACGGCCGTCCTTACGCTGTTCAACTTTCCGAAGCTGGACATCAAAAATGAATCACCTTATATTGCTAAGACGGAACGACAGGAAGACAGCTATTCCACGGATGCGAAATTCCAAGGCAAACTCTGGTAGGGTATCCGGAAACACTCGGCAGCAAGAGCACGTCAGCAGAGTTCGGCAAGACAGCAGAAAACCAAGCATCAAATCAACGAGTCGCATCATCCTCAAAGCCGCCAACTCCTCGACTCCACACGACCGTCACCAAAGCATCGAAGCCAACGAAAGCTCGAGAGCTCGAGGAGCACAAAAACTTTGAGGATGATGCAGTGCGACAGCGATACGGTTGCGGTCAGTTCTGTTGATAGCGACGATGTTGTCCATCCATCGTTGAGCTCGCAGCGCTCAGCTTTGAACATATTCTGCTCGGGTGCACTGCCACCCTAGCCGATCGCAAACGGGTCGACGCGACGGCCAAAGATCGATGTTCATTCCTGCGTGCATTGATCAGAGGATCGGTGGCGAGACACGTGTCTCTGGTCTGGAGAGTCGGGTAGGGTAAGGTCGAATACTGGGTGGGCTCGTCTTTGGACAACTCGGTGTGAACAGATGTCAGACGCGTTGGCGGGAGCGACATCGAAGCCGAGGAGCTCGCCAATCGTCGTGTTGGTGAGCGGCGATAATCGATCGAAGTCATCGTCATTCAAGAAGTAGTCCTGATTCGTCGAGAAGCAAGCATGAGATCATCTTGTCGTGCTATGCGCCAATGTCAGAACGAAGCGAAGCGGAACGGAACCTGCGCATGTTTGGTCTTTTTTTTAAATCTAATAGAGAGAGATTCAAAATCAGCAGTGAGAGCCATTAGTACTTATTCGGGCTAATCCCTAACAACCATTGCACTAAAGTAATTGCAGATGATGACTACACGCGCGACCCTCGCTCGTACGGATAACATGAGTCCGTGTCCAGTACGCGTTCCTTATGAAACCCTTCTGCAAAACTTAGATTTTGGTACTCTGGAATCCATATGGAATGCAAAAACATTACAGCATCAGCTCACTAGCGGTTGCTATAAATGCAATAGATGTTAAGCATCCCCAAACAGGTGTTTAACCGTCTGGGATAGGTTTCATGCGCTCAGAAAATGACAATTTCAACTTCTTCTCGTGTCCACCGTGGAATCCGTATGATCCAGCACCGCGAAGCTAGCGCGAGTCAGACCCTGCGGAAACCAGGAGCGAATCCGTGCGAAATCCCCATCCCAAAGGGCTGGCCGTGTAGTGACGTGTCCGAGCGCGAGCGCTGCGCCCTACGGGAAATCCACGCAACCGCAGTTGACCGCGGTTGGACGATGGCGCCGAAGTTAACCGCAGTTCAACCGCGGTGCCCGCGGTTGCGCGGATTACCAACTGCGGTTGCAACTGCACGAGGTCGCCAACTTGGGAATGGTCCATTACGCCCTGCAATTCTCAGTTAGCTCATAGACTAAGCGAGAACAGCCTGACTTTGAGACCTTATCTAGTGCAGCAAACAACTCGTGATATAGTCTCGAGTGATGCTCTAATTACATACATGTGTAACATCTCCAGATTCGAAGATGTGGTGGTCTTGGAATTGGACAAGGTTTCTAAAGGATTGAAGCTAATGAGCAATTGGAAAAACCGGGCCCCTGTATCTTCAACCGGACGACCGAATGGAGAGCGCTCTGCCTCGTGTCAGTGCCAGGCGTCGACTCGGCGCAGAGGGGTCGCAGTTGAATGTGGAAACACAGATATCGCATATGTGTCGGGAGCTGTTACAGCTGGCCCTGCGCCTTGCAAGCTCGGCCGCGGTGGGAGGCGACCGCATCGTATTCGGGATGATGGACACGAGTTGGCGGAGACGCTCGACGCCGATCAGGCTGAGGGTGCGAGGACCATCCACATCGAATCTCTCGTACAACCGCCGGATGTCCATGGCAACTGGGAAGACATCGACCAACGAAAGCAATCGCTTCTCCTTCAGCGTCGTTATACCTAGCTCAACAAAACACACAACTTCGCCGGCGCGCTGTGAATTGTCGGCCTCCATTGATATCTGTGGATCCCAGATTGGCTGTCAAGAATCTCTCGGCTGACACAAGTCGCCGACGAGGATATTGATGAAAGTGCTTCCACTGTTGATACCAATCAGATGCATATAATCCAATGGTAGGAACGTGGAGTAAGCATCCTTGAACAGGTCAAGCGCCTCGATCGGAGCTTCGCCTGAGATCCCCGTGCGACGCCGCAGCGATTCGAGCTTGGTTGGGTGTCGTTTCATTGCTTCACCCACCCGACAGTAGTGCTTGTAGTTGCGCTCATTATCCAGTCGAACGTCCCGTCCACCAGGGGTTTGGAATGTCGTGGCGGTGTCGACAAGCCCAGCCCACTCGGGATGGTCGAGCACCGATACGATCACTCCCTCGTCGTTTTCGAATGCTTCGCATGAGGAACACAGAACGGCAGATAGCCTTTGGTGTTTCCAGGTGCGTGATGAGGTATGCTGATGATCGAGCAGATCAAGCACGAAACGAGGCCTCTTGCTCCCACGAGGTTTTCAAGGCCTGCTTGCTCCAGCGTGTCGGCTATGCAAGCCACGATCCTGTCTCTGCAAAGCACGTGCCTGTCCCGAGCGGCTGAAAAGTATGTACGCTCCCCTTCGAAGATGTAGAGCTGTTGACAGAGTGTTTCGAGGAATGACTTTTCGTCTTTGGGTTTTTGAGGGCCGTTCACGGAGATGACAGTGCGATGATAGCTTCCAACGAAGTTCGGGGGGCAAGGTCATGGGTATCACCCCAGAGATGTGGGTGTTGACCTTGCGATTGGCGTTGGAGTGCGCGAGCACTTCGGTTCCGTCGGAGAATGTTGCAAGAGGGATGTCATCCGGCTTGAGATCGCCGTTTGCGTAAAGCCTTCGTGCGTGTAAGCCGTCGACCCATCGCTTCACGACCGGGTAAGAGCCCGAGTCACTGCCTGACGCCTTGTACAAGTCGACGACCTCGTCGCTCGGCTTGGCATTGGCGAGGGTAGGGCCGATTACTGGGTGTGCACGAAGCGCGTTAACAAAAGGGGCGGGGTCATGAAAGCGCTGCGTTGACCGCTCAATTTTCTCGCCATTCTTGCCCAGCGTGAAACGTTTCTCGCGGCACCCGCGCGTCGGACACTCCTCAAGATCTTGGAGTCGTTTGGCGCCATAGGACAGGCAACTTTTGGGGCACTTGCCGATCTCCAAAGTTCTGAAGCCGGTGAGATGTCGTATCGCTCGGACCATTTTGTACTCGGACATGTTGCTGAGGTCAGCGTTGTGGAAGGTGTAGGTGCGCAGTGAAGTTAGCCTGTCCAAGCGTCCCTCAAAAGCGATCCCCGGCGGCCAGTCCGGTCAAACATTACAGTAAGTAACTTGTTGCCGGGATCACATTGGAACCTCAAGATAACTAACCGTACATCGAGCCTGTACTCGATCTAACCGTGCAAGAGCTTCCCGCTTGGACTTCGCGTGAAATTGAAGGGCATTGCGGCCTCCTTGGACGGGCCCCTCAAATGCTCACGGCGAAGAATCGCAAGGCGGCGGCGAAAGGACTATTTCCCGTCAGTCACCCCTATTCCGCTGTTACACAGCTTTATCTCTTGCGAATCAGGAAACTAACCAGCATGCTTGGGGTCAATCGGTCCTTGCGTAGGAGCTGGCGGCTCAAATCGATGGGCACTCTCAACTCCAGCATTCGGAGATTGGCGGATGGGAACTTGGGCGCGCTCGCGCTTCGCGCTCGGACCTCTTTGAACTTGGACTTAGAATACCCGATCTGCGACTAGCGCAGCTCTCTCTCTCTCTTTCCTTAACGTTCCCAATCTTTTTCTATTCGGCATCTTTGTTTGCTCACTGCGCTGCTCCTCATAGGTTAGTGTAATACATCATGAAAGTTCCCAATCCTATTACTCGGCATCTTCGTTTGCTCACTGCGCTGCTCCTCATACGTCCAACCTGCTTGCAAAAGTCAGGCAAACTAACCAGATTTTTGCCGATTAGATTTCCAATTTCCAATCGACTTTCACTGCTTGAAGCGCGCACGAAGCGCGCGCCGCCTCTCTCCCTCCTGCTCCACGCATGCCAACATCATGGTCGCCCCCGACTCAACTGAAGCGCCCTTGGCATCGCCAACTTGCAGCATTCGACTCACCGACTTGATCGGCACCAAGTCAGTGACTGAGTTTAGATGACTTACAATCTCGATGCTACCCGGTCACTCAACATGGCCCGTGCTTTTGGTGTCACGTGTCCGACCCGGCCTCGCTCGATAGTACGTCGCACCGATCACGCTGACGCAGATCCCACTGATCAGCAGCTTGTTCCACCGACTCTGTGATGCTCCCCAGGTTAACTCGCCATCTGGTATCCTTAGTTCGTGTACTAACCACATCAATCAATTGTTCTGCACTGGGACCTAGCCTTGCTCGGCGGTCCGAGTCACATGCACTTGTCTCTGTTCAGGAAGCCCACAGGTGGCCATTCTTTGACTTCGAGAGAAGTGTGAGCAAGCTTGCTCTATCGTCCGCTCGCTGATGCCAATGTGCTTGCATTAACATCGAGAACAGTGCCACAGGCCACACTGCTTCGCCTCCGAGTCGAGGCTGTAGACGGGAGCTTCGAGGTGAGCAGTCAGTCGGTTATCCAAGCTCGACGAGAAGATGTTTAAGATGTGTACAAGCATATTTCAGGACCTGATGTTGAACTATAGGGTGAGTCTCTAGTTCGCTCCTACACTATGACCGGGCTGATTCTGATCCGTCGCGCGACAGCAGGCGTGCGTCCGATCGACGCTTCGAGTTTGATCAGTCGAGTGAGTCAGCCACCAGACTGAGTCTGAGGTAATCCACTGAATATAGCGCGACACTCATCATCAGCCTTGTGTGTCATTGACAGGTTTAGTGGCAAGATTCGAGGGTGGAAGGTGAGTCGGCGTTGCTGGGCCCGAGTCTTCGCGCCGATCCGACTTAGCGATTTCACGAGTTGAGGCCGAGTGCCTCATCAGGCCTCAGGCTCAAGGTTCGTCTCTTGGTTCGAGTCGTATGCTTGATATAATGCAATGGCATTGGCAGCGCCACTTTACTATATCTTTACTGTACATGCAAAGGAGAGCGAAGAAAGGGATAGTATAGGCTGCTACATTATTACAACCGCGGTCACAAAAGTTCGTAACCGCAATCACTTAAATTGGCCTATTACAACTGCGGTTAGTGCGGTTGCGACTGCGGTTGGGTATTTTGCAACCGCGGTTAAAGTGCACCTCCGCAATCCACTTTCTAGGCCTGAAGTTGAACCGCGGTTACACTTTCGAATGGCTGGACGGGCGACGTCTGTTCCACCAACCGCGGTCAACTGCAGTCGACTGCGGTCAACTGCGGTTGCGTGGATTTCCCGTAGGGGCGCTGCGAGCGCGTCTCGAAGGCAAACGGGCCCCAAACCACGCCGAAGGCTGCTCAAGGTGTCTCAAGGTAGGCCAAAAATGTGATTTTGGTCCCAAAATGGGATTTTTTTTGCAATGCACCTCGACGATCTTCATGATTTTGGGTCCTTAAAATGTCAATAACAAAAAGGTCCTCCGCCGGGGCTTTCTGGGGTCCTCAGCAAAGCTCAGCAAGCCACTGCCTTGCCAAATCGCGAGTCTCCTGGGCGTGGCGCCTCGCCTGTCTTGCTTCTCCACTTCACTCGAACCCAGAAATGTCCACCACTACACCTGCTCCAGCCGCGCCACCGCCGTCCGAATTCGCTATCATCCGAGAGGATCCCTAGTTAGTCGATGGCTCTCTGTTCCGCTTGCTAAAGGTGTCGAGCGGTCGAGCTGACTTTGGGAATGCGCTGCTCTACCGACGTCACCACCGCCAGCCTTCAACCGTTCGAGGGGAGCGTCAGGCATCGGTCAGTGAAGCTCCGCCGCCCGAGTCTTTCCCTTGTGAGAGGGCATCAATGGGCGGGTTCGGCCGCTGAACTCGTTTAGTGTGATACAACGTACAGTGACACCGTCTACAAGCAATGGGTGCAGCAGATCGACAGCACTGAGGGCGGCCTCGACCGCTTCTCGCAGGGCTACCGCCACTTTGGGTTCAACGTCACAGCGCAGAACGACATTGTCTACCGCGAGTGGGCACCCAATGCGACCTCGGCATACCTCGTTGGCGACTTCAGTCAGTCGCTCCTCCGCTAACCTCTTCGCACCTTCTCATTCCTTCTTTCCTGGTTGCTTCTGCTTTCGCTTGTCCTCGGATGGTGCTGCGTCCTTTTGCGCTCCCTCGAAGCAATGCTCGGTCTAGCTCCGCACCCATTGGGCGTGGGCCCCCACCCTTTTCAAAAGCCGCGTCCGGGTCCGCCTCCGCCTCGGCGCAGATTCGGCTGTTGACCAACCGCTCTGCCCTCATAGTTGGGAGAGTGGTCCTTGGCTCGGCGCCTCCTGCCGTTCCCCTTCGCCCCTTGTTGGAGAAGGGGGTTACCCCTCACTTCTTTGACTCGTTCGCGGCGCACTAACCCCTCCCCCGCGTGAGCAGATGGGTGGAATCGCGACTCTCACCCGATGATAAAGAACGATTACGGCGTATTCGAGCTCACGCTTCAGGCCGTAAAAGGTCAAGCTGCAATCCCGCACAATTCTAAAGTCAAGGCAAGTCTTTGTGACAAGTTGAAAACCTTCCTAGTGGGCCAAGCTCTGATCTCTTTACCGATGGCGCGCTTTTGGACTCCTTTCTCAGATCTCGATGACGGCCCCGGGCATCGAAGGGCGCATCGAAAGGCTCCCAGCATGGGTCAAGTGAGCTCGTCTTGCTTCACCGCTGCGCAACTGTCGATTCACCGCGCTGAAGCCTGACCGCTCTGGTTCGCTCAGACGAGTTGTACAAGACCTCACGGTTTCCCCCGTTTACGACGCCGTGTTCTGGAACCCGCCCATAAAGTATCAGTTCAAGAACAAGCGGCCCCCTCAGCCCAGGGCGGTCAGAGTGTACGAGGCCCATGGTGCGAAGAAACGATTTTTGTGCTCAGTGTCAGGAATCGTCAAGCACGCTGAACTAACCTAACGCTTGTTCTCTTGTGCCGTTGCTTTCGGCATGCAGTCGGTATCTCCACTCCCGACCCCCGGATCGGCACTTACGACGAGTTCACTCGAAACGTGCTGCCAAGGATTGCCAAGCTCGGTTATAACACGATCCAACTCATGTGCGTGTGCCGTGCTATCGCTGATCGAGCACCAGCTTTGTCGCTCACACATATCTGCCCGCACACGGACAGGGCTATCATGGAGCACGCGTACTACGCCAGCTTCGGTTATCAGATCACTTCGTTCTTCGCCGCGAGCAGTCGATATGGTATGTCGAATGCATTCTCGTTCGGCAGGGGACAGAACGATGGTGCTGACAATGCTCGCAATTGCCATACGACCGCAGGGACTCCTGAGCAACTGATGGAGCTGATTGACACCGCTCACGGCATGGGAATCACCGTTTTGCTCGATGTTGTCCACTCGCATGCCTCGAACAACGTTCTCGACGGCCTCAATAATTTTGACGGTTCCGACCATCACTACTTCCATGGCGGACCCAAAGGCAGGCACGAGCTCTGGGATTCGTGAGTCTGTCGCAGCTGCGGTGATGCAGTGCCGTCTGCTGATCGAAGAGCGAAAAATACGCTTGTTGCCTGTTCCCGCCCCTTCAGACGTCTCTTCAACTATGGCTCGCACGAGGTCTTGCGCTTCTTGCTTTCCAACCTGCGTTTTTGGATGGAAGAATACCAGTTCGACGGCTTCCGCTTCGATGGCGTGACGAGCATGATGTACACTCATCATGGCATCGGCACGGGCTTCTCAGGCGGGTACCATGAGTATTTCGGGGAGAATGTAGACACGGAGGCCGTTGTTTACATGATGCTGGTCGGTCTACTTTATGAGATTCGCCTCCGCGACAGGGCCGCACTGACGATATGCACTTCGCGGGCAGGCCAATGACCTGATCCACGGTCTGTATCCGGGCTCAATCACGATCGCGGAGGACGTTTCCGGCATGCCGGCGTTGTGTCGCACTCCGAGGGACGGAGGCATCGGGTTCGATTATCGCTTGGCTATGGCCGTGCCCGACATGTGGATCAAGCTGCTCAAGGATGGACCCGGCGATGACGGTTGGGACATGGGAAACATCTGTTTCACGCTCACCAATCGTCGCCATGGCGAAAAAAGCATCTGCTATGCCGAATCGCATGACCAGGCCCTCGTCGGCGACAAAACGCTTGCATTCTGGCTGATGGACAAGGAGATGTACACCAACATGTCCGACCTGACCGAGCTGACGGTCACCGTCGACCGAGGCCTCGCGTTGCACAAGATGATTCGGTGAGTTGCATGCTCGGGCTTGCTGGCAAGGTGAGGCATGTACCTATCTGACTCGTCACGTCCTAACCGACCGGCAGACTAGTTACGCATGCACTAGGAGGGGAGGGCTACCTCAACTTCGAGGGAAAGTGAGTAACTGGAGAAGGTGCTCTGGCTGTATCACGGTGGGGACGCGCAGCTGATCTTGGCCCACGCAGTGAATTTGGCCATCCCGAATGGCTCGACTTCCCTCGCGCCGGGAACAATGATTCGTATCAGTACGCTCGCCGCCAGTTCAACTTGACAGAGGAACCCCTCTTGCGTTACAGATACCTTAACAGTTTTGATGCCGCGATGAACCACCTAGAGGAAAGCTACCAGTGGCTCTCGTCGCCACAGGCCTACATTTCGCTCAAGAACGAATCCGACAAGGTGATCGTCTTCGAAAGGGGCAATTTGCTCTTTGTGTTCAACTTCCATCCTACCACCTCGTTTACCGACTACCGCGTTGGTACCGACTGGCCTGGAAAATACGCGGTTGTGCTGAGTTCGGATGACAAAGAGTTTGGGGGTCACGGTCGCATCGACAAGTCGGTGGAACACTTCACAACCCCGATGGAGTGGAACGGGCGCAGAAACTGGGTGCAGGTGAGAAACCGCTGGAAAACGAATGGAATCTTTCGCGTGCTCACCATCAGCCATGCGCATCAGCTGTACCTCCCTTCGCGAACAGTGCAGGTACTCAAGCACTAGCCACTGAACGGAGGAATCACTGGAGACTGGCGACTAATGAACATCGAGGCATGCCTATGTGTGAGGTGTAGTCCGAGCACCATAGCGAAACAGATGCTACGGCGAAGAAGTGAAGATGAAGATGAAAACGATTGTCAATTGCATCCGAGACCCACCTTCACGCTTTTCTAGAGCTTCGCCGGCGCCTGCTCGCTCGTTGGGCACGGCCCACTCCATCTCTTTCCAAGCCAAAAAGCTATGATTTCGAAACGGTCCGAGCCAAAAAATGAACGAGTCTGGCCGTCATCGCGCTGCACGACGATCCACGGGAAGCCGAAAGCCCTAGAGCCGCAGAGGAATGGCGATCAGCGTGCGTTTCGCGCCCCTCACTTGGAAAGTCGGAAATGGAGAGGGACACATACCCTTCTTCGACCAGGGCAGCGGCCTCCGCCTTGATCCTGTCTTTGTTCTCAGTACCCATGGAACGCTCGACTAGTGCCTGCAGTTCTTGGTCGCTGAAGAGCGAGGAAGGCAACAACTTGCGCCAATTTTCCGGCTTGGCCGAGGCGCTCGCGGGTTGCAATTTGTTCGTGCCCCAGATGGCGTTGAAGAAAATGTCCGTGGTGCGGCGCAGACGGTCCGGGGAAGATTCCTCCACCTGACGTAGGAACCGGGCGACGGGCATCGTATTGATGGGGAACGAGTCGGGAAACTCGAAAGGCAGCTGATCATTTCGGTTGTTGGCGCTCATGATTTGCTTAGCACAGAACAAATGGAGTCATTCGATGACTCGTGTGGACAACTCACCTTAAGAAACTCGCTCGCCAAAGGCAGGTCGACGCTGTTCATCCACTTGCCCTTGTTCGCCACAGTCAATGGAGGCTTGTTGCCGCTAGCAACCATAACGCCTCTGCCAGGTGGTGCAGAGCGTCAAACCACAAAGCAAGTATCCACAGAGCAAGTGTATGTATAAGCGTGAGCTCTCAGCGTCTTGGACTGGATCCTCGGTTACTACAACTGACCCTAGGAAACGCTGCGTCGAGGCAGTCGCAGTACCACCGTCAGTCCGGATGAAAGGTGGGGAAGGCTCACTTCAAGCTCACCGGTTTCAAAACCAATTCAACAGCCCAAATCGGCTCGTAACGTTTCAGAACTTCATATGCGTTGCGAGCCCATGGGGATACACAGTCGTAATAGAACACAATGCGCGGCATTGTCGAACGAAAGAGTGGATGGAGGAAGAAGGTCGCATACCTTGCAGCTAACCAGAACTCACTGTAATTGGAACTCACCCAAGGGTGGACGTGGGTTCGAATCCCGTTGTGCGCCGCCTTGTCACCGGGCACAATTGGGACCCGCTGTAAAGTATGCGCCTCTGATTACTCTATCTTTACCCTAACTAGTAAAAAAAAAGTGTCGATCCGCGACCCATGTACCTAAAATCGCTGTTTTTGTCTGTGTTGCGGTCCGGAGGGCCGCAAGTGGTGAATGTGTCATTATACTGTTGAGTCTGCCGCACCTGCCTGTGGTATCGGCGTCCCAATCAGAAGTCATGTACGCCCCTTTCTGCATTTTCTGGACCATAAAAGTCGAGCTACAGCCCGACTACAATTTTTGTAGAGTTTTGATATGGTGGGGAACTATTGATCAGTTTGTGTAGGATTTAATGTATAGCAAGCGCGTGGGTTTGCATGACATTTCTTCTACAGATCTCAGGCGTGGTCTCGCTGCGCGATGCCCCGTCGATCACGTGACGTATTTTTGGCATCCCGACACCGGTTTTAGGGGCTCAACAACAACGTGAGGTTCCAGACACTGTGAATACGCTACTCTCTCTAATTTTCGCCTTTTCCCTCCCACTCTCATCGAATTTTCGTGACAACCGCGCCGAGTCTCTCGCGCGAGGGTAGCGCCGTACGATAGCGTACCGTCGTACTGCTCGAGGTTGCTCGAGGGCCCGCTGCTCGACTCTCCTCTTCGTCCCGCTCCCATCAACAGAATCAGCTCCCCGCGCGTGATGACAACCACTCGACCGATCTTGGTATTACGACCCGTATAAGCGTCCGCCGTACAGCTTTGTAGAACGAACAGCGTGGTCAGCGCGAGGACCCGATGGCCGATCCGACGCTGAGCTCGCCCCACCACCACCTCTTCCTGCGCAGAGGCAAGTGCGCAGGCCTCGAATCAAGCTCAAACCACTCAAGTACCACGTTCCCATCCGCGACTACCTCGGCACCAGATGACCGTGTGTACCCACTGCAAGGCTCGACACTGGGAGTGCGAAAGGACGAAGTTGACCGGACACTTCAGCACGTGCTGCTCGCAGGGCAAGGTGCAGCTACCTCCCTCTCTCCGGCCTAATCCCGACTTTCAACAGCTACTTGAAGGCTCGGATAGCGGTCAGTTGCTCCGTCCAACGACATTCGTCTCACATGCTGAACTGTGCGACCCACCTACACAGAAGCTAAGGCATTCCGGCGTTCCGCGAGAATGCCCGGTCGTACAACAACGCGCTGTCTTTCACTTCGCTTGCTGCTCACTTCGACCAGATACGACTCGGCACTTTAGGACCCCCGTGTTCGCGTGTTCGGTCACCTCTATCATCGACTCGGTGCCCTGATCCCCGCCGTGAATCAACGCCCAGCCTTTGCTCAGACATGGCTCATCGACCCGGTCGAGGCCACCGACACTCGACTTGGACCCAACAGCCCAGACCGTCGCATACAAAGATCTACGTTGACCAAGCTCGAGTCCAAGTTGCGTACCAACAATCGCTTTGTGAGGCTGTTTGCATTGACCAAAGCTCGTGCAGGTTGGGATACGGCCAAATAGTGGATCCTGCGCCTCTGCCTCCCGCCAGGCTGAGACCGACGCACCCACAACCTTCCTACGTCGAGCACGGAAATGGCGATACTCATCTGCGATTCCGACACCAACACGGGAGATCGTGGACGTCAAGACCTTATTCTCTAGGTGCACGGTGATCGATGTCCCGAGGGTCGGCCCAAATACCAAGTCGTTAGCTCGCTCCATCCGTCCGCGATGCCTCTCCGTTACCCACTACTTTTTCCTGCAGGGGAAGATGGCTTCCACCCCAACATTCCTCTTTGCGGGTTCCACCAAGCCGGGCCGCCAATCGCCAGAAACCGAGAGCAGATCGACAATGGTGTCAACTTGCGCGAGGTACTTGCCGGTCTCGGTCTGGATGACGAAGACGTACAGGAGGACGAAGACCGCGACGATGAGGATGAAGACGGCGAGGAAGGGGACGAAGAGAATGGTGATGGTGAACGTACGCGTCTTCGGCTCTTTCTCGGATGTTCCATTCTGTCTAAGGCGCAAGCACATACTGACATTGAACTTTTGAACACCTAGGACGAAGGTCAAGTAAAGGGGTCGAGGTCGAGGTGGCGAGTCTCGCGTTCACAATTCTTTGCGCACTACTTGCCAAAGGCGACAAGTACTTCTCAATCCCGCATTGCACCCAACGTCCCTTCCTGGAGTTTGTGATTTACGGATGTACTGCCAAGTCAAGACCGATTGACTCAACACATCCGGTTGCATCGAGAGAACCTACACCTCACCACGACCCAAGGCATCAACGGCTTGACCCCGAACCAAATCGCGACATCACGCAGCGATACCAGGGTGCGATGGCGTGCGTTGTCAAACATGGAAAGCCTTCGCTGCTCATCACGATGACGTACGACCCCGACTCACCGGAAATCAAGGCTGCACTGGGGCCGATAAAGCATGCAACCGTCCGGATCTCATTGCACGAGTGTTTGAAGCCAAGCCCGGCAACAAGCGACATGCAGGCTGTTTCGGCGATGAATGTAAGATGAATAGATTTTGTTTCTTTGCTGTACTTCGTATTGTGTTTTCTTAACCTCTGCGCTGATATCATGTAGACTGTTCGATTATCCTGCTATTTTTTTAATTTCATCCTCCCGTTAATTTAACGGGTTCCCACTGGTGTGTATAAAATACAATCTGTCTTTCTTGACCGCTAGGCTAAAAGCAAGTCGTATCGAGAACTCGACAGTTCTAGCTACTCAGAGGCTACTTATGGGGCTGTTTCTGTAAGGCATCCCCTTACAAGGAAGTTGGAAGTGAACTTCAATGTGTTCAAGAGATTGGAGTCGCCGGCGGGTGCCTCTGAGGCTACTCGGGCAGCCGGCAGCCGATTGCACTTAGACTGCACTAGATTGCACTCCGATTGCCGGCATTGTGCCTGTTGGATTTGGGTTATTAGAACATTAGGGAATGCCGTCGGCGCGCGCGCCAATCGTTTCCGTAGCTTTTCGTCTCTTTTCCGCTCACTGGTAACTCACTGTTTCGGACTTTACGACCGTGGACCGTATCGACACAATCTGATCGTTTGGTCAAACAACGAGTTACGAGAACTGTGCGGAAATCTAGCCGACCCAACCGAGCCTTGTTCCGGGCCTCGCGTCCCTCCGGCTCCCCACTTCTGTGTCTGCGGGCGCCGTGCGCAGGTCGGTCTTCTGGTCCGATCTCAGTTATTGACAATCACTTGCATATGTGGAATCCCTGGGGCAATAATTTAGAGGTTGCCTCATGGTATTGCTCTGCGTATCCCTTCTCTGGGATGCTAGTTCAAAGGCTTATGGATAAGATACAGGCCCTGGACGGAGCTCATTCGGAATAAGCGGCATCCTCTTCGGAAGGCTTCTCGATCTGTGTAGGCAAGATTGCGGCAACGTGGAGTAGAGCAGAGCGTCAGTGGCTGACTCGTGATTACCCGTCATCGTGGTTGAGCAAACAACTTGCCATTCTCTTGATCTGCAACAATTGCGCAATGGGGGAATCAAAGAGTTAGCTCTGATGCAGGGGAAGAACTCGTTCTGTGACCCACCTTTTCATAGACAGTGAAAACGACGGCTTGGCCCGGAGCCACACGTGCCACACGCGGGGTGATTCCCTTCACAAAGCCAAAGCACAAGATGTCAGCGCCGAGGCACATTCAGGTGTGCTCGCCCTGTGACTCACCTTATAGAAGGCAGATGGACCTGGGACGGGCAAAAGGAAATGTGTTCATTGCCAAGCTTCAGCCAAGTGGTCGAGCCTCGTCATGGAACCTACCTTCTTCTTTGAACATTTGGCCAGCCACTTTGGTAAAACGGGTCCAACCATTCTCACCGGCCAGTGCGGTTGCGCGTTGGATACGGGTCCTAAAGCACAGCTGTCAGATTGAATGGAGCAACGAGCGACCCATCCATCTCTCTTTGTCTTTACTCACTTGATCGTATCAATCGGAGCATTGGTGAAGGGACCCATGGCTCCCGAAATGAGTCCAATAATCGAGGTCTGCCACGCCGGCAGACCACCGTCCGGATACTGAGGCTGGTACGCTTGCAGTGCCTTTTTGAGCTCTGTATAAGCAGTGAAGTTGGCCGCCTGCATAGAAACGATGGACCGCATGAGTAACATGAACCATTTCAAGTGAGCATAAGTTTGCCCGCCACACGAACCTGGTTCGTGGATTGGCGAAGAGCGGTGAGCGCCACGCCCCGGTATAGGGTCTTCGGGCCTTCTTCTCGCAGGATGACGAAGAGCGCATGAGCTGCGTTGCGGTATTTAGGGACATCGAGGGGGTCTGTCATCGAGTGCACTTGCGCCTGCAGGCGAATCTTCACTACTTCCATCGGGCAGACGACCATGACGGCCTCTGTTACACCCGCGCCAAGACCGGCTGCGCGCGACGTCAGAGACCGAGTCCGTTTTGTCAGCCCGCTTTCTGATGTATGATGGCGTGCCAGTCCGATTACCGGGGCGGTTCACTCACCCATGAAGATGGCGGGGCTACTGACTTTCCCAGTTTCTTTGTTCTTCAAGAAATCCTTGTACATCTCGAAGGAGGCGAAACGGATGGCCATTTTTGGTACGATCCCAGTCACCACAGCGCCGAGTCCTTTGTAGAGCCCAAGCGGAGATTCTTTTTTGACGATGTGCATTCCTGTTGCGATGAAACCCCTGGCCTTGACCTGCATCATGAGCGCCTCGCCAAGTAGATCAGCATTCAGTCACACTAGGCCGGCACAAACATGGCACGACCAGTGTTCCGCTGTCACCAACATCGGATCTTGGAACTCGGAGAGCCCGAGTATAGGAACAGCACAGCAGAAAGAGGAAGCAAAAAAACCTACACCTTTTCCCCTTGAACTCCGCGATAGTTGCATCCGCACCCTAATGTGTCGTATTTCAATGGTCGGTCAGCTTCGTTCTTCGGGTGCCGGACCGCCGGCGCGCATGCGCTGTCCGGGACCGCGCCTAGAGAAACACACAAACATACTTGATAGTATCGAGCCAGTCTGAGCGTTGTCGGATGCGAGATAGCACGGTGATGTCGCCCTGTCAGTGTTGCAAATCCTAGCAGGCGGCAGGCGGGCACGTGAGCGCAGGCCAAGGACTCACGACACGCCAAAGCCTCGGAGAGACCGGCTCCACCTCCGGCTAACAAGTGCACTCCCAGGGACGTCTTCTTCTTGGCCACGACGGGCTTGGGAGATGAAGTGGTCGATGACATGATGCTCAAAGTTCAATACGTTGGCGAGCAGTGGCAGAGAAGAGACGAGCAGTGAAAGTGAAGTGGTTCGATCGCGGGCTCGGGATGTCTTGAGACGTCTGCGAGTGGGGGAAATGTCGCGTGTCAAGTGTCAGTGTGAGCAGGGTCCTTTGCGTCTGCAACAACCGGAACGAGCATCTTCGGTGCGGTACACGCACTTGGTCGGGCTGATTGGGATTTTTGTTGTCCGTACGCAAGAAATCGGTTGCGGTTGTCCGAGACCACTGTGAGAAAGCGGGAAGCAGCAAGCGCGGGCGGAAGCTGAGGAGGCCGGAGGGAGTCGGGCGCCAACCCCGAGGGTGCCCGCTACCTCCCGCTACCCCCCGCTACGACCGTCCTCCCGTGTGTGGGGCGGCCTAGGCTCACTGAGCTCGCCGGGTCGGGATGGCTAGTTGCCGTGCATCGTGTCTACCTAGGGACCGGTCTCTGTTGCCGATCTTCGACATGCTTATCTACCTCAATACACCAAAAATGAAGAAACAATTCGAACCAGTGAAATTTTTTGAACAAAATCAGTGGGTGCTAGCGCTTGGGAAAAACGGAAAAGAAGCCCATCACCGTCCTCCAAACGTGATTGTACAAAACCTGCGCTAAATGCTGAAAGATCTACTACTGCCTAGTAACCAAGGTGCTTCAACTTTCGGCTCTCAGGGCGATGAGTATTTCAGACTGTAAGAGCTCCGCAGATGGCCAAGCTCACCGGTATTTTGATTTGCCGACCGGGCAGGAAAGTGCCGGATACACTTATACCTCTCCACGGGAACAAGCCTTGGCCCCCTACACGCCAGGAAAACAGTCTGTGCCCAGAAATGCGAAACTAAACCATAGGAATTTTCGCACAGTGTGGAAGTGTGGAGAGCTGCGCATTACTCTTTACTCTTTACTCTATTACTCTATCACTCTAACCAGTAAACAAAAAGTGTCGATCCGCGACCCATGTACCTGAAATCGCTGTTTTTGACTGTGTTGCGGCCGCGAGGGCCGCGTATAGTGAATGTAGCAGTATATTAATGAGTCTACCGCACCTGTCTGTGGTATCGGCGTCCCGACCAAATGTCATGTACGATCCTTTTCGCATTTTCTGGATCATAAAAGTCGAGCTACAGCCGAGGACGATTTTTTTTGATTTTTGACGTGGTGCGGAGCTGTTGAGCGCTATATGTAGTATTTAATGTATAGCAAGCGCGTGGGTCTGCATGCCACTTCTTCTACAGAGCTTAGACGTGGTCCCGCTGTCGGTGACGCGCGGGCGTGGCTTACGCTGTGCGATGCGCCGTCAGTCACGTGACCTGTTGTCTACATTGCGACACTGGTTTCAGGGGCTCGACAACAGAGGATCGACTGTAGGTAGTCCTGCGCTACTCTTATTCTTTCATTTTCTCTTCTTGTACTGGGGCGGAACGACGAAGCGCGAATAACCGTCCGGGTTTCAAGCGCGAGTGTTTGAAGCCAACGACGTTTTGGGCAACGACCAACGGGCAGTTGTCCTGCTTACGGCGATGAATGATGTTCGTTCCTTTGTTCATCTTCCTATTGTGTTCTTTTACCTCTGCTCAATCCAATTATCCTGCTATTTGAATTTCATCATCCCATTGATTTTACGGGTTCCCACTGGTCTACGAAAAAAGAATGCAAGCCACGCGGAATCGCGCGTAGAAGCCGCGACGCGTAACGATGCAGTTCAATTTCATGGCTGGCGGCTCCTATCTAGTACTCGACTTCTTCCTCGCCGCGCTCCACCGACCCAACCCTGGGCCGTAGCGCGTCAACTACCGGCGACCGGTCCCTCTTGACGGCATTGACTTGCACCTCGTTGTCGCCACTGCCGATGAGCCCCTGTCCAGCCGAGATTTGATCTTGAGAGGTTTGTTCAGCTTGGTCTTTGGCCTCTTCAACGTTCTCTTGTAGCCTTAACGCCTTTTTCTTCATCTCGTCGATGTTGCCCTTTTCCACGCGGCTGTGTGCGAGCCATTCTGACTCTGCTTTCTTGATGCGGCGCTCGACATCCGTGACTTGATCGTCCAGCTCGTTCTCTTGAGACTTCAGGAGGCGGAATGGCAGGTAGAAGATGGGTCGTTGTCTATCTTGAGATACTATATGCTGTGATGAAAGAAGCTGGGCCGTATTGGGGGAAGACACCATATCGGAAGGTCCTGGCCGATTGGACTTCGAGGGCGCGGCGTATAAAAACTCGGCTAGGTCGAGCTCGATTTCGTGTTGGGTTTGCATCTGGAAAATTCGAGACTCGACGTGAGGACCGTCACCACCAGGGACCATCCGGCACAAAGAGCGTTGTCAAACGGAAAGGACTGACCGTTGCCTCCCACCTGGCCAGCTCCTCCTCCTTCAGCGAAATCGCGAGTACCAGGTCTCTCGCCTCTTTCGATCGATCTCGTTGGTCCATCATATGCTTCCTTTCGTCATGCAACTTTCTGTAAAGCTTGTCCTCAAGTTGTTGTCGCTTCCTGACCGCTTCGGATGTCTTGCTCGTGCCAGCTTGCTTCAGGGTATCCTGCAAGAGACCAAACAATCGACGTCCTCGCTTCTGACTCTCGTCCGCGACAATGCCAGATGCCTTTCGTTTCCTTGAAGCGAGATCGTCTTGCGATTCCATCAGCGCACGACCATTCCTGGCCCCGTCTTCTGAATGGATGGGTTGTGGGAGAGTGTTCGTCGCGGTTTCCGTCGCTGGCAAGTCGACTCCGCTGGCAGAGGCAACGGCTACAGAAAGTGCCCCGGGAGAGAGGGTATTGATGGAGGCTTGTTCTATAATGGTGCCTCCCGGAGATCCCGCTTCGTCCATGCTGTCATGAAGTGATCTTTGGCTGGGGCAGTCGACCGTGGCACCCTTCAGGTCTGTTGTCGTCATCGGCGATCGAAAACGTGGTGCGTATGGGTGCACAGCGTTAAGCTGACAACGATGTTCGAGAGCTACTGTGTCGCGCTGTGATAATAACGAAGGTGCAGTCGGACGTGCGATAGTGCGACTTGAAACGATAGATGAAGCCCCAAGCGCAGGATGGGCGCCATCTACGGGGCCTGCGAGGACTGGCGACGACAGGCGACGACAGGCGAAGACCAGCAGTAGCGATAAGGACAAATACGGCCATTATCTGAGGACGAAGCAATTTCGCTTCTCTGAAAACCTTCTCGTCCGCAGATGCGAAGACACCCGCAACTTGCGGTATTTCTGGCCACTTGTTAGATCGAAAGTTAGGATATAGAACGAAAAGCCGGGAGTTGAAGGGTACCTTTCCAAGCATGAAGAGTTTCCCGGTGCAGCGGGCGACGAACGCAGATTCAGGCTACACCTCTGTCGCGCTACCGGTTGGTCGTACGAGACCTTGTCGTACTATTGTGGGATGAAGGGCACGGGCGAAGAAGAAAAGTGTTTATTGCTCAACAAGGCATTCTACTGGTAGCGCAGATCGTTCACGCGGCACGCCATTGGCATTGCAGGAAGCGTGCCGGGAAGTTAGAGCAGTCTCGTCCGCGGCCCTGATAGCATACTACCAAGCCAATACGAGTTCGAGTGCGGGTCCTGCACGAGTCACAGCAATCGCAAATCCAAGTCGTGTTGCAAGGCTGCCAGTGAGAAAGGCTCCGGTTCCTCCGGATCTAACTCTATTCCGGCTGCACACCCCATTGCGCTTGACGGGAGAGCGGGCAGGTGCGCCGAAAACGGTTGGCCGTGGTCGTGGGCCTGCGTCGCCTGACCCAGTCCGCCATGCCTGGTTGATTCGGCAGAGGTACTGAAAAAATGACCAGGCAGCGGTGCCGACACACTCCTGATTGGCGCATCGAAACCAAGCAAGGAGTCGGGTGAAAATGCTTCATCCCATTGTTTCCTATCGGCAGATGCGAACGCGGCGGGATGCAAATGAGTCTGTTTTTGAGGAAGCAAGATGAAATCCCTCCAGTGATCATGAGTAGGCGACTCGATGTGGTGAAGCTCCGTGACGAATCGAGGAGCTTCTTCTTCAGAGTAGCGAGATCTTGTACTGAGGTCGTTGTGATCGTGCATGCGGGGCAGCGCAAAAACATCAATCCACGGAGTGGTCCGTCGAAAAAGCTGTGTATGCTGCAACATTGGGGGGAGACGATGAAAAGGGGTGACTTCGGCTACGAGGATAGGAACTGTCGGTTCGCGGCACAGGAGATCGCCGAGACACCGCAGATCAGGGTTGACTGCCTTTGCTAGGGTGGCTCGACGAGCGCCAATTTGGCCGTCCAGACCGGGCCTCTGCCGTGAATGCAACGGGCGATGAAACAGATTCAGCTCTCCATCCATCGCTTTTTCACGTGTCAATGCCCGCTAGGCAGGGCGGACTCTGTCAGCTCGACAAGTGATCTGACGTCCGACCTGGGGATCCAGCGACGGCGCTTACCCTCTTGCGCGATGTCGCGGGCCGATGCTCGCTCGAGCCGTCGCGCAGGAGGGTCGAAGGGGCCTGAATAGACCTCTTGTTTCGATCTGGAACTTGTGGGCCGTACCGATCCTCGCCAGACACTGTGGACATGGCCCGACCGGAATGATCCAGGACCTTGGATTGGACGGTGGGCAGGAATTTGGGAAGATCACAATCAGCCCTGGCATAAGCACTGGAGGTGGTCGCCCGACCTCATGCTGGGATATGACTCACCTCTAGCCTTTGCAAGGTATCTCTCGCCTCGACATCGGTGGACGACTCTGCACAACGCCCTGCCGTACGAGCTCCGAAGTTCAGTCGTGGCGCGCTGTTGCCGTTTCCCCAGTATGGACTTGAACCCTCCGCCTCCGAGCAGGACAAGGACAAGCCCATGCACGCCGACTCGTCGAGCCGACCTGACAAAGCGCCACCGGTCTTTCACGTAGTGCGACCGAATGTCGGACGAAAGCGCGATCCGCCAGCGAGCACTGCGAGATCAAGGTTCGGTAACGTATCCTGAAAGCGACTCGAGATCCGAAACACCGGCCAGGGATCAGGAAGTGACGTCTCCTGAACCAAAGCCTGCTGACTCGGTCTCGCAGAGGGTCAGGTCACAGAATTATCTGCTTGACTTCCGCCAGCTTGAGCGAAACCAAGCTGGGGCCGTGGAACCGCCACTCGTTTCAATGTGCGTCACGGTCTGTCTGAGATATTTATACTGTTCGGGCCTTGTAACATGCTATACGAGATGGTTCTAGAGTAGAAAGCTCGATAATTTCAATTTGGTCTTACACCGCAATCCCTGAAGCTCTCTTTGTAGACTAGCTGGAATTCAAATTCTCATTCTCATTCTAGAGCTGAAGGTTTGTTCAACGAAAATTGGGGGGCGCGAGCTGGGGAAAGAGAAAAGGACAAAAATGCCCTCGAAAGATAGCGAAAGGACAAAAATGCCCTCGCTTCTTTTCATGAGGACAGAAATGCCCTTCTCAAAAGGACAAAAATGCCCTCGGATTCCAGACTTCTGTAATACTCGATGTATCAGCTCAGAACCAAGAGGGTAGCTTCTTGTAGTCTTTGTGATCAGCGCCGTATACTCAGAATCTCCAGAGGTGCCGTGAGAAGTCAGTTATCACGGTCGAAAAGTCAGGGGCCTCATCGATCGTCGACGCGTCGAGGCGCGCTAGTTCGCGAATCGACGTTGGTCTCCTTCCGCATCTCGCCCCCGGCCCGGACGCCGAAGTCACCACCGACTTTCGACAATGGAACATTGTTTCAAGAAGGGGGAAAATCTCTATGAAAAGAAGGAGCTCACGGATGCAGGCTATCGATATGCGCTTGATGACCAGAACCAGCTCGACGTTCCGTAAGTCTGACACGCGTCGTTGGCACGTCGTGTGCAAGACATGAGGTCACGGATGATGAGGACGATAGTGACTCGACTGGCGAAGAAGAAGGTGCCATTATCATTCCGCCACAATTCCCCAGACGTACAGGACGTCCAATCAAGCGCAGGGTGCGGGGTGCGGGGTGCGGACGAGAGGGCCAAGCGTGATACGATCTGTGGCCTCTGCAAAAGGCCCGGACACAACCGAGTCACATGCGATAGATAGATCGAACATTTGAATCTGAGTATAAGGTGTCAAAAGTGTCAATACTACTACACGTTGAAGGCGTGCTGGTCTGTTTCATATGGTAATTCACTGCGGTCTATACTCATCGCTTTCAACGGGGCCTCGCTTCAGTCGCAATAGGCCCCTGCCTTTGCGACCGTGATAACTGACTTCTCACGGCACCTCTGGAGATTCTGAGTATACGGCGCTGATCACAAATACTACAAGAAGCTACCCTCTTGGTTCTGAGCTGATACATCGAGTATTACAGAAGTCTGGAATCCGAGGGCATTTCTGTCCTCATGAAAAGAAGCGACGGCATTTTTGTCCTTTTCTCCTGGGGAAATTGACGAGATTCTCAACATTACTAATTCTCGTTGGCGGGGGGCGGCTCCGGCACAGGCCCGCGCGCAAGGCCAGCAGCCGGCAGCCAGCCAGCAGAAGCCGGCACAGACCTGCACTAAGCTCAACTAAGCCTCCCTCTGGGAGGGGCTTACGAGTTATCCGCGCTTTTGGCTGAGTTGCCCTCCGAAATTTCAGGGCCATTTTGGGGTGGTTCTCTGTAACTTGGCAAGTAGGCGCATCCATGCAAAAGTGAAGGACCCTATTTTTCTTTATGCTCTAAAAATGACATACCCCAAGTGGCGAGAGCTTTCATAAGCTGTGGGTGGAGCTACAGCGATCCGAAGTCTGCGATTTCGGTCGATCGGGCCTCAGATGGTCCGAGCGCATCGTGTAATTGGCGCTCTCATCATCGGCGAGCCTGCTAATTCGGCTTGATCCCTTTGCGTACGCTTCGCTATTCTCCTCTTTTCACGATCACCGTCGTCCACGTCAAGCGCGACAATATCTAAAACCAAAAATGACCCGAACAAGCAGACGCCACACCTCGTCAACTCGCCAGAACAACCGCCGCGAGGCGTAGCCGCGATCTCTCGCTATGTCAATACCTATCTTGGTACTTCAGCCCATCCACACGATTTGAAGGGCGTTCAAACACACCGACCAAAGCTATTCAACAGCAACTGGTCCAGCCTCAAGCGTGTACTTGATCTTATTCTACGACTTGCACGCGAGGATGGCGCAGAGTCAAGAAGCCGAATCAATGGCTGGATCGCCGAGCAGGTGGGCAACACTTCGTACTTCTCGGATTGATTCTCCGGATTCGAAAAAGCTACTGAATACTTGCCTTATCCGCGTGCAGGCCGACTCAATCATCATTAAAGAGATGAAGCGAACCAAGTCCGCCTTCGTGGCTAGCCATGACTTGACTCCCGAAGTCCTCGCATCCGATTACATCGACGCCCGGCTCGATGCAATCGCCGAAGACAACCCTTTAATCAGCGGACGGGTTCGTACCTTGCTATCACAATGCGGAGACCCTCCACCGGCCGAGCCAATCAATCGCGACAAGGACCCAACAGCTTCCACTGATGTCGAGATGGAAGAAGCCACCCTGGAGAATGGTTCCGATCCGGGGCAAGAACAAGAGGCTGGTCACGAAAGAAAGCGTATCGAGTTTGTGAGTGTTTCTGACCATGGCTCGGCTGGGTATCGCAGCGAACTGACACCAAAAACTTCAACACGCTGGCCGCAGCTTTACTGCAGTGTCATGGGTCAGATCGCATTCGCTTGCAACCGAAGGAACAACGCCATGCAGCATCGCAACGGTCTCATGACTCTCGCATGTGGAGCGAACGAGCGATTGACAATGTTTCTGTACGATTGCGGCTTGACGACATGTCGCTGGGCGACTCTCCAGGCAGCTGCGAGCTTGACGAAGGCGAATTCGACGGAACTGAAGGAGATTGGCTCGAACAAGTACTTCCATGTGACCGTTGACAACATCGACGTCACACATCACGTCAACGATCGGCAATTGGATCGACGAACCGAGCTGCTTCATCGAACTTTTGGTTACGCCCACATTCAGAACGGAGATATTGCCGGCGCTTACAACCTTCGAGCCTACTCTGCACATCAAGCGTCTTTACCGCGAGTCAATCTCCAGCATCTCCTCCCAACTCCCCAATCCGACTCGTCATCTACAACCGGGATAAAAGCTCAGATATATCGAGCGCTTGCTCGACTGGTCCCTCATCTTGGCCTCAGTCTTCTTGATGCACACCACCCCCCTGTCCTCGTCATAGACGGGCAACTTGACGCGCTCTCGAAAGGACTCGTTAGAGATCAACTTTGCCCAATCTGCATTGTTCATATGCATTTCAGGAGACTTGACACGCAACAGGAAGGAAAATCAACACATGTGTACTTCACTCAAACAGGAGGTCAACCGGCACATTCGATCAGAATGAAGGAGATCTTGTGATTGGGGTCGTCCAACTGCCTGTACAGCTCGCCGTCTCTCCAGGTCTCCTCAGATACGACAATCGCGTTCTTTCCCTTTCAATTGAGATTGGCAGCCTGAAAGAAGCATGTGACCGCGGAAATCAGCACGAATGTCGGTCCAGCAAGCCCAGTCGGCAGAAAAACTCACCTGATGCAGTGATTGCTCAGTGCATTCAGTGGAATGACAACAATGGTGACGGCCCGGCGTCCGTAAATGAGATACATTGCTTCGAAGATAACACTTTTGCCTGAACCGTTGGCGCTGTGACGAACACAGCGTCACATCGATTCCGGTTCCCAAATTGATCGAGTTCGAAAGGGCAGCAATGGCCTCGATCTGCACAGGCCGGGGGGTAGAGTCCTCGTCAAGACTTTCGCCCAGAATCACTTTGATCTTCTTGCGTAATTCGCTGGAATCTCGTCGGTCCTGGTGAGTCAAAGGTGGCCTCCAGTGACCGAGAACGGCTGTCGGATTGGTTGAATGATTCGGTGCTGGGGTCGTAGGACTGGCCCTTGAAGCTGATCGCAAGGGAGACGCCCTGAACTCAATTGATGGATGTCGACGGGGCGGTCCCCTAACCAGCCTGGGTGTTTGTACCGACATGGCTCATCATGAGGTGAGGTGCGATGTTGAGTGGAGGAGAGAGAGAGGATGCGTGAGGCGCAGCCGGGCTTAAGTGACCTGGCTCTATGCAGCCTTCGACGCGGACTGGACTACGACTGGTCCGTGCGCCAACCTGTGTCATTTGGAATCAGTTGATTCAAGCTGTTGTAGCGAGATGATCAAGCGTTCCTAGACTTCAAGCTTCGATGAAGCATCATCAATAATGATGAAGTAAAGACGTATCCCTCCAGTTTTCAGTTAGCACCAATATACGCCATGCTACAGCAAGGGGGCACTTTTCAGGGCCAAAATTTCGGAGGGCAACTCAGCCAAAAGCGCGGATAACTCACAAGCCCCTCCCAAAGGGAGGGGCGTCGAGCTTAGGCTTAGGACTTATCGGCGCGCCTGGCCCAGTTGCCCTCCGAAATTTCAGGGCCATTTTGGGGTGGTTTTCTGTAGCGTGGCAAGTACTTACAATTATCCAAAACGCAGAGATGTTATTGATCTTCTACTAGAGGAAATGGCCTCTGCCGAACGGCAAGAGGATACACCATCTGTAGCCGAAGCTATGATGATCTGAAGTGTGTAAATTTGGCCAATTTGGTCCCGAGTGGTCCGAGCGGCAGCACGCTGCTGCAGCCGCCGGCTTGCGCACTTCGGCGTGTGCGCATCGGATTCTCTCCCGTCCCATTCCGCATCACTCGTCTTCTCGGTACTATGCTCTTCGCTTGTTCTCGGTGCAACACCGCGCTTATCGCAGAATGACGCGCAACCGCAGACGCTATGACTCGACGACTCGCCAGGATCGCCGCCGTCAGGCGGATCTATTCGCTCGGTTTCGGCTTCACAAGCTCTCACTGTGTCAATACCTCTCGTAGTATTTCAGCCCATCAACACAACACGATGGTGTTCACAATCATAGGCTAAAGCTCCTCAACAGTAATTGGACCCAGCTCAAGCGTTTGGTGGCTTCCTGGCTGTTGAAGTACATGATGGACTGGGGAAAGATGCTGGGATCTGACCGCTGGTTAAGGAGATCCTTGATACTTCCCATCGTACCGTTTGTTCTTGGTTTCATCTCGACAGTAATATTGCGTAGGTTTGGTCGGAAAAGGTCGGCTTTGGCGAAGAACGTCCGCGATTCGGAGAGACTGGATACCTTGAGGATCTTGTTGATTTCGTAGGGTGGAGCGCCGGCGGTGAGGAAGAGTGTTTGACAACCAAGTATGAGACGCTGCTCCGCAACTTGCCCATACACGGGGCGAAATGCAGTCGAGCCTTCCATTGTGTGGCTCATAGCTCCGGCGCGCACCCTTTCGCTGAATCCCCACTCGGCGATCTTGATTGCCTCGTCATAGGCAAGCAGCTTGACTCGGTCTCGGAACGAGTCCTTCAATATCAGCTCAGCCCAGCGCTTGTCTCCACTGTGCATCTCTGGAGACTGTCGGAGATTTTTAGTAGCAAGATATCAGTACGGGGGTTGTGAGCATGCAAAACCTGCGGCGGATTGAATGAACACGTACGATGAAGATGAATGAGACAGTATGGGAGAGGATCCTTGAACTGCTGGTACAGCTCTCCGTCACCCCATGTTTCCTTGCATATGATAACCGCTTTCTTTCGCTCTTGATTGAGATTGTCGGCCTGTAAAGGTATCAAGACCGTGGGACTCAGCACCGGCGTCGGCTCAACGGCCAACCGAATAAAACCTAGGTGATGTTGGCTCAGCGCAGTCAGAGGACTGACAACTATGGTCACAGCCCGGCGGCCGTAAATCAAATACATGGCTTGAAATATCAAGCTCTTCCCTGAACCCGTTGGAGCAATGACGAATACAGCGTCATACTGATTTCGAGTCTTGAACCGCTCGAGCTGAAAAAGTCCCGCGAGAGCTTCGATTTGCACCGGCCGGGAGACAAAGTCCTCGCCAAATTTGTCGACCAAAAGGAGACTGAGCTTCTTGCGTAACTCAATCGGGTCAATTCGATCTTCTTGAGTTAATTGTGATCTCCAGTGAGCAGCCGGAGAGCGACGGGTAGGCAGTTCGGGGGTTGTGTCGGTTGAGTGATGGTCCCTTGATGTCGTTGGCTTTGCCCTCGAAGCTGATCGTAAGGGCGACTCTCTGAACTCAATCGATGGAGACCGACGAGGTGTGCCTTTGACAAGCGTTGGCGTTCGTACGGGCATGGTGGATCATGAGGGCGGTAGCGACGTCGTGGACTGGCGTTGTGGACCGAAGGTGAGGCCGGTGAGGCGCGGCTGGCTGATTCACGTCGGCGCGAAGAACCGTCCCTCTGGGTCCGTGCGCGAGCCAGCTCCAAGTCGAAACTAACGACTTCTCACCGCTGTAGCTCAATGAATAGGACATGCAAGAGTCTTCCCTTGGGTAGATGCTCGTAAAAATAGCATAAGAATGCGCCTTTTTCTACATATTGTATAGGTGATTTTATTTGCCAAGCTACAGCAAGGTGGTACTTTTCTGGGCCAAATTTCGATAGGCAACTCAGCCAAACGCGCCGATAAGTCACAAGCCCCTCCACTGGAGGGTTTCGAGCTTAGACCTGCACAGACCCTCACAGACCGGCGCGGAACGGCGGCGAATGGCACGGAGTGCAAAGTCCTGTAGGCGTGCGCTTCGGCCCGTCTGATAGCTGTGTGCGAACATCAACATCTCAGTAGCTCATGGTACAGCCCTCATCCAACGTGGAGTAGTTCATCAGTCACGAACGGTGCTCAGTTGGTCCGACACACCAGTCATTGGTATCAAGTGGCATTTGTGTCCACCCACCCGGGCCCTGCGGCGATGTCCATCTCTCCCAGTTCACGTGTCTTAGTCGCGCCTCCCGACGCCAAGTCATTGCGACTCATTGGACAGCATCTGGGAGCTTGGCTTGACAAGAGGCAGTCGCTCTTGCCAACATGGCGAACGAGTACAGTACACTTATCATGGACTGAACAGATCTGGTTCCTCGCATTTGCTTGACAAGGATCTAGTGATCAGGTGCTCGTTGCGACAGCTCGTCTTGCCCAACGTCAACCTTCGTGCAGTGTGAACAGCTGCAGATTCTCTGTCAGGCTCACAACTTGCAGGGCTACTACTCTCTTCGGCGATCAAAGACTACAGAATTGTTTTTGGTTATGATATTGTCTTCATGCGCTGGGCTTTGTCCCGCATGCGAGAGTGGCTACATCTTCAAGCAAAGCATAGCCAATGACATCCTGGTACCCAGGCCTACAATGTTTGATTTCGAGGAATGCCAAATGGCGTGCTGCAATCACTGATTCGCGTGGTCCATCGGCGAAGCGACCTAGAGGGCCAGCTCACCTACTTCTAGATGTTATTATAGAGGCTGACTCGGGTACACTTTGTGTGTTCAGTCTCGAGCACAAGCTTGCCTCCGGAAAGGCAGCGGTCGGAGCACTTGCTCGTGACGTCCGAGTCCGAAGCAAAGTTGCGACTCAGGGCATGTCCAAGATGCGATCCTTCTTTTTCTGAACGTGGGGCAACGGCATGGAAATTGAGAAACAGTTAATGTAAGTTGAATCCGTTGCAAAGAAAGACAGAGACCTGACTCCTTCCCCTTTCTCACCCTCACCGGCCCGGCCAGCAATCGCATTCACTAACGGCAAAGCCGCAGGTGGTCTCCATCCAACACCAGTTGATCACACCCAGGATGTAAGTAGTAATGTATATGTTTGCCTTTGTGTGCTCCAGCGTCTGATGATTGGGCTGACACGGGTGTGTGCAGTCATCAGGAAGATGGAGTCATAGGGGTTGCTGGAGGCCGGCGTGGTTCCGCCTGTTCCCATTTGGACCCGGAGAACATTCTCGACCTGCCCGATTACAGTCGATTTTATGCGGAGGTCCGGGAGGGGCTTTTTACCGGTCGCAAGTACGCCAAAGGATATCCGACGCAACTCCCCGTGACTGTCGATGAGCACCCTGGGCGACTTGCACAAGAATATCCTACGCTGGGGAGTGGGCACCCTGGGTGAAGGTGATCTGTGTGCGGTTGTCTGCACCGTCGAGGGTCGCGCTTGGAGGGACACGTCCTCCGGCAAACCCTTTGTGCATATTGCATAGGCCTGGTGTAGTTTCCCTGTCTGATGTGCGACAGATGACACGCCAGACCACACCCCCGCCGACCGTCCAACTCAGTCCAAGCGGGTCATTGCCTCCCCTGTCAAGCGCTCGGCAATGGACGCCGAGCTGAATATTGACTTGTCGAGCACCAAAGGTCATGGTGGTGAGTTCAAGCCCGCAAATCACAACGACACCTTTTATACCGGCTCACTATTGCCGGTTTCGGTTTCTTGCATTTTACAGTCACTGACAACTATCGCAGAAAACATGCGAGCGCGGAAGATAGACTTCCGATAGAAGAGAGGTAGCGACGCCGAGAAGTCAGGACCAGTCCGCGAGCGGCACAAAGGCCGACGACGAACAAGATTGTCGTGATCGACGAGACAGGAGCAGACATCTTGTTGTAGTCGATCCCCAGTCGTGGAGAAAAGCCTTGGACGACTAGCCAAGCCTTGTAGCTGATGATGTTGCCCTCGGCGTCTTCCTTTCGAGTAAACACCCAAGGAAAGCCGAGGGCACGAGCCCCAGTAGGTGGCCTTGAAAGCTTGAACACCTTGTGCAAGCCCATGGAGTTGAGTTCCTTGACCGACGCAGCGAACCAGGACTCGGCCTCGGGCGAAACCATCGCATCCTTGAAGGTCTTGGGAAGCGGTGGATGACGAGTGGAGACCGAAGCGATGAGCTCTGGTTCACGACGAAGGACCTTGCGCGTGGACACAATACTGAGGGCGGCGACGCGACGCTGAGCACGCGTGCGAACCGGTAGAGTGTTGCCCTCGTTAATGTTCTCGAGCAGGCCCGGATTGCGACCGACACGATAAGGACGGTACTCGTGACCATCGTCAGGAGGTAGAGGTGGATCACGCTCCGCAGGGTCGTCGTCTTCGTAACTGTTAACAGCCTCAACAGCCTCAACAGCCTCCTCGCGTCGATGATCGATAGGCTCCTCTTTCGTCTTCAACCCCTTCGGCCAACGGGCCGACAGCTGGTAAAGGAATAGGAGCAACCTCGCCATGGTCCGCACGTTGAAAACGAGGAAGTGAAGGCAGCGCTGGCGGTAAAGCCACACCAGGCTCGGGAGTGAGAGCAGGCCGTAAAGCCCGACCCGCCTCAGCGATGGGAGCAGGCCATAAGCTGGAATCTGCTCCCAGCCAGGAACACGCAGTTGAGATACTAGCTTGTACTCCTGTGGAGGTTCGACTTCGTAGATGCGGTGCTCATCAGCGGAAGAAGTCCGCCTCACGCGCAGGCGACGGCGTCAATGACTTCGGAGCAGAGGCCGCCGACGTCGGACAAGGATCGTGAAGTCTGTTCGGGACGCGCGGCTGGCTCTGGAACGAAATGTGGATTTGTCGTTGGAGTCTCTAGCCTTGTCTTGTGGTGGTTATTCGCTTGCGGCTAAGTAGGAGGTACCACTGCCTATCCTCGGGCCATGGTTGTGTGAGTGTGACTTTATAGAGGGCACCGGAGGTTCAGGGACTGGTCGCCGCTCCGCGGTGCGTTAACACCTACTACTCCCTTGGATAGGGAATTTCGGTGTACAAATCCGCCCCACAACGGGGCAAAACGGGGCTTTCCGATGTTGAAGTAAATTACTCTTGCCTTAAATCCGCACTAATCCGCACTACGTGCGTCTTCACTTTGTATTAGTCGCGCGCGCTATTCGCGTCTTTGCTTCCTCTTCTTCACTTGATTACGAACTCATTGGCTCGTCCCTGCCGCCAACTCGTTCAGCACATCGCGCTTCAGTTTCAATATCCGAGACGCGCGAGTAGTAACTAAGTGACTGTGACGCGCCAGGATCCCAGGACGCGCCTGGGGCAGCTTGGGGCTTAGCAGGGCCGAGCAGGGCCTAGCAGGGCCTAGCCTGGCCTAGCAGGGCAGTAGCAGGAGGACCCCCGAAAGCCCAGCCAGAGGCGGCCCGCAAATTTGGACATTTTTGGCTCAAAATGGGTCGAGGCTCACCTCAATTTTGGACATTTTCCTCCCTTCGGTCGAACTCTGAAGCGCAGACCAGGCTAGCGGGAGGCTGGAGGCGCAGGGTTAGGGATGTAAGGAGCCCAGATTACTCAGCGGGTAAGCGTAAGTAAAAGCGGGTTCCTCGGTGGTACTCTCGAAGTCGCTTGACGAATTGACAGTCCCAAAACCAGTCGATTGTCAAGTTGAATCAGGAGTGGGGGGTCCAGTAAGGGATGAAGAGAGAGTAAAAGAGAGAAGAGAGCTACCAATCGCTATTTAAGGAATCTGGAGAGTTGAAAGGGAGCTAGGTGGACAATGTGGTTCTTTGTGGGGAACTAAGACAATAGGGAGAGATAAGATAGGAAAAGATGACAAGGGGATGCACAATGGTTGTCAGTCAAAGGCAGGAAAATGAAAGGGAGGCAAGTCGGTCCGTCGGTCCGAGGTTTGAGCTTGGACCTACCGAGTGGCTGCCGAACCTTACAGGCATATATAGCCGGCCCAGCTTCGCGGCGCGGGTAACAGTCGCGCTGTTTTCGTTTGGAGCGCGTTATATTAGTACTAAGTGTCTGCATATGCGATCATTTATCATTTTTTGGTCGTCTCTCGCTCGGAACGCCGACTTGTCGAGCTACGTCTCCTCTTCTTCCTTTCGATCTGGAAGCTCTCTCGCCGCCGCCGATTGTCGTCGGATGCTTTGGAAGCGATCACCGAAACGGCACTCGAGGAGCTCCGGACGTCAATTTAGGAGTCCAAGGTCGCCTTGCGTCTCGGTAAATCACCCAAGGGGGTTTTAGTGGGTATGATTCTGATTCAGGGTCAATGAGTCCTACACTGCTGGCCTAGCCAGTGTGCTTAATTGCATTTCCTCCAACTTTTCCAAAGACCATCACATGAATACAAAGATGAGATCCTATTGAAGTCCATTTCATTTTGAAAAGGCTCGTTGGCGGTCGCGCGGGCGGCGCTCTTGGTGCGCGCGCGCGGCGGGAACGCAGTCTGCGCGCACCGCAGAAAAAAATCTGAGCATTGTACAGCTTGTAGAGTAGTTTTGAGAAATTATGCAACACTAGGCGGCCCTCATTAACGCGCCCCCGGAGGGGGCGACGGGTCCCTGAACCTCTGACGGAGTAACACCGACTGACAACGTCAGCTAGTATTACTAAGAACATGCCATGGATCGGGCATGCAGCACCAAGTTGGCGAGTCGGTTCAATCCACATCAATGAGTCGTGTAAGTATGTGCCAAACATTAATAAACATTGCAGCAAGAAGAGATCGAGCCAGAGCCGGGGTGTACATGCATAAGTTGAGATCACTCGACATCGCCCATGCCACAGTCCGTGTCTGGTCCGACTCCAACTTTGTGTATGCATGTGGTCGTCAGCGCCGGGGACCCACATCGCCCTTTCACCGAACTTGGCTATAAGAAGTTGTTTCAGTTGACGTTGAGAGATCGGGACTTCAGGGAGCGACTTACGTTTTTTTTTTGGAAGGGGCAAGGTCAATGCCACGGTAATGGACCTCTTGACCGGTGATAGCTTTTCCTTGGGCGACGGTGGACGGTCGGTGAGAAGAGGGAGACAAGGCTGTAATGATGACGATGCCGTAGAATTGTCAGATCAGCTTACCCATACAGGAATTTAGTTGATTGTACGCGTGACTTGCATGAAGAGGGGCTTGTTCCTGGCATGTACCCGGATCCGATGCGGCACGAACTGAAAGCGAGCGTGTTGGGCCTGCCTCGCCTGGTTGAAGTACGTGCGTGCTTGGACGAAACGCCAGAATACGGTCGATATGCGGTAAATTTCGAGCAGTGCTGCGGCGATTCGAGCCACCTTCTCTTTGGGGACCCGAAAAGCGAGGTGGTGAAACACGTCTCGTCGGCGGAGAATGTTCGAGACGATGAATGGGAAAGACGGGTGGCCTCCGAATTCGCTGTCGTATAGATTGAGCCAATGTTTGACTCACTTGCTCCTCCAGAGAAATCTTGACGTCGCGCTCGACACAGACACCGACGAGACCTAATGGATCGAGGTGTGGCCACAGCTTTGAGAGCAGGAAGTCATCCGAACATTCCCACAAAGGGTCATCGCCTGTCGGAATGACATGGGGGGGCGCTCTGGTCTTGCAGTGGTTGAAATAACGAAGAGCTTTCTCAGAGAACTGCCACGAGTGAACTGGTTCGTCGGTAGCGGGTGGCGGCACATGTACGTGTTCGAATACTGGTTCATCAAAGTCGTTATGCGCTGTTGCGTAGCCTTCAAAGAGCGATGATGTTGGTTCCACTGTCTCTGCGGTCACCACCTTCGCCAAAACTACGTCGGGCACGAGACAGTTTCCATCGGCGATTTGTAGATCCGATACTTGGGGAGCAACGCAGACGGAAGCCGAAGTCGAAGTCGAAGCTGAAACCGCCGTAGAAGCTGTAGAGGTCGGGTTGAGCGCACCGGAACTGCGTCGAACGAGCTGTGCAATGGCCATCAAAGGAGACGGCAGAGTAAGCCGAATTCTTGCTTTCGTTGATCAATCACCTGAGCATCTTTTGCAGTGGATCCGACTCTGCTTCACGATCATGGGTCGACACTTGTCCAGCTCCGCAAGGTTGGGGCTCCCTGCACAGAATAAAACGCAAACACTGTCAGCGAGTTCCTCGACTGACATGGGCAGTACATCGGTGAACGAAGCGGTGTTCTGGCTGAAAATGAGGGTGTTTCCGCGCCTAAATTCTTGTTGAGCTTTGCGATCTCCGAAACGAGTTAGCTTGTATATGATCTTGTAGGCTCTGGCGCGCACAGTGACGAGGTGCTCAAACTGACTCGTGTTGGAGAGGCAATCTCGGACATCAGCGGGGACGTGATCCAGTGCGCAATAATCCGTTGCTCAACGACCGAGGGGGCTTAGTCAGTGGCCCTGTGGTAGGGAACAACCGTTTGAAGCAGTCTGGCCAGAGTGAGCACTGAAGCGTGTTGTTCATGGCGATCTGATCGATTAAATCGCTCGGTCGATGAAGACGTCGGGGATGGATGAGTGCGCCCCGCCAAGCTGAAGAATCGTAAGTTGGTGGTCGGAGGTCCGTACGTAGTGTAGAGTTGGTTAATATCTTCCAAATACCTGATTCCTCACGCTTGATGTGGTGTTCAGGCACCCATCGTACGTTATGCCCGAAGACTCTCTGGGGAACACACCAGGTAGCAGAAGAGACGGGAACGAGCGTCGGTGAAGTAATCATTCCATTCAGAACGGTTCTCGGTCTTGAACTGATCGGATGCTGGCGCAAAATGCGATGTCACTTTACCGGGTTCTTCTTGTTCGGGTTTGGGATGCAGCGGTGGACGTCTGTGCATCGTTTGTTTAGAGGTAGTCGCCGAGACGTTCTCGCGATTCCTCTGGGCTTCCTCGTTCAGTTCGGTTTGGAGCACGTCAACAGGTTTTGATGCGTATGCTCTGTGCTCGGGGAAGCAATGGGGGCGGAGTCACGGGACTCGCCGCTTGTTGCCTTCTCAAAACATACCCATTTGAACAAGCATTACAGTTGGGATCGCACGACCAAAGGAGCGCTTGTAGGAATAGCTCTTTCGCAAGCGGATTGCTCCTGGAGTATCCTTCCACGTGGTGCGCCCGACAAAGCTCCTTCAGGAGATTCATGCTGAATTTGATGCTGCTGAGGAGCACGAGTCGCCCCAGACTGCATTCTACAATGCCAACACTGGACTGTTGCGTAGGAGCGGACCGGAGTACATATACTGTGCGTGTCCGGTGCGGCGGGAGGATCGGCTGTCGCTAGCGGTGGACGCGAGGCTTAACACGTCGTCGAGATTCGAGCGTTCAAGTTGTGGGCTGACGTCGATGGTGCGGAGGGGTACAAGATCACAAAGAAGTCACATGACGGCGGCTGTGTGATACGGGTCTTAGAGATGCGGGGACACTCGGTCCAAGTTGGAGCAAGGCGAGTACAGAGAGACGGAAAGGAGAGGGCCGGGCAGTGGCAACTTGCCAGCGGACCGGGCCTGCCGCGGGGACTCGGGGAGGCTGATGAGGCCGAAAGCTGAGTGCTAAGTGCGAGGGGCCCTCCTATCCGGGAGGCATTGTTTTAACCGATCGGCGCTGAACTCGGACTCTCCTATTGCGCTCAGGCAGGTTCCTCCCATCCGGGGTAGCATTGTTCGCACCAATCAGCGCTGAAATCGAGCTCTCCTATTGGTGCTTCAACAGCCACGCGCGTGCGGGGTATTTCGGCCATTTCGTCCAATCAAATCTCAGACGTGCACCATTTTCGAGGCTGGGACCCCCCCATTTTTCGAAACGAAACCTTCAGCTCTAACGAGCTTCAGGGATTTGGACATTTTCAGTCAGAATCTGGAAAAAAATTGGACATTTTGCCTCAAAAAAGGCCGTTTTTAGACGGCCGCCTATGGCTGGGTTTTCGGGGGTCCTGTAGCAGGGCAGGGCTGAGCGACTGCTGCGCGCTGAGCAGTCAGCCTGAGCTTTCTCAGGTCTTGCCGTGTATCATTGGCCTGCTCGAGAGCCTACTGCTAGGCACCCCGCTGCTCGATCTTCCCCTTCGTCACGCTCCGATCAACAGGTACAGCCTCTTCGCGTGTATTGACAAACCCAACCAATCTTGGTATTGCGACACGTATACAGAACTGGTCACTGTGGCCCGCGGGGACGTCAGTTGACTTGGCCCTGCTCACTTCCACCCCGTCCTGATCGCGCCGAGAGACTCACCTCGCCTACGATGCTGTACACTTGAAGAATATGTGCAATTCGGTGGTAGATGTCTAGGACCGGATCCAAGACGCGGAGAGGTATTCGACCTAGACGGTGCGAGCTCAGTCACGCGACTCATCAGGCCTGGTAGCGGCCGAGGATGCGCGGTCCTTGGCGCTTCGACCTCAAACAGGACCGACGCTCTCAACCTCAGGGGCGTGATCGAGAGAAATACAATAATCATGGGGAAGCTAAAATTTTCGCGCCCTGAAGGAAGGTACCTCAACCATTATGTCTAATATATCTAATGCTGTTATTGAATCGTGTTGAGACAGGCGCGGCATACTAATAACCGAGCACCTAGTAGTCCACCAAACCGCCGCCGAAAGGCAGGGTATTTGCCACCTCTGTGGTACTCCTGGAGATGGCCAATAAGTAGAAAATGTACTTCACCGGCCGTCGACGCCGGCGCATCCTCACTTGTCAGAGGTATATCATACCAGATACTTATGAATGAGTTTCGGTCGAGGCCTCTTCTTACTGGCGCCGAGTGACCTAAGTTCAAGAGGCGCTTGATTTTGCTCTTAGCTCTTAAACGAAACGGAACCCTTGTGAACTTTGTCAGTGGACTAATTCACCATATAAAGTCTAAATCTTGCCATCGGATAAGGTCCCATTGCAAAGTTCGGATGCATGATCGAGCGCCACCGTGACCCTAAACCCAGTATTTCGCATTGTTCTCAGTTCCATGAACAGAGAATACTTTCTATGCTGTGCTTCGTATTGTGTGGGTTTACCCCTGCTGAAACCATGCATAGTGCTCAATATTCCTGCAATTCAATCACATCATACCGTTGGTTCACGGTTTCCCACTAGTAGCAACTCGTGAGCAGAGGGGCATTGCCAATTGGACATCAGGCAGCACTCTGCAATGGCCGTTGCGAGCAACAACACACCGTTACGGCCGGCGGTGCACGGATGTGCAAGAACAGCCCGGTTTCTGCTCGCTGGCACAAAATTTAGCTATCTTCAGTTACGGATCCATTCGCCGTTGCGGATTCGGTCCAGTCTCATACCCCGGCAGTCTCGAACGGGATCGAAGGTCTAGTATCGGGTCAAATTTCATGCTTCGCCACTGGCCACCAGCCTGAGCTCGACCTACTAAGAGTTCACGACCGATGGAACTGGAGCTCGACATGAAGGACACGTCTGTCAGCGATACTGCTTGCGCCTGCGATGCCCCAAGACAGCTCGGGATCACGATCGCCGACGTCAGGGTCGAATATTATGTGGGAGCGAACGCCGCCGACCATTGGACCCGATCAAACAACAAGATCGAAGCCGAAGAGGCATGGTGAGGTAGCTTGTTGACGCATGGCCGCATTGGATTGCGTGCTTTTCCATGAGATCTTGTGGCTGACCGGTACATGGGTACGATCTTGACCAATCTCAACATGCATTAAGCAGGCGGCAGTTCAACTTGAAGCTGTCTTGCGTCTGTCGAAGCCGAGGAAGCAAGGAACGTGCTTTCTTGTGCGCCACCGACAGCCGGAGGCCGCAACCAACTGCAATCGTAGCATCACTGATGTCGGTACCTTGCTCTGATCCCCGCGCCTGTAGCTCCCGACGTTCAACGCTGCGCGCCGTCCCAGCTGCCTCTCAGTCCAACCTCGATCGAGGCATCAGCTTCGGTGCCATCCACGGCGGCTTCGGGGCCAAATTTGCGCATCGTTTGTACAACCATTTCAATGTCGCTGAGACAATGATCGAGGGCCACCCGAGCTTGACGGACCGACTGAGCAATGAACTGACTGGCTTGGCGAAGCAGCGATGTCGAAGCCAGTCAGCGAGCGGCAAGTTTACTGAGGATAGCATGGTCCGGCTCGGCGACGACACGGACTCACATGTGCAACGAAGCCGCCTCTACATACACCCTGCGTGAAAGCTCAGATGGTCGCAATAGCTGGTCGACCGACACGACGCGTTGTAGCAGAGTTGCGTCTGCCGCGGTTGGCAATGGAATTGTCATGAATCTGGAGTAGCTCGCCGATGGGACCGAGGTTGGTGTGAGCACAGGGCGTGACCGACGGAAGAAACCTCATCAACGAAGAATGACTCAACATGGTGTGCCATTGATCGCGCGAGTTCGACATTTTCCAGGTCGCGATAGATGCGAGCGGGCAGGAATCAAGCCCACGGGCAACAGTGCTGAGCCTTGCTGCGAGAGGCTGCGAGACCTACGTGATCCAAGCAGGGCAGAGCATGGGCCGCCTTTTGTCGTTTTATTCGATTTGAACACACGCGCGCGAGATTTGCTGATCATGACACGCGCGCGGCTGCTTGATGATGTGCACGCTGATTTGACGACACGCTACGACACGCACGCGCGAACTTGAACACACGCACGCGAATTTGGACACGCACGCCCGTGCTTCGCCTTCACCGTCCTCATTCTCACCCGAAAACGCTGTATGAGACTATCCGACTTCGGGCTCATCAACCACAGATGGCACAAGAACGATCGCCACAACAAGTATGCCGGCTGCGACGCCATTATCAGGTGTGCTGGTGCTCAGTGAGCTCGTACGACGCAGTTGCTGCCGACGCGAGCATGAGTCGGATTTCCACTCGTTCAAGCTGCAACAATCCGTGTGAGTGGCAGCCCACAACTACCGCCCCGCCCAATCAATCATCACCGCTCATTTATTGTGCTATGTCTCAAGCATTACATTCATCCGTGTGATTCTTCCCCCGAAACACAATGACGCTGCGATGCATCTCGAGCGACGAGTACTGCTGAGATTGCGCGCTGTAGGGTCTCTGACCTAGCCTAGACATGCTACTAGACATGCGACTGTTTTGGTGCACGCTACTTGCGGTGCTTTGGTGCGTACTTGCGGCATTACACTTTTGCTGCACCTGCTGCCAGCTCGGGAAGCCACGGTCTACCCGCGCAACCGCATACCCCGGTGCCCACGCTCTCCCACGCCGGCGTATTTCCTGCAGGAGAGCCGCTCGGGCTACCACTGTGGTACTGTTTGAGGTACGTTATTTCATTGCACCTGGGAGGATTCACTGATTGGGAATTACACGGAGAGCACGGGAGCAGTTTCCATTTGGAAGGCTTTCTTCGTGGCTGCACATGATAGACTAGTACTAGAAAATTACTAAAGTTAGTAGACAGTCTACGCCACGTTAGTCCCGCTGAGCTTGATCTCGTGCGGCAGTCATCAACTTCGTGCGTCAATCATCAACTTGGTGCGACATATGAGACGCACGGCGTGCCTCATATGGGGTCTCGCGCGAGTGTGATGTGGTTGCGTGGGGTGTGAAGCCGGGGCTCAGGAGTGTCAGAGCGCGGGGAGACGGTTGTGAGATCGGGTCTGGTGCGAGTCATCAAAAGTGAGTGCGGGGTCTCGAATCCGGGGAAAATATCCTGAAAAGCATTTTCATTTTCTGGCGCGTGTGTTGAATTGTCGGAGGAGAGTTCAAGTCGCTTTCGTGTGTGTTCAGATGTGGTCTGGCGTGTGTCATCATAAATCTGGGGAGCGTGAGAACCTCGCTCGAGTGCGCCTGAAGTGGGAAACAGTGTTGTCAAAATGGGTCGGAAACAAGTGAAAAGTGCGAAGGAGTGTATAAATGCTACTTCGTGGGTCAAAGATAGCGCTGACGCGTGTGTTCAATGCGTCGAGGTATGTCACAGAGGGTCTGGCGAGTGTCAGTTATGTCTTTTAGGAACCTGAAGCCGAGGCACGATATGCGTAAGTACGAGAGCCTAAGATGATGGTAAAAGATAGTTGGAGAAAGAGGAGAAGCGCTAAGGGAGCGCGCGAGGCGACCAATATCAACAACTAGTAACTAATCATAATCGGGAATACAAGTGGGATGAAAGAGCAATATATTGACAATGTCTGGTGTGTGCTGTAAAGTGGTCTCGCACGCATTGTCATTGCGCCGCGCGTGTTCACACGGAATAAAACGACAAAAGGCGGCCCATAGGGCAGTACATCGGCGCGCGAACTTCACTCGAAACGCGGCGCCCGTAGGGTGATCGTCCGGAGCCCAGGCGACTCGGCGGCATGGAGCCCGGACGGGAGATTACTCTATTACTCTAACTTTACTCTAACTAGTTACTCTAATTACTCTAACTAGTAAAAAAAAAGTGTGAGTTAAGGAATGTACCTAATATCGCTGTTTTTAACTAGGTTGCGGCCCGGAGGGCCGCATGTGGTGGATGTACCAGCATACTGTTGTGTCTGCCGCACTTGCCTGTGGTGTCCATGTTCCGATCAGAAGTCATGTACAAGCTCTGTGGTGACTTTTGTATCTTCCGCGCTGTTCCAACGAAGCTACAGCGTTCCCAGTAATTTCCTTCACTTTTTCGTTGACGTAAAACAGTGATAACACTTATATTGTATTTAATGGACGGCAAGCGCGTGGCTTTGTACGACAATGCTTCTACAGCAGAGCTCCGCCTGACGGGCGGGGCGAGGGCGGCTGGCGTCTGTCACGTGATGCGGCGCGCCGGCGGTGTCGGTGTCATTCCGGCGGCCGACCAGCGGCATTAGGGGCTGAACAACAAATCACACCCCGTGAACAAACCCGCGACACTCCCTCTAACCTTTTCTTCTCCTCTCCCACTCTCATCGAATTTTGTGACATTCATTCAAGGAGAAACCCTCTCCACTATGCCCCGGTCCTAAGGTCGCCAGGGAGGGCCAAGTCCTAAGTGAAAAATAGTTTCTCTGCTGTCTTTCGTCATAATACCGTTTAATTCTCCTACTATTTGGAATCATCCCGTTAATTTAACGGGATCCCACTGGTTACAATAAATTCGCAGACTCCATACGCGCCCAAAACCTGAATTCCGCACGGACGCTGCACTGAGTGATGGAGCTGGGCCCGCAGAGTGTGTGTGTGGGTCTCCTTGCGGGCTCGGTGTGGACCACCATACTTGCCCCATACAGTGACCTGAAAGACTCCATAGAGACTAAGCACAGCTCTCGTATCAACTCCATCCAGAACCTATTATCGTTACACCACAATACGGCCTTGCAGCACTCTTGTTGGCACGGCTAATGTCGACGAGGTAAATAAACACATTGCAACACTATATGCCATGAAAAGTGTCCCTACCCAAGCACAAACAGCGAGACCAAACCTTCGCACCCCATATGCCGGGAACACCCATCGAAGATCGGGTGTCGATCGCTACTGTCACCTTATCCATGTCCACTCACTCGCCATGCTTCAATCCGTCTTGTCCCTTTAACGTCCCCTCCGCCATCTCTCGCACCCGATCCTGTCGCATCAATGTCCAGTGGGGATGGAACGCGACTGTCAGTGGCGACGCGAAAGCGATGTGGATGTCGGAAGAGCGGGTGTGTACTCACGAGGACGAGATGCCGGAAGTCGGCGGAGGGCTGGTATGTCCCAAGGACCGAGGTGCAAACCGCCTGGAACGACGAGTCCGTAGTCGACACTTTGGCTTGCATCATCTTGGGGTGCTGGCTGTCCGGGTAGTACAGCCTAAGGACGGTGCGGGTGAGAAATTTATTAAAACAAGTAAGTCTGCCTGATCAGTTGGCGCCATGCTCGTTGATGTCGAGAGGGTACGACTCAGCGGACTGGTGTACGTACGTAGCGCAGTCAAACATCCCATCGGGGCAGTACCTTTTGGAGCCGTGATGTCGGGCCGCCTTGGTCGCGAGGTCATTCGCGACGGTGCTGTGCACCTGCCAGTACTCGCGCTCCTTCTCTCCACCCTCGTGGCGCTTGACAATACACTGCAAACCAACGGAGGCGCGTCACAATTAAGCGCGAGCAAGCTGGGCGAATCTCAGTTGCCGTGACTGACCAACACCGACCACCACATCAGGTGCTCATCCGTGTACGCCAACGGATGGTCCTTGTACCAGATCTGCAGAGCCTGGACGATGTCAATCCCGTCCAGGTGCGTTCGGCGAATCTATTCGCGAGAATGGGGCGCACCACGCCCAGGTTTGCGCAATCAATAAAGCTCCGAGTAGCGAGGCGACGGATCGACCGGGGGAAGGCAAGTCACTCACTAATTTGTGTAGGTCCGAGCGAGCAGTCGAGAGGACGTTTGCGTAAATCGACAACGCGCTGGAATGGAAGTCTGGATTGGCGTTCCAATAATCTCTTTGGACGGTTCCAAAACGCAGCAACGCTTCCTGCGGGCGAGCGAGCTTGTCTCGATAGTGAACCCTAATATGCGGGTCGGGTGACGGAGACGGAGAAAAGAACCCTCACCGCAAATAACGGCGCTCCTTTCAGCTGGGTCAGGAGAAACGGTGTCGCGACAAAGATCTTGGCCAGAGGGGCCACCTTGCGCTGTGGCAAAGAGTCGAGGGTTTCATGACGCGGTCAGCCTCCGTTCTCCTCTCAAACGTGAGGCTTCCAAATGTGACGAGAGTGCACGAACCTTTAAGCTGTCCACGCCCTGCTTCGTCACCGTACTCCTTAGTGCCTTTATCTCCTCCCCGAGTGTTTCGACAACCGTCTGGAGCTCGTGTTGACCTCGCATTTGCAGAAGGCAGAGACGCAGTAGACCGGGTCGAGATCGCAACTCTGCATCTTCGAGCAAGACCTAAGAGGCAATAAACGACCCAATTAGAAGCGGCGTAGACGGCCGTCATGACACCTAGAAACTCACTCACTTGAGCGCAACACAACATGTGGGGGGAAGCAGAGATGCCCATGCCGGCCGGTATGCTGGAGGCGACATCGTTGGGCTTGCATGGGCGGGTTGCCTTTCCCCGCAGAACAGATCAGAGTTGATCAGTATCAATGTAGGGTTCAGCCTCGCCGTCGACGAGATGTCTGCAAAGTTGAGCTGGCCTGTTGGGGGCTGCTCAAACTCGCTCGCATGTTGGTATGAGCAACCTCATCCGCCGCTCCGCCAATCTGTACGAGGCACGCATGTAAATTCAACTGGTACCCCCAAGAGCCTCTGGACAAAATAGTCTGCCAAACTTGCCATCGAATCCTCATCGCTGAGGTCTGGAAAGTGCAGATCTTGGACGCTGATTCGGGGGACCTTGGTCCTTCGTTCGGGCCTCTGACGCGGGTTGGGCTGGTTGATCGCGAGGGATGTCGATTGGCCAGTCCAAGTCGTTATCATGGCCAGTTATGACCGTCTTTGGCCAGGCAAGACGGCAAGATACCAGGAGGAGATAGTCGTCCAGTTCGGCCGTCCTCTGCCTCTTCGAAGTCGACTGTGCGGTGGGGTCAGGAGCCGTCAGGAAGGTGGAAGTGCATGAGCAGAGTATCCATCGGTCAGCCCTTTGTGACGCTTGGCTTGCACAAGTGCATCGTATTTACCATCTCGTACTGTTTCTGCAAGTAGTCGCTCTCCTTCTCGGCGCTTCTTGCATCCGATCTCAACTGCATTGCCGCGCGTCGTGTCGTCAGTTTGGGTATGGGAGCATCGTTCTGGTCATACCGTCGACACTCACGAAAGAGTTCTCCCCTTCGTAGTTGTCCTCTTCGTCTTCCTTGTCGCTGTTGGTGGTGAGGGCATCGCTGACGGAGGACGCGTCGAGCGAGTTGTCGTCCTTGGCGACAGCCACCACTCCACTCGACTTCGACTGTGCCCATCAACGAGTCAGGCAGCACGTCAGCCAAGACGTAGATCAAGAATCAACGCAAAGCGTCCGAGTTCCGGCCCGTAGTATGATTGACGTACCTTCCCAGGCTTCACAGGCTTGACCGGCTCGATAGGTTTGGCAAGAGAGGCCGTCGCGGCGGCGGCCTTGCTGGGCTCGGCCTTGTTCGAGGGGGCTCGCTGGTGAGCCTTGGCAGGGACTCTTTCTTTGCCGGCCGAAAGGTCGGGCTTGGTGTCGACAAGGTTGTTGGTGATGTCGCTTGAAGCGGTGACCGTGCGAGGAGTGCGGGAGGCGGAGAACATCGGGGGTGCACCACCTTCATCGCGCCGGACCGATGACGCTTTCCACGTGCGCTGGAGCCTGGAGGGGAGGACGACGTGTCAACTTGCAGGGCTTCGCATTACATCAGATATGCGCGTAGATATCTTTTATCTATCTCGGGCTATCTATAGATCTGTCATCTACAGCAGAACAGATAGATGAAAGATAGATATCTAGTGGATATCTACGTAGATAAACGCCACTTGATAGATGATGACTAGATGTGTGGAGGCATGCATAGATGTGCGTGTATAGATATGACAGGGCGGACCCTTGTTCCCTTGTCCTCGACACAAAAGGCCTTTGCAGCCATGACAAGATCTCTCCAGCTGCCGCCAGAAAAACTCGACGAAGTGGCAGAATGGCAGCCGTGCCTTGTATTCTATTGACAGACGACGGAGAGCAAGTGCAAATGAGGGAAAGCTAGAGGACTTGGTTGAAAAATCTATGAAGGGGCAGAAACAACAAGAGGCAGCCAGGAGGGCGGCCTCTCGTTCGGAGCCAAGCCAATGACTTGATAAGGTCTTGGAAACTTAAGCGGATATGCTTCTTGAATATGCTTGAATCCCTCTGACCATGGACAACCTGTCTCCTCAATGTGTATTCCTGGCAGATGCTTTAGATATCTGCGTAGTTACGTCCAAGCGTATCTGTCTATCTATGATCTATGGCCATATAGATAGATGGACGATAGTTATAGGAGGTGTAGATATAGATAGGCATCTGTCTGATCTAATGCGAAGCCCTGGTGTCAAGTCCGGTCCGCCTATGGTGGGAAAACGCCCTTTTCTGAACTTATTGTCAGCCTTTTACACCCTCCTTTGGCCCGAAAATGTCAAATTCCCACGCACCTCGAAATGGTATTAGGATGCGTTCTACATGTCCAAAAACCGCCCAAAAGTCCTCGAAAACGCGGCCCGAGCGTTTACGGGCGCGGGACGGCTGATCGAAATGAGAGATCCAATCCAATGGCGTGGCAGGGGTGACAGCTCCGCCAAGCGATGCGAAACAATCATAGCGTTGTGCAAGCACACCATACTTTTTGATTCTTTCAGGGAGCTAACCCTAACATTGTCGGTATAATATCAGATTTCGTCGCTTCACGGGCCCTGCCGCAGTGCTCGTCCCGCCGAGTCCCGCCAGGTCCTGCCAAGCGCTCATGCCACGACGGCGACGACGCGACGTCAGCCTGGCAGGCTGGCAGGTGAGTGTGTAACGGTTTTGGTGAGCCCAAGTCCAACTACTGTCCAACTCCGGTCCGGCTCGAAGATCAAGCTCAAGCGCGACTAACGCCGGTGCTCTCCTCACCTTCCTCTCGCCGAAACCCGAGAGTCGTCTTCGATTCCATGAGATCCCACATCGTTTCTCAACCTTCCATCTGGCAAACCGGACATCGGGCATCGTGATCTCTCGCTTGTAGAAAACCTTCCATCACATTCCGTAACATTCCACGGCTTTTACTATAAAAGCCGGCCATTTGATAGTTTCTCCTTTGCTTCCTGCAAGCAACAACTCATACTCATTCTCATCGCAATACCTCATACTCCTGCAACACTCCTTTGCAATCACACTCCTTACACTTCTCGAGAAACCCTACAGTTCAAGTCCTACTTCAGTTGCTTCGCAGTCCTAACCTGATGCTCCCTCGAGAACTCCCTCGCACCTCGTCCCCGAAAGTCTAGTCTCAGCCTAGACCTCTCTCCTGCCGCGAGGACCGTCATATGAGGTCCTCCAGGCGCCGAATTTCAGCTCAGACGCCATGAAGCAAAGATCTCCCATCGCCGACAGTCCCTAATGTTGAGAATAGTGAAATCTAGTATTCGCAGCTGCCACAAGGAATCCATATCGCACCTGGCCGGGTGACCATAAGGCTCTGTAGCGTAAACCCATGGGCTCCTTGAAATCTATCTCTATCGAGCCTATAAAGTTCACCATGTCAAGCCTATAGAGAGTCCGCCGGGGACCTCTGCAGCCTCTCCGTGCGGCGGATCCATGGCGAGCTCCATAGAACCTGCACGGATCTCCAAACAGGTCTCCAACCCGGAGGTCATGTGGGCCAAGCTCACGGAGTCTCCATGGATTCAACGCGGGGCTCAGACGGAAGTCACCCATGTGGATTCCAGATCGAATTGCATTATGGAGCCCGCAAAAATTCCAGGCGGAGGCCAGAAACTAGACGCGCCCATGCGGAGCCCATAAGGTTCACGCGCCGAGGTGTAGCTGGCCGACTGCTGGCCGGCAAGCCGTTCGCAGACCGGACAGCATCACGTGACCGGCACCAGCTGACACATTGCCGACCCGTTTTGCAGTCGCAGACGTGCACGGCTCCCTTGGGGACAAGTGGACCCTGCACCGCCGCTTGCGCAACGTTCGAGTTGACCTCTGATTGTTCACAGCGATGCTGATCATGCGATACCTGTCAGTGAGTAAAGAGCCTGTGCTCATGTTTTCGGATTCCGGCTGTACGGGAACACTGACACCGGTCTGCGAGTCACTGGCAGGTGCTCGTCATGTGGGGTACTAGCCTCTCGCTCGCTTGGGGCCAAACGGTGACGAATGGCACGGTGATGTCGGCTAGCGGGAACATCACCGAAACCAATTCGGCAAGGGTAGCGAGCACAGGTTTCTCCACAGTCAGCTTGACATCCCTCTCGACAGCCACACTAGTGAACGGCACCTCGGCGTCCGCTCTGTCGTCACCAGTCGCCGCAGCGACGACAACGTCGAACTTCAGTCGTCCAATCATCGCCACCACTCCGGCAGAGTTCAGCAACACCGCTTTCACGGCTGTCGCCCCTGGAGCCACCGGAACAGTAGTGAGTGGACCAAATGACTCGTACGTTTCTTTTGTTCTCCATTTCATCCGAGGACTGGGGCCCTCTCAAGTTGTTCGCTTCGGTGCTCGGCGGATCCGGATTAATCTCACCAGGCGCCCGGCATTGCCCTCCCTTTACGAATATACAAACCAGATACATTGCCGCTGCTCTTCCGCAACGCAAAGTTCCCTTTTCGATGATGGTGCTCGGCCTGAGTATTTGCGCACGGCTCATATTCTTTCAAGGCTGAGGGTCGGAGGAAGCGTCTGCCAGGCGCGGGGGGTAGCAGACGGAAGCCACTCCAACTTTCATTGCGTCGTACGGCATAGCCAGCACCGGCAAGTTTGACGACTGTTCATGAAGATGGACTTACTGCAGTTGCATAGTAAGCAGAGTGGCGATCACTTGAACTTTTGGTGCGGAGTTTCACGATTCTGAAATTGGGTTCGTAGAAGAATTCTTTCAAGTTGCAATGGCTGGACGCAGGTCTGTCACGTGGCTCCCACATCGAGGTCGAAATATTCGTTGTTTTAGCAATAAACATTGAATCTGTCACCCCATGCATCGCTACGCTTCGTGTCGCAATTTTCAGAGGACCTCACTTGGAGACGCTGGCTACACTACTGGCTTAAATGCATCTCCGACTTTTCCAGAGATTTCTGGGCCTTGATACGATTTGACTATTACTGCAATCTATTAGATTGAAAAAAAAAAATCGGCCAGCTCATATCTGCACATAGCTGTGCAGCCCTACATTGAATCGTCGCGAAACTAGCCGAAAGACACAGAAGAACACCTGCGGTTTGCTTCGCTCAGGAAAAAGGAAGCGTCATCGAAGTCGAAGGTCGTCGTCGTCTCGGCGACTTACATCCTTGCAGGCGGCTTCCGACTCTCCTCTCCGCACCCAAGCGCGTATGCTACCGACATGGCTCGAAGGTCAATAGCAGTATCCACACCCAGAATCTCAAATAGGTTGGTTGCCCCCCGTCGCCAGACTCGCTCTCTGACTGCGCTCTGATGTCTAGGATCTCCATGCTACCCTGAATCCGCAGGCCGCGGCAATCGCTGTCCCCTCCGACATCAGGCTCCGATCTGGAGGATGAGGAGAGCCAACAATGTGAAGAGGAATTGCGATCGCGGATGCTGGGAGCTCTGCTGCGCCATCAGCAGCACTTCCTTGAAGCAGCTGTGCCATCCTCTGCGGTAGAGGTGTCCCACTTGGCTGGACGGCCGTCTCACGCGCACAAGAAAGTGAAGAGTGCGGTAACGGAGCATGCTGAAAATAGGGGAGGAGACACTATGCGTTCTGAATGCGTGGGACAGCTGGAGCATTCCCGCGATCTGCAGAGCAGCTTGCTGTTGAGGGAGCCGGCAGAGGCGACAGCTGCGAAAGGTGTCTTGCTTCGCGTGCTTCTCGCCATCAGCAGAAAGCGCTTGCTGACATGAGCTTTTTTTCTTTCTCTCGTTATCCGGTTCTGTCTGCTCAACTCGTTCATCTAGTCCATGTATCATCGACTAGCGCAACCCTGCATCGTTCCGAAGTGGCAGTACTTAGCGGGCAACCGATGGCAGGAACCTCAGTCTTAGCGCATCCAGGGCGCACGTCACGGAGGATGCTACACGAGTTCATGGTAGGTCCCAATCGGGCATTTGGTTTCATGTCCTCCTATGGGACCCACAACGAGCAACAATTTGCTGCTGCACAGTCATCAAAGGTCAAGAACAGGGCCAGACAGCCATCGGTGGCGGACAAAGTCAACACAAAAACTGTCAAGAACCCAGGACAGGGACGGACAACACCTTCGGATTCGACTCAAGATGCGCAAGTAGCAATCTGATGTTGCTCTAGGCACCGTTCCCGCGGCTGAACATCTTAATAACCCATGCGCAGTCTTTCTTTGTCACTGGACACGGCATTGTCCTCGATGATCCGACCATTGGCAAACATGTTGTCCACATCAACGCAGGCGGAGCTACCGACGCTTCTACGTACGCTGCCACCTGACTCTCCAAGACCAATGAAAGGACAGACACTTTTGCCAAAAAATGCCCCCCGTTCACTCAGGGCTGGGCAAGCTGCTGGAAATCTCAAGAAGGCAAAAGCCTGGGACGACGCTGCTGGCATATCAATTGGCGCAAAACGAGGTTGCAAAACACAGAGTTTGAAAGAGAAGAGGATGGAAGATGGCTGCAATAAGCGGCAACGCGGTATGAAAGGCGTGGTTGGGAGGCTGAATAGTGGGGAACTGAGGCTGAGCAAGGATGATATTAGGAGTGTGATGGGAGGAGCTCAAGCAGGCATCCGGCATAGGCAGCACAAAGGCAGACCTCCCGTGTCTTGAATATCAATGAATCAGCTCCTTTTGACCATTGTCTATTTTCTCCCACACTCTATGAAGTAGTTGCTTGCGAGATTGAAGCCAAGGACTACACCTCTTGTCCTGGTTGCCGTCATATGTAGAACAGTCCAGCCCTTCCCATGAAGGGTTGAGACTTCTCCCGCAGATTACCGTCCGTGGCATCTCACAACAGTGTAAGGCGCCGCTCCGCTTACGCCTCACGACGACCTCGAGCCAACCTCTGCGGCCTCACGCTTGCCCTCGCGCGCGGCGCCGCCGCGTCTCTCGACCTTAGTCCTTTTAGTAGTCTTTCTTCGCCTGCGAATACACCGTTTGATCCTTTCTGTTTGGACTCGGAATCAGTGAGGCTCGAGAGCGATCTCGTGCCTTTCACTTTTTTTTTGAAACCGACAACTCGGATGTACGACTCCGTCCCAACCCGACGTTAAACCTCGACCTTCGCAGCCGCCCCTGCGACGCCGCTCAGCGGCTGCGAAGAAAAAATCGAACCCGAACCCGAACTCGAACCAGCTCGAACCAGAACCCAGAACCCGAACCCAGAACCCAGAACCAGAACTCGAACTCGACTTCGCAGCCGCCCCGGCGACGCACGGTGCAGACCCGCTTAGCCGCCGCGAAGGAGAAGACGAACCCGAACCCAGAAACCAGAACCAGAACCCCGCGACCCGGCCCCACAGCCGCTCCCGCCATCGCCCCTGCCCAGCCCAGCCCTGCGAAACGGCCTCAAACACCGTTCCCGCCACCCTGCGAGACGGCTTCAACACCGCACCCGCCCCAGATACCGATTGGAACAAGACAACAACCGAACGAAATCAGACCCAAATCGATCCGAACCGAACAAGAACAGACTCCTGAGCCAAATCGAACAAGAACGTAGCCCGACCTGGACCAGATCGAACAAGAAAAGGACGCAACAGTTACGAACGAACCCGGAGGACTCTCAAGCGTTTCAGAGGCAGACAACCACGAACGATCCCTTGCATCAGAAGCTGGAGGAGGGAATTGATTCAAGGAGGGGTGAGAATGAAAGGCGCGCGGCACCCTAACGCGTGATCCAAAAGTAAAGCAATTTGAATTGATGTAATTCAAATACCGGGTGCCACATTAGGTGCGTAAGGCACACCTGCCTTACAAACAGAGCCGGGAGATTGTTGAAGTGGTAACTCATGATTGTACGACCCAATGAGTGGCTGCACCGGCTTGTAGGAATGGAAGGATTGACAACAGTGGTGAAAGACATTGATTGAGTGGTGGGCCAGACAAAAAGAGAGATCTTCAGTCCAAGACTCCAAAAGCACATGTGAACCACCTGATATACCTGAACAAGGGTATGAAGCCCAAAGCTGAAGGTTTTGTGTCAAAAAGTCCGGCAATCCCCAAAATTTGGGCTGTCCCAGCATTGGGGATGATGCTATTTTGAGACACTTTTGGACTTCATGGCGCATGGCCAGAGGCCTGGAATTCCAGGGCAAACAAGAAGTTGGAGCCACACATGCAGTGCGAATTTGACACAAGTGAGCTGCATATCCAACTTCCCACTGCTTCCCAGGCAACAATTGTTGATGTTTGTTTACACTTTCCTCGTATACTGTTCGTCTCTCAGCTTCTGCAGCCCAGACCTCGCACCGTCTAAGGTATTAGAAGTCTGGATCCTAACTCAAGCAGCTGAGTACGAGCGCAAGATAGAGGATGGAAGATATGATTGGATTCTTGACACCCCCCCGTGCTTCCATGCCACTCAAGCTGCGACATCTGTGGGCAAGGGTTGAAAGTGATTGACAGTGGGCTGTAAGGCAAGGCCTTACGACGGGCCACAGGCATTAGAAATAGAGCTTGCGCGCGCCTAGCTTCTTCAGCTCTCTCTTCATCGAGCTGACACCAGAAGCTAGGTGAGTACTGTTAGGAATATATGGTTGTATTGTCCTTCATCTGATTCTTGCTCCTATTATAGTACTTGGGATTGAGCCTAGCGACACTTCATGAACTCCCTAGTCACTCATTCTCCCTGCTTTACTAGTCTCTAATCCCTCTTCCCTATTAACATTACACTTCACTTTCTAGCCTTCCGCGAGTCTGTCCCTTAGTTTCTGGCCACTCTGTTCTTGTCCCTGTTTATTGGACTGAGTCGTGGTCATCATCAGTTACCACTCGAGAACATTTGTGCAACAAGTACTGGTGTTCCCTATCTCAGCACTATCATATCTTATCGAGCTGACACCAGAAGCTAGTTGTAATCCATATAACTTGCTGTCATCTTCCGTCACCAGTGAGGCTCCGCTGTCCGAGACAGCGTGCCTTTCACTCTTTTTTTGACAACGTCGAGTTCATTGGTACCCCAACGATACGGCCTACGCTCATCAGGTCCGGCCGTACTCGAACCATCAAACCAATCGACTAGCCAGGATCATTCAAATCAAGACGACCCTGCAGCACTAGCAGCCCAGCCCAGCACACCCGCCATGTCCACTCCTGTCCCGCCCACGCACGTATACAAAGCCAGTGACCCACCTCAGCTGCATCAAACTTCGATGGAGGCTCTTCAGGAATACTTCATGCGCCTGGATTACTACAACCGGTGCGTGGCCCGTGTACCCGTCACTTCCGACCATGACAAGATCGAAGGCGCTGGTATGGGGTTGCAAGTCCTGGCGCTCAAAACCTGGGTCTCTCAAGGGTTGAGCAAACACCTTGCTAAACCGTACACCCAATTCAAGTCGGAGTTGATCCGCCGCGCCGTGCCCGCCAATTTCGTCTGGACGCAACTCGAGGTGTTGCACCAGCAACGCCAAGTGACGGGTCACGATGTACACGCGTTCCAGGACTTCTCCAATCGAATGCGCGTCCTCCAGATGGAGATTGGGTTCCAGGTCGTCTCAGATCAGGAACTCGCCAAGCTTGTTCTCCTTGGCACCGATCCCAAGCTGTGCCAACTCCTCCGCATGCATGTCGTCTCGTCGCTAGCTGGATGGTCCGACCTCTCATTCGAGAGACTCGCTCTCGATGCTCCCGCACTCCAACAACAGCGGCCGAACACACGACCAACGGCCTTCGCAACGGCGACGATGCGACCAGTCCCCACCACCGCCCCAGCCTCGGGGGGACCCCGTCCCCGGCTCACCGCCGAGGAGCGCGCCTACCTAGACGCGAACCATGGGTGCTATCGCTGCCGCGCCCTCAATGCGGATCACATGTCGAGCAACTGCCCCTGCTATGCCCCTGCTTCAGGAATGCCCGCCACCTCGTTGACTCCCCTGTCGACCGCTCCCGCCGCTCGCACTCGTCCTGGTATGGTGGCGGCCATCCAGATGTTCCAAGAAACGGGTGATTCAACCGCGTTTGCTGGCCTCAACAGTGACTCGGAAGACGATGATTACTCGTACGCCCCTCGCTTGTTCCCGCCTTTACCCGTCTCTCTGCGTGGTGCTCATGGTACCATCACTGCCTCGGCCCTCATAGATTCGGGGTCGCCTCAAACGTTCCTCAGTGAGGACTTCGTTCAGCGATTGGGATTGAAAAAACGGGCCTTGGAACAGCACACGAAGTACACTCTTGCAATGCAGAACCAAGTTCCCACTGTCTTCACCTGCACGCATTTTGTTCGAGTTCCGGTCGAACTGGCTAATGGACGTTGGGCGGCGGGCCCGACGTACGCCGAAGTGGCGCCCCTTGGGAGGGACCTCGAGCTTATTCTGGGAGGCAACTTCATCTACACGCACAAGATTGACCTAGGTTATTTCCCACACCGCCACCTCACGTGTAAGAATAACCCAGAGGAGCCAATTGACCTGCTTGAACTATCGTCACAGCCGCGCGGCACGTCGCCCGTGGCCGCTATCGCGCCCGTCAACGAAGACGAACAGCTCCGCCTTGCCGCGCTCGACCAGCGCCTGCGCGCGGTTTACGCTGATTGCTTCCCTGACAACATTCCACCGGTTGCCACCTATCAATTCCCGGTGCGACACCATATCGAGCTTGACAACCCGTGCGGCTATCCGGTTGCCAAACACCACCGCCAGGCATGGTACCTGCTGCTTCAAAAGCACCTCGCAAGTGGCCGTCTTCGCCCCTCACGTTCGCCGGTGTTCATCATCCCCAAGAAGGGCTCGGATGTGGACCCGACCATTGCACCGCGATGGGTGAACGACTGCCGCCACCTCAATTGGCACACCATCAAGGACCGCACACCCTTGCCCCTGGCCGATGACATCCTGTCGACGTGCTCCAAAGCGCAGTTCTGGGCCAAGATTGACATGACCAACTCCTTCTTGTTGAATTGCATTCTGTCAAGCCTTCGAACACTTCGACATCGGACCGCCGTTTGACGGACTTGCCCGCCTTTCGCCTCGCGCCTTCGCCTCAGCGCCTTGCCTCCGCGCGCTTTCGCCTCGGTGCTTCGCCTCCGCGCGCCTTCGCCTTCGCAAGCCCTCACTGCGCCCCCTGTCTCTCGAGCCTCACCGCATGATCCTGCGCCCAGCCTCGTTCCTCGACCCCTGTGCGCCTTTGTCAACTCGCCCACATCTTGGTCTGTTCACCCGGTCGTTGCCTGCCCTGCCTGCACGCCACCTCTGCACCTTCGCAAGCCGCTGCCAGCCCTGCCTTCGCGCCTTCGCCTTCGCACGCCCTCGCATGGCGCTGTCTGTCTTGTCAGTGCACCTTCACTGGCCCGTGTTCTTCGTCTCCGTCCGAGTGCCCCTGTCAACGCCCTCGTACCTTTGACTGCCGCTTGGTCGCCCATTGCGCCCAAGGCCGCCCTTTCGCCTTCGGTCCGTGCCAGCCTGCTCAACTCACGCTCGCACGCCGCCGCCCTCACGCCCGGACTTAGTCAGCCCGCATTCTCCAGCTTTGCCGAGTCGATGGTTCCGCCCAGCTACCTCCAGTTCGCCGCCGCCGCTCTCATGATTCATCGGCCATCCAGAGCATCGCCCATGCATGACGTCCGTCGTTTGCAACCTGGATCTCGTCGCTGCGGATCGCCTCGCTCATCAACACTTGACCTTGTGGATAAGTTTCCCTTCGTGCCGTCGTCCAACACGACACCTCTCGACGCCCTGATGGCCCGCTTGGAGTCTGGTCCTTGAAGCTTTGCATTGTGTGCCTGCCCAGTTAGATTCTCTGTGCGCTCCCTTGCTAGAACCTCGCCCGACTCGCGCGCTCCCGCGCCTCTTTCCCTTTTCTCTATCGTTTCATCTCATCATTCAGACTGCTGAGATTCGCTAGAGAACAGGTCCGTTGCAATCGCATCATCGTTTCATCTCATCATTCAGACTGCTGAGATTCGCTAGAGAACAGATCGCTCGGCTGCGCCGCGGCTGCCTCTCCAGGCCGCGTCTTCACCGCCTCGCGACTTCTCGACCGGGGAGCACTTTGCTACGTCGTCCTGCCTCGCAACCTCCCGAAACGATCCGGTCCGTGCCGCCTCACGATTCTCCAGCGACCCCCCCGGTCCCAACTTAACACTTCTTTCAGACCAAGATGGCGGAAGAGGATATAGCAAAGACCACTGTTTTGACACCCTGGGGTTTGTACGAATGGACGGTCATGCCCATGGGACTCTGCAACGCGCCCGCCACCCACCAGCGCCACATCAACGACGCCCTGCACGGATTACTCGACACCATCTGCTTCGTCTACCTTGACGACATCACCATCTTCGCCGATACACTGGAGGAGAACGAGGCCCGTGTTTGCCAAGTTCTGGACGCCCTGTGCCGAGCCGAACTCTACTGCTCGCCATCAAAGAGCCATCAAAGACCAACCTCGCCACCTCGGAGTGTGAGTTTCTTGGCCACATCATCAACCGCTCCAGCGTACACGCCGACCCCAAGAAGATCAAGCGCATCCACGACTGGCATCTTCCAGCGACCGTCACGGAACTGAAGGGGTTTCTCGGTTTGGTGCAGTACCTCCGCAGGTTCATTCCGGGCCTTGCCGAGCATACCGCTGCACTGACCCCGTTGACAATCAAAGGGCTGACATCCATCGACAACCTCTGGACAACTCCAACGGTCCGTCACTTCGAAGCCATCAAGTCCATTGTCGTCTCCCTTGACTGCCTACGCCCACCCGACCACTCTGCCGATGCCATGCCATTCTGGGTGATGACCGACACCAGTCTTCAAGGTATCGGAGGTGTGCTCCTGCAGGGCTCGCATTGGAAGACCGCACACCCCATTGCCTACTGGTCGCGTCAATACATCCCAGCTGAACGCAACTACCCTACGCACGAGCAGGAACTCCTAGCTATTGTCGAGGCTCTCAAGGAATGGTGCATTGATCTCCTGGGTGGCCATTTTCACATCCTTACCGACCATTCCACACTTGAGCACTTTCAGACGCAGCGCACGGTCATCTCGTGATGCCAGGCGCACTGGCTTGACACCTTGGCCGAATTCGATTACGACCTCCAGTATCTCCCGGGCAGGGAGAACATTGTAGCCGACGCGATGAGCAGGTACTCCTTTCCCGAGCCACTTCCCGTCATTGTGGCCAACATTTCACAAGTCTCGCTCTCGGATGTCGTCAAGCAGCAAATTGTCGACGCGTACAAAACCGACACATTCTGCCAGCAAGCTCTGAACAACATCGCGTCGGTCGCATCAGAGTTCAAGATTATTGACACATTGCTGTATTTACGGGGCCGGCTTGTCATTCCACTACTAGCCCCGCTCCGTGAGTCCATCCTTCACGATGCTCATGACGCGCTGGGGCACCTAGGTGATGTAAAAATGTACCAGACTGTTATACAGACGTACTTTTGGCCGAACATGTCCCGCCACGTCAAGCAATACGTGCAACAATGTGACTCATATCAATGAACCAAGGCCCGTACCACTCGCGTCGCGGGCAAGCTTCACTCCCTTCCCGTGCCAGTGCGCCCCATGACGGACATCGCCGTTGACTTTGTCGGACCATTGCCAACAAACAAGGGGTTCGACCGTGTCTTGACGATCACTGATCGACTGTCGGGATATGTCCACCTCATCCCTGCGCGCGAAGCCGACACAGCGGCGGATGTTGCCAACCACTTTCATGAGGGGTGGCATCATTTTTTTGGCCTGCCTCAACGCATTGTCTCGGATCGTGACAAGTTGTTCACGAGCAAGTTCTGGTCCGCCCTGCACATGCGTCTGAACATCAAGCTGCAACTTTCCTCGGTGTTCCACCCCGAGACTGACGGGCGCAGCGAGAAGACGAACAAGACCGCATTCCAGATCCTATGCTCGCTTGTCAACAGGGAACAATCCAATTGGGTTGAATGTCTCACCACTTGTGAGTATGCCATCAACTCATCGGTCAACGTTTCGACGGGGAAGACCCCGTTTGAGCTTGTCCTGGGGTACACACCCACCCTTGCCCCGCTTGCCCCTATTGAGGGCGACGAGGAGCTCCCATCGGTTGAGGAGCTGCTCACACTTCACTTCCAGTCATGCGAGGAGGCACGAGACCAACTTGCTGTGTCCAAAGTTCGTCAAGCCGCCCAAGCCAACAAGGACCGCGTGGATGAACCTTCATGGGCCGTCGGGGACCTTGTGCTGCTTGACTCAAGTGACCGCAGGAAGCGACTTCACACCCGCAAGCGCCGCGCAGCCAAGCTCATGGACCGTTTCGACGGCCCTTATCGCATTGTTGCGGCGCAGCCAGGGATCTCCATGTACACCTTGCAACTCAACAAGGACGATTCCGCGGTACCGTTCTTCCACACGGGCAAGCTCAAGGCCTACCGCTCAAATGATTCAGAATTGTTCCCAAGCCAAGAAACCGCGCGCCCGGGACCGGTGGACGTAGGTGGAGAACCCGAGTGGGTCATCGAGGACATCGTCGATGAAAGGGTCCGAGCGGGGAAGACTCAATATTTGGTCTCTTGGGTTTCATGGCCGTCGGATAGCGATTCATGGGAGCCTGTCGAGGCACTGGAGGACACAGAGGCATTGGACCGTTGGGAACATCGGAATGAGGAATGAGAGTGTAAGGCAAGGCCTTACGACGGGCCACAGGCATTAGAAATAGAGGTTGTGCGTGCCTAGCTTCTTCAGCTCTCTCTTCATCGAGCTGACACCAGAAGCTAGGTGAGTACTGGTGTTCCCTATCTCAGCACTATCATATCTTATCAAGCTGACACCAGAAGCTAGTTGTAATCCATATAACTTGCACCTGTCATCTTCGGTCACCAGTGAGGCTCCGCTGTCCGAGACAGCGTGCCTTTCATGGGCCAGACCGGGCGGTGTGGAAGATGTTTGACTTTTGGGGGTTGTACGCCTGTAAGGAACGAGTTGGAAAAGGGTTGTTGAATGTCGAGGCTGTAGTGATCTGATGACGTGGCGGTAGCAGTTGCGAATACAATGGATTTGAATGTGAGTTGGGTGTGGTGACCACTGAAGTGTTGAAGTAAATTACTCTTGCCTTAAATCCGCACTATGTGCGTCTCCACTTTGTATTAGTCGCGCGCGCTATTCGCGTCTTTGCTTCCTCTTCTTCATTTGATTACGAACTCATTGGCTTGTCCCTGCCGCCAACTCGTTCAGCACATTGCTGTTCAGTTTCAATATGTTATGACCCCAACCGAGCGGCCAGCCAATTTGAGTCATCAAGACATGACCACTGATCTCATGGTCACAGGGGGAACAACTCCTATCGTCCTCGTCAAACCACACGATGTTGACCCATCATGCCATCTGCGAAACACTGGGGGCTGGTCGCAATCAACGACGTGCGTGGCGCCCTTGGCGGCGACTACTGGAATTGCACCCTCGTGACGCCCGTCCAATCACCAAACAAGCGCACGGACCTTGATCACGCTAATTTCCAAGTGGTCGCGCTGCTGATGCGTTCTGTCTCACCGGACATCCGCAAACACATAAAAGATGGTTACAACCACACTCCCGCGCAAGTCTTGTAGATGATCAAGAAGGTGGTTGGTACCGGCACGGTGGCTGACATCCTCATCCGTCTCCAAGCGTTGCTCAATGTGGGACCTCCCCCCACCGGCATGGACACCTTCGCGAAGTACCAAGCGACGACCATCGAGCTGTTCAACACGCTCTCGGGACACGGGCTTACTTTCAAGCAGATCGTGTTGTTCCGCCTTGTCCACTTCGGCAAGGACATGTATCGCAAGTACTACACACAGACACTTAGGCAAGGCTTGGACAAGCTACCAAGCCCGATGGAGTGTCACGAATGGGAGTTTCGCCACTCCAAGTTCGGCCTCTCAGCACCCACGTCATCCGCGTGACTTCGGCCTTCCCGCACTTCGGACCTCCTCTCCCCGCTTCGGCACCTGCACTGCCTTCTTCTCCTCCAACTATACGCTCACAACCCTCTCGCCCCCGACTCTTACGTGAACATCAACCAAGCTCTATTATGTGATCCTTGGCCTCAACACTATTACGTGATCCTCGTGCCTCGCCTCCTCAAGCTCGCCACCTCGTCCCCGACTCCTCTGGTCTAGTTTCCCAGTTCCGTAGCTCACTTCTCTCTTTCCCTTCTGCAACTCAAATCTCGTCAAAGGTCACATCCTTGCACTCGTCCCTCGTCCTCGCCTCTTGTGAGAAGTCCCTAGAACACCTCTCAACTCGTCACTCGCCCTTGCCCTCGTCTCGAGCCCCTTCGTCTGGCTCACCTCTCCTATCTTCGTCCTTCGTGATAGAAGATTCGAGTTCCCAGGTTCTACCGACTTCCTCTGCCATGTCCTCCAACCCTCTCTCTATCGAAGAACTCCAGGCCGCCCTCGCCGCCCGCGACGCCGCCCTAGCCTCTCGCGAAGCTGAAATTGCCAGCCTCCACGCCGAAGGCCGCGCTCTACAGCAGACCTACCAAGCGGTTTTGGATAACTTCAGCGTCGTCAAGAAGCTCACCGACACCCTCCAGCACACTCCCAAGCCCAAGTCGCCGTTGGAGAAGCCGCCTGCCTATGATGGCAAGGACAAGACCGGTTACTCTACGTTCGTATCTCAGTGCAAGTTCTACATCTATGGCAACCCCACTCTCTTCACTACGGATCAGGAGAAGATTGCTTTCATGATTTCCCTCCTCCGCAACAGTGCCTACAAGGTCTTCGAACCCTACATCGAGCTCGCCGACGAGAAGCGCCCCCACTTTCTCAAGGACTTCACCGCTTTCCTCGAACAGGCCCAGCTCTACCTCGGCGACCCCGATCGCGAACACACCATTACCAACAAGTTGCGCGCCCTTACCCAAACCGGATCCGCGGCTGCCTATGCGAGTACCTTCTTCCAGCTCTCTGCTTTCCTTGCTTGGAATGATCCCGCTTTGCAGGCCCAATACTACACCGGCCTCAAGCCCGACGTTCGCAACATGCTCAGCCTCCAAGACGACCCCACCTTGGTTGCCGACCTCTCCGCCAAAGCTATCAAGGCCGACAACCGTCTTCATCAAAGCCGTCAAGAAGCGAAGGCGACCACCAAGCCTCATTCGCAACACTCTCAGCAACGCGGCAACTCGGCTTCGCCGCCGACCCGCGTCACCACGAACGTCACGACCCAGGGCCCCACTCCCATGGACGTCGACGCCACGACCACTCGCAGGGCTCCTCTCACCCCTCAAGAACAACCTCTGCCTTTACTGCGGTGAAGGTGGCCACCAGGTCAGCGCTTGCCCCGCCGCTCCAAGGAAGTATCCAGGACGTTGTGCTGGCAACGCCACTTTCTCCATCACAGATGCCGCTGCCCCCTCTAGCAATTCGAAAAACTAGAGCGTCCTCTGCCCTCGTGTACGCATGAGGACATCACACACGCGCACGGCATCACTCGGTCACCTCCTTCACCGGTCTACATCACTCTGGCATCCACACTCGACACTCAACCTTTCGATCATCTCGTCCTACCCCTCGACTTCTGCCTGGAACCTCCGGTCTCAGGCTCGGCCCTCATCGACTCGGGTGCGACCTCGTTGTTCATTGACGACTCTTTCGTGTCTCGTCATGGCCTCGTCCGCCGCCCCCACTCGACTCCGATCCCACTCTTCGTCATCGACGGCCGCCCCATCGCGTCCGGCCACGTCACCCACTTCGTTCGCCTCATGATCACGCTCGGAGGACACTCTCAAGTCATTCAGGCCGATGTCACGCAGCTGGGTACCTACCCGCTGGTGCTCGGCACCCCATGGTTACGTCTCTTCAATCCCTCTATCAATTGGGCAGACAATACACTCACTTTCTCGTGCTCTCAATGCACTCTTGGACATCCAACCTCAGTTGATGTCGGCCTTCAGGGCCTCCCACTCGTACACTCGGCGCCCGACCTCGCTCTGGACGTCGCCCTCGCTTCCTCCGACGCCTTCGATCAAATTCTGGTCGATGAGCCCTCCCTTGGCCTGATCAATCGCGATCCAGCGCACTCGTACTTGTTCTCGACCTCAGAGGAAGCCTCCCCGTCAGTCTTCCCTGTGGGTCCACCTGATTCTGCCGAATACCTCGATGACTTGCGATCTGCGCTTCCTTCGGAGTACCACCACCTTCTTCAGGCTTTCTCCAAAGCGCAGGCCGACACTCTTCCGCCTCATCGACCCTTCGATCTCGCCATCGAGATAGAAGACGGCAAGCAACCTCCTTTCGGCCCTCTCTACCCTCTGTCCGAAAAGGAGCTTCAGGCACTCTCGACTTGGATCGACGAGAACCTCTCGAAGGGGTTCATCCGCCCGTCGACTTCGCCAGCGGGCGCTCCCATTCTCTTTGTTCGCAAGAAGGATGGGTCGCTCCGCCTCTGTGTCGATTACCGGGGACTCAACGCGGTCACCCTCAAGAATCGATACCCCTTGCCCTTGATCCCGGAGGCGCTCGATCGACTTTGTTCGGCCAAGATCTTCACCAAGCTCGATCTGCGCTCCGGCTACAACCTCGTTCGCATAAAAGGGGGAGACGAATGGAAGACCGCGTTTCGCACACGCTACGGTCACTTCGAATGCCTCGTCATGCCATTCGGTCTCACTAACGCCCCTGCTGCCTTTCAACACTTGATGAACAGCATCTTCCGCGACTTCCTCGATGTCACGGTGCTCGTTTACCTCGACGACATCCTCATCTTTTCGGATTCGCCTTCCGACCATGTCGTTCATGTGCAAGAAGTCCTTCATCGCCTCATCGACAATCAGCTCTACTGCAACCCGAAGAAGTGTGAGTTCCACCAGACTTCGACTGAGTACCTCGGCTTCATCATTTCGCCCGACGGTGTCTCGATGTCTCCTTCGAAGGTGGACTCCATCACTTCCTGGCCAACTCCGACCACGCTCAAGGAGTTGCAACAGTTCCTCGGCTTCGCCAACTTCTACCGGCGTTTCATTCAAGGCTACTCTCGCATCATCTCGCCTCTCACCCGTCTTCTCAAGAAGGGTGCCGTCTTCGACTTCGACTCCTTGGCTCTCGCCGCCTTCAATCGCCTCAAGTCGCTCTTCGCTTCCGACATCATCCTTCGTCACTACGATCCTTCGCTTCCTTGCGTCATTGAGTCCGATGCGTCTGATTATGCCATCAGCGCGATCCTCTCCCAGTCAGTCGATTCTCAGCTTCGTCCTGTTGCGTTCTTCTCTCGCAAGATGACCCCTGCCGAGCAGAATTACGAGATCCACGACAAGGAACTCCTCGCCATCGTTGCCTGCATGAAACTTTGGCGACATTATCTCGAAGGAGTTCACCGACCACAACGCGCTTCAATACTTCCAGACGACCAAAGTGCTCACTCGTCGCCAAGCTCGCTGGTCCGAAACGGTCAACCACCTCAACTACATCATCAAGTACCGACCCGGCGCTCAAAACAACAAGGCCGACGCGCTTTCTCGGCGTCCCGACTTTGCCGCGGGGGGAAAAGCTTGTGAACAACCCGGTGTAGTGATTTTATGTCCATCCTCTATCTCCGCCACCTTTTCACCCTCCTCAGAGATCGCTGACTTGATCAAGTCTCGCCTTCTTCATGATCCGGCATCTCTTCGCGTCATCAACGATCTCAATCGTGACGCCTCGCTTCACCCCGACTTTGCACTTCAAGATGGCTTCCTCCTACAACGCCACAAGATCTACGTCCCTGATTTCGAACCTCTCAAGGTCAAACTCCTGCATCAAGTTCATGACTCGCCTCCATCTGGGCATTTCGGCCAAGCTAAGTCCTTCGAACTGCTTGATCGGAACTTTGTGTGGCCTGGGATGCACGCCTTCGTCAATGACTATGTTCGCTCCTGCGACAGTTGTCAGCGCAACAAGCCCTCCCATCATCGGAAGCATGGCCCACTTCACTCGCTCCCGGTTCCGACAAAACCCTGGTCCTCGCTCTCGATGGATCACATCGTCGACCTTCCGCCGTCCTCCGGCTTTGACTCCGTCCTCGTCGTTGTTGATCGCCTCACCAAGGAAGCTCACTTCATTCCTGCACGAAAAAGCGACACTTCAAAAACCCTCGCCTCGCAATTCAAGACCCACATCTTTCAACTCCATGGCCTACCCGGCGACATCGTATCCGACCGCGGAACGACTTTCACTTCATCTTGGTGGACCGAATTCCTCAAGATGCTCGACATTCGACCCAACCTGTCTACCGCGTTCCACCCAGAGTCAGACGGCCAAACAGAACGAACCAATCAGATCCTCAAGCACTACCTACGCCACTTCTGTGATTACCATCAAGACGATTGGCATGATTTGCTCCCCCTAGCTGAGTTCTCCTACAACAATTCCTTTCACTCGAGCATAGGGATGACTCCTTTCTTCGCCTCTCGCGGTTATCACCCAAGGCTTGAAGTCACCCTCCAGGAGACTCCTGTTCCAGATGTTCGACAACATCTTGCCGGTCTTCGCAATGCCCAACAACTTGCACAAGATCAGATTCGTCGTTCTCAGGAGTCTCATGCTCGCTACGCCAACCTTCGTCGTGCTCCCACACCTCCTCTTGTGCTCGGTCAACAAGTTATGCTCAATCGACGCAACATCCGCACCACTCGGCGGTCATCGAAGCTCGACTCCAACAAGCTCGGACCTTTCGCCATCAAGCGCATCATCAATCCCGTTGCCTACGAGTTGGACCTCCCTTTGACGATGCGCATTCATCCTGTTTTCCATGTCTCGCTCCTCGAACCTTATCGCCCCAACACTCTGCCCTCTCGTCAGTAACCTGTGCCGCCACCGCCCGACCTCATTGACAGCCAGGAAGCCTTCGTCGTCGAAAGGATCCTCGACTCTCGCGTTCGCCATGGCTTGCTTCAATACTTCATTGATTGGACTGGCTATGGACCTCAGGATCGTGAGTGGGTTGATGCTTCCAATTTCGATGATGACGATGCTCTCGTCCTCGACTTCCATCGCTCGAAACCTCGCAAGCCTGGCGCCGACCGTATCCAACATCTCGCGGAGCTCGACGCTTAACCCGGGGGTACTGTCATGAATGTGAGTTTCGCCACTCCAAGTTCGGCCTCTCAGCACCCACGTCATCCGCGTGACTTCGGCCTTCCCGCACTTCGGACCTCCTCTCCCCACTTCGGCACCTGCACTGCCTTCTTCTCCTCCAACTATACGCTCACAACCCTCTCGCCCCCGACTCTTACGTGAACATCAACCAAGCTCTATTACGTGATCCTTGGCCTCAACACTATTACGTGATCCTCGTGCCTCGCCTCCTCAAGCTCGCCACCTCGTCCCCAACTCCTCTGGTCTAGTTTCCCAGTTCCGTAGCTCACTTCTCTCTTTCCCTTCTGCAACTTGAATCTCGTCAAAGGTCACATCCTTGCACTCGTCCCTCGTCCTCGCCTCTTGTGAGAAGTCCCTAGAACACCTCTCAACTCGTCACTCGCCCTTGCCCTCGTCTCGAGCCCCTTCGTCCGGCTCACCTCTCCTATCTTCGTCCTTCGTGATATGGAGGTCCTTCAGTCGCTTCACATGCAGGCGGATCAGACACCAGCTCCCAAGCCCGTCGCCATGGTGGCAAGCCCGATTGCGACAGCGGACAAGTCTACCGCACCTCCTTTCTCCCCGTGCCACCACTGGAATCGCAAGTGCCCGGACAACAAGGCTGGGTCCAAGGGGAAGAAGACGAAGGCTCCTTCAACACCTTCCGCCTCGCTCGTCACTGCGCCTGATATCTCGACGCTGGTTGACGGTCCGGTGCGTGGCTACCTCACAGCCGCAATGTTCACCTTGGCCAAGCCCTCCATCATCCTGCACAGCGGGGCGACGCACCACATCATCAACGATCGCGCATGTTTCACCGCCTTCCGCAAGTGCAAGCCAGCTCCGCTCGAAGGCATTACTGGTGAAGTGGTCAACTCCATCGAAGGCGTCGGCTCCGCCATCGTTCGTTCCTTTGACGGCAGCATCGCCCAGCTCAACGACACCTTGTTGGTGCCCACCGCTCCGGTCAGCCTGTTCTCCGCCAGTCGTGCTGACATCGGGGGTTACGACATCCATCTGACTTGGGCCAAGGCAACGGTCTCCATCGCTGACATGGTGTGCCACACTGGCGAGCTCAAGAGCGGACTTTACCACATGCAGGCCTCGCTCGTCGACGTCGCTACTCTCGTTCATCAAGCGGGTGTGTTCCCGCGCGCGCTCATGGCCGTTCGATGTCTGTCTTGCACGGATGCTTCGCTCACCTCCACCCACGCGCCCTCCGACAGTTGATTTCGACTGAAACTGTGTCGAGAGTGAACATGGGGGTAGATTCAAACGAGGATTTGAAATGTGACACTTGCCAAGCTGTCAAAATTACGCATCACCCGTTCCCTGCTGTCACATCAAATTGCTCTGCTCAGCCGCTTGAACGAGTCCACATGGACCTCCTCGCGTTCGACGGTGCCGTGTCATTAGGGGGTGCGAGATACGCTCTCGTCATCGTGGACGTCCATTCTCGGTATTTGTGGGTGATTCCGATGTCACACAAGTCCGACACCTTTGTGGCCTTCAAATCCTGGCTTGCGAAGGTGGAGCGCTCCACGTTGCGCAAAGTCCTTGCGGTCCGCTCGGATAACGGGGGTGAATTCATGTCGAACGAGTTCTCCAGATTCCTGGAAGAGCAAGGCATTACTCGTCAGCTCTCTATCCCTGACACACCCCAACAGAATGGAGTCGCCGAACGTGCAAATCACTTGATCACCGAGGGTGTCCGCTCAATGCTCCACCAGTCGGGCCTACCTCACGCTTTGTGGGCCGAGGCATTGGCGATGTATGTCTACGTCAAAAATCGCTCGCCGCACTCTACAAACTCGGGCACCACACCTCACACACATTGGTACAGTTCCAAACCTTCAGCTGGCCATCTACGCGTTTTCGGCTGTTGAGCGTGGAAGGCCACTACCACCAAGCCGCGCAGTAAGCTCGATCCGCAAGGCATCCCACTCGTCTTCATTGGCTACGACCTCGAGTCCAAGGGGTACAGACTGCTCGACCTCAACACGAGACAGGTCTTCAAGTCCCGCAGCGTCACATTCTTTGAGGACGACTTCCCTGCTCGCGCAACGGGCATCCGAGCGTCCCCGCTTCCTGCCGCGGGGTTGTCATTGTTCCCCCCGAGCAAGTTGACCCACCTGCTGCCTTGCGTTTCGACGCCCCTGGCCCCGCCTGGCAGCCACCCGCAGGCCCACGTGCGCGCAATCCGCTGGCTCGGTACGGAGCCCTCGCATCCTTGCGCTCAATGCCTTCTGCCTTTGCATTCTCACTCGGCGACGAGGTTGTTGCGCTGGTTGCCAATCTTGCGGAGGCTGGCATCGATACCTCGAAGCCGGACCGTCCTCTCTCCGAGCCCGAGGATCCTTTGACGCTTCCCACCAGCGATCCCAGCACTTGGAAGGAAGCCATGCGTCACCCTCATGCGGAAGGTTGGAAAGCTGGTGCCATCGAGGAGTTCCGCTATGAAGGACAACTTCAAGGTGTTCAGCGTGGTCGACCTTGCCTCCATTCCCAGGGCACCCACTATCTTGCCGAGTTGCCACGTGTTTCGGACCAAACACGATAAGGTGGGCAGAATGGTGTCGTTGAAGAATCGCATCGTAGCTCAGGGATGCGCATAGCGGGCAGGTGGTTTTGACAAGACGTTTGCACCAACGGCAAAGTTCACCTCCATTCGCGTTCTCGTTGCGTACGCAGCCTCCAGGAGCCACCACATCATACAAGCCGATGTGGACAAGGCTTACCTGCACGGCGTCCTGGAGGAAGAGATCTACATGCGCGTCCCAACTGGCATCGAAGGCTATGACGGCAAGTGCCTCCGCCTTCACCGTTCCATCTACGGGCTCAAGCAAGCCGGTCGAGTCTGGAACAACACGATCAACACCACTTTAGCGAGTCTTGGCTACCACCGCCTCGCCTGCAATGAATGCATTTACAGGTGCACCGACATTTCAGGTGATCATTACATCGCGCTCTATGTAGACGACCTCCTCTTCTTCAGTCCCGACCTTGGGGAGATTGATCGAGTCCTGGATCAACTTGACACCCTTTACGGCGTGAAATGTCTCGGCCCGGCCGAATGGATTCTAGGGGTTCAGGTCGTCCAGCATGATGATGGCGGGATCACCCTCTTACAGTGCCAATACCTCGTGGACGTGTTGGCTCGTTTTGGCCTGTCCGATTGCAATCCCTGCAAATCGCCAATGGAGGCCAACCTCCAGCTGTTGCCCGAGATCGACCCCGATGAACCCGACAACTCGACCTATCGTTCTATGATTGGCTCCCTCATGTACGCCGTTGTTGCCACCCAACCCGATCTTGCACACACTGTGGGGTATCTCTTTCGTTTTGTTGGCAAAGTGGGGGCAGCACATCTCGAGGCTGTCAAACACGTCCTTCGGTACATCAAAGGCTCGCTCAATTGTAAGGTGCCGCTCCGCTTCCGCCTTACAACAACCTCAGCGGCCTAAGCTTTACTTGCGCGCGGCGCCACGGGCGCCTCTTGACCTTAGTCCTTTTAGTAGTCTTTCTTCGCCTGTGAATTACACCGTTTGATCCTTTCAGTTTGGACTTCGGAATCAGTGAGGTTCAAGAGCGATCTCGTGCCTTTCAGCTGGTGGCGCAATATTGTGGTCATTTCGTCTCCAACCTCGAGTGGCGTGTTCGTCTACGGAAGCCGAGTATCTGGGTCTTTTGCATGCTGCCAAGGAGGCAGTCTTCCTTTGCTCCCTCCTCACCGAGCTCGGCCTGGACACATCATCGCCTCGTCGTCTGCTTGGGGACAATCAAGGTGCTATCGCGCTCACCCAGAACCCGGTCTTCCATGCTCGCACCAAACACCTTCGCATGTTGGAGCACTTCGTTCGGGAGCATGTTCGGAATGGAGAGATCTCGGTCACCTACATCCCTACCCATGACATGGTGGCCAATATCTTCACCAAGCCGCTGCCTCGAGTGATTTTCCAGCGTCATTGCGACGCTATTGGCCTTCGGCGAATTTCAGGCCAAGAGCAAGGGGGGGTGTTGAAGTAAATTACTCTTGCCTTAAATCCGCACTACGTGTGTCTCCACTTTGTATTAGTCGCGCGCACTATTCGCGTCTTTGCTTCCTCTTCTTCACTTGATTACGAACTCATTGGCTCGTCCCTGCCGCCAACTTGTTCAGCACATTGCTGTTCAGTTTCAATATGAAGGATGTGTGGACACCTTTAGCAGCCATTTGGAAACAGAGATGATGTTGGCCAGGGTGTCCGGCGCAAAATGGACATTGGTGAAATAAGAGACTGACGAGCGTGTAATCTAACCGTGGAGAGAAGACAATGGTTGGTGCGCATCGCCAGGCTTCACTAAACAAACGCACACTTCTAATCAAATAGCCAATAGCCGCCTTCCTGCTAATCCTCATTCACAACACACCAACTCGCCCCTTCACGCAATGAATCTATAAGCCCCATCGCGTGTACAAACTGATAGTGCTTCTGAGTCCCAAGCCCTTTGGTGAGGACATCCGCAGCCATGGTGCCAGTGGGCACCCAGACCATCTCGATTGTGCCTTCTGCGATGTGATCTCGAATGAAGTGAAAGTGGATGCCTATGTGCTTGGTACGAGCATGGAAGGCCGGGTGCTTGGCCAGAGTGATAGCGGATTGGTTGTCACCCCGCAAACGAGTCGGAGCAGTCTGTTTGAAGCCAAGATCTGCAAGCAATCGACGTAACCAAATCCCCTCACAAGCGGCGTACAACATGGCCACATACTCAGCCTCGGTAATAGAGAGGGTGACGACAGTCTGTCGCTTGGTGATCCAAGAGATAGCCCCACCGGCACACGTGAAGATGTAGCCCGAGACGCTGTGACGGGTGACTGGGTCGGCGCCATGATCAGCATCGACAAACCCCTCCAAGATCGCCAACATGGGCTGAAAGGACTTCTGGTAGCGGATGCTAAAATTGCGAGTACCGACAAGGTAGCGAAGAATGTGCTTGAGCGCCTCCCAATGCTCCGCTGTGAAGTCGTTGCACAAACGAGCAGCCTTCGAGACGGCAAACATGATGTCGGGTCGGATGGTGCCAGAGAGATAGAGGAGCTTGCCAACGATGGCGCGATAAGGAATTGAGGCGGGATCGAAGTCTGAGTCGGCACGATTCTTCAGGGTCGACGGAGCCGCGAGAGGTGTGGGTCGGGGAGAGGCATTGGCCATGTGGTGTTCCTTGAGGATGGCATCGACGAAATGCGCCTGGTTGACGATCACTGCACCCGTCTTGCCCTCGCGAATGATGCCTCGTTGGTGCTGCGAGCTTCGAACCGAGCCTTCAGCTGACAGAGCACGTTGTCAAGATCGCCGTCACCCGTGAGCAAACCGTCGTCAACGTGAATGGAAAGGAAAGAGCGTCGGTCCCCCTCCTTGCGAACGAAGACAGCATGGTCACTGTCGGTGCGGGTGAAGCCGATAGACAGGATCCACTCAGTGAAGACCTTGTACCACTCGCAGCCCACCTGGACGAGACCGTAGAGAGGGCGCTGCAGGCGCACGACATCGCCTCCGGGCAGACGCATGTAGATCTCGGTCCTGCCAAGGTTGCCGTTGAGGTATGCAGACAAGACGTCAAACTGGCGGGTCTCCCACTCATTCTCGACCGCGAGAGCGAGTAACAGGCGATGAGATGCGGCTCGACCCGTGGGCGAGAACGAATCAATTTGCTCCCCCCCACGTTTTTGCATGTCCCCGCGCGCAACAAGTCGAGCCTTGTACTTGACGATCTGACCCTCGGCATTGCGCTTGACAAGAAGGACCCACATGCTGCCAATGACGATCACTCCGGGCGGGGGTCGAAGCGGCTTGGAGAATGTGTTCTTGGCTGCGAGAGCTCCCTCCTCTGTCGACATGGCCCCCAGCCAGTAGTCACGAAAAGGGCCAGCGAGGGCAGCCCGGACCGAGGGAGCGTTGTCGCTGTTGATCTGGGCGAGGAATGCAGAGACTTCCCCGTACGAGTACATCTGGATGGCAGGGTCGCCTTTGTCGAAGTCGTCGACCTGGACGGCGGCGTGCTCGGCGAACTCCCAATGCTGTGCCGTGTGGGCAAATCCGAGATAGTCAGGTGGGCGACGGGCTCGGGTGGAGTGGTCACCAACAAGCGGTGCGTTCGCCGGACCAGGATTTGAAAACGCGAGGGCGGGCGGAACGGGTGGCGGTGCGGTGGCAGCGGGAGCCGCGGCAGGCAATTCTGCGACAGGGGGCGCGGCGGCGGTAGCGATGCTGAGCGGCGCGGGCGGGTATGACAAACCGGCTGCGACAGGAATGACAGGGCTCACCGCAGCGGGAAAGAACCAGTCCTCAAAGACCTTGTTACGAACCGGATCGAACAACCGCCAGGCCTTGGAGTGCGAAGAGTAACCAACAAAGTAGCAGAGGCGGGATCGCGGAGCTAACTTGTTGGGACATTGCTCGGGGGCGAGCGGTACATGAGCGGCACAGCCCCAGGTTTTGACACGGTCGAGGCGGGGGCGGCGAGTGTCCGTGACCGGGTCCGAGGGCTCGTGGAGAACGGAGTCGGGAGTGCGCTGCTTCATCCCAAAGTGTGGGAGGCAGTCCAGAGCGATGGAGCCAGGCGCGAACGGAGTTGAAGATCGTTCGCCAGCTGCGCTCCTGAACGCCCATCTGACCGTGCTTGTGGAAGATGCCCCGCGCGGCGAGCCAATCCCGGAGTGTGTGGTTCACAAACTCACCCCCTCTGTCCGTGCGAAGGGTCGTGACGCCCTGGCCCCCGTATTGGGTCTTCGACATCGCAACGAAAGCCTGAAGGACGGCAGCCGAGTCGCTCTTGAGTCGGATGCTGCGGGCCCAGCGGAAATGCGAGAACTCATCCGTGATGCCGCAGAGGTAACGAGCGCCCAAAAGAGCGGGAACCGGGGAAGGACCCCATACATCGGCAAAGACGCAGGAGAAAGGTGTGTCCGCGGGATGGCTCTCGGATTCGCGGTTCAGTGAGGAAATGGCTTTGCCGGTGCAGCAAGCATCACACTGATCGAGGAGAGGAATCTGGTCCTGAGTTACAGCGGCGAGGTTGAGTGGGAGACGACCCGATCTAGCAAGCTCTACCAAACGACCCCAAGAAGGATGACCCAAATGCTGATGCCAAAGCACTACATCTGTAGGCAAGGTGGTGGCAGTCAGCGCCAGGTGATCCGCCCGAGGAGGTGAGGGAGAACTTGCCTGGAGCACGTAGTGATTGCGGTCGAGGACGAAAGTAAGGTGTGACGTCGCGCTCAAGATGGTGATCCCAGTATGCCTCCCAGCCGCGCCACACTCGTCGGATAGCTTGTACCCGTCCTTCATCAGGCCGGCAAGGGAGACGAGCTCAGCGGACAGACCGGGGACGAGGAGGACATCGCGAAGCTCGAGGGGCGCATCGCCAATGCCGAACCGGAGATTGCCCGTACCAGTCGCCATGGCGCTCGAGTTGAAGGCGCCGACGACGCGGACGCGCTCCGTGGTGAAGGGCTTGAAGTCGACGAGAAGATCTCGGCGAGTCACACCTGAATTGAGCAGATAGCGCGGGTTGTTGTTCAGGTACAACACCGTGTCGTCGTCCCCAATGGCGACACTAACGACGAAGTAGCCCTCGTACAATTCGTCCCCGAGAGGTGGCTCCGGTTCGCGGTCGACGGCGACGAGCGCCATCGCGTTGGCCACGCCAATGGTGATGTTGTGTCTGGCGAGAACAGCGATGCGGCGGCGAGAGATCTTGGTCGAAGGCACAGGGCATTCGTCGCCGAGGTGGCCCTGCTCATAGCACATCCTGTACTGCATCCAGCCCAATTTCAGGCGACCGGCGTGTGAGATCCCGTGAGGCCACCGTTCCTTGAGACCGGGCACCTTCGAGGCCTGGAGGAAGGGAGGCGCCAAGTTGCCCGAAGGACGACCCGAGGGTGGCTGACCTCGGATCTGTGTATGTGCCGCCAACACTTCGGCGATGGGCTCGGACTGCTGGCTCGAGGAGAGTGCGGCCCGACGTATCGCGCCCTCAACTTGCTCAAGAGAAGGGAGTGTGCCGATGGAGTCGACGGTCACGAGGTTCCTTGGCATCCTAGTCTTCAAGAGGTCCATGCGGACGCCCTCGGACAGCGCGGGCGGGGGTTCCCACTTGTCGAAATCGGCTTGGGTGAACGTCGTGCCGTCGATCTTGGCGCGCTGGTAGGCCTTGTCGCGGGAGACATGGGCGGCGACGAGGTCCTCGAACAAGCGATTGAAGTTCGCAAGCCAGGGGTCGAGCGCCTCGCCGTCGACAAATGGTTCACAAGAAGAGGGCGGAAGAGCTTTGCCGAACGCATGAAATCGTCCGAAGCGCGACGGAGGTCCTTATCGAGGGTGGCCCACAGGTCGTGCATTGCGTTGGCCTTGACGCAGGCGAAGGTGGATTCCCCCAGGCACATGATCAGCGTGTTGTGCGCCTGCGCAAGGGCCTGGTCGAGGGCATCGACATCCTGGTGGTACAATCAAAGTTGGTTGCGATAGGTGGCCACATCGTCAACGCGGGTGTCGCCCTCCAAGCGGGTGAACTCGGATTGCAGAGGCTCGGGGCCGACGTCGAGTGCACCAGTGACATGCTTGAGGCGGCCCTCGCCTTTCAGTATGTTCTGGAGTCGTTCCCGGGCAACACCCCAATTGCTGGCGTCAACTTTGCCATACAAGTCGCCCATCAGACTGATGTGGTCCGCTGTGGTCATCGCCATCTTGGATATGCGCTGCGTCTTTTCTGCTTGCGGATCTGTGCCTTGTGGCAATACAGACGCTACCAAATAAGAGACTGACGAGCGTGTAATCCAACCGTGGAGAGAAGACAACAGTTGGTGCGCATCGCCAGGCTTCACTAAACAAACGCGCACTTCTAATCAAATAGCCAATAGCCGCCTTCCTGCTAATCCTCAATCACAACACACCAACTGGTGAGTTTCACCAAGGCACCTAGATTGGTGCGTAGTTCGATGGAACCGATGCCTGTGACGGCGGTTTGACCACCAATGCCGCTGATGTGACGCGACATAGGCCTGAGGTTGCCGGTAAATAGAGAGTGATTGTTGACAATGTGGAAAGGCGAGGCGGAATCCAGGAGGAACTGTGCAGGTTGTGTAGGAGTGTCCATTGCCGAGATGTGGAACAACAACATCAGCAACTTTGCCACTCGCGCTTTAGTGCAATTTAGTGCCATTTAGCTCATTTTCTATAATCTCCGGTGGGTCGCTAAATGACACTTAACAGGCACTTAACTTAAGTGCACTTTATAGTGCTTTTGCAACAGCAACCTGATTCAGTGCTATTATGTGTATAACCGCACTTGAGCGATCAATGCCTGGTAGTACTGGTATATGCTTGCATTCCACTCATATTACACAGTGCTAAATACTAGGATACTGCTAGCCAAACAATCTATTTTGAGTCCTCTTCTTACGTATCATTTGGCACCTAGTGTTCCTAAAGTGCCAGACCTCTGTAATACCCAGGCCCTTCACGACTAGGTTACACAGTCCAAAAGACTGACAATTTCAATAGATGCATATTGAAATCAGAAGGGTAGTTAAATAGTGTAAGGCAACCGAGCCTTACACCTGGGCACTCTTAGTCTCTCCTCAGCGACTAACGTAGAGTGTCCAGTGTCAATCCTACATACTTTGGTCCTGTGATCCTATCGTCGTCGCTCCGGTGTACACTCCTACGGGGTGTATTACACTTTTTTTTTCACATTGGTCAAAGACGCACACCGCCACGTGCGCCGGCGACACCCCAACACAACGAACGCACCCCCAACGAATGACCATGGGGCGCAAGAGCGCCCAAACGGCACCTGCACCAGCACCAATGCCCACACATCATGACGAGTCGAGCTCCAACGAAGAACGAGTGATGACGATGCCCAAGGGTCTGAAGCTCATCGCGCCCAAGCTCGCGAACGGCCCGCTCACCCTAGCATCGATCCGGGCGTTCCTGACCGACATGGACAACCTGTTCATGCATCATGGTGTCAACGACATGGGATTTAAGGTCATGTTCATCCAAAACCACGTGGAGCATGATCATCTCAAGAACTGGCTAGTATCGTTGACGGAGGACCGCACGTGGGACGAATTCAAGGTTGCATTGGTTCGCAAGGCACTGCCCCTAGACTTCGCCTTCGACACCGAGAAGCAAATCAAACACTTGAGGCAACGCAACACAGAATACACCACATGGGCATCGGGACTTCGCGCACTCCAACTGCAACTCGGGCAAGCGGCCCTCAGCGACGCGGAGTTCATCAAGATCCTTTTATTCAACATGGACACCCAACTGAGTGTAGTACTGCGCCAGAACGATCTCCTTATCAACACCGGTCTGCACCAAGACGACTTGGACTACATAGCAGCGTCAAAGGCGGGACTCGCCAAACCAAAAGTGGTCTCGTACGAAGTGTTTGAACGACTCGCGAGGTCTCAATGGAACATGATGTCGCCGCTCCACGACCTCAGGCGATGGCGGGCACCACAACAAAGCTGAACTCCTACCGGGCTTCTGCCGCCACGACCGCCGGCACCAGCCGCACACCGAACAAGCTCACCGACGCGATGAAGGACTACCTGCGACGCAACAACGGATGCTTCAGCTGCCGCTGAATCAATGTCGACCACTTCTCACGAACCTGCACGGCCGAATGGCACTCGGCGCCGGATGTTCCCGAAGGCTGGGCCGAACAGGAGAAGAAAAAGACGAACGCAGGCCCGAAGGAGACTCTCAATCAAATGGCCGATCGTGATGATGACGACTTCTCGACGGACGAAGAAAACGAGTACGCTCCGCAATTTCTCTCAACGATTCCAATGGTCCTGCACAATGACAAAGGCTCGGCGACGTTCAACGCACTTGCTGACTCCGGGGCCTCTTCCTCCTTCATCGCAGATAAGGTGGTTGAGAAACTGGGGTTAGTTAAGTACCGTCTGCCTGTACCTTCAACGGTCAGAACTGCAATCAAAGGCCAACAGAGCGCGTTCCGCATTACCTCATTCGTGAAGATCCCGATGAAAGGCGCACAGCACCCTAACATGTGATCCAAAAGTAAAGCAATTTGAATTGATGTAATTCAAATACCAGGTGCCACATTAGGTGCGTAAGGCACACCTGCCTTACACCCAATCACGTTGGAAAATGGGGCCTGGGACGCCGGTGTAAGGCAGGTGTGCCTTACGCACCTAATGTGGCACCCGGTATTTGAATTACATCAATTCAAATTGCTTTACTTTTAGATCACGCGTTAGGGTGCCGCGCACCTTTCAGCCGGAGAGACAATTCTGAAGGTGGCCAAGCTGCAGGAGCCGTTGGAAGTGGTGTTGGAGTTCAATTTTCTCACGAAGCACAAGGTGAACATCGATTGCGAGAACCACCAGATCCTGGTCCCACATGCTGACACTCCCAACGTGACGATCGACCTGCTCGCGCCGATGTAGCAACGCACGGAAAGGGGCACCAAGCGGAGCAACAAGGCGCGAATCAACTGGAATGCTGTCATCACATACATCGACGGGGTGCAACAAAAGGAGGCGGAGCACGCGGAACTGCGACGGCAGGAAGCGAAGCTACAAGCGGAGTTTGTGGATCGATTCCCGAGTGATATCCCACCTGTCAGGATCACAGCCTGCACTGCCATCAATACTCGAAGGAAGTCTCCCAAGTTTGCGGCCGGAGTCGACATCAGCTACCGGTTCGTTCGTTGCAAGCATCGTGGGCGCGATGGCGTAGTCGTGAGGGCGCGCGAGCGCGCACTCAGTGGTTGAGGGTTCGATCCGCCCGGAGCGCGATCGGCCTTTTGGTTTCTTTTCCTTTTTGTTATCCGAGGCCCGGCTTCGGGGTTTTTACCGGTGCCTTGCGGGCAATCCTTTTTACCCCTGAAGCGACCTCGTGGTGTAGTTATTTGACTCAGTCTTTCCTTCGTTCGGAGCACTTCCCTCCCTTTGCTTTTGCCACCCTTTCCCCAGAGCTTGGTCCACTCATTATCATGACTCGTACCCTCCCTCTTTTTACCCATTTCGCTGGCAATTAAGTCCGTTACACTTGATTTGCTGCGAAGCCTTCCGACCGAATCCACTCCTCGGTCGACTGCCGCCGCCCAGCCAACTCGACCTTCCCACCGGCCTGGTCAGCTATTTCTTGGATCGTTTGCCCTCCCCCTTCTGTCCGACCTCGTTGGCCACCATAGTTCGGTACACTGGACTTGCTGCAAGCCTTGCAGCCGCGTATCCTCCGCGGTTGCCTCTCGGTCGACACCCCTTTCGCTTCTTCGCGCTTTCGCGCGCTCTCTCGCTCTCTCCCTCGTCTCTCGCGTGTGGTCATCGTCATCCCCTCCGACGTTGCCTGTCACCACCAGTGTCAAAGTACGAGTCACCAGTCCGACACCGCATCGAGCTCAAGCCGGGAGCGAAGAAGCCAAACTTGAAGGGTTATCGCACACCGCACCATTATCGAACAGCATGGAAATGACTTCTGGACCAGCACATCGCCGCCGGGCGTATACGGAAGTCGTCATCCGAATACGCATCACCATCGTTCATCATCCCAAAAAAAGGCATGGAGAAGGACGAGTCGATCTTACCGAGATGGGTCTGTGACTACCGTGAGCTCAATGAGGGAACTGTTCGGGACCGCACACCCCTACCACTTCCAGACGAGATTCTGTCGGTCTGCTCGAAGGCCCGATTCTGGGGGAAAATTGACATGACTAATTCGTTCTTCCAAACCAAAATGGCGGAGGACGACATCACAAAGACGGCGGTCACAACACCATGGGGCCTGTTCGAGTGGACCGTGATGCCCATGGGACTCTGCAACGCGCCAGCAACACACCAGAGGCGCGTCAACGAGGCATTAGGGGATCTCATTGGGGAAGTGTGCTTCGTGTACCTCAACAACATCACCATCTTCGCCGACACGTTGGAGGAACACGAACGGCGAGTACGACTGGTCTTGGACGCATTGAGGAAGGCAGACCTGTATGTCTCACCCAAGAAAATGGAACTCTTCGCGGACGAGTGTTTCTTCCTGGGCCACCAGATCACGCGCGCAGGCATCAGTGTTGATCCCGATAAGGTACAACTTATCCAGAACTGGCCACGACGAACGACCGTCAGGCAACTTCGGGGTTTCCTGGGCTTGGTGCAGTATCTGCGGAAGTTCATCGACAAACTCGCGAACTGGACGGCAATCTTGGTCCCGCTGATGCGGAAAGGGGCGCAGGTCGATAAGGGCTGGACAATGGAGCACGAAAAGGCCTTCAAAGCAATCAAGGCAATTGTTGGCAAGCTACCGTCACTGCACCCAATTGACCGCTCAGAAGAAAGCGACCCACTGTGGCTGATGACGGATGCAAGCAACCAAGGCATTGGCGCGGCGCTGAGTCAAGGTAAAGAGTGGCAGACGGCCATACCGGTGGGCTATTGGTCACGACAGTACAACCCGGCGGAACGCAACTACGTGGCGCATGAGATGGAACTACTGGCAATTGTGGAGGCACTCCACCACTGGTGAGCGGACCTGCTGGGTGTGCGCTTCAACATCCTCACGGACCATCACTCCCTGGCGGGTTTCATGAAGCAAGGGAACCTGTTGCGCCGACAAGCCCGGTGGACAGAACGACTGGCAGACTACAACTTCGAGATTGTGTACGTGCGGGGTCCAGAAAACACAGTTGCTGATGCCCTGAGTCGCTACTCTTTCCCGGAAATCAACGACTCAGCCAATGTCCTGGCGGAAGCCCGACTTGACCCAGCATTCCTTCGGGCGCTCAGGAAAGGATATCGAAAGGACTCACAATGCAGACAAGCGATCAGGAACATCAACTCCACGCCAGGATATTCACTCAGGGACGGGATCGTGCGATTTGAAGGTCGAATTCTACTGCCAAAGACGGGCGACTTCCGGGAGAAGGCCATTCACGACGCACACGACGCGGCGGGCCATTTCGGATTGCACAAGATGTACGATCACCTCCGCCGCAACTTTATCTGGTCGGGAATGAAGGAGGCGTGCAAGGAATACGTTGAGTCCTGTTCTGTCTGTCAGACGATGAAGATGCATGGCACCGATTCTGCCGGTCGGATCCACAACTTGAATGTGCCTGACCGGCCAATGCGGGAAGTTGGCCTAGACTTTGTCGGGCCACTTATACCTAGCAACGGTAATGACACACTGCTTACGGTCACAGATCACCTCTCAGGCTATGTGCGACTCATCCCAGCCAAAACGACGGCCGAGCGGTTCTTTGACGGGTGGCATCAACACTTTGGCATGCCACGTGTGCTAGTCTCCGATTGCGACAAACTCTTCACAAGCGACTTTTGGACGGCGTACATGGGGCGGATGGGGACCAAACTTGCGATGTCAATGGCATTTCACCCACAAACCGACGGGCGGAGCGAACGAACGAATTGAACGGTGATCCAGGTCCTGCGTACATTGGTCAACCGTCAACAAACCGACTGGGCCAAGCACATTGCGACCGTTGAATTCGTGATCAACTCGAGCCTGAACAGATCAACGGGGAAGACTCCCTTCGAAGTGGTTTTGGGTTTCACTCCTGAGCTGACTCCAATCATCCCCGTGGAAGGATCAACGGTGTCACAAGCGGTCGAGAACATGGTCACCCAGCGGGAAGCGGCAGCAGCAGAAGCAAGGAACAATATGGCAATTGCGAAGATCCGACAGGCCGAACAGAGCAACAAGCTGCGCAAAGCAGACCCGGAGTTTGCGGTGGGGGACAAGGTATTGGTTGACTCGCGCGACCGGCAGCTCCAGTACAAGGCGGATGATGAAGCTCGCTCGGCGAAGTTTTTCCCACGATTTGATGGTCCTTACGAAGTGCTGGCAGCGCGGCCCGAGACCTCGAACTACAAACTCAAGCTGAACCCGGGTGACAAGATGCACAACATCTTTCACGTGTCCAAACTCCGACGTTGGGTACCAAACAACGGGGACGCATTCCCAGGACGACACGCCGCGGAGCCACCAGCTGTCATTGTCCAAGGGAACGAGGAATGGGAGGTAGAACGTATCGTAGACGCGAAGGGGAAAGGGAAGAGGAGGAAGTACTTGGTAAAGTGGAAGGGTTGGGCAGACAGCGACAACACTTGGGAACCGCGGGCACACTTGGAGGGCACGGTGGCGTTGTGACAAGCGACGTCGGAGGGGATGACGTCGTCTACACGTGTTGGTACCGGGGGGGGGGGATTTCTGGAAGTGTCGGCTGTTGCGGCGGCAGTCGACAAGGGAGCAACCGAGGAGGGGAGTCGGTCGAAAGGCTCGCAGGAAATCAAGTGTAACGGACTTAATTCCCAAACGATCGACAAGAAGAGGAGGGGCAACAAAAGAGAAGAGCGGACCAAGCTCCCGGGAAAAGGTGGTAAAACTAAAGGGAAGGGACTGTGCCAGGCCCAGAGGGGACTTAGCCAAATCAACCACTCCAAGAGGTCGCCTCAGGGGTAAAAAGGATTGCTCGCGGGAGCACCGGTAAAAACCCTGAAGCCGCGCCTCGGTTAACAAAAAGATAAAACAAACCGAAAGAAGACTGCGGTCTGGGCGCCTCGAACCCGCGACCACCGAGTGCGCGCCCGCGCGCCTCACGACTACGCCATCGCACCGACGATGCTGTGAAACGAGGCAAGTCTCTGGTCAAGTCAACTCTACCCGCACATAGTCTTGGGGGGACTTCCTTCAAGTACACGCTGTCATCCTGACACTGTCCCCCCCAGAAGGAAGTCTACCGTGCGGCGAGGCGGCGGTTCGAGCGATCGAGGCGCGCGAGGTAGGCGTCGAGGACGGACGGATGGTCAAGGCGAATGGACTGCTCTGACATCCAAGTATCGTCGGTGTCGTTACGGCCTACCCATCGAACCAAGAACGAACGAGCGCCCCGAGCGTTCCGCCGATCGCGAACAATCCGTTCCGGAATCGCAGAATTGTCGGCCGCGTCGGCTATGTCTTCGACAAAAAGAACTGCGGGGTCACGCCCAGGAAACCTTTCAGCATCATTCTCAACGCAAGGCCGAAGCAGTCGAGCATGGAAACGATTGTGCACTCGCTGACAGGCAACGTCGGAGGGGATGACGATGACTACACGCGAGAGACGAGGGAGAGAGCGAGAGAGCGCGCGAAAGCGCGAAGGAGCGAAGGGGGTGTCGACCGAGGCGGCGGCAGTCGACCGAGAGGCAACCGCGGAGGATACGCGGCTGCAAGGCTCGCAGCAAGTCCAGTGTACCGAACTATGGTAGCCAACGAGGTCGGACAGAAGAGGGAGGGCAAACGATCCAAGAAATAGCTGACCAGGCCGGTGGGAAGGTCGAGTCGGCTGGGCGGCGGAAGTCGACCGAGAGGCAACCGCGGAGGATACGCGGCTGCAAGGCTCGCAGCAAGTCCAGTGTACCGGACTATGGTGGCCAACGAGGTCGGACAAAAGAGGAAGGGCAAACGATCCAAGAAATAGCTGACCAGGCCGATGGGAAGGTCGAGTCGGCTGTGTGAGGAATCCACTCTCCGCTCGGCTCAGGACTTAGGCGCGCGGAGCGAACCGGGCGCGGACTTAGGCGCGCGGAGTGAGCCGGGCGCCCCGGCCCAGGACTTAGGCGCGCGAAGCGAGCCTGGGACTTAGGCGCGCGGAGCGAGCCTGGGCCATTGGCTCAGCCCCAGGCTCGCTGGCTGTGGACTTGGGGCGCGCGGGTCTCTTATTGTTAGCTTCCTATTCATCACTCTTGGCTATAACTACATCGCTGACGTAGTAGAGTTGATCGAATAGGTATGTTGAAATGCATTCATCACTCTTGGCTATAACTACATCGCTGACGTAGTAGAGTTGATCGAATAGGTTATAAGCCCACGAGCTACCAGCCCCGCCGCTTGAGGCTTTTTCGCTCGAGCCCAGCCACTCGAGCCGCACACGTCCATCGCACCATCACATCATGGACAGCTCTCCCGCCTCGCCTTTGGCCCCCAGGGATCCCAGCTCCCCTGAATCTTCGATCGGCGAACAAATCGCCACTCTACAGGCCCAGCTTGCCGCTCTGCAGGCCTCGCAACCCGCCGCCGCCGCAGCCGCCGCACCCCCGGCCGTCACCATCGTGCCGGGGAACGCCGCCACCGCATCCAAGGTCGTGTTTCCCAAGCACGCTCGTCTGGACGGCCCCAAGTCGTTCACCAACTGGTTGCGTCAACTCCGTCTTGCACTCCCGAACCAGGTTCGTGGTTACGTTCTCGACGGTGTCGTTCCCCCGACCTGGACCGCCGACCAGCTTGCCGCACGTGACGACGCCGCCCGGGAAATCATCGTTGGCTCTATCGACTCCGCCGACGTATCGGCCACCCTCGACGCCATCCCCAGCGACGACCTGTCGGCACCGCGCATCTTTGCCGCTCTCAAGGCTCGTTTTGCACCGGACGACGCTACACGCACTCTCGAGTTGTTCGCTCGCCTTTGGGACTTCAGGAAGATGCCTGCCTCCGTCGAGGCCTACGACACTTGGCTACGCGAGTACATGTCGATTGCTCAGGAAATACGCGACGCCAAAACATCGCTCAACGACGTGCTCGCCACCCACGTGCTCGCCATGGTCCCGTCTTGCCTCGACAGCTTCCGACTCACGTTCACGGACGAGCAGCGAAACCGACGCGACCTTCCCGAACTCACGACGCTTACGGACCGCATTCGCATCCAGCTTCGTTCGGCAGGACTCTCGACCTCGCATTCGGCCATGCTTGCCACGCGCTCCCCTTGCCCCGCCTGCCGCGCTCCCGGTCACCGCCTGCGCGACTGCACTTCACGTGCGAAGCACCCGCCCACCGGCCCCTGCCGCCGATGCCACAAGAAAGGTCACTGGGCACTCGACTGCAAGAACCGGGGTGAACAGGCACGTAGCAGCGACGACACCCAGGACGACACGTCTTCCTCCGCGGCCTCGCAACCGAACGTCGGCTATTTCGCCTCCTGTCTCTTCGCTCGTCGCCAACTCCCAACTGACGCCTTTGTAGTCGATTCGGGTGCCACGACACACATGGTCGCCGACCGATCTCTATTCACGACTTATCGTCAGACGGCACACACCAAGATCGGCGGCATCGCGGGCGGCATCACGGCTATCGGCATGGGGGACGTGGCATTCGTCGCCAAGACTGGACACCCGATCACGCTCCGTGGTGTTCTTCACACGCCTGGCCTACACGTCAACCTCCTCTCTGTCTCTCGCCTCTGCGACACCGACCGCGTTCGTCTCGCCTTCACCAGCGACGGCATCGACATCGCCAAGGACGGCCGGGCCATTGCTCACGGTACCAGGGTCAACGACGGTCTTTACCTTTTGGACGCGGATCACACCAAGTGTCAGCATCTTGCCTTCCTCTCACGCTCTGAGTCTCCCGTGCCCCTGCTTACCCTACACCGCTGCCTCGGCCATCTTGCCCCATCCTCTATACAGAAGATGATTGCTGCAGGTTTGCTGGACGGGTTTGGGGCCGGGTACAGTGACAAAGACGTAGAGGAGTTTGTTTGCAATGCTTGCCTTGGTTCCAAAGGTCACCGCCTTCCCTTTCCCGACTCTGAGTCGCATTCCGCCGAGAGACTTGGCCTCGTGCACAGCGACGTCCTGTCGTTCCCCACTCCGTCCTTGACCGGGAAGCGCTACCTTGTCACGTTTCTAGACGACCACTCTCGCAAACTCTGGGCATATGCGATCGATCACAAAAGCGATGTTTTCCCGACCTTCCAGACTTGGCTCGCCGAAGTGGAGTTAGAGACGAACGCGCGGTTGAGGATCCTTCGAACCGACAATGGCGGGGAGTACCGATCAAACGCATTCACGGAGTTCTGCAAATCCAAGGGCATTCGTCGTCAATACTCTATCCCTTACACGCCTCAACAAAACGGTCGCGCCGAACGTGTCAACCTCTCCATCGTCGAGGGCGTCCTCGCTCTCCTTGCGGACGCCCGTCTGCCGGCCACCTTTTGGGATGAAGCGGCTGCGTATTTCGTTTATTGCAAAAACAGGTGCTCACACTCAGCTTTGGCCAAACAGACTCCAGAATCCGTTTGGAACGGCCAACGCACCACCGCCACCGCCCTCCACCCGTTCGGCTGCACAGCCTGGCTCACGGTCGCCCCGGACCTTCGCAGCAAGCTCGACCCCAAGGCCGCGCGCGTGATCTTCACAGGTTACGACCTCGCCTCCAAAGCTTTCCGTTTCTTTGACCATTCCATCAACAAGATTGTACTTGGTCGCAATGCCACCTTCCTCGACGACGACTTCCCCGGCCTGCCAGTCACCACGCCCGTCGATGCAGACGACACCGACCGTCAGTTCGTCGTTCCCGCCGACACGCCCGCCCCTGCCGTCAAGACGAGGACCCCACTAGTAAGGTCGGCGCACATGGACGTCTCATCCTCCCTTGATGATTCTGCCATGAGCGCCGTTGACGTGGCCCCAGGGTACACTGGCGGAACCTTACTTAATTCCACAGATACCGAATCGTCCTCGTCACCGTCTCCTGAGCCGTCCTCGTCACCGTCGCCCACAAACCCTTTGTCACCGTCGCCTGCGCTGTCACCGTCGTTGGCAGCGTCATCGTCACCCTCGGTCTCACCGACCGACTCTGACTACTCCGCCGACCCTCTGGACCTCATCGGCTCACAGACCCCGACTCGCCTTGGCCCACCGGACGTGCACCGCCCAGACTTCAGCACGTACCGTGAGCCCGCATCGGCTGAGGAGTCGCCCGACGAACTCGACATCATTGGGCGTCACTCACGCGATGAATCGCCGGATGAAATCGATTTCCTCACCCAACACCACCGCGCCTTCATCGCCACAGACGACGACGACCCCACCCTCGACGCCATCGAGCCCGTCAAATCGATCACTAGCGACCCCCAGACCTGGCGCGAAGCAATGTCCAGCGACGAGCACAACATCTGGGCTGAGGCCGCCGCCGCCGAGTTCACCGCCATGCGCGACGACTTCAAGGTGTTCACCATCGAGCCTCGCTCATCTGTACCGCCGGGCGCCACCATCGTCACCTCCAAATTCGTCTGGAAGACCAAGCGCAACGCAAGCGGTGAAGTCACGGGGCGGAAGGCACGTCTTGTAGCGCAGGGTAACCGACAGCGCGACGGCATCGACTTCTCAGAAACCTTCGCACCCGTCGCCCGTTTCTCCTCCATTCGCTGCCTCCTGGCTCTTGCCGCTGCCAATGGCTACCACGTTCATCAGGCCGACATCGACAAGGCTTACCTCCACGGCGAGCTCGATCATGATATCTGGATGACGACACCACGCGGTTTCGACTTCCCGAGCGATAAGGTTCTCCGGCTGCGACGCTCAATCTACGGTCTCAAGCAGGCCGGTCGCATCTGGAATCGTCACATTGACACATCACTCAGGAATCTGGGGTACAAGGCAACAGGCACTGATCACTGCATTTACTCTCGCATTGACGATCAGCAGCGGCCTCACTATATCGCCTTGTATGTCGACGACCTCCTCATTGTCAGTCCAGCCCTCGACGAGATCGAACGTGTCATCTCCGGCCTTGAACAGCGGTACGGCGTCAAACGACTCGGCCCCGCGGAGTACATCCTCGGAATCCAAATACGCCGCCTGGACGACGGTTCCATTGCTCTATCCCAGGAGCGCTACATCATGGACGTGCTGGCCCGTTTCCACTTCGACACCACGACACGCGGCACTACGGTGCCGATGACGCCCGGCCTCTCGCTCACGGCAATTCCGGGTCAGGGAACGGAGCGCATTCGTTCGTGGTACCTACAGGCCATCGGCTCCCTCCTCTACATCTCCCTTGGCACTCGACCCGACATTGCCTTCGCCGTCTCGTACCTGTCCCGGTTCGCCAACAACCCCGGCCGCCGCCATTGGATTGCCGTCAAACACGTCCTTCGCTACCTTCGCGCCACGTACCGCGATGAGCTTCTCTATGCCCGCGGCCCAGCAAAAGTCACGGGTGTGGTTGGTTATTCTGATGCGAACTGGGGCGCCTGCGTCGACACATCCATTTCAACGATGGGCTACGTATTTTACTTGGCAGGCGCCGCTGTCTCTTGGTCGTCGAAGCGTCAGACTCGGGTAGCGGATTCCACCACTGATGCCGAGTACCTGGCCTTGTCGCACGCGGGTAAGGAAGCGATCTACCTTAACCAACTCCTCTCCGAGCTCCACGTTTGCCCAATCGCTGCAGCTCACATCTTCACCGACAACGAGGCCGCGGCCGCCGTCGCTCACGACCCCGTTCGCACCTCCGGCACCCGGCACATTCGCCTCCGCGAGCATTTTGTCCGTGACATGGTCAATCGAGGTGATATCTCTCTCTCACACGTTGGCACAGCAGACATGGTTGCGGACGTATTCACCAAGGCGCTAGGCCCCAAGATTTTTGGTACACATTGCTATGCTCTAGGCCTCCGGACGCGACATCCACGGCTCAAGTCTACCTCGCGTTCGCGTGGGGGGGGGTGTGAGGAATCCACTCTCCGCTCGGCTCAGGACTTAGGCGCGCGGAGCGAACCGGGCGCGGACTTAGGCGCGCGGAGTGAGCCGGGCGCCCCGGCCCAGGACTTAGGCGCGCGAAGCGAGCCTGGGACTTAGGCGCGCGGAGCGAGCCTGGGCCATTGGCTCAGCCCCAGGCTCGCTGGCTGTGGACTTGGGGCGCGCGGGTCTCTTATTGTTAGCTTCCTATTCATCACTCTTGGCTATAACTACATCGCTGACGTAGTAGAGTTGATCGAATAGGTATGTTGAAATGCATTTATCACTCTTGGCTATAACTACATCGCTGACGTAGTAGAGTTGATCGAATAGGCTGGGCGGCGGCAGTCGACCGAGAGCAACCGAGGAGTGGATTCGGTCGGAAGGCTTCGCAGCAAATCAAGTGTAACGGACTTAATTGCCAGCGAAATGGGTAAAAAGAGGGAGGGTACGAGTCATGATAATGAGTGGACCAAGCTCTAGGGGAAGGGTGGCAAAAGCAAAAGGAGGGAAGTGCTCCGAGCGAAGGAAAGACTGAATCAAATAACTACACCACGAGGTCGCTTCAGGGGTAAAAAGGATTGCCTGCAAGGCACCGGTAAAAACCCCGAAGCCGGGCCTCGGATAACAAAAAGGAAAAGAAACCAAAAGGCAGATCACGCTCCGGGCGGATCGAACCCTCGACCACTGAGTGCGCGCCCGCGCGCCCTCACGACTACACCATCGCGCCGACAATGCTTGCAACGAACAAACCGGTAGCTGATGTCGCCTCCGGCCGCAAACTTGGGAGACTTCCTTCGAGTATTGATGGCAGTGCAGGCTGTGCTCCTGACACTCGCGACATCGCTGGAGGGAGCTCGAGGTCGTAGCTGGACGTCGCAGGGATGGCCGCTCGGATACGGAAGGGGCCGATGTAGCGCGGCAACAACTTCGACTTCATGCCGTCAGGAACTGCCAGGTTCTTTGTCGAAAGATAGACGTAACTGCCGGTCCGAAAGGCGGGGTCGTCTGGGCGTCGATGCTTGTTGGCCTGATGGGACTGGTTGAGGCGTGCTCCAATGATCGCATCCGTCACGTCGAGGTTCCGTAATTGTCGGATCCGAGCAAACGCTTCCGCACGAGGGACGTCCGAGACAGACCAGGAATCCGAGGGCCAGCATCGAGGAAGGTAGCTGTAGGTTGCCTCAAAAGCCGACAGCGACGTGGACACAGCAACAGAAGAGTTAAGAGCGAACTCAGCTTCAACAAGACGAGATGCCCAAGCCTCGTGGTTTGACGAGACCATGATCCGCAGGGTTTGGGTGACCATCTTGATCCGATTCTCGCTCGATCCGTCCGTCTCCGGGTGTGCCGCGGTTGACATTCGCAAGACGGTGCCAATCTTTGCCTGCAATGCCCGCCAAAACTGCGAGGTGAACTTGGGATCACGGTCGGAAACGATGGCGGAAGGCATCCCATGCAGTCGGAAGACGGTGGCGTAGTACTTCTCGGCAACGAGCTCCGAGTCGGCATCGGCTGGGAGGGGAATCAGGTGGACCATCTTGCCCCAAGTGTCAGTGATCACCATGATTTGAGCAACCATCATCCCTTCGAGCTCGACCGGAGGCAGTCCTGTCATGAAGTCGATGGCCACTTGTTCCCAAGGACCAGAAGGGATCGGCATCGGATGCAGTCGGCCATAGGGGACTTGAGTGGACGCCTTGCCTCGGGTACAGTCTTCACATGAACGGCAGAACTCGGCGCAATCGGCAGACATGGACGACCACCAGTACAAAGGACGGATGGCGGCCAAGGTGATGCGATGTCCTGCATGCCCGACACTCCGATGAATCTCCGAAAGCACGAGCTCGCGCAGCGATGGGACCTTGTCGGAGTTGACGACGCCAGTAGCGAGACCACGAGGCACAAACAAGGAAATAGACTCATCTGGATGTACACGCAAAATCCTCCCTTCCTCGGTCACCCGAAACATAGGCCATGATAGCGGGTCGGTAATGATGACCTGGGCTTGCGAATCGTTGGCGTATGCTCGGATGACGGTGTCGAGGAAGGGTTGGGGCAGTGGATCAGGCGGCCGATGGACTACAGGGGTGTCGTTGACATCATCGGTGGCAACTCCCAACAAATCGAGTTCGTCGGCGTCGGCATCGACCGGAATGGGCGGGTCGTTGGCAGGGGCCGTAGCAATAGCGTGAACTCGATTGACAGCGATGGGAGGAGAGAGGCGGCCGATAGACCAATCGACGGCGTCCATAATGTTCTCGGCCAGATGAGGGGAACCGGGAGAGCCTGCGTCGTAACCGTGACCCCAGGGCCCGAAGGCGCAATCAACAGGGGGCAACCGATCGTGCGAAGGTGAGGTGTAAGGACGTTCCTCGAGGAGGCTCTCACCGGGCGTAATGAACTCGTGGCATTCTTCCTTCAAGAACAAATTCCCTAATTCCTGTCCATTCACGTCCTCGTCTTGCGATTCCTCCTTGAGCGCGTAGTATCCGGGAGAGCCTGCCTCGCAATCGTCGTGTTGGGGCCCGAGGGCAAAATCAACAGGAGGCAACCGATCGGGAGATGGTGAAGTGCAAGGACGTTCCTCAGGGAGGCTCTCACCGGGTGTAGTGAATTCGTGGCGTTCTCCATCAAAGAACATGTCCTCCAACTCATTCTCCTTGACCTGATCCTCGTGCGATCCCTCCTTGACCTCCCACAGACGCGACAACGAATCGGCCAGGGTGTTGTTCTTGCCAGCAATGAATTCAAATTCGAAGTCGAAACGGCTAAGTTCGAGACACATGCGGATGTGCCGAGGCGTTTGGCGCAGTTTTTGGGTTTTTATCGTGCGAAGGGCCTGATGGTCGGTGACGATGACGAAGGGGTAACCGATCAAGTGCTGCTCGAACGCCCGACACGCCGAGACGACAGCCAAGAACTCTTTATCAGTGACATGATAGTTGAGCTGAGCACCGTTGAACTTAGCGGAAAAGAATTGCGTTGGAACGGCCTGCGAACGGTTGGGCCCGGACGCCAAACAAGCGCCAATGCCAACCCGACTGGCATCCGTGAAGAGGTACATCTTGTGCTCGCCCGAGGTAACCTTGGCGCCATCGATCGGTCGTAGGATGGCGGGCACAAGGGACTTGACGGTATCGAAAGCCTGCTGTTCTCGCTCGTTCCAACTGACAAGCTGTGAGGAATCCACTCTCCGCTCGGCTCAGGACTTAGGCGCGCGGAGCGAACCGGGCGCGGACTTAGGCGCGCGGAGTGAGCCGGGCGCCCCGGCCCAGGACTTAGGCGCGCGAAGCGAGCCTGGGACTTAGGCGCGCGGAGCGAGCCTGGGCCATTGGCTCAGCCCCAGGCTCGCTGGCTGTGGACTTGGGGCGCGCGGGTCTCTTATTGTTAGCTTCCTATTCATCACTCTTGGCTATAACTACATCGCTGACGTAGTAGAGTTGATCGAATAGGTATGTTGAAATGCATTTATCACTCTTGGCTATAACTACATCGCTGACGTAGTAGAGTTGATCGAATAGGTTATAAGCCCACGAGCTACCAGCCCCGCCGCTTGAGGCTTTTTCGCTCGAGCCCAGCCACTCGAGCCGCACACGTCCATCGCACCATCACATCATGGACAGCTCTCCCGCCTCGCCTTTGGCCCCCAGGGATCCCAGCTCCCCTGAATCTTCGATCGGCGAACAAATCGCCACTCTACAGGCCCAGCTTGCCGCTCTGCAGGCCTCGCAACCCGCCGCCGCCGCAGCCGCCGCACCCCCGGCCGTCACCGTCGTGCCGGGGAACGCCGCCACCGCATCCAAGGTCGTGTTTCCCAAGCACGCTCGTCTGGACGGCCCCAAGTCGTTCACCAACTGGTTGCGTCAACTCCGTCTTGCACTCCCGAACCAGGTTCGTGGTTACGTTCTCGACGGTGTCGTTCCCCCGACCTGGACCGCCGACCAGCTTGCCGCACGTGACGACGCCGCCCGGGAAATCATCGTTGGCTCTATCGACTCCGCCGACGTATCGGCCACCCTCGACGCCATCCCCAGCGACGACCTGTCGGCACCGCGCATCTTTGCCGCTCTCAAGGCTCGTTTTGCACCGGACGACGCTACACGCACTCTCGAGTTGTTCGCTCGCCTTTGGGACTTCAGGAAGATGCCTGCCTCCGTCGAGGCCTACGACACTTGGCTACGCGAGTACATGTCGATTGCTCAGGAAATACGCGACGCCAAAACATCGCTCAACGACGTGCTCGCCACCCACGTGCTCGCCATGGTCCCGTCTTGCCTCGACAGCTTCCGACTCACGTTCACGGACGAGCAGCGAAACCGACGCGACCTTCCCGAACTCACGACGCTTACGGACCGCATTCGCATCCAGCTTCGTTCGGCAGGACTCTCGACCTCGCATTCGGCCATGCTTGCCACCAGCTCCCCCTGCCCCGCCTGCCGCGCTCCCGGTCACCGCCTGCGCGACTGCACTTCACGTGCGAAGCACCCGCCCACCGGCCCCTGCCGCCGATGCCACAAGAAAGGTCACTGGGCACTCGACTGCAAGAACCGGGGTGAACAGGCACGTAGCAGCGACGACACCCAGGACGACACGTCTTCCTCCGCGGCCTCGCAACCGAACGTCGGCTATTTCGCCTCCTGCCTCTTCGCTCGTCGCCAACTCCCAACTGACGCCTTTGTAGTCGATTCGGGTGCCACGACACACATGGTCGCCGACCGATCTCTATTCACGACTTATCGTCAGACGGCACACACCAAGATCGGCGGCATCGCGGGCGGCATCACGGCTATCGGCATGGGGGACGTGGCATTCGTCGCCAAGACTGGACACCCGATCACGCTCCGTGGTGTTCTTCACACGCCTGGCCTACACGTCAACCTCCTCTCTGTCTCTCGCCTCTGCGACACCGACCGCGTTCGTCTCGCCTTCACCAGCGACGGCATCGACATCGCCAAGGACGGCCGGGCCATTGCTCACGGTACCAGGGTCAACGACGGTCTTTACCTTTTGGACGCGGATCACACCAAGTGTCAGCATCTTGCCTTCCTCTCACGCTCTGAGTCTCCCGTGCCCCTGCTTACCCTACACCGCTGCCTCGGCCATCTTGCCCCATCCTCTATACAGAAGATGATTGCTGCAGGTTTGCTGGACGGGTTTGGGGCCGGGTACAGTGACAAAGACGTAGAGGAGTTTGTTTGCAATGCTTGCCTTGGTTCCAAAGGTCACCGCCTTCCCTTTCCCGACTCTGAGTCGCATTCCGCCGAGAGACTTGGCCTCGTGCACAGCGACGTCCTGTCGTTCCCCACTCCGTCCTTGACCGGGAAGCGCTACCTTGTCACGTTTCTAGACGACCACTCTCGCAAACTCTGGGCATATGCGATCGATCACAAAAGCGATGTTTTCCCGACCTTCCAGACTTGGCTCGCCGAAGTGGAGTTAGAGACGAACGCGCGGTTGAGGATCCTTCGAACCGACAATGGCGGGGAGTACCGATCAAACGCATTCACGGAGTTCTGCAAATCCAAGGGCATTCGTCGTCAATACTCTATCCCTTACACGCCTCAACAAAACGGTCGCGCCGAACGTGTCAACCTCTCCATCGTCGAGGGCGTCCTCGCTCTCCTTGCGGACGCCCGTCTGCCGGCCACCTTTTGGGATGAAGCGGCTGCGTATTTCGTTTATTGCAAAAACAGGTGCTCACACTCAGCTTTGGCCAAACAGACTCCAGAATCCGTTTGGAACGGCCAACGCACCACCGCCACCGCCCTCCACCCGTTCGGCTGCACAGCCTGGCTCACGGTCGCCCCGGACCTTCGCAGCAAGCTCGACCCCAAGGCCGCGCGCGTGATCTTCACAGGTTACGACCTCGCCTCCAAAGCTTTCCGTTTCTTTGACCATTCCATCAACAAGATTGTACTTGGTCGCAATGCCACCTTCCTCGACGACGACTTCCCCGGCCTGCCAGTCACCACGCCCGTCGATGCAGACGACACCGACCGTCAGTTCGTCGTTCCCGCCGACACGCCCGCCCCTGCCGTCAAGACGAGGACCCCACTAGTAAGGTCGGCGCACATGGACGTCTCATCCTCCCTTGATGATTCTGCCATGAGCGCCGTTGACGTGGCCCCAGGGTACACTGGCGGAACCTTACCTAATTCCACAGATACCGAATCGTCCTCGTCACCGTCTCCTGAGCCGTCCTCGTCACCGTCGCCCACAAACCCTTTGTCACCGTCGCCTGCGCTGTCACCGTCGTTGGCAGCGTCATCGTCACCCTCGGTCTCACCGACCGACTCTGACTACTCCGCCGACCCTCTGGACCTCATCGGCTCACAGACCCCGACTCGCCTTGGCCCACCGGACGTGCACCGCCCAGACTTCAGCACGTACCGTGAGCCCGCATCGGCTGAGGAGTCGCCCGACGAACTCGACATCATTGGGCGTCACTCGCGCGATGAATCGCCGGATGAAATCGATTTCCTCACCCAACACCACCGCGCCTTCATCGCCACAGACGACGACGACCCCACCCTCGACGCCATCGAGCCCGTCAAATCGATCACTAGCGACCCCCAGACCTGGCGCGAAGCAATGTCCAGCGACGAGCACAACATCTGGGCTGAGGCCGCCGCCGCCGAGTTCACCGCCATGCGCGACGACTTCAAGGTGTTCACCATCGAGCCTCGCTCATCTGTACCGCCGGGCGCCACCATCGTCACCTCCAAATTCGTCTGGAAGACCAAGCGCAACGCAAGCGGTGAAGTCACGGGGCGGAAGGCACGTCTTGTAGCGCAGGGTAACCGACAGCGCGACGGCATCGACTTCTCAGAAACCTTCGCACCCGTCGCCCGTTTCTCCTCCATTCGCTGCCTCCTGGCTCTTGCCGCTGCCAATGGCTACCACGTTCATCAGGCCGACATCGACAAGGCTTACCTCCACGGCGAGCTCGATCATGATATCTGGATGACGACACCACGCGGTTTCGACTTCCCGAGCGATAAGGTTCTCCGGCTGCGACGCTCAATCTACGGTCTCAAGCAGGCCGGTCGCATCTGGAATCGTCACATTGACACATCACTCAGGAATCTGGGGTACAAGGCAACAGGCACTGATCACTGCATTTACTCTCGCATTGACGATCAGCAGCGGCCTCACTATATCGCCTTGTATGTCGACGACCTCCTCATTGTCAGTCCAGCCCTCGACGAGATCGAACGTGTCATCTCCGGCCTTGAACAGCGGTACGGCGTCAAACGACTCGGCCCCGCGGAGTACATCCTCGGAATCCAAATACGCCGCCTGGACGACGGTTCCATTGCTCTATCCCAGGAGCGCTACATCATGGACGTGCTGGCCCGTTTCCACTTCGACACCACGACACGCGGCACTACGGTGCCGATGACGCCCGGCCTCTCGCTCACGGCAATTCCGGGTCAGGGAACGGAGCGCATTCGTTCGTGGTACCTACAGGCCATCGGCTCCCTCCTCTACATCTCCCTTGGCACTCGACCCGACATTGCCTTCGCCGTCTCGTACCTGTCCCGGTTCGCCAACAACCCCGGCCGCCGCCATTGGATTGCCGTCAAACACGTCCTTCGCTACCTTCGCGCCACGTACCGCGATGAGCTTCTCTATGCCCGCGGCCCAGCAAAAGTCACGGGTGTGGTTGGTTATTCTGATGCGAACTGGGGCGCCTGCGTCGACACATCCATTTCAACGATGGGCTACGTATTTTACTTGGCAGGCGCCGCTGTCTCTTGGTCGTCGAAGCGTCAGACTCGGGTAGCGGATTCCACCACTGATGCCGAGTACCTGGCCTTGTCGCACGCGGGTAAGGAAGCGATCTACCTTAACCAACTCCTCTCCGAGCTCCACGTTTGCCCAATCGCTGCAGCTCACATCTTCACCGACAACGAGGCCGCGGCCGCCGTCGCTCACGACCCCGTTCGCACCTCCGGCACCCGGCACATTCGCCTCCGCGAGCATTTTGTCCGTGACATGGTCAATCGAGGTGATATCTCTCTCTCACACGTTGGCACAGCAGACATGGTTGCGGACGTATTCACCAAAGCGCTAGGCCCCAAGATTTTTGGTACACATTGCTATGCTCTAGGCCTCCGGACGCGACATCCACGGCTCAAGTCTACCTCGCGTTCGCGTGGGGGGGGGTGTGAGGAATCCACTCTCCGCTCGGCTCAGGACTTAGGCGCGCGGAGCGAACCGGGCGCGGACTTAGGCGCGCGGAGTGAGCCGGGCGCCCCGGCCCAGGACTTAGGCGCGCGAAGCGAGCCTGGGACTTAGGCGCGCGGAGCGAGCCTGGGCCATTGGCTCA